CTTTCCACTAACATTAAAAATACCCTTACAATTTACAATATATTACACAAATGTCATTATCTGTATATCATATAATACTAATAACGTTATTTTATTTTAGTATTTTTTACTTTATTCATACCACATTATAATATAGTACTAATATTTTTAAAACTTCGTTCAAAAAGCAAACCGTAGATAAAATAAGGGACAAAGGGAGTATGAAATTAAAGTATACATAAATTACTCTTTTCGCCCAAATCTAATGTTTAATCGTAAATGTACACTTAAATATGCGAAATTTATGTATAAAAATGATAAAATATTTTACATAGTATTTTTTAAAAAAGGAAATATATTAAATGAATAATATTAAATTTTTAAAAAGTACTATATCAGGGGTGTTAATTTTTATTTTTGGATAGTGTTGGTGTCAGGTTGAGTTATGGGTGTAACAAAAAAAAAAAAAACTATCAATCCGAAGCCGAAACCCTAGAGCCGAATACAACATGAATTTTTTCGGGTTGGATTCAGGTCAACTTGATTTAGTTACAAATTACCGAAAATCCGACATGAACCAGATTAAAAAATTTAAAAAATTTTAAATTTATCTAAAAATATATTTTTTTATTTTAACTTTTAATATTTATTATAGTATAAATATTAAAAATTAAAATAAAAAATAACTTTAGATCAACCTGAAATTTGAAACTCAACCTAATTTTATATTTCGAGTTATCAGGTCAACTTGAAATTCAACTCAAAGACAACACAAATTTTTTTCGCTTCGGATTCAAATTGGCCCATTTCTTTTACAAATCCAAAACATCTAAACCCGAATCTAAAAATTTTCGGATAAAACGAATTCGGTTTCTCGGATCGGACACCCCAAACTATATGTAAGTAAGCAAATCTTGTTAACAAAGTTGTCTATCTTCCCAACTACCCGACCCGTTACAATCATTAATTTTGTATGCTTTCGAAATTGCAATCAAATTTGACTGCTGCTCTGAAATACGTGACATCAGCCAATACCAATGGGGTATCTTTTCAAATTTTTTATTGGTGTGTGTGTTTTTTTTTTTTATTCAAATTTTTATTATTATCCATTTGATTCAAAATATTGCAATATTTAGGACAACTTCAACTCGTTACTTCAAAAATACATGGTTGTCATTTTATTTTGACTATAAATTTCAATTTTACTAAAAAAAAAATATATATTTTCTATATATTCTTTTTTATACTATATTATACAATTTTTTTATATTTATAAATTACATTTAATTTTAATTTTTTATTACTTTATATTTCTTTCGAAAATAAAATTATACTTCGTATATCACTATCTAAGAAATAAAATTATATTACTTTTTAAAAAATAAAATTATATCTTATGTTTAAAAAATAAAAATACACATTATCATTCCTAATATTCGATAATTTTGTCTTAAATAAAATATAGCAATTTCATATACTCATCTCGTCACATAACAAAGTATTAATTTTTTTCATTTTAGTCCGTCTCATAACAAAGTATTCATTTTCTTTTATAGTAATTGTACTATCTACCTAACATTACAAATACCCTTACAACTTACAATATATTACACAAATGTCATTACTTTTATATCACACAATACTAATAAGGTTATTTTAGTCATTTCTACTTTATTCCTACTACATTCCAATGTAATACCAATATTTTTAAAACTACTTGCAAAAAGTAAATAAATTTCTAGTTATGGGACATATGAAGTATAAAATATTACATTCATTCATTATTTCACTGAATAATAAAAATCAAAACCTACAAATGAAAATATAAACCTAACACACAAATTATTTATTTCATTTATTGAAACAGTTAGATATTTAAATATCTACAATCAAAATATTATTTAAATAAAAAATTCAAATCAATAACTTATTGAAATTAATTTCAAACAATAACCAAACATACCTTTATGTCCGATTTCTACTAATAAAAATATAGTTTATATATAATATCTTGAATTGAAAATGAATATTGACCTAAAACATAAAATATACTCTGTTCCTTGTCAATTTATCTTTTTTTATTTTTATTTTTGTTTATCCCATAACAAAGTATCAATTTTTTTAGTAATTGTATTATCTACTTAACATTACAAATATCCTTTCAATTTATAATATATTGCACAAATATCATTACATTTATATCATACAATACTAATAACGATAACTTAATCTTTTTATCTTTATTTTTACTATATCCTAATATAATACTAATATTTCTAAAAGATAAATAGATATGGAACGGAGAGAGTATATAATGCAATAAAAAAAATATATATATATATATTATTCGCATAATTTGAAAATAAATATCATTTCACTAATCAAACAACCAACGATCTGTCAATAAATAGATGTGGAGATGTTTAAATTTTGCCAAAGTGACTCAAAAACTAGTTGATATGGATTCTAGCATTATCTGAAAAATAAAAACAATAATAATAATGATATTTCTTTCACTAATGTAATTATTTTATTATTTCAATATATCCAACTCAATATTTTTATTTCATTTCATTATTAAAAGTATCTTTTACTTTAACAAAAAAAAATATTTTACATTTTACACAATATTATAAAAAAAAATAATTATAAAAATAAATTAAGAGCAAAACTATTTTTTTTTATATATTTCTATTATACTATTAACTATATAATACTAAGTATACTAAAATTTATGTAAAAAATTAAATAATTATATTTGCCTCGGACGGAGGAAAATAAAATAATAATAATAATAATAATAATAATAATAATAATAGGGGTTTGTAGCCAATCAAAATAAATTAGCATCTCGTTAATTTAAATTTAGTATCACGAGAGATCATTTCATATTATATCATACAATCCTATATGAAATTCAATATTTTTTAAAATGTGTGAGTATGTGACAGTATATAATTAGTGTGTTAGTCTAATACTCCCTCCGTCCCATATCTATATATTCATTTGTTTTTTGCATGGAGTTTTATAAATATTAATATTATATTTGTATAAAGTAGAAATAAATGTAAAAAGACTAAATTAACCCTATTAGTATTGTATGATATACAAGTAATAATATTTGTGTAATATATTGTAAATTAGAAGAGTATTTGTAATGTTAAATAGATAATATAATTTCTAAAAAAAAAATTGATACTTTGTTATCTAACGGACAAAATGGAAAAGTTGATAGATTATTAAGGGACAGATAAATTATGATTTTTTTTTGGCTTGCGGCCTACTCTGTAAGCTATTAAATTTGACCGTAAATTTATTGAAAACTTATTCGAAAAATAACTTTTGCAGATTTTTACATTCTTAAAATAATAATAATAATAATAAAATTAGTGACTGCCGCCTTAATTAAAACATCCTAAGCATTATTTAGTAAGTTAATTCCTATTCCAAATTCCAAACCTAATGAAATAAAGTTGAATTATTAAAATTATTGTGGCAAGCTAATCAATACAATATTGATTGGTCATAAATTCTTAAATTATTTATTAACTATATAATCGGCGTTAGAAATTTTATTTTATTACCATAACTAAAAAAAATTAGTGACATATATAGAAATAATTTATAATTACTTTTTTTTTATCAATAATATATAATACCACTTACTATGTTCATTAAATTTATATTTATTTTTTTTTATTTGTAGAAAAATAAGAGTGTAGTACTTTGTGTTAGTATTATATATTTTTACTAAAATATAAGAAGGTGTTATATAATTTATTATTTTTTTATAATAATAATAATAATAATTATTATTATTATTATTATTATTATTATTATTATTTTGCAATTACTTTGAGTCTAGAGTCTATATATAGATAACACCTTGACTAATTCCTTCCTTATCTCTTGAGTGTCAACGTGGTGAAAATATTTCCACATATTCAGCATGCGTTTATTTAATTTTACCATAATATTAGGCTGTTCTCTTGTACACATTTTAGATTATTTTTAATAATACTATTTTTATCTTTTTATAGAAAATAAAAATACAAAAAGAATAAATTCGTAATATTAGTTGTTGTTTTTTTCTACACTATTTATTCATATCAAATATTACACGTACGTAATAAAAATAAATTATAAAATCCAGCTAAAAAATACATCCTAATAATGTTTATTTGTTTCGTCTCGGATAAATTATTCATATTATCGTAGTAGATACGAAAATTTAAATAGAGCATAATTACTAAGTAATTAATAAATATACTTTGTAAAGATAATTATAAATTAAAATAACTAAATAATTTATTTAAAATTATAAAATTTAAAATGTGATTAAAATATATAATTATATTTAAAAGGAAAAAAAATAAATTATGTGAGATAGAGCTAAATAAAAAATACACAGTGGTTTAGTGAAGAGATATAAATAAAGAGATATTGAATACCTAATGTATGATTTTATATATTATAAATTTAATTAAATTAATTTATATATATTAAGTATGTATTAAATTAATAAATTTTACTAAATTATTTGTTACGAGACTAAAATAAAAATAATGTTATTTGTTATGGAACGAATAAAATATTTTTTTATAAAATTAATTTATGTTATTTATAAATAAATAAATAAATAATTTTGTTTATTTATATTATATATTTTATTAAAATATAATATTTAAAATATATATTATAGAAAATTTTAGTTATATATAGTAATTTTTCTTTATAAATAAAAAAATAATAAATATTACTATAATCTATTATTATAAAAGTAAAATGTCAAAACTTTTAACACACTTGCATCAACTAATAAAATATTATTATTTATTAATTTACTCCAAAACTTCAAACAATTCTTTTGAACATGAACGGAAATATAATTTATTATTAATATAACTTTAATTTATTATTAATAATTTATTAAAAAAAAATAAAAAAATAAAAAAATGGTTACTGGGACGGGAGGGAGAAGCAATTTACTCCATAGACTGATAGACATTTTCAATTATTATTATTATTTGCGACATCAAGGCCGCGGGCCCACAAGGGTGAACGAACGCCGCCGTGTCCCGGCCGGAGTGTGGGCGGGACCCTTGGATTCCGGCGGGTTCCGCCATGCACGAGCAGCTTCCGTACGGAACTTGAACACCATTGGTTACTTGCATTAATTCGCCTCCTTTCTCTGTCTCTCTCTCTCTAAGTATTTTCCTCATCAAACACACGATACTCATCGACAATTAATTTCTTTAAATTGGCTAACGAGTTTCCGCAGACCTCTCACCTGAACAGTTAGTTCCATTGATTTTCCAAGCTTCGTATCGATTTTCGTTTTCTGCCGGAGCTTTTCGGGAGGCATGGAAGGCGACGGCGCGACGGAGACTCTTCTGGGGAAGAGGGGTAGTGGTTCAGGGGGGATTAGAGAGCTGAGTTTCGTGAAGGAATTTGGCCAGGAATCGAAGTCGCTATGGGCGCTCTCCGGGCCGGCGATATTTACCTACATCTTTCAGTACTCGCTTGGTGCCTTGACGCAGACATTCGCCGGACAGATCGGGGCGTTGGAGCTGGCGGCTGTATCGGTGGAGAATTCCGTCATCGCCGGACTTGCGTTTGGGGTTATGGTAACTTCTAGCGCCGTCTCCTAATTTCTTCGCTTCGTATTTCCCCCCTATTGTCTCCCTATGGATTCACAACCTTCAATTGTTTTCCTGATTCGTCTGTGGAAAATACCTAATGGATTCGATTCCTGCTGCAGCTCGGAATGGGGAGTGCGTTGGAGACGCTGTGCGGGCAAGCCTTCGGCGCCGGACAGATCAGAATGTTGGGAGTGTATATGCAGAGGTCATGGATCATATTGCTGGTCACAGCCTGTGTGTTGCTGCCGATTTACATCTTCGCTCCTCCAATTCTCTCCTTCTTCGGCGAATCTGACGATATTTCTCGCGCTGCAGGTGATTGATTCACAGTTTTACTCCACAGCCATGGCCGCACACAAGCACAATTTAGAAGTAATCTTAGTTCACTGAGTATAGATTATCCGTGATTTGTGGTTCTCTAGGAAAATTTGCTCTGTGGATGATCCCGCAGCTGTTTGCATACGCTGTGAATTTTCCAATCCAGAAGTTCCTGCAGTCTCAGCGGAAGCTCATGGCCATGGCTTGGATATCCCTGGCAGTGCTGATTCTGCACATTATCATCAGCTGGTTGCTGATGTTCACCCTGGGATGGGGCCTTGTTGGAGCAGCTGTTAGTCTAAACACCTCATGGTGGCTCATTGTCACTCTCCAATTGGTTTACATCTTCTACACGAAATCAGATGGTGCTTGGAGTGGATTTTCATGGCTGGCATTTCGAGATTTGTATGGTTTTGTCAAGCTTTCATTGGCCTCTGCTGTAATGTTATGGTAAGATCTTTTCCTTCTTCTTGGTGTTGCTGACAATTTCCTTTCATGTTCTTCAATTTAACTCCGCGGAATTGTCGATTGCAGCTTGGAGTTTTGGTACTTGATGACATTAGTGGTCATAGCAGGTCGCCTGGATAACCCTGTTATTCCAGTTGATGCCATGTCGATATGGTACGCCATTTTTTGAATTATCTGTTTTGTCATTTATTGTCAAGAACAAATCATTTTCTGGGCATTGAAAACAACTGTCTTTGCAATCATTTTATGATCCATGGTGAAGCTGAAAGTGTGTTATAAGTGCTCACAAAAGTAATGTTGATAATAGAAAGTGTTGGAAATTCCCATTTCTTGTTACTAATTCAAGATCCAGAAAGTGATTTTCTTCATTTACAAATTGGGTTGAGACATATGCTCTTTGCAGCATGAACATCCAAGGATGGAGTGCAATGATTTCGATCGGATTTAATGCCGCCATTAGGTGAATTTTACAGCAATACTTCAATTCCCTTATAAATTTCTAACTTGATTCAGTGATGTTTTGTCTTTTTATGTTATTTTCATTTATTGTTTCGAATCCAGCGTGAGAGTGTCGAATGAACTCGGCGCCGGGAATGCAAGAGCCGCGAAATTCTCAGTGGTTGTGGTCTCCATCACAACCATAACAATTGGGATCATTCTCATGGCAGTAGTTCTAGCCACAAGAGAGGACTTCCCATGGCTGTTCACCAACAACGCAGCCGTGGCCAAAGAGACCACTAGAATGGCGATCCTACTCGCGCTCACTTGTCTATTAAACGGCCTCCAGCCGGTTTTATCAGGTAATTCATGCATGCATTCCTACAATGCTCGATTCATGCAAATAAAACTTTACACCAACGTATGTACTAACAAGATTTACATTCAATTCTTTAGGTGTCGCCGTTGGAGCCGGATGGCAATCCATCGTAGCCTACATAAACATCGGGTGCTATTACATTGTCGGAATCCCACTCGGCATTCTCTTAGGATTCACATTTAACTTCGGAGCAATGGTAAATTAGACTTTCCCCCAAACATAAAGTATCGACTTTTTATACCATATTGGTTTTCTTGCCACAATTCATTGTTTGTCTCACAAGTATCGACTTTTCAGGGAATCTGGGGTGGGATGATGGGAGGGATATGTCTACAGACGCTTATACTAATACTCATTACTTCAACTCGAAACTGGGACAAAGAAGTGAGTGATTAGATCGATGATTTTGAAAATTATGTTCAAGAATGAATGTTTATATATATATGGTTGTGATTTTGCAGGCCAGTGAAGCTGAAAGCAGAGTGATGAAATGGGGAGGAGCCACTGCAAATGACGGCTAGCTAATAAAAAAGTTTTGGGGCATTATTTGGTAAGAAAATATGTTTGATTTTGAGTCAAGAATATGCATAATTTGGATCGTGATTTGTGACTAGAGGAGTTCTTTCAATCATGACTTATCTTGTTTTATATTTGTCAGCAATATTTATATATGATTTTGTGGATGAAAGTGTGGGATCTTGTCTCGAGGGGGGCAGACACTGGTTGGGTGGGTAGGTGGCTGGGTAGGTGGGTTTAGTGTGTAATAGATTGGCAGGGCTCAAGAGCTCTGTGTGAGTGGTCAGTTATTGTCATCGTCAGCTTGCCATTCAATTTCGGTACTTTATCTTATCTTAATGCTTTGTTTACCCAATGAATTTTAAAGTTTTGGCATTGTTTTCTTCTAGGAAAAATATTTTACTTCCTTTCGTAAGAAAGAAATAAATATATTATTAGTGTTTTTTTTTTTTTTTTTTTTTTGTTACATTATATTTAACGTTATAAATATTTTTATATTTATATATTTTATTTGTATTATAAAAGATATATATATATATAATTCTTTTGTATAAACAAAGGTTTAGTCTCTCGGTGTCATGAATCACGTGATTGTTTGTGCCAGCTAACTGTTAATTTTTTTATTGTGCTTGGGCCAACCACTGTGATTTTGATACGATATTATATATATATATATATATATATATTTTATTATAATTATCAATTTTGATTTCATTAAAAAAATTTTTTATCAATTTTGCACTCGTTCAAATTAAAATTTTATCAATTTTGATCTCGTGATGATTGACAGAGACTGAACTAGTGGCTTGAACATGATCGTGTTAGATATTGAGAAAGGTGCTATGTTTTATGCCCCTGTTCACAATATCTTCTGAACACAATCATTTTGTGATCTCAACACAACAATCTTTCTGTTCATATTCACATCTTGTTCTTAACAAAGTATATTACTACCCATATAATAGTAATAATCATTTTTAAATATATAATTATATATATAGGGCAGTTTTAGTTAGTTGATTCAATTATTTATTTGTATAAAGTATTTGGTAAAATAATGGTTTGACATTAATTGTTTATACGTAAAATTACAACTAAAAACATTTATATGATATTTTTTTTAAGAAAAAATAATTTTATTCATTTTAATTTAAAATTTTTGAGAAATTTTGTTATTAATTATTGAAAATATAAAAATATTATAAAATATTTATTTTTATTTTTAAATTTGAGAAAATTATTTTTATTAAAAAATAATAATAAATTTTTATTAAAAAAATAAAATAATAAATCTTTCATATATATTTTTTTATTATATTAATTATTGTTTATTAATTTATTATATTTTATTTATTTTTAATGTAAATTTTATAATAAAAAATTAATAATATTTGTCTTTTCTATTTGATTTAATCTTAATAGATTTATATATTTTACAAATAAAATAATTTATACATAATTATTTTATATTTTAAAAATAAAATTATAATTAGTAAATAAAATATATTAAAAATAATTAATAAATACTACAATAAAAATATATTTATATGTATAAAATAAATAATTATTTTTAAAGGTAAATAAGTAATAAATAAAATTAGAATGAATAAACTTATTGTAAAATGCTGGGTAATTAGTTTTTTTATAAATCAGCTTTTTGAGTCAAAAAGCTCATCTAAAAAGCTAATTTATTATTAATTTTTTTACTGGTCAAACAACGGAAAAATATTTAATAAATTAAAAACTCTTTAAAAAACTATTTCCCAAACATTCTTATAATTTTTAAATATAGTAATATATATTATTTTTTAAATAATTTTTATTTTAATTAAAATATTTATAATCATTCATTAATAATATCATTTTTTTTATATTGGTTTCAAAACTTTCTAGTTAAAATATTATTCCACCATCCCACTTAATTTGTCCACTTTAGCTTAGACACAGAGTTTTAGATATTGTGTAATTAGTAAGTAATTAAAAAATATAATAGTAAAAATAATTATAATTTAAAAAATAATTATAGATTAAGATTAAGATAACTAGATAATTTAGTTAAAATAAAAAATATATATATATATAAAGTAAGAATTTTTCAATATGATTAAAGTGAATAATTTTTTTAAAAAAATGAAAAATTATGTGGGATGAACCAAAGTAGAAGGAGTTGGCAAATTATGTGGGACAAATGAAAATAGAAATAGTGATTATATCGGACGAACGAAAATATAAAGAGTGGACAAATTATGTGAGATGGAGGGAGTATAGTTTTATAAATAATACTTACTTATTTTTATTTTTGGACATTCAATTATAAAGTAAACATTTAATTAAATACCTCACCTTTTTTTCATAAATACCCTTAATTTACATTACATCATTACTTTTACATCAAAAAGTAAATGCAAAAATATCATTACACTATTTTTAACTACATAATATAATTAAAATACTATTATTTCTTAAATACCGCATCAAAAATAAATATTTACTTTGTATATGGACGGAAGAAGTATATATATTTTTAATATTTTAAATTATAAATTAAAATATTCTAAAAACTTATTATAAGTTTTGAAAATATATACCGTATTAAAAAATTATATTGATTTTATTATCTTTATACATTTCTTTTCAAGTATATCGTAAAATATTAAATTTTGATATTTTTATATATTTAAATAATAAAAAAAAATATTTTTGTGAAATTATAAGTATATATCATAGGATTTGAACAAAGAAGTCAATGTGATGATGAATATGACTTAACATATGGTCATATTAAAAATATGGTTATGAATATAAGTAAATATTATGTTTAGAATAAAGTCGTGAACAAAGCCGTAACATGCTTGTGCTGAGAACACAAGTACAAATTCATAACATAATAAATCAATTATATATCAATATTAAACAAAATTTATTATTGTTAGGTATTAAAATATTTTAGGGTTTATTGGGCTTATAGATGGACTTAAACACTTGGGCCACAGACAAATCCAAAAAAGGGGGTGGGCTTCTCACACGTTAATTAAGGAAATCAATCAACGAGTCGGTAGTCTGTCTGGTCGGTTGGTAGCATCAGAACAATCAGTAAAGATGGTTGCAATCGTAAGACGGTTCCTCAGGTGGTTGCAACTGCAAGACGGTTCCTCAAGGCGGTTGCAACCGACTGATAATCCGGCGCATATGATCTAATAACGGACTTGAAAGGTATATAATGGGCACGTCGCACCCTGCAACATTAATTTCAGAAAAAATTTGCGTGGGGATCATCATTTTTATCTTTCTTTGTTTTTATTTTAATCATATTCTGTACGGTATTTAAGAATTTACAATTCCAGATATTATTGTAGTCAAATTCGAAATTAGTTTTCGAATTTTACTTTTTATTGTTGAAAACAATATCAACAATTATATTTATATTTTTAATTATCATAATTTTCAACTATTTTGATATAATTTTTTTCGTAATTGTCTCTAAACATAAAAAATAGTGTTTGGATTTAACAATTCCAGATATTATTGTAGTCAAATTTTATTTTTTATTGTTGAAAACAACATCAACAATTATATTTATATTTTTAATTATCATAATTTTCAACTATTTTGATATAATTTTTTTTGTAATTGTCTCTAAACATACAAAATAGTGTTTGGATTTAATTAGGTTTGTTTAACAATTGATTGTTTAATTGGTTAAATATAATTTTAAAAATTTAAATTCGGAATTTAGACGGGTGATGAATCAAATTAGTTAGATTAATTTTGATGAAATAAATAAATATTTTGGATATGATACTTTTGCTAATATTTTGGGTATTTTGCATGTCCCCGACAAACGAACGACCAAATTAAACTCAGGTATATGATCTAATGATTATTTGGATAAAATCTTATTAGAGGGATACATTTATTATAATTTCAAACGAAAATTTGAAATTATAATAAATTACAATTGTTCTAAATAAAAGATTTTTAAAATTAGAATAAATTACAACCCGCGGTATAATAATTAACTTATAATTATGATCTTAATTAATCCCTTATCATTTTGGTTGGAAACAACTATATAAACAATTTTCCATTTATTTAAAACACACAAAAAATATTCAGTATACACTTTCGAGTAGCGCCGTAAGTTCCCACGTTATAAAATTTATTTATTTATTTATTTTTATATAAAATCGGTTTTATATAATGGAACATTATAAAGACTTCACATTCTAAATTCAAGCATAAACTCACACCATAGTCTATACTCTGTCGTTGTAATTTTAGCTTTTTAAATAAAATTTATATAAAAGTAATGAAACCCTAAATCCATTCAGTCTCTTATAATAAGTCTTGACACGATGAATATAACAATTTCCAACACAAAAAGCTTTTAGTAATTACTAATTAAATACTTATAAGATTATTTTGTAACATATATGCATTTATTATTACTACCTCAGTTCGATTTTATGGGTTATATTTTTTTTTTTGTGTTTATTTTAAAATATTAATTATTATATTAAAAATATAGTATAAATTAAAAAAATATAAAATATAATAAAAATTTCTATAAAATAATATTATACAAATAAAAAAAAAAAAATTATATAAATATAATGATAATTTTAATATTAATATACAAAAATAAATGAGATGGCGGTAGAAGGAGTATTTATTATTATTATTATTATTCTAAAAAAAACAAATGGGATGAGGGTATTTTTGGAATATTAAATTGCATTATCCTTTCTGCGATAGAAGCTGAAGCTCCTCCTGCTCGTCGTCCACCCGATAGCGGAACTTCATCGATGGCTATGGCGGCCTCCGTCGCTGCTCTCACCTCATCCCTATCTTCCCTCTCATTCTCCTCCCAAATTTCTCCGAAATCCGCCTTCCAATCTCTCTCGTTTTCCTTGCCCAAGCCAATTTCTATCAAATCCTCCGGTGTTAAGTACCCCACTCTCATTGTTTCCGCCGCCGCAGTAGCAGACCAAGACGTGGAAACTGTGGACTTGAAGAAGCTGGTGAAGTCTAGACTTATCGGTGGATTCGCCGCGCAGAATATAATCGGCACGGGCCGGAGGAAATGCGCCATTGCTAGGGTTGTTCTTCAGGAAGGTTCCGGTAAAATTATCATCAATTACCGAGATGCCAAGGTATTCTCCATTTCCTTTTCTTCAAAGCGTTCTAGCACTACTCTTCCGCACCTGTTAATCATGGATTTTGTGCTGATTTGCTACAACGAATTGGCATTTGACTATGCATCTACTATATTGTAATCTGTATTCCATTCCTATTGCTTACATCATTTCCGTTGCCTCGAAATTCGTCTTCTTCAATTGTGTGTAGAAGTAATGTTTGTTGCTTCAGAACTAAGAAGACATTTAGAATCTGAAAATGTTTACCTTAAACAGCTCACTGTGCAAAATGATATATGAAGAAGATGGTAACAAACTCATTGAAGATGATAACAAACTAAACTAATGTCGAGTAAATGTACCCTAAATAGTGCCCGCTAACGATCTTGTGGCACCGGTGGTGTGGTGCAGAGAACAGACAATGGATGAGAGTAATGGAGGAAGACAATGAAAATGGAGATGAGTTCAAATAGTGAGGTTTATAAATCAATTTGCCCGATGTGTTTGAGGGGTTTTTTGGAAGGGAGTAGCAGATGTAGGCAAGTTAGGGATGGCGATTCCATTGATTAGATATCTGCGATTTGGATGGAGTTTGTGAGTCGATTATTAGTTTACTCTTATCAATAATGTACATATTTCTTTTCGTGAAATCACCAAAAGATTTAGAGGTGCAAGCAAGTGAGGACAAAGTGCGGAAGCATAATATTTTGGTATATTTGATTGACATTTCTGATTTGATCAAAACTCTGATTTTACAAATTCGGAATAAGAAACACAATGTTGCTTCTAAGGATATATTTTACTTACTTGCATTTCTTTTTATGCTGCTAAAACCTACATTGAACTGATAGTAATAAATTAGCAAGATTCGAAAACCCGAAATGATAAGGGCAAGCAGAGCAACATTAGGACCCGAGATTGTTTATCTTATGTTTTCACATTTGAACATAATCTTTAGTCATCAGTGTCTTGATTTCCAGTTAGTACTTTTACAAATAAATTCTAAATCGAACATTGACTTTAGAATTATTACAAAAGAACAGCTATAATGATTCTTGCAGGAATATCTTCAAGGCAATCCATTGTGGCTGCAGTACGTAAAAACTCCGCTGATTACATTAGGCTACGAAAGTAGCTATGATGTATTTGTGAAAGCACACGGCGGGGGCCTAGCCGGGCAGGCTCAAGCGATTTCTCTGGGCATTGCTCGGGCGCTGCTGAAGGTGAGCGACAGCCACCGGTCACCTTTGAAGCAGGAAGGCCTCCTGACAAGGGACTCGAGGGTAGTCGAGAGGAAGAAGGCGGGGTTGAGGAAAGCGAGGAAGCGTCCTCAATATTCGAAGCGTTGAATGAAGGTTAGTAAGGCTTGTTTGTTTGTTTGTGTTGATATTTGAAATTGGGAAGAACAGTGTGGATTCTGTGATGAATTGTTGTGTAGTTTCTGTCTTCTGATTCAATACAATTGATGTGGAAAGCAGACCTGAATTTGAGAACCTGGTTGCAATTTTTATTGGAGAGTTGGATGTTTTCTTTTTTTTTTTTTTTTCTTTCTATTTTACAAGATTTTTAACTATTCATTTTTTTTAAAAAAATATTAAATTAAATAATTTATTTTTTTATATTATATTACAAATTAATTTTATATTCAAAATATTAAATAAATATATATTTATAATATCACATCTAACAACAACTATTAGATTTAAATATTTTACTATTAAAAAATTCAAATTTACAAACAATTTAAAAAAAAAATTATTTACAATATAGAAAATTGTATTAAAAATATAAAAAATAATATTTTATATTAAATATTAAAATTTAAAAATATATTGTGGGCGTTTAAAAAAGAATTATAGACAAACAAGCTCTTTCCCTTTATGTTTTTTTTTTTTTTTTAAAAAATTTATTTAGATGATAGGTTACTGATACGAACTCAAAAGTGAAGACAAAGGTGCGTGGATGTTTCTGTCCCACATCGGTTTGTGAACAGATAAAGGCAGTGCTGTGTACTATAAATTGGGCGACCCTTGCGTTGATTAACTCATACCTTTCTCGGCCTTTTGGCTAAGATCAAGTGTAGTATCTGTTCTTATCAGTTTAATATCTGATACGTGGGCCATCGGCCCACATGATATTAAATTTATTTTTTTAGGGGGAAAGCCCATTAAAGTAGCTTGCTACTTGGGCTTCGAGTGTCGTCCAAACGTTGCACTACAGTTTGGGCCAGGCACACCCCACCAAGTCTCAGTTTCATAATTATTATATTTTTTCATTTATAAGTTGCCCCACTTTAAAGACTCAACTGCTTGCCCCAATCGATCGATGCAGGCAGGCTTTTTTATTTTTTTAATGAATTTTTACATAATCAAACGAATAATAAAAATTATAATATTAATAATTTTATTTTTACTTATTATTTTCTAATTATTACTATAATAATAAAAAATAGAATCAATTTATATATTAGGAGTTATAGTTAAAATTATATAAATATAAGAATGGAGGAAGTAATTCTTTTTGTCTTCTATATATTAGAAAAAAAAGTACAAAATGATATATATTAAAAAATAAAATTATGATCATAAAAAAAGATGAGTAAAGATGTGAACAGCCGAAATAAATAGGATCTTGCTTTCGTCCCAAAATAGTTAAAACTTATTTTTTTATTTTCGTTTTTTTTTACAATTATTCTTAATTATTGCTTTTGAAAATTCTTTAAAAAAAAATAAAAAAAAATAATTTATACTTTATATTACATTCAATTAAATACTATTATTTTTTTTACTTTTGTGCCAAATAAAAAATAAATATTTATAAAAAGATTAATAAATAATAAATTTATGATAAAATCCCATAAAAGAGTAGTTTGTTTATCCTTTTTTTTTTAATAAAATTTTTAATATATATTTTTATTATTTTACATAAATTAAAATTTAATATAAAATATCATTTTATATTAACCATTCTATATCTTATGTTAAAAGAAACAATTTAGCAATGTGATCCACAGAGATAGCCAGCCACGTGTTCAGCACTATACATCCCTGGCCACGTCAGCCGTCTCCATCGACGACCACGAGAGGAGGCGCCACCACATATCATTGCTCGTACGCAGACGCAGTTCCACTAATCCTATCCCGGCGACTTCGCAACTGCACGCCGCTCCCTCCAATTCCGTTCCCAATCTCCACAGACCTGTTCAATTCGACCTCACAAACGGACCGCATTGCCGATTTCATCACTCTAACCTCATTGTTTTTGCAGAATTCCAATCCGCATAATTTTCGAGCTAGAGAACAACAATGGCGAAATCCAGCGCCGACGATGAGGAGCTACGCCGGGCGTGCCAGATGGCTATGGACAATCCCAAGCAGAAAATCGTGTTGTCTATGAGGGTGGCTAAGAGCCGCGGCATGTGGGGCAAATCCGGAAAATTGGGGCGGGGAGGAATGGCGAAGCCTCGTGTTCTCGCCATTTCAAGTATGTCAATATCCGATTTATTTTCTCACCACATGCATCCTTGGTTATGCTAATAAATGATGCTTTCATGTTCGATCGCATGATTTCCAAGGACCTAATTTAATACTATTATAAGTTCTGTAGCTACCTCGTGAGATTAATGTTTCGGAATTTGGGACTATGTCAATGTCTCTATTACTTTACAATGATGGATTGGTTACATTGTGAAATTCATATGCGTTTTCTCAAGTGATTGCAATCTGAATTTACTCGAGATGGCTCAAGTTATTCTTGTTGTTCGGAGTTTTGATTTGGCTTATTTGTTTTTTCTGCTTTCTTGATTTCACTAATTCTGTGGGAAGTAACGCAGATAATTTGTAGATGTATTGTTGAATATGATAGTACAAAGGATTGTCACACTTCTCCTTATTAGCCCGAACATCACAAGCTACGAAAAAACCTATGTAGGATTGCCTGTTGTCATCAGGACTTTATCATTATGAGTTATTTACGTAGCCCTCTTGAAACCAGGTGGTGATACCTGGCAGTAAATGACTTTCTTTGTTTTGACTTGAGTGCTGCCGAGAGTTTTAGGAAGTGACTTTCATATATGAATTGACTCTTAGCTACTTCATGTGTGTCTAGAATGAAACATGGTGTTGGTTTCATCAACCATCGATTATTTAGCTACTAACATCACATGATTGCTTACAGTTAAGGAAAAAGGCAATAGGGTTAAAGCTTTTCTCAGAGTCTTCAAATATTCCTCTGGTGGTGTTCTTGAAGTAAGTTCCAATGCAATGTTGTGGTTCTCTTTTGACCATGACTTTATGAACATATAGTTACCGAATTACCGAAAATTAATATAAAATATAGTGAAATTGCAAACATATTTAGAGGTTCTCAAAATTCTCCAAAATCCATGAGAACTTTGAATCTTTCTCAATAAGAGCATTTTATTATGTTAAAGGTTTGAAGAGTAAGTTTTACTACGTGACCCAATAAAAGGAAACCTTTTTATTCTCAAACTGAAGAGTATTACAAATGTGTTCCATACATACCCAAGAATATGTCCAACTCTTCTTATCTTCACATGACTGCTTGCCTTCTTCTCTTGCTGTCTTTGAAGCAACTTGTGAGTAGGTTGCCAAACACCTAGTGGCTTTTAGAACCAAGCAACTTATGAGCAGGCGAGCTTGCTATAATGTATGATGCAGCCATTTTTTTTGCTAATCATTCTTTCTTTGAAAAAAGAAGATTAGACAAACTTCCAGGCACTAGATTCAAAACAAAATGAAGTCATGACAATGAATTGTAGTGCAAAAAAATGTGTTATGCTACATATATTGTGATATTTTATGGTTTGATTGCAGTGTCTATACTTAAAGATAATTATCTGTTTCTTCTCTCGTAGCCTGCAAAAATATACAAGTTGAAGCATCTTTCAAAAATGGAAATTGCAACTAATGATCCTAGTGGATGTACATTTATGCTGGTAGTGCTCATTCTGGCTTTACATTTTTTATTCTCACTATATGTTAATACAGAATATACAATTTATATATGCATATGAGCTGATTGGTAATGATCTGATTCATGAAGGGTTTTGATAACCTTAGAAATCATACTGTTGCCCCACCTCAGTGGACAATGCGCAACGTCGATGACAGGTACACTTTAACCCCCCATATGTGAACCAGAGTTATTTTTTAACTAAACTCTTGTTCTACCTTCTTCCTTTTTTGTGTCTGTTTTGTGAAGATGATGATCTTATCTTGTAGGAATCGTGTTTTATTTTTCATCTTAAACATCTGCAAGGATATGTTGGATCAAATTCCTAAAGTTGTTGGAATTGATGTGGTGGAGATGGCTCTTTGGGCTAAGGTGAATGATCAGATGATCCAATTACCCTCATGCTTTATGCTTTGCATTCGGATAAAGTTGCATGGATGTACACAATTTTCTGGTTTTTATCAATAAATTCTTGTATTGATTCAATGATTATAATTATACAGAAGTTATTTAATTTAGTTATTTGTGCTGTTCTTTAGAACCTTGTCACATTAATAATGATAAAATATACTATTATTTACTAAGACATTTACCGTTATCTTTTCTTATTCTTTTTACTCAAATCATTTGGATTATGGAGTGTTTATATATATATATATTCATGAATTTTTTTTTAAGAAAAGATAGATTGGACATATTTGTATATATATATATGTCTGTGTGTGTGTTTTTATTTGTGTAAATATATATTGTATAATAATCTTCTGTTTGAATTTTATGCCCTTATTTATTTTGGACCGAGTAATATTAACCAATGTTTCCTGAATTAATATGATCCTTTTGTTTAGAAAGTTAGGGTGAATTTGGCTGCAAAATGGGAGGTGTAGTTGAAAGTTGAGTTATGATATAATATATATTTTATTAAAAAATATATTTTAAATATTTGAAAAGTTATATTTCAACAAAGTATATTCAATATAGAGTTTATTTTGTAGAAAATAAAGGGTTTGTTCATTTTGTGTTTTTTATGTATGTTTTTTTTTTCTTTTTTTTTTTAATTTTATTTATGTTAGGTACTATAGGTAATATAGAAAATAATATTTTATGTTGAATGATTGACTTTTTGTGAATTAATAAGTATATATATATTATATATATTGTGGTAATGTATGTATATTGTATTTTTTTATATTGTTTATGAGAAATCGGCCAACCTAGAAAAACTAAACAAACAAACCCAAAATTGTTATATATTACAATTAAATAAATAAAAGTATATATTTTAATACATAATTAATATGAATTAGTTTATAAAATACAGGGAAATTTAAGGGTGTTTATGTTTAGTGTTTTCAATCTAAGGTGTTTTTTGGTATTAGGTACAAGGAAGCGTGTCGGAAATATTAAATGAAGTTTAGTGTTGAATTTTTGACTTTCTTTTTTGATTTGTGTTGAGCTATTGACTTTGTTTTGTTTTGTGCGTGTATATATTGTAATTTTTTAGATAATGTTATTCGGGAAGCATGTTTGAATTTTTTATGCTTGGTGAACAGAGCTTTAATGTTTATAAATATCAGGTGCCTTTGTGGTGCTTTTGGATGAATGTGTGTTTTTTATGTTAGTACGAGGAATTGTATTGTTAATATAAAAAATAATATTTTTATTAAATTATTACTTTTTGTGAGTGGATATAGCATATATGTTTATATATTGTGTATAATTATGTATGTATAATTATGTATATATATTGTACTTTTTAATAATATTTATAGAGAATTGTGTCAATAAAAAATAGTTAGGTGAACACACTCATCTTTTATTTATTTTGGAGAGAGATAGAAATAGGAGAAAATTGGGTTCACCTTTAAAAAGAATTGGAGAAATAGTTGAGATGAAAAAAAGATGTCAACCTCCACTCAACTGTGAAACAAGCGGACCCATAATTATTTGTATCTTTGGGTTTGTTTGGTTTGTAGCCCAAGCCTGTCTTTTTTACCATGCAATCCGCATGGTTCTCAATAAAAAATAAAGTATTTTCTCTTACAAAATATCAAAGACTATTTAAACAGAAGTTCAAATCAAAAGCTCAAACCCAAACACAAACCAAACATAAATTTCTGTTGATATGAGTTTAGGTTTCTGTTTTTTTTATTAACTAACTCTGTTCTGAGTGAATCTTATCTACTTAATTGGTTAGTTGTTGATGATTCTATTTAATTTTTCCCTGTTTCTTAATATCTTCTGTGCTAATAATTGTTAACATTGATTTGTGTTTCATGTATTATGCAGGACAACACACAAGCAATTAGTAAACAGCAGGCAGATGTTCCATTTGGGCCTGATACAATTCCAGGGATGGAGGCTGAAGTGCAAGTGGCAGTTGAAAAGGATCTTGTGTCACAAGAAGAAGAAGAAGACATGGAGGCACTTCTAGGCACGTATGTATGCCAATTTTGAGTTGTGATTAGAAAGAAGATTTGACATTGAGTTATGAGTTATATGACATACAAGAGGAAATTGTAAACTTGAAACGTAGGTAAGTGCATCCTCTTCACAGAAGGCTGCTTAAAGATAATTCATTAGGTGAGGTTGATCTAGGTGGATAAGTTGGAGAGTGATTGAATATGGGCACTTAGAGGTAGAACTGCTGCCATCTATGTATGTGATAAGATAATACTGTTGCTCTTCAGATCTTGTCTACCATTTATATGATTCCTACAAGTCAGCATGCTTCAGTTTTCTCCATATTATGCTTAGGAACATGCTTAACTTATAATCATATACCCTAATAACCATAAATTAAGATCAAGACATGAGAGTTTCATTTAAGGAGGAGCTCAAATTTGAGTATGATGTTCCAGAACCAAGTAGCTGTCCTGAAAACCCTGATTTTAAGGACCCATTTAAATAACCATAATCAGTTTCTAAGTTAAGATTTAAATATTTCAAATAAATGATATTAGTTGCAGCATATTTTAGTATATTTTTCTATGAATTATTCCAAGGTTGTTATATCATACCCTAAAGCATAGCCATAATCAAAGAAAATTTAGACGTAAGCATTTGTTTTTGCTATGTTTCTCTCTTCAAGAATCGCAAAGCTATAGTGGATGTGAGATTCAACTCATTGCATTTGGATAAAGTAATCTTACATGTAATGGAGTTATAAGTAACACTTCAAGTTGGAATATCCTCCAGTTATATGCATGTAAATTCATCTGTCCTCTATTAATATTCTCTTCCTTATGTTGTGGCTATAAAGTATGAGGAAGTTTAAAATTTCCTAAATCACTACACATCCCACATTACTTGAATTTATAGCTGACTCATTAAGTTACACTGCATGCAGTTATGTCATGGGCATTGGTGAAGCGGAAGCCTTTTCTGAGCGTTTAAGGCGTGAGCTTCAAGCATTAGAAGCTGCAAATGTCCATTCAATATTGGAGAATGAGCCTTTGATACAGGAGGTACTAAGATTTCCATTTTTTTGGAAGATGAGTAGAGTAATTTTATGTATGCATAGATAGAATAATAGAATATGAAGGAATCGGAAAGAGAGGAAGCATCTACAGCCAAACAGAAAAATCAAAGATATATTTCCTACTACAGTGTTTGCACATATAGGTCTTTTGCTATTTTCATGTGCTTCATATATTGACCTTTTACCTTATTAGTTTACCCCTTAAAATATAAATAAATAAATGATGCGTATCCCTACAAACTTAGCTTCTAGGTGAGACGTCATTTACATCATCTAACATACTTGTCAAAAGAACTTAATAAGTCGCCAACGGTCTGTATATTTTGTTTCAACATTTTGCAGCACTAGGTGATGTCAGTCTTCTGAGAGTTACGGAACAACTATAAAGATTAAAGAGGCTTGTCTTTTTTGATAAGGTCTCCCTTTATATATTTCTTCAGTCATGTGAAGCAACGTATTTAAGGTGGACGTGAAAACTGCCTGAATAACCACTGATATGTATAATGGAGGCTCTGAGATAAAAAGATTAGTAGAACATAATAGAAAACTGCCTTATATTAAGTATTATTAGTTTGGTAATTATACATGAAGAATCGAATTTTACCATAAGTCTAAGATGGATCAATCAATGCAATCAAATCCTGATTCTTTTGATATAAATATATTTCCAGATATCCTAACATTCTAATTCTTTTCTTTTGAAGGACACAGGTTTTTAAGGACTTCCAAACAAATAAGTAAAATATACACTACCTTTTATGTTTATCATCATTGTGCTTATGTGGGACTGCATGAACTATAAATATAAAGAGAGACAATAGACAGTCCTTTGCAATAGAAACTAGCAATCAACTATCAAATGCACCAAAAAAAAAAAAAAAAATGAAAAAAAAAGAAGCAAATTGATAGATCTTGGAGAGCTACAAGTTTAGTGATTACATCAATTTTCCTTAAATTGTACAATATTTGGACTGACTCTGCTTTGAAAGAGGCGGACATATTGTTGGTCCAGACAATCTGTGAATGTGGATAGTTTGTGGTAGAAGAAATTCTTGGAGAAACTTATTATCCAAAGCTACTGCACCATGTTAGAGTTAGAGATGATGTGTTTTCATTAAATTATTTATCAAGTTAATTGTTGTATGGAATAGATGTAAACATAATATGAAATTAGTATGGTTCTAAAAGTGTTAAGTAGGAAACAATAGATGTGTTCAAGTCTATAATTTTGATTGATCACATTATGAAAAAGTTACATTTACGTCCTACTATTTTAACAAAATCTGTGGTGATGTAAAAACCCAAGGAAATTTATATGGAAATATTGAGGATGCATCCTGATAATGAGATGATCATTCAGGGGGTGATCCTAATTGACCAAGATTTGTTTCTTTCACCTTTAGAGCTTTGTTTGTAATCCTGTTTGGATTAAGCTACAGTTTTAGTTTCTTCCTTTTGCAGGTATTACAGGGAATTGAGATGGCTGCTAATTGTGTTGAAGACATGGATGAATGGTTAAGCATTTTTAATGTTAAACTGCGGCACATGAGAGAAGATATAGAGTCGGTACTGATTTTCTGAAATTTCTACTTTTCAAGGTGCATTGTGTGCTGGAGTGATTTTCCATATAAGCTCTTGTTTTTTTTTTTTTTTTTTACTTATACTTTCTGCATTCGTTTGCTTCCATTTTCTTGAATTATTGCTACATGAATTGAATATGTTCCATATATTTTTATATGATTGAAAGCATAATGTTGAGATTATGCTGGTGCTTTTGTTGCATCCTGTTGGTTTATTCTGTTTCCATATGCAGATTGAAACGGGGAACAATAAGTTGGAGACAGAGTCTGCAAACAACAAAGCATTAATTGAGGAACTTGACAAGCTTCTTGAGAAACTACGAATACCATCTGAGGTGTTTCCATATGGTTTTATGGGGGATTGTTCTGATAGACACTGCGTATATTTGTTTTCTGCAACATGGTCTTCAAAACTGGCATTTTAATCAAACAAAAGCCTCTATACTCACCATTTTGGGTTTTAAAATATATGTTTGATTCTTTAATGCAGTATATAGCGTGTTTGAGTGGGGGATCATTTGATGAGGGTAATATGCATGAGAATATTGACGCCTGTGAGTGGCTAGCCAGTGCTTTACGAGAACTTAAAGTGCCCAAGTTGGATCGGATCTATGCGAATATGAGATCCGTATGTATGCCATTCATTTGAATTTACTTTTGTTACTTTATTGCGGACATTTTATTATTGTTATTATGGATCTTATTCATATTGTAGGATGAGTTAAATTAACAATCTCTTTAAGCATATTGTGTACAATAGTTTCCTTTATTGACATGTCTTCAGATAGATGGTTATGTGTCGATCGATATCTCGAGGTTAGGAATTGTGAATTATTAGAATGCTTTGATTTGTTTACCAAGATGTTGGAAGTTAATTTTGTTTTGTTATGGTTTTTTTTTTTCATCCTATTTTCTTTTGCAGACCTATACATGTTGTCTTGGTGCTCCAAATGAATACACGATTATTTATCTTGGTCAAGTAGAGTCGTTAAGGAAAACTAATAATATAATTTAGGCCATATGTTTGTGGAAACCTGCTCTATATGACATGAATTTCCTATTCCTGTGGAATTCGATTGAAGTAGAACGGTTAATTATAAATAGGTAGACGCCCTAGACTTAATGGAAATGATTTCTTGGCGTGAATTCATGTGAACGTTAAAACTATGAAAATTGAAATCTTGAGCAAAATCCTATTTTCTTGAAACAAAGGTTACTAAGAGAGAGAGAGAGAGAGAGAAAGGTGTAGAAGAGACTCAGAGATGGGAACTAGTAGTGGAGGTATCTTTCCATTAAACATATGAAGGATAAGAATATCGATTCATACTATATGGACTGATCAAATGACCACATCTCTATCTTCTCTTTTCTTTTTTCTTTTTTGGCATAAAAAAGTGGAAAAAATGATGTGAAAAGAGTTGAATATTCATTTATTAAATATTTTGCTTGGTGTTTCATAGATCTTTCAAAGCATGGCTGATTGCATAAGAACAGATCTAGTCCTATTCCCTGTTAATGTGGAAAAAGAAAAAGAAAAAAAAATCATAGTAAGAGGCGAATTGTTGACTTTAAAAACTTCAAGGGTTCAAGTTCCTCTATGTCTAGGAAACTTATTACTGAGCGATACAGTTGTGACATGTCCAACAGCTGCAGACATGCATTTATTCTTCCTTTGTTCTTCAAGAGAAAAAGATTGAAAAGGCATTCAATTTCTCCCTATCTTGAAAATGATTCAGGTTACAGAGAAGCAATCTGAGCTCGATAGGCTGAAGTCCACTTTTGTTAGAAAAGCAACTGAGTTTCTTGGGAATTATTTTGCTAGTTTGGTGGATTTTATGTTAAATGATAAGAGCTATTTCTCTCAGGTATTGTGATTTTAAATGGTTTCCAGCAGATAGTATTCTCAGCTAAGGATATTGTACTATTTTATCTTGTTATTTGCTTGGAGTATTGTAACAGCGTGGACAATTGAAGAGGCCTGATCACGCAGACCTTCGTTACAAGTGCAGGATATATGCTCGTTTATTGCAACACTTGAAGGTAAAATGAAGAGTTGGCTTTATAACATGGCCGTTTGATATGATTGTCTGTTTTTTTTCCAGTACTTGAGATATGCTTCTCTCTTTTTATTTTACTTGCAGAATCTTGATAAGAATTGCTTGACCCCTTTAAGGAAGGCTTACTGCAGTTCTATGAATTTGCTTTTACGTCGGGAGGTAAGGGAATTGGTGTCATCCTGCAAAAACCCATTGCTAATTTCCCAGCTCATCGTTTTTTCTTTTTACCTAAAGAAGATAGATATTGTCTTCAAATTATGTTTGTTTTGGTGATAATACTGCTAGATGAAAATGATTGTGCCAATACGAACAAGTTTTGGGTTTCAAGAGTGAGATCAGAAATGCCAGTTTCAAACAAGTTTTGGCAAATGTAATGCTGAGGAAAAAACTTTTTGATCAGTATAGTGTGAAGAGTTCTTATAATGCATTACCCGGTTAATTTCCTTTTTTTTTTTTTTTGTATCCCTTAGACTGAGCACAAGTAATGTTGAATATGCCCCATAAATATTTATTATGAAAACTTGTTGAAAGGTAATGTTATTACTTCAAAATTTATTTTCATACTAACAAATTTGTAGTAAGTAGGTTGCGTAGAAAAATATTAGTGGTAGAGGGATCACTTATATGAGAAGAAACATGATAATTTTTTGGAAGGGAAAATATACTTAGATTAGAAACTAGAATTATCGAATTTAGATCCCAGGAAATGGATAAAATTTATGGGGCTGCAGAAACACGATAATAAATAGAATGATAGAAACTTATTTTCGTAAGAACGAAGGAATCATCTGGTGGATAATTATTTCCTCCCCCCCAATTACAAATGGTATTAGCGTCGTCCATTTACTTTTTATTGCAAGTGTATATGAATTATTTAACATAATGCTTCTTGTTATTATACTTCAGTTTTTAATTTAAGCATTGAAAAATGAATCGCAGATCTCTTTTAATGAGCACCTTAAAATATTAAATATTCTGAGTAACAAACAAAAAGAAAATGGATAATTGGATATAATGAATATGAAAAATAGTTTTATCCAATATTTAGAAGCTAAGCTAAATTATTCTGACTATCTAGACTTTTAAGACAACCATTTTATCTAGAGTGGAGTAACATAAATGACTGTTGACAAACTAGAATAAACTTGAAATCTTTGTAGCTATGTTTTACCCCTGAATAAATCAGAAAATATTTGAAAAAGTTAGTCAACAAGCCCATAAAATCTTTATGCAACTATCTTAGAAAGATACTCTTAAATCAACACAAGGAGAAATAAAAGGTACGATAATTGGATGGAGTAGAAGTGAGAAAACAATATTGATTTCACGAAATTTTCCCTTTATCCTGATATGAATGAATTGGAATTCTAAAGATTTCTAAACATTTTGTTTCGTTAAGTAATTTCATTTGCACAATCATGTGCTTTCCCTATGTCTTATGCTGCAAGAGTGACATCCTTAAGGCTCATTCAGCTTGATATTTGGTGTATAGAATGTGGGGTTGCTATGTTCGGAACATAATCATATATGTGTATATGTGTTGTAAATGAGATCATCTACTCATACACGCATATTATTTGTTGCACTCTGTATTCTAGATATGGTTGTTTTTTGTCTCTAAAGTGAACAGTTGGGTAATGTTCAATGCATGCAGGTTGGCGATTAATCTGTTTCATTAGTTTCATATGCTTTTATATACTATTAGTACATGACATTAAAACTCTTGAAAATTTATTTTCATTTCATGCAGGCTCGTGAGTTTGCAAATGAACTCCGTACTAGTACAAAAACACCTAGAAATCCAATCGTATGGTTTGATGGTTCTGCTGGATCTAGTCAGAAAGAAACCAATATAGATACTTCTGCTCTTTCTGAGGCATATGGACAAATGCTAACAGTCTTTATTCCGCTCCTTGTGGATGAGGTGAGATTAATTGGACATTTGAATCTTCTACATTAATATTTCTTTATACAAGCATTACTTTTCATGAACTGCAGAGTTCATTTTTTGCACACTTCATGTGCTTTGACGTTCCATCTCTTGATCCTTCTGGAGGCCTTCCTAGTGGAAACAAATCTGATGATGATGACGATTTAGGCATCATGAAAATTGATCAAGGTGATTGCTCTTCATAGTTTTACAACACTCCCTTTTGGCTGCTTGGATGACATTAATATGCTTCCTTGTAATGGTAGGTAAAGGAACTGGGGATCTGGCGGCATTGAATGATTCTCTTCAGGATTTACTTGATGGAATACAAGTATGTTGGATTCAAAACTTCCTGCTACTATTTATTTTTTGCAACTAGACATATATTGGTACTGATTTTTATTTTTTTTCCTTTTCATTCTCTTGCGGCTGTTAGGAAGATTTCTATTCTGTGGTTGATTGGGCCTGCAAGATTGACCCTCTGCGTTGTATATCAATGCATGGAATTACTGATCGATATATCTCTGGTCAAAAAGCTGATGCAGCAGGGTTTGTGCGTATTTTGCTTGATGACCTGGTTAACAGAGTTTCTTCGCAATTCGGTCGTGTAAGTTATAATACTCTAGGATGATAAAACTATTCTTAGTGAACATTAGGAAGTTTGGTTCCCTAGACAGATGGAATTGAATGTTGAAAAACTGCTTGGGTTGGTGAATTTTTTGCTGTATTAACTAAAATGAAATCTTACTAGTTCATAGTTGTTCAATTGAAAGAAAATTTGTAGAAAGTATGGTAATAAGTTTGCAGATGAAATTGACGTGATGTGCACATCTATGCAAGCATAAATTATTTCCTTATCTGTTGAGTGAGTATGCTATTCACATAAACTATTTAATCTAAATGTTATGCAGTTTGTTGATGAAGCTTGCCACCAAATTGTAAGAAATGAGCGGAACGTTCGGCAGGTGGGGGTCTTGGCTTATATCCCGAGGTAACAGGCTTGAAATGCTTATATTGTCTCTATAATATTGGCTATATCTTGTTTGGATGTACTGTCAACTTCAGTGAAAAATTAGTAATTATTTATCACTGTTTATTTGCTTAAAGTAAGAAATATCCGTCCCAGCATTAATACCAAGCAGAAAATGTTGTTTAAAGGTTCTTTGAATTTTGCATTTGCCTAGGTGATTGGTAATGTATATTTTGCCTGTCTTTTCGTTTGCTAAATATTGTGTGGTTGGTTAATGACTATTTCTGTTTTTCGTATCGTATAAGATGTAAAGCTTCTGTTGGAATGGATGAATGAACACTATCACATGCAAGGGGCTAGGAGTGTTCATCTTGCCTTAACCTTGTACAGAGAATTTTTTTTTTATTGACAGTTGAGATTCAACATGGGATCTCTGTGCTTTGCATATTAGAGTACTCACATATCACCTAATCAAATAGCTATACTCTATCAACCTCAATCATCTATTTCATGAGAAAATTAATTTGATTTCTTGTTTGTCTAGAGAGATTCTATGCATCTTGGGACATCACATTTGATATCATTCCCTTGATGTTACACCAAGCCACGCACATTGCTATACTCTCAGGATGTTTTTGGTTTTAGCCATGATGATGTTACTTTCTTTAAAATTGGAGATCATAGAATAACAAATCATGGTGATGCCACAAGTTCTTTCTGTGCAATTTGTAAAAAAATACGTGCTCCCTCATCTGGAGAGTATTTGCATTGAATTGCTTCTTACAATCTGCAAACCTTGTAGAATTGTGTTAGAAAGGTTTTCTATATTTCTAAGATTTACCATTGTAGCCAACTCTTTTGAGTAAGATATATAATTCAAAAGTTATTGAAAATATTTCTTATAAGAACCAAACTTAAATATGAGAAGTGGCGGAAGCTATACAAAGTTTTGAGAACTATTACCCCAAGTACTCCATCATTTCAATGCTTCTAAAAGATTTGAATCACGTCTCACACTCCTCACCATAGTTTTATGAGTTTATTCAGAATTTTGGAGTTAATCACTATGTACTAGTCTGTGGTAATGGATATAACAAAATAGGGATGGGTCAGTTAAGCTTGAGTTTTCAACCTAGAACGGCTGACTCTCTTGATTTCAGACTTATCATGTAAAGAAAAATTTTTAGAATGCAGCTCAGTTCACATATTGACTTTGTAAAGGCATCATGCTCATTTACTAATTAGTCTTATAAATGAACTGCAACTACTATTTACTTGGTGCTTTTTCTCTGTTATTGCACCTAATGAATTTACCTTCTGGATAGATTTGCTATTCTTGCAACCCGTATGGAGCAGTACATACAAGGGCAGTCGAGGGAATTGGTTGATCAGGCTTACACAAAATTAGTGAGTGAAAATTTAACACTTGAGCATGCTTGTATTGGTAAAACGTTTTTATCTGAACTTGATTTGATTGTTCTTCTCATTAATATTGCATTTTAACTATGTAAGCTGCATTATGATGTCATGTTTACTGTCCTGACTAAAAACCATGCTGAGTCTAGCTGTATATATATATATATATATATATATAGCAGTATCACATAAATGGCTTAGCATGATTAAAAAGACTAAAGTTCTTGAATGTCAATCCCTCCTTCAGATTCAGTGTTAGCTGGAAATTTTTTATTTGGTTACTGAAACTTATTGCATGGATAATGGCTCTGTAGAAAATCAGTTTGGGTTGTGATATAAATTATGGTATCAGTTTAGGTAACTTTTATCTAAATTTTTAATATAACTGTTGGATACACTCGCCTCTATGTGAAAAAACCGAACAGCTTTGTTCTCTTTGAATATATATATATATATTTTTCAGTAACCTTACTTTGTAATCTCACAGTTTTCAATGAAAGCATACCATTTTTCCATACAAATCACTGGATCTAACAGTTATTTTACAAAAAAACCAAAATACAGACACAAAAACAAACCCAAGGTTTGACTCAGTAATGGTTTCATGTATGATATGTGGTTTGATTTTGATGTGTTTGTGGATGTGCTAGCATCTACCTGCTTCTGGACCTCCAAAATGGCATGTTACCTAAATAATTATATATATATATATATGTGTGTGTGTGTGCATATATATTTATAAGATTGTTATTCATGGTTTATATATGGTTATATATACTTGGTAGTTGAGATGTGATGATATTTCTGAAAAACTTGAAACCCCAATATCGCAGGTGACTATAATGTTCATGACATTGGACAAAATCGCTCAAGGAGACATGAAATATGTCGATATTATGCTATTTGAAAATTATGCAGCATTTCAGAACAGGTATTACCACCTTTATATATATATAAAATGCTGGTATATGTTATATTTGGCTAATATTCATTTTAGTATCATCTGTTCTCCTAATTACTATATTCACAAGGTCGATTAATTTGCAGTCTATATGAACTGGCCAATGTTGTACCTACTCTAGCGAAATTTTATCATCAAGCAAGTGAAGCTTATGATCAAGCATGCACACGATATATAAATACAGTTATTTACTTTGTAAGTACCTATTTTCAGATTTTAGCTATGCTTCTTCAATCTTTTACATTACTATAAACAAAAAAATTAATAAATAAAATCCTATGCTATCAGCCCCTTCTTTGAAATTGCCCTGGATGCACAGATCTAACTGGAAATCTTTAAATATAAGTATGGGAATATATGATATATGTATTACTGTACACCACACTTCTCTCTATCAACCCCCCTTCAAGCCTATGACAAGAATAGGCTTGTCATAGTGATTTTTGAGGACACATCATTGCACCTTCAAAATGATCTATTTCTGACGTGTTAATTTTATTTTTTTTCCTTTTTTATTGACTTGCAGCAATTTGAACGGCTATTCCAGTTTGCTCGCAAGATAGAGGATTTGATGACCACCATGAATGCTGAAGAGGTTAGACACTAATGATATTGTATATACATCTTCATTCTTTTCCTAACTATGAGAAAGGAAGTCTAGAATAAAGTTTTATATGGGGGCTCTATGTATTTCAGCTGCTTGTCCGATGCATTCAATGTTTTTCTAGTATTGAAGTAAAGAGCATTTCCTAACAAGCACAATTTCCTCATAGATTTCCATGACAACCAAACAACACCCAAAAATCACATGAATGCTTTAGACTAATTTTCAAATCTTGTACCCATAATTATGATTTCATTCACCTCTCTGGTAATTCCTTGCCCTTCTTTTGACTGAGAGAACTCGAATTCCTGTATGAGTTTACAAAGGAATTGCCCTCACTATATTGGAAAGAGTATTCGAGCTACTAAGGTAAATTCTCTTATGCTGTTCCGAAACAGTGAACAAACAGAACCACAGGAACTGTAACAAAATATGTGAAAATGCAATTGTCAGAATAAGCTGCATTTAGAAATGTCAGTTTGATGTATACACCTTTATGCTTGTAAAACCTAAGCTGGATTACCATCTTGTTGTTTAACCGATTCCATGTTGATGTCTGATGTTTATTTTTCTCCCGAGATTTATGTTTAACTAACATGGAAGTAAGAATGTAGCATGGAAAATTTGCAGATCCCTTTCCAGATTGGAATGTCAAAATCAGATCTCCGGAAGGTTGTAAAATCAAGTTTATCTGGGGTATGACAAGTTACTGACTATGGGTAATTTGTATTTGCTTGAGTTCATTATTTTTGCTGAAAATAAATAAATAAATGTCGATGTTTGTAGGTTGACAAATCTATTACCTTGATGTACAAGAAAATCCAGAGAAATTTGACCTCCGAGGAACTGCTGCCTTCTCTATGGGACAAGTGCAAGGTAATCATTTAATCGTCAACATTATCTTGCACTCAAATAATTACTTACATACTACAGAGAATTAAGTGCTTAAGTGGGGTACATAAATTGAATATGTTAAGATGAACATCTTGGAAACAGGATCCAATTATATTGGTCCTAAACTCACCTCTGAACACACAAATAATTCCTTCGTAGACTAATTTCTAATGATCTTTCAAGTTCGAAGAAAATATATATATACCTTTTGAACTAATTCAATTCCTTATCATGGTGCGGCCTTAATCCATTAGTTTTCTTTGCATTAAGAAAAATAGTATCACTTCAGATGACAAAACACTTGGGACTATAGATAGGACATTGCAAGTAGTTTTGTTCCTCCATACATGCTACCTTGTGTTGTTTGAACTATATATATATATATATATAGAGAGAGAGAGAGAGAGAGGCTGTTGGTCTGGTGTCTTATACTCTCTTTCTCTCTTGTGTGCCTGAATATCTATCTCTGTCCTGATTTCGGCAGAAGGATTTTCTTGAAAAATATGACGTGTTTACTCAACTGGTAGCGAAAGTTTATCCAGCGGAGACCATCCCGGCTGTAACGGAAATGAGAGATATATTAGCTAAAATGTAGAGAGAGAGAGAGAGGACAGTGAAGCAAGCCATTCATCATCCATTCATGTTTAGTTTTTGGTCTGTTTTTTTTGAGGTGGTTGGTGCGACTCTATTACCATTCTCAATCCAATTTAATTTGTTCTTTTATCTTTAGGTCAGTGAAGAAGCCATTTTGATGGCATGAATGAATTTGCTTATATTTTGGATCATTGTTAAACTTACTGTTTAAGTTGAAAGCAAATTTGGGTCTGCTATCTTTACTGTTTAGGTTTTCTTCATCTATTTATTTTATTTTTAAGATGGGATTGGAATATTTGAGAGTATTTTGATAGATATTATATACTCATAATTCTAATCAATGTAATGCTTGCTTTGCTGTTAAATATAAGGTAAAATCACTCATGCAGAAGGAATTAAATATTCTTTATTGTGTTATTAGTATGACGAGCTTTGATTAATTTCTTCTTTAATCAATCAAAGTAATTATATTTCCAATGCAATAGACTCTTTGTGGAATAGTACTTTCTTTTAACGATTTCTTTCTATCTATTTACTATGCAATTTTTACATTAAGTAGAAATATATAATATTATTTCAAATTACTATGCAAACTACATATCAAATATAAATTTAATCGTTCAAAAAAAATAAATGATCATATAAACAAATAATAAAAACAATTTTTTAGAGAAAAGAAAAAATAAAGAAGATATTTAGCTTGAAATTGGAACACTTCAATTTCAATGGGTCTAGATATATTATTTGATAAAAAAAAAAATGTGTTTGTATTTTTTACAAAAAGAACACAATTCTCATCTCCTCATTTTTCTTGGAAAAATATTACAAATTTTAATCATAATTTAAATTTCTTTTTTAAATAAAATTAAATAAATATTATAATTTATAATTATTTATATTATACTGCAATTATTTTTACTAATATAATTTTTTTAATAATTTTACTAGTGACTGAGTATATAAGAATTAATAAGTGTCTTTACTTTATATTTTTAGTTTAAAATGCTTTTCTACACTAAGTATAAGCAAAATGTTAAAACTCTTATTTGGTGAACACACCAAACATATTTTTATAGTGAATATAATATTTTCTCAATAACTTGACAATTTATCAATTTTTCTATTTTAGTCCCATAAAAAATATTTATTTATTATTATTTTTAGTAACTTTATACCATCGCCTAACAAATTAAGGATTTCCCAATGGTTCAAAATCAATTATAAATTAACTAATTAATTAAGTCTGTTTTATTTATTCACAACAAAACAACAGTTTTATAATGGTGCCTCCTGGGATATTTTTATTTTATCCACTGCCTCCCTAGATAAGGTAGGTAGGGGTAGGGTATCCACACCACATAGCCCATCCCACAATACTTACTTCTCTCTCTTTCTCACATTAGCAACAATGGCCATGGCACCTCCTACTTCATCTAATTTCTTCCCCCATCTAATAATGCCCTCATCTCTTCTTCCTCCCACCCCCAACCTCCTCTTACCCCCCACCCCCACCCCTACCCGGGCTTCCAAATCCCCTCATCATCAAACCACAACACACCACAACACACATTCTACACATCCAATAAATCAATCGAATACAAGAACAAACATACCTGAAACAGGTTGCAAAAAAATGCCCTGTGAGCCGATCCCCGAATCCCTGCCAAGAACTCAACTTACAGAGCAGCAGCTGAAACCAAAACAGGACATGATGAAGAACAAGAAGAAGGCAATTAACAACAAGAGAGTAGCCGACGAGAAGAAACCTACGAGCATGGCGTATCAGAAGCTTAGGTCATTGAGCAAAGAGGCCAAGGAAGCTGGATATGTACCTGATACGCGCTACGTGCTCCATGATCTCGACCAGGAGGCCAAAGAGAAAGCCCTGCTTTATCACAGCGAGAGATTAGCTATAGCTTACGGCCTCATCAGCACACCTCCAGGCACCACATTGCGCGTCATAAAGAACCTCAGAATCTGCGGGGACTGCCACAATTTCATCAAGATCTTATCCAGCTTTGAGAAACGAGAATTCATCGTAAGAGATAATAAGAGATTCCATCATTTCAAGGATGGCAAGTGCTCCTGTAGAGACTTTTGGTAGAGAATTGTTACTTACTCTAACTTACCAGTGGCGTTGTGGCAAGAAATGTAAATCCTACTGTGGAAATATTGATTCGCATATGTATAAAACTGAGCCATATTCTGTCTAAGTCAAAAACACCAAAAGCAACAGCTGATCAAGAAAATTGATGTATTTTGCCATAACACCAGTTGTTTTTCCCTGATTAAAGAATATTTTTTAAAATGAAAGAATTCGGGGGTTCTCAAGAAATATGATCACTACAATGCCTTGCTAGATGTATGTATCAGAATTATGTATATATGTGTCAATAGTTCTCGGAAACAGGCCTGGATGGAAAAAGCCTCAGTAAAAATGTTAGTAAGGACCAGAGACAAACAACACCGAGGACGCGGAAAACCACGATCAAGGAAAGCAACGCTTGCCTCCTGTTCAAAACTGCATTTGTAACAGTAGCATTCCTCATCCCAAATAATAATGTCTCCATATAACTGGTAGCCCTTGTCAACTGATATATCCTGTAGATCTGAGGAGATATACCGATCTCTTAGAATGTACTGGCATTTAAAGGAGGAAAACACAAATATCAACTTAAAGTAGCTTCTATTACCTCAAACATGATCGGTACTAGAGGCCAGCAGGCTGATCCATTGTGTTCAACTATTCTCTCAAAAGCAAATTGTGCTAATATACCAAGCATGAAAGGACCCACTGCCACTAGTGATGATAATCCAACTGCTGGCCAAGTAACATAAAGAGCAAACAAGGGGAAGATGAACTTAATGCCTGTAGTGAAAAATGTAGATGCCAAATATCCCTGTAGGCCTGTGATAAGACTCCATCTCTTTTGGCTAAACTGGAGATATGGCTTTTGAACACGATCGGTCACATGCAGGAAAATAGTAAGCCCAACATAAAAGATGGCCTCAGTTGAAAAGGATGAAAGAATTTCTGCACCAACAGAAACCAGTGAAACTAAAGTTGTGATGTTTGATATCAGTAAAGAGATGATCTAGAGAACAAGACCCAATCATAAAATGTCCTTGTATATACAACATACTCCATAACACATAACAGAAATCAACTCAAACTAGTTTTGATTATTCTCCTAAATATATAGGATAAGGAAATAACAAAATTATAACAATAGCGATATAACTAATGAACAGAACATTAATGTAAGAGCTTGACAAGTTAAGAAAAAATACTAATCTTATTTCTTAAATTCTGTTAAAATAGAGTTCAATGTTCTTTTGGAGATTTTTCAAAACTTCTTAATTATGCAATGTTAAGATTCGCAATAAAAATCATTTACTCTCGTAAAACATAACATCCAACTACTATTTGAATAAAAAAAGCAAACACAAATGCAAACTAACTGCACCCTAAATGTGCACCAATTTTCATATCGTGCAGTGAATTTTCTCAATAAGTTTTCTATACCTAATGGTCCTGACATGTTTCCATAACTAATGGTTTAGGTATGATGTTTTGGGAGAAAACTAAAGTATATTTATACTCATAAAGAAACTAAAAAATCTCAAAGAAAGCAGAGCTCAAATGTCGCGCATCCAGATTTATTTAAAGAACACGAAGATATAGTATATCTTTTTTACCGTCAAGAAGATTTACAACCATTTAAAATATAGAAGAATCTTACCTGCAAAGGTCTCATTCCTGAAAGTTTCGTAGATAGCAGGAGCAACGAAGAATGGGGGACCAACCACAGCCGAAACAAGAGCAAGAGGTGCCAGTATCCAAAGTAGAGAGCCAGTATTTTCCTTGAACGGCGATGAAACAAGTTTATCTTCCTCGATCGACTCGTGACTCAATCCCCCGAAGGAAACAGAGCCCGATTTCCCACGATATGGTTCGTCGGACCGATTTCTCGCATCAACACGAAAATTCAATCGCCTTGATGAATTCAAGCTAGCAGGGCGTAACAAAATTCCACTCCTCAAAGATTGCGAAAGAGCTGGAAAATATATATATATATATATATATATAATTCGCATTAACTTAAAAAGGTGAAGATTATCCAAACAGCGAAATAAATGCGAGAGAAGGAAAGGAACTTACATTCGAGGTGAACTTGAAGTCTGGGAATCTGCTGGAACAAGGCGCAAGGATTTGGACGATGTTTGACCTAAAGACGAAAAACATTTCCATTAGTCAATCACACAGCAATTCAACAAGACAGTCGGAAATCTAGGAAGGAAAACTACCTGAAGAAATTGCAAGTTCCGTAAACGGGGAGGCGGAGACTGATTCAGAGCGAAAACAGTGGCGGATTGCAGCTCCATTTTCGCGGAGGTGGAGTGAGAGAGAGTGAGATAGCACAAATAGTTGGTTAGGGTTTTGAACGGTCCACTTAAACCCTTCCATTGCCGCCCTCCGCCCTCACTATTTCTTTAAATGCAATTAACCCTTATTCATTTATTGAAAATTAGCTAAAATAATTAATTGAAATTTTAAAAAATTATAATAATAAATAAATACTAATAAATAGATATATATATATATATATTTAAGGTGTGTTTGGTTGGGAGTATGGATTTTGAGTTGGAATTTGAACAGTAAAAATTTTGAATTTAAATAGTTGTATAATGTGATATAAATAGGCGTTGACGTGATGTTTTGAATGTAAAATTGATTTTTAGTATAATATAAAAAATAAAAAATAGGTGTTTGATTTGATGTTTTTGAAAAAAAAAATTGGATGAATAGTATAAATTCAATCCAATCCCCCAAACAAATTAATATTTCTTCTAACTTATTGTAATTTATTTTTCAAAATATCACAATTAATTAATATAATAAGCGTATTTATTAAAATTACGTTAAATTTAAATTAATACATATTTTATGAATAGAGTAAATTATTGAAGATTATTTTTAAATCTATGTAAACATACTAAATAATGCTCCGTTTATATAAATTGCACAAAATCTGAAATTGCGGTCAAATCCCTTATAGTTGTAAAACTGTTTTAAACTCATTTAAAAAATTATGTGTCTAACCCTTGCGGTCCTTATTTAAGTATTTGTCCTTATGAATAAATTTTAAAATTTCAATTTCTAAACCCCTAATACCATTATATTCATTTTCCTTATATTTAGCCTAAAAAAAATAGTAAATATACTCAAAATAGTTATTTTTTTAGGTTTTAAAAGTTTATTTTAAGAAAAATAAATATATTTATAATTTTAGAGGTTTAGATATTAAAATTTTAAAATTTATTCGTAATTTGGACGCATTTAGATCGTTAAATAAAGACCGCCGAAAAAGTTAGACGTATAGTTTACGAAATCACGAGAAAATTTGACACAATTTTATAAATATAAGACATTTGGTGCAATTTCGTGAAACTACCGATGAATTTTGTGTAATTTAGTTTTTTAAATACAAAATTTAAATCAAATACAAACTCAAAGAAACAGAAACCCTGAGCAAAAACATTTTGAACATTATTGTCAGTTCCACTGCAATATTGCATATTTATTACTCTCTCCATCAGTATGTCACTTTTTTTTCTTTTTAAATATTACACACTTTAATCTCATTTTAAATTTTTTAATTTTATTTTTAATTAAATTAATTAGTTATTTTTATAATTATTTATATTAATACATTCTTAATTATCTACAAATTACACCCCTCTTAAAATACCGTGTCTACAGTGTATAGTACGGAGGGAGTAGTTTTTTATTTTTATATTTTAAAAAGTTAATATATATTTTTAATAAAATAATAACATCTTCTACACTTTGTTAAAAATAAAGATCATTTGTGTAGGCCCCATAATGTTGGGCCTGAATTGTTTGTTAACAGGCCTCGCCAATTTGGCTATTAACGTATTGTACAACATATATTTAATTTTGTATTATTTAAAATCGATAACAGTCGAGCTAAAAAATATATATTTATTTTTTTGCGCAAAATTTAAAAAATAATAAGTGTAAAGATAATTTAGCTCTTTGTTTTTTTGTTTTTTTTTTTTTTTATGTAAAAGCAATAATACGATGGTAAAGTAGAATTATTGCAAATATTTTTAAAATAATTACTTTGTAATTTAACAATTTAAAATAAAAATATGTACATTTTGTGTGTGGACGGAGATAGTACTAATTTTTTTTAAGAAGAAAGTTTCACTCAAAAATCATTAACATTATACCACTCTCATGTTTATATGTTATATCCAAATATTTATGGTGTGCTTCTTTCGATGTATTTGAAAAAAAAATAATTTGAATTTGATATGAAATTTGAGTTTGATATGAAAATAATGTTTAATGGGATATTTTGTGAAAAAGAAAATATATATATTTTTTAAAACGCAGAGTTTAAATAGTAAAATTTGGAAAAATTATGCTAAACAAACATACCCTTCATATCCATGGGCTAATTTTTTTTTTTTTCATTTTCATAAATAATGCAATAAATTCAAAATATTTTAAAACCCTACTCATTAATTAATTACCATATTGGATCACAAACTCCTCTTTCATTTCATCTATGTGAATTTTACACTAGTTCATTCAAAGTTTTTTTTTTTTTTTTCTATTATTATTATTTTGAATTAATTTTTTAATATTCACCATAGAATTTTTTTCTAGTTCATTATTAACAAATAGTAACGAATTTGTCATTAATTTTTTCACTTATCCTATTATTTTATTATTAACTATTCAATAAATTTCCTATAATATACTCATTTTACTTTTTTACCGTAAAATATTATTACTCATTCCGTAGTTTGATTATATACTCAAATATTTGCACACGAATTTCAATAAAAGTGTCTAATAATTATTATTTTTTATTGTAAAAAAAAAAAACAAATGTACTGTTTTGCTAAAAAAATAAGAGTATTTTTTTATGATAGTCTAAAAAAGTTAAACATAAGTTTAGATGATAAAAAAGCAATTTCTTAATCTACATTATGGCAGACGGAAATAATATATTTAAAATTAAAAAATGAAAAAATAAATAAAAATCACACCCCAAGTAAGTTTGAGGATTCCAATTAGAGCTGTTAAACAAGCCGAGTCATTCGTGAACTCGGCTCAGTTAAAACTCGTTCGTGAACGTTAACGAGTTGAGCCAAACGAATCTGAGCTTTGTTCACGAACGTTCGTTAAAATAATATATTTATTATAAAAATTATATATACATATAAAATTATAATTTATAAATAAATAAAATATCAATTTAAAATAAATAAATAAAATAATTTTAAAATTACTTTTCAATTTATATATAAATTTAAAAAGTGAGACAAACGAGTTTGAACGAACTCGAACGAGTTTAATCAAGTCTAAACAAATTGAACACGAGCTCAAACAATAACGAGCCGAGCTCAAACACTACGAACAAGCTTAAAAACTTGATGAACGAACATGACCCTTATTCGCAAATATTAACAAACGAATACCAATACTTAAAATTCGATTCGAGTCAACTCGTGAACGGCTCTAATTCCAATATACTTTTGGACTTTCAAGATTTGTTTGGCTGGGAGCACTAATAAAAGCCTAGCCGTTGGATGCAGTTTGAAGCTACGACAATGATCTTCAGGTGTGTTTGTTCGGGGGTTTGTATTTTAAGTTAGGATTTAAATAGTAAAAATTTTGAATTTGAATAGTTGTATGATATGATATGATATAAACAGGTGTTGATTTGATATTTTGAATGTAAAATTAATTTTTAATTTAATATAAAAAATAAAAAATAAGTGTTTAATTTGATATTTAAAAAAAAAAAAAAAAAAAAAAAAGATGAAAAGTAGATTTAAAATCCAAATCTCCCAAACAATCAGGTACCTGTAACACTAACACACACAACGGATGAACCCACTAATAAATTAATAAAAATAAAAATAAAAATAAAATAAGGGACAAAAATATGTATGCAAAACTGCAGAAGCAATAACCGTGAAACCAATTTAGCTCAAAATGGAAGAAGACGACAGTTGTCAGGTCCAGTGGGCCCTACTACTAGCAGTGATGAGGGGCCCATGGAAGCTATGGGTAGGGGTCTATAAATAGATACATGTACATAAATAGAAAGCCTTTTGTAAAAATAATTTTCCTAGATTTTACAGACGGTTCATTTGTTGACAGCGAATAGAGATTTGAGAGTGTCTGAATCAACGAGATTTGGTTGTACCTTAAACTTTTTTCTCACATGGCTCCACGAACCTTTTCCACGTGCCTGCATTTCACTACACTAAACACAACATTTATTTATTTTGATTGGAATGTATTTATATCTATTTTTGGAATTAGGTCAGGTGCTGATTATAGTTACTTTGTTCGATTAATTTTTAATTTTATTGTCATAATTAATTGTAAAAATCAGCAAATTTTAAATTACAAGAAAACAAAGTCTAAACACTATCGATCTTTTAAAATTTTTTAGGGAAAATAATGTGACTTATTTTATTATAATCAAAATAAGAAGTTTTACAAAATTAACTCTATAAACTCAAATATAAGTAATCTAATTTATAAATAAGATCAAATCTAAATACAAATCTACTAAATTTAAAACCGAATATATAAATTATCTTAACATCCCCTCAAACTCAAGTGGTATAACAAAAATCAACTTGAGTTTGATAAAAAAGTTGAATATAGACGCCAAAAAAAAAAAAAAAACGCAAATAAAAATAACAATTGACTTTACATCGGAGCCGAAAACGAGATGATTCCACCGGAGGCGAAAACGAGATGACTCCACCAGAGCCGAAAACCACATGACTCCACCGGAGCCGAAAACGAGATGACTCAACCGGAGTCGAAAACGAGATGACTCCACCGGAGAAAAAAAAAGACATGATTCCATTGGAGCCGAAAACGACATGACTCAACGGAGCAAAAAACAACATGATTCCATTGCAGCTGAAAACAACATGACTCTACCGGAGTAAAAAATGAGATGACTCTCCATCTGAGCAAGAAACATTTGACTCTCCACCGGAGCAAAAAAGGACATGACTCCACTGGAGTCGAAAACAAATAAATTGCAAACACCAAACAGATCGCAGACAAGCAACAAACAAATTACAGATCGCAGACAGGTTTCATATCGTATGCAGGCAATAGGCAAACAATGGACAAATGGCAAATCGCAGACATGTTTCATATCGCACGCAAACAACAGGCAGACTTCATATCGTACAAAGACAACAGACAAACTTCATATCGCATGCATACAACAAAAAAGAAGCAGACAAATAACAGATTACAGACAGGTTTCAGATAGTACCGCAGACAACAGATATTATGAATACACATGTTAATTTATCTTGATCAATACAAAATTCAAGGGACATTATTATATGCTCTTAGTTCATAGATTATATTTTTATAATATAAATATATATGATATTGTTATATCGACAACATTGTATTGATTAATACTTTTTTGTTTCAATTAAAAATACTATTTTTATCTGTTTGTCACATTCAAGTATCAATTTTTTTAATATCATAATAAAATTAATCACACTAATATTGGTAAGAACTTAATTTTAACATAAATTATAAATATATTATTATATAGATATATATATAAGTTACCAAAAAAAAGTATATATATATATCTAAATTATTTTATATATTTTTATTAATCAATAAAATACAACAATTTGAAGGTAGATTTACGACCTTGAAGTCATGGGTTCAAACTTTCGACGCCTCTAAGTCATATGTGATATATGATTCGCCTAATGTGACTTATTTGTAGGCCCTAATTTGCAGAGTATTAGATTCGGCCGGAGTTTACCGGTACACATTTTCAGATAGCGACTGCGGATTCTCACGTTATATAAAGAAAAAATAATAATTATAAAATACAATAATTTGTTTGGGGATTGAATTTTAAATCCACTGTTCATCCTATTTTTCCCCAAAACATCAAATCAAAGGTTTATTTTTCATTTTTTATATTATACTAAAAATTTATTTTACATTCAAAACATCACGTCAACACCTATTTATATTATATCATACAACTATTCAAATTTAAAATTTTTACCATTCAAATTCCAATTCAAAATTCAAAGCCCGAAACAAACACACCCTTAATCTACTTCAAAAACTAAAATATATATTTTGTTCCGGAACAGGAGTGGAGAGATCATAATTTTCCATAAATTCACAAAATTTGTACAATAATAATAATAATAAAAGATTAAAATAGTAGTACCAAAAAAAACGAAGCCTAACCAACTAAACACCGCTGATTGTATGAATAGGAGCTGAATGTGGAGAGCATCGAATCCACACCCCCAAACCATCCAAAAAATAAAAAATAAAATAAATAAATCTATAGTTCCATTCGTCGTCTTCTTCCTCTTCCTCCTCCTCCGCCATTAAAATCACTCCGACAAACCCTCCCCTCCACGCTTTCCCTCTCCTTTACCCGCTCTCCTCCATCTCCAATCCAATCCAATCACAACAACAACAACAACCAGCAGCAGGCCGACTCCGACGACCGACGCCCGCCTGAGATTCCATAATTCCGTCCGTCCGTACATCACGGCAGCCATGGATCCCAGCCTCTCCTCCTCCAGCTACGCCTCCGACGACGACTTCAACAACAGCTTCTCCGGCTACGAGCCCAACCGCCTCAGCACCGACAGCTCCCCAATGATGATGTCCCCCTGGAACCAGCCCGTCCCCTTCCTCCCCGACTCCTCCGCCGCCGCCTCCTCCGGCGACATCTTCCATAGCCGCCCCCAGAACAGCCTCATCGGCTCCATCGTCCGCGAAGAAGGCCACATCTACTCCCTCGCCGCCAAAGACGACCTCCTCTACACCGGCTCCGACAGCAAGAACATCCGCGTCTGGAAAAAGCTCGACGAATTCTCCGCCTTCAAGTCCAACAGCGGCCTCGTCAAGGCCATCATCATCTCCGGCGACAAGATCTTCACCGGCCACCAGGACGGCAAGATCCGCGTCTGGAAGGTCAGCTCCAAGGACCCCTCCGTCCACAAACGCTCCAGCACCATGCCCCTCTTCTTCGACATTTTTAAAGCTTCCATGAAACCCAGCAACTACATCGAGGTCAAGCGCAACCGCACCGCCGTCTGGATCAAGCACGCCGACGCCATTTCCTGCCTCAGCATCAACCAGGAGAAAGGATTGCTGTACTCAGCCTCATGGGACAAGACGTTCAAGGTTTGGCGGACGGAGACGTCGAAATGCATCGAATCGGTGAAGGCCCACGACGACGCCGTCAATTCGGTGGTCGCCGGCGGCGGGTCGGCGACGGTGTACACGGCGTCGGCGGACGGGACGGTGAAGGCGTGGACGAGGGAGCAGAAGGGGAAGGCGGTGAAGCACACGCTCCTGCAGACGCTGCTCAGCCAGGAAGCCGCCGTGACGGCGCTGGTGATCAACGCCGCCGGGACGGTGGTGTACTCCGGGTCTTCTGACGGCGTCGTGAACTTCTGGGAGGTGGAGAATCAGCTGGCGCACGGCGGCGTTCTCAAGGGCCACAAGCTGGCCGTGCTCTGCCTGGCGGCGGCCGGCGGCTTGGTGTTCAGCGGCTCGGCTGATAAGACGATCTGTGTGTGGAGGAGGGACGGCTCGGCGCACAACTGCATCTCGGTGCTGACGGGGCACACCGGACCGGTGAAGTGCCTGGCGGTGGAGAAGGACAAGGACGGCGGCGGCGAGGAAAGCAAGAAGTGGGTTCTATACAGCGGGAGTCTCGACAAGTCGGTCAAGGTGTGGAGCGTTTCCGAAATGGCATCTGACCTGTAATTATATTATATATATATATAGATATATAGTAGTTATTGCAGAGCCGCCGCGCCGCCGCCGCCGTCCGCCGGCGATGGATGGAAGAAGACATGACTAGTCTGGAGTTGTGGTCCCGGGACCTTTTGGAGAAATCCTGGATCACGATAAATATATGTTCTTGGCTCTGGTTAGCTAGTTAGTATACATGTTTAAGTTTTATAGTAGTATATGATATGATATTGATCTGTGTAGACAAGGGCTTCTTTTGGTTTATAGTTTTGTGTATTTTATGTTTTGAGTTTATTGTATATGGGACTGCAAAATTTGTGTAAATTATACTTTCTCCGTCCAATTACTACTGTTATAAAGTATATTTGCACGGTTTTTTAGGTGATCGTCTTTTTGTTATGAATAAACAAATTTGTCTTAGATAAAAATATAAATTTTATATTTAAAAAAATATATATAAAAATAATTATTAAACATCCCAAATAAAAAAATATAATATTAGTCAGTGAATTGAGGGAGTATAATACTCAGTTATTATAATGTAAAGAATCTACATTGTTCATGTAATGGGGCACAGGGAACTTTAAGCACGTACGTTTGATTGAAGATAGAATTTAAAAGAATTTAATCTCCAGGCTCTTCTTTTGGTGGTTCAAATTATTAACAATTGCCAATTTTATTTTATTTTATTTTTTCCTCTAGTTTGCCATAGGTGCTAGTAAACCTTCTAGGTTTATAAACTAAAATATAAACATGATGTTTCGATTTAGAAATACAAAATGAGACTTGTTGTTAAAACTATATGCAATGCGGAGATATTGGGTGTTTTTACTCGTGAGATTTGACTTTCAATTTTACTATCTTAATTTTTTTTTTTTCATTCCAAAAATATTAATTGAATTACCTATTTTTTATTTATTATATTACACTAAATTAATTTTTACATTCAAAATATTACACAATACATATTTATATCGTATCAAACTTGCAATTTAAAATTTTTACTATTTAAAACTAAAGTTTACAATCAAAATCTTACTAGTAAACACACCCATTGATTTCGAACAAAATTTTTCTCTTCAATATTACAATTTAATTTGGAGTTTGAATTTGAGATGACTAATTTTGGAAGATTGAGCTAATTTGGGGGATTGTAGATTGTACAATGTGAGGCTGAAATTCTCATGATTCAAAAACATATATATATATATATATAATTTTGATGAACATATGGTGTGTATAATATATATTCTATACTATTATTTATTCAATTAAACACAAACAATTGTATCGATTGAAAAGGTGTGTATTGAATTGTATTAAAATTTGCGAATGTTGTTATTGTAACTTTAGTAATTATTGGTGTTTGAGTTGTTTCTATAGATTTGTATAAATACTAGTTTATTTATAATCAAATACCAAATTCTTTCGTCCCGCAAGGATGGCTCGGTGGTGTTGGAGTGTATTTGTGATCGAGAAGTCATAGGTTTATACTCCGTCTGATTGTAAATGTCTCATTTACCTTTATATTTAATATTAAAAATATACAAAATAATCTTTGCATTAGTATAATTTGCAGATTTTTTAACAGTAGTATTATAATAGGTTGCAGTGAAAAAGACAAAATTACTCCTATTAGTATTGTGTAATATAATGTAAGTTAAAAAGGTATTTATTATGTTAGGTATGTAGTATAATTAATGAAATTGTAACCATGTTTTGAGACGGACGAAAATGAAAAATGATAACCTTTCAATGGACGGAGGAAGTACTATTATTTTACATTGGCTCATCTTCTCTTCCCAAATTAAGTTAATGGCTATCAACTCTCACACCACAAACATGGCGGAATCATCGCCAGATCGAACATCCTTATATAGTAACACCACAAAAACATCTACATACATATATATATATATATATGTATGCCATAAAGGGAATACCCAAGTGCTTATTTCCTCTGTGTGTATGCACGTATAGATACACAAATACATACACATATACATACACGTATCTTGTGTATACACACAGAGACACAGCAGTAGCCATGGCTGCCCTTCTATGGCTGCTGCTGCCCTTAGCCTTCTCAATTATCGCCGCCGCGCCGCCGAACTCCGGCATCGCCTCGACGCCGAAAAGCATATTCCTGCTGGCGGGGCAGAGCAACATGGCCGGCCGGGGCGGCCTCCTGTTCGGCAAATGGGACGGTTACATCCCGCCGGAGTGCGCGCCGAATCCGCAGATCCGACGGCTCGGCGCCAGCCTGAAATGGGAAGAGGCCCACGAGCCTCTCCACATCGACATCGACGTCGAAAGAGTGTGCGGGATCGGGCCTGGGATGCCGTTTGCTAACTCGGTCCTGCGGCGGGACGAGGAGATCGGGGTGATCGGGTTGGTGCCGTGCGCGGTCGGAGGGTCGAACATCAGCCAGTGGAGTCGGGGGAACCCGCTTTACAATCAGCTGATCGCGCGCGCTCGCGCCGCCTTGCACGGAGGAGGCGGCGAAATTAAGGCCATGCTTTGGTACCAAGGGGAAGCCGATACCGTGTCGCTTACCGACGCTACCAGGTACATGACGATGGTCGAGAAGTTCTTTGCCAACGTGAGGACGGATTTGAAGATGCCGATGCTTCCGATTTTTCAGGTACATCGAGGTTTCGATTCAAAACAAGTCGAGCAAATCAAGTTAGCCATTCCCCAACCAGTCAGCCTATCTTGACAGCTCTGATCATAAAAAAATTCCTTTCCCGATAACATAAATCCCAAATACTTCATAAAAAAACGATCTTCTAACTTCAATACTACGAAAAAATAACTAACATTTTCATATGCAAACCGAGGCAGGTCGCGCTGGCATCGGGGATGAATTCGACTGGCCTCAATCTCATAAGAAAAGCTCAACTAGCCGTAAACCTACCAAATGTAGTAACCGTTGACGCCAGGGGGCTTCCCCTCCAAACCGACGGGCTACATCTTCATAGAGACGGCGATCTCCGGCTAGGCCAAATGCTGGCTGATGCCTATCTCCACTTCATCGGTCTTCCGATCCCCGGCAGGATGGCCGTCGAATTTGATACAATAGCTATGGCTCCGGCTTCGGCTTCAGCTTCGGCTCCAGCTGCGCCGATCACACTCTTGGCGGCTACGACCGACTCGACGCCGCCGGCGTGCAATAACCAGCAGAGATATATTCCACAATTTCTACTTGAATTGTTGTTGGGAAGGCTAATGTGCAACCAATATTGATTTTATTTAATATATAGATATATATATATGTATATGTAAGAGGTTTGGGACTCTTACGTTTTAATAATATATCGTGTATACAAAATCAAACAAACTTTAGTAACATTTTGTCCATTCAATTTTGCCACTCTTTTCTAAGGTTTATGTTTTTTTTTTTTTTTTTTTTTTAAAAAAAGAGTATATCAATACATAAATAAATTAATTACATTACTTTATTAAATTTTTTTTTTTCGAATATTAGACTATTTTCATCTTTAAAATATTGAAATAATCAATTGTGTTTATCAATATTTGTTTTTGATTACTTTTAATATAAAATACTCCCTCCGTCCCAGATACCATGTCTACATTGCCGTTTATGTCCATCCCACGTACTATGTCACTTTCATTTTTTGAAAAATGATTATACACTTTAATCTCATTTTAAATTTTTTTAATTTTATTGTTTTCTAATTTTAATTAAACTAATTAGTTATCTTTTAATCTTAATTTATAATTATTTATATTATAGGATAATTATTTTTTACTGATACATTCTTAGTTATCTACTAATTACACCCCTCCTAAAATACTACCGTATCTACAGTGTAGCAGACATGGTATTTGAGACGAAGGAGATAGTATTTTTCGGGACATCCTATTTTATTTTTATTATTTGTTTTTTTGGACTTTCTTAAAAAAATTAGGACGAGAAAGGTTTATATATTAGCTTAAATGAGCCAAGCCCATCGTAGCAAGTGTGCGCCGAGCCCACCTTAAACACCAGGTTCCAAGTGTGAAAAGTAGACCTGTCAAAACGGTTTAGTGGGACGGATTGACCCACAATCCACCATAATCGGCAAATAAGCGAGTTGTTTGCGGGCCAACCCGCAACGGAGTGGATCAAAATTTCATCAGCCCAACCCAACCCATCGGCGGGTGGCGAGCTAAGCGGGCTAGCCCACGGGCTTTTTAAAAATATTAAAAGAATATTAATATTATAAATATTTTCGTAACTAATATTTAAAAATAGCTAAAAATAGTTTTATTGTAGAATTTAGATAAATATTTTAAAATAAATAATAAATATAAAAATTCTCAATTCTAAATATTATTAATTGGTGTATTTAAAAAAATTAATAATAAGAAATACTTCATTTTAAAAATAAATCATAATTAATTTTATGAATTTGTAAAATTATAAAATAATAAAATGGAAGACGAACAAAACAAACGATGAAAAATCAAAACAAAAAATAATATCATGAATAACATAGTTAGAGAAGAAAAACAACGAGCTAATGATAATATAAATTTTATTTTATTCGCATAACTTATTTATAATGGTATGTTTGTAATTTATAAAAAAATAAAATATATTTTTATATTAATATTTAATTAGTTTTATTATAATTTTTTAATATAACACTACAAAATGGTAAAAAAATACATAAGTGAGTACTAATTATTATATTTACTTGACCGACAGCTAACGGGCCAACCAGACAGGCTCAATTCATTTTAAAGGTTTTAGTGAAAAGCATTAGAAGTTTATTATAGTATTTAAAATAAAATTCAAATAATGTTACACAATCTCAAAGTAATAATGATAGTTGAACAGTAGAAAATTCAAATAATTGTTTTTAATATAAATATGTTTTTTTTTCTTGCTGGAAAAATTAAAAATTATAAATAACTCCTTTTGAATTTTTTTGAAAATTTAATGTCCATTTAAAAGAAACATAGAGAAACATAAGCAATCCCACCCAAAAAAACCCAAAAAGGAAAATCCTAATTGATTTAAAAATGTCTTGTTTTTTTTTTTTTCTCCAAACACAAATCATAATTCCCAAAATCATATCCCCATCTCCCCTCCCCTGTACACTGTCACATCGAAAAATCTGCAAATTTCAACTCTAAGGGGATATGAATATTCGATGATAATATCCACCAATGATCGTCAAAAAGGTGTCTCCTTTCATGGCTGCCATTGAGGTCTGTAAATCAAAATTCATTTTCCCATCATCAATTCATCACCATCGTCATCGTCATCAACAATTTAAGCAAGCAGTGAAGTCAATATGATGATCGATTATCAATCGATCTTGCTTATCCCCATCCTCTTCACCACTGCATTCCTTATCGCTTCTTCCCTCTCCTGCCCGATTTGATCATTCTCCTCCATCAAATAATTCCTCACCTCCTTCTTCACCTCTTCCCTCACCATCTCCAGCATCACCGCCAGAAATTCCGGCTTGAAAAACTCCTGATTCTCCGCAACCGTGCCGCCAGAAAACAGCTGCGGCTGCGGCGCCGGCGCCGGAGGAAGATGATAATTAGGGTTTGCCTGATGCCCACGCTCCGGCGGTTCGAATTTCTTACCCGGGTCTGGGTTATTAGGGATTAGGTCCGATCCGGACCCGGGAAGAGAAAGGCTGAGCGACGTAACCGGCTCGGTTTGTAAACCGGGAGTTGAAAGCGAACCGGTTCTGGAAATGGGCATGGACCGGTAGAGAAGATGACCCGAATGACTCGAATCGCTCATATCCGATCCGGTCGGGCTGCCCGGATTCAAATAAAACCCTGAAACGGAAGCGTACTCCGCGCCACCGCCGGGGCCGACGCTGGCCGATCGTTTCAGCGGCGGCTGCGGCGGCGCGTCCGGATCGAAGTTCTTAAACTCCTCAGACATGGAGAGGCACTTGCGCTTGAGCGTTGAGTTCCAGTGGTTCTTAACTGCGTTATCCGTCCGTCCAGACAGAAGCCGCGCGATTGTCGCCCATTTGTTCCCCAGCCTGGCGTGCGCCTGGACGATCGTCTCATCTTCCTCCGCCGTGAACGCGCGGTGCTCCACCTCCGGCGACAGCTGGTTGCACCACCGGAGCCGGCAGGACTTCCCCGACCGGCCGGGGATCGCCTTGCTAATCAGCGACCAGTTCCTCGGTCCGTGCCTCTCCACCAATCTCCGCAGCGATTCGTCTTCCTCCGGACTCCACGGACCCTTGATCCGCTCCCTCTCCGCCGTCGCCGTCGCCATCGCCGCCGCGCCGATCGAGGGTTTTTTTTTTTTTTTGGCTTGCAGGAAAATGGCGGATTTATTTATATATCTATAGCAGAGAGTTTGGATAGGGATGACCGGCTGAGGCGGTGGGGGGTGACCGGCTGGGGAGGCAGTTACTGATAGATGCGTAGCTGGCAGGGGACACGCGTCGGTTGATGGTGGAAGTGAAGGGGGGCAGTTAGATAAATAGGGATTTTGGGGGGTGTCCCTTAATGAGGGATTAAAGTGCAAAAATGAAAATTAATTTGAAATAAGCGACCGTTTTGGAAGTTAATAGTTATAGAGAGGTGGGCGGAAAAGGAGGATTGACTTTTGACTAGGCGCAGGCTGGCGAGCATTAACGGAATTGGGGGAAGACGACAAAAGTATGGAAGGACGAACGGCAGATGACAGGCTGGACACTCTGACACTTCCTAACGGCCGTTGGATTCATGTCCACGTCTCACTCATGCAAATTTTGGGTTGGTTATTTGCCTGCCCGCCTGCCTGCCTGCCTTTCCCCGTTTTTATTTTTTTTTTTATTTATTTATTTACTTTTTCCATCTCGGCTATTATGTTTTTTAATACTAAAATTATGAATAGTATAATTAATAAATAATTAAAAATATATTATTCTCTTCAGTCCCAACAAAATATTCATTTGTTTTTTGTTCGTAATTTTAAAAATATTAATATTATATTAAGATATAATAAAAATAAAGTAAAAATAACTAAAATAACCTTGTTAGTATGTGTGATACAAAGGTAATGACATTTGTGTAATATATTGTAAATTGTAAGGGTATTTGTAATGCTAGGTAGATAGTACATTTAGTAAAAAGAAAAATGGATACTTTGTTATGGACGGACTAAAATGAAAAAATAGATACTTTGTTATGGGACGGAAGGAGTAATAAAAATAATTATGATATAACAAAAATAATTTTAAATTAATATTAAAATAATTTATTAATTTGATTAAAATTAGAAAATTTATAAATTAAGAAATTTAAAATAAAATTAAATGTATAGTTTTTTTCAAAAAATTAAAAAATAACTGAATAAATGGACTGACGAAAATATAAGTGGGACGGAGGAATTATTTATTTATTTATTGCAGTGGTAATTAATAGACACAACTCCGATAGTAAATCCAACGGAAATGGAGTAGTATTTAATATATACGGTTAAATAGTAACTGACTGCAGTAAATAAGGTCGCACTCACCCCAATAAAAAAATAGCAGTTCTAAGCGTTTTTCGAATTTTTTGAATTTTGAATTTTTTAAAAAAGTTTACATTAAATTTTATTGGAAAAAAAATTAATATAATTTTTAAAAAATATATATTTATTATATTCTAATTCAAAATATATTTTTGATATTTTTATGTGTTTTATTCAAAAATATCATTTTTTTTAGTAAAATAATCATACACTAAAAATAAAAGATCATTACCTTTTTATATAAATTACAAATACTCTCTCAGTCTCACATCTATTTATCCATTTATTTTTTGAACGGAGTTTTTGAAATATTAGTATTATATTGGAATATAGTAGAAACAAGGTAAAAAAACTAAGCTAACCTTATTAGTATTATATGATATAAAGGTAATGACATTTGTGTAATATATTATAAATTAGAATGACATTTATAATGTTATGTAAATAGTACAATTACTAAAAAAAGATACTTATTATAAGACAGACCAAAATAAAAAAATAAATATATTATTAAGGGACGAAGGGAGTGAGTATAAAGGACAAAAATGTCCCATTTCAAAAAGAACAAATGGAGTATGTATATTTGATTAATAACCTTAGAAATTTCAAAAGTATCTATATAAACTGTATCTGATTTGTTTAGTTAAAAATTTTGGAAATCTTTGGATAGGAATATATGACATTAATATATGTTCTATAAATATTTTTAATTAATAGAAAATAGTTTGATATAGTAATATTTTAAATAAATTGTAAATGTTAAATCATAAATAAGTTGAATTAAATATGAAAAATTAGATTCAATTCAACTTGTTAGGTAATCTATATGTAAGAGATTAACGGTCGATCGGAATAGCCTACAAATCTGGCGAACCATTTGTTACAAACCGCATGATCATTTTGGCATTATTAATTAGATTAGTTGTTAATATTTTTAACCTCGCTGTCAATGTGAATTTTTCGAAGATAATAAGTCCTCTTATTTTGTTGAATTTAAGATACTCCTATCGTGTAATGTATCTTTCATCTTTTTTAAATATTTTTTTTAATAACGTGAGAATTCGTAGCCGCTATTCGAAAGTGCACACCGGATAAACTTCGACCGAACCTAATATCCTACAAATTAGATCCGACAGATCTTTTTAAAGTATATTAAAAACAAGTGCAATGGTTCAGTAAAAAAAATGTTTCCATAATCTACGTGTCTCTTGACACATTCTACTTCATACATTAGAATATGAATTAATATATTTTTATTTTATTTTTTGCTTTTACAATTAATTTGTTGTTTTATTTAGATTTGCTCACTTTATTTTTTTAGTGACATAATTTTTTATATACTCTCTCAGTTGCAATTTAGTTGACATTTTTTTATAAGAAATTAACTATTTAAGAAAATAATATTTAATTAGTTAATAATAATGGTGAATTATAATAGTTATTTAATTGTCAAAATAAAATAAATATTGGATCAATTTTAGTTGTTCGGTAAAATTTCATCTTTATTAGAGCTGTTAGATTAATTTTACTGACATTATTCTCGCACAATTTAAATATTTTTTTTTTATTCATTTATCTAAATAAATAACCTGTAAATCATAAAACATTTTCTTTAAATAATAAAAATTCTTGAATAATAATTAACTATCCAATATTATTTTATTTAATTATTGTTTAACTTTTAAATTAAATTTTAAATAATAAATAACTGTTTATTTATATTATAAACATATTATTAAATCACAATAAAGAATTACATAATTAATAGTAAGTGTAAATTGTAAATATAAAAAATTATTTAAAATAATATATAAAATAGAATATTTAAGAAATATTTTTTTATAGAAAACTTTTAGAAAATAAAAAAAAAAATTGTGTTAGAAGTGAAAATACTATAAAAACTTAGGATGTATTTGTTCGCGGATTTTAGTTTTTGTGTTTGAATTTTTAAATAGTAAACAGTTGAATTTGAATAGTTGTTTGATTTGATATAATATAGGTTGATGTGATGTTTTGAATAGAAAATAAATTTGTAATACTACCTTCGTCCGACTCAAAGGATCCATTTACTTTTTCGTGTTGATCTTTAAATATTAATTATTATATGAAAATATAGTTACAAATCAAGGGAAGTAATAAAAATACTTCTATTAGTGTCTTATACTACTATTATAATGATATTTGTGTAAAAAACTATAAATATACAAACATATTTTTAATGTTAAATACAATGACAGATGAGAGTCTTAGAGCCGGGACAGAAGAATCATAATATAAAAAAATAATAAAATAATATTTTGATTTGATATTTTTTGAAAGAAAAAAAAAAATCTCAATAATAAAAATATGTGATAAAATTCACAAAAGAACACAACCTAAGGGTTTGTTTGTTCAGTGTTTTAATTTAAATTTTTTATGTGAGATATAAAAAATTATGTTGTAATATAAATATAATATTTTACATTTAATGTTGATTTTTTTGTAAAATGATCAAATATATATTAAAAACCGCATCGAAATTTTTTTGTAAGCAAACAAACCCTTAATTTTTTAGTTGAAACTTTAAATAAATAAAATTCATGAGTCGAAGCCCAATCCGAAAAGTGCAAAACTTAAAAACTTATTATTAGGGACGAGCTTCTTCATGTGCTATGCTAATTTGACCCGATCAATCGCGCTTTTGCCTTTGGTATTTATGGGACAAAGATTTTATATGCAAATCATATGTGAATAATGCATTTTCAGTATTCAATGTAACAAATTGACAAATTGTATGGACAAATCCCCAATTCCATTATAACTCCCAAAAACCAATCTTGATTCAATTTGCTTTCAAAAGTATACATCATTCTCGTCATCTTCATTTTCATCACCGTAATCTTGAACTTCATCAAGATCGCTATCCTCGCCCTCCCCTTCCGAGAATGTCGACGATACTCGAAACCCATTCAACCCGACGGCGCCAATCGAGCCCCCGTCGTCATCGGCAAAACTTTCCACCTCAAACTCACCGCCAAATTCACTAACACTAAATGCACCACCATATCCATATCCATAGCCATTGCCATTGCCATTTTCTTCTGCATCATCATCATCAAATTCCCTCCTCTTCAACTCCAAATCATCCTCTTTAATCTCCCCATTCTCGACTCCGGTCCACGGCACCCAAACGTCGGCGTGGCGGCCCAAAACCCCGTCGCGATCCCCGACCACCACCGTCCCCAAATTCGCCGACCGCGCCTTCCTTAACATCTCCAAAAAATCGGAATCATCGGACACCAGGACAATCCAATCCACGCCGCGGCTCATCGAATGAGCCATCTGCCTCTTCAGCGCCCAATCCGCCGCCTGCGGCTTGTCCTCCACCGTCTTCACGTAAACTCCGGCGCGCCGGAGTTCCTGCGCCAGCCCGTACCCGACTTTGGGGGTCAGCAATCTCCGGGCAGCCTCGTTGTACCTTTCGTTGCCGTCAATGTACCTTTCCTTAAAACGCTGTCGTTTCTTGCCCTTTAGGCTCCGCATCCTGCCCAGCTTCTTCTGCCGCTCCCGCTCGTGCAGCTGCCGGAAGTGCTTTTTCAGATCCACGTGGGTTTTGCACTTCCTGCCGCAGACGGAGCAGACGTACGGCGCCGGCGCCGGCGGCGCCAGGCCGCGGCGTTCGAGGGCGTCGAGATGGCGGCGCTCGCGGCGCTCCTCGACGACCCACTGGGGGAGGTGGACGAAGGCGTGGCGATTGGCGTAGGCTGAGATGTCGATGACGTCGCCGAAGCGCTGCGCCACCGATTTGAGGGCTTGCGCCGCCTCGTACGGCGGCCCGCGCGGCGGCTTGTTGTCGAGGTCCCACAGGACGACGACTTTCTTGGGCTTGGCGGCGTAGGAGCCTTCCTTGGTTCGGACCATGTCGATTTCCTGGTTCGAAACGCAGCAGCATCGTATGGCAATTAGGGGACGGTAGAAATTGAGATTGAAATTGAAATTGAGGTTGAAGGGGGGGAGTTTAGGGTTTACTGAAAATGGGGATTTGGGTTTGAAGGAGAGGAATTGGATGGGAGTGATGATGGTGGACATGGAGATTTAGGGATTGGGTTTGGAGGTTAAGAAGATTGGAGAAAGGGGGCTTGAATTGTTCTTCCATATCTTTTGAGGGTTTTGAGATATTAATTTTTAGACCTTCATGATAGTGTTGTGCTTTATCGGCAACTCCAGGATATTTTTACGGTCTTTTAATTCAAAATATATATATTTTTTTATCATTTACTATTCAAAATTATTCATTTTGTAAACATAATCAATAGATAAATATTTTTTAAATATTTTTCTTTTTTTAATTTTACAAAAATATTTTTTTGTTTATAAAATAAAAAATATTAAAATCATCTAAATCAATAAAATACTCATTTCTTAATATATTACTATGGAGTATTTTTTTTTTTTTTAAAAAAAACAAAAGAATATGTATACTCATCTTCTCTTAATGTGTTTATTGTTATGAGTAGGAAATTATATTTTTTACATTTTTTTTACCATAAAAAATTAAAAACAATAACAAAAAAAAAATACATTTTTTTATTAAAATTTAGGTCCATAAATATGAACACTTTTTTATTTTTTTTAAACTTAAGGAATATAATGATACAAACTTTAAAGATAATATATTCAATGTATTGATTCCGTTTAAATAGAAATTTTTTGAAGTCTTAAATGTTTAAAATTGTTAAAATAATACAAAATTATATTTAATGTAATATTTTGTAAAATAAAATATATTTAATGTGATATTTTTATAAAATCAAATAGTGTAAAATTTTACAAAATTACTATGTATTTATTTATTTTATTTTATCACGATCACAAATTAGTATTTATGAAAGTTTTAGGAAGAAAATAAAAATAAGATAAAAATATTAGACCTTGCTTATATAAATTTAAATCTTAAAATATTTATTGTACAATTCTCACAATTGTTTTTATAAAAATATACTCCATCCATCTCAAATACCTTGTCCGAACATTCTACAGTATTTTCTTTTTGTCTGCTTCAAATATCCGAAAATATTTCTAAAATAAAAAATAATTAAATATATTCAATTTCTACCTCACAAGTTATCTCATCTCATCACTCAAATAAGTATACACTTTTCTCTTTCATCATATCACTCATTTCTAAATTATCTTATTTAATATTATCCACATAAATTTATGTGTTGAAAACAAATCTTCCAACATGTTTGGAACAGAGATAATACTATATACTACCTCCGTCCGGCTCTAAGGGTTCAATTTATTTTTTGCGCGTTGATATTTGAATATTAATTTTTTTATCAAAATGTAATACAAATTAAGAAAAAATTCCAAAAATATTTTCATTAATGTCTTATAATACTAATAGAAAGACATTTGTAAAAAAATTATACAAATATAAGAATATTTTCAATGTTAAATATAATGAGGCATAAGGTAAATGTGACCCTTAGAAGCGGACGAATGAAATATATATTTAAAAAAACCTCATTAAAACTAATTAATCAAAAGTACTTTCTTCAAAACTCTTCAATTTTGGGGACATGAGATCTCCCCAAGCTCTCCAACACAATTTCGAACAGATCGCCATCCGACTCGTGGTCGAATTGCAGGTCTCTTAAGCTGCTCACGGTGTTGTTATTGCTTCTCGTCGCACTCCTTTGCAATTGCCACCTTGAGTCGATCCTTCCCAACGAAAAAAGGTCCTTGCTATCTTCATACGGCGAGTTATGGCCAATGAAGCAAGGATTCGGCGTCCTATATGAATTTGCCGGCGAGAATTCAAATGGACTTTGGCCAAGATTTACCAAAACTGTAGTATCAACATTGGCTGTTAGGATAGGGTAGAGTGGCCAAGCAAACTCCTCGGTCTTGCAATCGATTTCGTGGACTAGTTGAGAATTAAGCGTGAAGAGAACCTTCTTCTCCCTCGGATTGTATCCACACCCGACTACGCTATTCGGCATTCCCCATTCTTCGCGCGATCCGTCCGCTACTTTGGTTCCTAAGGATGGATAGAGGAAGACCGTTATTCATTTAGCATTGTGCTGACAATATACAAATTATTACAGACAGTTTGTTAAGTATAATACAAATACAATACAATATAGCATATAAATTACAATACAATGGATCCATACTTATTTTATAATAAAAATAAAAATTTATGTTTAAACTATTAAAAATGATCAAATTAATATTTTTAGGGTAAAATCATTTTTTTGTCACGTAATTTGACTCATTTATCATTTTAGTCTCGTAATTGGAGCATGTCGTAAACTAGTTTCTTAAGTGGAAATTTTTTGCATTTTTAACCTTCAGGCGCGGGAAATGTCTACGTGACACCCGCATGGCTCGCCGGAGGATACGTGTTCGCCAGATTAGCGACACGACGGACATGTAGAATTTAAAAAAAATAAAAAAAAAAAATTTAATTTATGTATTTTGTATTTGGTCCAATTGAAGTAAATAGCAGAAACATAAAAAGGATTAAAAAATTTCAAAAAAAAATATTCACGCCATCCATCGGATATCGCTGATCTGGCGGAACACAAGTCATCCGGCAAGTCACGCGGGTGTTACATAGGCATAAAAGTGCTAAATATTTTCACTTACGAAACTAAAATACGACAAGTCCAATTACATAACTAGAATAATAAAAAAGTCAAATTACGATATTAAAAATCAATTTACCCATATTAAAAAAATAAATAAATAAAATAAAAGAGAGAGAGAAAAGAGGGCAAGAAGCTGACCATCTAAATAAACAGAACCATTTGAAGTGAATCCAACAGATCTTCGATAACTCCCTGCCACTTGTAATCTCACATCCTCTTCTCCATTCACTGTCACTCCCAAACTCAAAACAATCTCTCCATTACCGCCTCTTCCATGGCTTCCCACCTTCACTCCTTCACCTAATTTTCCAATCTTAACTACCTCTAAATCTCCCCTCTTTCTTTCATACCCATCTTCTCCAAGCCCGCCTTTCTCCGCGCCCGATTGCGACATAACTGTGATTTCAAAATACGCCTCCGGCGGGAACGACGAGTTCCCCAAATCCGGCCCCGGCAGAGGCAGCGCCATCCTAACGGCCGCGATCTTTTTTGCGGTCGGGATTAGTCGAACACGCTGCATGAAGTCATCCGATCCTCGACGCACCTCCCGACCGAGCTCGACGACTCTAGGGGCGATCCCGCCGTCGCGACATGCGGCAAGAACGGACGTGGAGGATTTGGCGGGAGGCGCGACGAATGAGAATCTCGACCATCCATTTTCCGCGGCCTCCGTGACGAGGGATGGATGGTCGAGCCAACGGAACGGCGGCGGGTGGATTATTTGGTCGGCGATGAATCGTTGAATCACGGTGGTGACTCTGGCATCGGAAACATCGGGACTCTTAGGAAGAAACAGACGTTTGATGATTGTCAGAAGGACGACGAGAAGAATAGCGACGGAAATAGAGACGAGAGTTATATGTAACCAGTGGATCATTTGTTAGGATTCAAAGAAAAGATTTGGGGATTTTGAGGATGTTGTTGAAGAAGAGTTGAGGAATATGTAATGTAATGTAATCGTAGGCGTGGACTTGGGACTCATTCAAGAGTGACGACATGAAACAAGTAGTACATATTGACATTGCATTTTTTTATTTTATTCATCTCAACTATTTATATATATATATATTTTTATGTGTCACGACGATATATATATTTCTTATAGATTTTATTACAATTATTATAAATATTTTTAAATTTATATTGATTTATATCAATATCATTATATCAAATTAAAATACAGAAGCAAATAGAGTTTCTACACAAAAGTTATTATAACTATCATTTAAATACTATTTCTTTAGTCCGAGCTAATTATGTTATTTTGTTCTATCACAAAAATTAAAAAATAATAATATTTTCATGTAAAGGTATAGTAAGTAAAAGATAATGTGAGAATTATAGAAAATTTATTAAAAAATAATAAAAAAGTAATGTGAGAAGTAAAAAAAAAAAAGAAATTGAATATTATTGGTTAAAATAAATATGATAATATTATGGATGAATAAAATTATTCAACGGATAATTGAAAAAAAAAAAAAACTGACATAATTATAGCAAACATAGAAAATATTATTTTTAAATTTTTATGTAAAATATATATATGTTACACAGAGAGAAGTATATTTATATACATTTAAAATGATCTATTTTCATAAATAATTTGTGATAATTATGTATAAATATAAAATTTTATTTATTTTCTATAAAATAATATTTATTTTAAATATAATAGTTTTTAAAACATTCAAAATATAACTAAAATATATTCTAATTTTTTAGTATTTTGTTTGAAATATATATTTTTTATGTATGAGATTTGAATAATCTTATCAATAATAAAAATAGTAAAATAAATCTTTTTTCTTATGAAAAAAAAAAAAAGAAAAGGGTAACGTTTGGATAAGAGAAGTAGTATGTTTAAAAGAAAAAAAACAAAAAAAAGAATTGTCTGAAGTAGCAAACAATTGTTAGACCGTTCCTGGGGGCTCTGCAATACTTTCTGCAGGCAATGAAAATAAATTCTCAGCCCTAAAATTGTCTGAATCCAATCCAATAATTGTACATATTCAACCGGCCCAATTTCCAATTGCGTTAAAGCGGAAAAAACTTTTGAAAATCTATCAAGAATAGTTCCAGAATTTGCTGGAATCGTCTATCTGGGTTCCATCATATACATACAATCGGAATCGGGGGCAGAAGTGGCAGGCAGGAGGGAAAAAGGGAAACTCCGTTGAATGCCATGAGCCGCGGAGACGACGAGATGATGGACGCGGAGGGTTCAGCTCCGCCGCAGACGGCGGGGTCGAGTTCTGGCCCTGACGACGTCAGGAGTTTGCTCGAGAAGGCACGCCGACTCATTGATCAAGGGAGGCCATCTCAGGCTCTCCAAGCGGTACCCTTCTCTCCCAATTTTCTCTAATTCACTTGTTCGTGACGGTTGATTTCGATAATTGGATGAGTTGTATGTGCGATCAGTTTTTTACTATTGCCCCCTTGCCTTGTCCCGAGCATCATCTTTGATTTGCCTCTGGATTATCTGCCCTATGGATTGAAAATCGTTTTTCGTTTCCTATTTTGGCATTTAGGAGTTTTTGAGGTTGAATTTTGCATATCTGGATTGTTTGGATTGGTTTAGAGATTTTTAGATTCTATTGACTAGAGGTGTGGAATTTTTTTGACTGGTTTTGGTACTTTAGGATCAATGGTTTCTTTTATTTTAGTGAAATCAGTGTGTGTTTTCGGTGTTTCCTCATGTGTAATAACTATCTGTAATCATTCACAGATGGATTAGATTAAGTTATGAGCTCTTCATTGGGAGTTTTTGTGCAATTTTATGATTTTTCTGATTCTGTGTATGTTTCCTTAAAGAATGTTAGATGAATGTGGCTTTGGCAATGCAAAGTTGATGATTTTTTTGGAGTTTTTAAGTTAACTAGCAATTCAAATTAAGCATTTTTTTATTGTGTTTCTAGTGTAACAAATAGCATTAATTGTTCGAGTATAGATAGTGTTCGGAACTGTGATTATGCCTGAAATTTTGGAGTTTTTAAGTGAACTTTGAGTTACACGTGGCTTCTGTGGTTATATTGTGTTTCTAGTGTAACAAATAGCATTAATTGTTCAAATACAGATAGTGTTCGGGACTGATTATGTCTAAATTTCCGGAGTTTTTAAGTTAACTAGCAATTCATATTACACGTGGCTTTGGTGGTTTTGTTGTGTTTCTAGTGTAACAAATAGCATTAATTGTTTGAGCATAGATAGTTTTTGGAATTGATCATGTCTGAAATTTCGGAGATTTTAAGTTAACTAGAAAGTCGAATTACATGTGGCTTCTGCGGTTGTATTGTGTTTCTAGTTTAGCAAATAGCTTTAATTGTTCGAGTATAGGTAGTTTCAGAATTAATTGTGTCTGAATTTTTTTTGGAGCTTTTAACTAGCAACTCGAATTACACGTGGCTTCTGTGGTTTTGTTGTGTTTCTAGTGTAGCAAATAGCTTTAATTGTTTGAGCATAGATGGTGTTCAGAATTAATTCATCTGAATTTTTTTGGAGCTTTTAACTAGCAATTCAAATTACATGTGGCTTCCGCGGTTTTATCGTGTTTCTAGTGTAACAAACAGCCTTAATTGTTGAGTATAGATAGTGTTCGGAATTGAATATGTCTGAATAATGGAATAATCTAATTTAATGTTTATCCTAGCAGTGTTTTAAAATTTAAATGGCGCCCTTTACAACTTTGTATCCTATGTTAATGTCTGCGGCCATTGCTTAATGTGTTTTATTTGCATTCTAGTGGATGTACCTTTCCCCAGAGCCATTTTGATTGTTTACGTGAGTGTCATACTTGTCAAACATGACGGATATATGTGATCTGCTTCATTTTGTAGATTTCCTGATTAAAAGAAAAAAGAGAGAAGAGGGTTTCCAATTGTGGTGTGAATTTTAAATCCAATTAGATATCCATGGAAGAACATTGGATTTACATTTAGAGACTACTGGTTTTAAGTTAAATATCAGGAAGCTCCAAAAAATTGAGGTAGTAATGGAATTATGCTGTGTATAGACATCCATGTTAACGACTTTGTTCTCTTGACATTTAATGCGGAAACAACTTCCTCTAGAAATTGGAATTTAAAAAATTGTATTGTGTTGTTGTCAGAAGTTAACGAAAATCAACTTGAATGGATACAAATGCGCCTTAATGACAGCTTTGTTCTTTTTTTTTTTTTTTCGAGTCAATGTTTGTCCCGTCAATTAGCAGCAGTTCTATAATAACTTGGCAGTTCACCTTTGCTGATTCAGAACTTTATTTTTATCCTGGCAAAAAATCTTGCAAGAATTCATCAAATTAATATTAACACTTTACTATCAAAAGGTGATTATGGCAATGCAAATGCAAGGCGGGGATGAATCCGTGGTGCGGCGTCTGAGTTCTGCCGGCGAGAATTACAGAATAAGAGCTCAAGAATGTGCGGCTGCGGACGAGTTAGCTTCATTATTTGCAGAATGCGCGATTGCAGAGGTGAATCCTCAGCAACCTGGATTTTTGCAGCAAAAGAAAGACCAAAACTTAGCCCTACCAGATCCTGATGGGAATTCGATCCTCGCGGAGACCGGGAGGACGCAGATCATGCTCGATGCATTCTCGGATGGGAGCAGCTTTATCTGTTTACGGTGTGGAGGTCTTGTCAGCAACCATCGTAGGGATGAACATGAAAAGTTCTGGTGTTGTAAAATTTGAAGCCTGTTTGCATAGCCTTCGAAGTGGCTGAAATATGGATCGAGGATCGCTCTGAATCGAACATCGGCGGGCGATTAGAATGAATGTTTGGCTACCAACAGCAGGCATAGAATGATTAAGAATAATACCGATGGTGATGGGAACTGAACCAATTTTTTGGCTTCTTACAGCCTTGCCATTGCCTTGCCTTGTTGTATAAACGATGTTGTGCTTGTTACAGAATTTCATTCCGCCGCCGTATTGATGGTGAAATTTTCTTCGACATACAGGTTTGTTGTCTAAATTGTTTGGTAATTTTTAGTGTATCGACTTATGATAAAGTTGAGGAATGATTTAAGGCTACGTATAATACAAGGTAAAGTTGACCTATAATACAACATAGGTGGTTCTTGGTATACGTTTGTATGTCCTATAATATAAGGTAAAGTTGACCTTATAATACAATATAGGTGGTTTTTAGTATACCTTTGTATGATCTATAATACAAACTAAATCCAACAAAATAAAGTAAAATTAAAAAACAATAGACTTTTGAATTTGATGAGTTGGCTTGAGATCATATGTGAATTCTAAACGCTATAATTGCTAAAAACAAAACTTCGAAATATAAACAAAAAATGAAAAAAAAAAAAAAAAAAACGTTTAAAGGAAACTATGATCTCCATTTTTTTTGGATTTTTTTTTCTTATGTCCTTATTTTACCTCATGTTTTCATTCTTATCCGGCTCATATGTGCTGATTCCGAACGGTTGGATTCGATTACCTGATTACGAGGTAACTGTTGACTGTTATCTCTGAGACTGTTATCCCTGAATCTCCAATAACCTAAATTGGTTACTTCAAAGGATGCGCTTCTCCAGCTTTTGGATACCCCAACCATCCAATCGGTGTTTTCTGGCTCCGCAATCATTCGGTCCGAAACGAACGATCTATTGACCCATCGCCCCTAAATGCTAGCCTTGCTGAATTGCACTACCAGACTTTTCTATACCTAATTGGACTCTTCTGGCCCATTTTGTTTTAATAGGCCAGTTGGGCGAAACCTTAGACACTATTTTCGTAACTCAACAAATATATATTTTTTTTTATAAAATATTATATTAAATCATCATTCAGAAAAAAGAAAAACCAAAAAAACAGAGCTCCAAAATAACATCAACTATGTGCCATGATTGGTTCAAATACATGTATTCTTAAGTGCACTTATAAATGGTTTCATTAGTTCTACCCCACCAGTCCACCACACAATCACAAACTCAAATTACACTAAACACACCACCCATTACAACCAAAACGAGTCATTTCCTAGTCGGGTGGTGTAGGGGTTCGTAGTCGGGTGGTGTAGGGGTGAACTCGTAATTCAAATATTATGGGTTAAAATAATTATTCTTTTTGCATCTAATTTACTACAAATAAATTATATATAAATTTAATGGACAAAAAAAAAACTAAATATAATATAATTATAAGAGATGAAAAGAGTATTTAAATAAAATTCAAAAAAATAAATAAAAAATAAATAAAATTCAAATTCAAATACAAATCAAACATACCTAAACTTTTATAATATATACAACTCTCATAAAAAAAGAATTGTCTTATTTTCATTTTCTTCTTTTATTTAGTAATAATAGTCCCCACTTTACAACAACATTATTCCTATTTTTTCACAATCTCCAACCTACTCTTTAAAATTTTTTAAAAAACAAAGGTAATATAATTATTACTTAAAGTTAGTTTTTAAATTCTTTAAAAAAACAAGGATAAATTAGTCTTTTATATTTTATTTTATACTCATATTCAATTAAATATTATTATTCATTAATTGTCGTGCCAACTCTTCCGGAAATATCTTTTATGAAGGGAGGGGTATTAATTTCAATAAACACTTCAATTATTATTCAAAATTAAAATATAAAATCAAACCGCATTAATAAACCCAAATCTTGAAATAATAAAATAGGAAGAAAAAAACTTTCATTATTAAGCCACCATCCTACCTACCACACTCCATCCATAGTGTGAAAGTATGTGACCATATTTTAAACTACAAAAGGACTTATTCTAGATTCCTCAACTCAATGCTATTACACCTCACAAACCATGACCAAGAAACAATGTCCTATTCTAACCACCACTCAAATTCTGATACTGGCCGCCGCCGCCGCCGCCGCCGCCGCCATATCTCGGCCACTAGCACCACCTCCGGCGAGCGACGACCTCGTTTTCGCCGATCAACGGCTGGCGATAGTTTATCCGGTAATCCAACGGTTCAAGGCTCTCATAACCTCCGATCCCTTCAACGTCACCGCCTCATGGATCGGCTCGGACATTTGCAACTACAAAGGATTCTACTGCGAAAGCCCTCCCGACAACGGATCAGCTCTCGCCCTCGCATCCATCGATTTCAATGGCTTCCGCCTCTCGGCCCCGACTCTAGATGAATTTCTTGATCAACTCCCGGACATCGCCCTATTCCACGCCAATTCCAACGATTTCTCCGGGACAATCTCCCCCGACATAGCCAACTTGCCGTACCTCTACGAACTCGACATCAGCAACAACAGGTATATATGTCGGGTATGAATTATATTTAAAACTTATGAATCGAGTAAAATTTGGACTAATCGAGTTTTTTTTATACAATCAAATACTTCATCTGTACCAATTTTGTCAAAATATTTTCTTAGCATACTAAAGAAAAATAATACTCCATTCGTCCCAACTAAATTGTCCATTTTAGTTTAGGTACAAAATTTTAGGTATTGTGTAATTAGTAAGTAATTAAAAAATATATTAATAAAATAATTATAGATTAAGATTAAAATAACTAAATAGTTTAATTTTAAAAAAAATTATAAATTAAAAATTTTAAAATATAATTAAAAGTATAATTATATTTTTACAAAAATAACAAATTTAGTGAAATAGACAAAAATTAAAAAAATAAATAAATTAAGTGGGACGAAAAGAGTATTATATTAGCAAGTAAATTTGTGTAATATTGAAAAGTCTAAAATACCATTAGATTTAATGAAGAGGAATAGTGAAATATGAAATAATAGTGGTAAAAGTAAAGCTAAATTAATAATTGAGTAAGATAATAAAGACTATAAATGATAATAAATTGTTATGTGAGAAAATCTTATTGAAAAGTATGAATATTTAAATGGGATGGAAAGAGTGAAGTTATGTCTAAAGTTGAAAATAATACAAATTTCAATAACATTAATTATTTATTGATAGTATGTCATATTTAATTCATATGTTAGTTTTAATGTCATAAATATATATATATATATATATCTTCTTTCATTGTCAATTCAAAATATCCTTTTATCATTTTTCTTTGTTTACTTCAAAGTATTTATTTTGTTTTTTTTAAAAAAATAATTATATATTAATATCAAAATATCTTTTAATTTTTATTTAAATTACAAATATACTATTATATATACAATTATTTTATACATAAAATCATAATAAAAATATCAAAATTTTTTACACATTTTCACTGATTAAATAAAATACTACTATTATTTTTTAATTTACTACGTGATGCCCCTTTAATCACGGACAGAGGGAGAGAGTATATATTTGATTTAATGTCATAAAAAAAATTAATGAACAAAAATATCAATTTATGAAATTAGTTTGTTTAGCTATGTTTTTAAATAATTTTATATTTTGAAAATAATTAAAATATAAAAAAATAAAAAAGATGTATTTAACATAATATTTATATGTTCAACTAAATCAATAATTCTCCGTCAGGCTGTCGGGTCCATTCCCGCCGGCGATTCTCGCCATGGACGGCCTATCCTTCCTCGACCTACGCTTCAACGCCTTCTCCGGCTCCGTTCCTCCCGAGCTCTTCACCCGAGCCTCCCTCGACGCACTCTTCCTCAACAACAACCATTTCACGGCGGCGCTGCCCGACTGCTCCGGCGCCAGCGCCGGCGACAATCACATAATATACCTCACACTAGCCAACAACAAATTCTCCGGCGACATCCCCGGCGCCGCCCTGTCGCGCAACCTGTCGGAACTTCTGCTCCTCAACAACATGTTCAGCGGATGTCTGCCTCACGACATCGGAAAACTCGAAAGCGCGGTGGTCATCGACGCCGGAAACAACCGGCTGACGGGGCACCTGCCGTACAGCCTGGGGTGCCTGCGGCGGCTGGAGATTTTGAATTTGGCGGGGAATCTTCTGTACGGACGTGTCCCGGAGAGGGTTTGCCGGCTGGAGAATCTTGCGAACCTGTCGCTGTCGGATAATTATCTGACGGGATTCGGACAGGCGTGCTGGCGGCTGATCAAGAACGGCGTTCTGGATTTGACGGGGAATTGTGTTCCCGGATTGCCGTTGCAGAGGCCGGTGGATGAGTGCGTGGAGTTCTTCACGGATTTTCCGTTACGGCGCCGTTGTTGGAATATTCCGGCGCACGCATCATTTCCATGTTGGTTTCTGTAATTATTTCTGCTGTTGTTTGTTTACTGTTGATTTTTATATGAAGAAATTAAAGTGATGTTTTTATGTTAGAAAAAAGTTGCTGTCGGCAATAATAAAAGTGCGTTGGGTTTTTTTTTTTTATTTTTTATATACTATATTATATTTTTTAATTTTACTTTTTTTATTGAATTATAAGAATTTGAATATGATATTTTTAGAATTGCATTTTATACTTCTTGCTTTGTGTTTCATTTATTTCCTCCTCAATTTCATTTTTTTAAATTTCTTTCTTCTTCACACTTTTTGAAAATACTTAAATAAATGAGTTCTCTAAATTATTTTTTTGTTTCAAAATAGACTTTTCGGACTTCTACATACTTTTTTATTATGTTTGAAATAAATAATCGAATTTGGTGAAAAATTAACTATTTATCTATAATTTTTCTCTCGAAAATATTATATCAAACACTTATTTTTTATTTTCTATATTATACTAAAAATTAATTTTATATTCAAAATATCACATCAATATATATTTATATCATATAATACAATTATTTCAAATCAAAATTTAATTCAAAATTCAAACCCCAAACAAACGCACATTACAAAATTCATGTTTCTTTCCAATCTTTGGCGTTCAAACTCAATTTGGCTTCTAAGATACTACTCCCTCCGTCCCACATAGTTTGTCCCTATTTTTTATTTTCGTCCGTCCCACATAACTTGTCTTTTCTATTGTTGGAAATATAATTATGCACTTTAATCGCATTTTAAATTTTATAATTTTCTTAATTTTAATTAAACTATTTACTTATCTTAATCTTAATCTATAATTATTTTTACTAAATAATAATTATTTTTACTAATATACTTCTTAATTACTTACTAATTATATTTTACCTAAATTCTTGTATCTATAATAATAATCCTGACTGAGGGAGTATTTTGAATTTGAAGGGAGTTTATGCATCTGTTTATTGTTATTGTTAATATATTCTATAGATTATATAATTATTAATTTCTTAATCTAATTTGATGACTACCCACAGTACGTTTACTGCAAATAGTATTGCAATATCATTTTTAATAATACATAGAGTTTCTCCCAAAATTAAATACTACTGTAATTGTTAATTGAAAAATCTCATTACCCATAAACAACAATATTTGATCCAACTGTGCAGTCACATCAAGTTGTATTTATTTGTCTTTCATAAGATGGTGTTTTCTAAAGACAAAATGGACACTTTGAGTTTGTTCTATTATGATCAGAAGTGTATAGAAATACACCATTCCTTTTTTTGTACCAACGGAATTAATTGCATGTAAATTCCATGCTTGCTACGGCTGCCTTACTCAGCTCGAGATGGTTGGAAGGGTGAAGTAGTGCGGTGGTTTTGAAAGTGTGTGTAGTGAGAGAAAAAGTATAACAATCCTCTCAACTTCAACTCTTCCCATCTCTATGTATTGAGTGAGTGATATACACTACTATCTCGCCAGAGAGTTTGTCGATCGGAGGGAAATCGGAGTTCCGATTAGGGGAACATTCAGAATCTGAGCAACCCAACTATTTGTTAGTTGTCAGTACGCGTTTGTGACAACGTATGTCTATGGAGGGATTTTCCTAGGTAATCAGCATTGTAGTTTGAGTTGAAGGACTTTTGGGTTTTCTGTTCTTAATCAGCACTGATTAGTGAACCTCTCATCGATTGGAACCCGAATGTAGGTTGATTATAACCGAACCGGATTACCAAATATCTTGTCATTTATTGTTTTGATCACTTTATTTATTTCGTTAACAAGATGCCGTTATAACTGTGATATAACTACGTTTTGAAAATTGACCATTGAATAAGTGTCTGAAAGTATTTTTGGTACATCACTTGTTCTCCCAATACTAATATTTAACAATCTAATTTTTATTAGCAAATAAGAATTCACAATAAATTAAAATATCCAAAAACACGTGCGAATTCTGCCTAGATTCTCATTCTAATTTTGGGATTGCCTTGATATGTGCACACGTCGTGGGCACTAAATATTATCATGATTAACATATAAAATTCTCTTTTTAATTCGATCCGTTATATATTTATTTTTTAAAAATATAATTATACATCTCAATCATATTTTAAAAATTTATTATTTATAATTTTTGTATAATTTATATAAATTTTTTTTTGTATAAATATCGTTATATTAGTATTATAAATACACTAATAGAAATATTTTTGTCATTTTTTTTTAATTTGTACTTTAATATAATAATTAATATTTAAACATCAACCGCAAAAATTAAATATGATCCTTTGAATCTGACGAAGGTAATATATAATATTTTTCACTAATAACAAAATTCTGATAAAAAAAAAAAAAAAAACAGTCTTGTTGTCTATATAAAAAACTATAGTGTGTTAGTATTTCTTGCAGCAGCTCAAATATGGCTACAACAATTACGTCATATTTCCTCTTCCTCGTCCTTCTCCTCTATCCGTTCACCTTAAGGGCGCTCCCGTCGGACATATCCATCGGGTCCGACTGCGACAACGCTGTAATAACTTTGGCCATGTTCGAGGCGTGGATGGCCGAGCACGGCAAAGTGTACAATTCCGCGGAGGAGAAGGACAAGAGCTTCCGGATTTTTAAAGATAATTTATGCTACATTGAAGAGCGCAATGCGATCCTCGCATTGGGCTACAGGCTCGGGGTTAATAGTTTTGCGGATTTGACATATGATGAGTACCGGAAAATTTATTTAGGCGGAGATAGTAATCGGAGATTGGATGATCGGAGGGTCTTGAATAATAAGGTTCCGGATGTCGGCCACGGCGAGCTGCCGGAATCTGTCGACTGGAGACGGACAGGCGCCGTCGCGCCGGTCAAGAATCAAGGAGCATGTGGTAAGATTTTTATAAGTTTCATTAATTTTTTACATTTCGTATCTACTCATTCAATAAAAACACATAGTCTGTTCCTCCACAAATCCCCAAAAAATTTTATATTTTTTGGGAATGAGGGAGTATAATTTATTTCACATACATATAAATATATTTTCTATTGCAATAATTATAAATTATTTTAATATATTATTCATTAAATTATAATTATAATTTTATAAATTTAAATTAATTAATTTTTATATATAATTGATTTTATTTGTAAACTGTAATTATGTTTTTATTATTATTATAATTTTCTATTAAGTTATAATTTTATTTTTTATAAATTTAATTAATTAATTTTTATATATAGTTATTTTTATTTGTAAACTATAATTATGTTTTATTATTATTTTATTTTTATATTAAAATTAAATAAAATAGAATAAATTTATTAAAAATTATAAATATAATAAATTAATAAATTAATTAATAATTAATATAATAAATATATAATATATTTTTTTTATTATTTTATATATTACATCATTTTTAATAAAAAAATATTCATATTTCTTAATAAAAATATATACTATTATTTTTTTCACATCTAAATTTAATAAAAAAAATATTTTATAATACATTCGTAATTTCAAATAACTAATACTCCCTCCGTCCCGCATTGGATATATGGGTCACTGTAGACAAGAGAATTTATGATAAGTATAATTAGTAGATAATTAAAAATGTATTAGTGAAAATAATTATAAATTAAGATTAAGATAACTAATTACTTTAATTAAAAATTTTAAAAAAAATTAAATTAAAACGTTTAAAATAAGATTAAAGTGTGTAATCATTTTCCAAAAAAGGAAAGTGACATGGGATGTGGAACGGACAAAAACGACAATGTGGACATGGTATGTAGGACGAGGGGAGTAACAAAAATTTTAAAATTTTTAAAACTAAAAAGACACAATTAATAAAATTTAAAAGTTAAAATATAAATGTCTTCAACTGTCATTTTACATATAAACATCTAATATCAAACAATTTTTTACCAAACACTTTAATCCAAACAACTAATTGAATTAGCTAGTCAAACAAGGTAATTGAATCAACTAAACGCTAACAGCTAATTGAATCAGCTAACAGCTGATTGCCACACACCCTTAAAATTTAATTTATAATTTTTTAAATTTTAATTATATTAATAAGTTATTAATTTTAATTTATAATTATTTTTATTATATGATAATTATTTTTACTAATACTTTTTTAATTATATACTAATTATATTCCTCCTAAATTTCCGTGTCTACAGTAAAACAGACAAAATATCCGGAACAAATGGAGTATTATTTATACAATTTTCTATACATCACCAAAAAAATACTCCATCCGTCCAATTTGTCCACTATTTCCATATCCGTGCGTCTCATATCAATTGTTTATTTCTTTTTATTTTATGTAAATATAATTATACAATTAATCACATTTTAAAATTTATAATTTGTATTTTTTTATTTTAATTAAACTATTTAGTCATCTTAATCTTAATCTCAATATATAATTATTTTTATTATATCATAATTATTTTTACTATTATATTTTTTTAATTATTTACTAATTAAATAATACTTAAAACTCTTTGTCCCAACTAAAACGGACAAATTAACTGGGATGAAAAAAAAAATATATTTTTATACAATTTCACTAAACAAACACAATACTTTAGAGGAAACGTATTGGAACGTTGATTAGCATATATGTTAGTAATACATGCTTACAATTTATATAATATATATATATATATGTAAATATAAATTGTTAGCATATGTTGTCTCCATGATTTTAAAGGTGTGTTCGTTTGAATGTTTAAATTTTTTTGTTGAAATTTAAATAGTAAATTTTTAAAATTAGAACAATTGTTTCTATAACGTAATATAATGATGATGTGATATTTTTAATATAAAATTATTTTTTATTATAATATAAAAAATAAAAAAATAATATTTAATTTGATATTTTTAGAATTTCTTTTTTTAGTGAATAATAAAATTTTGGAAAAACTTGATAAAAGAATACACACTACGGATGCGTTTGACAATTAGTTGATAGCTTTTAGTTGTTAGCTGATTCAATTAGCTGGTTTGACTAGCTGATTCAATTACCGGTTTGTATTAAAGTGTTTGGTAAAACAACTGTTTAACATTAATTGTTTATACATAAAATAACTATTAAGGACATTGATACGATATTTTTTAATATATTTATTATGAGAATTTTTGTTATTAATTATTAAAAATTATAAAAATATTATAAAATATTTATTTTTATTTTATTATTTAGATATGAGAAAATTATTTTTACTAAAAAAATAATATTTTTTATTGAAATTATGTGAAATATAAAATAATAAATCTTTCGTATATATATTTTTATTATATTAATTATTATTTTAATATATATAAATAAATTAATAATCTTTGTTTTTTCGATTTGATTTAGTTTTTAAAAATTTATATATTTTACAAATAAAATAATTTATATCTAATAATTAATAATAGTAATTATTTTAAATTTATAAAAATAAAAATACAATTTAATAAATTAAATATATTAAAAATAATTAATAAATACTGCTATAAAAATATATTTATATGTAAAAAATAAATAATTAGATTTTTTTAAGGGTAAATAAGGAATAATCAAAATTAAAATGAAAAACTCTTAAAAAAGTTGTGTAGACAAGCTTTTTAAAAATTAGCTTTTTGTAAGTTCTTCAAAATACTGTTTCCCAAACACCCCCTACATGTATTGTGTTAATATATTTTATAATAAAATTTATTATAATATATATTATATGAATTACTGTAAATTCATATGTTGAAATAATAAGGGTGTGTTTGTTTGAGGGATTTGTTTGGATTTTCACTATTCATCCTATTTTTTTTCCCCAAAAAATATTAAATCAAACACATATTTTTTATTTTTTATATTATACTAAAAATCAATTTTACATTCAAAACATCACATCAACACCTATTTATATCACATCATACAACTATTCAAATTCAAAATTTTTACTATTCAAATCCCAACTCAAAATCCAAACCTCCAAACAAGCACAGACTAACACACTCCAAGGGTATGTTTATATATATTCTTCTTCAATTTTATCATTTCGACTATATATTTTTAAATTAAATATCGCAATTTAAGAAGATAATAATAGTAGAATATAATATCATTATAGGCATAAATATGCATGGCTGCCCATAAACCTGTCATAGTTTGCCAGATTTATGGGTAATTGGGTAAATCAATTATTGGACCCAATTGGCCAATTTAATGTCTATATTAATCAATTCAGATTTATTACATTATTTCCATTTAAATTAATTAAAAATGAACTTTTGAGTTCAGAGAAATATTCCATGCAATTAATTCCATAATGAACTTTTTTTTCTTTTTTTTTTTTAAATTTAAATAATAATTTGATTCTAATATTTGATGAGAACAATATATTTTTATAAAAAATTATAAAAATTAAATTAATTTATCATGCATTCTTATTTAATTTTATCAACTAACAAATAAAAATTAAATAATAATATGTAGTAAACATAATACTCAGGAGCTAGTCAATTGTCCTAAAACATACTTCCCCGGTTCCACTCTAAAGATTTTTTTCGGAGTTTTGTAATAAATTTAAGAAATAATAGTATTTTATTAAAATCTGCAAAAGATTTTAACACATTTATCATTTGATTGTATCTATAAATTAATTGTATAAATAATGATATATTTGTAATTAATATATAATTACTTTTATTAAAATAAAAAATACTTTGGATTGAGATATATAAAAATAATAAAAATGATACTTTCAATTAAGACATATATAGTATATATAATCATAATTTATCATGTTATTAACAATTTGTTCGGTCACTAAAGGGAGTGGTTGGGCCTTTTCGGCAATATCTTCTACGGAAAGTGCGAACCAGATCCTCACGGGGAACATGGTTCGACTTTCCGAGCAACAGTTGCTAGACTGCGACGTCGCCGGCTTAAATCACGGCTGCGAAGGGGGCCGAGCCAGCCAAGCCTTCGACTTTATCGTTCAAAATGGGGGTGTCGTTGCCGAGGAAGATTATGGATATCTAGCCACAAGGGGACAATGTCGACTAACCACGAAACCCGACGCCCTCCGTGTAGTAAGTTTGGACTCGTACCATGATGTCCCGGCATTTAATGAGTCGGAACTGGCCCGAGCAGTCGCCCGTCAGCCGGTGAGCGTAGTAGTCTCATTTGGCTCAAGGGACTTCCAATTTTATAAATCGGTAAGTCTCAATTACGCGCTTCTATATTCCAATTTTTGCTTGAACGATTCTTTTAGAGCACGTGGGAGTGATTCTTGTTGAAACTTATTATAAATTACATCCTAAGTTTATGATATGTTGTGTTAAAATAATTGAGATAAAAAATAAAAATTAGTAAATTTAACTTGATTTCGTTAGCGCTGTTGGATTCAAATCTACACATGAATGAAAGGTTTTGTATTCTTCAAGCCTATGATGCAATCCCTTCCGAAAAAACCACTAGAGTTTCTAGTGCTACTCTATATCAAAAGTAATAGTTGTTAGATTTAGGTCTGAGATTACAACCCTAATATATATCATTTATTACTAATTGGTTTCATCAGTAAATTACCGAATTTTTGCACATAGGAGCGAGCACTTACTAAATATATTTAAACTTAATATATTTATAGATTACTTAATAGTATAAGTTTAATTTGAATTTTTAATCCAACAATTCTTACCACTAATTAACATTTGTGTAAGTTTAGGGCATATTCAACGGGGATTGCGGCGAGGATCTAGGACACGATGTTAATGCCGTCGGGTATGGTAGCGAAGACAACTCCGACTATTGGATTGTCCGAAACTCGTTTGGATTGGATTGGGGTGAGGATGGCTACATTAGGCTCAAGCGCAATGTCGAAAAGTCAGAAGGCCAATGTGGGATCGCGAAAACGGCATTTTACCCAAATGTTAATTTATTAGCGCCATTTTCTTCACCATCGCCATTGCCATCGCCATCACTGTCGCCAGAACCATTGCCGGTCCCTCCGCCATCTTCACCACCACCACCGCCACCGCCGCCTATTTTGCCGCCGCCACCACCACGACCATCCGGTTGCAATTGCCCCGCCGGAACCACGTGCTGTTGTGGCTACAAAGTTATCGGATTTTGCATGAGCTGGAATTGCTGCCCGTCGGAAGGCGCCGTATGCTGCGCCGATCGCGTCACTTGCTGCCCACCGGATTTTCCGGTGTGCAATGTCCGCGATCACACTTGCTCCATCGTAAGTACTCTTCTTACATCGTATTTTTTCTTTATTCTTTTTTTTTTTCTTATATTACGTTAATTATTCAAAGTAAACACACCTTAATGTGAATCCGATTGTTTGTAACATATGTTGTTGTTCGTAAAATTGTAGAGCCACAAGAGTCGGCTCGGTGTGAAGCCGATGAAACGCATCCCGGCCGGAATATTCGCCGCCCAAGAAGAGGGTGAAGTTTTAGCGGTAGCTTGAAGCCATCCCTAGTTTGCTACACTTGCCATTTCCTTTCTATCGAATAAAAATGTTGTAGTGATTATGTAATAAAGTCGAAGCTATGAATCATCTTTGTTTGGATGTTTATCTTTCGTTGAAGTTTCTTATAATTGAATGAAACGAAGGCTTCGTTATTTGGAAGGTCGATTTCAGTCTTCTACTTTTAACTTATCAAAAGATTATTTATAAAATATGTGTATATATATTTTCATTAAATACTGTCTCATAAATATAGTCTTAATTAGGTCGGACACGAGATTTATGAAATATTGATATTATATTGATAGTTGGTAAAAAGTATAGATAAATAATGACAATTGTGTAATAAAAATGAAAAAGTAGGAATAATTTTACGGTGATATGATTATTTATGGAAATAATACTATTGTTTTGAATAAAAAAAATAATAAACAAAACTATTGTATTGAAACGGAGTGAGAATTATCCAAACCACTGCAGAATACAACAAATTGAAATAGACCCAAAAAGAACTAAGCTTAGAAAAAGAATACTGCCCCAAGTTAATAGTACATGCCAAGTTTGAATTGTTTTATGTACTTATGGTGTGTTTGTTTGACAAATTTCTTTCAATTTTTATTATTTATCATTTTTTTTTAAAGTCAAATCAAATATATATTTTTTATTTTTATTTTTTTTATATTATACTAAAAATAAATTTTATATCCAAAATATACTATCAATATTGATATTGATAAACTTTAAATCTAATTTGCTATTTCACTGAGATTTTATGGGATTTCGTTGCCCAGTCAGAGAGTCGGGGTCAAGGGTGTGAAGCCCCCCTTGCTTGGCCAGAGTGGCCCCTGGCCGACAGTATGCAATATTGGGTTTTGGAGTTGGTATTGAGAGAGTCCGTCTGATATATAAAGAGACTTAAGGGTACAAAAACCTTGCCGTCATGAATAAATTTATTTTCCATCTCTACTTGTGAATGTAGCCAACAAGTTGATGCTAAACGACGTAAATGTGTATTGTTTTTATATTTTCTATTTGTCATTCGATCATTAACTCTAATATGTTAGAATACAATATTTATTTATATCACATCGTACCACTAGAATTTTTATTATTTAAATTTTAATTCAAAATTCAATTTTCGAACAAATACAGTTCATCAATAGGAGTATATATTATATTTTTTTATAATATTTATAAAAATAGTGTAAAACAAGAAAACATATTGACAAATGACATATTGAGGGAGGGAACAAACCAAAAATTTTATGTATTTATGATTCGTAATTTATATACTCCCTCTGTCCCATAATAAAGTATTCATTTTTCCATTTTAGTCCGTTCATGACAAAGAATCAATTGTTTTTTTTTTTTTTTTTTTTTTTTTTATAACTGTACTATCTACCTAACGTTACAAATACCCTTACAACTTACAATATATTACACAAATGCCATTACCTTTATATCACACATATTAATAAGGTTATTTTAGTTCGTTTCTACTTTATTTTTACTATATCCCAATATAATATTAATATTTCTAAAACTATATGCAAATGGATATTTAGTTCCGATACGAGAGGAGTATTAATTAGTATTCTTCTTTAATATAAATTGTTATATGCCTTGTTATTTTTAATTTTGAACTTATTTAAACGAGAATTAATGTAAAATTTATAAAATAATAATAGTTTATTTTGATTTTTATTATTCAAAACTATTTTGTCAAATAAACCATCAGACATTCATTAGTAGCTTTCATTGAATAGGTTTTGATGGTTAAGGCCGAGCCGCTAAACACACGGCCGCAAATTTTCACTCCATGGCCGCTCCACCGCTCCTCAGAGCTCTGCCTCTCCTCCGCCGCCGCCTCTTCTACCACCACAATTATTTACGTCTCACAAATGCCTCGGTAGTTCGTAGATCCTTTTGCGGCGCGGCCGCCGATTCAACTGCGGATGACCAGAAAACTCCATCTCCTGCTCAGAGTACATCCACAAAAACAAACGAAGACACGCCTTATTTTCGGAGATGGGAGGACAATCCAGATTTTCGGAAATGGAAGGACAAAGAAGCTGAGATACTTGAAGATATTGACCCGATTATTTGCCTTACGAAGGAAATTCTTCATTCTGATAGGTGCCCCCAATTCCATCCACTCTCTGCTTTTTAAATTTGCTATTACTGTTTGTTGCATTTCTTGCTTGATTTTGAGCTTCGTTTTTATAGTTGATCCGATGCGAAATTTAGGCGGTGCTCAACATGTTTACTGAATTTTTTGTTAGCCAGCAATTCCTACATGGATGAACGGCGAAAGCTTTTCCCTTTAGTTTTTAACGTGTAATTTGTTACTGTTATGCTTATATAAACGAATGCCATTTTTGCTAGTGAGAAGTAGGTTATGAGATATTGATACAATATAAGAGCGTGTTGAGAATTGGAGAGATTCAAAACATGAAATGTGAGGAAGAAAACATGAATACAATGATCACTTTTATCTCCAACACAAATGTCCTGTTTTAGTTTTTGTATGCTTCAATTTTTTATTAGCTTTATTTATGCTTTATATTTGAAAAGCAACAAATTTTCTTTCTTACACCATAACCACCTGCTGTCTGGATCAAGGATTTCTTTGATACCTAGATTCAGTGGCATAACCAGCTCCCGAATTCTGAGGGGCTGATCGCCAATTTACTACTACCTATCCGACACCGTCTCCTTCGATTCTCTTTGATACAATAGCATCCGGTGAAAATAAGAAAATAGAAGTAGAATAGGATGATAAATTTATAATTAGTTGACAATTGAACATAATGATATAAAAAAGAACATATATTTTTTAAATTAAAAATAAATAAGTAAATAGGGCCGCCAGGGACCATCTTGAATAAGTGTGAATTTAGTTGATACACAGCAAAGGTATAGGATAAGGGGACTTGAAGTTCTTCATGGACCTTTAGTTGATGCATATCACATGGTTGGTATGTTAGGCTGATCAGAGACTTGACCTTTTGGGATCTAGAACATGCAGCTGGCCTGGTATATATTGTCATGTGTATGTTTGTGATCGTGGAGCTAGGAGAGAATGATTAATTTTTTTTATTCACTCCACTTTCTTGTAAGTTGTATCTACTATCTACAAGCTCATGCATGCATATATATAGGTTAAATATACTTAGGAGTTAAGCATGCAAGCTCCCCTATTCATAGCTAAAAATTAACCACAAATTATACCAATGCTTTGATGACATTTTCTAGACACTAATGGCAACCGTATAATGTATATGTATCTATATACATGTATAACACTCTTCTTTGGAATCTAAACCTTAAGCAAAAACTGTGTGAATATTATTTCTAGGAAAGTATAAAAGTACATCGTTTCTAAGTTAATTTGCTACCTCTGTTTTGGACTTCGTGGTAGATTTTGTAGCTGGCTCATTCTTATGTCATCTATCAATTTGTTGAATGATGTAGTTGGTAAATGCTTGATTAATAAGCTTGCAAGATTGTTTAGTCGATTCCGTTGGGCGTTGATTCAACAATTCTTTTGAAGGCTATAGGTTAAAAAGAAGTTTCCTGAAATATATCTTATTCTATCTCATTTGAATATCATTTTTTCAATTGAATTGTGCAAGCAGCATTGTATTTGTATAAGATTTTTGGAGGATTTTCAATTTTATAAATTAATCCTTGACTTTTTTTAGATATGATGAGTCATCAATTTCAGCCAATCACATTCTCAAATCTCAACTGGCTTCATAAATTTCTACATTCATGATTGGATGATAAGAAAATACTGTCCCGTTATATGTAAATATATATCTGGTTTATTAATGAAGTTTTCTACTTAGATTTGCCATATGTAATTCTGCAGAAGTGAGTGGCCCCTGACCTTCCTATTTCTGCAGTATCCTTTATAATGACCCTCATCTAATGCTCCTGTTCAATGATTTCACAGAGAATTCAATAGTTCAAAGTTATAAATGTAATGACTAGATTATTCCTGGTTAAAGGCGATCAATTCAGAGTACAGATGGGTTAAATCAGAAGTTCGTTAAAATAGAACAATTACTTAGATTGAACTGTCTCCTAAATAATTAACCATTTTTTTTCCTTGTTACTTCTCCATCCTTAAAATAACAGGAAAATTTTGTCTTGTTTACGTACATGTTCTTTGAACTTTGATCTAATAATGATTCAACGATGTTGAAAAAAAACTCCAATTGGAAGTTTTCCTGTGTTCTAAATGGATGGCTTCTGGCTCCCCATCTTATTATTTGCATTCTTCCAGATACAAGAATGGAGAACGTCTTACCCCTGATGATGAGAAAGTTGTGGTGGATCAGCTTCTTGCATATCACCCTCATTCTGAAGATAAGATTGGATGCGGACTAGATTCAATTATGGTCAGTTTAATTTCTCTAATGTCTTAAATCTGCTATTAATTAGTAAATACTGTAACAAATAAGCCTCGTGCATTTTTTATTAATCTTACATTTGTTTTTCATGTTGCTTGCATCAATATGTACCTTTCTACTGGTTTCATTTTCATAAAATCGATGTCAATCCCTTTTCAGTTTTGGATGTGGAGTTATAGGCATATATTTTAGGTGATATCAGATTTGGTTACATTTCACTACTTTTGCATTGACGTTTCCACATGAAGTTGCCCACTCAAAAGGCATCATTGTTGCTTCTTAATGGAAAGTGACACTATTGATTAGAAGAATCTAGTGATAATATCTTTTTGGCATGATTTTAATCCAAGACAGTCCTGTGAGTTACATTCTCAATGCGAACACTTTCATATTTAAAAAAACAGCTATTCAGTTCGATGTTAGCCACTATGGTGCAATTTAGAGTCTGAACTCTTGTTTGATTTTGTCACACATAGCTTGTTGTCCATTTTTCCACAACAAAGCTGATAATTATACGTTGAAACAAACTTGCAGTACACATACACAAATATAAAGTATTTGTACTTTATGTAGTTCATTTAAGCACTGATCAAGTGTGAACTTATTACATAATTCCAGCTGCTTCATGTATTTCATTAATCCACCACCAAGAGTAGATCCTTATTTGTTGGATTTTATAAATAAGGATAACAAATTTGAGAATTAATATAGAGAAACTTGGATAATTGAATTGGATAGTGTTATAAACACTTTCCAAAGATTATAGTTCGCCCTACTGTCGGATTACTGAGAACCTTTGGGATAATCTACACTAAATATTCAAACATTTTGACAGAAAAGAGCAGTCAAAACTTGAGTATTTGTCGCTTGTTATGTTCTGCAGCAAACCAAGGGCAAATATTTTTTATAGAGAAGTTGGTGAAAAGGGTACAACCTTTCGTGCATGGTTGTACCAATTGGTGAAAATACATTTCCATTCAGAAGTATATATTTTCATGGGTGAGTCCCCCACCCCCTTAATCTGTGCCAAATAGCGTGTTTGATTTCATTAAGACTCGTTAGCTATGACACCCAATATTTTCGGTCCTTGATTAAATTTCAATTACGCTAAAATCAACATTATTCTTCACTATGGTGTGGATTAAATACTTTTGACACTTATTTTAGATGCTTTGGAATTTATAATACTCAATTATCCCAATGTAATGTAATTTGCTTTTTTGAAGGTGGACAGGCATCCTCAATTCAGCAAATCAAGGTGCCTTTTTGTCGTAAGAACAGATGGGGGATGGATAGACTTTTCTTACCAGAAGTGTCTTCGGGCCTACATCCGAGCTAAGTATCCTTCTCATGCTGAAAGATTTATAAAAGAACATTTTAAGCGAGGCAGTAGTTGAATTGATATCATACATGAGCCTCATGAGACGCCTATCGTTGATTTGGGCTAATCTAATATGAAATTTAAGTCGAAAGTAAGTCGAGTAACAAATTTTGTCGTGCCTGTGGCCTGTGGGTGGATAGATTTCATGTTTGCCAATGGAATATATAGAAGTGTACGCAGTATTAGATTTAAATTTTTGTTTAAATAGTATTTTTTAATGATATTTTAGCTCAAATACATTATACGCTATGTCAATATACATATTTGTAAAACTTTTGATATTATTTATTAACTTTTTTTTTTAATATCATATCATATGTCTATTTTTATCTCATAAAATATAATATTATATACATATTTAACTTTTTACTATTCTACAAAATTTTTCTAAAAATTCAAAAATTTCTAATAAACGTGAGAAAGTACTGTAACTCTTTTATCCTACTCCAAGGAATCTCTGTATACATCCTTTAATAAATATGCTCTGATGGTTTCCTTTGCTTTGAAGCAATTTCTCACACATATGTAGCCTTTATTTCAAATTAATTTTCGATACTTCATTTGTTTTAAATATAACTGGTAGTATATTGAAAATGAAGACATTTGTGTACGCAAGGATGACTTGCTGGTGTAGGGTTGAATTTGTGACCGGCCGCACACAAATAGTAAATATTTGTGGTAAAATTCAGAAAAGACCATAACCTATGTGTTTTTGAGTTTGGTTCAAGAATATTTTATTTAGATTTTGTATTTAAATAATATTTTATGGAATATTTTGGAAACAAAAATATAAATAATAATTTATTTTTTTTAAAAAAAATGTGTTAAAAGAAACACACTCTAGCTTGGTTGGTGGACTCATTGCAACAACTCTACCACTAATTTTGGTACACTATCACCTAACGAATTAAAACTAACCGAAAAAACAAAATAAAAATTGGCAATATTTGTAATGAAAAAATAAAATAAAATAAAATCTAAATCTAAACTTTTCATCTTTCTCCAAAGAATTATATGTTGTCACATGAACTTCAATAATCAATATGATAATTTTGCAAAAGTTAAATACCTCATGAATACTTCACATCATTATATAATATTTCCGCTATAAATTATAACAGAAATATTATACAATCATACAAAGTAAATATTTTAAACACCCGAGAAAAGAAATAGCCGGAAGTCTTGTGACTGCCGAGCTCTGAGCTGACAGAGGCGCCGAAAACCGCAGGAAGGCATCGGCCAACTTCCGGCCAAGCCTAACTTGCGATGCCGTCGTGAGATGCAAGGCGTCGGGATCCAGCTCTAGCCCCATTGCATCGACCGATCGGACATTCGGAAGATCAATATCTTGCTGAGCTTTTCTTACAATATCTACATAAAGCCCTTCTCCCGACGCCAATAAAACCTATGTATATCATTACATAATATATATATATATATATTCGAATTGTTATTATGCTAATTGTAATTAATCATCATAGTGCTAAAGTACACACAATATATACCGACAATATATGAAATATAGATTTAAAACAATACATGAGCAATATATAATCCACACAACACATCTATATTGATACAAGACATATGAAATAGAATATACAATATATACTAACTCCAATCAACATCATAGTTATTCTTTTATTTATTTATTTTTTGTGTAGAAAATTATACTAAACTACATTTAATTACTATGTTGGCTAAAAAAAAACAAAGCATAAATACAGAAATAAAAAAGAATAATAAAAAAAAAATAATAATTCCATAACAACATACTATAAGTTAAAAAAAAAAGAAAAGAAAAAATTACAAGTAATTCATTAATTAATATTCTCTAGTTTATTTCTTTTATTCGTTATTTTTATTTTCATTAGTTTCATTTTAATTTTTTTAAATATAATTATATACTTTATTTACATTTTAAATTTTATGATTTTTTTAAATTTTAATTATATTATTTAGTTATTTTAATCTTAATTTATAATTAATTTTATTATACAATATTATACAATAATTATTTATAGTAATATACTTCATAAGTCCGCCTCTTAAGGGTCATATTTATATTTTGGGTTATTTGGTTATTGTACTTAACATTAAAAATTCTTATATTTGTATAATTTTTTTTTTTACAAATATCATTCTATTAGTATTATAAGACACTAATGAAATGAAAGTATAAATTTTTTCTTAATTTTTACTATATTTTGATATAATAATTAATATTTAAAGATAGAAAAAATAAAACTCTTAAAGTCGGACGAAAATAATATTTCTTAATTACTTACTAATTATATATTATCTAAATTTTTCGTATCTACACTGAATCGAACACAAAAACTGAGACAGAGGGAGTAATAACTAATCCATGGACGGACAGGATCAAATCCAGGAAAATATCTACGATGGATCGCGGTACCTGAACGAACGGCAGCGATGGAGATCCAAGATCCGATCTGACGGCGGAGATGAACGTTTCCAATCTCCCTTTGTAAAGCACGGCGTCCTGAAAGCTCTTGGTATCACTCTCTCCTTGGTACCAAAGTATCCCTTTAATCAGGCCGTGTTGGGTCCCGTGTTGAGCACCCTCCGCCCGTGTTAAGCAATCATCGTAAATCCGGCGGCCGCGCCGCCACTCAGCGACGCTCGTCCCGCCGACGGCGCAGGGGACGAGCCCAATTCTCCCGATCCCCTTATCCTTCTTCAGCAAGTAATGGGCGAACGCCATTCCAGGCCCGATCCCGCAGGTCTTGTTCAAATCTATGTCGCGGTGGAGAGGCTCCCGGGCCTCCTCCCACCGGCCGGCGGCGCTCAGCCGGAGGATCCGGCGGTCCGGCCGGCATTGGGCCGGAGTTACGCCGTCCCAATTGCCGCCGGCGACGCCGCCTCGGCCGGCCATGTTGCTCTGTCCGGCGAGTATGAATATGGAGATGAATTGTTGAAATGAGCCATCGTCGTTTCCCGATAGGGTTAGGGCTGACGTGGCGCTGCAAATTGTTATTGCAGCCATTAACAAGATCATGAAGAACAGTGCAGCCATTCCCAAGTCTGAATTCAAGATCTTTGATTTAGGGTCTTTTATTATTATATTTTAAAAGACCCTAAAAATTGAATCTTGACTGTAATGTTGAAGAAAATTGAAAGATTCCATGGGACTAATTTGAACATGTTATTGTTGCTGGTGATGGGCAGACAGGTGTGGACATTTGGTAGTATTAATTAATTTAGTTCCCACCTGAAAGAAATTAAGACTTAAAATGGAAATATAATTAATTAATTAAGGTTCGATTTGGGGGAATAATGTGATGTTTAAACGACAAGGGTCTTGGGTTGCATTGCACTACACACTAAAGGAATCAAGAAATTAAATATTAATAAAAATGTGTCTTGGTTGGGTAGGTGGTCACGAGTTTTGTTGAATAAAAAAAATAAAAAATAGAAAATAAAATCCTTATAAGATGTAACAAATTAATTGATTGAGAAGAAGGCTGGTTTTATTGATTTTGTTAATAGATTTAACAATTTTATTTTAGTTTATGCATTGATCTAAAATTACCTTACGTGCTTTTATTCAGCAATTTGTTTCGATTTAAGTCATCGATATCAATCCAGATGCTTTCTTAAGTAGGCCGAGGAATCCATTCAGGGAGACAAATAATCACGGCATGAAAAAAATAATGCTGGCCCGGCCCTATTTTTGAAAGTAATATTTAAAATTTAATAAATATATATATTAAATTTTGAAATAAAGATAAAAATTAAAACATAATTTGACGGCAAATTTTTTGATTTGTATATGTTTGGTTGTGGCTTTTTAATTCTCTATTTTTACTATTTAACTGTATTTTGTTTTAAATTAATTCAAAGCAAAAAATATAAACAAAATAATTTTAATATAATAAAAAAGAGAAAGTGTTCCGGCATGGCATGATCCGATCTCAAACTAGGTCATGCTCGGGCCGGCCTTTCCAAGCGTGATTTTCAATCGGGCCGTTCTGGTCCAACACCGTTTAGCATCGGGTCGAACTGGCCCGAATTGCCGCTCCTAAATCCATCACAATGACTTGTCAACCGACCATTGAAGTTGAAATCTTGAGCGACTACACAACACTCTTTTAGGGTGTATTTGTTCGGGGGTTTGAATTTTGAGTTGAGATTTGAATAGTAAAAATTTTGAATTTGAATAGTTGTATGATGTGATATAAATAGGTGTTGATGTGATGTTTTGAATGTAAAATTGATTTTTAGTATAATATAAAAAATAAAAAATAGGTGTTTTATTTGATATTTTTTTAGAGAAAAAATTGGATGAATAGTGTAAATTCAATCCAATCCCCCAAACAAACACACCCCTTGGGTTGTTTCTTTTGACATCAAACCTCAAATTATTACTATTTGATTATGAGTTTTTTTTTTTTAAAAAAAAAATACACTTTTTTTTTTTTTTTTACAAATATCCCATCACACAAAATTTTAATACAAAATCCAAATCAATTTTTTTTCTAAACAAATAAAAAAAAACACACCCTAAATAACTCCGTCTACTTATATTTTGAATTTTATTTTCGCATAATTCACTATTTTGCCCCTAGAAAACATAAAGTCAATCACTCAAATTTCATTTAAAATAATATATAATTTTTTTTTTTATTTCCTATTCAGAATATTTCATAAAACAGCTTAGATACTTTTTTGTTTAAATTTTTATTATGTCCTAAAACAATTCAAAATACTTACGTTGTGTTCTCTTGTAGTTTTAACACATACTTTTACTATTCAAATTCTCTTTTTCCTACAAAAATATTAAATCAAATAATTTTTTTTCTATATTATACTATAAATTTATTTTACGTTCAAAACATCACATCAACATCTATTTATATCACATCAAACAACTATTCAAATTCAACTTTTTACTATTCATAAATCCAAACTCAAAACTCCAAACCCACAAACAAACACATTGTTAAATACTTTTGAAATTATTGATTTTATTTATTTATTTATTATTTTTTTTTTGTAATTTCAAACTTAATTAATACTATTTTCAATAAAAATATATTTTTACTTTCATAAAATATTAAAATATTATTTAAACAAAAATTCAAATCAATACCTCAAATTTCAATCAAGAACCAAACAACTATATAAATAAAGAAACATACTCTATATGTCCCTTAATAATCTATTCAATTTTTTTTTTTTTTTTTATTTTGATCCGTTTCATAACAAAATATTCACCGTACTATCTACCTAACATTACAAATACCCTTCAAATTTACAATATATTACACAAATATCATTACATTTATATCATACAATACTAATAGGATTAATTTAGTCTTTTTACTTTTATTTCTATTTTATCTCAATATAATACTAATATTTCTAAAATTCCATGCAAAAAGCAAATGAATATATAAATATGAGACAAAAAATGTATCATAAATTTTATGATTGATAAATGGAAGTTTGAGGTGAAAAAGAGAGGTGAAAAGCATATGTAAATAATGAATGGGATGGCATAATGAAAGGAGTTGGGATTGGACTTGGCAACCACACGCATGCATATATATTTTGCTCACACACACATTCACTTTATTTATTTATTTATTTATTATTAAACTTATAGTAATAACAACACTCTATCAAGAAAATAAATATTGACACATTAAAAACAATAAACGACACAAATATTTATTGATCGAGTTCTGTTATAAATTAATCTACATTGAGTAAATTCATTATAATTAATATTGAATGTAATACAAAACAACCATAAACTTCTTCAACTTATTTTTTCACAATGGTTAACTTTGTAATACCTGTGCACAAGTGCTGATTGTCTTAAACTCGCACTGACACTAATGTTTACAACAACCACGTAGTATTGCAGCTCAAGGCTCGTTACCAACTCCGGATCTCCATTATTATTATGATTATTATTAGGAGGGTAAATTGTTTTTTTAAGTTCCGTAATTGGACTCCTTTATCATTTTAGTTCCGTAAATGGAGGATGTCACAAACTAGTCTCATAAGTGAAAAATTTTCGTTGGTTTAGTCCTCCGGTGCCGGAGACGCCCACATGGCTCGCTGGAGGCCACGTGTCCGCCAGGTCAGCGACACCCGACGGATACGTGGGTTTTATTTTTTTTCTCATTTTTTTTAATTTATTTTTTAATTTATTTTTAATTTTAATTATCTTTTTTAATTTTTTTATTTGGTCCAATTAAAAAAATAAAAAAAATAAAAAAAATAAAATAAAATCCACGTGTCTGCCAGGTGTCGCTGACCTGGCGGACACGTGGCCTCCGGCGAGCCACGCGGGCGTCTCTGACTCTGGAGGACTAAAACAACGAAAATTTTCTACTTATAGGACTAATTTGCGACAGGCTCCACGAGATTAAAATGATAATAGTGTCCGTTAAGAGACTTAAAAAAACAATTTACCTTTATTATTATTATTATTATTATTATTATTATCACATAATCATACATTATATTCCTTTTTAGTTTGATTTTAATTTTATGTGTATTTTTAATTTGAATAATAACTTAATTATAATACTTTATGAAAGATAAATAATATATTTTTATAAAATACTATTGTATAATATATATCACTACTAGAAAAAAAGTTGATAATTGCGAAAATTTATTGCAAATTTTAATTGGTGACAAATAAAAAGTTACGGAAAATAATTTCGTGACAAATTTATATCAACTTTTTGCTTTGACTATTTTGTAAGTAATATTTGCAGAAAAAGCTACAAACAACTTTCCGTAATTATTTAAAGTAACAACTTATGTAACGAAAATGTCCAAGATATTTCTATTCCGTGTCTTTTGACTATTTCGTCATAAAAATTGTTACGAAATTTTTTCTTGACTATTTTAAGCTGCGGCAAAAATAACCAAAATATTTGCAACATGTTAAATCATTACAGATATTATCATAGTATAATTTTCGTGACTTTTTAAAATCAAATGTCACAACATAAGTAACGAAAACAACTATAGATTTTTCTTATTATCGTTTGTAGCTATTCAAAGTAATAACAAAATAATAAAATCATCATCAATATCTTTATTTAATATCGTTCGTAGCTATTTAATTTTTTGTTAAAAATTCATGATTATATATTAAATAAATATGTATATATTGTTAAAAGATAAATTTATAATCAATAATATTTATATAGTTAAAATATAATAACAAACAAAAATTAGTACTTTAGAGTAGATAGCTAAGTTGGTATGATAAGTCGTGCAAGTCTTTAATAACTAATAAGGTCACTAGTTCTATAAGATCATTGGTTGAAAAATAGTGTGGTACGGAGTAATTTGGAAAAAAAAAATAATCGTGTAGTTGCATTGAACAAAAATGATAATATAATTATATATTTTTTTTCAAAAATATAAAGTCACGGAATTATTACAACTTTCGTTAATATAAAGTCACAGAGGTGTAATACTATTATTTTGTAACTTATTGTAAAGAAAATGTCACAATTATAAAATATTCACGAAATTTTGTTGTAGCTTCTGTTACTATATAAAGTCGCAGACATGTCATGGTATTATTTAATAACTTATTGGCACAAAAATGTCACAACTTAAGAAAAATTACCGGTAAAATTCCACGGAAATAGTTCCGTATGTTTTTCCATGACTTTTTAGTAAAAAGTCACCGATTTGTATTAAAATCGTGACACATTTTACCGTGACTATAGCTTAATTTTACAGTAGTATATATATATATATATATTTAAAAAGATCATATATATATATATATATATATATATATAGACACTGGCTTTGATGATGGGTTTTTGTTTTTCTTCACCTAAAAGAGGACCAAAAGTTAAAGAAAAAGGTTCCACTCTATATTTTTTGTAATTATTAACTACTCCTTTATTTATTGTAGTTAGAGTGGGGTTCGATTTTTCTTTTTAAATTTTTCATTTTTCTTTTTTATTATAATATTTTGGTGGTCGTGCATAATTTTATTTGAAATAGTACAATTGAAATCATGGTTGATAGGTATATTATGGACTCATTCATACTTTATTTTATTTAATCTTTTTTATTTACTACGAATAACTAATTAATAGATAACAAAATTCAAAAAGTTAAAGTTAATACTAATTAATTTATTTTCTTTTTAATAATTGTAATTCCCACAAAAATAAAAAATCAACATTACATTCTAATCTATATATATTATGTATTTGACATCAGCCCTTAATTCCTTCGTTCTAAGACATTTTGTTTGAGCACGGGAATTTAGGTAGTATAAATTAGTTATTTAAATAGTGAAGATTAGTTATTTAATAATTAAAAAAATGTGAAATATGTGTTTAAATATTTTATATATTATATTTCAATAAAATATGATATTATTTTGTAGAGAATAAAATTTTATATAATATAAATAAATAATTATTTATTCATTTATTTATCATTAGCATAAATTAGTTTTATAAATTTGTAGAGTGTAAGGTATATAATTACTTTTGGAGCTAAGTTTAAAAAATATAATATTTTAATTATAATTAGTAGTTAAAAGTAGTGTAAAAATTATTTTGTCCTTACTTTTTAATGTAAAAATAATAATGTGATGATAGGGTAGGGTATGTCATTCCAAAAATTCATAAATACATATTTTTTTAAAAAAATTAATATATTACACATATTTATTATTTTTTATATTACTTACATAATTTCATTTACCTCAAATAAAAAAATAAATCTATTCAAACAATTTTACTAAACAAATATATCCGATGTATTTGTAAAAAAAAATGAAATATATAATTACTAAATATATATATATATATATACACACACGTTAATGTAGAACAAATGAAATACATATACTCCCTCCGTCCCATTGAAATATTACTATTTTCGTCCGTCCCAAAACAAGGTTACAATTTCTTAATTTAGTAATTGTACTACCTACTTAACATAATAAATACCATTTCAACTTACACTATATTACACAAATGCCATTACTTTTATATTACACCATACTAATAGGGGTATTTTTGTCTTTTTTTACTATAATCCAATATAATACTCCCTCGTCCCAGACACCGTGTCTGCTACACTGTACACACGGTATTTTAGGAGGGGTGTAATTAGTAGATAATTAAGAATGTATTAGTAAAAATAATTATCCTATAATATAAATAATTATAAATTAAGATTAATATAACTAGTTAGTTTAATTAAAATTAAAAAAAATTAAAAAATTTAAAATGAGATTTAAGTGTATAATCATTTTTAAAAAAAGGAAAGTGACATGATATGTGGGACGGACAGAAACGGCAACGTGGACATGGTATCTGGGACGAATGGAGTACTAATATTCAAAAATCTATGTGCAACAAGCAAACGCCACACTTCCAACGGACGGAGGGAGTATTTTAATTAAAATTTATGTTTATGTTTATTTATTTATTTTTAGATTGAGAGTTGAAAAAACTAAAAGCAAACACAACCCATATGAAAAAACCACATTAAAAAGTGAAAATGATATATACTAACATTTCAGCACTCTTTTCTTTAAAGAATAAAAGGCTTTCGATAAACACAACTTTTACATGCTAGTAAGTGTGCATTGTTTTTTTATATTAAAAAAAATAAATTAAATAGAACACATAATTTTTAATAAAAAAAAAATAGGAAAAAAAAAAAAAAAAAAACAAATCGAAGGCCAGAAAACATACCAAACAATTCAAGACACAAAATCGATCTCTTTTTAATGTTGTCATATAAAATTTTGACTATTCTTTTGTTATTTTCTATAATGATTTGGAATCAAACTGTCACAATGTTCATTGTGACTTTATATACATGTAATTTTTTCAGTTCATTGAGAATTTTAAGTGAAATATAAAAAGTTTAATTTGCTAGCTGTGTTAATATATATATTCTTTAAAAAATTGACATAATTTAGTAAAAATAAAAAATATATATTTACAAAATGTAACACCAAATATATATATATGTTTATAGAGAATTTAATTAAAATTTTGATTGTGCATAATCCTACTAAAATTAGAAAAAAATAAAATAAATTGAGGTAGATGATATCTCCAATTTATGCAAATTTAGCATCATGCTCGTTGGCCACTTACTATTATTGGAATGGTTGAAAAATAAGTTGGATATTCTAGGCACGCCACGTCATCATCCAATATTCCATAGATCAGATTCTCGAACGCACCAAATCAATTTAATAATAATAAAAATATACATTATATATATATATGTGTGCAAAAATATCCTAGTTCTTTTATTATTATTATTATTATTTTATTTTATTTTTTTTTATTTCACGTTAAACCTATGAAAGAAGTCCTAAAACTTTCACTCAAATTGCATGACAAAGGTTTTTATACCAATAACACAAAAAACACATAAAATTAGAACAATAGTCTCATTTTCATAAACAATCATATCACTATAAAATTATCATTACTTTTTCATTATTATTACACAATTGCGCTACTACTTTTTACACGAATACACTCACGAAGGCAAAAAAGTTTTTTACCCTACTTTTTACCCACTACCAATATAATATCAATATTGTTTAAATCTCGTGCCAAACACAACCCAGACTATAGTTCTGGGACGGAGGGAGTATATTTTTTAAAGTAAATACTTCTTCCGTCCCGACTCAAAGTACTCATTTTGCCATTTTTATTTGTACCACTCTAAAGTATCAATTTTCTATTTTAGTAAAAGTAATAATAAACTAATATCAAAATACTTTTAATTTTTACCTAAATTATAAATATATCATTACACATATAATTACTTTATATATAAAAATAAAAGGAAAAAATATCAAAATTTCTTACACACTTCTCATAACCAATAAAATACTATTATTTTTTAATTTACTACAAAATTCCAAAAAATCTATTTGGAGTGGGACAAAGAGAGTACTTGGTTTGATATTTTAGGCATGTCAATATTATGCTTGAAAGTGCTAAAATTAAAATGTATATATTTTTTTAGTAGACATGTTCTATTGTACTTGATCTTGCTAGACACATATGCAAGAATCCAACAATAGAAGATATTTTCTGTAACAATGTCTGAATTAAATACATAGCCAATTTTAAAAGCTAAAGTGATGAAGAAACATTACATCTGAGAGTGTGTTTGTTTGGGGGTTTCGATTTTGAGTTGAGATTTAAATAGTAAAAATTTTGAATTTTATTAGTTGTATGATGTGATATAAATAGGTGTTGATGTGATATTTTGAATGTAATATTAATTTTTAATATAATATAAAAAAAAATAAGTGTCTGATTTGATATTTTTTTGGGAAAAAAATTGGGATGAATAGTGAAAATAAAATCCAATACCCCAAACAAACACACCCTTAGGGTACCGATTATGGGACTGATTGAAATAATATAGTGCTTATTAACCCTAGTAATTACACTATAATGATATACACTACATATGGTTATTGTCGAAATAGTATGTGTTATTTGTATAATTAGCATGTGCTGTAATTGAATACGGTCATTCTTATATATTTTTACTAATCAATAAATATTATTATTTTTTTAATTTATTACAAAATTTCAAATGACCTATTTGGAGTAGGACGGAGAGAGTATTATACTCCATCCGTCCCATAACTAGGTATTCGTTTGCTTTTTGCATGGAGTTTTAGAAATATTAGTATTATATTGAGATTTAGTAGGAATAAAGTAGAAATTACTAAAATAACCTTATTAGTATTGTGTGATATAAAGGTAATGATATTTGTGTAATATATTGTAAGTTGTAAGGGTATTTGTAATGTTAGGGAGATAATACAGTTACTAAAAAAGGAAATTAATATTTTATTATGAGACGGACTAAAATGAAAAAATGAATAGTTTGTTATGAGACGGAATGAGTATATTACTATAACATATGATATATGCTGAGATTAGTGGTGATATATAAATTATGTGAAGTATTGTCATATGCTGTCACTTCATATACTTTGTTTTATTAATAAAAAAAAAAATTTTTTACGACAATAAAAAAAAATAGTATAAATTTAAATGAAGGAGTATAAAATATAATTATATTTGAAATATTGTCAACATTATATTAAATATATTAATTCAGCATTATAACCGCAACCATTATATCTATATATATATATATATATACTTTATCTCTCTTTGTATATACAAAGAGTGATATTTTATGGGGCTAACATTTCCACACCCAACATGACTTATCACATAGGGAATAGATATAAATAATTTTTTGATTTATCTCCCATCAAACCCCGATTCATACTTTAATAAATTATGTGTCTTTTTTTTTTTTCTTAAAAAAAAAAAAAACGTGTGATGGTCAACGATATCTCATGATTTGGTCTTAGTTAATAATAATCCACCCATCACTTCCAACCTCAATTTGTTGCCTCTTAATTTCAATTCCCATAATCATATTTCTTTATATATTTATATGTATATGTATATAAACACTAGAGTTTGTCTGTCATCCACTCCTCCATGGGAATTCATACAATGAAGGTACATCAATCACTGACACGTGGACGATTCTGGGATCACCACCCCTCCCCCCTCCACTGCAACCGCCTCCGACCGATCCCTGCCACCGCCACCGCCGCCGCCGCCGCCGCCACCTTCGACCTCAAGAGCTTCATCAGACCTGAGAGTGGTCCTCGAATAACCCTATCCTCGGATTCTCAGAACAAAGAATCAGCTCAGGTATCATATATATATATAGTATCGTACACATTATTACAACATCTGTTAGTTTCCTGTGCATGGTATATACATATATATATATATATATAAATATTTGTCTCATAACATTTATATTAGGATTAATTAATTCATTTTGAATGAGAATCTCTATGGGTGTGTTTCGCTTGTGTTTAATATTTTATAAGACAGAAATAACTAGTTTTTATTTTAGCATATAAAATTATACAATAATTTTTATTTTTATCTTTTAAAAAAAAACCTCGAAAAGAATCTATTAAACAACAATAATTTAAGCATAAATATACAAATAAATCCCGCTTCCCTACATTTTAAGATACAAATTCAAGTTCATCGCATATTCACTTTTTACTATTTCTAGTGATACATAATTTTTTCTCACAAAATATTGTATAAAACTAAAGTTTAAGTAACTCAAAATTCAAATCCAAATATAAGGAGAACACAGACATTAAAAACAAACATATTAATAAATTTCTAGGAAATTTTTTGATCCTACAAAATAGTCGATCGCGCACATAATCATACACACTTGTGTAGGTGGAAGGAGGCGGGACAAGATGGAACCCGACCCCGGAACAAATTGCACTACTAGAAATGTTGTACAGACGAGGAATGCGCACACCAAATGCCGAACAAATCGAGCAAGTCGCGGCTCAACTCAGCAAATACGGCAAGATCCAAGCCAAGAATGTCTTCTATTGGTTCCAAAACCACAAAGCGCGCGAGAGGCAGAAGCGCAAGCGCAATACCCTCGGCCTCGGCCTCGCGACCTCGCCGGCTTTCTCAAATTCCTTCACTTCTGCTTCTCTTCTCTTGTCTACTCTCAAGGTATTGTATTTATACATATATATATATATATATATATGTGCATTTTAAATTGCTTTTGTTATTTTCTTTATATACAATGTAGGAATAATTTAAGTTCCCTAAATTGACATAGAAACTGCCGAAATAAAGTGTTACGAGTCATTTTCTATGATTGTTTTGAATAAGGGGTCTTTACAAAAGTATTTTGTATTTCATAGAGATTAAATAGTTATTGTTATTTATATTTTATTTTTTAAAGGAGAGAGAAGTATGTTATTTTTAGGTTTGATGTTAGAAATTGCTTAAAATATTATTTATTTTCATAAAATATCTACCTACTATTCAAGGCAAAAATAAAATAGAAAATAAAACTAAACTAAAAGACACGCACACCCTTTATTTTATTTTATTTTTTTATTGAAATAATGATAAAAGCTAAGGTAGATAAAACGATAAAGAGCTATTCAAAAGAAAACTAATGAGATGATTTTGGGTGTGTGTGTGTGTGTTTCAATGCAATTATGTGAAGCTTAATAGGATTTTATTCACTACACGTATAATATTTTTACATTAGATAACGATCGATGGTGAATGATTAAGTTAAAAAGAACCCTATTAAACAATTATTCTTTCCTTTTTTACAACAATGGATCAAGAAAATAGTTTCAAGAATATATTTTTATTGGAAATGACAAAATTGTGTAGCAACCAAGAAAACCTAAAAAAACACATCCTTTCAATAGGTCCACATTTAGAATATATTGTCTAGTCAAGGGCTTTCATCAATAATTCAAATGGATTGTTCAAATCAACCTATCCATCGATCCTTTACCAAATAATTAAATGCATATACTTTTCAAAGTTATTACATTTTTCTGTATATATATATATATATGAATGCAGCAGGGAGGAGACATAGACGAGGGATCATTCGACAGCAAGAGGAAGTGCAGATCACAGACATGCTTTGAAGAAGACAGCAGATCAGAAGATCAAGAATGGCGTAAGGAAGACGATGGACATGAGAATTTAAAGACCCTCCAACTCTTCCCTTTGCACCCTGAAGGGAGAAAACCCTAATCAAATCAATCGATTAATTAATTAAATAAATCATTCTGAAATGTTTGTATTTTGTTGTTAGACTGCATTGGGTTCTGGTTTGATCATTTTTCTTTTGCTGTTCCTTTGTCCTTTTCTTCCAGAAGGAATATATAAAAGTCACTTTGTTGTATCGGTCCACGCATGCTTTAGTTTTCTTCTGTCGTAATAATAATTATAAATAACATGTGTTCCTAGCTCCAAACCAAACTAATATATATATATATAAAAGTATGTGGAGCCAAAGTGCCTTTAGGCCACTTTGATTTAATTTCCTATCTTTTCACTACAGCAACTTGATGCAAATTAAACCACCCTTTCACCTTCTAACTTTTGGTTTAAAGTTAGAGGAAACTAAAAACAATGCCACTCATGATTGTCTACCCATCTCTTACAATAATATTCTTCATCCTCATGACACACACACATACACACACATATATATACATATATATATATATAACACCTAACAAAAATTTCACAAAATACGACACAAAATAATATTTCATCCATTGTCGTCCAAATATGTACTCAAACTTTTAGGCATAAGTTTTAATGTAAGGCTATCTCTAACACATCAACTCTATTTATCCAGTTTTATCTCCAAATATGCAGTTGCTACAGTAATTTTATTTCAACAATAACTCCATTTTTCACTATTATTCTTCAAATATTCAATTTTTTCTATTATTTTAAACAACTTTTTGTTTTTATAATTTTAAATGAAATTTTTAAAATTTTAAAAAATAAAAATTAAATTTAAAAGTAAAATTTATAATTTTAAAAATTAAAAAAATTTTAAAAAATAAAATAAAACAAACACACCATAAATGACATTTGCTACATTGTACTGTAGCAAACACAAAAAATGGTGTTACAATTGACGTCCGATTGAAGACCGTCAGCGGCATAAATGAGGTTACAACGTCAAAATTGACGTTGCATTGGATATGCATTAAATGTGTTTTTTTTTTCTTTTATAGTTACATTTTTTTTTTCATGATAACTAAGAAATAAAAGTGAGTATAATTTGGAGGATATGGGGAGTAATATTTAGATTTGTTTGGTTAACGGTTGAGATTATAGTTGGAATAATTTTATTATTTGGAATGAGATGTTTAATTGATGATTGAGCTATGTAATACTCCCTCCCGCAATAAAAAAAATATACTTATATAAGTTGGATACGAGTTTTAAAAAATATAATATTATATTAATTGATTGTGACATAAAGTAAAGATTTTGAAAAGTATATGAATTAGTTAACGATGTGAGTGAAAAATTTAGATAAATTGAGTGTGTAGGTATTGGTGAAATATGTGTTAATAAGTATAATATTGTCCTGTAACGTATGACTTGGTAGGGCGGGGTGAACTCGTGACCGTGAGGTCATGAGTTCAAACATTTTCGGGTCTTATCCGACACATACAATTCATTTAGTATAACTTGTCTTTTACTTAAAGCACACTCGAAAAGTAACAACTTGAAAAATTTACATTTTTTTTATGGACAAACAAAAAAAGCATACATAAAACAACCTCATCATTAGCTATATAAAGCAATTGGAAAAATGTTGACACTCAATTATTCAAGCTCGTCCGGTAGAAGAGATCGAGCCCGCAAGTAGACAAGAAATTAAGTCGAGGGTAGGCAAAGGTGGCCTCGGAAATTCGAAGGCAATAAGCAAAGTTGAAGGTGATGCAGCAGTGGTTTTCTACTTGTATGGCTCAATAAAAATGATTTGCTCGTCGATCATCCAGCCGGCCATACGGCTCAAAATCATACGATCGCGATCAATGGCCAACCAAAGAATATGAAAGAAGCCCTAATAGCTTGGGTTATCCTATTTCTGAAATTGGAAGTTAGTATTAATGAAAAAATTAAGGACATTTTTCTTTCGAGGGAGTTTGAGAAAATTGAATTTGAATTTAAATTAAATTTAAATTTGTGTATATATTTTATTAAATTATAATTATTAAAATAATTAAATAATTAAATAGTTGTTGAGCCCAATCCGGCCCATTTCCCTTCTTAGTCTTTTCAATTTTATACCTTAAAATCTTGAGTTGTTTAATTATCAATAAAATATAAAGAAGTATTGGATATATATATATATATATTTAATTTTGCTAATAGATAATTAAAAATACAAAGAATTTTGAATTATGAAAAAATAAAAATAAAACACAAATAAATGTAAAAAAATGCCTATATGGCCTTAAAAAAAGATGCGAGAAAATTTCTTCAACCAAAACTAACAAAGATTGCATTAGAACAAAGACCACAAAGATTGAATTGTCACTTGAATATCAAACTTCTAATATTCTTTTAGACTATAGATTTTGTGCCGATCTGGCCAAGTCAGTATAGGTTTATTTGACCGGATCAACATATGACCAACATATTTATGCATATCTCAACGTATATTATATTATAAAATAACATATGTTAAGTTATAATAAAATAAATGTTGTATTAAATATGCTAAGATATGTATAAATACACGTTGATCATCTCTATAACATACGTTTATTTAGTCAAATCAGCACTATGCTGACTTGATTGAATCAACAGTTGATCCATACCCATTCTTTTACGACTAAACATTATGTCAATAACGACAAAGACCATCCATCCATCTACCATAATACAAATCTTTATCTAATATGCAAAGGTATAGCCCTAAGAGGCAAATCCTTTTGTAATGAAAGTCCAAAATTTTCACTAATATCGACATCTTCCGGCTCGATCCCACCCTCGAGTTCCCAATCAAAATTATGAATCAAAGAAGCAACCATTAAGTGGATCATCCTATAAGCCAATGCCATCCCCGGACAGATTCTTCTCCCGGCGCCAAAAGGTATCAACTCAAAATTCTGCCCTTTGACATCAATTATTTTTCCATGTAAGAATCTTTCGGGATCGAACATATTAGGGTTTGACCACACAATGGGGTCTCTTCCAACTGCCCATATGTTGATGAAGATCAAAGCATTTTTAGGTATTGTATAATTTTTTATTTCGATATGATCGTCCCTACCCTTTGTACGTACCAAAAATGGCCCCGGGGGATGGTATCGAAAAGATTCTTTGATTATTGCTTGTAAGTATGGTAGCTTTGGGATGTCTGATTCTTCGATGAATCTCTTTTCTTGTCCTATAATTGTTTGGATTTCCAGTTTAGCTTTGCACATTATGTTGGGATTCCTTAATAGCTCTGTCATTGTCCATTCTACTGTACTTGATGATGTATCTGTTCCTGCTACAAATAAATCCTGAAAAATAACTTGTTAGTATGTATATCATTAAATTACAATATTTATCCTCCCAAGTAAAAACTATTTGAAAATTTTGTAATTTTTGTTACACACTATCAAAATTGTAATTTAATCAATACTACTTAGATTTCAAATAATTGTCCATTAGCAATTGTGTGTATATATATATATATATATATTTTTTTTTTTCTGGCACGGGTCTGTTTTTTTTTTTTTTTTTTTTTTTCGAACTAAAATAAATATTTATTTTCACATAATTTTAAATAAAAATATATTAATAATTTTTTAAACACTCAATTTTAAATTAATTTTAAACTACAGCCAAATAATAACAAACTAAGTAGTCTAACCTCAATAAATTTATCTAATTGAAAGAAGAAGAGTATTCAAGTGAACTCATAAAAGTCAAAGTTTGACTTATAAGTATAGATTATTAGGCAAGCAAAGACACGTTATAAATATTTATAGATAGCTTAAGCTATGTTTGGTTTATATATAGTCCCTCGGTTCCACATAATTTATTTTTATTTTTTATTTTCGTCCGTCTCACATATCTTGTCTTTTTTTATTTTTGAAAATATAATTATGCACTTTAATCGCATTTTAAATTTTATAATTTTTTTAATTTTAATTAAATTATTTACTTATCTTAATCTTAATCTATAATTATTTTTACTAAATAATAATTATTTTTACTAATACACTTCTTAATTACTTACTAATTATACTTTACCTAAATTCCCGTGGCTACAGTAATACACCCATATTACATGGGACGGAGGGAGTAATTTTTTACTATTTATTATTTTCTTTTAAAAAAATAAAAAATTAAATCATTAATTTTTATTTTTTATATTATAGTAAAAGTTAATTTTACATTTTAAAAATATTATATCAATACTTACTTATATAAAATCAAATAACTATTTAACAATTTCATTATTCAAAATCAAAACTCGAAAGAAATATCACGACAAAAACATTTTGGTAGGGACACATTATTTAAATTAGAGAAAATCAATGACCCTTGATGGTGTGTTTGTTTGAGATTTGGATTTTGAGTTGGGATTTGAATAGTAAAAATTTTGAATTTGAATAGTTGTATGATGCGGTATAAACAGGTGTTGATGCTATGTTTTGAATGTAAAATTGATTTTTAGTATAATATAAAAAATAAAAAATAAATGTTTAATTTGACGTTTTTTGAGGGAAAAATAGGATGAACAGTAGATTTAAAATCGAATCCCCAAACAAAATAATCAATTATCTATAATAACCATTTAATGGTCTATCAAAAAATGGTTTTGACAACTAATCAATTATCATACCTATATATTATTTTTTTTTTATGAATTGATTCCATAGCAGATCTCGAATTTGGCACAATGTCTAAAACTAGAAGATATAATCTAGGAGTTTATATTTATTAAATATTTCTAATTAAATTAAGTGGTTTTGGATGTACGTGTGCCTTAATTTTATTTAAAGGATATTTTATTTTAAATAATTTAAATATTATATCTTAATAAAATATGTATAATATAAATATTATTTTGTAAATGATAAAATTATATATAATAAAAATATAAAAATGAGGAAGTTTAAGTATTAATAAAAATATTTTTTTTTTTAGTGAAGAAAGATATAGAAATTAAAGAATTTGAAGGAAATCTCATTAAATACGTTTAAAATAACTAAATTTATTAAAAATTGTAAAAATAATATGTTTTACACGACAGACAAAAAAATGACGGGATAGAGGAAGTATATAAAACTAAGAATTACTTAGTTATCTATAGAGGTGGATATTACTGATACATTGAATACTAAAATATCAAAATAAAATATGACAATACTAAAATATTGAAATACCAAAATATATCTAATATATCAATTTATATTTCGTTACTATCTCGAAAAAATTCGATACACTGTATCAAAATTTTCAGGTACTTTTCGGTATAATATATATGGTATTTCGATTTAAAAAAGAAAATAGAAGATTCAAATAATTCACTATCTAATTTCTTGAATAACAGAAAAATAAAATAAAATAAAAAGTACTAACCAGAAGAAGATGTTTAATGTCATCACGACTTAAATGATCATCAGCTTCATCGTTCTTCTGATCTTCTTCATTGATTTGCAGCAGAGCTTCCAACATATCGTCCATGGCTTCTCCTCTTTCCGAATTCCTCCTCATCTCCAGCCGTCGATCAATGATTCCATCGAATATTCCCAACAGTTTGCCAACATAAAACTCCGATTCCCTTTTGATTCCCTGCAGATCAAACGTCCTCAAAATCGTGAAAAAATCCGCCACATTAGGTTTCCCCAAAACCCTCATTAACCCACGGATCGATTCGGCGAATTCCTGGCTCGAATCGGATCCATAGTCGGCGAAATCCATGGAGAAGAGGGTGTTGGATATCAGATTCAGCGCCGTCACGAACGCGGCCGTTCCGACGTCCATAACCAATTTTTTCCGGCAGCAGTCGCGGCCGTGGTCCACCAGCTTCCGCAGCTTCTCCTGGCGGAGCAACCGGCCGGAATCCAGGCGTTGGGCGGAGAACATTCGTTCTTGGCAGATCCGGCGGAGGCTCCGCCACTTTGCGCCGACGGGCAGACAGGCGAGGGATTTGGTGTGGTGGCGGAGGGCTCGGGCGGCGGCGCCGATGCGGCGTTCCGGGAAGGCGCCGTCGTGCCTGAGAAGTATTTCTTTGGCGATCTCCGGCGATGAGACGACGATGGTGTCGACGCTGCCGAGGCGGAGATGCATGAGAGGGCCGTAAGTTTTGGAGAGTTTGGCGAGGGATTGGTGAGGGTTTTTGCCGAGCTGGTGGAAGTTTCCGATGGCTATAAGTGGATAGGGCCCCGGCGGAAGGCGGCACCGCCGCCGCCGGAAATTGGAGTTGGAGAGGAGATTGAAAGTCAAAAGGAGGATTAGAAGGAGTAGAACAAAAGTTGTGAAATCCATGGCAGCTTTCGTCTCAACTCTCTCTTTGATGGGAATATATATAGAATGTGTCATTTTAAAGTAGTTTGTTTAGATACAGTTTTTTTCTTTTTTTTTTTTTTTTGAGATTTTTAAAATTTTGAAAATTTAAATGTATTTCATTTGATGATATGTAATAAAAAAATATATTTAATGCGATATTTTTTTTAAAAAATACTCCTTCCGTCCACGGATAAAGTATACATTTACTTTTGGCGCGAAGTTTAAAAAATAATAGTATTTTAATTATAGTGGGTAGGTAAAAGTAGTGTAACGACATTTTTGCATTTACTTTTTGGTATAAAAGTAATGATGTGATCTAAAATAAGAGTATTTGTAGAAAAAAATGAGGTATTTATTGACATGGTTACTTTGTAATTGGATGTTCCAAAATAGAAATAAGTATGCTTTATAGCTGGACGGAGGGAGTAAATAATATCAAATAAATAAATAAAAGTGTGTAAGGTAAACAAAAAAATTTGTATATATATTTTTATCTCGAATTCTTATTTAATTACTCTTCATATATATATATATATATATATCTTTTTAATTTTTATTTTTATAAAAAAATTTTAGTCTCTACCATGTGAAAAGTACTATAATACTTATTGTTAGGAATACGTGTACTAAGTATATCATTGAATGCTTATTACTTTTTGTTCTGGCTATTATGTTCGGGTTATTGTAGATATAAAAATATAAAGTATAATTAGTAAATAATAAGAATGTATTAATAAAAATAATTATAGATTAAGATGATTAATTAATATAATTAAATTAAATTAAAAAAATTTAAAATTAAAATGTGTAATTATTTTTTTAAAAAATAAAAATGATAAAAAATATAGAACGAACAAAAATTGCAATGTAGACAAGATAACGGGACGGAGGAAATATTTAACTTTGAAGGTTTCTATATTTATCAATATGGATAAGGAATATGTAAATGGAATACAATATTTCATATATATACTTATCTTGAAATAATATACTATTTTCATTCGATTTTAAAGATTTATTTATTTTTTTGTGTGTTGATCTTTAAAAATTAATTATTATATTAAAATATAGTATTGCAAAAGTACTTCATTAGTATTTTATAATACTAATAGAAGGGTATCTGTACAAACAAGTTATACAAATATAAGAATATTTTTAATGTTAAATACAATGACATAAAAAATAAATATGACCTTAAAGGCGGACAAATTGAGTATATTAATAATAATAATAGCCAAACACACATATATATACATTCTACTTACATACATCTATATATATCTATAATATATTTTATATAACAGAAGAATCTTTCGGGATCAAACATATTAGGGTTTGTCCACACGGTGGGGTCTCTTCCAATTGCCAATCCGCCGATGATGATCAAAGCATTTTTAGGTATGGTATAATTTCTGAGGATGTGAGGATGGTATCTAAATGATTCTTTGATAATTGATTGCAAGAATGGTAGTTTTGGGATGTCTGATTCTTCGATGAATGCCTTGTCCTGTCCAATAGTTGTCTGGAGCTCCACTTTAGCTTTGTGCATTATATTGGGATTTCTTAAGAGCTCTAACATTGCTGAAACTAGTAACTTGTATGCCCAAATAAAATTATGCAACCAACCATACACACACTATAAAAAAATTGCAGTTTTATCAAATTTTATGCTCTATTTTGTTTTTTTTTTTTTTTTTTTTTTTTTTTTTTTTACAAAAGTCCATAATAATACTCAATTTTAAAAAATTTGCAATTTTATCAATAATACTCAAATTCAATATATATTATTTTATGCTCTATTTTTTTTTTACAAAAGTTTATAATATATTATCTTTTATATAACCGACATAATTTTTCCGACTTCATATGAAAAAATACTTCAAACTAAAATATTAAACCAAACGTATTATTTAAATTTGAAAAAACAATGACCCTTAATTGATGCATCAAATACACTTATCTATACTAATCATTTAGGGTGTGTTTACTTGTAAAATTATGATTTTTTTTTTTTTTTTTTGTTTTGAATAACAAAATTTTGAATTGAAATAATTGTTTGATGTGATATAAAAATGTATTAATTTTTGTTTTGAATGTAAAATTAAATTTTTAGTGTAGTAAAATAAATAAAAAATGAGTTTTTGATTTGATATTTTTTTTAGAGAAAAAAAAATTAGAATAGTAAAATAAGGATAAAATCATTCATGACGTCATAGTCACATGTCCAACCGCCACACACACGGGAGTATCCTGACAATGTATTCCTTTTTTTAATGGACAATTATTGGATTACCAGCAAGAAAACTATACACAAAACTTTTGCTTATTTATGCGTCTATAGATTCACATTAAAAGAAATAATAAAAGTTAAAACACTATCTATTTTGATGATTTTTTTTTTTAATAAAAACTTACTACAGTATATAATTTTCAAGATTCCTTATAGAAAGTCAAAACATATCAATATATAATACTCTCTCCTTCCACAAATTAATATCCTATTTTTCTAATTGGGACCAACAACTATTGTCCTATTTTCTTTTTTTTTTAAACATAAATTTTACATTTTTACCTTTCATTCATTTATTACTTTTAATTTCTACCGTACAGGCAAATTTGTCAATTTATAACAAAAAGATAATAACCTATAAAAATTCGTGTAAATATACTTTAGGACAATAAAAATTGGACGGAGAAAGTATATTCTATCATTGTATACTTTTAAATAATTTTTTATTTTTATTTTTAGTTACATTATTTTTTACTTAGTCAGAGTGTTTGATAACAATTTTTTAAAATCACATCTGTATTCCTACAATTTGATATTTATTTGGAGCTTATTTGAAAATAAGAAGTCATAAGTTGGGTTGCCTGTTTATTTTATATTTTCAAACTTGCATTATTTAAAAATTATATATATATATATTTATGCTCTACCAAATATTAATTTTGTATAAAAAATATTAATAAAAAATTTATTCTTTATTTAAAACATCATGTTTAATACTATATTGAAAGCATAAACAATCATAACCTTTTGGTTGTTTTTGTTTTCTGAATTTTGGTTTTAAATTTTAATTTTAAATAGTAAAATTTTAAATTGAAATAATTTTTTTTTTTTTTGCATGATATAAATATAATGATATGATAAATAAAAATTATTATTTAATTTTATATTTTAAATATTGTTTAAAAAAATTAATAATAAAATCAACTAAAAATCTTAGGAACAAACACACCCTTATATTTTGAGAAGAAAAATTATACATATATATATATATATGTATATTTACCAAAGAATACTACCAAATTAATGAAGATCTCACAAATGGCAAAATAATTTTACCTAAATGACTCAATATTTCTTCAATAACTGAAAAAAAAAAAAAATCTAACCAGAAGGAGATGTTTAATGTCATCACGAGTGAACTGATCAGCGTCATCATTCCTCTCTTCTTCACTGATTTGCAGAAGAGCTTCCAACATATCGTCCATGGCTTCTCCTCTCTCCGAATTCCTCCTCATCTCCAGCCGTCGATCGATGATTTCATCGAATATTCCCAACAGTTTCCCAACATACATCTCCGATTCCCTTTTGATTCCCTGCGGATCAAACCTCCTCAAAATCGTGAAAAAATCCGCCACATTAGGTTTCCCCGAAACCCTCATTAACCCACGGATCGATTCCGCGAATTCCTGACTCGAATCGGATCCATAATCGGCGAAATCCATGGAGAAGAGGGAATTGGATATCAGATGCAGCGCCGTCACGAACGCCGCCGCTCCGACGTCCATAACCAATTTTTTCCGGCAGCAGTCGCGGCCGTGGTCCACCAGCTTCCGCAGCTTCTCCTGGCGGAGCAACCGGCCGGAATCCAGGCGGTGGGCTGAGAACATCCGTTCTTGGCATATCCGGCGGAGGCGCCGCCACTTAGCTCCGATGGGGAGACAGGCTAGGCTATGGATTTGGTGTGGTGGCGGAGTGCTTGAGCGGCGGCGCTGTGGCGGCGTTCTAGGAAGGCGTTTTCCTGCTTGAGAAATATTTCTTTGGCGATCTCCGGCGACGATACGACGATGGTGTCGATGCTGCCGAGGCGGAGATGCATTAGAGGGCCGTAAGTTTAGGAGAGTTTGGCGAGGGAATGGTAAGGGTTTTTTCCGAGTTGGTGGAAGTTTCCGATGACGATAAATGGATAGGGTCCCGGAGGGAGGCGGCGCCGTCGCCGCCGGAAATCGGAGCTGAGGAAGAAATTGAAAGTCAAAATGAGGAATAGAAGGAGTAGAGCAAAAGTTGTGAAATCCATGGGAACCTATGATGTGATCAACTCTTCATGAACTATGTCATATATTTGCCTATTTATATATTATTGGAATTTGGCGGCGGTTAGAGTACTGATTTGGTGAAATCATTATATGCGGATAGCATATTGTCAAGTTAGAGATCGATTAGTTAGTTAGGGTGCTGTTTTTGAAAATTCGGTAGCATTCGTAATATATATAGATAAAATACATTTTTATTATACACAACACATGTTGTATAGTAAAGACATGTGTTGTTGGTTTATAATTATAAGTGTATTGTATCTCAGTATGTGGTGTGCTGAAATCAACTATTATTTATGTTGTATAAGACTATAACATGTCTTGTTAGTTAATATATTGTATTTGTTTGGTTGGGTCATAATTACAAGTGTGATGTATGGCAGTGGTGTCCTGAAATCAACTATTGTTAGCGTGTGTTGTTAATTTATGTGTTGTATTTATATTATATGAATGCATACGGTGTACTGTCTGATAGCACACAGTGTGCTGTAATTGGCAAATTTGTCACATATTTTATAATGTATTGTACTCTCTCTGTCCCTTTTGAAATGGGCTTTAGCGTTTTGTAGTAAATTAAAAAATAATAGTATTTTATTCATTAGTAAGAATGTGTGTTAGAAATTTTGACATTTTTACCATTTGACTTTCTGTATAAATTAAAGTAATTGTATATGTAATGGTATATTTTGTAATTTAAATAAAATTAAAGGTATTTTGATATTAGTATATGATTGATTTTACTAAAATAAAATAATATGTACTTTTAAGTGAGACGGACGAAAATAATAAAAATAGTACTTTGAATAATGACAGAAAAAATATATTATATTAATATTTGCTACTTTTTTTATACCGCTAAACTCATAATATAGTTTGTTTAAATTATAATATATTTTTCTCCGTATAATTTTATAATGTGCTATTCAAATATATACAATTTTTTTATATATAGCATTTGCAAACTGAAGTTATTGTATTTATATTATCTGTTACTATATTATATGATGTTTATTTATTATAAGGATGCTGTCAGTACAATCCATGTGCAAATCTATTACGAATAAAGTGTGTAGAAATAATAATATAATAATAAAATATGAATATTTTATATTTATGTGGAATATTATTTTACTAAAAAATTAAAAAAATTGGAATAAATATAGTAAAATAGAAAAATAAAAAAAATTTGAGTTGACAGATGAAATATTAATGAATCAATAAAGCATAAGTGTTAATTTCATTTTCTACCATTTTGTGTAGTACTAAATTTTAATAATTGAATCATTCACTCAATTTAGCAAAATAATTTTATTCTCTTTGAACAATGAAAAAAAAAAAAAATCTCAAGATCGAACACATACAACTTTAAATATACTTAGGCATTTCTCACATATTTGATTTCTCAATTTCTTCACAAATTTGTCAAATATTACATTCGCCACACACATAAAATAAAAAATAGGCATCGTGGTTTTTATCCTTCGACCGAAGTATTCTTACCAATACTCACATCAATTTTCTTTTCTATACAATCCTCGCTTTTCTCTTCGACTCTCTTGTACTTATACCACGAAGCACACAACAAATACACTGCAAAATTTACGACGCTCATCCCGGCGAGTAGCCAATAAAAGTACTCGAGCCGGTCCCTATTCAAATTATTGCTCGACAACCATCCCCCGCTCGCCTTATTCACCACATTCACAACGACCGAGCTAGTGTAGTACCCGAACGCCAACGAGCACCACGAGATCGCCGTCCCCAACGACTTCATCCCCGACGAGCTCTCGGCGTAGAAAAATTCCAGCAGCCCCACGAGCGTAAACATGTCCGCGATTCCAAAGATACCGTATTGGATCCCTAGCCAGAACACGCTCATTGGCAAGGGATCGGTGGAGTCGACCAAGCCGTGATTTATCGCGACTTTTTTTCTATGTGTTTCGACGACTCCGCTTATGGCCATGGAAAGCGTCGAAAGGACCAGCCCCACGGCGACCCGTTGCAGAGTCGTGATTCCGGTGGGAATTCCGGTGATCTTCCGCGCCACCGGGACGAAGAACCTGTCGTAAATCGGGATAAGTATGAACATGAATAACAGGGGAATTACGGGAATCGAAGGCCCCGGCATTTCGAAGCTCCCGATTTTCCTCGTCATCGTCGTGCTCTGCTGAATCGAGAATGTCTGGAGCTGCGCCAAGCACGTGTTCATGAACACGGTGCTTAGGATGATCGGGAGCATCCGGACGAGGATCTTCGCCTCCTCGACTTGAGTCACGGTGCAAAGCTTCCACGATCCGGAGGGATCTTCCGAGTTCCTCTTCATCGCCGCACGATCCAAGAACCTAAAAAGGTTTGTGAGTTTGAAAAAAACCAAAAAAAAAAAAAATCATTGAATGTAATAGGGAACTATACTTGAATTGATCCGTCCTTTGAAGCGTCTCGTCGTGTCCTGTTTCTTTGTCGTGAATCTCGTGCATCTCGTGACCCTCGGATGCGCGAAGCTTCCTGTTTCGAACGGCTACGACGAACACCTGTTCAATTCATCGCCTAATTTAGAAAAAAAAAAAAAAGAAAGATCGAAAGAATCTGTCGGATACAGAATGACCGTCTCACCTAAAAGCTCGAACTGCTATGGAAGCGCAGTCATTAATCATAAGCATGTACAAGTTTCACAGACCCCACTTGCACATGAGGGAGCGTGTTGGGGATTCTCGTTTGCGGATATATGATTAATGGATGCATTTCCCTAACAGTTCGAGCTTTTAGGTGAAACGGTCATTCAGTATTCGACAAAATCAATATCAATACACGACGAATCTTACGATAAATCCACCTGAATAATTCCGATCAAAGCGCTTCGCTTAGGGACATTAGTCCGGTAAGTGGAGTGGCCGATGGCGAGGCAAAAAATGCCCATTGCGACGATCATTGCACAAATACCGAATGCCCAATCCCATCCGAGGTTGGAGCTTATCCAAACTAGAAAAGTTACGCCGATGATCGCTCCGAGGGTGTAGGAGAACATGAGCCAGTTGAAGTAGCTGGAAAGGGAAGCGGCTTCTTCAGGGTCGCGATCGTCGAACTGATCAGCCCCGAGCGACGGCAGTGCCGCCTTGACACCGCCGGTGCCGAGAGCCACCAAGTAAAGGCCTGAGAAGAGTATAGCCTGTTGGGCTGTGGTTGCAGCCTCACAATGCTGGTCCATGTTCATGCCTTTGCAGGGTTGAGGTCTGAGGTGCGTAAGATGTGCTTGTGTTGCTAGGATAAGGTAACCCTAATATATGTATATATATAGTCCTAGGTTAGAATGCTGATCAGGTCAAATCGGTACATAAGGGATCAACTAACGATACATATATATATATTAATAGTTCGAGCATACTCTTTTCGGTTGGGTACAAGAATTAAAGAATAATAGTATTATATTTACAGTGATTGTAAAATTATTTCTATAAGACTAAAATATTTTTATTTTATGTTATTATTGTATAAAAGTGGGAATAGTTTTGTAAAAATGTGATGAACTAATTACCAAAAATGAAAATGAAACTATTGTTTTGGAACAAAAAAAAATGATAAAATAAAATTTGTTTTTTTGGGACGGAGATAAGTTATAATTGATTTTAACAGAAGTGTATGTTAACATAGAGTAAATGCATAGTATTAGTTGATGACATATGGGTGACTTATCGGCACAACACATGCTGATTTAATTTTAATCTTGCACTTAGATTTAGGTGTCGCTGATCTGGCGGGACACTTGGTGAACACATCATTTCCGGCGAGCCACGCGGGCGTCTCCGGCGCCGGAGGACTAAAACAGCGAAAATTTTTTATTTATTGGACTAGTTTACGACAGACTCCACTTACGAACTAAAATGATAAAGGGTCCCGTTATGGGACTGAAAAAACAGTTTACCTTTTTTTTAATGTGAATTTTTAAAGATATATATATATATATATATATATGAAAATAAATAAATTATATGTATCATTTAAAAGCAAGATCCCAATATGCATGTTAAATATTCAAATAAACATGATAACTCACACTTTGATTTCACTAAAATTGTAGATACATTAGAGATCATGTTTATTAAAAAGAACATTAATAATAGTTGTGGCAGAATATAATATTTACAATGTTTTTTCATAATGGATAATTGAGTAGTGCATGATTTGAGCACCATCTGATTTTTCTACCAAACATATCTATAACTAATGCATTTTAATAAATTTAATTTATTGCTTCTTTTTTGTAGTTCATATTTGGGATTATTTATTAGCAATTTTTTTAGTTGTGTGTGTGTTTGGATTTTGGATTGGGATTTGAATAGTAAAAATTTTGAATTTGAATAGTTGTATGATGTGATATAAATAGGGTTTGATGTGATGTTTTGAATGTAAAATTGATTTTTAGTATAATATAAAAAATGAAAAATAGGTGTTTGATTTGATGTTTTTGGGGGAAAAAAATGGGATGAATAGTGGAAATCCTCCAAAATCCTTCAAACAAACACACTATATTAGTGTGTTTGTATATAATAAAATTATATACAAAAGATGCAACAAAACATACCCCTATTTTTCTTCAAAAAAAATGATAATAATGAAATAAAATAACAAGTTGGATCATTGAAAGTGATAGGTCCCCAAAACCACATCAAGAGAGGTCATTGAAGCATGTTTCAACAAGTTTTTTTAATGAAAAACTAAAAATTTAATATATATATATATATATATACACGGAAATTAATATCACATATAATAGATTATATGATGCGAAAAATATTTTTTAAAAACACTTTTTACGATTACAAACTTCGTATATAACATCAAGACTACTTTTGATTCACCGGATTCATTACTAAGATCTTATAACACTACAAAAAAATAATATTTTTGTAACGAAATCTTTTTGTTCTAAATTCTCTTTTTTTTTTTCCGTTACTAACTAACAGAATTGTGGATAAAATTAGGTTAACTATGTGAATTTTTGAGACATAATTTTGTTACAAATATATTATTTTTTCGTAATGTAAGTTAAGAAGGCATACCACAATCTCTAAGCAGCCGAAGGCGACGCAAGTTTTGAACCTCGAAAAGTAGGAATCGGAGATGAATCCTCCAAACAATGTAAGAAGAAATGCTGTCCCCATAAAGTTTGTAAGAGCTGTGGCTGCTTTGGTCAAGCTCATGTTCATATCCCCATAGAAGTATGTAACTAAACTCATACCATTTGAAATGAAAGCCATTGTATCCAATGCTCCCATGGCTGAAAAAACCCGAAAAAAAATAAATAAATAACAAGAAAGAAATTAAATGTCTATAGAAAGTAGATGATCAAAAACCCTAGTTAATGATCTTTTTTTCAGAAAATTACCAAACACAAATAGTGTAGCCCTACTTCCTCCAAGACTTTGTGGCTGTTTACTTTGAAATTTACCCTGGAATTCGAAAAACCCTTCAGTAATTAATTGTCTGAATTTTAAAATAGAATTGAAATAAAGTGGGAGAAACATGAATTTGCATAAGTACCATGTTCTTGGCAGTGTTGGATTTCTTCTGCAAGAAAATTTGATTCTACAAAGTGGATTGAGGATTCTTTACATCTTCTAAAATGAGGATATATATAGAGGCCATATATAGATTCTTTATGATTCTGTTATTTAATTGGTGGTGTATTAGTCCATTAATAATCTTTTCGTTTATTTTTTACAGACGAATTTAGGTATTTTATTGAAGTATAGTACAAATTATATGTGTAAAGATAATTTTGTGTTTATTTTTCGTGTAAAAATAATAATATGATGATAAAGTAGACGTATTTTGTATTTATTTGGAATGTAATTTTATTAAAAAGAAATGAAAAAAAAAGTGGACTAAGAGATTATATATATATATTAAGATTATATATATTCGAACAGTTAGGAAAGTAATGAATTGTAGTTAAAAATTGATAGGGATTTTAATAAAAATCTATTATTTTTTATATAAATTAAATTAAATTAAATTAAATTACCATTTAAATTAGTTTTAGAAAAGCCTATATATACTTTAAAAAATGGTGAAAGTGATTGAAGCCAATGAGGAGGAGGAATCTTGGTTATATAATTAATAATGTCACGTTGATGCCCAAGTTTTACCTTTTTTTCATAATAAAAATATTATTATTATTATTATTATTATTATTATTTATTTTTATTTTTTTATGACTATTATTATTATTATTGATGGTCTGAGAAAGATTCGAATCATAATATTATTCGTTGTTTTCTTGCGAAAAGGTTTCAAATTGGTTAGATGCTTTCCCAGATTCAACTTTTAGAGCATTAATTAAGCACGTGATAATTATATATATACATATATATATATATATTAAATTTTTTTCTAGTTTAAATATATTTGTCTCTAGTTATTAAAAGATTTAACAAACTCTCAATGTTTTACGTTACTTGCCACCTATGGTTCACCTAATGTGACTTGTCTTATCGAGCCTAATTTACAGGGTATTAGATTCAATCGAGGGTTTATCCAGTGTACACTTTCGGGTAACGACTGAGGGTTCTCACGTCATAAAAAATAATAATAATAATAATAATTATTATTAATATAAAATAAGTATATGATGTAATTTGATGCAATGTTTTGCATAAAGAATAAATTTTCTATATAATTTATATTTAAATAAGAAATAAATATTTGATTTGGTACATTTTTTACATATATGTTCTGTTCTTTTTGTATTTTCTTTTATGTTTTTTTATTATTTATCTTAATATTTTTTAATTAAAATGTATTATTTTTTATAAAATATTATGTTAAATTATTATTTAAATAAAAAAATACGAAACACAGACATAATTATTGATAAATACTCCTATACATAATTAATGACAAAACTAACCAGTAGTATTCATTATACTTTTTTTTTTTTTGTGACCGATCCGCAATTAATAAAGTTGTATAGCATATATTATACACATCATATATTTGTTATAATATAACATATATTGTACTATATAAAAATATGTATTGTATTATTTTTTATGAGTAAACTTTCCCGTAACTAAACCCCTTTATCATTTTAGTTCTGTAAGTGAAGTCTGTCGCAAACTAGTCCCATAAGTGAAAAATTTTCGTTGTTTTAGTCCTCCAGCGTTGGAGACGCCCGTGTGGCTCGCCGGAAGCCACGTGACCGCCAGGTATCCCGCCAGGTTAGCGTGGATTTTTTTATTTTTAAAATTTTTTTAAATTTTTTTTCAATTGGACCAAATGAAAAAAATTAAAAAATACAAATAAAATTAAAAATAAATATAAAATCAATTTTTAAAAAATAAAAAAATAAAAAATAAAATCCATGTGACCGCCAGGTGTCGCTGCTTGGCGGACACGTAGCATCCGGCGAACCACGCGGGCGTCTCCGGCGCCGGAGGACTAATTTTCACTTATGAGACTAGTTTGCGACAGACTCCACTTACAGAACTAAAATGATAAGGGGGTCGGGATTAAACATATAGCTTACCCTATTTTTATTATACCATATTGATTTGATTCAATCATCAAATATTTTTCTTCAAATTAAATTATACACCTCCCATTAGTTTGAGCATGTGATATTTGGATTTGTTATTCAACAAGTATTCCCATTGACCCTATTAAAAATCACTTCTTATTTTTATTTTTGCAAATATGTGTATATATTTGAGTTTTAATTTTTTTTTTTTTAACAGTAGTTTAAACGTAATATTTTATTACAAAAAATAATAATTTTTAAATAAAAAATACAATAATCGTATAGTAAAAAAATTGAAAAGAAACTTCAAGCGCCCTAATTCTTAAACGACCCCTAAAATTGATGTATCCGAAACAAACAAGGGTTAAATACAAAATTACACTTCAAGGAATCATTAACAAAAACCTAAAGAGTACAAAATCATTTTTAAATAGATTTTGACTTAATGAATGATATTTTTAGTGCATAAAAACGATGTTTCTAATAACAATATATTATAAATTAATTAAAAGTCAATGTTGTTTGTTTAATTTAGGTCATAATTAAGAGTTGGTAAGACATGCTTTCATGTTTATGTATGTGTCTTAATAATTAGTATATAAATGCAACCCATTACATCACTACTTAACCACGCCCTTTGAACCCTTTATTTGTGTCTCACGGATTCTGTCCATTTCGGTGTTTCTGGACGTCTCATGTTTCATATCTTATGTCATTTTAAAAAAAAAAAAAAAAATTACATATTTTGAATTTATAAATTTTTAAAATTTTATTTAAACTAATTAATTAATTAAATTTTAATTTATAATTATTTACTGATTATTATACTCCTTAATTCTTGTATTTACCGTATTAGTGACGTTGTAGGTGGAATGGGGAGAGTATGTATTTGTTACAGTATATATTTGCATGTATTATTATAGTACCATTTATAACTAAGAGATTTAAATTTTAATAGTGAATTAATTTGTCCAACCAAAACATGAAATTTAATTTTCGATATATACTATAAAATAACACAATATATGTACACAACAAAATGAAAATATTAACAGTTTCATAAAAAATACTATCCCTGTTCGGCTTAAGAGTCTCATTTAGTTTTTGTGTGATGCTCTTTAAATATTAATTATTATATCAAAACGTAGTACAAATTAAGAAAATATTGCAAAAATATTTCCATTAGTATCTTATAATACTAATAGAAGGAATTTGGACAAAAAATCATACATATATAAGGATATTTCTAATGTTAAGTACAATGACGCAAAATGTAAATATGACCCTTAGAGTCGCACGGAGGGAATATTATTTTTATATTCTTCACACATTTCTCGATACTTCACATAAAAAATAACTACAACTAGACAAATACACCCTTATTCTATACTTAAGGTGTGTTTGTTTTGTGAGATAATTTGATGGAGAATTTTTTTACGTAAGTTATGAAAAATTATGTATAAAATATAAAAATAATGAATATATGTAATATATTAATTTTATTTTTGGAAAATACGTGCGTGCTTTTTTGGTTATAAGAACACACGCTTATTCTATCTACTGACAATTTATTTCAATGTTTTTATTATGCAACATTCACAAATAAAAATGCAATATCTTTTGGCTATAAAGATGTACTCCCTTTGTCCACCGTCAATATATTTATTTACCTTTTATACGTAAATTTTATAATATTAATATTTTATAGATAATAGTACAATAGAAGAAGGATAAAAAGATATTTTTCTTCTTAAAGCCAATTGTTTTTTAATGATTTTTTTGTAATATTGTGTAAAGTGTATGGATATTTCTTTATTTAAGAAATAAATACAATTACTTAAAAAAAATAAAATTTAGAAAGAATACAAAATCATGACAGACATATCAAAATGGTACAATGACTACATTGAGAATGGACGAAGAGAATACTATTGCTTCATGAATGAATTCTTAAAATCTTCCCTTTTTTTTATCCTTTTCAAATTAATTAAAAAAACTCAAAAGACTTTCAAAATAAATTTAAATATAGGGTATTTTTTTTATACAAAGTTCTTATAATTAACTCTACTGCAATAGGGTCATTCACCGCAAAAAAATATATATATATATATATCAATTTTATAACAAGATTTTTTCGTTTTTAAATCCAATTTTTTTCGTTACTAATGATATTAGAGACGGAATTAGGGATGAAATTACGTTAGCTACTTGAACTTTAGGAACGGAATTCCATTACAAATATACTATTTTTTTTGTAGTGATTTTTTGTAGTATTCACTACAAAAAATATAGTATATTTGTAACGAAATTTCGTTCCTAAAGTTTACGTGACTAACGTAATTTTATCCGCAATTCCGTCACTAATAGCATTAGTAACGGAAAAATTGGATTTAAGAACGAAAAAATATCGTTACAAAATTGATATTTTCTTGTAGTGATTATGAAAATAAATATAGCATGTAATTTTAAAAAATAATAATAATAATCTATAATTTACGTAGTTCATGCAAAATGGTTTGGAAAACACAAACAGCAAACCCTAATTGTTTCAAATTTGTGCACTATATTATTATTATTATTATTATTATTATTATTATTATTCTTAAGTAATAATGCATCATGCATGAAATGAGATGAGATACTCTGAGTTGTCAATATTATTTATTTTAATTTTATTTTTATTTTATTTCATTTTATCATTATTTGATCAATTATGTGGTACGTGCTGCCGATACTGATGATAATGAAAGTTGGTAAGGATTAATTATAATTCACAACACATGTGAATATCCATGTTTTATTATAAATATATATATATATATATGTGTGTTTGTTTTAATAAATATATATATATACACAATACATACACGTACATATATATATATATATAATTTATGTACAAATAAATAACTCTATGTATCATTTAACCTATTGGCGAATCTGAACTTGACGAAAGGGGGGCTGATTTTTAAAATTTTTGAAATAACACAATCTTATTTATTGTCAGATAATTTTATTATTCGAAATGTCATATTTTAAAAATCTTACAAAATAATAAACTACAAAAACATCAACTACATTAATATTCATTTCGATATTATTTGAAATCCATAAATATGTTTTATTAGAAAAAAATTCACTTGAAAAAATTATTGAAATTTTTTTTTGTTTCGTTAGGACATTTTTAATATGTTTTACTTTTACTAAAAATTAATTTTGTATTCAAAAATATCACAAAAACATTTATTCATATCACATAAAAAATATATATATTTTCAACCGCATATGTAAATTATAAAAGAATGGGGTAGGTTAAGGGGGGCGCAATCTCCCACTCTGATATTATGTCAACCTTTTCAGTGAGATGATTATTTAACGTAATATCACATCATCATTAATAATTATTTATATAGTTTTTTTTTTTTTTTAACACATCGCCACTACAAAAAAATAATATATTTGTAACAGAATTCCGTCCCTAACGTTCATGTAGCTAATGTAATTTCATTCCTATTTTCGTCTCTAATGTTATTAGTAACGGAAAAAATAAATTTAGAGACAAAAAATTTTATTACAAAAATAATTTTTTCTTGTAGTGATCCTCTGATGCAAGTACGAGATGAATTAGGAATATGTATTATTACATAATCTTCCAACGTAAGATAAATTCTAAATAAGATGTTTTATGCAAAATATAGATATGGTAATCATAATTTTGAACATGTACAATGGTTTGCACAAAAAGAATGTCTATGTTGTTCTATGTATCAATCGACACAATTTAATTTAAAAAATAATAAATACGTAACGGTTTTACAAATATTCACATGACTCTCACAGCTTAAGAGTTATATGGCCTGCACCGGGCGACTTAATTCGATGTTAGAGACAATTTTTTACCTCTAAATATTAATTATTGTATTTTTTTTCTTTTAAAAGAAAATTCTCAATAATAATTATTGGTCCTCTATTTATATCTTATACTGCCTCTGTCCATTGAAAATGTTACCATTTTCTATTTCCGTCCGTCCCAAAACAAGGTTACCATTTCCTAATTTAGTAATTTTATTACCTACTTCACATAATAAATACCCTTTCAACTTACAATATATTGCACAAATGCCATTACTTTTATATTACACTATACTAATAGGGGTATTTTTGTCTTTTTTTACTATAATCCAATATAATACTAATATTCAAAAATCTATGTGTAAAAAACAAACGCCACCCCTTGTTGCGGGACGGAGGGAGTATTATTATTTCTTATTACGATATTTTAGTGTGTAATATTGAAGGGGGGGGGGGGGGGGATCACAAATTACATGACTACTAAGAACAAAAATAATTTTGTAAATTTTTTATAGTAAATTAAAGATTTAAAAAAAGAAAAAGAAAAAGAAAAATTGTGTGTAAATTGCAAAAAGATGGGTTGAATGCTCATTGGACTTAGTGATACCTTATTGGGCTGCTTAGACTTGTAACACCCAACTTAGACTTTGATACAAGATCTAAGTTTTTTTGTTTTCTTCTTCTTTTTTTTTTTTTTTTTAAATTAATTAGGATTTTACATCCATTACAGTGTGTTTTGAGTAAATTCCTGACTGAATTTAATACAATGCAAGTTAGATTCCATAAGACAAGTACCATGTGTGGCAAGTGAAACCTGGAGGTTTCAGTAACTTAAACACATGACTTCACGGCGATAAGATCATTTTGTACATGTTGGTATTATGTTTTTAATTTTAATAATTTTTCTAAATTTTTAAAATTAAAATTTATTTTTTATCTTTTATTTATATATTTCTCTAAATAAATATATATTTAATATTTCTTATTTTTAAAATTAATTTGTATTGAATATATTTTATTAGATTATAGTTTTAAAAATATTCATTATTTATTTTTAACTTAATATATAATACATTATAATTCAACTTACAATCAACCTATCATATCATTTCTCTACCATTAATAAAATCAAACTTTCAATTACACTTTCTAAGTTAAATTGCTACTGAAATGCACCTTAGTTGTTTTGTTTTCATGAACTTAATTTTAACTTATATTAATTATATAATTCTAATTTTTTTTCTAGGAAAATATAAATATCATTATATCTAACATTATTCGAATTAAAATACAAAATAAATAAATATCTAAAATTGGATTATTATATATATATATATATAAGGTTTATTTTCTCCCGAAATGTTGCAGAATTATTGGGAGAATTCGAGCAATTAATTGTGTCAATTACTTATTTTCAAAGTTTATTTTAATTGAATTCCATTTACATTACAAGATCATCATTTTGTTCTTTGAGGACATATAAATTATGAAAATGAACATCTAATTTTAATATAAATTGCATATTTTTTTTCAATGGTCACAATAGAGAAATAACTAAATGAAGATATATCAATTACAAATAAATAAAATATAGATGAAGGTTCATATACTCAATTAGAGTATATAAAATAATACTCCCTCCGTCCCAATATAATAGTCTTATTTACTATTTTTGTTCGTCCCAAAACAATAGTTTCATTTTCATAAATAATTATATCACTTTAAAACTACTCTTATTTTTTTCATTAGTATTACACAATTGTTATTACTTTTTACACTAATACACTCATAAGGGCAAAAAAATCTTTTATCCATACTTTTTATCCACAACTAATATAATATTAATATTCTTTAAATCTCGTATCAAACACAACCTAAACTATAGTTTTGGAACGGAGGGAGTATTTATTATAATAATATCTAAATGACCTTTGTTATTATTAAAAAACTAAACATATACTCCCTCCGTCCACAAACTAATGTCCTACTTTTCTATTTGGGACGTCTAACAACTATGGTCCTATTTTCTTTTTTAAACACAAATTTTACATTTTTACCCTTCATTCATTTATTACTTTTAATCTCTACTATACAATTAAGGACAAATTTGTCAATTCATAACAAAAAGATAATCACCTAAAAAATCATGCAAATATACTTTAGAACAATAGAAATTGGACGGAGGAATTGGACGGAGGAAGTATAATATATATATATATATATATTTATATATTAAATACACTTAAACCCTACAAGAATTGACAATATGATGGTTGCAAATGAATTAGCAAGTTGGGATAAGATATCTTCCCACCAATAATTGATGATGCCAATTTGTTGATTCGACGTAAAGATTGCATTAGATATTTTTTAACTTTTAGCATTTTATGTATAATAGTAATTTTTTACCAAAAAAAAAATGTTCATAAAATATTATATCAAATATTCAATATTTTATTATTTATAATTTTTTTAAAATTAGAAAATGTTTTATCTATGCGGGCCAAGTATTTAAATTAGTTTTTATTTTTTAAAAAAAATAAAGATATATATTAAATTAAAAAATTTAAAATGATAAAAATACTATATGATATCAAGTAAAAAAAATAAAATAGGTATTCAAATTAGAGAAGTTCAATCTTATTACTTAAATAAGATATTCTTTAGTTTATATTTATGTTAACACTATATAATTTTATTAAAAAATATATTTTAAATATATATCAAAATATTTTTAAAATTATACAATATTTTAATTTATACATATGTTATTTGATAAATAATAAATTAAATATATATTTATAAGATATTACTATAAATTAAATTTATAAAAAAATAAATCAAATTTATACAAATCTATATGGAAGAAAATTGTAAAACAAATATTTTTTAAAAATGATGAAAATGAATTTACTTAAAGTTTGAATTTTGTTTATTTTTTTTATTATTAGTATACTATAATCATAAGTTGTGTTTGCTCTCTGGTTTTGGTTTGAATTTGAGCTTTGATTTTTGGAGAATTTTTAAATGAATTTTTTTTAAAGCTGTGTTTGGCTTAGTATTTTGGCTTTATAGTATTATATTAGAAAATATTTTTAAGTTTCGATTTGATTTGATTTGATGTGTGCAACCTACTGTTCATAATTATTTTTGTCCCTTCTGAATCGAGTAGGGATGTGTTTTTTTTTATGAATTTGGAAAAAAAATTATTTGAATTTGCTTCGAAAATGAGATATTTTTGTTAGAAAAAAATATCAAGAAACATCAGAATTTAAATAATAAAATTTAAAAAAATTCGAATAAAGAAACATATCATTTGTCAAACATATTTTTTTAACACGATTTTACAATAATTGTTGGGCCTCTCTTTGTATTTTATTATATATATATATATATATACCCTCTAACAAAATATACCTTTAAATTATTAATTAAAAAATAATATAAAAAATCAAAAACTCAAACCAAACACGTGCTAGTAAAAATAAATAATTTTATTTTCTTTACATTCAAGATTTTGTTAAAAATAAAAAATCAAAACCCAGCCCCTTTCCCCTTTCGACTCCACACATGTCTGGAGCCTTTTCTGTTTAAAGTAGAAATTAATTAGATCCAATTGCAGATCTACGTAGTCTCTGCTGCAATGTCGAGAAAATTTATGAAGATGAAGATTCAATTGGTTCCTCTGATTCTGTTCTTCCTACAAATGGATAATCTTTTGTGTTCAGAAGAAAGATCGACTTACATTATCCATATGGATAAGTCCTTTATGCCAATGGCATTTTCCAGTCATCACCATTGGTACTCTTCGATGCTCCAATCTGTCAACTCTCAGACATCCCCAAAGCTCCTCTACTCCTACGACAATGCCTTCCATGGATTCAGCGCCGTCGTGTCGGAAACCGACCTCGAAACCCTAAAAAACTCGCCGGGATTCCTTACAGCCTACGCCGACGGCCCTGTCTTCCCCGACACCACTCATTCTTACAAGTTCCTGTCGCTGAACACCGCCGCCGGATTATGGCCGGCGTCGCAGTACGGACAAGACGCGATCATCGGCGTCGTGGATTCCGGTATATTGCCGGAGAGCCTGAGCTTCAGAGACGACGGAATGACGAATATTCCGGCACGGTGGCGCGGAATATGCCAGGAAGGGGAGCAATTCAACTCTTCTTTATGTAATAAGAAACTGATCGGAGCTCGGTACTTCAACGGCGGCGTTAAGGCGGCGAATCCAGGGGTTACCATTACAATGAACTCCGCCAGGGACGAATCCGGCCACGGCACCCACGTGGCGGCCACCGCCGCCGGAAATTATGTCGCCGGCGTTTCGTATTTTGGCTACGCTTCGGGGACCGCCAGAGGAGTCGCGCCGCGGGCTCGGCTGGCCATGTACAAGGTGCTGTGGAACGAGGGCAGCTACGAGTCAGACGCGCTCGCCGGAATTGACCAGGCCATCGCCGACGGCGTCGACGTCCTGTCGATCTCGCTGAGCTACCGGCGGCGTGAGCTACACGATAATCCGTTGGCGATCGCCGCATTCGGAGCCCGGGAGAAAGGCATTCTGGTTTCGATCTCGGCTGGGAATCGCGGGCCGGGCTTCGCGACGCTGCTCGAGGGAATTCCGTGGGCGGTGGTGGTGGCGGCGGGGACGATCGACCGGTGGCTCGCCGGGACGGTGAGTTTAGGAAATGGTAGAATCATTACCGGATGGACTCTGTTCCCCGGACGAGCCATCGTCCGAAATATACGTCTCGTCTACAACGAGTCTTTTTCGTCGTGCTCTACGCAAGGCTCGCAAATAAATCAATCGAGTCGAATTCTCGTATGCACTCTCTCCGATATCGAATTCGATAGCGTGAAAACCGTTACGATGGACCCGTCCGTGCCGTACGTTGACGCGAGGATTGTCATTACCCAAGACGTCACCGAGCTGCGATCGTTCACATATCAACGCCCCGGTGTGATAATAACCCCGTCGGAAGGGCGAGAAGTGATCGAATACATAAAAAGTAGCGACAATCCGACGGCAAGTATAGATTTTCAGCAAACCGTTATTGGGGCGGAGCCGAGGGCTGCTCCGGCCGTCGCGGACTTCTCGTCGAGAGGGCCGGCGAGAAGCTACCCGGGCGTGTTGAAGCCCGACATTATGGCGCCGGGTGTTTTAATCTTAGCGGCGGACAATCCTGACTCGTTGCGAGCGCAAATCGGCGTCACTTATCTCGGGAGCGATTTCACGCTTCGGTCGGGAACATCGATGTCTTGTCCGCACATTTCGGGAATTGCCGCGCTACTCAAAACCGCGCATCCCAACTGGAGCCCGGCCGCAATTCAATCGGCGATGATGACTACCGCAAGCGTACTCGATAACACCGACGAGCCTATTAAGGACTCGGGATTGGACTACCGAGTCGCCAACGCTCTCGACATGGGATCGGGCCAAGTTGATCCAAACCGCGCGCTCGATCCCGGGCTCGTGTACGATGCCTCAATCCAAGACTACGTAAACCTTATTTGTTCGATGGACTTAACGTCCGAACAACGACGAACAATCATCCGATCGAGCTATAATTGCTCGAACGCATCCTCGGACATAAACTATCCGTCGTTCATTGCTCTCTACGACAGTCAGGAAAACGGGACTAAATTGACGAAGGAGTTTCGGAGGACGGTCACGAATGTGGGCAACGGTCCGACGACGTATCTGGTCGAAGTCGAAACACCAAGGGAATCGACGATCGAGATTTCTCCAATGACATTAACGTTCGCGAAAAAATACGAGAAGCGAAGCTACACGATGACTATCCGTTACCGGAGTTACAGTCCGTCGGAAACGAACTCTGGCGCGATCACGTGGATCGACGGCTCCGGAAAGCACAGAGTCAGAAGCCCGATTGTGGTCACTACGACAGTTAGTATTTACGAATGATCTCTATGGGGGATGGGATCTTTCTATCCTGATCAATCACTTTTCGTTATGTCTCTATTTGAATAGGTAGTTTTTCCGCCAGGTTAATATACTTTTTATTATAATTTTATTAATATTTTAACTTAATTAAATTTTTAATATATAATATTATATATTATATAAAATTCGATCAAAACTTAAGAGTGTATTTCTTAGGTAAAAAAAAAAAAAAAAAAAAAAAAAAAAAAAAAAAAATTAAATCTTCTCAATTTTTTTACTTTTTATAATATTAATTTTTGTTAATTATAAATAAATATATTTTTTAATTTATTTTTATTATGTATAATTTTATTCTAAAATAAAATTCTATTGTATACTCCCTCAAATTATTTTTTTTATTATATAAGTCTGTTCTATTATTTTTTTTCCTATTATAGTTAAATAGTTATGTGTTAATATTAAAATACACAATTTTTTTTTATAAATTACATATATAAAATTACATATACAATTAATTTATATATAAACTACAATAAAAGAATGTCAAAATTATCTTACATTATCGCTAATAGATAATATTATTTCTTAGTCTACTGTAAAAAATTATCCTTTTAGACAGGGACGTGAGAGTATATTTATTAATATACAATTTTAAAAATATTTAAGTATATATTTCAACTTTCCTATAATCATATATTACTCCTAGAATTTATTCAAAAAGTATAAAAAAAATTGCATTGAAATTTAAAAGATCTCGGAGACAATTAATTTTGATATCGGATTTTGTCTCGAAATTTTAAAAAAAAAAATTGTTGTCATTTCCAAAAGCATCGAAATTTCTGAATTCATTTAACATTAGTGTGCTAGAGTGCATGAGTTTAATAGCTTCGAATTTTCCAAGACTATTATGCAAAAGCAAATAAATATCTAATTATGGGACGAAACGAGTATATATAATAAAGTTTCGGAATTTCTGAAACAATCACATTAATTAAATATAAATAATAAAGTTTCAAAAATTTCGAAATAATTTTCTTAATTAAAAAATAATATATACATATATATATATAAATAAAACTTCAAAATTTTCAAAACAATCTAATTAAATAAATATATATAATATATATAATAAAATTTCAAAAATTTCAAGATAATTTTTTAATTAATAATAATAATATATATAATAAAGCTTCAAAAATTTTGAGACCTGGCTTCAAAAAATTCTAAACTTTTTTTATCAAAACAATAATATATATTAACACTATCGTTCATATAAAAACAATAAAATAATATTATAATATAATATTTTTTGGCCCCAAATTTGCTCAAAAAATTAAGAAGTAACCAATTGACAACACAACAAAAACAAAAACGAACATCAAATAAATTGCTAGACAATTTATGAACCTATCAAACAACGCAAGCACACTCTGCATGCTCAAAGATAAAACACACAAAAATTAATAGCTCAGTTTGATCACAAAAGACCTATATTTGAAGTTTCAATTTAGATATAATTTTACTAATTCAAGAACAAGTGAGTTGTATCAATCCTCTCTCAAAAGACAATAATCTAATTTCACATAGATTCCCCTATCGTTGATGGTCACATACTCTTACATGTACCTCACGGTTTTTCATACTAGCTAATCATCTCAAAGAATGCATCGAGGGTGTGTTTGTTTGGGGCATTGGATTGGATTCATATTATTTATCCAATTTTTTTTCCTAAAAAAAATCAAATCAAACACCTATTTTTCATTTTTTATATTATACTAAAAATTAATTTTACATTCAAAACATCACATCGAATACATATTTATATCACATCATACAACTATTCAAATTCAAAATTTTTACTATTCAAATCTCAACTCAAAATTCAAACCCCCAAACAAACACACCCCAAGAAGATTATCTAACAAACTAAACATTTTTCAAGAACTCTGATTTTCCCAGGTATCTACACAAGGGTGTGTTTACTTGTAAGATTTTTGTTTTGAGTTTTGATTTTGTATAATAAAATTTTGAATTGAAATAGTCGTTTGATGTGATGTTTTGAATATAAAAGTTAATTTTTGTGTAATATAATAAATAAAAAATAGGTGACTGATTTGATTTTTTTTTAAAAAAAATAAATAAATAGTAAAATCCAAAACCAAATCTCACAAGCAAACACTTCCCTGTTACAACCGAATTCATTCTTCATATGGAGGAAACTAATCGTACTAAGTATGGGCTTAGAGAATTTTTTTATTTTTTTGTATTTGAATTTTTTATTATTTATTTTTTTATCCAGATTCACAAATCTAATCAGTTTGATCACGTGCAGTATGGACTACATGCAATCATCCACCAGAATATAATACTCCTTCCGTCTACCGCCAATTTATCCATTTTAGTCTGTTCATCGCAAATGTATCTATTTTTTTTTAATAAATGTATCTTCCACTAAAATATAAAATTACACCACCCTTTATATAATATTACACAAATGTCATTAAATAACACCACTTAATACCATAAATATTAAGGGATATAATAGTCTCTATGTATAATCAATTGTACAACGTATTAATATAATACTAATATATTAAAATCTACGTACAAAAAGTAAACAAATAGATAGGCGGTGGATGAAAAAAAGTATCAAAGTTCAATGCTAACATTATTAATTTATTAAACTTAAATGCTATATTTGTGAGTATATACTACCCTTTTAAATGAAGAAACCCTACAATAATTGACTACACAAATGATCAAGTCAGCAAATTGGGATAAAATATAGTTCCACCAATAATTAGTGGATAATGCCAATTTCAAGAGACACTTGTGGTTTGTTTTGTTTTGGTAAAAACAATAAATATATTTTTTTTAAAAAAAAAAATTAATATATTATACATATTTATTGTTTTTATATTATTTATATAATTTTTTATATTTTTTATAAAAAAAAATATCTTTACAAACCATTTTACCACCATGAGGCTTGATTGTTTGATACGGAGATTGAATTATTGAGTTCGAAAATTTGTATGTATTTAAAAAAATTAAAAAATGTTAAATTTAAAAGACAAAATTATTTATAATTCATTTGTGATTTAAAAAATTGACATTATATTTTCGTATAATTTAATATTATATAAAATTTCCTTTGTATTTAAAAAATATACAGTACAAAATTCTTTTAAAATTTTATAAAACTCTCTTTATTTTTGAAAATATTACATAAAATTCTCTAAACTGTTTAATATTTTGGAAACAAAATAGAATATCATAAATTTTAAATCATAAGAAAAATGTTGATGGACTTTTCAAATTATAAATAAATTATAAGTAAATTTGTCTTTAATTCATAAAAACTATGTCTTATATATTATAAAAGTTTTTGATATGCTATAAAAAATAATAATAATAATAATAATAATATTTGATACTTTAAATAAAAATATATTTATATCATATAAAAAAAAATTAAATACAATATTTAATTTGATAATTCATAAAAAAATTATTTTATTTGCTTCACCTAAAATAGTGATATTTGATAATATTTTGATAAATAAAAATAATAAATAAATATATATATATATTTATAATTAAATATGATTATATAGATTATAAATATATGAATGAAATATTGACGATATGTTTCTTATGTGAAATAGATATTTTCTATGTAAAATATAAAAGATTATATAATTAATATGTAAAAATATGTAAAAGATTTTTTAAAAAAATATATATAAAAAAATTTCACTAAAAGAACATATTAAAATATTTTTAATATTAAGAGTTTTGAGTATTGACAAAATCGTACAAATAGACACATCAAAAGTTATAGCTATTAAATAGACTTGGGGTCTATAGGGTTTTATGTCTTTATATTGTGACAATTATCATCAAAATTGTAATATATATATATATATATATATTATATATTTAATTATTAGTTTTGTTCTTTATTTATCTTGTTGAAATAAAATATATATAGCACTCCCTCTGTCCCAAACATCCTGCAACATTTTCTTTTTGGTATATCCCAAACACCCTGCAATATTTCCAAAATAGAAAATAATTAATTATACTTAATCTCTACCCCACATTTTATCCCCACACATCATCCAAATAAAAAAAAAATATATTTCTCTCTCTGTCACATCACCTAATTTCTAAATTATTCTACTTAATACTACCCACCTAAAACTCGTGCTAAAAGTAAATGTTGTACCTTATTTGGGACGGATGGAATACAAATTTACAAAAATCATGTTTGTTTTTTGGTCGCGCTTGATATTCAAAAAAAGTTGATCCATGCCCGGTCAAGTGTGGCTAAAGGACAAAAATGATAATTTTTTAAATTTGAAAAATATATTTTGTTAAAGAAATAAATAAATAACAAAAATAATAATTTGATATATTAGGATATTTTTTACAATTTTCTCATTTATTCATTATGTATTTACGTTCTTTTTGGTAAAAATACTCGTAAATAATACTCCCTCCGTCCACGGATAAAGTATACATTTATTTTTGGCGCTGTGTTTAAGAAATAATAGTATTTTAATTATAGTGGGTAGTTAAAAATAGTATAATGACATTTTTGCCCTTGCTTTTTGGTTTAAAAGTAATGATGTGATGTAAAGTAAGGGTATTTGTGAAAAAAATTGAGGTATTTAATGAAATATTTACTTTGTAATTGGAAGTCCTAAAATAGAAATCTGTATACTTTCTAGCCGGACGGAGGGAGTATTTTATATAAAAATAATAATATTTTTTATAAAAAAAATATTATAAAATTGCCCTATGAAAAAAATATATAGTCTTAATTTTTATTGATAATATATAAAATAATTATCTATTGGTATATTATATTAAATATCTATTTTAATTTAAATTTTATTATTTTCAACTTCTAACCATCATTCAAAATTTCAAATACACAAAGGATCTGTTTGCTTACAAATTGTATCATTATTGGCATTATATTTCTAACATTTTTTTTTTCATCAAAGTTAGTTTGTCAAAAAAAATAAAAAAAAAAAATTTGTTAAAGATGTGACTCATTTATAATGTCATATTTCTATCTTCTAGATACTCATATATGTATATATATTTAAAATTATTTATTTTTTATAAGCGAATTTGTGTTTATTATGTATATATGTTATATAAAAAAATTTATTTTCTAAAAAATAATATTTACATTTAATATCGAATATAGTTATAAAAATTTTAAATATATTTTTAATAAAAGATAGTATATATCAAACAATAATTTAACTTAAAAAATTATTAATTTGGGTTTCAATGTGTTCCATCTTTTGATATTTTATACTTAAAAAATTATTAATTTTACTTGAAACTTTATTCAATTTCTGTAATGAATACATGGATTTAAAAGTATTGTTTTTGTTTGAAAGTATTTGTCGGGATCGTGAACGTTATATAATAAAAATTTCCATACATTTTCAATAAAAATTATTTTTTTTTTTATTTTACGTAGACATGTCTTGAGATAAACTTAAAACTTTCACTACTTCAAACAACTCCTAAAACATGTCTTAAGAAGAATAATGTAACAACTTCATTGTATTATTAAAATAGCAACAAAGATACACATATATTATTTTTTTTTCAAAATGATACAACTTGATATTTGTTTCTTTATATAGTTCGATCAATCGTGCAAAATATTCAACTTTATTGTCTTTCAGATCATGCATATGTTTTGTGTGGCTTCTTTTATTTCTTAGCGGTGAATTCAAATGTTCCGACCAACAAAAAAATGTCACCATTTATCTTAGGTGTCTTCTGTGGACCCAACATCTTCTATAATAGTATATCTTCTGCATCGTCGTATCATATTCTTGTATCTTAGATCAAACTTTTCACTATTGTTCAGTGTTTCGGCTTCGATGAACTACTGAATATATATATATATTTTTATCAAAGCGTATAACAAAACATAAAACTACTGAAAATACATTAAAAAATTTACTTTCGTTTTCAATAATTTACCTTCGACTTACATAGCTTTGTTTTCGTATATTATTCTAATTGCAAATCGAAAATCATTTAATTATGAAATTACTTAATGAGTTTCTTTTTTAGAAAAAAATCACAATGTCATACACAAACCCATCAATAGAAAAGGAATTGCGAAGCTAAAGCTAAATCGACTATTTTGAAACAAAGATATTTTTTGTCACCAATTTCGAAAGCCATTGTCAACAAACATAATGCTCACTCGAATCCTTTATTTTAAAATACGAGAAATTTCGCTTTTAAATTAAAATACAATGGAACAATAGAATTTTAATTTTTTTTATTTTAACTATATCAATTATTATAAATTCAAAATATTTTTTTTAAAAAAATATATATAACAAAAATAAAATTTTAGACCAAAATAAAAAGTTACACGGCCGTGTAGAATTATATTTCTATACGGCCATGTATAATTATACATTGAAATATACATAGTCGTGTGACGAGATGACCACGTGTAACTAATTGTAGATAGTTTCCCGATGAGGTGCCACTTTACCTATGTTATGTCCACGTCAATAATTTTTGTTATTTTTTAATTATAGGATCAAAATTAATTAAAATTGTTTATAATAAAACTAATTTAATGATTTTTTTTTTTAAATATAGTCTAAATACACTGCATTTCAAAATTACTGGCAGGCGGGGATGAGCAGCTCGATTAACTATGAACGGTTGCTGGGAATCGAAGGATCGGATTTGGTACGAAGCTGCAAAAAACGGGAGGTAATCATCCATACTATCAAATGCCCAATAAATCTTTACAGCTTGCTTTTTACATAACGCTTGATCGATCGATTGATAATTGTAGAACTACAGCATAATTCCATGAACCCTAAATCGCGCATCATGTTTATTTGGGAATTTCAATTCAATTTGAGAATTTCTTAGATAGCAAAAAAAATTTGAAAAACTGTTCATATAGATCAGTTGTCGTCGGGAGTGACGGTCTGAGTAACCACGATGGGGCTTCTCACCGTACGGTTGCCGCCGTCCTCGATCCACGTTATCGAGCCGTAGTTGATTTCCGTCTGACTGTAACTCCGGTAGCGTATAGTCACCGTATACCTTCGCTTCTCGTATTTTTTGCTGAATACCAATTTGATCGGAGAAATCTTGACCGTCGATTCCTTCGGCGTTTCGATTTTGACTCTGTACGTAGCTGCACCGTCGCCTACATTCGTCACTGTCCTCTGAAACTTCTTCGTTAATTTAGCTGTGTTTTCCTGAACATTGTAGAGGGCAATGAAGGATGGGTAGTTAATGTCCGACGTCGCCGCCGCCGTCGAGCAATTATAGCTTGATCGGATGATCGTCCGACGTTGTTCGGACGTTAAGTCCATCGAGCAGACGAGGTTTATGTAGTCTTCGATCGTGGCGTCGTACACGAGCCCCGGGTCGAGGGCGCGGTTCGGATCGACCTGCCCCGACCCCATGTCGAGAGGCGTCGCGACATCGTAGTCGAATCCCATGTCTTTGATAGGTTTATTGGTATTGTCGTGTGTGGTGGCAGTGGTCATAATCGCGGACTGAATGGCTGCCGCGCTCCATTCGGGATGCGCGGCTTTTAGTAGCGCGGCAATTCCCGATATGTGTGGGCATGCCATCGATGTCCCCGATAGAAGCGTGAAATCGCTCCCGAGCACGGATCTCCCGATGCTCGGGCCAAAGGAATATGGATTGTAGGCTGCTAGGATTAGAACTCCCGGCGCCATAATGTCGGGCTTCAACACACCTGTGTAGCTTCGGCCCGGCCCTCTTGACGACGAGCCCGACACGGCTGGAGCCGCCCTCGGCCCCGGCCCGATAATGGTTTGTTGAAAATCTATCGTCGCGCTCGGATGATCGACACTTTTCGCGTATTCGATCACCCGCCGTGCTTCCGACGGCGTTATTACCACGCCGGGGAGAGGGAACGCGGTCGATCTTAATATGCTTGTGTCCTGAGAAATGACAATTGCGGCCGAGACAACCTCGGCGGCGATTAGGTTATTCATCACGGTCGAGAAACTCGGGCTTTCGTCCGAGGTTATGTTGCATACGACGATACTCGAGAACCCGGCTTGCGATAACGACTCCGGCGAGTCGCACGCCGATAAAGACTCGTTGTATACGAGAGGGAGGTTTCGGACAATGGCTCGACCGGGGAACATAGTCCATCCGGTGATGGTTTTACCGTTTCCTAGCGTCAGCGTCCCGGCGAACCACCGGTCGATAGTCCCCGACGCGACGACGATCGCCCACGGAATTCCCTCGAGCAACGACGCAAAATTCGGGCCACGATTCCCCGCCGAGATCGAAACCACAATGCCTTTCTCCCGGGCTCCGAATCCAGCGATCGCCAACGGATTCTCGTATAGTTCGCGCCGCCGGTAGCTCAGGGAGATCGACAGGACGTCGACGCCATCGGCGACCGCCTGGTCGATTCCGGCGAGCGCGTCCGACTCGTAGCTGCCCTCATTCCACAGCACCTTGTACACCGCGAGCCGAGCCCGCGGCGCGACCCCTCTCGCGGTTCCGGGAGCGTAGCCGAAAAACGAAACATCTTCGACGTAATTCCCGGCCGCCGTCGCCGCAACATGCGTGCCGTGGCCGGAGTCGTCCCTGGCGGAGTTCATAGTAATGTTAACCCCCGGATTCGCCGCCTTAACGCCAGCGTTGAAGTACCGAGCTCCGATCAGTTTCTTATTACATAATGAAGAGTTGAATTGCTCCCCATCCTGGCAAATTCCACGCCACCGCGCCGGAATTTTCGTCATTCCGTCGTCTCTGAAGCTCGGGCTCTCCGGCCAAACTCCGGAATCCACGACGCCGATGATCGCATCTTTTCCGTACTGCGACGCCGGCCATAATCCGGCGGCGGTGTTCAGCGACAGGAACTTGTAGGAATGAGTGGTGTCGGGGAAGACAGGGCCGTCGGCGTAGGCTGTAAGGAATCCCGGCGAGTTTTTTAGAGTTTCGAGGTCGGTTTCCGACACGACGGCGCTGAATCCATGGAAGGCATTGTCGTAGGAGTAGAGGAGCTTTGGGGATGTCTGAGAGTTGACAGATTGGAGCATCGAAGAGTACCAATGGTGATGACTGGAAAATGCCATTGGCATAAAGGACTTATCCATATGGACTATGTAAGTCGATCTTTCTTCTGAACACAAAAGATTATCCATTTGTAGGAAGAACAGAATCAGAGGAACCAATTGAATCTTCATCTTCATCTTAAGATTATTTTTTTCTTGAAATTGTTGGAGACACAATTTAGATCTGTAATGAGGAGACTTTTGGTTATGTTCTCCTCAGATTGGGATCAATAATTGCAGGGCACCTTATCTTTTTCCAACTTTGCTGACTCATTTGTGCATATTGTTTAATTCTTGTGGGGTTTAGATAATTAAAAATAATTGAAAATAGTAATTGCATATTCTTCAACATAATATATATAGTTATAATAGAAAGTTGCTTGTAAGAAATAGTTATGCTCAAATCTCAGATCTGGTGCAGTGCTGACTACATGACATCAACTGTTAGGAGATAATTAAGTACAGTAATAAAAAATAAAAATAAAATAAAAAATAAAGTCTATATATTCAATTTATGACATGGAAAAGAATGTTCAACCGTTTAAATTAAATTTTTATATTTTAATTTTATATTTAAAATATCTTATTAATATTTATTTATATCACAGCAAACAAATTCAAATTTAAAATTTTTATGATATAATTTAGTAAGTGCAACACAACCCATCGGGAATCAAGCATTTTTTAACAGTATTAAAGAATATTAAATTTATATATTTTCATAATTAATATCCAAAAACAGTGTAAAATAATTTTAAATTATAAATACCATTGATAGTATATAGAAAACAAACAAAATAAATGACAAAAAATCATTACTTTTAACGTTAAAAACTAATGAGAAAAATAATTTTTACACACTTTTAACTAATCAGTACAACTAAAATATTATTATTTTTTAAACTCAAATAAATAAATGTATATCTTACACAAAAACTAGAAGTGAGTATAAAAAATGTACTAATAATACTCATTTCCACCCAACTAAAAATACCATTTTTACCCTAAATTCTAATAAAAATAATGATACCCTTAATACCAAAATACCTTTCATTTATACCTGAAATCAAAGTTAAAAGGCAATGTCAAAACTTTATTAGACACTTTCAACTAATAAAATACTATTATTTCTTAATTTATTACAAAATTACAAAAAGCCATTTGAAGTGAGACTAAATGAATAAGAAGTAAATATTTACTTGTTGGCGGTTTAAATGTAAGTTTTTTTTTTTTTAGATTGTCATCAAAATATATTCTCATTTCCTTTTTAAATAAAAGGTAAACTTTTCTTTTAATCTCGTAACTGATCCGTCGCAAACTAGTCTCATAAGTGAAGAATTTTCGCTGTTTTAGTCCTCTGGCGCAGGAAATGCCCGCGTGGCTCGCGGGAGGTGACGTGTCCGCCAGGTGTCGCTGATCTGCCGGACACGTGGATTTTTTTTTTTCATTTTTTAAAATTTTTTTTAAAATTTATTTTAAATTTTATTTGTATTTTTTTTATTTGTTCCAATTTATAATAAATTTAAAAAATAAATTTAGAAAATAAATAAATCCACGTGTCCGCCAAGTGTCGCTGACCTGGCTGGACACCTGGCGGACACGTCACCTCCGGCGAGCCACGCGGGCGTCTCCGGCATATGACTAAAACAGCGAAAATTTTTCACTTATGAGACTAGTTTGCAACAGGCTCCACTTACGGGACTAAAATGATAAAAAAGTCCAATTACGGGACAAAAAAATAGTTTACCTTTAAATAAAAAAATCACTATATTTTTGTATTTTTTTACTATAAAAAAAATAGTAACAATTATTATTCAATTTTACTAAAAGTCAAATAAATATACATTTACATGACGAAGAAAATACAATACAACCCTCTTTAAAAATGAGACGAGGACAGACTAACCTATTTTGACAGCCCTACCCACAAATTTAACACATTCTAACCACACCACATTCAACCCCCCTGTCCCATAAACATAAGTAAATCCAAAACACTTTGTAACTCTGTTCCCTATTCAACCTTACATTCATATATACAAATCTTGAGTCATTTCAGCCAGCCAACATTTCACTCAAAGAGAAACATTAAAAGAACAAATCCCAGAATACTTGTATGAATATATAGAAAACTCGCATCTAAGAGCCCTAACTGCAATTTTTTCAGCAAGATCACACAGTTCAGAGTCACTGTGTAACTTCACAAACTAATTGCTCAGGACACTCTATATATATACACTGCCTTTCAAGGCTCGGCTCTGCAGACAATGTCCGAACAACAGAGCTACAACTACGGCATAATGGGCGCATATTTGACACCCTAAAGACAACTGCCAAACCCGATTAGGACACACTACATATTAGCTGCGACGCTACCAACATTTTCAACACTATGTACGGAAAACTAGAATTTGTATTCAAGACAAACCAAAACACAAGTAAACACTCCCAACAACAACAACGAGGCTCCGCTCACTTTGGGATTTTTCTTTTTTCAGTTTTTTTTCTATGCAATCTTCACGATTCCTTGTAAAAATACACTACCTCCTTTCACAAGATATAGCATCTGACCACTATTTAAATCGAAAACCAAAAACCTCAAAACAATCACCAAGCACACACTCCCTTAGCAAGCACAAGAACAAGATATACTAAACAATACCAATTGCACCAAGTTTAACTCATACCAATTTTAAACACCACATCGGCACAGGGAACAGCAACCATGAAATCGCCACATTAAACCAATATGTCCTTTGAATGCAAAAACTAAAGATCCAAAAAAAGGAAAATCATCAATAATCTTATAATAAACCATACTGAGTACAAGATAATAAAACAAAGATTGACTTCGAGAAATCACCAACTCGAGCAATCATATTTCCAACAATTTTAGGTTTCCTTTCAACACTACTTGACAAGAAAGAAAGGCACCTCCTCCCTCAGGTAGACAGACCCGTTGTTTTACAAATGGGACAGAGGTTCTTAAGCAAGAGCCATTCTTTAATACAGTCCCGGTGGAATTGATGCCCGCATTCAAGCGTTCCAACATCTTCTTCAGCTTTATAATCCTCCTGAAAAAAACAAGGAATTTAGAATAGGAGCAATTACTGCAGTTGGATATCTCCATCGAAGATGGAAATACTGTTAAAACAAGATCCACCAAAGGTAATTTTTACAAAATTAATAATTCACTCTTAACATAAATCTAAAAATATCAACCACTAAATCTGAAATCCTAGATCTAACTATGAACCCTATATCCAATTACATCTGGCGTTCGATGTTATTTTTATCGGATCTAAGACTAAGATATGATTCCAAAGAAAGATCGCCATCGATTAATACGGAAATCAACAAAATTACTAAAAATCCCTAACTAAATCTAAACACATGGGCTCTTCTCAGGGTGCTTTGTGATGTTCAGGGCTTATAAACATAATAAGCATCCTTACCCGGCATATAGTGCAAGGCTCTTGCTCTGATTGAGCAGTTTTCCCAACCACATGCTTGTGGTGCTTCATACGAGCCATAATGGTTTCTTCGCTTAGCCCTGTACAGACATTTCCGATCCGCTCCTCCAGTGCGAGCAATTCCTGAAAAAGAATGGTAGAAATTAATTGAAGGGCACAAAAAGATGGCACAAAATTAAGAAGGGCGTCGCCGCTGTAGTGTTTTTACCTCATAAGACATGTTATCAACATCCAACCGCATATCCCGGTGCCGATCGTGAATATCCGCCATACCAGCAAGGACGGAGTGGTCGAGGAGCATCACATCCTACCACGAGAGAAGAAGTATTATTTAACTATGAAAAAGAAGTCTGTCAGAGGGGACATCATTACAAAACCGGGATTAGAAAACTGGAGGCGCTTAACACACTAAACATGAAAAGATAATACAGCAAATGAAATAGGAAATACCCAATAGCTGCTGTCCAAAAATATAAATTAAAATAAATAAAAAAGAGTTAATAAATCACGATGTATCTAAGGTTGTCTTTTAATAAGGTAATTAAGTTGGTGTCCATACCAAAGAAACAACCAATATTAATAATATAGTGATGCACAATCTGGGTAGATTCAATAACAATAAAAATAGCAAAATGTAGCTACAAAATTCAGCTACTAGATTATGGCGCATGCTCTAATAATAGAATAGAGGAAACGGGAACAAACCCCAACTCTTAGGCCTTCCCCTCTTCGCATGATATCCAAGACATGGCGCATCTGCTGAAAAACCAATATAAAGGCATCAAACAACAGGTTTAATCGAATAACAAGGAAAGAAAAGTAATCAACATATCCGGAAGTCAAATATTACAAACAAGTATCAACCCAATCTGAAAAAACAAATGAGTTTGCCTAAGGGTGAAACCATATCAGAACAATTGCATTGACGAAGCTGCACAAAGTAATAACCAAGCAGAACACAACACACTTGCTGCCATTGGGCACATTTCGATTATGATTCATCCATAGGCAGCACAAAACTAGAAAATTAACATTTAAAGGTCTGTTTTATGTAGAGTATCACAAGCCAAGTTAAAGTAAATCCCTTCTTTTATAGTTCCTGTGTAGAAACTAGGCCACCGGTTGAATCTGATATTGATCGAATTTGCTTCCATTCAAACCATTCTAAGCTTTTGAAATTTTGCGTTTTTACTACATATCAAGTAAACATAGATATTCTGGTAGCATAACTTTAGTATTTTTAACAGTGTTAATCTCATAAATACATTTTCAATTCCCTAAAAATTAATTGTGAGTTGATATATTAGTGACTGAAGTAGTCAACATATACGAAAACTCTATAGATTAATAACAAACATTAACTGAGAAAAACTAGTTTAAAATAAAACCAGCTCAGTTTTTTGATCAACTAATAAAGGGACTCCTTACCATTATAATAAAGGTAAGCCCCATTGATCCGATCAAAAAAAAAAAAAGGTAAGCCCCATTGAAACTCGGTAGCTATACGGCATATGGTATCCAGGTCAGATTCATACTTGGGATTTTTTATTTCAGTTTTGTTGGCAAGATTATTGTTGAACAAATGCCATCAGAAAAGTGGGGGGAAAAAAGAAACAATTCTTAGTCAAAGTGAAAAGCATTAGGTATCTTTAGCTAGTTGGTTTCAGCGATCACAACTAAATGTAGTTCGCAAAATTATGATAAACTATTATCAAGATCATTTTAGCTAAAGATCAAGTAAGTTTTAACCAGGAAGCTCAAGATCAGTTATTGAGGCCTCCGATCATTAATATGGTTCCTAACAACCAATAATGATTAATGAAAACCCTTCAAATCTAATGCCAAATTCAACAGATTCAAACTCGAAGTGCAAGCTTCACAATTTAGTTAATAACAAGAACCAGAATAGATTCAACAAATTGAATCATGCAAGAACACTAAAAGATCAGTGAAATTAAAGGTGTTGAAAATTCGATCAATTAGGATATCATACATCATAATATATAGCGAGAGATTGAAGTAAGAAGGAAAAATATATACCTCAGACATTACACCACCTCTTCCTTCACTTGCAGCAGCCAAAGATCTCAGTGAATTAGGTCCCCCAAACGCACCAAGCCTGTCCAACAAGGGCCTCGAATTTGGCGCACGACGAAGATGGTTATCAGGTCTGTGTGGCAGTGCCCCCACCTCCTGATAGGCAGCAGATGATCTTGGTTGCTCGGGATTAATGCTCAGACTGCCAGACTCAGCAGCAGCAGCAGATGACATCAGAGATCTTCGAACAAGTTGGGATAGCCTCCGAGAATTCCGCTGTGAGATGCCAGAAACAGAATAACCAGCCCCAGTGCTGGGGCCAACCCGCGGCAAAGGGGCAACATTCTCAGCAACATTGTTATTTCCACCACCGACCATATTCCAATTAACAGGATTGTGAGACGAACTTCCCATCTCGCTGGCAGAAACAAACATAGGATATTCTGAGATTCTTATCGGGGTATTCGCTGCCGTAGGTTGTCCTTCATAAACAGCAGCATTCCCATCTTCTTGAATAACCGTAGTGGACGAGGATGTGGTGATAGCCCTTGTTCTCGGTGGTCCAATCCACCTAAATTGCTGATTTCTGCGCACAGAAGGAATGTCCAGAATTGATTGACCACGAAGATTTCCGTTACCCGCTGCTGGAGATGGATTTACATCTACGAAATGGTTATAGGGACCAATCCTAGTATTCTGAGAAGAAGATCCAGCTGTGTTTCCGGTATCAGGCTCAGTTGGAAAAGAATAGTCAGCTACTTCTACACCATTAATTTGGATACGACAACTTCTTTGGGAATTCTCATCAATACCAAAGGAACTAGTCAAAGTGAAAAAACCTGTGGAGACAGCTCCTTCGAAGCCGAACCTAGTCCGCGGATTTTCCAGCTGCGGTCGATTATTAATGACCGGGCCATTCTCCATTGGTGTCTGCACATTAACGCTGCCTGCAGGAACTGCGCCAGCCCTTATATTAGGGCATTGATTTCTTTCAACATTCTGGAAAAAACTAGAACTTCCCACTCCAGAGGATTGTCCCGTTTCAATTTCCTTCCTCTTGCAAGGCAAGATTCGACCATTCAAAGAACCTTCTGGCCTGTCTTCAGTGACACGTCCGCCGAACCTCATAGAACCCTCAGCAGCAGATGGCGCAACACTAGATGATGACGATCCAGCAGATGCGTATATGTGTCGCCCAGCTCGCTGATGAACACCCTCGTCTTCTTGATCTCCAAAACCCGAACTCATATTAAGATCCTGAGGAAAAGCGTAGCTAGAACTCTGCAGGCGAGACAATCCATTTGTGACCTGATTACCATTCGAATTTGCAACCACATTATCCAAAGCACGAATATTATTAGACGATCGATTTCCCTGTTCTTCTTGTGCGAGACCCGACGGAGAGGTAAACGTCCAAGTATCAACTTTACTTCCATTTTCTTCGTTTTGATGCCGCGAACCACTGCTTTCACCTAAGCTCCAGTCAGCATTCCACATGTCATGCGTTATATGCGGCAGATACTGATTATTTGTCTCACTTATCGACAATCTGTAATCTGGTAGCTGATTTTGTCCCGAGGGTTGCATACCGTTCCACAATAATTGGGGTTCCGTTACGTCAGCGGGCATAGACGCGTGATCAATACTCACATTTTCTGCCGTAGTACTGACGTCACTCCTTTCACCCTGCATTTAGGGCTAAGATTGAATCAATGCTATTACTCTCACCAACAGCAATTATACTCGAGCGGCAGGATTTAGCACTTCTGTCGTTCAACAAATCTGCAAACAAATAAACATAGAAAAGACAAAGATCAAAACGGTCACTAGCAACAATATCATTGGTTCTAACAGGTTTCAACCGATATTTGAAGTTCATTTTAGACAGACGATCGAAACCGTTTGTTGCTGAACAAGAAAATAAACATTCCATTAATTGCATCTTTACATAAAGGTCGAAACATTTAAAACCCGATGAGATAATTGAATCAATACATTCACATCTAAGATTTACCCCCAAACTTCAAGAATCACACTTTTTTTTTTTCTTTTTTTCTTAATCATATGAAACTTTCCATCAAAGTTAAGCAAGGTAGGAGCATAAGAACAGCAACCAAACAGCTAATCTCGTCGCTGAGAGGCAACGAACAGAAAGATTATCTTTAAACAGATCAAAGTTTTTAAGAAAAGACTCTTCACAACTAGGGCATATAAACATCAATTGGGCATTCACATTTCATAACCCTAAAGAAAATCGAAAACACATATCAACCTAAACGTTTCATTAAACTTATCAAATTCAGCCATAGATTATCCATAGAAACATCAGTCATCTTCGAAGAACATCTTGGAGGTGCAGATTTAGAATTTCTACAAAGGAAACGTTAATATTTACAGAAGAACCACCAAAAGAAAGAACAGATAAACAATCCGAAACTGACGGACAGCAGGCGATAGAAAGGGGGCAAAAAAAAAAGGATCAAAATAAAAAACCGAAACAATAACAAAACAACACCAAACATAATCTAGCATCCAATCCAAAGGCAAACCAAAACAGCAATCTCACCTGCGAAAGAGCAACAGATACAACGATAGATCCAAACTCAGGACCTGAAAAAGTAGCACCAAAACAAGAACAGATTTAATCAGATAAAAACGATGAAAAAACCATATGTTGAGATTAACTGCAGAATTTCGAACAATCGATGATCAAAAACCTCCCAAGCACCCCACCCCTCCAGAAATGAAGAGAATCCAAGAAGACAGCCATGGAAACCAGAGCACAAACCTCAATTAAATCAAGAGTACGAAGGGAAAAGGAAATCTGAGTCAAAACTGGGGTGGGGAGAGATGAGATACGGAAATGAATGACAAGAATTCGGTGGGTATGAAAATCTAGAGATGGGTAGGAAGGATTAATGAGTTCAGCAATCTTTAATTTACTCTGAAAACACCTCACACCAATAGCCCACAAGACCACCTCGACTCACCCCCCCTCTCTCTCTCTTCTTTCTCTCTCTATCAACACCCAAAAATCCAACACAAACGACAGAAAAAGCTGAGAACTTTATCAAATTTCAAAACCCCAATAAATAATTTTTTCCTCTGAAAATAAAAGTAGAGGCTATGAGGATCCCCTCTTCCTCCTCCCAGCACTGTTCCAGCGAAACCAGGACGAATTTCTATTGAAAAAAAGAAAGCAAGAAACGTGCCGCAAAGAAAAATAAAGAGAGATAAACGATGGGAAATTATAATTTAAGAAATAAAAATAAAATCGAAAGAAGACAGATTTGTGGCATTATTTATGGGGTCTTCCTCTCCCTGTCAGATTGCACCTGTTTTCAACTCTGGCTCCAATGCAATGCATTATCCATAGTCCCAACAGTCGGACTCCATTGTTATTAATAATTTGTTCCTTTTTAAGTTTTACCTTTTTTTTATTTATTACTTCCTCCGTTATTGAAATTGAATCATTTGATTAGGTAACGGTATTTAAAATAAAAATATTTAATTAGATAATAATAATTAATTATGATATTATTTTTTATATAATTAATAATATTTATAATTTAAAAGTAAATTTAATATATATGATTAAAAAAATTAAAATATATGTTTAAATATTTAAAAATTATATAGCAATTAAAAAATATATGATTAAATATTTAAAAATTATATAGCAATTAAAAAATATATGTAACATAGATATCATTTTGCAGAGAATAAAATTTTCTATTATACAAGCAAATAAAAAAATATTTTTGTTTATTTATAATTAACATAAATCAATTTTATAATAGATATGTAGTTTTAAAGATAGATAAAAATATTTATTTTTTTAAGGAGAAATATAGAAATAAAGGGGTTTTGAGTGGGTCTACGTTGTTTACGATGTTATTATATGTTATGTAATTAATTAAGTTGATTTATATTTGTTAAATATATTTAGATTTAATAATTTTTACTAAAAATAGAAATGTGTTAATTGTTACGGGACAGGGACAGATAAAAATGAAAATAGTATCAATTATAGTGGGAACGAGGGAGTATTTGATTCCAAAGTTATAAAAAATATTTATTTTTATAAATTTTATATAAAAAAATTTTTTTTCTTTAATAAACTATCTATTTTTTATTTTAGTCCATCTTCTATTAGCTTTTTTAGTAACTATATTATTCATCTAATATAAAAAAGGAAAATATTAATTTTGGTTTAAATATAATCAAAATTTATCAATTTTGGTCATAATATAAAAAAATTCAATAATTTTAGTTTCATTATAAATAATTTTAATCAATTTTTTGTTTCAATAATTTCACTCAATTTTGGTCTCATCGTTAAAAAAAACTAACGGAAATTGTTGATGTGAATTTAACATAGTTGACGTGACAGTTGACTTGGAACTACACGGTCGTGTTGTCACACGGTCATCTATATTTCAGTGTACAATTATACACGGTCATATTTAATTCTATATCATTATGTTTTGATCTAAAAATACATAGTATAAAAATATACTTTGAATTTAAAATAGTTGATATAATTAAAATGAAAAACAAAATCAATAATATTTCTAATATAATTAAAAAGTATAATATTTTGTTAAAATATAAAAGTTTATCGATTATGCATTTTTGGGAGATTTTACTTAAAATTCTACTATTTCCCAAAAATTTTCCACTTTAAAATATTTTATTACACAACTATTCTTTAATTTGTATATTATCTTATTAAAAATTAATTTTACATTTGAATACAATTATATATGTTTATGTTGAAATTGTATAGAAATGTAAAATAAAATTTTAATATAATATAAAAAAATAATAATAATTGTGTAATTTAATGTTTCTAAAAGGAAAATTTGTTGATAGAGTAGAATTCTTGGCAAAATCTTCCAAAAAAATATACCCTATAAGTTTTTATATTTGAATTAAAATTGATACATTTGAATTATATTATAATTATTATTGATTTGTTTTTTATTTTAACTAAATTAACTGTTCTAAATTCAAAATATTTTTCTAAATAAATATATAACAAAAAAATTAGACCAAAATAGAAATGTATATGGTCGTGTAGAATTTAATATGGCCGTGTGAAAATATGGTCCTATATAATTGCACACTTGTTAAAATATATTTAGAAGTAATAAATTATATTTATGGTAATTATCTTATTTAAAATATTCGTAAGATTCGTGTCTTATTTAAACGATTTGCATATCACTATAAATATATAAATATGTACGTATTCTTATAATTGAAATAGAAAATTTCAATTTCATATTCTAATATGGTATCAGAGCCAAATTATGTCCCGGTACATCTATGACCCGTTATATCTCATATATATTTTTATATTTTATTGATATATTTGCTTTTATCCACGATCATGTTGTCATTTTCATACCGTCTCTGTCTCTACTACTTCGATTGACAGAGTCTTGTTTTCGACTCTAACTTTATTGTGAGCGAACGAGTCTTGTTTCCAACTCTAATGGTGTTGAGAGTTATGCTTCTGACTCTAATCCAGTGGACGACTACATCACTCTCAGTTAGAGCTCGCAAAAACTGACCCGACCCGACCCGACACGAAATAATTGGGTTTGGGTCAAAGATTTCAACCCGATTATGTATACGGGTTGACACGAACCCGACACGATAATAAACGGGTCGGGTTAGAGTTGAGACTCTTAACTCGAACCCGACACGACAACCCGATTATAATATATTAATATTGATTAATATATTTATTATATATATAAAATAATCATAATTTAATAATTTTTTCATAAATTAATTTAAACTAAGTTCAATTTTAAATAATTCAACATAATTTACGCTCAAACCAATAAAAACTAACATAATACGACAACAAAACAAAAAATTATTTAATTTGAATTAAGAAATTAGACTTAATTATATATACGGGTCAACACGAGTCAACCCAAACCTGACACGATAATAAACGGGTTAACACGAACCCGACACGATAATAAACGGGTCGGGTTAGGGTTAAGTAATTTAATCCGTTTAAAGTAGTCAACCCGACACGAATCGACCTATTTCCGGCTCTACTCTCAGTCAATCTTGGCGAATTCAAATTCGTACGTGGAAGATCTCGACTATATATTTTTCGGTCACTTCTGACAAACTCAAGTTTGTTTGATCATATATTGAGTTTGAGGATGGGTGTTAAAATATATTTAGAAGCAATATATTATATTTTATGGTAGTTATTTTATTTAAGAAATTCATAGGACTCTTATCTTATTTAGACGATTTGTATATCACTATAAATATGTACGTATTCTTACGATTGAAATAGAGAATTTCAATTTCATATTCTAACAACACTAAATCATACATAGTCGTGTATAATTGTAAATAGCCGTGTAATTTTCAGATCAGCTGCCACGTCAATCACGTTACGTCTACGCAGCAATTTCTGTTAGTTTTTTTAACGTTGTTACAAAAATTGATTAAAATTGTTAATAACCAGACTAAAATTGATAAGTTTTTAATATTTGAATCATAATTGATAAATTTTAGTTATATTGAGACCAATATTATTTTATCTCTATTATAGTGTATTATACAAATACTGTTATATTTATATTATACAATACTGATAAACTTATTTTTATTATTTTGTTTTTATTTGTGTAATATAATAATATTATACTAATATTCCAAATTTCAAGTGCAAAAAAATAATTGAATGCTTATTTAAGATAACGAATGGGTATTTTAATTAGAATTCAATTATCTAAACTCAATCAAAATTGAATACAATGTTGTATCTTTTCCTATTTTTCTATATGCCCTTTGAGACTTTCAAAATCTTCACACCAACGAGTTGTTTCTATAAACCTTTTTTTACTATATGTTCTTTGTTCAAGATTGTGTCTTTTTCGTTGATTTTGGAAATATATATATATATTTAAATTTGATATTAAAATAATATTTGTTAATATATTTTATGAGAGAAAAAATTATATTTTAAAAAAAATGCAGAGTTCAAAATAATAAGAATTGAAAAACTCGGTTACATAAATGAAGGTTACATAAATAACCCTATTTGTCCATGTGTTTTTATAAAGAAAAATGGGTTCGTAATCATCGTTGTATACGTAGATGATCTCAATTTAATTGGAACTCATGTAAAATTCAGAAAGTTGTTGAATATCAGTCTGAGATCAAAGATTTTGGAAAAACTAAATTTTGTCTTGGTCCGCAAATTGAGTACTTGGAAAGTGAAATCTTCATCCACCAATCAAATTATACCAAAAAGGTACTGAAACAATTCATAATGGATAAATCACATCCGCTAAATACCCCAATGATCGTCAGGGCACTCGATCCAGCAAAGGACCCTTTTAGACCAAAAGAGAAAAAACGAAGAAACACTTGGCCCTGAAGTGTCATATATGAGTGTTATAGGTGCATTAATGTATCTTGCTAACAGCACCCGACCTGATATATCATTTACTGTAAATTTATTGGCAAGATTCAGCTCATCGCCTACTTGACGACATTGGAATGGGATTAAGCACATTTTTCGCTATCTCCAAGGAACAATTGATGTCGAGTTATTTTACTTGAAAGATTCTCAACATGAATTAATTGGATATGCCGATGCAGGATATTTATCAGATCCTCATAAAACCAAATCTCAAACTAGCTATATATTCACATGTGGCAAAACAGTGATCTCTTGGAGATCGATGAAACAAACTTTAATTGCCACTTCTTCAAATCATGCTGAAATATTGGCAATACAAGAAGCTAGTCGAGAATGTGTTTGGTTGAGGTCAATGACTCAACATATTCTGAAAAATTGTAGGTTAATACCCAACTATAAAATTCCTCCGACTACATTATACGAAGATAATACAGCCTGTATAACCTAATTGAAAGGGAGTTATATTAAAGGAGATGGAACGAAACATATTTCACCAAAATTCTTTTTCACTCATGATCTACAACAGAATAGTGAAATTAATGTGCAACAAATTCGATCAGATAATAATTTGGCGGATATATTAACCAAGGCATTACCGACTGCAACATTTGAAAAACTGGTGAAGAAAATTGGTATGCGTCGGTTAAGAGATCTCAAATAATGCTCGGATCAGGGGGAGCAAATTGACACAAGAATGTTGTATTCTTTTTCCTTCACTAGAATTTTTTTGTCCCACAGAGTTTTTTTTCTAGTAAGATTTTAACGAGGCACACGTGGATCATGCATATCCTCTTACTCACTCAATCTTGTAATATAAATATGGGTTGAATTGATGAAATAAATGACCACCTTCATTTTACTCTATCAATTTTTATCTCTTTACTCTGTCTCTCTCTCTCCCTCATTAATATAAATCCTCGTACGTACACACATACATATATATTACTCCCTCCGTCTCAGATACCATGTCTACGTTGTCGTTTCTGTCCGTCTCACATACCATGTCACTTTCTTTTTTTGGAAAATGATTACACACTTTCATCTCATTTTAAATTTTTTAATTTTATTTTTTTAAATTTTAATTAAACTAATTAGTTATCTTAATCTTAATTTATAATTATTTATATTATAGGATAATTATTTTCACTAATATATTCTTAATTATCTACTAATTATACCCCCTCCTAAAATACAGTATCTACAGTGTAACAGACACGGTATCTGAGACGGAGGGAGTATATAATATATTATATATACACTAGCATACATAGATACTACATACATACATCTATATATTATACCACACACATACACTCGGCTGCACATACATATATATATATACATCTATATATATATACTCCCTTATATATTATATACAAAATATAAAATAGTGGTTAGCGGTTAATATTTCTATTGGCTATCCCTATAATAATATCACAACAGCAAAAGAATATTTCACTTGAGTTTTATTATTTATATTTTTTTAATAAAAGTATTAAATTAAATATTTACTTTTTAAACATTTTATTAAAATTAAAAAAAAAATTATACAAAAATAAAAACAAACATCACCTCTGTTCCGATTTGTACAATTTTCAATAAAAATATATCATTTCATCTGTCTCATTGAAATAGTGATATTTATTTTTTGCACGTAAATTTATTGTATGATATAAAAGTAATGATATTTGTGTAATATATTGAAATTTGGAATAATGTTTATTATGTTAGTAGATAGTATAATTATTAATTAAAAAATTGTAACAGAAGTAAAAAATGACAACTTTAAATCTAGTAGAAGAATTATTACTTTTTCTAATAAATATCATATTAGAATATCATTTAAATAAAAAAAAATTAATTCAACTTCCTAATTTTAAATCAAAAACAAATAAACTCTAGGATGTGAGTGTTCATAAAAAATTTCAAATTAAATAGTCTATTCATTCAACCTATTTTTTTATGGCACGACTCTTCGTAAATATTCTAAAAATATATAATACATATTAACATAATATATATATAATATTAACTTAATATATATAATATATTCTATTCATAAAAAAAAATTAATAATTTTATACAAAATATTATTTTTATATTACCGGCATAATTTTTCATATATAACATAAAAAAATACATTTATTAAAAAAAATATAAAAAACTTAATGTTGTTCAATAATTATTAAAAACACTAAAAATAGTATTAAAGTTAATTTTTATATTTTAGATTTTTTTAATATTTCCCCCAAATTTCTTGTCACGCTTGCATCCACTTTGAACATATTTGAGGTTTTCTTTTGCTCTTTCCAACACCTTGTAATTTGAATATTATTATTATATTAATTTATAGTAAAAATAAAAATAAAAATAATTTTATTAGTACTGTGTTATATAAATTTATTAATATCAGTATAATATAGTGTAAAATGTAAGAATATTTATTATATTAAATATAATACAATTATTTAATTAGAAAATAATATCCTTGATTTATTTTAAACAAATATAATTTAAAAAATAACACATTTGTTATAAAAGCTAAATTTTGTCATTCTTAAGCAATTTTATAGATTTCTTGAATTTCGAAAAAAAAACTTAGATTGTGTTTGTTCAGAGAATTTTTTTTAAAATTTTTTTTACTATTTATGAAATTCTTTTTCATAAAAAATATAAAAATGAAGACCTATTTTTTCTTTATTATATTATATTAAAAATTAATTTTATATTTAAAATATCACATCAATACTTATTTATATCACATCATATAATTATTTTAATTCAAAATTTTTACTATTCAAATCCCAAATCAAAATTCAAACCCCCAAAAAACCACACCCTAATGTAACACGAACTTTCATCAAATTGGATTTTTTTTCTATTTCTCGAAAATCAATTCGATAGTTTTGGCCTTCAGGTCAATAATAACATTCCCCCACTCTCCAAGATGATCGATGGATTAAACTTCTTAAAGTCATCCAATTTTTTTGTCCAAATATCGTATCACCTTAAAAAGTATTTTTGTTTCATTAATTCAATTCTTCTTCATTCTTCCACATTCATTGTGAAAATTATCGTATCACTAGCAATAGAAAGTCAATGTAACTTGTCGGATGTTCCTAGGAATGTGGAGTCACTGGATTGACAAAATAAACAATTTTCTTTTTTGGACTTCATTTAGATCTCGATTGTTAACAATGATTATCAAGGTTGCTTTCAATTCTTTATCATCTTTGAAGCTTATAATTATAGACTTATCGTCCTCATGAAATCTTGCGGACCTCCATTGGAGTCTAAGAAAAACACAATGCGAGCATGAAGTCTATGGAACTTATGTCGGTATCCAATCAAACTTTTTTTCAAAAACTTGTAGAATTCTCTAGATCTACTAGTAATTGTTCTGACACTCCAGCCTCTAAGGCATACAAAGTCAGATGTGTCGGGATCGTAAACTGGCCACACATGTCAATACGAGTCCGTCCAGTTGGTATCAAAGTTGACCTGTGACAGCCGGCAGTCATTGATCGGACTGGTGACGGGCCTAGCAGTTGACGATCTTTGGTGTGCAACATGAACATTGCATTCTAAAGTGGAGGAGGATTTGATACCTCCGAAGTTGGACCGGTGCTAGGCCAACTCCTGTAGATGAGCCGGTACGAGACCATCCGATGTTGAATATTAATTAAATGAATTGAATATATTATCCATGTCAATAATGTGCACATTCTTTTTTTAAGAACCCTACTGAAACAACTTTAAAGTTAAAGCTTGCCCTAGAGTAATTTGAGGACTTGTGACTCCCTCTAAGACTTCCTAGGGTGCGTATGAGTGAGAACAAAGCGCGCTGAAATAACTTGTGTTGACCTATGGGCCAGTCTACGATCTTGACACACTTGACTTTGCGTTGCTTACGGGTCAGGGTGTTACAAATGTGTTGCAGAAGCCCATTGAGAACACCTAATTCTAAGGTTCTTACTTCAATATTCACTCTTTAAAGATTTGAAATTAGTGTTGTAAATCACCTTATTCTTGAAACCAATCTTTTTGTTTAAGTATTGCTACCTAGTGTTGTCATTTTCTCATTCGTTTTCCGTAAAAGTATTTTTGTTGCGTTTAATTCTGTTTGTATCTACCATCATTTAGTGCCTTTATGGACCGCCGAACACATTGTAAGGATAATGACAAATTGTTCCACCAATTTCATATGTCATAATTTTCTATTTCTTTTAAACTGACATCTAATATTGTGTTACGGGATGATAATCAATCCAAATTTGGATTTTTTTTTATTTATTTTATTTTTTTTAGACTTGCATGATTTTCTAGAACTTTTGATCATAGATCCTAAGGTAGCCTTCAATTCTCTTGTTTTATAGTGGGTATTTGTGCTCATATTTTGTTCAATCATATTCTAATAGTATACAAAAAATAGATAAACATTTTAATCAAACTTCTTAGCTAGTTGAGGTTGCAATTTTGTACATTTCCTACATCATCTAATCCGTCGTCTTGATCCCAAATAGATTGAATGATCCTAGAATACCTGAAATACCTATGTCCTTATCTTTTAGGGCTTTTTTAAAAACTTTGGTTATATATTATATATATAATATATATATTTTTGTAATATTTATGAAGAATTATTTTAACGAAAAAATTATTGAATTAACAAATTTTAATAATTTTTATATTTTTAATTTCTCAAAAATAATTTGATTCATTTATAATATTGTATTTATAATTAATAAAAATTCAATATTTATTGTAAATAAAATATTTGATCTCAATTGATAATATTTTTATTTTTTTTCTCTCCTTATATTTCTATTTTGGATAAAATTTATTAAATTAAAATATACTTAACAAATGTTAATCAATTTAATTAACACATAACATTAAATATTCATTTACTTTTTTACGTAATTTTAGAAATATTAGTATTATATTGAGATATAATAGGAATAAAATAGAAATGATTAAAATAACTTTATTAGTATATGTGACAAAGGTAATGACATTTTTGTAATGTCAGGTAAATAGTACAATTACTTAAAAAAAATGAATACTTTGTTATGAGACGGACTAAAATGAAAAAATGGATACTTTATTATTGGACGGAGGGAGTATTATATATCGTATAGACCAACCCAAAATCTCTTTATTTATATATCTCTTATCACAAAATAAATATGTTTATATATATTTAAAACTTCACATCTTTTATAAAATTAGTTTAGGTTAATTATAAATAAATAAATATATTTTTTATTAATTTATATTATATAAAATTTTATTCTTTACAAAATTATATCCATATTGCATATATTTTTTTTCCCATATAATTTTAAAATATTTAAATACGTATTCTATTTTTTTAGTTATATATTTTAAATTTATTTTAAAACAATTAATATAATTAATTATATACAAATAATAAAATAATTCATATCCCACTATTATTAACTAATTAAATATTATTATTTTAAATAATGTATTACTAATGAAATAGATCAATTATCGAGAGAGAATTAGATATGTTTTCTATTAAATAAAATATATAACTAATATCTAAAAAAAAAAATTTTTTAAAAAAAAAATATATAAAGAATGATGAACCATGAAAAAGTATATTTTAAAATATAAAAAATAGAATGTAAGCCCTTTAAGCCCAATAAGCCCATACATTATTAATGCATAAAAGCCCAAATAACGAGCACGTACAAGTTACATCATTCCAAAAACCCTAGCTGAGAAGACTGTCCAATTTCATTTACCTCTAATGGCGTGCACCATCGATTTCCGACGCCTGGACGAGGGTTTTGGGGGTAAGACGTCCAAGCGCAAGAGATCCGAGCAGGAAGCCGCCAAGCAGAATCTGAATCAATCGAATGAGGATGAATCAATGGACTTGGATACATTCAACCAGCCGCAGTCCAAGCGGCAGGCCGTCCAGTCCTCCGATGACCCCAACAAGCCGTCCTTCGGAAGGCCGACGTACGACGGCGTGATCGCTGGGAAAGTGTCTGGAAGGAACTGGAAGGAGGTTCGGACCCATCGAGCGTCTGCGGTGCACGTGAGCAAGAGAAAAACGACGGTTGAGCAGAGGACGAGGGAGAAGGAGGTGAAGAAGGCGTACAGGGAGAGGATGAACGAGCTGAAGGAGGAGATAAGGCGGAATAAGGAGGAGAAGCGGAAGCTCCGGGAGGAAAGGGAGAAGAAAAAGCAGGAGAATATTCTGAGGTCCGGGACTAAGCTCCAGGTAATAACAAACCCTAAGACCCTGAAGAAGATAGCTAAGTCCAAGCAGAGGAAGCTTCTCAAGGTTGTACCTGATGATATACTTAAAGGAAACAAAAACTCCAAGAAGTAAGGGAAATTGTAAGGCTTCTGGTATCTTATATTTAGCTGCAATTTTGGGATCAGTAATTAGCATAATTAAACAAGAATTCCGTGAATCTATCTGTTTGTTTTCATTGGGTATGAAAGTAAAGAAGATTACGATTAATGTTTGATGTGGTTCTGCTTAGTGTAATTTTGGCTTGCTTAGAATTTTTCTTGACAATGGCTGCTAGAAAATTCTGTGGCGATACTGTGTTACTTTCTTTCTTTAAAATTTGCATATTGGGGGTTGTATTTATGTGCTTGATTAAGTTGCTCTGAAGATGTATTATTTTGTTGAAATTACTGTTTTATGTAGTATGAGTTGCTCGACATAAGGCAAAGTTAAGAAGATTACAATTGATCGACTGTCAAGTGTATTTGAATCTAAGTTTGTTTCGGGGAGCTTCCACTGTGTTTTCTTCAGTTTGAGTTAGTTTTTTCTTCAACAAATTGTAGAGTCTGCAATGTGAGTTGCAAGTCTTGGGTATGCTTATTAGTGACCTGATTTGAGTTATTTTTTAAATAGGAAAAATCTAGGTTTTTGTTTGCCATGTTTTTAATGAAAATTAGTCGTTCATAGTGATATTTTGATTTTACTTTGAGAAAAAAAGGAAAAAGTAATGAAAAATAGTACGGAGTGAGGACTAATTATAGTGCTGATTGGACAGCATATGGTAATCTTGGTAATCTTATGCACAACACATGGTTGCTGTTGAAATGTATATCATTAGGATGTGTTGTCAATTACATATTATTTATTGTATAGTGTTAGTGTGTGATATGTGCTTAAGATCAATGGAAATATGCACTGTTAGTTATATAATACATTATTATATTAACATTACCTGTTAACCTGTGATATGTATTGAGATCAATGGCGACAGATTATATAATGTGATGTAAGTTCACATGTTGTATTTGTATTATATCAACATAAGCTATGTGTTGTCTATCTGTGCATAAACAATTTACCGTCAGTAACAGCTACCATGTTTTTAATGTATTTTATCAACGATTTTAAGAAAGAATAATGCAATCTCTTAAATTTTATTTGAGAACTCCCATAGGGATGTCATTTCAAACATGAGTTCAGTTGATTCATCCCACTTATTTGTGATTGTCGTAAAGTTGTATAGAGCATGTCGATTCACAATTAGTATATAGTTATATAGAGAAGGCTGGTTGAAATACAATTCATGAATATGCTTAAACCCACCCCGCAAATGTAGTTACTTGACATACGGCAGGGGTTCATTGTTTTCTAGCAACCTCTATCTTTATTGCCATTCAACAGAATTATGCGTGTGCTTGTCAATTTGTTTGAGTTCAACCGGCGAGCAAAAGATCATTTTTAGTATGTGATATCTTTCTTGAATAGCTAAAGTAGTCTATTTCCAATCCGAGACTGCTGTGTTTCGTCAATAGCTGAGATTGCATTTCGATATATCTTAGAAGTGTGTTGGAGAGTTTGGAGAATAGTATAAAAAATAGTTTGACATAATTCAAATACATGTTGGATGTCGTAATATTTTGTATACACACATTTTTTGTTCTGTTATTTTAAATGAACAATAGGTATTTTGTGTTATTGTTTGGAGAATGTACTTTTAAATAAATGTGTAAAAACTATGGTTTTGTGACCCTTTTCTGCTACTAGTTTGACACTTTAAAATTAGACAGACATTGTGTTAATTGCAACAACTACGCCTTGTTTTATAGCATGTGTTACATGAATATGCTTCTTGTGCCGAGATCAATGATAGTATATGCCGTAGATAATCGTGTATATTGTGGACAATTATCAGTTTATATGTTAGTATTTATATTATCTTATTTTATATATTGTGTTGTCTCATTTTTGTTATATTGTGTGTACTATTAACATGGTATGATTATTATTTTTTAGTCACGAAGATTAAGAATAATAATAGTAATAGTTCAATATTATTTCTGTTCGGCTCTGAGGTTTCATTTACTTAGTGTTAGATATTTGAATATTAATATTATATAAAAAAACATACTACAAATTAAAGAAAAAATTACAAAATTACTTCAATTAGTGTTTTGTAATATTAATAAAAATATATTTGTAAAAAAAATTATAAAAATATTTTTGATGTTAAATGATTCGTAATAATGTAACTTTTAAATTAAAAGTTAAATGGGTTTGGGGGGGGGGGGGGGGGGGGATTGACAGTAGTGAATAAAAGATTTACATAATACTACTATTTTTAATTGACAGACTGAACAAACTTGTGGATTCAATTGAAATAATAGTAGCATTAGGTAGACTATTAATTTTCATACCCAAAATTTTAACTATTAGTGAACTCTATTGAGCTATTCATTGCAATATATATATATATATATATATTCGATTAATTATTAATTTCTTATTCTCGTCACTTTGTGTGATTGTAGTGTGTGGTTGTAGTTCAAATTTAATTTGAAATAGAATGTTAATTTAATTTTTTCGTAAAAATAATATTTTGGTATAATATATTGTGATATATATATATATATATATTTATTGAAAATTATACATACTAAATAGTATAGATTTATATTTGAAAACGTAAACAAACAAATTCATTCTTTTGTCTGGTTAAACTTTAGTATCATAAACTGAATAGAAGTTAAATAAATTATAGTCTATCCGTCCCAGTATAATAGTCTTGTTTACCATTTTTGTTCATCTCAAAACAATAGTCTTATTTTTATAAATAACCGTATCACCGTAAAACTATCCATATTTTTTCATTATTATTACACAATTGCCATTATTTTTTACACTAATATACTCCCAAGGACAAAAAAATCATTTATCCTTACTTTTTACAAACTACCAATATAATATCAATATTCCTTCAATCTTGCGCCCAACACAACAAGACTATACTTTTGAGACGGGGGAGTAATATAAACAAATAATATTTTAAAATATAAAATATAATTTAAATAACTTAAATCTTTGCATTTTATTGTTTTCTTCACTTTCTCTATCATATATTCAAGATTATTATTATTATAATTATTCAATTTATATACGTATTTTTGGAAGTTTCTGTGTTATTTAAAAAAAAATAAAAAAATAGAAAAAGAGAGAAGAAGAAGATGCTTTCTTTGGTTGAACGTATGTAAATTGAGTTTTGACTTGTCAATACTAAAATTTTAAATTGTAGTAATAATTATTGATATACTAATAATATTTTAAATACAAAATTAATTTTAATACAATATTAAAAAAAATAATTTTATATTTTAAAATATAAATAATAAATGCTAAATTGCACAAAATTCACCGGTGGTTTCATGAAATTGCACAAAATCTCCCATATTTCTAAAATTGCGTCAAACTCCCTCGTGGTTTTATAAATTTTGCGTCTAACGTCCTCAGTGGTCCTTATTCAACGGTATTTGACCTAAATGTCCTCAAACTGCGAATAAATTTTAAAATCTCAATTTATAAACCTCTAAAATTAAAAATATATTTATTTTTTTTATATTTACCCTAAAAAAATATAAATATACTCAAAAATAGTTATTTTTTTTCACTTTTAAGAGTTTATTTTTACTATTTTTTTAGGCTAAATATATAAAAAAAAAATAAATATATTTGTAATTTTAGGAATTTAGAAATTGAGATTCTAATATTTATTCTCAGTTTGAGCGCATTTAGATCAAATACAGTTAAACAAGGACGGCTGAGGGGGTTAGATGCAAAGTTTATGAAACCATGAGAGAGTTTGACGCAGTTTTAAAAATATAAAAAATTTAGTGCAATTTCGTGAAACCACGAGTGGATTTTGTGCAATTTAGCCAATAATAAATAATAAAACCGTCAATAAACACAACCCGAGACCCCCACAAGCAGAGCATCAATTAAAGTTAAATGCGTGTAGGTGTGACATCCCAATTCTACATACTATTAAATTTCAATACCCTATTCTATTCTATTCTATTCTATTGTACTCATAGATTGACTAATTTGTACCCAAATAATGTTAATAAACCATTCATTAATTAAGTAACATTTCTTAAATTCAATTAAATTTATGGAGACAAATTTGGGCTCTATTAATTCCATACAAGAAAAATACCCCAAAGAGGCTCACATAGGAAACTCAATTGGGTAACATTACTTAAATTAAATTAAATTAATGTAGGCAAATTTTATTTATTTTGTATTCGATAATGTAGGTAAGATTTTTTTTGGTTTTCAGGATAAAGAAGTAAAAAGTTGTTTGTGTTTTGAGTATTAATTCCATATAATACATTAACCGATGACAATAAATAATATCACAATATAAAATATATATATATATATATATATACAAACACACTCAATAAGTATGATTGATTGTAATAAATTGATAAATATATTTACTGTATATAAAATTATATCATGTACTATCAATAGTCTCGTTTTACCATTTTTATTTGTTTTAAAGATAATAATTTTATTTTCATAAATTATCATATTATCGTATAACTAACTATATTTTTTTTATTATTATTATTGTTACACAAATACTGTTATTTTTATACTTAAATTGAAATAAACTCATAAGAACAAAAAAATTTTACCTATACTTTCACCTTGTTGCTATTATAATATTAATATTTTTTAAATACAGTCGAGACGAGTCCCTCAGATATAATATTAATATTTTTTAAATACAATTAAAACGTGTATTGTACTGATATAATATTAATATTCCTTAAATAACTCGGGAGGAGTTCACGAAGAAATAGACAAAGGCCCATGCCCTAATCTTTACCATTCCCACTATATATAATACATAACTGCTGCTACAATATAATTGTCACATGCATATCTAACAATTAAAAATAATAATAATAATAATAATAATATCGATTACCATGAAATCCCTTGAACTTTTGTTCTTCTTGCCATGTCTATGTCGCGTCTTCTTCTTCATCTTCTTCATCTTCAAAGATCTCATGTCTACTGTTGCAGTTGCAGATCAGTTAGAAACTTACATTGTCCATATGGACATATCTTCCATGCCCAAGCCCTTCTCTTCTCATCACAACTGGTATTTGTCGATGCTCGCGTCGATATCCGACGACGAGACGGCCGCGGCATCGAAGCACATCTACACCTACACGAACGCCGTCACCGGGTTCAGCGCTGTGCTCTCGCCGTCGGAACTCGACGGCGTGACGCGCTTCCCCGGGTACGTCTCTTCGGTGAAAGATCGACCGGTCGAGATCGATACGACCCACTCGTACGAATTCCTCGGCCTTGATGATAAAGGGGGTCAGATAGAGTGTCTGGATTTTGGATATGGCTGGGATGTGATCGTCGGGGTAGTGGACACTGGAATTTGGCCGGAAAATGAGAGCTTTAAAGATGACGGGATGCGCGAGGTCCCTTCGCGGTGGAAAGGCGCGTGCGAGTCGGGTGCGAACTTTAGCCAGAGCTCGTGCAACAAGAAGCTCGTCGGCGCGCGGTATTTTAATAAAGGGCTACTCGCAAAGTATCCGAACTTGACTATCTCGATGAACTCGAGTCGCGATACGGAAGGGCACGGGACGCACACTTCGTCGACCGCCGCCGGGAGTTGCGTGGACGGCGCCTCGTTCTTCGGATACGCCTCCGGGACGGCAAGGGGCGTCGCGCCGAAGGCGCGCATCGCCATGTACAAGGCTTTGTGGGACGAAGGGTCGTCTTCTTCGGATATCGTCGCGGCAATAGATTCCGCGATATCGGATGGGGTCGACGTCTTGTCCTTATCGTTCGGAATCAACAGGGTGCCATTGTACGACGACCCCGTGGCTATATCGACATTTTCCGCGATGGAGAAGGGCATTTTTGTCGCAACGTCGGCCGGGAACGACGGGCCAGAGGACGGGACGTTGCACAATGGGATACCTTGGGTTCTCAACGTCGCCGCGGGCACGATGGATCGGGAATTTCGCGGGATCTTGACACTAGGAAATGACGTTTCGGTCGTCGGGTTATCGGTATATATAGGGAATTACTCGTCTGTTCAACTCCCGATCGTTTACGTTCCCGATTGCCGTGATAAGAGCTCGTTAAAGGCCGGGAAGCACAAAATCGCCGTGTGTTTGGATACCGACGGCATATGGACGGAGCAAGCTTATTACGCCAAGAACGCCAAGCTCGGCGGCGCCGTGTTCATAACAAACGCGACTGATATATCCTCCCCCGTCGACGCATCGCTTCCGTACGTCATTCTCGACTTCGACGAAGGCGGAAAAGTTTTCGATTACTTACAAAATTACCCGAAGAAGCCTACCGCAAGATTTAAGTTCCGGAAAACGGCGCTCGGGGTTAAGCCGGCTCCGAAACTAGCGAGCTATAGCTCGAGAGGTCCGTCGAAAAGTTGCCCCGTCGTGCTCAAGCCCGATGTATTGGCTCCCGGCGACCTGATTCTAGCCTCGTGGCCACCCAACATACCCGTCGCTGTCGTCGACGCGCCGGCGGGAAATCTCTCAAATACCTTCAACGTAGCGTCGGGAACGTCGATGGCATGCCCACATGCGGCGGGCATCGCCGCCCTTTTAAAAGAGGCCCACCCGGGTTGGAGCCCGGCCGCCGTCCGATCCGCCATGATGACGACGGCGTATACGACGGACAACGCCGGCGCTCCGATAAAAGACGTCGGCTCGAAGAATGCGGCGGAGGCGGCGGGACCGTTCGGGATCGGCGCCGGCCACGTCGATCCGATCAAGGCGTTGCGGCCGGGGCTCGTTTACGACGCGACGTCGCGAGATTACGTCAATCTTTTATGCGGATTAAAATTCAGCGTGAATCAGATCAAAACGATCGTTCGGACAGTGCCGATCGACTGCTCGGCGCCGTCGCTCGACCTCAATTATCCATCGTTCGTCGCTTACTTTAACTCGAATTCGAGTGTAAGAGAATTTGCGAGAACTTTGACTAATGTTGGGGACGCCAACTCGGTATACGCGGCGAAACTGAGTAAAATGAGAGGTTTAAAAGTCAGCGTTTTGCCCGAAAGATTAGTGTTCGAAGAAAAACATGAGAAGAAAAGTTACAGGCTGAGAATCCAACTGAAGAAGCCGATGAAGAAGGATTATTCTGTGGTGTACGGGTCGTTGACTTGGGTTGACTTAGCCGCCAAATTTAGTGTAAGAAGTCCCATTGTGGCCACCAATTTAGTACCATGATCGTCATCATGATCGTATGTATATGTCATTTACAGTAATTTATTTCGACACGACCTAACCTAAGACATATAAAACAACGAATCATGTGTTTATTTTTATTTTATTTTATTTTAATAACTGTTATTTTTCAAGTATACGATCACTTCAAGAAAATATCATTTATATAACGGGAGTTTTTTTTTCTCTAAATTCATTTCTTTCGTTATTGATGACATTAGAAACGAAATTAGAAATTAAATTACGTTAGCTACGTGAACTTTAAGGATTGATACAAATCAATCCCAAACAAAATGTGTTAAATCCTTGGTGTAGATTAAATAGGGAGACATTGATTGCTGAGTTAGGTATATTTTAAATTAATGAACTTTATCGAACATAAAAAAATGTTGAAAAAATTTTCATTTATTTTGAGACATAAGACATATGTATTTTTAATTGAATGGGAAGTTTATAAAAAAAAAAAAATAGAAGTATTAATAAATACTCCCTCCTCCGTGCCCCTTTATCCACTTGTCATTTCCGTCTCTTTATTTATACTGCCACTTGCCTTTTTAAAAAGAATTATATATTTTAATATCATTTAAAAAAAATTAATTTATAATTTTTAAAATTTTAATTAGACTAATTAGTTATCTTAATTTTAATCAAAAATTAATTTTATTATACGATAATTATTTTTACTAATAAATTCTTAATTATTTACTAATTATACTCGTCATAAATTTTTGTGTCTAAGTAAACGAGACACCGTAGCCTGAATGGAAGAGGTATAACATTTTATAAAATAAAATAATACTACTCCCTCCGTCCCTTAACAATATATCAATTTTTTCATTTTCGTCCGTCCCATAACAAAGTATCCAATTTTTTTTAGTAACTATACTATCTATCCTTTTAATTTACAATATATTACACAAATGTCATTACTTTTATATCATACAATACTAATAAAGGCAATTTAGTCTTTTTACCTTTACTTCTACTATATTTCAATATAATACTAATATTTCTAAAATTTCGTGAAAAAAGTAAATTGATATATAGATATGCGACAGAGGGAATATATTTTTACGAAGAACCATGGAGGTAAATAGTAGAAAAATTAATTTGATATTCAAAACTAAATAAATTATATATATATAATTCTATATACTCCATATATTTTTATTATAAGCTAAAATAGTTTCCAAGTTATTATGTTTGTTTAATCCATGAATTTATTCAAAACACACATTGAAAGAATAGTAGTTGTAGTTCTGTGTAGGGATGTCGACGGGCGGGTTCGGGACGGGTTCTGCAGGCCCCGAGACCCGCCCCGCTAGAAAATATTAGGCTCCGAGACCCGCTCCGCTCCGCTTTTACCCGGCCCTAGGACCCGCTCCGCCCCGAACCCTCTGGGTTCGGGGCCAATCCGACAAACCTGTTTTTTTAAAAAAATATATAATAATAAATATTTTTTTAATAATCGAATACTAAAACAAATAGCATTAAAAGCACAAAAAGAAAATCTACCCATAAAAATAAGATAAATAAATAAATAATATATTTTTATTATATAAATATACATATATTAGGTATAATAATTTTAAAAAATTATTTGGAGTAGACGACTAATTAAATTTTATATTTAAAATTATTTAAGTAAATAAATAATATATTTTTATTATATAAATGTACATATATATTAGTTATAATAATTTTAAAAAATATCCGAGTTCAGGTCCGGGTCCGAGTTAGGGCCGGTTTTTAGTAAAACTCGTAACCCGTCCCGAACCCGACCGAATTTGAAATTTTAAATCCAAAACCTGCCCCAAGACATATTATTTAGACCCGAATCCGCCCCATTAAAAGCGGATCCAGGGCGGATCCGGGGCTAACCCGCCCCATTTGACATCTCTAGTTCTTTGTTATAAAAAAACAAATAATAATAATAATAATAATAATAATAATGGAAAAAATTTAAGTGAACTTGCTTTAACTAAGAAAAGTGGTAATAGAGAGTGAGGATATGTTTTGTTTGTATGTTTATAGATTGGATTTCTTATCATTTGTCATCATATTTTTTAGTCTTGTCTTCTTCAAAATCATCAAATTAAAGATGTTTTTTGGTCGGTTGAAATATTATATTGAACATTAATTATTTTTATTTAAAATATCATATCAAAATTTTATTTTAATTTAATTTTTTATTATTTTCGAACATTGGTATCTAGTCTCAATCCTCAACAAAAAAAAAAACAAATATAGTGTATTTTGGTGTGAGATTTGTGTTGATCATAATTATTTTTATTTTTTTCAAACATATTTAATCAAATAGTATTTTTTATTTTAAAAATATCCTATCAAATATTATATTTTTCATCAAAAAAAAATAAAATAAGTGGACATGCCAATCAAAATAATTGTGTATGGATTGGATTGTAGTGTGAGTTAAATGGGTGAAATATCCTCAACATGTGTGGTCCAAACTTCCCACCATCCATCTCTATATCTATATCTATATTCTTGTATTTATTTGTATATTTTTATTATATAATATTATGTTAAATAATAATTTATACTTAATAAAAATTCATACAAAAAACATAATACAAAATATAAATTTATCTTCTTCTGTCATTTCAAATTGAAATCAATTTTATTCAATTCTACATTATTTTATCTTACAAAACATCGTATTATCCAAACAAGATCGAACAAGCCCAAATGAACTCAAATAATAAAATTGCTATATGAATAAAACTCGAACAATAGGAACGTGCTCGAGTTTTTAACGAAAAATTATGTTCGATTTCGCTTTTTAACCACTCTAATATATATATATATATATATATATGCACATCCTATATAGACAACTCAAATAGGACTGTACAAATAAAGACAATTAAAAGAAATTTATATTTATAAACTGTTGGAGTGCAAACCTAAATCAAGAAAATTGCACATCTTATAAGTCTTAGGTGAACTCCACTGGTACGGGACTTTTGAAGAATATTCAAAAACAAATCCGTGCAGCTCAGCCCAAAGCGGACAATATCATAAACTATATGCATGCACTTACATTTCTATATATAATAGAAATTATGAAAAAATTTAATTGCTAAATGTGTGACTAATTACATATATAATGAGAATTATATGATTGATCAATTAAGACACCCACTTTGCAAAAATTGGTAATAAATTATACTTTGAGTAAATGGTTGTCCCCAACATCTCTAAAAAAGACAGACATATATTATATGTATATATATTCAATGATATGATTTTTGAGTTTGTGTAACAATGATTTGAGTGATGATGTGATTTTATGTAATAGTGAATTAATGTGATATTTGATTAAAAATTGTGCATATATATATTGAAAATAATAAAAGTCCAAATCAATCACAACCCTAATTTGCTTTAACAAATATGTCGTATAAAATGACATTACTTTAATACATTATAGATCTCTGTTATAACATGTAAACTTGCTAATTTAATAGCCCTTTTTCATTTTACAAATAATAATAATAATAATAATAATAATAATAATGAAAGGAAATGAAGCAACAAATTACAAGAAATGAAAAAAAAAAAAAAAAAAAATAGAAGAAAAAAAATGAAAGCAAGAGATAACCAAGTATTAATGACACCATAATTAAAAGAAGATGATTTACGGTTCAATACGTGGCATTAAAAATATTGATTATTTTAACGTTTGCATCAAGTATTCCATATGTCAATTAGATTATTCATATCATTTTTCTTTTTAGAAAGGATTATCTTAATCTTATTTAAAAAAATTTATCTTATAATTTTTTAAAATTTTTTATTAGATTATTTTGTTGTTTTAATTCGTAATTATATGTATTTACTGTAATTACTTTTAATAATATATTTTTAATTATTTAGTAATCATAGATCTTATAAATTCTTGTATATACAATAGTGACGTTATATGCGAGACAAGGGAGTATTTTATTTCAATTTTTTTTAAAAAAAAAAACTCAATAGTAGTGTACAAAACAATAGTGGAATCCAATATTCCATACGGTAACATGGAAACTTTGAGCAAACTTCCAAATGCATGTGATTGCAACTTTGGCAGTGAAACCCATAATTTATTATTATTATTATTATTATTATTATTATTATTAATTATTACTTAAAATTGTGTGTTTCTTTACACCAAAAAAAAAAACCCTAGGGCGTGTTCGGTAGAATAGAGATTTCAGTTGAGAAATGTGGAAAAAATAAATGGATCGGACAAGAATAAATGATTAATATAATAAAAGAGAGTTTTAGCAAGTGAGAATCGTGAAAAAATATTTATGATGATTTTTTTTAAAACAAAAAATTATAAATTATATACGAAGTTTTGTAAAATCATATTTTAGTGTAATTTCTTTTAAAAAAATCCTAAAAAATTAAATACTTGAATGATAAATTTCAAATAATTTTTGTAAAACTGAAATAATATAATATAAATAATTATAAAAAATAAATAGTACAAAAAAGAATAATAAAAAATAAAAATATATATACTGAAATATCAATTCTCTCTCAATATAGGAGAGAAATAAAAATAGAGAAATAAAAATGATTTATTTCTCAACTTCCATTTCTCTGACTCAAACAAATAAAAAAATGTAAACATTTTCATTTCTCTGCTACTAATTCCCTGTACTAAACATACCTCAAGTTTCTACTATTTGGATTATGCGTTTTCCGACAAAAAAACAAACACAAATCTGCAACTGCGCACTAGGTAAACTTTGATGTCAACTTATGACCTCACGGTCACGAATCCAACTCCTACACCATCAGGCCATCCCTTACGAAACTACAATATTTTTTTATATTAAAGTTCCACGACCAATATAGATATGGTGTATGAATAGTTTTGTTTGTCTGTAATACCGACCAATATACAAGAGCTGCTTGCGTGGTCCTAATATGGTTTTTTCTTTTTAACTTTATACAATAATAGCGTTGGATTTGGCAAAATAAAATCAATTATACAAACATTTTGGAATTTTGACACTATTTAACTAAAAAATATATATTTTTCTTTACAAAATATCACATCAAATACTAAATTTTTTACTATTTTTGAAATTTTAAATTTTTTAAAATCTCTATCTACCCTGAGCATTGAAGATAAAAGTTCATAATTTTGTCGAAAAATAGTTGATGACATTTGGAGAAGGTTGGCTAATTAATCAATCAAAATAATATTATATTAGTTAACATTTGTGTCCAACTTATGTGACCATATTTTTTTTGGACAAGAGAGAATATAATTTTTGAATTAGTCGTAGAAGAGCACTAATAAAATTTATACTTCCTCCGTCCAACTAGAAAGTATACACATTTTTATTTTTGGACGTCCAATTACAAAGTAAACATTTCAATTAAATACCTTACTTTTTCCACAAATACCCTTACTTTACATCACATCATTACTTTTATATCAAAAAGTAAAGACAAAAATATCATTACACTACTTTTAACTACTCATTATAATTAAAATACTATTATTTTTTAAATATCGTGCCAAAAACGGAGGGAGTAATATATATATATATATATATAGAATTAAAGAATTAAACAGGGCCGTTATGGGGTGAGTAATAAGGAAGATTAATCAAACATTTATTAAGCATAAAGTGGAGTTAAAAAAATTAAAATAAAGGGATTTAGAACATGTGATATTTGTATTTCTTTTGTCAAGCTTTCCTATACTTCATTATTTGTATACTATGTTCTTCGAAGAAAAAAAATAAAAAATAAAAAAATCCTCACAAAATATACCATTAAATATTATTTTAATATCAAAGTCAAATATATTTTTTTTCAAATTCAACCAAAAGAAAAAAAAAAAAAAAAAAAAAAAGGTACTACTAATTTTATTTATTTATAATGTCTCTAGATAAATCTCCTCCTTGGCAATCCAAACAAGGTGTACTTTTTTGGGCAAAATATATCTATTCAATTTGGATTGGACTTGGGTGGGCTGAACCATCTTAGAACAAGCACAAAAGGTCATTGCTATTTTATGGTTTAAAATTGAAACAAATACTAACTACGATGGACCCTAAATACTATACAACATTCAACCTCAAGCATGCTAAGAGAGAGCTCAATAGTAACTTATTTCTTCATGGTTTATACGATTGTATACTTTTTGTTTGAAATGTTTTTAAAACAAGTTAAATAAGCAAAAATTGTAGAAAAAAATATGCGGTAGCATTTTTAATTATATGCAATATTTTGGTAGCTCATTAGGCAAAATTTGAATTTTGAGAATAATTTTTTAAGGAATTTAGTCGGATTAATTTTCAATGAGCAGATTGAAAGTTTTCTATCTTCTTCATACGAACATACCTCGAGCTGTTGTACAGTGTAAGTTCCACAAGCCATAGTCTTAGCCATCTTCTGTAAAATCTAGTGCTGCAAAAAGAGACAGGTAAGTAAGAAAAAGGATAAGTGGGACCATGCTATCAAGTAACCCCTCATTGTGGACCTTATCTTGCCAAGAATGTAATGCAATGTGATGTGATGAGAGGAAACCAAACCTGTAAAAAAGATGGAAATTGCAGTGGGAAGATGCTTACATAGTTTGGCACATTCTGCTTTCCCTGCAAGAAAGATCACATGTTATAAAACAGGCTATGGCATTGGCAGGAATACTACTAACTGGATTGTTAAAAGGAACTGTCGTACCGTTGTAGTTCAAGCGCAGGATCGCCAAACATGGCTTCCTGGACTTGACCCTCCGCCTTATCTTGATGGAACGTGAGTAAACCACTTTGTTGGATTGCCTTGCCTCTTTTCTGCCTGATTGTTGAATCGTTCTTGCAGGCTTCCTGGAGATTTTGGATTTGATCCTCTGGGGCTTGGGGAGGATCCGGAAAGCTTGAAGTGGTACGTTCAGGCAGAGCTAGTTCATTCCCGGTTCGCCATGGCTGGAGTAGCTGGAATTCTTGTAACAGATGTTAGTGAATTTGAAGGCATTGCAATCTTTTTACCTCCCTGTCATGAAACCTGTTTTTATCTTTTATGATTGCAGCTTCTACGTGTGACGGGAATAAGCAATTTGCCTGTCTGGTATGAAGCTGGAGCCACCAAATTTGGTTTTGCTAGCACGCAGACGTTGTTCATCGTTCAACTACTGCTGATGGGGTAGTGAAGAGCTAATGATCTCATGTCTTGACCTGAAACTTGACCAAACAGATCAGTGAAGTTACAGAAACATTTATACATGGTTATGTTCTCCTTGCAGTTTTGTTGAAACCAAAAGATACATGGATTTCAAGAATCCAGGATCTCAAGCCAAAGAGGGATCGTTTTTCGGCATAGAAGTCGCCCTCGAAGGGCTGGAACCAGGGTAGTACTCTGCATCTATATGTATACAAGTTTTATTAGTTACAACAAACACACAGAATTAAAAAACACTCTAAATAGGTGCACCATGATAAGAGGACCTCTTTCTGCTACCCTAATTCCTATCTACAATACAATGATCTACTCGGGTTTTGATGAACAAGAAACTAAAATTCGAGTTATTCTGGTAATCTATAGGTATCCTGGAGGACCACTGCTTAATCCTCTTGGCCTGGCAAAGGACATAAAGAATGCTCATGAATTGAAGCTCAAGGAGATTAAAAATGGAAGGTTAGCAATGGTGGCTATGCTGGGCATATTCATACAAGCTTATATTACTCATGTCGGTCCCATTGACAATCTTATAGAGCACCTCTCTAATCCTTGGCACAAAACAATCATTCAGACACTTTCTGGATAGACTTCTTAAGCATTCAGAAAAATTTCGTCTAAGTCACATCATTCCAATTCTTTTTCTCTGTGTCGAGCAAAAGAGTAGATATACTGCAAATAATTTGTTCATTGTATTGATTTAAATCACAAGGAGGTTCCAACTAGTCTATCTTTCGACATATATGTGACATGGAAAATAGGGAATGCAATTATATTACATAGCTTAAGATAAAAACATTGTATAAAAATATGAAAACTGGAACTTAAAATGTATGTAAAGATATAATACAAATATAATGCGAGTTTCTAAAGACACACCTACTCTATAGAGGTATTTATTGATCTTGCACGCCATGCCAATTTAAGCACTATAAACAAATCAATATATGACTTGGTTTGGACAAATCAAACTATTGTGTAAACAAATCAATGCTCTTGTATGACTGCAGACAATTCGCATAAAGAGATAGCAGAATCAAGAAATTTTCTGGAAACTTGTTTCGGGGAATATAAAATTGATGAAAGATAGCTTACTATATGAACACGTGGATATCAGTTGTATGCACGCGACTTCTTTTTCTTGAGGAACATGAAGATCTTCAGGAAGAGTTGTCTCTTCTTTTTCTTGGTAACCCTGGCTTCTGGGGATGTATCCGTTTCTGTGGTGCTTGCATATGTGTTTGGACTTGGTGTTTGTTGAAAAACCAATGAATTGGGTGTGCTGATAAAGTTCCTGGTTTCCATTACCTCCTCAAAACTTTGTTTTGGACTTCTATTTGCAAGAACAGATTCACCAGCTTTTCGTCTTTGTTCATGATCAGCTCTCCATTTTCTCAATTCCTGTTCAATGCTCAATTTTCCTTCTTTTGCTTTCTCGGACTTTTGCAATGCAGCTTCTAAGGCGTCCTTAGTTTCAGCCATCTCACGGTTGGCTTCCTCCAGCTTATTCAAGCTCTTCATTTCAGACTCCTTTGCAACCTCAATTTGAGAGAGAGCAGCAACGACCCGACTGTTTGCCTGCTCTTCAGCTTCATGGGCCTGTTTGCTAAGCTCATAATATTCTTCCAAAGAAAGTGTTACGCCGGTAGGTGAATCCTCACCCGTGTTCCTTTGGGCAGAGTCACTATCCAATAATGCATTTATAGCAGCGAGCGCCAATTCCTCTGAAGCCTTCGCAGCTTCTATCTCTTTTTGTGCTGCACGCAGCTTACTCTCGACTGTACTGGCAACTGCCTTTGTGTGTTCCAGTTGTTGTTTAGCATTCCTAAGCTCATCTCTAGCGGTCTCTGCAAGTTCCTTTGACTTATCAGCTTCTTGTGCTGCCTCTTGCAGGTTTTTTGGAAGCTCTACCATCTTCTCTCTTTCTTCTTTCTCCCTTATCTGAACAACAGCAATTTCTGACTTTGTCCTTTTCAACTCAGCTTCAAGGGATGCAACTGCAATCGAAGCCATTCCTTCCCGCTGCTGAATGGAAGCAAGTTCAGCCTTTTCATTTTCGAGTTCTGACTTCAGCGATGTGGCAGCCACCTTCAAGATGTTAACTTCGTCGTTTGTTTTCTTAATATTGAGATTTATCTCTTCGAGTTCCTTCGTTGCTGCTAAAAGAGCCGCTTCAATCTCCCCTCGAGATTTTTTATCAGTTTCTTCGAGGTCGTCATTGTGCAACTTACCTTCCCCTGTCTCTTGCTCCAATTTCGATTCCATGTATGCCGTCAGTTCATCTTTCAAATCTTGCAGTAAACCAGTTGCCGTGTCCAATTTTAATTTCAGATCCTTTGATGCTGATAGCTGTTCTGTTGCTTTCTTGAGTTCCTCCTCTGCCTCCTTCAAATCCTTCTCCCAGTTGAGCACATCCTGTTCTCTTGCCATTACTGCTCCAATTCTGTGATCTTCTGCCTCAAGATGTGCAGCGTGTGCATTTTCCAAGGATTCTTTGGTAGAAATAAGCTCGATGGTCAAATCCTCTACGGACTTCTCAAATTCCTTTGATATAGACACAGCTTCTTCTGCTTTTTTAACGGCCGCATCTCTCTCAGCCAACAACACAGCATAGTCTTTCTTGAGTTGTTCCAATTCAGCTTTGACAGTTTGAAGTTCTGAAACAGCAGCTATATGCCTCGTTCGGGCAACCTCAAGCTGTTGTTTGGCTGCAATGCTAGCTTCATCCGCAATCCCTTGCTCCATCTCTTTCACTCGGAGATTTGCAAGTTCAGAATCCTGTTTTGCTTGTAACTCTTCCTGTTGCACTCTTTCCAGATTAAGCTTTAACTCTTCTACAAGTCTCTTGGTACTGTCTAGCTCTTGCAGAACTTTTACCTTTGCCTCCTCAGCATCCTCAGACTGTTTCTTGTACAATGGTATCTCTTTCTGAGCTTTCTCAAGTTCATGTTCTATCACTTTTCGTCTCTGTGTGGATGCAAACAAACACATACACAGTGTTATGATAATATCATTCACATCAGAAATTACACTTATGACAAATGCAGCAACGCATACAAATATCGAAGTATTTATATAAAGTAAGATCTCAAGAACAGATTTTACCTCCACAATTTGCATGCGATGGGCTTTCCAGTCAACAATGCCCCCAAACATCGACACTGCAGCCTTCACAGACTCAAAAGGGGCTGTTGTGTCTATTAAGCCTCTGTTAAACTCAACATTGCTAAGAACTTGGTCCGTGTACTTATTGCTCCCATTAGAACTCGCTGCAACTTTGGCAGGAGATGGCTTCAAATTTGTTTCAGTTTGTTCTTTCAGTTGTTTTTTTGTGTCTGAATCTGTGGGTGATGCAACTGCATCATCCAGTTGGGTTGCTTTTTCAGATGTATCAACGACAGCGGATGCAGATGCAAAGTTTGCCTCTGATGTACCTGATGGAATGGATTCGGAGAGGCCTATATGGCTTTTTGGTATTTCTTCATTATCCTGCACTGCAACAGTTGCCTCTTGAGAGACATCGGGCACTGCAAGGTTCTTTCCTGAATCTCCAGCTTCATGGCCTGCAACCTCAAGTATCTGAGACACATTTGATTCTCCAATAGTATCTTGGACAGCAGACGCTGAATCGTCATCATCCACTGAAGATGAGACAACCAATGCAGAAGGTTCACCATGTACACTGCTTGCATCCATTCTGTTGTCATGGTAAAAATTTAATTTAGTACCTGAGTACCCAGACCCAGTCTAATAGACCCATTCAGGTCCAGGATACTAATTCCCCAGCAATAACGACACAATGAAACACAGTTGAAGCTGATAAAATCTGCTTATTGTTACACTAACAAAATCCAAGACCAATTAACTGTTTCAATGGAAACGTTGGGCATGCAATCTTAAATTCTCCTCTGCATTTGGAAAGTAAAATACTATATATATATATATATATATACACATATATAATAGGAGATGGGCTAGATTACAACCCAAGGATACACATATAGGGAGGAAAATAGACTGAGGTTAAGTAAACTGAGAATTATCCTACTTGCGATAAGGAGCTATACACTGTAGTGAAAGCATGGGAGAAGTGGCAACTTTATATAAGGCCTACAGGATTTGTGACCTCTAAAACACTTGAAGGGCCAACATCAACTGAACAAAAGGCAAGCACAATGAATTCCATATATATATATATATGTACAGACACATACATATACATTTCCGTCTATTAGTGACTATGAAAAGGGGAAGGAAACATTGTTGATGATGCTCAGAAATGCAAAGCACGCTTCTTACGTTGGCTAATGCTAAAATAACAGGATTTGCAATAATAAAACAAACATAGAATTCTTTAAGATATGTGCTTTGTGAAAAGCATGGACAAAGTGAGGTTTTGTCTAATTGTGTTTTATCTACCTATTTTCATGATTCAATTTCTTAATTTCCCTCCAAGAGCATCACATCCAATCACTATTTTACTTAAAAAACATCAAAACCAAAAAGTACAAAAACTAAATATAATATTAAAGTATATATATATATATGTATGTATAAGTAAACAAACCTGAATGTTTCATGAAAATGAATAATTTGCTTTATAAACGTAGGGTGTGTTTGTTTGGAGATTTGGATTTTGATTTGGGATTTGAATAGTAAAAATTTTAATTGTAATAGTAGTATGATATGATATAAATAGGTGTTGATGTGATGTTTTAAATGGAAAATTAATTTATAGTATAATATAAAAAATAAAAAATAGGTGTTTGATTTGATGTTTTTGGGGAGAAAAAATTTAATGAATAGTAAAATTTTTCAAAAATCTTACAAACAAACACACCCGTAGTGTATTTCGTAACGATCCTTATGAGAGTTACTGATTGCAAAAGTGCATTAAGATGCTCTCATGAGAATCTTTGGTGGATCTCTAAAACACTTTAAGGGCCAAAACAAACAGAACAAAAGGCATGCGAGATGGGTAACCTTGACCGATATCTTGCCATTTATTATTAAGTATAAGAGGGTGAAGGAAAACATTGTTGATAATGCTCTGTCATGCAAACACACACTCATTAGTCATTATTCTAGCTAATGCTAAAACAAATTGAAAACTTGACATTATTGTCTCATGTAGAGTTTGCTTACAACTTAGCATAGATTCATCAACTCTCTCCTCCTTCATTCTATTGTATGGTTGGTTTCAAACACGGACACCTCTAATCTCAATCCATTGCTTAGCAGTAAGAATCTCAATTTTAGTGGCAGGAACCAAGCTTAAAGGGTCAAGAAATTGCATATGTTTCACACCAATATAGCCAAGCCAACACAAAAGATGCCCCAATAAAGGCTGTGGCGACAGTGAGTTCTTTGTCAACTGGAAGACAAGGAGTGGTTGCTGGTTATATCTTAAGAGAGAAAGATTTCATATACAACATTGTTCCAAGCTATTGCCTAGAGAAGATAGACCATTTAAAGAGTTAGAATGAATCAAAAATTAATTAACACCAGCAAACTTGTTTTATCAGGTGAGTATGTTGTGCATACCTAGCACCTTTAATGTCACAAATTTAAGTTTGTTTGATGTAGGTGATTAACATGATTAGTGTTTCAAGGGAGTGAGTGGTTGTCTTAGTGAATTAAGACCAGTTTCCAATTTGACAATTACCTTTAAATGGAAAGAAAAGATTGGCATGTCATGATCATTTTATATACTGAAGTCTACCCCAAGTTAAACCCATTAGCTTCGAGCCAGAGCAAAGCAACTTCAAGATTATGTAGCTTACATGATTCAATGCATTATAACATGCACTGTTGAGGCCGAGGCAAGATGAGTGTGAAACTGGGCTAGAATAGTAATCCATAGCTCAAGTGGAGCAGTGTGAATAAGATTTATATGAGAACACCTAGCAAATCTCTTCCTTTAGTAAGTTTTCAGTTTTTATGAGGAAACCAATTTCAACAGACTTCCTTTTCAGCAGAGTCTATTTTAGGTGAATTTTCTTTTAGCGAATTAGTCAACTAATGCCAACGATGCACTAGTGCAAGAATATATGCAGCCAATGTCACTAGTATATACTTGAATCACTTTCCCAACCTTCAGATGAAATGGGGAACGACAAAAACAACCTAATAGAGAAATTCTAACCTGGTATAAATAGCAATTACCTTCTTCTTCACTTCGTCATTGTGAGCTTTCTATGCTTGTTGGGTTGATACTTGAGTAAAATTCAGGTTATGGTGGTTGATCATCTCTATGTTAGTGGTTCTTTTTGTTTTGAACTGTTGGACTCTTTTCGATTAGTTCCACTAGAATTCTTGGTCAGCCTTGGCAAATTTTGGTTCTGCCATTATTATCCTGTTTCATCCTTGTTTGTTTTTCTTTCTTATTTGCTGAGTGAATCCACAAAAGCTCTCCACTAGATTCAATTTTTACCATAAAATATAAAACTAACAACAAATCAAAGCACTCTCTGAAGAGGAAAGATATAACTAAAAAAACACCAGACTTTCGAATTGGTAGCAGATGTTAATATTCCTCCATATCATATAATTAGCCGCTCTAGACTCCCACACATTTTATATTACAATTCTTTACAACATGAAATACCAACCAACCGATTTGCATTAAGAGGTATAAATGAAAGATGTTCCTTCCATAGATGTGTGTAACTAATAGATATTAAGAATTAATCAAACAAGTTATTCCCAATTTCTTTCCAATTTTAAATAATCCAATTTTCAAATCCACAGTAGTTACAAACACTAATAATCAATGATTTTCATTCTCCCCACTCAATTTCCACATATTTATTTCTTCAACAAAAGCACCACAAGGAAATCATAACCTTCATCAATCATATCAAATTTACTTAATTTATTCCATCCAATGCTTCAAACCAACGCTGTAACTTCTGGAATTATTCAACAATTACCGCACTGAATAACACCATCTACAATCAACAGCTCTGTTCACTAAGCTCAAATCGAAACACAAAATACAAATCAAAGTCAAAACCGAACAAAGATGACAAACGGATAAACACAGTAATCATTCAAGTTTCAAGTTCTCCCAATCAAAATCAATCAATACTGCAATAGAAAACCGCATATATAACCCAATATAAATTGGCATAGAAATCGAGAAGAAACTTACCTGGAGACACCACTGACGACAATTAAAGAGAGTACTTATCACTTCGAATCAGTTTCAATCTCCCGAGAGATTGAGTGCCTACTCAAGAACAGTACTCAATAAGTAAAAAAACGATCAAGACAAAACGAGGTCAGACTTGAGAGACGGGGAAGATCCATCCATCCATGGCAGATTTGTTTCTAGAAATTCTGTGGTTTCCGTAAGCAGCAGCGTCTTCTGGGGTCACTTGACACATCACTCACCTTTGCTTCTATTCTTTTCGTCTTTTGATTAATCCATTAACCTACATTTTAAATAATGGAATAATAATTTTAAAAAAAATTTATTTTAATTTTTTATCAAATTTTATTATTTATTTAAAAAAATAAACAAAAATTATCAAATTAAATATTTATTTTTAATTATATTATAAATATAATTATTTAAATTCAAAATTTTTAGAATATTAACTATTTTACAACTAGCAGTGCAACGAAATTTCAACGTAATGTGGATATTTAACTATAAAATTATATTTCCTCACTCATCAAAATTTATTTTTATATGATTGGATATAAATTTTAATAAAAATAATTACCTTTTTACAGTAAAAAAAAATTACAAATGTTAAATTTGACAATTTTATTTATAAATTAGATAAAAAAAATTAAAAATATTTTGAACGTTAATGTATAATTATTTTATTTTAAAAAAATAATTTAAAGTGTGAGATAGAAAATAATACTCCTTCTTTCGGTCATTCAAATTTATTCTTTTTTTGTCATCAAAAATTATTTTCGTTAAGTAAAAAATTATTATATTTTTAATTATTTTTTTATTATAAAAAATAATAATTATTACTCATTTTTATTAATTCTGGTATCCGATCAAATGAGCACATAAAAATAGAATGAGTTAGGCAGGAAAGAGAGTACTATTTGTTATGATTGGAAACAAAAAGCAGCCGACTATTGCGGAATCAAAGGGCCCTTTCGGCCGTTGTTTATTGCACGTATTAATGAACTGCATTAATACTTACAGGTGGAATGCACGAGTTTTGTAAAACACATCTACTTATATTTTTAGAATAATTTTCTTATTTTATTTAATTAGTATTGTAAACAAAATTTCTAATGCATTTCCAAAAAAAAGTGTATTACTGTTCAAAACAAAAAAATAAAAAATAAGATTTGAATTTGGATTCAGGAAGGATGCATGGATGAGGTGGTTTCTAGTCATTCGGTTGAATGGTTGTTAGGGTCAGCCGATCGAATAATAAAAGATGGTTGTTAGGGTTAGGTCGGTCGAATAATAAATGTTCACGGATCAGTTGATCGGTTGGTTACAAAAGTTATCGACTAAGAATCGAGTTTGGACGGAATAAATCGATAACCGACGAGAAAGCGAGTTCATACGGTTCAGATCGGTAATCGAAGAAAAAATGAGTTCGGACGGTATAGATCGATAACCGACCAGAAAGAGAGTTCAGACGGTTCAGATTGATAACCGACGAGAAAACAAGTTCGGACGGTTCAAAGTCAACCGACGTGGAAGCGGTTTCTGACGGTTACCGACGTTGAAGCAATTTTTTTACGATTACTGACGTGGAAGTAGTTTTAAGGGTAACCGACATGAAAGCGATTTCGGAAGGTTTGGTTTGATACGTATATAAACAGCCTCGATAATGATAGAGAATGACATCTTCAATGACAAAATTACAAAAAAATATCATTGAGATCGTTATTTTATTTTTCAGTTATCGTTTTCGCTTCTTTTTCCTTTTAACTTGAGAATTTAGAGTCCCAAGTTTTCAAAATATATTTTCAATTTTTTTTTGTTGAAATTTTACCATCAACGACTATATATTTATTATTTTTATATTACTACTTATACAATTCTCCATATTTTATATCAAAAAATATTATTTCAAACTAAAATCCTAAGCAAACACATGTTTATTCATCTGACAATTTTGCAGTGATATAAATTTCCATAAATGTTTTTAAAAAATATATACTCCCCCTTTTCAAAGTATTTGTTTTACTATTTTCGTCAATCTTATTTTAAAGTATTTTTTTTTTAATAAAAATTGTCGTACACTAATAACAAAATATGACAAAAATGATAAATCTTTTTACATATTTCTAATAACTAATAAAATACTATTGTATTTTAATTTATTATAAAATTCATATAGTACATTTTAAAAGAAAAAAAAGAATAATATATAAATAAAATAACATAAATACTTATATTTTATCTTTTTATTTTAATATTATATTTTAAATATTTACATTCTTTATAAGTAAAATATATTAAAAAGTAATTTAATTTAAGAGTATAAAATATTATACACATAATAAATAAAATCTATAAATAGTAAAAATTAGATAAAATATTGTCGCCAACATTGAAGTTGAAATCTTTAACACAAACAAAATGTTTATTGGTTACTTACGTTTTGTTTTTTTAATACAATTTTTAAATTACGATTCTTAAAAGAATAATAATAATAAATACAATATTTTATATAAAAATTAAAAAGTCAAAAAATTATTAGGAAAAATTTTTAAACATAAATTTTTTAATATTAGTATTATATTGGATAGTAGTAAAAAAAAACAAAAATACCCTTATTAGCATTATGTAATATAAAAGTAATAATATTTGTGTAATATACTGAAGTTGAAAAGAATAATAAATAGATTGTACAGTTACAAAATAGGAAAATGATAATGTTGTTAGACAGTATTTTCTCCCAAACCCGGCCAGCTCCCCCATCACCCACATTGGCTGCAAAATGGCAGCAAAAGTTGTCATTTGTATTATTTTATTTGATTTTTATTTTTTTTTCAAAATTTATATTTATTTAATATTTATAATAATTATAGGGTAAAAAAATATATACAATATATATATTATTTTGTAGATAATAAAATTTTTTATAATACCAATAAATAAAAATTTAAATATATATTTTGGGTATAATATAAATTTATAATCAAATCATACAATATAATTTTTATTTATTAAATTTAATACACATTTATATTATTTTATTCATTATCCATCAAATCAATATCCATCAAAACTCCTAAAATTCCAAACAAACCCAAATACAAAAGAAACAACAAGATTTTCAAACTCATCCCAAAATTCAAATAAAAACCAAACTCAAACCAAAATTCCCCAAACCGCTCTAAAGAAACATACCCCTAGTTCCTCTCGTTTTATTTGAACAATCAAATATGAAATGATGGCATAGTTTAATTTGAATATTTTTTCGGATTATTTTTACTATAAAAATTTATAATTTTTTATAAAAATATATTCTTTCAATCCACTTTGAAAGTTTATATTTATTTTTCTGTGTAATAATTTTTAAATATTAATTATTATATCAAAATATAATACAAATTAAAAAAAAAATGTAAAAATATTTTTGTTATTGTATTATAATACTAATAGAATGACATTTATAAAAATATATATACAAATATAAAAATATTTTCAATGTGAAATACAATGACGCAAAAGATAAAATATAAATTTATTAAATTAACGAATTAATTATTTTTTAAACATAAAACATCATAAATAATCACTATTTAAATGACACATTTAATGTTACAATGTTAATTAAATATAATCAACACCTTATGAATAGCACAATAATATATATATATATATATATATTATATATCGGACATTCCACTAAATATAAATTTACATTACATACATAAAATATTACTTTATATACCATGTATTATACACCAAGTGCGGATCTACTAGGGACTAGGGGCAGTTGGCACCTCAATCTCCAAAATATATGTATTTTTAAATAATAAAATTATGTATTTTACTTTTTAGTAATTTGTTTTTTCTATTTTTTTATTTTATAATGTAAAAATTATAAAAATTTTGTCAATTTGTTAATTTATATTTTTAGTCTTTAAATTTTATTTTTTTATAATAAAATATATTAAATTTTATGTAGTATTTAAAAAAAATTTCTAAAATATTTACATTTTTCCATTTTTTTTTGTACGAGTGTGCCATGAATTTAAAAAAAAAAAAATTCAATATTTTTGCTCCCGGACATTTTTCAATTGGTTCTGTCATTAACTATCAGTCATATACACATAAAGGTAAAGTGTTTTTTTAGTACCCCTTATCATTTTACTCCCGTAAGTGGAGCATGTCGCAAACTAGTCTCATAAGTGAAAAAAAAAAATAAATCCACGTGTCCGCCAGGTCAGCGACACCTGGCGGACACATCACCTCCGGCGAGCCACGCGGGCGTCTCCGACGCCGAAGGACTAAAATAGCGAAAAAAATTTCACTTATAGAACTAGTTTGTGACATGCTCCACTTACAGAACTAAAATGATAAAAATGTCTAGTTACGGGACCAATAAAACAGTTTAGCCTACGTATAATTATATGCTACCTACAGTATTTTCATATGTTCAGCACCTATCCCAAGAGTTTAATTAAAGTTATAACTAAATCTTTATTATTTAATACAAATTAAATGAAATTTATTGAGTTGACAACCAAATACTAGTTAGCTACTGAAGCCATAACAAAATAATTACTTATTCCAACCATTTTTTAGGTGATATAATTCTGTTATTTTTTTTTTTTTAAAAAAAAAAATTATTTTACTATTTTGCTCTTGTTTTTATTTATTTTTAAATTTGTCTTAATAAATATATATACCTAAAATTTATTGAGTTAACAACAAAATACTGCTGCTATTTCCATACCAAAATAATTACTAGTTTTTGTTCCAACCATTTTTTATTTTAGGTAATACTCTCTCTATTCTACATAATTTGTTCATATTTTTTATTTTCGCCTCTCCACATAATTTATCCTTTTTTTTTTTGAAAAATTAATTATACACTTTAATTATATTTTAAAATTTAAATTTTTAAATTTTTTTTAAGCTTCATTAAACTATTTGGTTATTTAATCTTAATCTATAATTATTTTTAGTATATAATAATTATTTTTACTAATATATTTCTTAATTACTTACTAATTATAATTTACTTAAATTCTTGTAACTACATTAATAGATCCATATCTAGGACGAAGAGAATATAATTTCGATAATTATTTTACCATTTTACCCTTATTATTTTACTTATAGTTATTTTATAAATGGTATTGTTAATAATAATAAAAAAACAAATATTAAATAAAAAATTGTGGAAATTTTAAAATAAAATTAATACCAAACAAATTCGAATAAAAGAAGTATAAATTAAAATAGCCTACATATATATATATATATACTAGTTGCTCGTGTGTTGCGCCATGCCGCTATTATATCTCTTTTATTGTAAACATGAAAATTTAAAAGTGTTATAATTAGGTAAATAATTAAGAATATATTAGTAAAAATAATTATGATATAATATAAATAACTATAAATTAAGATTAAATAATTAATTAGTCTAATCAAAATAAAAAATAAATTAAAATATATATTTTTAAAAAAAAAATAAAATAAGTGGAACTAATGAAAATAAAAAGATAGATATAATAAATACAAGGGATGGAGTATAAATTAATTTCAGAAAGTACAGAGTTTATATCCATTATTAGTACAATTGCATTCCAAAATATATTAGTAGTATTTTTTACACAAACAGTAAAATATTTTACTCTTCTACTATGTTAATTAACTATTATTTTAATAACACGGTCATGAAGGAGTAAAATAAATAAATAAGAGTGAACGATCATATATATTAATTACTTTTATTTTATTATTTCAGTAATAGTTAATAAAAATCTTAATGATCGAAAAGAACTTATCTAATAAAACAAAGATTACTTTTTCACATAATAAAAGAAGTTTTTTAAAAATAAAAATAATCAAAAAAAAATTCTATCATTAATTTTTATTGTACTATAATAATAAAATAAATTCTACTTAAAATAAATTTAATATTGTTATATAATAGAATTAATAAAGTTAATAATGTTGAATGAAATATTTATAACAAAATAAATAATTATATTAATATAGTTTTCAAGGAAATAGCGAAAAAATAAATAAATTATTGGATAAGGGGTATTAATGTAATTTTACATAATCATAAAATTTCGAGGGATATGTATTACGTAGGATATATAATACATACACATTCTGTCCCTTCCAATACGAATCGATCAACATGATTGCCTTTCTCACCTGTGTTTTTTGTGTCTGTTTTGCCTCTGCTTTCTCCGAAGTTTCTGCAAATCCCACTTTATTGTTTCAGGTAATTATTTTAATCCTTAATTGCCTCAAAAATAAAAAAAAAATAAAAAATCCTTAATTTCCTCGACGGTTTTGAATAGGGGTTCAACTGGGAATCGTGGAACCAGGACGGGGGGTGGTACAATGCGCTTCTCAAGGTTGTACCTGACTTGGCAGCTGCAAACGTCACTCATGTATGGCTGCCTCCTCCTTCCCACTCAGTTGGACCTCAAGGTTTAAAACTTGTACCTTTTGGAAAACTCAGGGGTATATGTTCTCTCCGGTTCTGATCCCTACGGTTCCCTACGGTTACACTGCTGCAGGTTATCTTCCCGGAAGGCTCTACGATCTCGACGCTTCGAAATACGGCAATGGAGGGCAGCTCAAAACCCTAATCGGAGAACTGCACCGCCGCCGCATCAAAGCGGTGGCGGACATCGTGATCAACCACCGGACCGCCGAGAAGAAAGACGGCCGGGGAATTTACTGCATCTTCGAAGGCGGAACCCCCGACGGCCGCCTCGATTGGGGGCCGTCGTTCATCTGCAGAGACGACACGGAATATTCCGACGGTGCCGGAAACCTAGATTCCGGCGCTGGGTACCCTCCGGCGCCGGATTTGGACCACCTGAACCCGACGGCGCAGAAGGAGCTCTCCGATTGGATGAACTGGCTGAAATCGGAGATCGGATTCGACGGGTGGAGATTCGATTTCGTTAAGGGGTACTCGCCGGAGGTGATGGCGAAGTACATGAGCAACACCTCGCCGGAGTTCGCCGTCGGGGAACTGTGGAATCCGCTGGCGTACGGCGGCTCCGACGGGAGGCCCGATTACGACCAGGACGGGCACCGCCGCGAGCTGGCGGCGTGGGCGAAGAACAGCGGCGGCGCAATTAGGGCTTTTGATTTCACGACGAAGGGAATCCTCCAGGCGGCGGTGGAGGGCGAGCTATGGCGGCTGAAAGATCCGGCCGGAAAGGCTCCTGGATTGATTGGAATCCAGCCGGAAAATGCAGTGAGTTTCATCGAGAATCACGACACCGGATCGACGCAGAGGATGTGGCCATTTCCGGCGGACAAAATCACGCAGGGATACGCTTACATCCTCACTCACCCCGGAGTTCCATGTCTGGTCTGTACTGCCTTAATTCTTAAGAGTATTCTCCCATTTTAAAATATCTATTTTATTATTTTTCGTCCGTCTTTTTTCAGAAGTATTTTTAATAAAAATGATTATACATTAGTATTATAATATTATATTAAGATGTAGTATAAATAAATATAAAAAAATTAAATTAATTTTATTAGTATTAATATTATATAATATAAAATTAATAATATTTGTATAATATATTATAAATTTTAAAAATATTTGTAAAGTTGAGTAGACCGTTCTAATTTCTTATCATCTTCTTCGACATTTATGATATATATATATAGTTTTATGACCACTTGATGGATTCGGGAAAGAAGGAGGAGATACTGAAGCTGGTAGAGGTGAGGATGAGAAGCGGAATCTCGGAGACTAGCGCAGTGGAGATTCTGGCGGCGTACGGAGACTTGTACGTGGCGAAGATTGACGATAAGGTTATTACTAAGATGGGGCCGCGGCTGGATCTCGGAAACCTAATTCCGCCGGATTATAAGGTTTCCACCTCTGGAAGTGACTATGCCGTTTGGGAGAAACAGACCCATGGATAGATACTGATGCTTGATCAATTAATTAATTCATTGGCTAAATTGCATCAAATTTCTTATGGTTTCATAAAATTGTGCAAAATTTTTTGTATTTTTAAAATTGCATCAAATTTTTTATAATTTTATAAATTTTGCTTTTAATCTCCTCGGTGGTATTTATTTAATGATATTTGATCTAAATAATAAATTTTCAAAATTCAATTTCGAAATCCTTAAAATTATAAATTAATTTATTTTTCTTATATTTAGCATGAAAAAACAATAAAAATAAACTTTAAAAACATGAAGAAAAAAAAAACTATTTTTTAGTATATTTATTATTTTTTAGATTAAATATAAGAAAAAATGAATATATTTGTAATTTCAGAGGTTTATAAATTAAAATTCTAAAATTTATTCGCAATTTGGGCACATTTAGGTCAAATACCGTTACATAAGGACCGCCCGAGGGGTTAGACGCAGTTTATAAAACCATGATTGAGTTTAACACAACTTTAGAAATATATAAAATTTGACGCAATTTCATGAAATCACAGTTGGATTTGGTGCAGTTGGATTTGGTGCAATTTAGTCTAATTAAATTAATGAAATCTTGTCATTTGTATTAATTAATTGTAATGCAGCAGAGACCCGTCTGATTGGGAAAAGTTTTTAAAATTTTAATCCATTGGGAGATTGGATTGAATTTATACTATTCATTCAATTTTTTTCCCAAAAATATTAAATCAAACACTTATTTTTCATTTTTTATATTATACTAAAAATCAATTTTACATTCAAAATATCACATCAACACCTATTTATATCACATCATACAACTATTTAAATTTAAAATTTTTACTATTCAAATCCCAACTCAAAATCCAAATCCCCAAACAAACACACACCCGTCTTATGTCCGGTCCTGATATTAAGAAAAATCGAGGATGTGTTTTTTGTTTGTGGATTTTATAGGTTTTTACTATTCAAATTCTTTCTTTTCTTAAAAAATATAAAATAAAATAATTATTTTTATTTTTTATATTATACTACAAATTTTTACATTGAAAACATCACATCAATCTTTATTTATATCACATCACATAACTATTCAAATTCAGTTTATACTGTTCAAAAATCTAAACCCAAAACCTAAAACCCACAAACAAATACACCCTGAATATTTTATTAAAAAAATGATAAGTAGTTAAAGGTATTTTTAAAAATTTGATTATCAATTAAAGTAAACGAAGAAAAAAAAATATAATAAATTTATTGATATTTGTTTACTTTGTCAAAATTAGTAATTAGATGAATTTAGCCGACTGAAAAAAATGATAATAAATTTGGAGGATCGAAAAGTACTATTTAAACTATACAATTTTTTATTTTTTTTATAATACTTCATTTGTCCGTCCGTTATATTTAGTCCATTTAGATTCGGCACGGAAATTTTAAAAAAAAAAGAATATGGTAATGAAAAAGTGAAAGACCATAAAAAGAAATAGTTTGTTGTATTTTTTAAATTTTAGTTAATAATTAAAAAAAATAGAGAAACAGAATTGATAAAATTAATGACATTTGAATTTAAATAAAATCGCGTATAACTAGTACTTTTTGAATAAATATTTTTGAAAATAGTGTATAACTAAGATATATTTTCAAAGCAATTTCCTGATTTTTCCTAATTAATTTATTGTAATTTTATTATTTTTAATAAATATATATTTATTTTTCATACATAATATTATTATTTCAGCTAAAAATAACAAAAATAAAAATCTATAAAACAAAGACCAAACACACTCTGACGAAAAATGTTTTTTTATTATTATACATTAAAGTCGTAGTCATAATTTTGGAATATTGTAACCGATCTATTGTTTCCCATCCAATAAAAGTAAATTTATTTCTTTGCAGAAACGTCACGGCAAGAAAGATGACGTGCATTAATTCACTCATCGTGTTCACGTAGAATTTTTTTAATAAATATTATTAAAAAATAATAATAATATATACACGTACTATTATAATATATGTACTTTGTCCATTTATAAATAAAATCGACAATTCAAAATGCAATGGCAGGCGTTTTAGTTTTGAGTTTTGATTTTGAATAGTAAAATTTTGAATTGAAATAGTTGTTTAATGTGATACAAACATGTGTTGACGTGATGTTTTGAATATAAAAATTAAATTTTAATGTAACAAAATAAATAAAAATTGGGTGTTTGATTCAGAACCGTTCCTGACTTTCGAAGGGCCCGGAGCATATATTTTAAAAAATATTTTTTAATTTGGAAGGTACTTGGGTTTGAACCCAAAACCTCAAAAATAATATAAATAAAACTTAACCACAAAGTCATACTAATGGGCCCCAATTTAGATTGGGCCCTGGACGGTCGGCCCTTTCGCCCAGGTCCAGGGAGGCTCTGATTTGATTTGATGTTTTTTGAGAAAAAAAAAATAAAGTTAAAACAGTAAAATTAGGTGTAAAAGCTGACAAGTAATTATTTTTTATAATTGATACAATTCTTTGTCAAGCATAATATTGAACACTTATTCAGGTAAGAATTCAACCTTAGGTTATATATATCTTTTTACTATTTACTTTTCAAATTGTCTTCAAAACTAACACTTATTTTAAATCTTGTAAGTAAAAAATGTATTAGATAATATAAATGAATTTGCGTAGTGTATGGTAGAGATTAAAAGTAATAAATGAATAAAAGGTAAAAATGTAAAACTTGTGTTTAAAAAATGAAATAGGACAATAGTTATTGAACGTCCCTACTAGAAAAATAAGATATTAGTTTGTGGACAGAGAGAATATTATTTATTTATGTTTTCACGAGAGTCAACCAATATATCCATTTACGTGCCATTGGATGTACTTAACTATATAGAACTTGCACATTGGTGAATCTCAAATTTATTTATTTATATTTTTAGGGAAGTCAAGTGGCCAATTAGGGTGTGTTTGTTTGGAGGATTGGATTAGATTTTCACTATTCATCCCATTTTTTCTCCCAAAAAAATATCAAATCAAACACCTATTTTTTATTTTTTATATTATACTAAAAATCAATTTTACATTCAAAACATCACATCAACATCTATTTATATAACATCATACAACTATTCAAATTCAAAATTTTTACTATTCAAATCCCAACTCAAAATCCAAACCCCCAAAACAAACACACCCTTAATGTAATAAACAAACTTATGACCATAAAATAATGAATTGAAAAAAAAAAAAATAATGAGTTCAAACTTTATCAATATTTCATAAAATAATAGTTAAAAAATGATAAAATAATAAGTTCAAACTTTATCAATGCATTTTAAATTTTGTCATACATGATTTTCTTTTCTTTTATTTATTTATTTAATTAGATTTATCCAACTAGTGTGATTTAAATTTTGTATTAGTAGATTTTGTTTGAGTTTTAGGGATTTTGTGTATTTATTTGATAGGTAATAAAATTAATAATATAAATGTATAATATTTCTTCCGTCATATCTATTGTGTTCATATTGTCATTTTTGTTTATTTATATTTTATATTTTTTTTGTCATCCAAATATATTCTTATTTTTTTTATAAAATACAAAAAGAAATAAGAATAGATTTCAATGACAGAGTATTATTATTATTTTTTAAAAAAATTACACAATATAGAATAATTATTTATATTATAAAATAATTATTATTAATATATTTTTAATTATTTACTAATTATATTTCTCATAAATCTCATTTATACAGTGTCACTGTAGTTGAGACGAAGGGAATATAATAAATAAAATAAAATTTTAAAATTTAAATTAAAAGTATAAAATAAAAAATAAATTGTATGTGTTTTTTTTTTTTAAAAAAAAATTAAAATAAAAGTATGTGAAATAAAAAGAGGAATGTATTAGGCACTAATTTTAATAAAAATAAAAAAATATAAAAATTTAAGGATATTTTTTTGCTTGAAAGAGAAACAAGAATATATATATTTTTCTTTAACTACGACAAAAAAAAATTGAGTATAGATTTAGACGATGGAAGAAATAAATAAATTTAATATAAATTCAAAACTTTACCGTATTTAGATGATAATTATATTTATCTGTATTTTAAAGTTTTTTTCTTTTTTTTTTTACTTTATTCACGTCATTTCATTTAATAACATATTAAAAAATAATAATATTTTATTAATTAATAAAAAAAATATATATACGATATAATTATATATTTGTAGTTTATGAAAATGATATTTTGTTATCGGTACATTTTTTAACGTTTCTTTGACTTGTTCGACTGTCAGCCCACAGCAAGCCCAATTCTTGATTTTGATTTTGTTAGCCCTAACCCCCAAATCCAATTTCATCAACATTTCGTAAATCGTCTGCTTCTTCGGTTCCGTCGGAGGCTTTGTAAGGTCAATCGTTGAATTAATATATAATTGTCTGCTGTTTAATATCAGTCTAAGTGTAATTGTTTGCTGTTATTTAAGCTTATTTCATTTTCAATATATGGATCTCGGGGTATGGCCGAGTGTTTTTAGTGATGCTGTAATGTTATTTCTGTTTAAATTCATGTGCAAGTGCAAGTGTTTGTTGTTATTTTAATTCAATCTATGTTCATTTGGCAGACTGTTTGATGTTATATTGTTTCAATTTCAATTAATATGGCCAAATTGTTGCTTGCCAAGTTACACTGATATATGCCCGATCTTGATGTGTTTAATTTTATTTCAATTTCAATCTGAAAGATATCTTGTTGATGTTTTGAATGCATTTCAGCATTTGCTAATTTGCCTAATGTTCTGTTCCATTGCTATTTAATTCTGTTGTATTTGCTGTATTTGTGTTGTAACAGAATTGTTTTTCACCTAGATGCAGGTTAGCTGCATAGCGGAAACCTGCCGGGTGGTTTGAGTTAGGTCTAGTAACCACCTTTGCAGTGGGCCAGTCAGTTTGTGGGTTGCAGGCTACCCCTCTGATCCGGCACCTCTACTTCCATGTGTTTTTTCTTGGAAAATGTTCACAACTTGGATGATGTTTGATATCAGGTAAAATTTGCAGCTACACAAGACGAAGTTATGCACTCTTACATATCTGCTGTTGGATATTTCATTCAGACAATAGAATAGAAACTCCATTTCCGATTTTCAGTGAACTCTCCACATTATAAGAAACAGTAGTTCAAGATGAGGATGGTATTATTAACTTGTGAATAAGTGTTTGAGAAGAAGAAAAAAATTGAAATGCATTTTGAGTTTCACTCTTCAAATTCAGTAGCAGTCATGGGTAGCATTGGTCTCGAGATCCTTTATATGTTGTTTTATTGCTTCTCTATAGAGCTGAATATCAATGGTGAAGGGCAAGGCATGGCGAATCATCCCAAGACCTCTGTTGGAAACTGTGCTCAACAACCACGCGCAACATCACCGTGTACATCAACCTCTTGTCCTTCATGGTCCTCGTGGTGTTGGCAAAACCACCCTTATCCTTGAACGTAATGAAAACAAATCAATCTTCTGGATCACTACATCTATATGTGCATGTGTGCGTATTGACATTTCTGTAATTGCATAGAAAGATTGTTAATTGTAGAATATACTTATTTCCATGGAATTTGGAAGGAACATGTATGGATATGATTAGAATGAAATGGAGTTCAAGGGTGTTCAATAGCTTTGTTTTTTGACATATCGTATTATACTTTTGATTATGTGGGTGTGTCTTACCCTACTTTAGTAACTTCCTTATTTTCTTTAAGAGTATGAATTAGCCTCGTTTATCATATAGTTCTTAAGAGTTTGTATTATACATTTGATTATGTGGGTGTGTCTTACCCTACTTTGGTAACTTTCTTATTTTCTTTAGGGGTATGAATTAACCGTTTTTATCATGTAGTTCTTAAGAGTTTGTTACTTGTTTATAATTCACTGATTCTCAGTACTTTTATGAATCCTATTTACGTAATTGTTTTATTATGTCTCTTTTTCAGTATACCAAAAGCATTGCATATGACTATGTTCTGTTATACATTGAATGATATTTAAATATCAACATGTTTCCTTTGCTGTCAGTATGTTATGATTATAAGGTAGTTCAAGTGTGAGTCAATTAGTTAATTTTCAAATAAATAGCTTTACCTATAACCCAACTTTTCTTATTAACAGGTCTATATGAGAAATGGAACATTGGCCCTCATGTTACTGGTTATGTAGACTTTGCGGAGTCTGTAGAGGATTACCATCCAAAGCATGGTAACTCATATCCATGGGCATCATGGACCACTTGTTCACAGCCAAAACTTGCTACGTTGAAGGCTCAACTTGAACATTGCCTGGAATCCCTGACTCACAGGGCCATCAAACTTGGAATCATTAGTTCCCATGAAATATTTACTACTCTTAACAAATGGCATAGCCCAACCACTGCTCTCAACCAAATTTTGAATATGGACTCGAGTTCCAAAGTGCGAACCGTAAATAAGAAAAACAAACTGTCCTTATTAAATTTGTGGGATAGTGCAATTTTTAAGTTATCTGCTGGACTTAGTGAACATGAGTTAGATGGGGTTTTGGATAAGAGAATTACTGGAGAGGAAATATCATATTATAAAGAAGCTATAGTGGCGTTGAAGTTGGCCAAAGAAGTGATTCAGTGTCAAGAAAGGTGGAGGAAGAATGCCATTCTCCATATGAACAATGAGGGTCGATTTTCCAGGTCTCTAGCCAATTCAGCTACTGATTGGCCTTGTTTATTGATTGAGTTATTGTCGCTGGCAGCTGAAGTAGACTATTTTCAGGTAATTTTGTCTGAAATATTCAGCTAATTAGTCTGGTTAATCAAATCCTTCTACGATAAAAATTTGGAGGTCTAAAACAGGTGAAAACATAGATGATTTGTTTATTTCTTACCTTTTCATATGCAGTCAGTCTTTAATTAGCTTCAATGTGCATAGTTCCGTAGAAAATTTCACTAATCTAGATGCTTGATCCTTACTTGTCTATTAGTAGGTGTGTGTTATTTTCCTCATTTTCGATTCCTATTGCATAATGACATGGTCTACATCTTTATTACATCAGTGAAAAATACCCTGTCCTGTTGATTTTAATTCTCATTCTTCCCTGCTATTGCTTTTTATTGGGTATGACATACAAGTAGCCAAAGCTTGTGTTGAACAACATTGAAGTTCTGAAGAATGCTGTTTCGGAGGATGATAAAACAATATGCGGCTCAATGTACCATGACAGTCTGATTTGGAGAATAATAGCTTTGGGTGTAAATGAGAGGTGTCTTCCTGTCATTCTTGTGACATCTGATAGGTATTTTCCTACTCTGGCAGTCTGGCTTTGATATTATATATATATATATATATCTAAATTTGATCATGGTTGAATTAAGATGCACAACCTATTTTAGCCTGATTTGGTATTCTCTGTGGGCTTGTCTTGTTTGATATTTTTATTGGATTTTAGGGGAGGAGGAACCATGCCAATGAGTGTGAAGACCAATGACTCAAATGATGGTTTCCCGGAGATTTAGAAATGACTAGAATTCAAATGTTTAAAAATGAGCCTTCAAATCCACAGCACAGTCCATAGAATTTAAATTCATAAGAAGGCCAAAGTAAATTATTGGATTTGTGGTAGGAATTTGAACTATTTGATCCAAATTCATTGAATCAAATGGGCCTCTAGGAATTTCCTATTCATTGTGTATTTGACAAGACATAAATTCCTAGAACACACTATCATACCTCGTTTTCTAAAACTAGAATGAATCCACATGCCACAGTTGTAAAAGATGTAGTTCATAAAAATAATTACGGGTATAATGTTTAACTGTCCTGGATAGTTTTTTATGTTTCAGATTATGTCATTGTTCAACATGGCACTATATTCATGCTCAATTAGAAAATCTTACTCAAATTCCATGTATTCTTAAAGATGTGTTTCTCATACTAGTTGTTGAAGAAGCACTGCATGATACCTATTTAAGATATTAGAAAAAGATTAATGGACATACTTGCATGTGTAGTAGTACACTTTAACTAAATGTAAGTAGATCTCGACATTCAATATTGCATTGCAAGTAGACCATAAGGTTCGGGATGGGAGATGAGAATGAGTATGAGTTTCTGAGACAGTGTTCCATACTGACATGCATCAAAATCAGCTCCTACCTTACATAACAAGAATTAACGTTGCATTTTTATGCTTGTTGATGTAATAAACTATATCTTGGTTAAGATTGGCTGCAACAATGATTATGTCGTGAAATCTTTGTTTAAGTTATATCCAAGCATTGCCTTAGGGCTATTATTAACAGAATTTTTCTAAACTTTTAGACAAAAAACTTGAGTAAATAGATGAAGATGTTGAATTTTTATCTAGAAGTTCTTTAATTTACATATATTTTTGTATTTGATTCATTGTACCTTTCCCTTTTGTTTGATAGAATGTTTTGTATCTAATACTAACATATTTTCACATTCTGATATATATATATATATATATATACATAATGACAGCTATTACTCGTACAAAGCTTTTATAGATTTTGGATTTCCCGATCTTTTCATTTCTCGCGAGGTAATCTCTCTTTCTTTGTCTGTGTTTTCCCAATATTGTATTTAATTTTTGTTTGTTTTTTTCCTTTATTCTTTCGTGAAGGTTAAATATATAGAATGAGAACCACATTGCTACGCTTGTGGTTGTAATTTTAAAATTTGTTTCTATTAAGCTGAATTTTGTTTTAAAGGTTTATATCCATTTTATTCTGCAATAAAACTGTTTATATAACCATGCATGCATGATTGGTGATTTTCTAATTTCCCAGTCTAATATCTTAAATCAAGGGTCTAATATTTTTATATGTTAGTATGGTAGTATTATTAAGTTATTGTTAGAATTTTACATTCATTTTTGAGGATTCTGATGTCTTCATATCTTTATATTTATTTCCCTAATTCTATAGATCGAGTTTTCAGATAGTTCAATGAAGAAAACAAGTTTATTCTTCAATCAACAATTCAAGCATTGTGTTTATTTTGTAATTGCATCCACTTTGTACATAATCTGTAATTTCTGAATCTTCTATCTGTGCAATTCTTTGCATTGTCTCAATAAATGTATTTCCATGAATCATAATTCTTAATTAAGTATACTGATCAACACTAGTTTTTTTTTTTTTTTAGTTCAAATTCCCCGCATTTAACAAGTCTTATTTTCACACCTTGAAATGTGTGTAGTAGTTATAGGGTGTGCTTGATGTCTGTTTGGTTTTGGGTTTGAATTAAATAGTGATTGGATATGATGTTTTGTGAGAGTAAATAGTATATTTTTATAGGGAATCATAAAGGTTACATGGTAAAGAAATTGTAAATATATATATATATATATTCAAAGAGAACATAATAGCCTAAGATGTAGAACCTAAACACTGTTCCATTAGGAACAACTTGTAACAGACCAGCATATACAATGATCACACCTTTGAAAATTATGAAAGTGTTGTATTTCCTTTAGCAATTGTTGATATTCTGATTACCTCTATGTGGAACTAATTTCAGACATTTGGATGGACTCCAGAAGAAGCAAAGATGCATATGGTTGGTGATTACTTTAGCCAGCCTGAGGTATTATATTCCATTCATTTGCACTTCAGCTTCTGAAATTTATTTTTCATTCTCCAAAGTTTGCATGAAATAAGGAGTTGTGAGCAGAAGTAGGTTTGTTTGGTGAAAGTTTTTATAGGGTTATGGTGCACTTACACAAGTATGATTTTGAAAATGTGTTGTCTATTTTTATTCCATTAATTTCTCCTGTATCTGGCATAACAGAGGTTTTCATGTGAAACTCCCAACTATGAAACCGTGATGGTGGTGCAGAGTCAAATATTTTAAATGCTTGGACATATAATATTGCAACATTGTAAAATGGAAATTTTTCCTTTTATATTTACCTATTCTTTTAATACCAGATTTTTTCACCTCAGTTAAGGATGCTATCATCTGTTTCATCTTTACAAAACTTTCAGTTTGTTATACTTTGCTGCAACCATTTGTACTTCTTGTGGATCCATGCATAGGGCTGGAAACTTTTCAATTTGTTCATGGTGCTTATCCATTTGCAGTGGGATGTGATTGTTGAAGTTCTTGGGCCAAATCCACGTCATCTTTTTGAGGTTTACGCACTTAAGCAAAGTAGTTATTACCAGAAGTAAGTATCCTCTGATGGGCCAAATATTTTGTGCATTTGCCTATACTGTGTTTATGTTTGTTAATGCAGAAACTAACATGAAGCTTACCTTCTTGAAAAGAAAGCTCCATACCTTTTAAAATGAACATTTCTCTCCATACAATCTCCAGAGTATTCACCATTGAGCAAACTATTGTTGCGATCTTCCTGATTTACCTAGTGATGTGTTGATTAATTTTCATTTAACTTTTATGTGCCCAAAAGCCACCAGTAAACTGCACCCCGCCTGATTTGTAATGACCTCATGGACTTTAGAGTTTAATGTGTTGGCTCTAGATTTTCTTTATTGCTGTAGAGTTCATGTAATAATTATACTTATTGAAATGAGTGCATATTTAAAATAGTCCATCTATGTAGAGATGGATCAAATATTCTGAGTTGATAAGTTCTGTTGGTCGTGAGTACAAGTGAATTATAAAGAATCAAATCAAAATCACATTGGCCATCAAAGTATTGACAAATAATGCTGGCTTTTATCTTTTTGGATAAGATTTCTTTTTGAGAACCTTGAAGTGATTTGTGATTTGTAAAAGTTTGGTTATGCATCTTGTACTTTAAACTCATTAGTTAAGTGACTAGATGTGGTTTTTAAGTGAATTGAACCTTCGTGTTGCAGGGTTATGAATTATGAGAGCACAGTTGAAGATATTGTGGATCTCTATTTAGCATATTTGCAGGTTCTTCCAAATAATTGTAAATTATATAAACTAAATTTCCCACTTTCATCCATATCCCTTTTCTGACATTGATTTGTAAGATCTCATGTACTTTCTCTAATTCCTTATATATACTGTACTGCTATATTTATTTAAATGCATTCTGCTTTTTTGTTTAATTGGTTCACACCTATTCTAGTTGATGTTAAATATCATTTATGGAACTTTGGTATTTTTATGCCTTGAATAGATGTGTAGTAGTAGAACTATACCATATCAAGTTGAGTATCAGAGCATGGATTGAGATGGAGATGGTAGTGATGTATAGCCTGACTGGAATAAGGCAGGAGCATGGAACGGTGAAATATATGGATTATTCTTTAGTAATAGTGTTTTTTAACTTATGTGCTTTTCTTTGATGAAAATTAGACAGTATCATCTAGTGACAATAGTGCTATAGGAGTTCGCTCAGTATGAATTGGGAATCAGTATGACAGGTATGGATTGAGAATTTGGATACTTACTGAGAAAAAAAATTTTTGAAGATAGATTGCCAGGGGGATATGATATTAGATAGACTACAAAGAAGCCATATAACTAATGGTGTGTTCACTTGTGTTTTGTTTTTGCTTTTGTGTTTTTTTTTTTTATTATTTTGATGTTTTTGAGGTGAGATTAGTTGCTAGACGGGATTTTTCAGAGAGAAAATGGTAGATTTAATAGTAAAAATTTGGAAATAAAATACTAATAAGTAATATATGAACACAATGATCTAGATTATAGTGCTTCTTTTATCACTCTAATTTCCTGTACATTATAATATATATATATGATACCTATTATTTTAACAACACTTTTATCTATGCATGATGAAATTGTGTAATATGAAAACTGTGAAAATTCCAAAGATTTTGTTAACCCAAAAATATTTCATAGTGGGGTTGGGGAAGGTGAAAGGGGTAGTAGGTCCAACTTTGTGCAACATTGCAATCAATGCTAGAATATGTATGGTAAAGTGCTCCTGAGAGCATAACACCTTTAATTGTTTGAGATTTATTACTTCTTTCTAATTTCCCTCCCCTTTTACCATTGTTGATCCACAATAGGTAACTGTGGTCAATCCTGCCATGGATAAGGCATTGTTGCTCCTGGAGAAGTTTGCTGTTGATGCTCAAAGTGGAAAATTTTTGAAGGATAGATTACGATTTGGATCTCCTTGGAGGCATCCGCCTCAAAATGATATCCTTTCCTGGGCTAAAATTCAGCTAATGGATTTTGTTCAGTCCTTAGTTGTTGCAGAGTTTGGGGTAAATCAATCCATATAGTTTCTGTAGTATCTTGTTGTCCATAAAGCTGCATATGAACTGTTATTACCATTTTCTGATCCGCTTTCTCCAGCATTTGATGAAATGTATATCTGATTTGTGTCACTATACGATACATTGAAATTCTAAATTATATTTGTACCCATTTTGACTCATATAGTTAATATGTAAACTAACATAGAAACAAAGCATACAGAAAATATTTGTCAATGTGATGATTGGGTTGATATCCTGAAGCTTGGTACTCTTTTTCATCATATGCAGGTTAATTATTTTGCTGACTATAGTCTTGAATTTTTTGACGATCCTGCAGCTGTTGCATTGATAGAGGTACTAAAATCTTATCATTGTTACATTTGCTCTATGCTCTATGCTCTATGCTCTTTACATTTACATCCAACATTTTCAGAAACTCGATGTCTGTGTTTGTATTCCGTGTAATAGGCTAGACAAAATGTTGTTTATCAAAAATGTATCTTTAAATTAGAGCTGGTGGTTTTCATACTGTTTTTTTGCACTTCCCCACTATGGCCGATTCGTGTGCAAAGTGAAGTTTCTGATCGAGCTGCTTTTCATTTTTAGGTTGGTTTACTCTACACCCAAAGAGATCCATCCTTTGTTCGGCCCGTCAGCCGTGGTATTGAAAGATGCCTAGTAAGATGGTAAGAGATACTATTTTAAGATTTGGTTGGAGCTGAAGGAACCTGATGCAAATGTTTAATTGCTACAGGCTTGTTCAAGAACGAATAGGTTCGAGTTTTAAAAAGTCCCTCCAGTTCCATTGGCAACGAATTATACGAGGCCGCAACTATCGACATCTATTGCTACAAGAAGGATACAAATAGTGGATTGCAGTATGTATATACTAATTCATGTTTCAAAATAAAATTTTTAATGTTTGATGTGAAATTTCGTGCTCTAGCTTAATTAAGCAGAAAATTTGAACTTTGATTGTTGTTATTTTAAGATATTTTGTGGCTGGTTCTTTTCTCACCCGAGAGACTCTTTGGCGTGAAACTTCCCCACCAAATTGTTTGCTCCGACCTCTCGATCAGATGATATATATTGACGTAAGTTTTTGCTTCTGTTGAGCTCTATCGCTCCTTCATAAAGAATTATCAAAATCCTGATTAGTCCAAATTTTATTCGGAAGCGAGGCTGGCTTGAGTTGACCCGTAATCGAGAATTGTGATATTTTTCTCAAGTATAGGCTTTCTACTTTACATGCATTTTTGCTTTGCTGAATCATACTTTGACTTTGTTTTATGCTGCAGAGTTGTTCAAAGTTATTTATTGTAGGATCTGGTCGAATAAGAATAATTTGTTTTGGGGACGATCGATCTGAAGGAGTTAGTTAGAACACAAATGTTTGAATGAAGAAGAAGGGTGGTGACTGGGGAGAATGCAATAAATAATGACCATTGTTTACTTTACTTGACTGAAAGACTTGTTGTTTGATGGTAATAGTAAACAGAAACAAACAAGCAAGCATTTGTAGGGAATGTGCTTTATATCACCTCAAGACTCACACACTTCAGCCGTAATTTTATATATATATACACACACACAAATACATTCAAACCCAAGCCACGAGCCTCTTAAGAAGGATTCACCACTTGGCCATAAGCTATGACCGACCATTCAATAAATCTCAGTAGGAGACTGATTAGTGTTTTGATTGATGCTAATCAATATTGACAGATAATACATAATTGCCATATTTGTTGGACTATTACTACTGACCTGTCGCGCGGTCAATCAAATATTTCATCTACTCCGTGATCACAGTTTAATGTAATATAGGGGAAGGGATCGTCTCCACAGGGATTGTGTGATTCACTCTTTCGTGTTCTAATGCAATAAATAAAGGGGGATTTTTCTTTTATTATCTAATTAAAATAAAATAACAAAGCAATTAAATTAAAGGGGAACTGACTATCAAGGGATGTCTGGCTAAGGGATGATGCAGTTATGGCACTTGTGTTCTATCATTAATTCAATTAAATTAATTCTTATTAAAGTATCAATAAATTGGTTATAGTTATCAACAAGCTCTAACAACCAATTTTTCCTTATGGTGTAAGTAATTAAGGTACGACCGTTAACTACCCCTAATTAAGCAAATAAACCTAAGTGTGCCCATAAGAATATTGCCTAACCGCATTCTAATCTAGAAAAACCCAATTCAAAACAATTACTATCTAAGAGAAGCAATTAGATTTGATTGTCTAACCCTCGGGAAGGAACTATTCAACTTGGTTGTCACCTATTCAAGTGCGAATACAATTACGGATATCCTACTTGAATTGACTTTAGATTATCAGACTAATTTAAATATCGGTACCAAAATATTCAATCAATCTAACAATAATAAACGCTATTATCAGAATTAGACAAATATTGATAATCAAAAAGAACTTTTATAAAGAAAATCAAGAATCTTCAAAACAAAAGAACCAAAACATTATCACCCCTCAAACCAGAAAAGTATCTACTTCATAATTAAATAATAAAGAACAAAAGAGAAAGATGAAGTGATAGTGGGAGGGGGAAATCTTCTCTGTCGATTTGCTCGCGATCTATGAATCTGTCAGTCTTCTGCTCCTGTGTGTTTCTGCCCTAGCCGTCCTCCTTTGAAACGTGTGATCCCTCCTTTTATTTAATGTTTGCCCTAATTATTTTGTAGATGGGCTTTTGAGTCTTTAATTAATTTTATTTTATTTTATTTTTTTGCCAATTATGCCAAATTTAATATTTGTCCTGTGCACACTGCAAATAAACAATTCGCATATAAATTAGGTAGAATTCAATCAAAATCACCCAATTGCATATGATATGAATATAAAACGCATGCGATTTCTAACTATCAACTACTAGAGCGGTTAACGATCTGAGTCGAGTCGAGTCAAATTTTAAGTGGTCGTTAACATTTGCGAATAAGGCTCGCGTTCGTTCGTTAAGCTTTCGAGCTCGTTCGTAGTGTTCGAGCTCGGCTCGTTAAGAATTTTTATTGTTTGAGCTCGTGTTCGTATTTGGCTTGTTTAGGCTCGTTTGTCTTATTTTTTAAAATTTATATATATATTATAAAAAAAATTTAAAATTATTCTATTTATATATTTTAAATTAATATTTTATATATTTATAAATTATAATTTTATATGTATATATAATATTTATAATAAGTATATTATTTAAACAAACATTCGCGAATAAAGTTCGGGCTCATTCGTTAATCAAACGAATCTGTTTATGTTGTTCGATTCGGCTCGTTAACGTTCGCGAATGAGCTTTAAATGAGCCAAATCGAGCAGAGTTCACCAACGGCTCGGTTCGACAGCTCAGATTCAGATTACCAGTTCATATATTGTTAACATATACTCCCTTCATCCCAAACACCGTGCAATATTTGTGTTTGGCACGGAAATTTAGGTGGGGAGTATTAAGTATAGTAATTCGAGATAATTTGAATATTAAGTGATGTGATTGGAGAGAGAAATAATGGGATAAAGTGAAATGTATATTAATAGATGTATATAAATATTATTAATTATTTCTAAATTTGAAAATATTGCAGTGAATTTAGAACAAACAACAAAAAGGAAATGCTGCATGAGGGAGTATTTTATGATGTATATTCATACTTTACTGTTGTCTGGCAATAACTGATGTGTTGTCAATAAATTTATTCAGTACTGTATAGCATCAGCAGCCATGCCAACACTTATTTTCTAAATCTAAGATCAATGAATAAATGGCCAAAATTGTGTAGCAGGCAAAAATTAGAGCCAAGCAAAGGTACACTTACTCTCACAAGAATCGATCAAATATAGATTGAAACGATGAACTCGAATCATCGATCAAGACTTCATATTTTTGGCTTCTGATCATCCTCTGGTATTACAGCATCTTCGTCGCGAAGATTAATCTGTCCTGAATTATACATATAATGAAGAAATTTTGTATCGTTTATAACTACATATTATTATTATTAGTATTAGCTTTTTATAGCAAGAAAGCATACCGAACAATGACGTTAATGACGGAGGTTTATAGGATGCATTTGAACCCACGTCGATTCCTGCATTGTCAAGAAATGAAATAAGCCGACATTCAATAATGCCACAGGCAACCGAGGTAGAGATAGTTTTGTTGGCTCATAATCCAAGTGATTTTCTTGTTGATACAACTAATCTCAAGCAGTGTTGTTGAACATACCTGCCGTTTTAGCTGATTTAAGGAGATCCGATTTCTTGAAAGTGTATCCGATGAAATTGGCATCTTTCGATGTCAACATCTGTTCGTTTAGATGAGGAAACACCGAGTCAAACCCAAGTTTCATCAAACAATACAACAACATAAGAGTACTAAAATTACGACTAGTAGTTCGCCACCAAAGGTTGAAGCTCTATTCTTTTCGAGTTCTTTTTTCTAAAAAATATATATATATATATACATATACATTTTCTATATGAAAACATCATATCCAACCACTATTTCACCTAAAAAAGTGAAAAACAAAACCTATAAAATACAAACCAAACACACCTCAAGACTGATGAATGATGTAAGTCATTAAATTAAAAATCTATAACAGTGGCTAAACAGCAAGGATTCTTGAATCAACATACCTTTAGATATAAGTATATAGATAAATAATTTTGTGATGTGATAGTCGATAGCATTACCTTTCTCCAAGGTCCTACTTTTGGCGAATTCGACGGAGGAATTTCTCCCTGAGAAATAAACCAGAAAAAAGGAGCACAAACATTAGCTCATTCGAAACCACTGAAATTATCAAGCAATTCACAAGTGTTCGTATAATGGTAATGTTGTATTGGCAAAGGACTTACTTGCTCGAACTTTTCAAAATTCTGCGTGTCCAAATCACCATTGACGGTTGGTTTGTAGGCAGCTTCCATTTCATAAAGATTGTCCCATTTCACGCCGCTAAACCACGGATGTCCCTGATACAAAAAGCAGCCTCAGATGTTTAGGAATGTGACAAAAGATAAAAGGTTTGAGGCACCCTTCCTTTAGTGAATATACGAAAACCATGTACAAAATAAAATGTCAAAAAGTAACACAAAAATATTTCACTATTTTTCATTCCAAAGTGTTTCGAATCGGGAACTAATATATATATACCTTTATTTCTTCCACTCCTCTGGTCCCCAACCTTTTGTCAACATCACATAACAAACAACAAATAAGATCCCTTGCCTCATCAGAGATTTTTGGTTCTTCCGGAAACTTTAAGCATGCTTTCCAATTTATTATCTGATAGAACATGTCAAACACAATCCCACAGTTATATGAAAAACAATTGTCAATTGCTAAGAGTATTGAGATACTTCAGATAACTTGAATTGCTCACTCCAAAACACGAATACGAAAGAAAAACTAATTTGGGTAAAAAAGGAAACTGGTTGCAATCTCTAAAATGGCTTAAAATCGAAATTTAGCCCCTGTTACCTTACGGCAAGTCATCCTAGGATCATCCGAACAAAAGGGAGGGTAGCCTACGAGCATCTCGTACATTATTGCACCCAAGGACCACCAGTCACATTCCATTCCATATCCCTTTTTCAGTAAAACTTCTGGTGCCATATAATCAAGAGTTCCTACAGTCGAATACGCCTGCCAGAGGGTAAAAGAGCCGAAATCAATGATCATGCATGAAACTACCCGACAGCATAGAATACAGAGTGAAGAATTTCAAATGAAGGAGGCGAAAGTTTACAAGAACACGGCGATTGCGTTTCCACTGCTGGAGCTGCTCCCTTGCCATCATCCATGGAGCAGTATCTGTGCCGGAATTCCCATTGGCCCCATCTATTGAATCTGGAGAGACAAAAACATCGTCTTGCAACAGGACTGACGAGTACTTCTCCAGTGGCTTACACAAGCCAAAATCAGAGAGCTTCAGATGTCCATTTTTGTCTAATATCAAGTTATCTGGTTTTATATCCCTTCAGAATGAGGAAATTAAAATTCATGGCTGGTGTCAGTATTGAGTGAAAATCGATCGATGTGATTGTACCTGTGTATGTAATTATGCTGGTGAATTGAATGGATGGCTAGAATGCTCTCTGCCATGTAAAAGCGAGCAGTATCTTCAGAAAGGATATCTTCCCTCATCAGTAAAGTCATAATATCGCCACCGGGTAAATACTCCATGATAAGATATAAGTAATTGGCGTCTTGGAATGAATAGAAGAGCTTCACAATGCACCTACTATCGACCTCCACGAGTAAATTTCTCTCGGAACGAACATGCTCAACCTGTATAAGGTATCAACTTTAGAGAGTGTCATCATGCTCACACTGACTTCTTATACATACAACAATTATATATCCAAAACTATCATATGCTCCGATTTAATCCCTACTGTATTTCTAACCTGACCACGGCTAAGCATCTCCGATTTTTTCAACTTCTTCATAGCATATACTTCTCCTGTGCTTTTAGCACGACATAGCCTGACCTGCATCATTTAATCAGGTTGCAATTCGTCATTCATGTTCGACTATGACCATTAGAGAAACTATAGATATAGACAACAATTCAATACATATCCTCATCCCTATCTATTAAAACTTTTACCAGACTCAAACAATCTACATGGAATCAGAGCGGGACATCGAGCGGTTAAATCTCTAGTCATTGAACAACATAAAATTGCATCTTGAAGAAAAAAATGATAACAAAGTTAAGGCACAAATATAGCTAAATCTAAAATAACATAGATAAGTCAATTTAATGCAATACAGAAACCTCCTTAACACAAAGTAGAAGAGCATTCCTCGTTTTTAATTTTAGTGTGATCAAGATTTCTTCGGGACTCAAAGAATATAGTGTCGAGTTATAATACTAGTTAGAAGGTCCGGAGTGCACACTCGTATAATCCGAACCCAAATTAATCCCAATGGCAATCAACCTGTTATAATTTCATATCCCTGGCCATTTACAGAACAAGGAACAAATCAAACAATCCGTTTTAGACTCGATTTTCGCTAGCATTCTTAAATCCATAGTTGGATTGTTTCAAAGTTAAATTCGTGTCAACTTTTGGAAAGTGTTCATTGCACGATCTAATCGATTGTCCAGTTTGTCGATATCATGTACATGTACATGTATGTAATATGCAGATGCAGAACCAATATATGATATGGAGAAAAATCAGCATACCTCACCGAAAGCTCCTTTACCAATAACAGTTAATTGCTCAAAATCATCAATCCCTACTTTGTGCCTCTGCAATCTCATGAACTCTGTTTCCCTCTTCTCCAAATTCCTCAGCATTCTCTCTTCTTCCTCAGTAGACACTCGAGCTTCTTGTGCCCTCCTCTGCAATGCCGTCCGCCTAAAATGAAATCGACCAACAGCCTCTTTTAAGAACACATTACAGTTCAAAAATCACAAAATCTGCCGATCATTCTCGCCAAATTCAGTCACGCTTCTGCAGAATTGCAAGTGAACGAAATACAAGCAACGTGTGAAGTTAGATTTACAAAATGAAAGGAATCAAGTTAACCTTTCCTTGCGATCCTTCAATCCTTGCAGGTAATTTTTGTAATGATTCTCAATGAACTGCTTCGCCGCCGCCGCTTTCTGGCGTGTGACCGGCGAAGAAACTGCCACCACATCGGACTCCAAAAGGAAGGACCGATTCGTCTGCAGCTGCTGCACAGGTAAATCCTCTTCCATTCTGCTTCAATCGATCAATCGATCAATCAATCAATCCAAAAAGGCACTAATAACTGAAGATTCTGGAATAAAAAAGCGGCAGGCTCAAAATGGCAGAGCATCAAAAGCGAGACAGCTGAAACAGCGGAACTCGAAACGATTAACGAACGGCAGTATATGGCCAGGCCCTAGCAGCTTCCCAGTTCTCCGAATTTACGCCAGTTAGTCGGTTTGTTTGCTTGTGTGAGACTGAGGCAGGACCTGCCGGTGGTGAAACAGATGAACAGGAGCAGATCTAGCTGGCCTGTAAGTTGATGGCTTTGGATGCGAGCGCAATAAATAAAGTAATGGTGGAGGGAGCTGTGTAATCTGTCTGTCTGTCTGGCAGTCGGCGGTCGACATTGAACAATGGTGTTGCTGTGGGATTTGGAATATGCTGGCGCCAGCCACCTACGTACCTCTTTCCTTGTATTCCATTCCTGGCAAATATACATCGCCATTAGAGGCTGCTTGCCAGCTTGTTTATTTGGTTGGACTGTTTGGATTGAATCGGTCTCTCTCCTTATGATTTTTCAAATAACTTTTTTACTATGTTTTCTACGGATATATTTATCTTTTTATTAAGGGTGTGTTTGTTCGGGGATTGAATTTTAAATTACTATTGATCCTATTTTTTTCCTCTCAAAATATCAAGTCAAAATATTTTTTTTTATATTATACTAAAAATCAATTTTATATTCAAAATATCACCTCAACGCTTATTTATATCATATTATACCACTATTCAAATTCAAAATTTTTAATATTTAAATCAACTCAAAATCCAAACCCAGACCAGCACACCGTAATGTATTTATTTTTTATTTTAATATTGTCACAAAGCAATGTATCCGCTGTCATTGTACTATTTAAAAAATATTTACTCCCTCCGTCCCAAAAGTAAAGTGTTATTGTGTTAGGTACGGAATTTAAAGAATATTAATATTATATTGATAGTGGGTAAAAAGTGAGGATAAATGACTTTTTGAATAGATGGGTGCAACCACTGTGAAGGAGAGAAAGTGTAGGCTACTGATTGAGTTTGAGAATACTTTTCATTTACTGTAGAATACTAGGGGAACAAAATCTGCAACGTAGCTTCATAGGCGTTGACTATACGTATATCTCGCTCATCCACCATTCATCTTTTGTTTGTTACTCTGCCTCTTCGCCATCAATTATTTCTTATCTTCCATTCGTGTTTTTTATTTTTCTCCCAAACTTTCTTCACCCCTTTGTCGCAGAGCAAAGATCGTGGGACTTTAGCGATTTCGTCAGTGAGTGAAGAAAAGAATTGCCGCAAAGAATTTCGAGGGATGCACGTTGACAGGGAATAGGGTTTCCGGCGGTTGAACGTAAAGAGGTAAGGAAAGAACTACATTTCAATTTGAGATTAATTGGTTAGTTCATTTCCTAAATTCGTGCAATTTTCAATAAATCTATGATAGGACCAGCGTACACACCAATCCGACGTTGCCTTCATTCTTCACTAAGGGTTTCATATGGAAGCCAAAAGGATATGGGTAGCTGTGCACGGCCGTGCAGTTATACGGGAAGCAACCACTTATACGGAACGAGCACGACCGTGCAGTTATACGGGAAGCAACCACTTATACGGAAGACTGTACTTGATTGATTCTATTATGCTGCTTTTGGTGTTTAGTAAAGTACACAACAAACAACAATCAACCACCGTCATGCAAATGTGGCTGCATTTCCCTGCCTGGTGCATTTAGTATAGTTTCCGAACAACCACAGACTCATGCATAGCCGTGCACACGCTTGTTCATGTAACTGTAAGCAAGACTTAGAAGTAAATCACTCTTCATATATATTCTATTACTTTTATATTTAATATAAATTATTTTTAATTAAATTAAAAATTTTATCACTCCAATCATCACCTATCAAATCACTATTCAATAAAACTTTTCAAACCCTAACAAAATCTACTACACCAAATAAACATGAATTCTCAAAACTTCTAAAAAATTTAAATCCAAATTAACTCAAACTCAATCTTCCCAAAACCGTCGTAAAAAGACACACCCAAAGTATCCCATTGATAAGGATAAAATATAAAAATAAAAATAAAATGTATTATTAAAATTTATAATTTAATTTTAAAATTAAAATTAAAATTAAATTGAATAGTTATAAAATATATATAAATTAAAATTTAATAATAATTGACTAATATTTTAAAATATGATATTCTCTTAGTTAAGGATTATTAGCGAATCAAAATTTAACAAAAGAGAGATTGACTTCGAGATGTCATATTTTTTAAAATTTTACAAAATAATAAATTACAACAACGTCGATTACATATTGCAATATTCATTTTGATATTATTTGAAATTCATAAGTATTTTTTATTAGAAAAAAATTTTATTTTAAAAAAATTGAAGATTATTTCTTTTTTCTATGTGTTTTGTCAGGATTTTTTTAATATTCTTTTTACTTTTACTAAAACTACTTTTATCTATGTGTTTCGTTAGAATTTTTTTAAGATTCGACACAAAATAGATAATTTTGTTAAATGAATATACTACTTTTATTTAAGAGCTCGGCTATTTTGTCCTTAGCATGTACAAAAAAAAAAATTAAAAATTCATCAAATACAAACCTTTTTTTATTTAGGTCATATTTGTAATGCTATATGCTCGTCACTAGGAAAGTTGGGTTATTTGTTTTTTGTGATAAAGATAATTGTATTGGTAATATAAAAAATAATATTTTATGTCGAATAATTGACTTTTTTATGAGTGAATAATATATATACTTCTTTCGTTCCATTGAAAATTTGTCATTTTTCATTTTCGTCGATCCCAAAACAAAGTTACTATTTTCTATTTATTAATTGTATTATCTATCTAACATAATAAATACCCTAATATTAAAAAATATACGTGAAAAAATAAACGGTAACCTTTTTGCATGACGGAGAAAGTATTATATTAACGTGTGTATATTTGTATTTTTTTTAATATTTTATAAAAAATTATTCTAATGAAAAATGTTGAAAGAACAAACTAAAGCAATGATTATTATAATACACACAACACTTCTGTCTCAAAGAAAAAAAAAGGAAAAAAAAATAAAAATCAATCCTACTAAATTTGACAAAAAAAGCATAGAAATATACATACTAAATAAAGTAAGTAGTAGTGCATGTGCATCTGGGTGATTCACTCTCACACACCTCTAGCTGCATTTGCATATACTTTTACAACATCTACAAACAAATAAATACATTAAAAAAAAAAAAAAAACCCACATACTAGCTAGACTTATATATATATATATTTACATTAATAATATTATTAATTCAGTAATTCCATTACCTACTAATTAGGGTAGGTACCTAGTAAGGCCCTGTCTGTGTCCTCCTCAAGCGCTGCCTCCTCTTGCATCCTGCTGCATTCTGTTGCTTCATCATCTCCATTACCTGCTTTCTCTGTATTTCCACTATTTCTGCCTGCAATAATTCATTATGTAAATAAATAAATAAATAATTCAAATCAGCATCACGCTTTCTTTACCTGCTTCTGCTGCAATACTTCTTGCTCCTCCTTCAGCTTCGCAACTTCTGCTTCCAATTCCATCGTGTACGCCTGCAACAACGAATCCATCCTTAATTCATCATATCCTATTTCTAGCCTCTACGAAAATCGAACCAGTGGACCAGATTTTATGACCTGCTTACGTGCCCTCGATCGCGCCGCCGATTCTCGATTCTTGATCATCCTCCTCTGCCTCCTCTCCACCGCCTTCTCTATCGTCGCGCTTCTCCGGCCCCGCACACCGCCGCTCAACATGTACGGCACCGGAGACACCGATGACGTGTCGCCGCCGCTGCTCTTCCCAAATCCCTCCGACGATAGCGCCGCCGGCGATCCCCCGGCCGCTAAACCAACCACCCCCGCAAGCCCCCCCTCCAATGGATTGCTCGCCGCCACCATCCGCGGACTGCTCAGCTGAGTTCCGCCGCCCGACCCGTACGCCATGGCGGCGGCGCCGCCACCGCCGGGCTGTTTTGGAAGGATATGTTGCTGTTGTTGAGGCTGAGGCTTTGGAAAGGATTGGCTGTCGATTTGCGCTCCGGCGGATCTAATCCCATTTACGCCGAATGGTAGGTTTCCGTCCGCCGCCTGCGGCGGCGGTTGGTGGTGGAATTCGAATCCGAGAGCGGCGGCGCCGCCGCCGCCGCTAGATGAATCCCGGAAAAATCCAAGGTTATTTTGCAAGTGGGCGTCCTCTCGGACGACGCCGGCGCGCATTAAGAACTCTTCGATTGTAATTTCGCCTAACGTCGGCTGCCGGTGGGGCATACCGAAGGCGGCGGCGGCGCCGCCGCCGCCATCCTTATACATGTTGCGCCAAACCTCGTCGACTGTCTTGTGGCTGAGCGTTCGCGGCAGAGTTAATGATCCTTGTCTCTGCAACGCACCGCCGCCGCCGTATTGGGCGGCGGCGCTCGGCCCAATGCCGTGATTTTCCTCCGCCGTCCATATGTTTCTCAATAGCTCGTCCATGTTCATCGACCCGAAATCCTTACCGGCGGCCCCCACCGTGCTCTGGAACTCGTCGAATGTTAACGAGTACACCGACGACTGCCGTGCCAGCGGCGGCGGCGCCGCCGGAGGTGGATCGTTTCCGAAATTCTTAAAATTCATATCACTAAAACACCAATGTAAATTCTTATAATTCGATTCCGCCCCCCTTTTCTTTATCCCTTTCTAAAACCTAAAATCAAACCAAAATTCAATTCAATTCGAATTCCAATAAACCCTAATTTCAAAAAAACACCTCTCTACCTTCCCCCATTTCACACACACTTTAACATCCGTACGGTCAAACAAACACGCCATAAGAGAATTATAACTTCAAAATCATTGAACAGAAGCATAATTACAGAAATCAAATCAAAGAAGAAACTTACTAACCTTCAATCGACGAAATATCCAAAAGTGGAGACTGAGAAAGAACAATTATAGAAAACCAAAGCAACAGACAGATAACTGAAAAAGCAAAAAATCTCCCAAAATGGGGGAAACGCGGAGCTGCAGCAGCGCACGAAAATTTCCATTAACAAAAAAGGACAGAAATGTGGGTAGACAAATTTAACAAAAAATTAGGTTTCCCTTTCAGGCGTCGACATGTGTCTCACCGATCGGAGTTTTCAGACAGGGAGGAGACTGTTCGATATATGATATAATAATAATTAATTAAAAACCCTAATGGTGAGAATAAATCAATATAATAATGGGCCGTGGGGCCCACAGGGTTGAGTCGTGGCCCAATCACTGTGGCGGGTCGGTGTCGCATACGACCAACGGAGTGATGATAAGTGGGAAGATCTGGGCCGCACACGTATTGGGAGAATGGACGGTCGGATGTTATTTTGAGTTTGGGTTGTCGTTTAGTGCCCCTGTGACGTGGCGACGGGTGAAATGGTGCTCCACTAAATGCGGATAATGTTCACATGATTCCGAGTACAAATATCTCAGTAAAGGGTACAATCACCTACAGCAGTTTGGAGTTTTTATTACTGTTTGAAATGATACATTATTTTAATAATAGTGACCGAGTTTAAAATATCCATATAAATAGAGCTACTATTCTCGTAACGGTTTATTTTTAATTATTTTTAATTAAATATATATTACATAATTATCCAAAACAACATCTTAAATGTCCAATTTAACCAAGGATGGCGTGGTGGCGTTGAGATTGGACGTGTGACAAAGTCGGACAGATCTTGCAGGTATTAGGTTCGGTCGAAGATTTACTACTGTAGATACGATAATTTGTAAAAATAATTATAAATTAAAATTAAAATAACTAAATATTTTAATTAAGTTTTAAAAAAATTCTAAAATATAAATACAAATTATATGGAACAGATGGAGAAAGTATTATTCTAAAAATTAATTTTATATTTAAAACATCACATCAATACTTGTTTATATTACATTATACAACTATTTCAATTTGTTCAAATCTTAGCCTAAAATTCAAAATCTCAAACAAGCACAGCCTTATATGTATATATATATATTAGAATAAAAGTAAATAAAACTATACTCTAAGTTCAATATAAATATGGTTTTATATAAAAAAAATATTCACTCTATCTCATAATAAACTATCCAATTTTTTCATTTTAATTCGTCTTATAACAAAATATTCATTTTATTTTTTAATAATCGTACTATCTATCTAACATTACAAATACTCTTACAATTTACATCATATTACACAAATGTCATTACCTTTATATCACACGTACTAATAATGTTATTTTACTCATTTCTATTTTATTTCTACTATATTTTAATATAATATTAATATTTTTAAAATTACGTGCAAAAAGCAAATAAATATTTACTATGAGAAGTAATATAAATCAATTTTAGTATAATGATTTAAGAAGTTTTGAATATACACAATATTCAATAGAAAAATTAGATAAAAATAAAGTATTATAAGTGGATTTCACATATATTTTAAAATAAAAATTTAAGATTCAAAAGTATTTGGAGCATAACACCGACTATATTTGAAACATTAACAAAACTCCCACTTTATTAAAAAAAAAAATAAAAAAAATAAAATCTTAAAAAAATGATTTTATAGTCAATTTCACGGTCTTATCCTTCTTTAGTAAAATGGGCCATCAAATTTATGTCCTAACGGCCTTTCTAAAAGCTACCTAAGCAAAAGTTATGATAAAATCCTTATTTATTTATTTCAAGTTATTTATTAGTGATTATGCAATCCACTCATAATTGGTACATGACACTTCTAGTAGCATTGTAGCTTATCACTTATTTTGGGTGTGTTTGTTCGAAAAATATAAATATATTATTTATTTTATTTTATTTTATTTAAAATATCAAATCAGACTTCTATTTTTTATTTTTTATACTCTATTCGTCCACACACAAAATAAACGTTTATTTTTGACGCGGTGTTCAAGAAATAATAATATTTTAATTATAGTGGGTAGTTAAAAGTAGTGTAATGATATTTTTGTCCTTGCTTTTTGGTATAAAAGTAATGATGTGATATAAAGTAAGGGTATTTATGGAAAAAAAGTGAAATATTTAATGAAATGATTACTTTGTAATTGGACGTTCCAAAAGAGAAATATGTATATTTTGCAGTTGGACGCATGAAGTACTAAAAATCAATTTTACATTCAAAATATTACATCAATACCTATTTATATCGCATCATACAATTATTCAAATTTAAAAATTTTTATTATTCAAATCTCAACTCAAAATCCAAACCCCCGAAACAAACACATTCTAAATGTATTTTGTTTTTTATTATGAAATTTGGATGGGGATTGTTTGGCTGTGACGACTTTTTTTTAGGTTTGTTTATTTTTAAAATTATAATTAAAACTGAAACTTTATTCATCCAAACATATTTTTACTAATACAGGTTTCAATATACATAATAGTTATGTTTTTTTAACATTATTTTTTAATTACAATTTCCAAAAATAATAATAAAGAACATAAAATATTTTTTATAAAAGTAAAAAAAAAAATCTAAATAATATATTCAATTAAAAAATTAAATATTCAATTTAAAAATAAAATATTTTATATATTAGACAAATTGTTTGTATCATCAATTCATCTAAAGATATGAAACCATATATATTATTCTATCCGTTCCAGATACCATGTCCACGTTGCCGTTTCTGTCCTCCCACATATTATATCATTTTTCTTTTTTGGAAAATGATTACACACTTTTAATCTCATTTTAAACTTTTTAATTTTTTTTTAAATTTTAATTAAACTAATTAGTTATCTTAATTTTAGTTTATAATTATTTATATTATAGAATAATTATTTTCATTAATACATTCTTAATTATCTACTAATTACACTCCTCCTAAAATACGAAGACACAGTTTGTGAGACGGAGACTACCTCTTACAAAAAATTAATATTTTATTTAAAATATATATATATATATATTTTATATTAACTAGGTATCTCATATTTTATATAAATAATACTTTAAACTAAAATACTAAACAAGTACACATTTTAATCAAAATATTTTTAACCATAGATATGCAAAAATGATAAAAAGACAATAATTATATATTAAATTATCTTATATTAATATTTGTAAGATAATTTTGATATTTTTTATGTTTTATGTATATGTGTAATAATATATTTATAATGTATATAAAAAATAAAAATATTTTTATATTAATATGTGATTACTTTTGAAATAATAAAAAAAATGATATTCAAGTAAACAAACAAAAATAATAAAAAATATTTTAAATTAAGATTGAAAGAGTATATTTTTGCTTTATAAATATTAATTAAAAAGTATTGGCTATAATTTTTATTTGGACGAAGAAACCCAAAACTGCATGTTAGTAGAGTATTATATTAGAATACTTTCTTTGCTAGTTATGTAATATATTTTTAATTGAAATAATATTCGTAATGTTACATAGATAATATACTGTTACTAAAAATAAAATGAATATTATGTTATAGGATGAATTAAAATTAAAAAATAAATAATTTGTTATGGGACATAATAGTATTTTTCATTAAAATTATCATATCCAATGAACTATGTCATTGGATCACAGGTTAATCTCACAAGTCACAATGGTTCATTCATTCATACGTATCTTTTTACCAATCCTGCGTGTATATATACTCCGATTCGACCCGAACTCGAACTCGATTCTTCGTCGACAACGTCGAGCTGCCAATAGTTGCATAATACCATCACAATTCACAACCAGTACTGATAAAATCATCATAAAGAATCACACATATATATCCATATATATATATATATATATACATAGCAGAAACTACTAGCCTTGCAACATCGACTCATCCTCTCGAGAAAGCCGGAGATGTGTACTTGAGGATGGCTTCAAGTATCCGTTCTTTATCCCTCGTCGGAAATGCCTCCAACATCACCCCATTTTTGTAGAAATGGAAGAGCGGGACGCTCTGTGATTAACCAAAACAATTCTAATGCCGAGTCTTCAAAATGACGAAGCATATACCTATTAATTTTCATGGAATCGAAGTAGATATGTGCAAACTGAACGAGTTTATACCATCTAATCCCCGTTCGATAATGAATGAGCTACACTAATCTATAGTTAAAAACCGATGTTGGGATTGAATGGTTAAACCAATCGAGTTCATGTTTGTTCTATATATTTTTTTCAAAGGCCAAAATCAATTCATGTTGAGGGATAAATGTTTTGCAATATATCTACAATTCATTTGACAATTTCTCCATATTCATTCTCATTTCATTATTCGGCAAACCAAAACTTAGTTCGAATTCAGCATGTTTACTATTTTCAACCAAGCTCTATAATCATGAACAGGAATGAATTGAAATGAACTGAGAACATTCCTAGGGTTCGGTTCAATTAGCAGCTCTACTTAAAATTTCAAAACAAAATTGCTCATAATTTTTAGAAATTTTGCAACATTCTCCTTATCATTTAAAAATTGCGCAATATTCGCTCATGTGTTTAAGAAACATTACCCAAAATCCCCAAACATCTAAACTTAATAGATTGGTGGAGGCTATTGTTGTTTGAGAATCATAGTTTGGGGATTCTGTACAATGATTTTTAAAACACCAGAGAATATTGCGAAGTTTCTAAACTACAGGGAAATGGTGTAGACTTTCCAAATCATAGGTGAGACATAAGCAATTTTGCAAAATTTTAATTTCGAATTTGCTTGATTAAAGTCACGTGTACCACATTTTCTCTAGAGGTTGCAGAAAACCGGATAAATGATAATAGATGAAATTCAGACAAAGTTAAGTATCGCAGTTTACCCTGATGCGAAGTCGGTCGGCAACCTCAGACTGTTCATCATATTCATCGAGTACCTGAAGTAGCTCAGAATATTAGCATAAGACGAATTAACAAAAATAACCAGCACATGCATGTGAGCCGGTTTCAATAGAGAGTATAGAAATACAAAATCGATTGCAGTTACGCTCACGTTGTGTTTCAAGAAAATAACTGCAGCTTCATCATCCCCGGATCCCTTGCAAAGTTTAGCAAAGCCCTGTTCGATGTATTTGCAGCTTCCACAAGAAGTTCGGTAGAAATCTACAACAACTAATGCATTTGTTTCTTTGGCCTTTTCAAGAATCCTCAAAAACTCCTCATCCGTCTTAAACTCTCGTACACACTCAACAGGACAAAGCTCGTCATCGTTGTCATCAGATACCTCTTCAAGATTTTGTTTGGCAAAACATTTGATATTTCTAGAGGGGTTTATAATCAAAGTCTTCTTCCTCACAGTCTTCAGGGAACACGGGTTTATGATACTACTTTGACTCGAAGAGATATTACCAAATACCATAGGATTCCAAAAATGCACGACCCCGTTGATTACTGTCGTGAAATTTAAAGCCGCTGGCTGATGAAGAATACGGTGTTGTTGCATGATAAAGTAAAGAAGACAACAACATCAAACTCATCCAGAAGAAAATGGAAAATAATAGATCACTCCAAGCCTCTGACAAATAATCCCAGAAGACGATAATAGAGAAATGCCCAGTACTTCAAGAAAAATCCCTTATCCTGCACACAGCTGATAAATAACCACACCGAGCAAGATATCTCTTATTTAGTTTGTCCGCTAAATTTATCTTATTACTAATTTTGGCAAAGTCAACAAATAACATTTAATTATTACCCTCTATTCAACACTTGTTTACAACAAATATCACTAAATTTATTACATTCTCTCTTTATTTACTTTAATTTCTAACTAAATTTCCAAAATACTCCAACTATATGTCACTTTTTCAATAAAATATTTATTTTTCTTAATATCCGTGTCAGACTAAATTGTGCTCATTTTAATGGACAGAGGGAGTATAAGGGAATGAACAATGCTATTAACACTTATTCACATGAAAATCGAATTGTAGAATCATAATAAATTCAATGGAATGTAATGACAGACACAAGGCATCCTATAGACAATGATGACTTTGTTATATTCCAAATGACTTTATAGTTGCATCTTAAAAATCTTAAGATGCTATAAGAATCTTACAATATGAACAGCACCTTCCTGCTAGCATTGAAACTAGAATTTGACACATATGAATGGCTGTTAGAGTGACAATGTTGAACATAATTAGCCAAACAAGCTATTTAGATTTGAATCACCATTACATCATGCCTGTAACATAAGCATTTTTTATCCATGTTGGGCAATTAGTCACTCCCTTACCAAACCTTCGTGCTAACCGTGAAACTAGAATTTGACTCGACGACCTTGATGAATGGCTGTTAGAGTGCCCATGTTGAACATAATTAGCCAAAGGTATTTAGATTTGATAGCATGCCTGTAACATAAATATTTTTGATCTACATTGGGCAGTAATCACAGCTACTCACCCCTTTTCTTTTCGATCAAATTTAACCTAATCCCCAAATTGATTTAGATATCATATGGAGCACAATAAACAGGGAATTCGACTAAAGCTAGAATCATCAAATTCGGAGTCCCTCAAATATAGCAACAACAGAGACTCACTTTTTTTTTTTTAAGGAATATGTAACGAGAGAGAAGTAGTAGTAGAATCACACCTAGAATCGAATCGAGAGAAACGCCCGAGCAGAGTAGCAGATATGCCGCCCTTTCTTCCTGATTTGTCCCCAATGGCAAGTGGTCCTCTCGTACTCAGAACAGTAAAGTAAACCCATCACAAAAATCATTAATGAATGGGCAAATGTGTGTGTGTGGTGGGTGTGAGAACACGTCTGCCCAATGGCAAGAGACGATCCATTCTTACAGTTGAAATTAAGTAAAAACTGTGCGGTCCGCATAAATCGTGTGAGCAGCCATTGTTGTTTGATTAACCTCTAATAAAACACATCTTCTAAGATAGTCTGTTATTTTTGGCTTGGTGCAGTTTGCAGTGGATTTGAGAAAATACTCGTAAATATTTTTATGTGATGTTTTTTTTTTTTTTTTAAGTATAATAAAAAAATAATAAATGTGAAAAAAGTTTGAATATTTATGTAGATATTTTTCATATTAATAAATGATTATTTTTCTAAAATAAAAATAAAAATATAAAAATGTGCTATTAACTAAAAAAATATTTAATATAAAAATAAAATTATGTGTAAATTAATTGCTAATAAGATAGTGCACTGCCATTTTGGGTGTAATAAAAAAATTTATACTCCCTAACGTGTATTCATTTTATTCCGGTATCAATTTTCAATTGTACTACTTATACCTAGGTTACAAATACTCTTACTAAGACGGAGACAATATTAATTATACTCTTTACTTCAAGACTTCAATATATCACTAACTTTATTAGTGTACATTTTTTATTATTATTATATTTTTAATTATTAATTAAATTTTTAAAAATAATTCTAATTAATATTTTTTATTTATTTTTACATTTTTAATAAAATATTCATTTGAAGTCTAAATAGGCTAAATATAACTAAAGGAGTATAATATATAAATCAGAGCACATGGTAATGATAATGATAGACTAATAAGTCCCATTATATATACACACACGTTTAAAAGAATGAATCTTAAATGCAAAAAGAGATTTTTGTGTCCAAAAAATGGCTAAAAGCTACTAATCTCTCCTACTAACTGAAAAAAAAAAAAATCAAAAAATATTGGAGCATCCTTCCTGTGTAGGAAAGGCTCCATTCAAAAATACCATCAATGCATGGTGTGTAAATTCTTACATTCACTGCTGTCCGTACTTTTTCTTATGAACCGGCACACCGGGTCCGTAGATTTGTCGACATCGGTCCTCGAATGACCTCACCAGCCGGGACACAACCTCCTTCAACGACACATTTACAATCTGCATATGCACAACACACATCGATTATTCTTTCTTTGAATCGCCACAAGTTAGTCGAAACTGACGGTATACTGATCATCAAAATAAGCACACCATGTTTATATGCAATAACCTAATATATGGATAAGACCGAATTTAAATTTAAAAATGAATATCTAAAATACCTCTAACATAAACTTATACACAAGATTTCTGTTCTAGTTTTAGAATTTGATTCCTACATAATTTCGATGTATGAGGTTCCTAGTTCTAAATGGAAAGTTAAGATTACCACAAAGGGCCAGCCAGCAGAGAAAGAATGTAATAACTAAAATCATACTTCAATAAAAAGATTAGACTTTACCAAAATGAAATTGAAATTCTTTCCTATACTTTCTAGGATTATCAAAGATTCATAAATCTTGCTGCACTGAACTATTTCCAAGATTCGTAGAACCTAAAACTGTGAAGAAATTCACCTGACAATATAGTGGCGACCGCAACTTAAAATCCACCAAGAAGTGGATCTCACAGCTCCCTGGAACAGGGCCGGGATGAAACTCCCAGACATTGTTCAAATGCCTAAAAAGGCTATTCTTAGACGAAGTTGTCTGCAATATTCCGCAAGGGATGACAACAATCAATAACTTGTATAAGGTAACTAATCGAAAACCAACTCAGGCAATCTCAACAATGTAAATATTCACCTTGATAGAGTTAGGCTTGTCAAGGTGAACTTGAGACATGTAGCTTTCGATAAAACACTTGTATCCAATTTGTAGCTCAGCATCAAAATTTCCATCAGGATGGCGGCGAATTATTTCTGAGCGCTGACACCATGGAAGGAAATCTTCATACAGGTCTACAGCAGCAACCACATCAAACACCTGCTTGGGTGAATACCTAAGTATCCAAAGATAAATCAGAAGGCATTGCATATGAACTAGAAATCAAATTTCCATGTTTGATTGAAGTTTGAACAAATAAATACTGTTTGTGTTTTTGGATCAATTAGCTTAACGTTAACAAACACTTTGAAGCCTCTGTTTGCCAACATCAAGCGACAACATACCATAATTGAAAAGTAATTATCAGCTTAAGTAATATACTTCCAAGTTCTAACCCTACGTCCAAATTGCATTAACCACGGCCGATCAAGTTAATAAGAAAGGTTTTCTCGAATGAAATTTGATTCACAATTTTTGGTAGCTCTCAAATATATCCAAAATTCGAATTGTTCTTCGTAGTCGTGAATATGATAATCCACTCCACCTTACACGTTTCAGGGCCTTTGGTCGTCAAAGTGACTAAGCCTTATGATCTACAGAACCTCAACCGGGTTGAATTTCAACCGTAAACTCATAAACACTGAAGCATAAACACAACATTCTCTAATTTCACCGAATATTGAATATAGCTTCGGAAGTAACCAATCACTACTAAAGCAAGAGCCAAAAAAGGCAACAATGGCGTAATCAAAGGCAAACATACCCGACGACTTGTCTCTCTTCATGTTTTCTTGATAACGTATTCAAGTCTCCGTCACCGCCGAATCCAAATATACCTCTTCTTTGAAAAACTGCGTAACCACCCCTCGCCGCGAATTCAGCACCCGACGGTTTGCAAATCCCGCCGAAACCGGCTGAAGAGAATGCTCGGTTCGAAGCAACGCTGCTCAGAGACCTGATCAGATTGTAATCGGAAGAGACTGGTGATTTGTTGTGGAGTAAATTTGGCCGGGACGCGATGCGAGGCAGTGCTTTCGATACGGATTTGAATGGCGGCATGGCTGCAGTAAAAGACGATACTTAGGTTTACTATTTGGTGGGGTAAAATTATATGGAAGAAATCTGGCCTATTTATAAGTCGAGACCGACCTAAGGAGTGATCTATTTTTTTATAAGGATTTAGAAAATCACAATTTTAGGAATTGATTTTGATAAATTTTTATAAATTTGATTTGATTGAAATTTTTATAGATTTATATATATTTCTTAGAATTATAGAATAATTATTTTTTTATTAAAATAAATTTATATTAAATACATAATTTTATAAATATCATATATTTATAATTAACTTGCTATATTTTTATAAAATAAAATAAATAATAATTATAATAATATAAAAGTATTGTAACATCTATATATATAATATTATTATATTGTATATTAATATTTTTAATTTAAAATTTTAGTATTATATTTTCATTCAATATATATAAAAATATATTTTTTTCAAAAAAACATTAATAATTCACTAATATATTTTAGTTTTATATTATTATTTGTATTAAGAATTATAATAATATTAATAAATATTATCATATTATTTCTCACTTGTATACAACAATAACATCACTAATAATAATAATAATTTTAAAAATCCATCACAATCTTAGTTTATCAATAGATATTTTATTTAATACAATTTTTTATAATTTTTCATCAAAATCTCAATAAAATTCGTAAATTTTTAAAGTTTATGAATTGTTGAATTAAAATACTTGTAGGGTGTGTTTGTTTGAAGGATTTTGGTGGATTTCCACTATTCATCCAATTTTTTTCCCCCCAAAACATCAAATCAAACACCTATTTTTCATTTTTTATATTATACTAAAAATCAATTTTACATTCAAAACATCACATCAAACCCTATTTATATCACATCATACAACTATTCAAATTCAAAATTTTTACTATTCAAATCCCAACTCAAAATTCAAACCCCCAAACAAACACACCCGTAAAAATATGAAATAAACACTTATTGATTTTAAAAGTATGGATTAAATACTTTCAAAAAAATTTAAAAATTTGAATTGAATATATCCGTATTTTAAAAATTCAATAAAATCTTATAGAGTCATAATTGAATATATCCCCCAAAGCCTCGAATACTTATGACTTACCAAATAGGTTTCAATCCATAGAAACTAACTCTCTCACAAACCTCAATTTACATATCTATATAACTTCCTTAAATAATCAATCTAATTAAAATTGTCTTAAGGAATTGGGCTTGGGTTTAAGTGCTAAAGGGATTGGCCGAATTCGGTGGGCGAGCCAAAGAGTTGGCCAACAATTTAGGGATGTTAAATGGAGCGGGTTAGCCCAGATCCGCCCGGGATCCGCTCTTAATGAGACGGATTCGGGTCTAAATAATATGTTTCGAGGCGGATTGTAGATTTAAAATTTTAAATCCGGTCGAGTTCGGGGTGAGTTACGGGTTTTACTAAAAACCTGCCCCAACCCGGACTCGGACTCGAATCCGAATATTTTTTAAAATTATTATAACTAATATATATATGTACATTTATATAATAAAAATATATTATTTATTTACTTAAATAATTTTAAATATAAAATTCAATTAGTCGGCTCCAAATATTTTTTTTAAATTATTATACCTAATATATGTATATTTATATAATAAAAATATATTATTTATTTATTTATCTTATTTTTATGGATCAATATTTGATTATTTTTAGATTTTTTTTTGCTTTTAATGCTATTTGTTTTAGTATTCGATTGTTAAAAAAATATTTATTATTATATATTTTTTAAAAAAACGGATTTGGCGGGTTGGTCCCGGACCCGCCCCACCCGGGGCGGGTCCGAGAGTCGGATGGAAGCGGGGCAGAACCGATCTCGGAGCCTAATATTTTATAGCGGGGCGGGTCTTGGGGCGTGCAGAACCTGTCCGAACTTGCCCCGTTGACATCCCTACCCAACATGTATAAAAAGAATATAAAGAAAATATTACTTAAATTACTTTAAGATTTGAGTTTGTTAAATAAGTGTTTTTGGATGAATTTGTTTTTTTGGTATAAAAAAGTTATATTGGTGGTATAAAATATACGTTTTTTCGTTCTACATAAAGTGTTCAATTTTATTTTATTTTATTTCTATTTCTCTCGTTCCCATATAATTTGTCATTTTTTTTTTTAAACATTATTATCATTTTAATGACATTTTAGTATTTATAATTTAATGTTTTATTAATCTTAATTAAATTATTTAGTTATCTTAATTTTAATATATAATTATATAATGATTATTTTTATTAATATATTTATTAATTATTTACTAATTATATTTTACTTAATTCAGTTTCTATTGTAATATTGACATTTTAACTGGAACAGAATGAGTAATATTTTTATATTAAATTATTTACTTTTTGAATGAATAAAATTAATATATTATATTAATACACTGTACAAAGTTTATAATATCGATTAAGAACTATACCAAGGGTGTGTTTGTTAGGGGATTTGGATGTTTTATTTAGATTTGAATAGTAAAATTTTAAAATTAGAATAGTTGTATCATGCGGTATATAAGTGTTGATATGATATTATATTTAATTCTTTAATATAATTTAAAATAAATATTTGATTTAGTTTTTGAAAGAAAAAAGTTATTTTATGAATAATAAAAATTTGAGGAAATAAATATGATAAAATAAATAAAAGCACAATGTAAATAAATCCTTAATAAAAATAAAGACTAGTAGTACTGTTTTTAATAAAAAAAAATAAATAGAAAGTGTAGTTAAAGGATAGGCTAAGCGAGATATGATAGGCGATTAGGCGCCATCAAAATTGTTAGTTATTTGATCCCTAAAATGGTGTAATGTTAACTTCCAAATTGACCCATGTTTGTCTGTCTATCTCCTCCTCGTAAAATAGTCAAAATAATCTTTGTAAAAATCTTTCCACTTATTCAATGAACAATTCCATGTCTGTGTCTGTGTTTTTTATTTTTTTAAAAAAAAAAAAAAAATTGGAGTGGGATTAATGCGGAGTGTGCCGTACAATGGAAAGTGGAAACGCGCTTATGTTATGCCCACAAGAGAAGGAAGAAAAAAAAAGGGGACACCTTTTTCACAGCTCAGATTCCCATTCTGTGTTATTGCCGAACAAAAGCATTTTTCTGCGACTCACATATACATACAGATAGATACATACACGCATTGGGTCGGGGTGGGGTGGGGTGGGGTGGGGTTAGGGGGGTGGGGATGCTGCCATTATGTCAATTGTCAAATTGTCATTGCTGCTGCTCCTGCACATGAAAAACCAACAAATATATACACCAACACGGGTCGATTCAGTCTCCAATTTTTATTGTATTCATTAATTTATTGGAATTGTTGGAGTCGCCGTCGTCGCCGTCGTTGTTTCTGCTGGTAAATATATATATATTTATATATATAATTTAGGTTTGTTGAAATACTCACCCCTAAAAAGGGCAGAAATTTTGGCCGGACAGGAGGACAGCTTCTTCAATTTTGCCCCACCATCTCACCCCCCAACCCCTTTGTTTTTGTTTTCTCGCTCTTCCAATTTCTCTCTCTTCGTAGAATCCGCAGTGGAATGCGCAATCATCGGGTTAATTGAAGCTCGGAATCCAGCGGCGCCGGGATCTGCGTTTCTTCGTGAACGCAACCCGGGGGAGTGTTTGGGCGATCATTGATTCCTGGTTAGTTGTTTTCTAATTCTGTAGTTTTGTTTGATTTGCTATTTTTCTGGGGAGAAGTTTAGGTGTTTTTGGGGACTAGGGTTATACTTTGATCGGCATTGTTTTTTATGCTTATATGATTCGATTTCGTGTGATTATTATTGCGGTGCAGTCGAACTTGCCATCAATCTGGACGATCTTTGTAAATTATTATATTTTCAATTAGAATTTTTGCTTACCTTTTTTGAGGAATCGCTGCAATCATAGTTCCTTTTATGGTTGATGATGATGGCTTGTAGATGGATTGCAACTTTTTAGTTAACTTTAATTTTGCGATGTTTGTAGGATATTTTGTCAATTGAATTCAGTGGAAGTGAAAGAGAAGAAGAGATTGAATTTTTGGAAAGTGTTGATTGAGAAGTGGAAAGGATAAGTAAACTTTGTCGTGGTTAGCTATGTTGCGTAAGAGTAGTGACCACCAAACTGTGCCGTTATCAGTTTTGTTGAAGAGGGAGTTGGCAAGTGAGAGGATCGAGAGGCCGGAGATTTCGCATGGTCAGGCAAGTCAGAGCAAGAAAGGCGAGGATTTTACATTCATCAAGACGGAATGTCAGCGTGTCTTGGGCGATGGAGTTGCCACATATTCTGTCTTCGCGGTATAATATCTGGTTCTTACATCAATTTGTTTTTCTCTTATTTATTTTATCGGTGGTTTGTCGGCATACTGTCTGAGCTGATGGGTAGTGATTGCTTAATGTTCAATGACTGAATTTCTTTCGTGTTACTTACGTTTCGTTTACTTGTAAGGAAGTGTCGCGTTGACTTACAAAAGACTGCTGAGCTTTATTAGATTTGTTTGCGGAATTTAGATTTTGATTGTCTTTTCTTCATTATTTTGAGGCTGACATTTATTCGTAGAGGTCAAGTTGACAAAATTTTGGGATTCGATTGTTTTAATCATGATCAAAGTGGATGAGATTCGATTTTAATGATCTCGACCCCTTCCGACAATGCTGGGGATAATTTGATTGGTTGACAGGTGCTATTATTGTTTTCACATTTTCTGTTTTTTGTTCTTACTTTTTATATTTTTTAAACTTTTCTTTTCAGTTATTTGATGGTCACAACGGATCTGCAGCCGCTCTATATTCCAAAGAGAATTTGTTAAACAGCGTCTTATCTGCGATTCCACCGGATCTAAACAGTGAAGAGTGGATCACAGCGTTGCCCAGAGCTCTGGTTGCTGGTTTCGTCAAAACTGATAAAGATTTCCAAGAAAGAGGTACAAATATTATTGAATATTTTCTAGGTCATTCGTTAAGTTCTTGAAACATTTTACTGAAAAAATAGATACGTCTTGGAATCAAAGATGTCGAGATATCTTCTGTGAATATATTAACATTTGTGGTGTAGATTGAGTTTTTTATATATTTTAAGAACAATTTACAATTAGAGTTATTATTAAGGTAAAAGTGCATAAATATTAATGGCTGATTGGTTGCTTTTTGGATTTATTGTATATGGTTGGTCTTGGCACTTGATCATTCTTTTGACTAGAATTCAAAGATTGGATATTATTGAAAAATAAAAGTACTCTTTTTGGGAATGTTTCTTTAATGAGTTTGATTACTGTGATAAATGATGTTTCCTTTTGGTGAACTAATCTGTAGATGCGGAAATCACCTGCATTTTTTAAGCTAAACCGATTTTCACTGATTAGTTAATGAAGCTCGTCTTTGTCATCATTACACATTCTTATCGTCTTTACATTTTTGGCTCTTATGTTTCAGCCCAAACTTCAGGAACGACTGTTACCTTTGTAATTCTTGAGGGATGGATCTTAACTGCTGCATCAGTTGGTGATTCTCGCGGCATACTTCAATCTGCTGAAGGAACGCTGCATTACCTGTCTGCAGATCATAGACTCGACTCCAACGAAGAAGAGTGAGCAATTCATTATTTTGCCAGATTTTTCTACACAATTGGTTCCTTTATAATTGCTTCTTAGTTCTCCAGTTATTGATTAACCAGGAGGGATCGAATAACTGCATGTGGAGGTGAAGTTGGTCGGCTTAACACCGGGGGTGGCACAGAGGTACTCTTCTTACAAGCAATTGTATTTTGTTTTGCAAAATGTATGAGTCTTTGATTCGGTGTATGGGTTGCACTTTGAATGAATTGTCAGATGCAAAAGTATGGAGGTCCCAAACTCGACTATTTTAGCTATGTGCTATTTTATGAAGAGTGCTGGTCACTAAAAAACCAATCATTAATTATGTTGAAATTTGGCGTGATTTTTGCACCGTGTTTGGCAGAGATTATTTAAAAAGTCTTATGAAGTTTTCAGATCTTTTAAATGCTTATAAGGTGGGGGTGCCTTATTTTAGAAATACAGGCAATTTGCTGGTTATGCTTTGGATAGGCTTAAGAGCTCACAAATTGTCGACAAATTTGAATCGTTTTTGCAATTTTGGGTACAATTTTCATATGAGAATGGTCTGACTCTTGCAGATTGGGCCATTGCGGTGTTGGCCTGGTGGTTTGTGCCTTTCTCGATCCATTGGCGACATGGATGTTGGAGAGTTCATTGTTCCCGTACCATATGTAAAACAAGTAAAGGTTTGTTTTTTTATCGTGGAAACTTCCCTGCTCTTGACTTTGCACAGTTGCATCTATTAAGAAACAACTAATTCTATGCGTTTCTTAAAATGTTGAACATACGATTCGATTGTAATGCTTTTCGAGTAGTTTCAAGATCGGCAACTCCTTGGTTCTAGAGATCACAGTTTTATGTAAAAAACTTTGTATCGGCAGCTATCATCGCGCGGTGGAAGGCTCATTATCTCGAGCGACGGTGTTTGGGATGCATTACCTGCGGAAGTAGCTTTTGAGTGCTGCAGAGGGATGCCGGCCGAAGCTGCTGCTTCGCAGATCGTCAAAGTATCCGTTGTTCAATCTGTTATTTTATTAGTCCATATATATTAAAAGCTAAGTCGATGCTGATTTTCATGGTATTGCAGGAAGCTGTACAGGTGAAAGGTCTACGGGACGATACGACCTGCATTGTTGTAGATATAACGCCTCCTGAAAAACCCGAGCTACCGAAACCACCTCCTAGAAAACCCGGGAAAGGGGTCTTTAAGGGTATCTTCCGGAAGAAAGCTTCCGAGTCGACCTCACAGCGGGGCAAGGAAGAGTTGCCTGAATCGAATGGTGTGGAAGATCTCTTCGAAGCAGGATCAGCTTCGCTCACAGAAAGGTCAGTTTGATTTCAATGCTTCTGAAATCTGAATCCAGTTTCTAGAAATATCGACTATGGAATTCCATGTTTTCGGAAAGTACTTGACTTATTTTAACCCCTGTTTATACTGTAGGTTGGAAACGAAGTACCCGGTATCCAACATGTTTAAGATGTTCATTTGTGCGATTTGCCAAGTTGAAATAAAACCTGGAGAAGGGATCTCGATACAAGCCGGGAAAAAGAATCCCCGAAAACTGCGGCCGTGGGAAGGCCCTTTCCTTTGTCCAAACTGCCAACGAAAGAAAGAAGCCATGGAAGGGAACTACCGATCTCCGGGAGGTTCGTATTTATTCTAACATCGCCATTCCCGGGAGGAAAAGTCAGTTCTTGATACCTGTTGTAATATTTTATAATCTTTTTTACAGCCGGAAGATGTAATGAAAGTGAATAGTCGAGCACAGCAAGATAGTTTCGGTTCATTCAAAGGCGTGTGCGCGCTGGCGAGATGTTGCAAAAGTGTCGACAACTGAAGACCTGAGAAGGACAAATCCCCAGCCGACGCTGTTACTGTAAGCCTCTCGACTGCTATTGTGAATACCTTTGACAAGCTACACAATATTTATATTTCTTCTGACGAATCGAAATGGAAGTTTGTTTTGATCGAAGAACTAGTAAGTCTTGTGTACAATCAATCGTCTTTGTAATATTATCGCGCACCAATTGTTTGTTCGTTTGTTCATTCGTCGTGTTCGACTAGGCTTCTTCTTCCGGGATCTCGAAAATTTGTAACTTACTGTGTTAGGACAGAGTAAAGTAGCCTGGCTTTTATCGATTTTCTTGAATTCTTTTCCAAATTTCGGAGCATTACATAATGAGACTTTTCCGAATCAATTTTGTCGTGAAAAAACACATTTTGAAGCACCGTCGTGGGTGTCTTCCAACACTGTTCTCCGCGGCTATGATCAGCCAACCCTTGTAATGAACACCTGAAAGTTATTACACAAAACCATTTCACAACAAATCGAAATCTTTCCAAAACCGAATCCAAAATTGAGGAATCCCGTTTGCTACCTTGAAGAAGGCGGGTCGAATCAGCTGGAAAACCAGGGCGTCGCCGTCTGCCAATTTGTGATCAACTGCAAACTTCTTCCAGCCGCCGCTGAGCCCATTTTTCCGAGCAAGATATACCACTGACCACTCGTCTCCTTGCTCGTCTGCCAGAGTGACCAAGCCGTCGTTCTTGGGGAGTATCTTCTTGCAGACATTCGAGGAAAGTCCCTACATGCGCACACAACAAATATTATTTTATCGACAGAAAGGAATTGAATTTTGCAACAAGAAGAATGGATGATGTTAACCGACCAGCCAAAACCCCCCGCTGACATGGGAGGGAAGCATCGATTTCACGAAGGTCGGGTGGCTCTGATCAGTCCCCGCCGTCAGCTCCGACTCTACTTTCTCGGCCTTCTCGACTGCGCGCTGCCGGGCTTCGTCCGATGCATAGACGAGGCTCGACGTATCCCTCATCGGTATTCTGAGGGACACAACAACACAATACAACGCAAAATAAGAATTGAATTCTCTCAAAGTTAGAAAAGAACAAAGGCTCTATAATGTAATATTGTCTCTGTCATGCAATGCAAGACATGAATTTTAATAAAAATAAATAATAATTATCACGGATTATTTTTATAGCAAAAAAAAATAAAAATAAAAGTGTAAGAAAATATCTTTTTTTATGACAATCCACAAAAAATGACCATAGATTGATTTGAAGCACCTTCTGGGCAGCTGCAGCTGAACTCGCTGGTAATATACTACAGCCTGCGATGTCTAGAGATTAATTAATGGCTTTATTATTATATTTGTAATGAATGAATAAGATTGAATTGAAGATACTTGATTAGTTGCAGATTTGTTGGTAAATCTCTGGGACCTTCTCACGGGGAGCATCACCTCTTTCCTCGCCGCGCGGGGCTTCGGCCCCCTCTTCATCTTTTCAAACAAAGGACAAAACGATTGATACGTGTATATATATATATATATATATATATAGAGAGAGAGAGAGAGAGAGGGAATGATTTGAAGTACCGGGGTGGATTTGGGAGAAGAGGAATCTCTGTCTCTGAGGGCTTGAGAGAGAAGAGGGAGATGAAGTTGTTCCATTCTCTTCCTGTTTTCTTCCAGCCTCTGCTGCCGTACAGCCTCGTATTTCTCCTTCGACATCACCGTTGTTGCCTCAACCAACTATTGATCCAGTCCAGACACGAAGAAGAAGAAGAAGAAAAGCTCAAGCTTGATTTTTTGAAATGGGAGGGTGGGTGGGTGGGTGTGCATAAATAAATTTGACCGTTGGAATGGAATCGCCACTTTCTCACACTACAGTCTACACCATTTCTAATTTATAAATAAGTACGTGGCACAAGAGTGATTGGGTTTTTGGGCCAAAATTAAAATTAATATTGTTTTGGTCTATGGCAGATTGGGTTTTCATTTTTGTCTACAGTATGTGTTTTTTTTTTCTCCAACATTTTTATCTACATTAAATAATTTCTATATATCTTATATTTTCAATATTATATTTATATACAAATATGTTAATAGTTATTTATACATTCAATTTATAAAAAAAATTTCTCAATTTATTTACTTATTATATTTATTAAATTTTGTATTCGGATCAAATAAAGATAAATTTGTTGTGTGTTTGTTTGGATAATTGAATTTTCAATTCACTATTCATCCCATTTTTTTTCTTTAAAAAATCAAATCAAATACCTATTTTTTATTTTTTATATTATACTAAAAATTAATTTTACATTCAACTATTTATATAATATCATACAATTATTCAAATTCAAAATTTTTACTATTCAAATCCCAATTCAAAATCCAAATCCCCAAACAAACACTTACAGGACTTGTTTTATTTATTCTATTTTACTTTTATACCGTGAGAATTGGCAGCCATTACACAGTGAACTTCATTTTCTTTTTCTTTCTTTTTTTTTTAAAATTATTTTATACAATTTTAAGTTGTATAATCTTTGACAAATATATATATATAAATATACCTTTATCTCCATATTTTTGTTGGATCCGTTTTTATAAGAGTAAAAAAAAATAAAAATTATAAAAAAATAAAATTAAAGGCATTCTAAATTAGAAACAATAGCAAAAGATTTAATAAAAAAGGAAGCATAGTAACATGATATACATTCCTATTCCTAGAACGACAGGGAAACTCTAATTAAAGAGCTAATTCAATCATGGTTCTTCAATTCGTTTGCAAAGAAACAGCCTTTTTATATTTACTATGAACATAGCAGAAATTCAAATCTATGCAAAATGATCCATCAGATCTTCTTGCAAGTCTTAACATATACACACATTTTCTCATATTAGTATCGAATCAAACCCAAACCTTTCAACCATGGCAGCATCTCCGACAATCCTTCCTTCAAGCTCCGAGGCTCGTAATCCAGCTCCGCCCTCGCCTTCTCGCAACTGTACGCCCATTGATGCCTCAGCACATTCACCATCTGTCGCAATAGGATATAATGAATGTAGCTAGCCAAGATTTCTAATCCGGTAATCATACTTGCGAATTAAAGACGGTTGCAACGAATAAGAGAGAGGCTAAAATATCATAGAGAAACTTTTCGATCAATCTTAACACACTTGAAAAATATGGAACTAAAAGTGTTCCTAAATATTGATCTAAGATTGTACCCGAATACAAGTGTACTCCATCATGTTACGAATCTGCTATTAGGGATACGTATGATTTATTTATTTATCTACAAACGGGAGTCCACCAACACACCACGTCACCAAACAAAGCCCTGATACCATATTAGATGATATAAATGACTGACTCACCTGAAAGCTTAAGCTATTAGGGATAAGCATAATTTATTTATCTACAAACGGGAGTCCACCAATATATACCACTCAACGTTGAATCGTTTTAAGTCACTCAAACAAAATTTATTGGGGAATTAACGAGCAAACGGATCTAGAATGGAGTACACGAATGCATGATATACGTGCAAAGCGATATAAAATCGAATAGTTCCATACCGGGGGGCTGATTAGCGGAAGCTTCCCTGTTATTTTGGAGACGAGAAGGCATATCCACGCGTAACCTTCCATAAGTAAAAATGGCATGCGAAATCGAGGTTTCGCAGTATGAGTAATGTCCGCGGCTATATTGAAAACATCACTGAAAGATGCATTCTCCCCTGTAAGAAGATATCGTTCGCCTGGCCGACCTTTCGCTATTGCTTCCACGTGCCCTTGTGCAACATCATCTACATGGCAAAATGAGAACCCCTTCTCTAACCCAATGTAAAATGGGAGGCGGCCATTGAAGCGTTCCACGAGCTGCAATTCGCGCAAGATTGACATAACAAACTAAGAAATGTAGGTTTCCGCAAACTTTATCTGTCAATCTTATCATTCTCAAGAATCATGATATTAACATCACCTATATATATTGGATTATTACTGAAATCGAACTCACATATATATAAACAAACTTGTTAAGATGTTTCTCGGAAACTCAAATTGATTAGAGTTCAAACTTCAAATCCATGGTTTTGTTTCTACCTCCTTCCTATCAATGATTTCGTTGAAAAAATATAGGGAATGCTCTATCGAAAATGACACGAAATCCTACTTAATTCACGATCATATGATTTCTAACCTAAGCATCATCTTCAACAAACATGCACAACTAGATTTAACTCCATTAATCAAAGCTACGAAAAGGGAGAAGTAAACAAGGATTTTTTACCAAATGTGCAACCACATTTGCGGTAGTGACTTTTCCAGGGCCATAGATAACTCCAGGATAAACCGGCACGATCGGAACTCCCTCGGCTGCAGCTTCCATGGCAATCTTATCTGCTATAGCTTTAGATTTCTCATATTCAGTACAGAAAAATTCGGCAGAATGCACCTGCAAACGATTAACATGATCACAACATACATTGTAGCAAATCAGTTTGAATTCAACTGGAAAATTGGCCGTATAGTTGGGAATACCTGAGTCTCATCCCCAATTTTTCCATCAGTAGATCCCAACGCGAAAAACGACGACGTATAGATGATCTTCTCGATTGTCTTGATCTCCTTGTACGCCTTCAACACATTCTTCAGTCCTCCGACGTTGACCTTACAAATTTCCCAATCAATAAACCCTAAGTACGTGCATTCGTATTAAATACTCAATTATCCTTAAATTTGAATCGAGATTGGGGAACAGAGACCTACCGTATTGAATTTCGAAGGATCAGGAATCCAAGGCTCGACTAGTGCGGCAGCGTGGATGACGACGTCGCAGCCGGAACAAGCTTCCAGGAGCGACGGATAGTCCGTGACATCTCCGTAAGCAAGCTGGAGACCACCGCCGTCGCTCGGCGGAGGCAAGGAGGAGATGTCGCTGGTTGGGCGGACAAAGGCTTTAACGGCGTGGCCTTGGGAGAGAAGCGCGCGGCAAAGGCTGCCGCCTAGAAATCCTGAAGCGCCTGTCACCAAAACTCGCTTCTTCATAGCTTCAAGACAAGGAAGCTAGCTCTGCGGCCCACCGGAAACCACCGCAGGAGTGGCTGCACCGCCGATGCGTACTTTCTTTTTTTATTTTTTTATTTGCCGTTTCGTCCTTCAAGTTTTGAGAAAATTCTTTTGAAGTCACATCTTATATATACACGGCAAGCGACGCCAATGTTGGGACTAGGGTGTAATTGGAAATACGACACATTTTGTATTTATGGTAAAGAAGTTGTTGTACACGTAGCTTCTATGTGTACGAGTTTTACGCAATTTGTTGGTCTCTTTGTACGACCTACATCAGTATAAATACACCTTAATTAATGAATGAGAAACATTAATGTGCTTGTGTTATTGCGTGGTTTGAATACATATTTTTACTATTTAAATTATTTTTTTTTTATTAAAAATATTATATCAATATATATTTATATTGCATCAAACAACTATTCAAATTTTATTTTTTATTATTCAAAAATACAAAACCAAAATCTCAAACCCACCTAGTTAGATTTTACAAAAATTTTACTATTCATCCAATTTTTTTTTAATTATCAAATAAAAAATATATTGTTCAATTTTTTTATATTATAATAAAAATTAATTTTAAATTCAAAATATCGTATCAATATTTATTTGTATCAAATCATACAACTATTCCAATTCAAAATTTTTACTATTCAAATTTCAACTCAAAATTTAAACCCTCAATCAAACAAAAATAGTAAACACAACTATTACGGCTTAATTTTAAAACCCTTTGCCCAACTATTGAAGGTATCGCGTTACCTCGTTGAAATAATTTCTCCGCAAAGGCTGTAATTTCAATTGCCGAATCTTGAGTTTGAACAGCGGGTGCTTGATACAAGCGATGTCATATTGAATTATGGCTTTATTTAGATAAAAGTATTTTCAGGTTTTTGAAATTTTGAAAGTTTAAAAAAAAAAAAATAATATTTGATTTGACACTTGATTTGATATTTTGTGAGGAAAAAATAAATTTGATGTGATATTTTTTTAAAAATGAATAGTGCTGAAAATTTGTTGGGTAAACAAAGTCATCGTATGTGTATATATTTATATTTTTTAATAATATTTATAAGAAATTATTTCACTAAAAAATACTAAATAAACATACCGAATATATCTAATATATTATATATATATATAAATTATATATTACAAATATCTTATATTATTTTAATTTAATTTATAGCAATAATAAAATAATATTTTTTACTTTTTTTTTTTATTATGTCAAATTTTATATTCTACGAAATGATATATATTGACTATATATGTTAATTAATGTATTTAAATTATCAAATTTAATATTTTTCTATCAAATATATTAAATCAGTAATCATCGTATTATATAATATTACAATTAAAAAATTGTCCAAAAAATACATTTCAACTCAAATACAATAATTTTCAATTTAAAAAAAAATCCAAATTTCTCGGTTTAAACGGAGTCAAGATGTGTTTATTTGAGAACATTTTAATAAAAATTGATTCGAATTTGATATTAAAATAATATTTGATGGAATATTTAGTAAAAAAAATATATATATTTTTAAAACGTGAAGTTCAAATAGTAAAATTAAAAGAAAAACACACAATATTTCTATTTCTTTATTTGGTAGAAAATTATATTCCCTCCGTCCCATTGAAAGGTTTGAAAGGTTACCGTTTTCTATTTTCTTCTGTCCCAAAACAAAATTACAATTTCCTAATTTAGTAATTTTACTATCTATCTAACATAATAAATACACTTTCAACTTACAATATATTATACAAATGTCATTACTTTTATATAACTTATGACTCCAAATATGAGCATATTCTTAGTTTGATAAAACAGTGTATTACTCGAATTTCTGTATAATAACCATCATAATAACCCGTTAATGGCATACATTATTGATATGTATCGCTTGACATGATCCAGATTTCGTTGTTGAGATTATTAACGATTTTTGCCATTTTTTAGCAATAGTTTGGTGCCAGAAAAGCTAAAGCACGCGCCACAAGCGATAGTCTCTTCCGCTCGCAAGCGCCCAGAATATCTACTGAAAAAGACTAAGTCACGAGAGGCAAGCGGTAGCTTCCACCTGACCGCTCGCTTACGGATGATAGGGGTAGTTAGATGCTGGCGGACACCATATTGTTGAAGGCAAGATTTCAGCGCCTTATTCATAAAGTGGGTGCCTTCATCGCTTATTATAGTTCTGGAGACCCAAACCTTGAGAATATGGTATATTTTAGGAAACGGATCACTGATCGAGCATCATTAGTGGTGAGCGCTTGCGCTTCAACCCATTTGCTTATGTAATCCACCGCCACCAGAATGTATAATTTCCCATTGGAAGACGGAAAGGAACCCATAAAGTCTATTCCCCATACATCAAATATGTCCACAAACAAGACTCCAGTTTGGGGCATCTCATAGATCCCAATCTTTGACACTTGTCGCAAGATTTGGCAAAGGCATCAACATCTTTCTGTAGGGTAGGCCAAAAGAAACCCAACTGCAAAACTTTGGCCGCTGTGCGCAGGCCAACGAAATGCCCTCCTACATGGACCCATGACATTCATTCGAGATCAGTGGGATCTCAGATTCCTCTACACAGAGACGGATTATCCCATCTGCGCCGATGTTGAACAAAAAAGGTTCATCCCAAAAATAGTCCTTTACCAAACTGAGCAATCTCTTCTTTTCCTTTTGTATGGTATGCGCTGACTGAAAACTGCATGTAGTTAAGAAATTGGCCAGGTCTGCAAACCATGGCTCATTCGCTTGCACCAGGAAAAGCTTCTCATCTGGTAATTGTTCGTTGATTCTTGGAGATATGTCCTCTTCTTGTTTTAACTACTGAAGTGATCTGCCACATGATTCTCTTTCCCCCTCTTGTCGCTGATTTCTATGTTAAATTCCTGGAGCAACAGTACCCATCTGATCAAGCGGGCCTTTGTCTCCTTCTTCTCCATCAAATACTTGATAGCTGCATGCTCAGTGTGAACAATGGTCTTGCTCCCGATAAGATATTGTCGAAATTTCTCGAAAGCGAAGACAATAGCTAGCAGCTCCTTCTCGGTTATAGTGTAATTCTTTTGAGCGGAATCCAGTGATTTGCTTGCATAATAAATGACGTTCAATTTTGATTCCACCCTTTGTCCTAGTACAGCGCCGACGGCATAGTCGCTTGCATCCGTCATCAGCTCAAATGGTTCACTCCACACTGGTGCTGAAATAATAGGAGCGGAGGTCAACTTCTCCTTCAGTATTCGGAAAGCCTCCTCACACTCGCTTGACTAGTGAAACTGAGAATCTTTGCACAACAGTGATGTAAGTGGTTGCTTGATTTGACTGAAGCCCTTGATGAAACGGCAGTAGAACCCCGCGTGTCAAAGGAAACTTCGCACTCCTTTCTCATTCGAGGGTGCTGGCATCTTTTCGATCACATTAACTTTTGATCTATCCGCCTCAATACCGGAAGATAAGATTTTATGGCCTAAGACAATTCCTTCATTTACCGTGAGATGACACTTCTCCCAATTCAACACGAGATCAGTCTCAATGCAGCGGAGAAGTACTTTTTCCCGGTTGTTCAGGCATCTGAAAAATGTCTTGCCATATACCGAGAAGTCATCCATAAATACTTCTATACAGGAGTCCAGGAGATCGCTGAAGATATGGTATATGTATCGCTGGAAGGTGGCCGGAGAATTGCAAAGCCCGAACAACATCCTTCTGTAAGTGAATGTAGTCTTCTCACAGTCCTCCGGTTTGATGGTAGCCTGAGTAGCCATCGAGGAAACAGTAGTATTCGTGACCTGCAAGCTTTTCAAGACATTGATCAAGGAAGAGAAGCGGAAAATGATCCTTCTTCGTGGCGGAATTCAATCGTCGGTAGTCGATGCAAACCCTCAAAAAATAATAATATTAAATATTAAATATTTTATATAAAAGTAAAAAAAATCAAACAAACTTCAAATGCTCATTAAAAAAAATCAAAAAAGTAAAAAAAAAATTAAATTCTCATTATGAAAAGTAAAAAAAATAAAATAAATATTCAACTTAAAATAATATATTTTATATATTTTTACGTAATTTCTTATACCACAAGTCACAAATTATTTCATGTAAAACCACTGGGCTAAATGAACTTGTCTATATCTAAAATATAATATTTGAATTAAAATAATTTATAAATTTAAATTTTATTTAAGAATACAATTTAATTGAATAAATATTATATACTCCCTCCGTCCTACACTGTAGATACAGAGACGTGTAATTAGTAGATAATTAAGAATATATTAATGAAAATAATTATTTTATAATATAAATAATTATAAATTAAGATTAAGATAACTAATTAGTTTAATTAAAATTTAAAAAAATAAAATTAAAAAGTTTAAAATGAGATTAAAGTGTGTAATCATTTTTCAAAAAACGAAAGTGACATGGAATGTGGAACGGACAGAAACGGCAACGTGGACATGGTATGTGGGACGGAGGGAGTAATTTTTTAAAGTTTAATTTGAAATTGAAATTTCGATTTGAATTTGAATTTAAATAAAATTGTTGTGAGAAAAAATAGAATATATTTATTAAGAATCAGTATAGAAAAAATATTGGTGATTTGTAGTTAAAACACAGATCCAACACACTCTTATTTAATAAATATTTTAATTAATATAAATAAAAATGAAATAAAATATCCATGTCTAACCTACCGGCTACCATACATATATAATCCTTTTAGTTTTAAAACAAATCCAATTTATTGAATATTATCCGTTATTGCCTTTTTTTTTTTTTTTTTTTTTTTTTTTTTAAGTTGCTATTTGAAAATGGGCATAAGTAAATCTCCCGTCGAACCTAATATCTGCAAATCAGACCCTTATTGTTATTACTCTCTCCGTCCCAATACAATAGTCATGTTTAACATTTTTTTCTGTCCTAAAACAATAGTCTTATTTCCATAAATAATATCACTGTAAAACTACCTTTATATTAATACACTCATAAGGCAAAAAAAGTCTACGTCAAATACAACCCAAATTATAGTTTTGGGTCAGAAGGAGTATTATAGAGCTTGAATCTAAAATACTTTGAATTTATTTTATTGTAATTTAAAATAAAATATTGATTTATTTTTATTCTAATATTATATCTATAAGAAGAATAAATAATAGTAGTAGTATATTAGAAGAAAAAATAATAGTAGTATATTTTTATTAATATTCATGCAAAGTAAATATTCAATCCCACTCCATTATAATTTTTTGAATTTTTGCAGTAAGTTAAAAAGTAATGCATTAATATTTTATTAATGAGTAATTAATGAGTAAAAATAGGTAAAATAATTGACAATTATAATTCTTATTTTTTTATTTGATGTATAAATAAATTATACTAGAATAATATATTTGTAATTTAAATAAAAATAAAACAGATGAAAATAATAAAAATAATACGATGAACGAGCACATAATACATTATTTCATCTCATAAAATATCACTATTTAAATAAAAAAACTCAAAATTAACTTCCCTATTTCAAACTAATTTCAACCCACACCCAACCAAACTCTACATTTTCAAAACTGCCTATACGGATAAGCTACATGTTGCAGTCTCCATTTTTGTTTTTCTTTAAACCTTGGAATATAGAGGTATGGGGTATCAAAATTGATTCTTTATCTAAAGGCAAAGATATAAACAACAGCCAGCCATATTTGGTCCAACAACTTGGTAAACATAAAAGAAAGAAATCCACAAAATTACCTCAAATTCAGGCTGCATATGAACAAGAAGACTGCTGTAGTAAAGTCGGCGCGGCACAGCAATTCTGCCGAGGCTACCGGCAATTTTATTTCGGCCCTTTTTTCCTGTATAATCTGGGGTATAATATCTGTCTTATAGAACAAATTGCACGTTAATCTACACAAAAATGGGTAATTCTGCATAGTTTTATCCGAGTGGAAGATCATGTAATATTAACAGTAAAACAGAGCTTACACCGGTGGCACCTGAACGCGAGCATCGGATACAAAAATTGCTATATTTTCATATTTTACGTGCTCCATTAATGTGCTCCATTAATTAACTGAGCTCAAGATATGTACACCTTTGGGTCCTTAAAAATTCCTTACAAGATCCTAGCAGGTGTTCGAGTAAAAGGTTCCTATTTTCTGAAAGTAGAATGCTAGTTTCATGAACCAATGAGTGAAGTGTACGCGCATCAAACCGGCTAGCATTCGCAAAGAAAAAATTTGACCAAGACTTTCGGGAAAATAACTGAGTATCAGGAGATGCAAAGCTAATGATGTAAGAGAGAGCAGCAGCATAGTCACCGTTCTGTAGCTTCACGGCGACCATTTCTCTGGTAAGCAGCAGAGGAGGATCCCGCTCGGTTTTGATCAAATGTTTCCATGTCATTTCCAGTAGCGCTTCCTGGAACGAATAAATTGATTTTGATTATGTGACCACAAATAGAAAACAACTGACAAACTTTTAGAGATAAAGAATCATAATTTATTTTTTTTACACTGTTTAATTTATACCTTTCAAGATTACATTATTTACACATGCCACAATCATTAACATATTCAATTTTTTCCAATTTTTCTCACTTCATTAGTTCATTTATATACTTTTTAAAATACCGACCAATATAATAGTATATGCATTAAAACCTAAGTTCAGCTAAAATGAACATTCAAATGGCGGACTGAGGGAGTTTAAGCCAATGGCCGAAAACATTCAATCCATTGGTGGAAGGAGTGTTCACCCATGGCCGAAATATTTTAGGGAAACAAAATTGTAAAACAGGACTACACCAGAATTCGAGATGCAAATTCAATTATAAAAGTACCTTTCCGGCGCGCTGGGCATCCAGCAATAGCCGAAGATGGCGTTTTGCATTGAAGTGGTGACCATAGTGTAGCATTCGTTCATATACAAATTCAAGATCATCCCACTTTTGCTCTTCAGCACACACATCCAACATTGTGTTGAATGTGTAAATATCAGGAATAACCCTCAGTTTATAATCTTCATTTTGACCTATAAAACCGGCATTTTCCAATAGTGTCATAAATAGCTGCTTCGCTTCTTCAAACATCTTGTGATTGATGAAAGCCTTCAGCATGATGTTATATGTTACTAAATTAGGTGAGCAGAACGTCTTCATGTGATTAAAGATATACGCCCCACTTTTAATATCGCCTGAGTCCAGACAGGCTTGAATCAAACCAGTGTAAGTCACTACAAGCGGTTTACTTGCGACTTTGCATATCTTCTGAATCTGCAATATAAAGGGCTTTTAAATATAAATATATAAATAATTAAAAATTGAAAATGAGTGAAAGCCAATCCCGACAATGCAAAATAGCACCAGCAAATGCTAATTCAGTGTAGTTCTATAGAACATTCAGTTTCATTATATTGCAGTCATAAAACAAGTATATATACCAAAAACATCTATGAATATTTAGATTTAAAATGGACAGGATCACCATCTGACATATGATCAACATATGGATATTAGATTTTCGTTGGTGGTAATCTTGTATCATAAACAAGAAGCAAACCATAGTCACTAGAGCTAGTGTTGAAGCTAAGTATCGAGGTAGAGCTTTAGCAACCTGTAAGTTTATTAGGAACTTTGTTTCTAATAATTAAGAACTATACTTCTAATACAATATTCCACGAGAGCAAAGAACATATTCAAATTGGCTTCCGATTCATTCAAGAAGAAAGGTGTTATATAGGTGTATTACTAATAGTTATGTATCTCCAGCAATGAGTTTGCCGACATCGCTATTTCTTAAAAGTCACCAAATAAAATATCTATGTGACAAGCTTGGTGCTTACGACTTATATCATATAATTGTTGTGATATATTGGCTAAAGACATGCCTAAGACATGTATATTAGGTTTGTATATGTTCGGTTATGATAATTAATATATATATATATATGAATGTTCTATTTCACAAATAATAATACACAACACCGACGCATAGCCAAATACTACCTAAGGGAATAATCACTACCATCAACTAACTTTGGTAGGCAAAAGCAAGTGCTAAAATGCTAAAATAAAAGAAGCTTAGCAACAAAAACATAGAGAAGTATATAAAATACGAACTTGTTCAAGTGCATCATGGCATCTTCCTGCGCTACAAAGGCAGCGAGCAAGGTCATAGTATAGTGCAGCATTGCCAACTATTCCTCTTCTCTCCATTTGTTCAATCGCCATTATGGCCTCGTCAGTTTTGCCTTCCTTCCAAAGTGTATTTACAAGAACTGCATACATGAAAATGTTTTAACGAGGGGATGATGCACAGTTTTTTAGATTGAATAAATTATGCATTAACTTACCTCTATAGATTAAAGCATTTGGTGGATGTGATTTCTGAACTTTCCGGAAGAAATCGTGAACTAAGTTATACTTCCCACATGCCAACATCACCTGCCCATTGCCGAAGAAACATTTTGCTAACTTGCTAGCTCTTTGTTGGAAAGAAGAAAAAGAAAAAGAAAAAGAAAAAAAAAAGGAATGCTATTCTTGAGTTTAACTCGAAAGTTGAGACACAGATACACTTCATCAACCTATGTGTCTTACACATATGAGATTATCCACACTAGAACATTTCAAACACAACCAAAAATCTCAAATTAGGGCTATATTGTTAAGCCACAGAAATTGAAGTTTCTGCATGTGTGTTTTAAAAAATCTCACACATTATTTTGGCTGATTTTGAGTTGCAAGGAAGCACATTATATTCTTTATTATACAGTATACCAAACAATGAACCATGAGACGGGGGGAAAAGAATTACATCAATCAAGCTACAAGTAAAAGCAAGCATACAAGACTACCTCCATAACTAGGCCGTAAGTGGTGCATGAAGGTTGTTGACCCTGTTCGCTTAGCTGCTGCAATACCCAGAAAGCTCCTTCCCATTTCTTGCACTGAACACAAGCATTAAGGACCTGGATAAATATTATTAGAAAAGTTAATCTTAGCAATGGCAAAATAAAGGAATAGCCACCTAACAAAGAAATTAAATTTCCCTCCATCAATTGAAATGAGTTAAAACATTTTAACATTTTTACCAACTCCTATGATTGAAAATGGGGAGGCTAGAAAATTTTATTTCCATTTTTACACCAAGTACTATGGCTTTCTATTATTCGTGATCCATGAAGCATATGATAGCATTGTACCAATCTATGCAGCCTTTGAAAATTTGAAGGTACATGCTTTCACAAATTAACAAAAAATGTGAGGAATTGGTAATCAATATTAACATATTTTACAAGCCAGCATCATTAATAGCACAACTTTCAATTTAGGACCTCCTAGCTATATAATGACACTCTTCATAAGAATGAAGGAAAAGATGGAAGCTGGAAGATGCTACATACAGCATTGTACACTATACCATCCGGTTCCAAACGTGGATCCCACTTCCCAATTAAATCAGTTTTGAACTTCTTTTTGGGAGGAGATCTCATGGTATCAATCACATCAAATAGTTCTTTCATACGACCAGCTTGTCCAAGAGTAACAGCAATACAATGATAAGCCACCATGTCAGGGTAGGAAGCCAATTGCTCCTGTAAAAAGTGATAAGATATACCCAAAAGGGAAACAATATGTGATTGTCAGTCTTGATTAGGGATGCAAAACTGGAGCTAAAAATATAGTCACCTGCATTCTCCGAAACAGATTGAGAGCCTCTACTGGTCTTCTTGCTTTTCCAAGAGCATCCAGTGCAGCAGTGTAAATATGTCTGAGAAACATGACCAATGAATAAGAAAAACCACTAACACACTAGATATTAAATAAGTACTACTTCGGGCAAATATCGAGAAAAGACTTAATGCAACACCAAAGCTTTGTAACAGACAACTAGAAGTAAACCATATATTGTTAAATCCAAACAAATCCACAGGAATCCAGTAGTACTTCCAAAGCACAATTTTCTCATGCAATGTAACATAAGAAAGCAACTAAATTACCCTTCTTTTACTTTTGGGGTTTACCATAGTTTGCATGATAAGACCATTCACGTGTAGCTTACCTATAGAAGTGTACAAGCAACTTCAAAACAATGCTACTCCACTAAGCATTTTTATTTGTAATCAAATTTTTGACGCAAGAGTAATCCCCAATTGAGAAATTTAAGAACAATCATGTAAGAATAAAGAAATTACTAGTATGTCTCTATATGAACCACAACTTTGTTTCTCCTTAAAGGCGATCAAGTGTACAATAGCAAAACATGCAAGTAGTTGTCTGTTGCAGACCATGTATCTGTTAAGCTAATGAATTGATATGGTTTCAAATACATTTATGCATCCCATAACTTTTCTAGCCAACTTCTTATAAGCTTCTACCATGGGTGTTTGCAGAACACTTTGTCAATTCATCATCTAAGCCCTTATTCCACCATGTAGAATCACTTTTAAGAATTAACTGCTGTCACTCAGTTAGATCAAGGCACCTATTCATCTAAACTTATAAAAATACATTTAAAGTGAAACAAATCAAGCTCAGAAAATAGAGTCATATGTGAACAAAGTGGACAGTGGTTTGAAAAGTTAGAAGTTGTTAAGTGATCAGGGATTGGACCCTGGGTAACAATAAAGTACCGTGGCTTGAGAGATTTGTAGCGCTCCCGGGACTGCATCCATTCAATGACTTGGAGGACCCGCCTCCAGTTTCCCAACTTACCCAATATCTGCACGACCCTCATAATAGAATAATCTGAGTATCTTATTTGAGCACTCCGCATCATTTTAGTGAACTTCCATTCAGGCATGTCGACATCTGCACCATTCAAACTGCAGAAGCAAATTGCAATACTACAAGTAAGAAAATGCCAACAACCTAAACCAGTTGTGAGCCGCAACGATTTGTAAATAACATAGTATATCAGACAAACATTATAAGTTGGCTTTACAAGATGGTATAACTGATTCTGTAATGCAGATAACTAAATTTTAAATCGAAAATAACTTCTTACCTTGTCATTAGCAAAGTTAGCTTTTTCAGATAGTGTTCATTCCAGCTATTAACCATAATGAATTAAGATGCTTTTTTTGATCATTAGAGAACTGGTTCGATTTAAACTAGATAAAATCATCACCGTATATCAGAGAACCTACAGACAATATCATTATCATGCTTGTGGAACTGATACGTGATCTTAGGTTCATTATTCAAGCATTGGTGCACTCAATCCCAACGATGTGTTTAATTGGAAACAAAGGGAAAATGGAAACCAAACTCCAAACACATAATTTCTAAATATTGCAAAATTTTAAATAGCCATCAGCCTCAGGCAAGAACAGTAAAGAAGTAATCGATAAATAAACGTAAGTACTCACCACTTTGCAAGCTTCTGGATTCTTTCTTCCATGTCTACCCTAGAAATTCTTGGCTTGCCCATCAGACCATCTTCAGTATATAGTGGTTTGAATGCTGCTCTTTCCACATCAATAATTTCACTTCGGCTGTTAACCTTGGAAGCTTTGATGTGCCTCTTAACCTTTTCCAACTCAATTCCCTCGCCAAACCCTTCATTTCTTGAATTTTCTTGAACCAATTCATGTTTCTCACTGAAACCTTTCTTTTCCAACGTTTTTTTAACTGCTGTCGTCACGTCTCTTGCCTTCCGTTCTTCCTGAACAACTTTTTTCGCTATGTTTTTCCTTTTCCTATGACTAACATTATAACGATTATCATTATCATTATCATTACTACCCCTGTCGAGCTTGACAGATTCCAAGGCCTTCAAATACTCATCGAAGGACGGCTTGAACTTAAACTCCTCCTCAAGGACGCAATCACTCAAAGCGCTTCGCACAACAATTCGGCTCGGCCTTTTCCTCCTCGAATCGAATACAACTACCGGCTTCCGCAAAAACGGAGATCCGCGGAAGGATAAAGAATGCGGAGTGCTGTTTAGCAACGGTATAGCTTCCATCGACTGGATAGGGACGCAAGACAATCCAAGATACGTACCCCAAAAATGAGATAAAAGTAGAGAGGGTTTGGTACTTCGGCAGAAGAACAAGTAGTCGCGTTTCTGATTTTAAAGTTGCTTTCTTGGACGAAGTATAGCAATTGAATATGATTAAGTAGCCTATTCGTATTTAATTTTAATATTTTAAGGGTGTGGTTATAATGGTTGGGTTTTTTAAAGTAAAACTTTAAGGTGCGTTGGGTTATAATTTTTGGATTTAATTTTTTAATAGTAAAATGTTGAAAAGTCAACAATGATCGAGTCTCAGTTAATCCCATATCGGTTGTGAATTGGGGCAGGAGTAGGATTTTTCCTATAAATTAATCCCTCACCCCATTGTTGAAGATCATCCCACAACACAATTTCATATTCTAATTATTTTGCGATTATTTATTGTGCTTTAATTTTGTCAGAGAAATTCTGTCAAAAAATTATAAAAAGTCTAAGGAAATTGGATTTTAAGTGAGCATCGTGTTTTCTGGAGCATCAAAGCTCTACATGAAGACGAAGTTATATCGCTTCCAGTATTTGTCAGGTACCACCATGAACGAACACATAACTAGATTTGATTCTCTAGTTACTGATTTGCTGAATTTGGATGAAAAGATAAATGATATTGATAAAGCGCTGATGAATATGAACATATAATTGTTAGTATGCTGACTGGGAAAGAAACAAGTTCCTTTAAAGAAGTTACTACTGCTTTATATTCTAACGAGATCAGGAAAAATGATAAGTTAGAACATAGGAGTTCGACTGGTGAAGCCCACTATGCCCGGGGTCGTAACAAAAAATACAAGCCAATGTGAAGAGGCATATCCCAGTCAAGAGGCAGAGTAGCAAAAGACTGTCCAAAGCTACAAAAGAAAAAGGGGAAAGCAGGAGCTGAAGCATGTGTTGCTAATAATAGCCGGACATGTGGTACAATTAGATTATTCATTAGCCTGTGCCTCATCGGTGACCTGCAGAGACGACTGGTTGCTGGACTCAAGATGTTCATTCCACGTGTGTTCCAGGAATGAGTGGTTTGTCAATTTTGAAAATATTGACGGCGGAGTTGTCTATCTAACTGACAACCAACCTTGCCAGATAACTGGAGTTGGTTCAGTCTATCTGAAGAACCACGATGGAACAATTGAAATGCTGACAGAGGTTCGGTACATACCAAAATTCGCCAAAAACCTCATTTCAGTGGAAGTTTTGGAATCTAAAGGTCATTCTATCAGCATTCAGAATGAGATTCTTAAAGTGATCTCAGGAGCACTTGTCGTCATGAAAGGTAAAAGAAAAAATAACGATGAGATGACCAAGCTCTGGCATATGAGACTTGGGCATGCAGGTGAAAAGTCCTTGCAGACTCTGGCAAAGTAGGGATTATTAAAGGGTACAAAGACTTGCAAACTTGATTTTTGCAAGCACTGTGTTCTGGGAAAGCAAACGCGGGTGAAGTTTGGAACAACAATCCATAACACTAAAGGCATTATGGATTACATTCACTCAGACGTGTGGGGACTAACCAAAACAGTTTCTTTGAGAGGAAACTATTATTTTATAACGTTTGTTGATGATTTTTCCAGGAGAATATGGGTATATCCAATGCGAACTAAAGACGAAGCTTTCAGCAAATTCCTCGATTGGAAGAGAACGATGGAGAACCAGACCGGGAGGAAGATTAAAGTGCTTCGATCTGACAATGGTACGGAATATCGAAATGACCCTTTTTTCGATATCTGCAAGAAAGAAGGCATCTCCCGACATTTCACAGTATGGAACATGCTACAACAAAATGGGGTGGCCGAACGCATGGACCGAACCTTGCTGGAGAAAGTTCGGTGTATGATGTCTAATGCTAATTTGGGCAAACAATTATGGGCTGAAGCGGTCATATATGCAAGCCATCTGATCAATCAACTACCATCAGCTGCAATTAAAGGCAAAACACCTTTGGAGGTATGGTTTGGCAAACCTGCAAATGATTATGATTCTTTACGTGTGTTTGGATCTATTGCATATTATCATGTAAAAGAATCAAAGCTAGATCCAAGGGCGAGAAAAGCAATCTTCATAGGGATATTATTTGGAGTAAAAGGATATCGCTTATGGTGCCCAGAGATGAAAAAGATGATCTTTAGCAGGGATGTTACTTTCAACGAATTAGAGATGTTGAAGAAAGTAACCAAGCAACAGACAGAGAATACCCCCAGCAGGTAGAGTGTTCTTCCAAGGAGGTGGAGTTCCAGACATCTATGACTAAACTTGTAGATGATCAACCAACCGACGATGATGGTTCTTGTACCGAAGAAGATCCCGGAGAAATAGAGGTTTTAACCCAAGAACCTTAACAGCAACAAGATTTACCAATTGCAGTTAAGAGGCCAAGAAGAGAAATTCAGAAACCTGCTCGATTCCAAAGTATGGTGGCCTATGCACTTCCTGTTATTGAAGAAGGTATACCACAAACTTTTCTTGATGCAGTGCATTGTTCTGAAAAAGAAAAGTGGAAGAAAGCCATGGACGAGAAAATGCATTCCCTTGAAGCAAATCACACATGGAAGCTAGCTGAGCTACCGAAGGGAAAGAAGGCAATTGGTTGCAAGTGGGTCTATACTCAGAAAGAAGGATTTCCCAATTGTAATGACGTCCGCTACAAAACAAGATTGGTAGCCAAAGGCTATGCTCAAAAGAAAGGAATTGATTACAATGAGGTATTTTCTCTTGTTTTAAAACATTCATTTATTCGTATTTTGTTAGCCTTGGTAGCGCAGTACGATTTGGAACTAGTTCCAATGGATGTAAAGACGGCATTCTTACACGGTGATTTGGAGGAGGAAATCTACATGACTCAACTGGAGGGATTTAAAGTTGCTGGGAAAGAAGATTGTGTATGTAAGTTGAACAAATTGTTGTATGGCTTGAAACAATCTCCAAGACAGTGGTACAGACGATTTGATCAATTCATGACCAGCCAGAAGTACACCATGAGCAGTTTCGATCACTGTGTATATTTTTGTATGCGACCTGATGGATCGTTTATTTATCTTCTTCTCTATGTAGATGACATATTAATTGTTTCGAAAGATAGAAGAGAGAGAAGCAGATTGAAGTTCCAACTCAGCAAGGAGTTCGAAATGAAAGATCTCGGTGAAGCAAAGAAGATTCTCGGCATAGAAATAACGAGAGACAGAAAGAGAGGCACATTTTGCTTGACCCAGAAGCAATATTTGAAGAAAGTACTAGAGCGATTTGGCAAGACTGACAAAGCCAAACCTGTAAGTACACCACTTGCCTCTCATTTCAAACTTAGTGCTTCACAGTGTCCAAAAACGAAAGAGGAACGTGATTACATGTCAAAGGTTCCTTATTCAAATACGGTTGGTAGCTTGATGTATGCGATGGTGTGTACGAGGCCTGACATTTCACATGCAGTTGGGATTGTGAGCAGGTATATGCATGATCCAGGCAAAGAACATTGACAAGCCGTGAAATGGATTCTAAGGTATATCTTGAAAACCTTAGATTTTGGATTGATGTTTCAAAGAAATATGATACTGGTCAACATATAGTTGGGTAATGCGATTCAGACTATGTAGGAGATTTGGATAAACGACGATCAACTACTGGTTATGTGTTTACTCTTGCAAACGCACCAGTTAGTTGGAAGTCGACCTTACAGTCTACCGTTGCTCTGTCAACAACAGATGCTGAATACATGGTCATCACTGAGGCTGTTAAGGAGGCAATCTGGTTACAAGGATTACTGGATGACTTGGGAGTCTGTCAAAAACATGTTACAGTGTTTTGTGATAGCCAAAGTGCTATTCACTTAGCAAAGAACCAAGTATATCATGCGAAAACAAAGCATATTGATGTACGGTACCATTTTGTGCGGGAAATAATTGAAGAAGGTGAAGTCAGCGTGCAAAAGATTAAGACCACTGAGAATCCTGCAGATATGTTGACAAAAGGTGTAACGTGTATCAAGTTTGAACATTGTTTGAACTTGATAAATGTTATAAGAGTATGATGTTGGCGTTGAAAAGCGCATTTGGGGGCCCTGCCAAACTTTACTACGGGAGAGTTTTGGATAAGATACTTTGGATGGGATTTGAAGGTCGCAAAGGTGGAAATTTGTTGAAAAGTCAACAATTGCTGGCTCCCAACTAATCCCACATCGGTTGTGAGTTTGGGTAGGAGTAGGATTTTTCCTATAAATTGATCCCACACGCCATTGTTGAAGATCATCCCACAGCACAATTCCCTATTCTAATTGTTTTGTATTTCTTATCTTCTCTCATAATATAAGTTTGGTTGTGGTCCGAGGACGTAGGCAAAATTTTGCCGAATCTCGTTAAATTTGGTGTTGGTTATTTTGCTCTAGTGTGTTGGTTATTTTGCGGTTATTTATTTTGCTTTAATTTTGCTAGAGAAATTCTGTCAAAAATATTATAAAAAGTCTAAGGAAATTGGGTTTTAAGTGAGTCTCGTGTCTCCTCAAATTACCTGGGAATTTTCTTTGGTATTAATTGAGTACGATATTCCGCCGATTGTGTGGGGCTAACCCATTTTATGCAACATAAAACATTTAATTTGAATAATTATTTGATGTGATATAAAAAAAAATTTATGTAATATTTTGAATGCAAAATAAATTTGTACTATAATATAAAAAAAATAATAATTATTTGATATGATATTTTTAGTGGGAAAAAAGAATTTGAATACTATTAAAAACCATAAAACCCATAAAGAACACAACCGGTTTTTTAAAGTAGATTTATAATTATCCAAAAATATATATTTTTTTAAAAAAATATAATATATTAGATACATTTATTGTTTTTTTTATCTTACTTATTTAATTATTTGTATTTCATATAAAAAAAAAGTACTTTTGATCAATATCACTAAACAAATAAACTTTAAATATTTAATAATTATTTAATAGGATTTAAATAAATATAACATTGTAATTATTTAAGTTTATTGTTAATATTTTTTTAATTAAATAATACTTTTTAAACAAATATTAAAGTTGATTGGCTTTTCAATTTCTATTGATACTATGCTTTTAATTTACTCTCATCATCTCAAAATTATAGTATGAGTTGTATAGATTTTAAGGAATATTGATATTATATTGGGAGTAGGTAAAAAGTACGAGTAAAAATTTATTTTGTCCTTGTGAGTGTATTAGGATAAAAAGTAGTGTCAATTGTGTAATAATAATAAAAAAGTAATGGTAGTTTTACAGTAATATGATTATTTATGGAAATGAGACTATTGTTTTTGGAACGGACAAAAATGGTAAACAAAACTATTGTATTGGGACGGAGAAAATATTTTTTTTATTAAATATTACATCATATAAACTAGAATTGGCAAAACTTAACAACAATCAAACACAAATCCAATATGAAGGAATTGAATTTGGGTCAAAAATTTTAACTTGGAATATGTACACTGATCGACACGAACACGACACGATAATAAATTAATCGAATTAAGGTTGAGGCTCTTAACTTGAATCCGACACAACACTATATTTTATTATATATAATTTCATAATTAACTCATATATTAATTTAAATTAAATTCAATTTTTGAATAATATAATTTAATTCATTTATATACATTACACTAAAGTCAACCAAAACTAGTATAACACGACAAAAAAAAAAATTAGTTTTAAAAGAAAATTTCGACTTAATTATATATACGAATTAACACAAATTAATACAAACTCAACACGATAATAAATAAATTAATACGAAACCAATATAATAATAAATGAATCAGATTAAAATTAAATTATTTAACTCATTTAAAATATTCAATCACAATAGACTCAACATCAGCTCTAACAAAAACTTACCCAAAATTTATTTAAATTTTTATTTTTATCTACTTTTTAATAAATAAAGGGTCTAAGTAGTATATATTTTTAAATTTTGTAATTTAATATATATTATATCATAAAAAATTACTACCTCTGTCCCACACATTGTATATGTTACACTATAGATACGGTATTTTAGAAGGGATGTAGTTAATAGATAATTAAGAATGTATCAATGAAAATAATTATCCGATAATATAAATAATTATAAATTAAGATTAAAATAACTAATTAATTTAATTAAAATTTTACAAAAATAAAATTAAAAAGTTTAAAATAAGAATAAAATGTGTAATTATTTTTAAAAAATGGAAAATGACATGTATGAGGGACGAAAAAAACGGCACGTGAACATGGGACGGAGGAAGTATTAATTAAATAAATCAATTTCAATTAAAAAAAAAAAATGCTAACCAAACGCACTCTTACTTATCCACATGACCGCATCCTCCTAAAAACGATCATCTCTCACCGCTCCCACTACGCCTCTCACATTCCGCCATGGCTACCACTGACCTCGACTTTGAGCTCCTCCCCTACCTCCGAGTCTACAAATCAGGCACAATCCAACGTCTTGCCGGAACCGACTCCGATTCCGTCCCTCCGGCCACCGATTCTCACACCGGCGTCCTGTCCAAAGACCTGCTCGCCATAATTCCAGGAACAGAAGTCTACGTACGAATCTACCTCCCCAACCTCGCCGCCGCCGACGGTCGCAAGCTTCCTCTCCTCGTCTACTTCCATGGAGGCTTCTTCATTCTGCACTCGCCGTCTTCGCGCCTCTACCACGACTACCTCAACGCTCTCGCGGCGGAGTCCGGCGCGATTGTAGTTTCCGTACACTACCGCCGCCCGCCGGAGCATCCCCTTCCCGTCGGTTATCAGGACTCCTGGGACGCGCTCCGGTGGGTAGCCGCCCACCGCGGCGGGGACGGCGCAGAGCAAATTCTAAATAACCAGGCCGACTTCCGGCGAGTGTTTCTCGTCGGCGACTGCGCCGGCGGGAACATTGTGCACAACCTTGCGGTGACTGCCGGAAATACGGACGCCGGGCTGGACATGGAGATCCAGGGAATCGTGCTGGTGGATCCGTATTTTAATGGGTCGGATTGGGTCGGGTCATGTACGGCGGGTTTGGAGGAGAGAGTGGCGTTGGAGAGGTTGTGGAGCGTAGTGTGCCCGTCGTGCCCGGATAAGGATGACCCGTGGGTCAACCCGGTGGGGGAAGCGGGTATGGGCGGGTTGGTGGGGCTGGGGTGCTCGAGGGCGCTGGTGTGTGTGGCGGAGAAGGATGTGCTGAAGGATTGGGGATGGGCGTATTTTCAGGGTTTGGGTCGGGTCGGGTGGATGGGTATGGTAGAGATCCATGAAGCTGAGGGAGAGGGGCATTGCTTTCATTTGCATGACTTGAAAGCTGAGAAGGCTAAGGAGAGAATGAGAAGAATGGTTCATTTCATCAATTGGGAAATGTGAAAGATAAGAGTCTGTTTGGTTAAATTACGTTCTATATTATATTTTCAATTTTATTTTAAATATTTTATTAGTTGGGTTGATTTAAAATTTTTTGTTTTTATAATTCTATTTAATAAATAAAAAAATTTATTACAATCAAAACTCATAAATATAATTAAATGGTATTTATTGTGCTGAAATAAAACAGTATTGAAAAGGATAATAAACAAAATTAAAAAATATCTGCAGAGATATTCAACAGGTTTTTCATTTTTATATATGTATTATAATTATATTTATTTTTTATTTTTTGTATTTTATAAAATTTTATTTTCTAAACAATGGTATAAATATTGATATAATTTTATTAATATTTAATTTAAAATAAATAATTTTGATATAAATATAAATATTTTTTATTGAAATTGAAGAAAGTAAATATGACCTAATATCAAATAACAATTGTCCATACATAAGCGGATGTGTGTTTATTTGTGAGTTATGGTTTTAAAAATAGTAAAATTTTGAATTGAAATAATTGTTTAATTTAATATTTTAAATATCAAAATTATATTTCAATATAATACTATAATAAATATTAAATTCAATATTTTTATTTAAAATATTAAAACCAAAACTGAAATATCATGTTAACATATAAAATATTATTATCATTAATTTCAAATTCATTCAGCACATCTCATAAATAGAATTGTCACAATATAAAATCATTACCTTGTTTGCCGTCTATATAAGGACAATAATTGGGATGGTCGGGTGGCGTTGAAACTGAATTTGTAATTGGATCATGGGTTTAAACCATGATAGCTTCAGGTTCACATGCCACATATAGTTCGATTAGTTATACGTTATAAAAATAAAAAAATAAAAAAACAATAGCTTCTCCATAAATTTAATTTATCCATATATATATATATATTTTATTTATATTACATAAAATTTTATTTTATTTTTATAATAATATTCATATTTAATAGTATATTTTATGAAAATATAAATTTTGAAATCTTTAATCATATAAGTATATATTATAGTATTACAAATAAATATTATTAAATCAAACTTTCAACCAAAAATCCAATCATCAGGAGGTTTATTTTTTATTTGATTTAAATAATATTTTTTATACAATTTTTTATAAAATTAAATTTTTTTATTTTTATTTTTTTTGTTAAAAACGACTCATTCTCTCTCTGCAAAATTAAAATTATGAATTCCCACATTTTTCTCTATATATAGAAAAGACAAATCTCTGTTTATAAGCAGCATAATAACAACCTAGATGTGTTACATTATAATGCCTGCATACAATACAATACACTAGAATGTCATAAATTGCATCAAGTAAAAATACAGAAGCAATCAGACAGACATCGAACCATAACTGTGTTTTCCATTATCATCTATGAATTGAATTCTACACATTTTCTTTTTATACACTTTTAACTATTCTACCATTCATTCCCTACATTCCATCGATCGATCAATGAGCTACTGATCCATTAGCTAATACTTCTTCAGGTCTCACTGTCTGTTCCACCACAAAATGGTCGACGATTTTTACGCTGCTCACCGGGTCCTGAAACGGGAGAACCGATCGCCACTTGCTCGGGAATTTTCTTGTGTGGCTGAGATTCTGCGGCAGCTTCGATTCGCCTTCCCAGCTCGGATCCAGCTTCCACTCTTTCGGCACCTGTGGAAAGATTTGTTGGTGAGCAACCATTTTCAAGATTCAGAGAGATGGTGGTCGGATGGATTCTTACCTTGTCGACTGCAAGGGTGAAAACTTCGAGATTTCCTTTGCGGTTGATGTGGAACCGTGTGAACGACTTGTAGTTAGCAATACGGAGCGACGAGAAGGCTTCGTCGAAGTGTATGTGGAGCCAATTGATGCAGATGTAAAGGTAGCTTCCGAAGACCAGCGAAACGACGGGAGTAGAAAAGACCCAGAAGTAGAGGAAGACAGACGCATAGTATATTGCAGCACCGCCTCGGGAAAGTGAATCTATCCCTTTCTTGCAGATGCTCGTTCTGCTCACCGCCATGACCTAAGAATCACAAGCCAGATAAGATGAGAAAGGTTTATAGATCTTTAAAAAAAATCTACATATATAATTATGTATATAATCGGAGGGGCTAACGAGTACATTTCAGTAAATATAAAAAAAAGTGATATTGTGTTTGTACCTCAGGAACGTCGAAAGCAGACATCAGGTACTTGATGCACGCGGGATAGAGGCCGAATGTCCAATGCTCGATACGTTTCCGAAGACCAGTTGGGTCAGGAAAATGCTCGCTCTCCACGGAACGGTACCATTCATACAAAGTGTGGTAGCCTGAACACAAACATAGCTCCAATAACATCAATTCGTATTCGCATATTTTGAAAAATATTTTTGCCAATAATCGTAAACTTTTGAATAGCTAAATCCACCAAACATAACTCAAACAAATGTGACACTATCCACTTTTTACATAAATATAAGAAACTCAACAATGCAATACATATTATACAGTCTTATTGAATTCAAATTTATTTACAGATCCTGTACCTTATTAAATCATTCGATAATTTTTCTTTTTTCAATATTGAATTAGATAAATATTATAAAAACAATTTGATAATACTAATTAAAACAATAACTCAACGTAATATTTGCTCAAAACACTTCCAAAACACACACATACACAAACAAATCAATTCTTCCTGGGAATGAAATAACAGTGAGAATCAAGACAGAAAGGCCAGTCACCTGAAGTTGCCAACAACTTATGTCGGATGCATGTCTCGACACCCAATTCCAAAAGGAGCATAAGAATCAAGGCAGCAGACAAGTGTGCAGAGACGTGGAGAACACCAATAATCACTTTTCTTTTTCGTGACACTTTTGAAGGCACAAAGGTAATAGCGATTATTAACAGAATTAAAGCACCAGCTAAGGAAATGTATGAACGCCCAAACATATAGATGAAGGCATCCCATACTGTCCCAAAGAAATTCTTCAGGTGACCAGAGAAAGTATCATCCTGTAAGATGTGATCTAGCTTGCACTGAAAGAAGAGGAAATATGCTGTTAGTTATTCATCTATCAATGTTTAAGTTCTCCAAGCAATTGAAATAAGAATGATATAACTTCCTTATGTCACAAACTGTAGCGTAAATTACAAATTAGAACACATAATATACCAAATAATCAAAACCACATGTAAAATTGTACTTGTTTTTCAAAATAATCCCTTTTACCTCTCAATAAAGGATTTGCTTTCTTTTTTCCTTCAAAGTTAATATATATATATATTCAGAGTTTATTCAAATTACACTGTTAATTATCAGGGTGATCTTTTTTATTATTTATTTTTTGGTATTGGAGGCTTTTTTAACATTCTTACTTTGCAGAGAAGTAATTCCCAACTTATCACATAATCGAAGCAAAATCATTACCTGCGGAAACATGGAGAAGGCCAAAACAAAATATATGATACCACCTATGAAGTCAAACTGCCAATTTTTCTTCCGAAACTTCAATATATTTCCTAATGCAATCTGTCAACATAAATTGGTTTGATACGACAGCAATTAAATAAAGGTGATAGTATGCTCAAACTGATTGGATGATTAAACAATCAACATACCCTGCTGGAGTCTTCAAAGGATGGATAAGAAGCCTTGCTTTCATAAGATGTCCCGTAATAGCTGTTGAAATTACTAAAGACATGAGTGGGATGTAAGAATGCTCCGCCACAACCATTAACGAGCAGATGTTGCACCAATACAGGTTTCTGTGATGGAATGTATGAATGGCGCATATAATGATGCAAGTCTCCAGCCATTCGTAGCTTACATCTCCCTCTTAAATGATCACGTATCAGGTGTGTTACATTCTTCCCAGTTGAGTCATTCCAGTACCAATCAAGAAGCCAGTTAGGTTCGTGGGTCATGATGATCACAGAATCATGTTCACGCACCTAGAAATGCAAAGGGAAAAGACGAGTCAGAATAAGCATATGGTAAATTCTGCAAACTAACAAGACAATGCTGCTGCCACTGAAGTAAGCCACATCAAAGACATGCCAATGTCTGTAAATTAAACAGTGGGCACCCTTGAATTCATTTATGGAAAACACAAAAGAACAATTCAAACTAGAGAACTATCTGCCAACTATTCTGAGGCTTGTGCTATCACGTCATCAGACACTTTCTATAATATTTATAATCACCGAAATCTAGTCCAACCACTTGGGTCAATATTGGCAAAGACTTTATCCCATTGCAGAAACACAGCATGAGTGACATTTCTTTTCTTTTCTCTTTTTTTTGCATGAGTGACACATTGAATACATTCAATGACGAGGAATGAGATTGCACAGCCTATGGTGCTGCAGCTTACTACTCTCTAAGTGCATGAACTCTATTTCTGGAATCCAATTTGTTTAATTATTTGCAAGGCAAGTTCTGCTTCCCTTGTTCACAGTATCAATGAAATGAGGACAGGTTCTCCTGAAGCGTATGATAAAGCATTCTCGGCTTACAAATATTAAGCAACTATCACATAGCATTTCTCTTTCCACAGAGAACTCTCCAACTCTAATAAGCAGAAGGTGACCCAGCAAAATAGCCAATACAAACTTATATGTTCACATGATTTGTATCCTCTGAATCTCTGATGCAAGCAACCTCACATCATAATGGGAAATAAAAGTTATCAAGACTAGATAGAGGAGGCGAGGGCATCACATCTACTGGCAATACTTCAGAGACAGTACAATGGCCCACTAAACTTCTGGCCATATCATAAGAGAACAAAATTCTGGGTCATTCAATATCTGGGTATTGTTAATAAAAAAAGGTTACCATACAACAACCTCTCAAACTTTAAAGTTTTTGCAATCCCCCCAGATGAAAAAAAGTCAAAACATGCATTGATCAATCAATAAAATATTTATGAAAAAAAATATAATCAGCAAAAATTTATGAAAAAGTTAAAACATGAATTGAGTGACCCAGTAACAAGAATTTATGAAAAAACATATAATCAAAGGCAATAAGATATTTACCTTATCTTTTATCAGTTCAGAGAAAAACTTGAACTGGTATACATCAATATCACAATGGAGTGCAAGGTCAAGGCCAAAGACCCACCATCCCTTTGGTAGCTGAAGTGCGAAATAACTTTTCTTTTGGGGCATAAACCAGCCTCCGAGCCAGCTCTTGTGACAAATGTAGCGCATAAATGTCTGAAGCCCATCAAACCAATCTGCAAACCAATAGCGATGCTAAACCATATTAAAAATTATACAAACAGCACAGAAGACTAAAAAATTCAAATGATGAAAGCCATGGTTAATAATAAATATATGCAGCCAGTGGTGCAATAAGGTATCAAAGTTAGGCATTAGTAAATTTTCATATGGAGAGCGAAACTAACCATGATTTCCAGGTATGACAAAGCATTGAGGTCCATCATACTTCTTGAGTTCTGATATCCCAGGAGGCAATTCTGGTTTATTTACAGCTATGTGCTCCTCTTTATACCAGATAGGAGGCTGAAGAGCATGCTCAAATGGGCGGAAAAGACGCTTCTCGTATGTAAATGAAGAGGGATTGGGGTACCTGAACAACAATAAGAATTCAGTTGTAGAAGCATGACTTAAGAGTTTGACTCCAGCATGCCAGACAACAGGACTACTAAAAAGAAAATTGACTACTAAAAGAAAACAAGTCATTTTCACAGAAAACACAAACTGCTGTGTTATGATAAAAAGTTCCATTTACCATTAGACCGGAAGACTTCAGATCATTCCTGTTATATGCAGTAAAACTAGTTATCTAAATGGTAAATTGCATATCACCACTGTGAAATAAGACTGGATTTGAAAAAAACAAAGACAAAAATAAGTGTCTGTGCCGCAAGGTAAATTGAACTATAAAAGAAAGATTTTGGTTTTCTTTGGTGTTCTTTATCCACATGAAGATATTTAGAAATGATATTTTGTAATTACCCACATGTACATAGAAAAAAAAATATCTAGTGAAAGATGTTTTGCATTTCTGAAGAAAATGGTAACTAACCAACCACTTATCACAATAGCTATTCAGTTGTTTAAAAAATAGGCTAGCAATCCTTGGGGTTAGCAATTATACACAATAATATATAAATGAGATAGCAAGTGCACCTCAAACTATTTGAGCGTGCAAAATTCCTAATTTTAGTAATCCTAATGGTAATAAAAGAAAGGATTGACATGATTTAATAGAATAAGAGAACTGAGTAATTCATCATTCCAATTTTTTGAACTCAGAATATGCTCCTTGGTAGAATATTAAAATTGACTAATAAAATTGCATAGAACATACATTGAAGGTACTATTAAATCTAGCTGCCAAAAGTGGGGGCTGAAAACAAGACTGATATCAATTTAAATAGAAAAAATATAACCTCATTGACTTATCTCAGAAAACAAAGAATCCAGCATTTATCTAACGCTAAGTGGTAAGCAAGAAACTATCAATAAGAAGAAACGCTAGGATCATTGGGTGTATTTGGTTGGGAGTTTGAATTTTGAGTTTGAGTTTTGAATAGTAAAAAAATTGAATTTGAATAGTAGTATGGTGTGATATAAATGTGTTAATGTGATGTTTTGAATGTAAAATTGATTTTTAGTATAGTAGAAAAAATAAAAATTGGTATTTGATATGATGTTTTCGAAAAAAAATTTAGTGAATAATAAGTTTCTGCCAAAATCTTTGAACCAAACACACCCTATTGATCTAAGCAAGTAATAGAAATGGAAACCAATAGATACATAATATATATTTATATATACGTTTGTGTGTGTGTGCGTGAAATTTAGCATGCTTGGTATGCATCATAAGGGGTGTCAACAATATGTGGTAAAAACCATTCTATTATGCCACACATTTGATGGTCAATCCACACCACTAATTGTTTAGACAACTTCCATTGACTTTAGAAAGATAATGAAACACCTAAAAGAATAAAAAAAGTTAATTAGAAGTGGGTGAACTTACGCAAGGTCACCACCAATAAGGAGCAAGTTTGCACGCGGCAGCACAATAAAAGAATCATTATTCCGAACCCTGATTGAGGGCTGAGCAAGAAGCCTTGCCACACTATATGAAGAATTGCCACCGTCACCTGTATCAGCCATGAAATCAAACCATAGTTCATCTTCTCCGCTAAATTGATCATACAGAAGATCCTCTTGCTTAGCTCCATCCTCAACTCTGCTCATTGCAGCCTGTGTGTAATATTTAAAACAAAGACAAATGAGTAATTCCACAGAATTTTTTCAGTAAAAAAAATGAAATAGTATAAAAGGAAAATGTCACCTCCCCAACCCTTAAACACCAACAAAATCAAACAAGCTGCATACTAACAACTACAAAAACAAGAGCAAATACCAGACACACTGGCATACCTGCATCATGCGCATGTCAAACCGGCCAACAAACACAGTTACGGAGACCAGCAGATCAAAAACTGTCTTAAACAAATCAGCTGATGTCCTATACATCATATAATTGAAATCAGTATAATGATGAAGGTGGATACATTGATAAGGACGGAGATAGATTGAGAGAGAGAGAGAGAGACATACCCAGAATACCAAGGAACCATATCCAAAAAATCAGGCTTCATTTGCTTCTTTTTCTTCTTCTCAACTTCTTTTTGTGCCACAGGGTGAGTAAGAGCCCATCTGTTCATTGTTAGATGCCAATGTAAAAAGAAGATTAATCAACATAAATGGTCAAAGCATATGAAAGCTCCAAATATAAATCAGAAAGATAAAAACCAAAGTAAATAAATAAATAAATACAATGAGCATATAAAAAAAAGAAAGGGAAAGGCAAATAAAAGGTCAAAACTCCTTTTTGTAATCATTTCTTCCTTACATGTTATTACAAAGGAATCAACACACACACAAAAGCATTAAACACACAAACATGTCTCAGGATGAACCTTAGAGGACCATAAACTAGAGGCAAATAAGTTAATATTCAAAACTATATACATGTATATATACATCAGAGCAAATCATAAGTTAACTCTCACCCTGTTGATCGTTCAACCACATAGTTAGCCATGTAGAGGCCTATGAAAGTGGCCCACAAGGAATATATAGGCGAAATTTCAGCTGGAGATTCCACACACGAGCCTCCACTACAAGCCTGTAGAATATACACACCACCAACAGACAGAAGTGTCAAACATCACTGTATTCACAAATAAAGCACAGCAAAAACAAGAATATAAAGCCTTACTTCACCATAAATGACCCATTTTGATAAAAATGGATAATCATTAGCTGACCCAACAGGAGCAAACCAAGATGAGCAAACTTGATCTTTAAACTCATTTATACGAACAAATTTTGTAAGCCATGAATTCCTCTCTTCCTTGTTCCACAGTGTAAACCAAGCTGAGAATCTCCTTTCAAATGACTTTTCTCTTGTAATTGCACGATTGCCACAGTGGCTATAAAATACACAACACGCTATACTTATAACCTACACAATAATAGCAGCAGAAATAAGAACCAAGAACAATGCATTTTATACAGGATAATTTTCAGAACTTACAGCACAATTTTGAAGTATTGTTAGAATTGCAGGCCTCCGTCCAGCCACACGAGCAACAAGGCCAATATACCAGAGGCCAATAAATACAATATGGAATACAAGGAGAAACAAAATTGAGGACACATAGATAGTCAGAAACAAAGAAAGATTCATCCTCATATCAACTCCCATCGATTGAAAACTTGGAAGATGATATAACGCGGCCACCAATATCCAGGCAATGTACCTGAATTTGAAAAGAGACACAATTTTTAACTCATTAACCTAATTAACAAGGGCATTCAAGTATTATATTGAGGAAAAAGTGAAAAAGATAATCTACCAGCGACTGAAGTTTGAATAACTTGGTTTGATTGTTTTGCCTATAAATGGAGAAGAAAAGAAATAGAAGAATCCAAGCAAACCGCCATATATTGACCACCATTTTATATTGCTGTCTAACTTCTGAATGAGAGTATGCATATTATCTGATGATATGAAAAATAGGCAGCCTATAAAGACCGCAATGACGGCATGCCGAGAATGCTGATGTGGATAAGGGTACGTGTGAGTGAAAATCGTTCTGACTGTTTCCATATTCAGAGTATCCAGTAAACCAACAGGTTGCTTATCAGATCCCATCATCCTCCTGAAATACTTGCCCTAATTTTCTGAAATTGTGTAGGAAGCACCTTCACAACTAACACCAGCTACTGATTCCTGCAAAAACAAGTTTCCATTAAACATGACCAACCACAAATTAAAAAGTTTCGCATCTTTACTCATACATTCTTTATTTTTATCCAGCCATTGGGTTATCTAAACCTATGACAATCATGGCTAATTCAGGCTTATCCCAAAGTATACAGCAGAGTCTAAAGGCCTCTTCCACATCGTTTAACAACCACATTGAGGGTCTAAGTCACGACTTCGTGACGCAGCTGGCAGTTAGTGGGTTTTAGATCTTTACTATGTAGGGTGTATGAAGAAGCTCCATTCATATGGAATATGAAGGTAAAAGATTCACAAAATTATCATCGACTATGCTATCATAATTTTTAACATATTGGCTAAAAGACAAGATCCTCATAAAAATGATAAATCCCGTAGAATATAATAATGAAAGTAATTACGGAAAATTCCCAATTAAAATGCCGAGGATTTGCACAAGAAAGAGCTGATAATAATACGGGAGACAAAACTAAACCAGAGATTATAAATTCTGGAAAAGGAAACTACGCGTACGCAAAAGTATAAATACAAAGATTCAAAAAACTACACAGAAACTTTCTAGAACTACCAAATTATTCAATCAATTGAAAAAATCAAGAAGGCAAGAAGCCAAATGAAGCCAAATAGGTTTTGCAACACCGAATCCGTATTTCTCAAACCTAAATTCGCATTCGATTCTTGAACCCCACAATCAATTCCTCTCGCATCGCATTAACACCCAAGATTGGAGACAACAAAAAAATAAGAGCCGATAGAGAAAGGAGAAAGCGCACCTTGATTACAGAGAGATGTGCGAGAGAAGGGAAGCCGACGAGCAGGCTGGGCGCATGCCCATTTATAATCAATCAATCAATCCGTTGGTCGTTGCTTATTGTGGACGAATGCAAAGTGGTGAAGAAATTGAAATGAAGAGGAGGAGCACGGTTTGGAGAATGTGAGCAAGGAACCTTTTTCGACCATGGAACAGCATATTCCCTCTGGCTCCTCTACTCTGACCAAGGCCCACTACCGCCCGCCCGCCCATATACGACTTTTTTCACGTTTCTTGGTACATACACAACCAAACCAAACCCGGGTTTCTCTCTCTAGTTTTTTTAATGATTACCATTTAGCAGCAAAGCAAACTGCAAATGATCAGATGGTGGCGTGGCGAAACAGAACATGGGGTTCTCAAAATATTGCGGGTGGCCTTTTCTTTTTGTTTCGTTTTTTTGGTGATTGTGTAATTTCTTTTTCTCCCAACGATGAACACGTTTCTTGTTCAGCAAAAGGATCATGTGCACTGCACGCTCCTCAATGAATCTTAGGATATGTTTTTATAGTTTTGGATATATATTTAAATTTTCATAAATATTTTCTTGTATCTTACTCATACCCATGCTAATTTTAAGATTTATATATATATATATGTAATGTACGTAATTGGAAAACTTCTAAAAATGTAACGGTTTTTATATATTTTTTTTTTTTTGGAATTTTAGTTTTGAATGGTAAAAATTAAAATAATTGTTTGATGAGACATCATATTTTGAATATAAAATTAAATTTTAATATAATATAATAAATAAAAAATAAATATTTAATTTAATATTTTTTTTAAAAAAATTATTAAAATAATAAAATCAAAATCAAAATTCACAAGTAATCCATCTAATAAGCCACACTTGCTACATGAATGTCTCTGTTTGGTAGAAATGATCATTCACTTTAAGAAATATAAAAAAGATTATAACAAATTGAATGAATCGATTTGAATGATATTGTATATTACGAATGAAAAATAATAAATAAATTAATTATGAAAAATCATGAAAGAAAAAAATCAATGAAGTAAAAATTAGTGACTAAATATTGTCATATTTAATTGATAATTTTTTAATAATAATAATTTTGATATGAATATTATGGAATCAAAATAATGTATTTTAAAATAAATTATAAAAAATAAATAGTAAAAAATCCAAAAAATAAAAAATATATAATTAGATATACAAATTTCATTTTTCTGCAAATGCAGAAATTGAAATTATGAATATTTGGACCGCAAATGCTATGTTTATTTGGATTGCAAATACTTGAACAATATAAATAAAGAGGATGGAGTTCCTTTTATACCCAAAAAAAAAAAAGTCATCATGGGTTGTGTTTGTATGAGAATTTGAATTTTGAATTGAGATTTAAATGGTAAAAAAAGTCAACAATTTGATATTTTGAATATAAAATTAATTTTTAAAATAATATAAAAAATAAAAAAGATGTTTGATTTCAAACTTAGAAAAATAGTAGAATTTTGATAAAATCCTATAGCCGAACACACGGCATATATACTATCCTAGAACCTAGAACCTACTCTAATGCACAACCTTCTCTATGTACAACGGTAAATCTACCATCTCGGGACCCTCCGATGTCCCATGGTGACAACTCTCTCCCACTTAACCTCGTCTTCATCAAGGTCTCATCACGCCTCATGTGGGTTCCAAATTGCCCCATCTTTCGCTTGGCACATTACCTTGTGTTGGCTAAGGGTGTTTTTAAGTCTAATGATGGGATAAATATGTGATTAAAATGAATAAAATAATTTTGAAAATTTTGAAAAAAAATGTCATGTATGTAGGTTCGATTATTATTTTCGAAACATTTTTTTTTTCATTTTAACAATTTAGGACATTATGAGTACTTCGAGCATTATTTTTACCATTCGGCGCCAAAAAAAAGCACATGACAGTGTTCGCCTTCGCGCATGGGCTGCGTATACGTAGACGTTGCCGTTGCTAGTGTATAGTAGCCTGTGTAATCGTTAGACAGGTGATGTGAAATTATCTTTTTGAAAAATATATATATCTAATTTTTTTTTTCTTTTTTTTTAAAAAATTTCAATTTAGCATCCATTGGACCAAATTGAAATAATAAAGAAAAAGCTTAGAACGAATTGTTTTTCCGGCTCCAGAGGTCAAAATTAAGCCGGAGTACACATAATATTCTAAATTACGAAAGTGAAAAAAATAAAATAATTACACGTCACCTGTCTGACAGACAATTAAGCGGACGACAACACAACAACGGCTCCACGTATGCTCCAGCCATGTCACGAAGGCGCACGTGACGGTCACATGTGTTTTTTCGACTGGAGTATACATAATGTCCTAAGTTGCGAAAGTAAAAAAACATATATATATATATATTTGAAAATGATAATTAAAACTACATTTGAGATATTTTTTGCAATTTTCCAAATAATTTCAACCATACAAAATAGCCCCAAGGAGAATAAGATAACAAATAATAAGTTCCCAACTCACCTACAATCTGAATCTCATTCAGCTTGACTGTTTACAGATAAAGATATGTCCAATCTATCCCCTTTTTTTGTGAAATAAAATGGAGTGAGCTATACACATTTGAAATGCACATTAAGTTGTTTTCATCCTGGCTGTTAGAAGAGAATAATTACAGGAAGATCCCAATTTTCGAAGGTAAAAAAACAATAAAAATACAGCAGTATCATAACTTTACCTTGATCCCAAAACCTCTGGCTGCACCCAAGTCTTTGCTGGTTAAAGGTACAAGATGACAACCCTTCTTGAGTCGTATCTCAAGATGGAAACTGCATACAATGGATAAATTAGCAAATAATATTTGAATTGAAATTTGAAGTATTTTGTTAAGATAAAGAGCATGAGTGATGCTTGAGTTACCAGTTTCCTGCTTCTTTCTAGATCCAATTTCTTCTTCAGCACAATCCGCGCCAAATTTCGTTTGCCTTCACTATTCAGTCCATAGATGACTTTCCGGAAGTTAATTGTACTGGGAATAATGCCATTGTTCAGCATTTCAGAAATGAGTTTGAATGCTTCTTCAGAGTTGCCTACTCTACTAAGGCAGTGAATGAACATAGAGTAAGTCTTAAAATCGGGAGCCGGGCCATTTTGCTTCAGGTGATGGAAAAGACTCCAAGCATCGCTAACCCGTCCCAGTCTCACATATCCGCAAATCAGAGCTGAATAAGTGACTATGCTAGGTTCACAATCATGTTTCTTCATTTCCTCTAAAGTTTGGTGAGCTCTATCAATCTCCTTCGCCTTAAGAAAGTAAATTATCAAAGATGTGTATACATGAACTGTCGGATTAATTCCCACCTGTTTCATACTCTTGATCTTTGCCAATGCCTCTTCCAGTTGTCCCCTACGCAATAATCCATGAATCAAGCTACCATATGTGTACTGGTCCAGGATATTCTTTTCCGAACCAATTTCATCCATCAAGGCTAAAGCATCCTCCAATCTCCCTGCCCGGGAAAGGGCCCTGAAGTACAAGGAGTAAGATAAAGGGACTGAAAAACCAAACTTATACAAAGATTCAATACAGGTTCTTGCTTCTGACAGTTCATTGACCTCGCATAAACAGCAAATATAAGTTTCAATCAATTCTTTACCAGGCACAAAGCCAGATCTAACCATTTCATGATACAGCTGGATTGCATCACGAGCTTTCCTACCTTTCTTTCCACAAAGAGAAGTGATCAAAGACTTGTAGGTGCTTTTAGATGGTTTGCAACCACTGAGTTTCATCTCTTTGAAACTCTTCAAAGCAATATCTGTCAGCCCGATACGACCATACTGTTGTATCATAATTGTCCATGTATCAGATGTTATTAAGCAGCCTCTTTTTTTCATCTCATGAAAGAGGCATCTCATTTCCTTAAAGTTTTTCCCTTGACCGGCAATTTTAATGGCTGCATGGTATGATTTTTCAGCGTGGCAATAACCTGATTGCTTCCCGACCCATGAGAAAAACTTTAAGGCAGTGCCTATGTTAGGGCCACTATTCTGCAATATTCCTACCACAAGTTCAGGCGTAAACTGGATTTTAAGTTTCCCCAATCTCTCTTGAATAATGGACCAATCACTTAAGGATGATAAAATTTGGCAAACTTGTTGTACACTAGTATCAATATTGATTCCTGCACCAGATTCCGGGAAGTGGTCTAGCCTCCTTTCCTGTGATGATCGATTTTGTTCTGGTTCTCCTACCAGTTCCACTTGATTTGCTCGAACAGAATTAAGTTCCTCTTTACCTCTTGGATGAGAGGTAAAACCTCTCTGTATTCCCAATATTACATTCATCTTCTCCAAATCTCCTTTCCTTTCTAGGTAAGAAAGAACCTGCCTAAGGACATCATCTCGAATATCTAATTCACAAATCAAGTCACTCAAAACCTTGTCAATCTCTTCTGCTTTGGAAGCTTTACAGAGTTCCTTTATGAAAATTATATATGATTTACGAGTTGGCTTAAATCCCTTTTCATACATGCTCTTGAACACTTTAGATGCTTCCGAAAGGCGATTTTGCTGAACATAAGCAATCGCAACAGCAGTTATTGCCACACTATCCAATTGAATCCCCTTTTCGAGAACCTCATTGTACAGCTCCACGCCTTTCTGGAATTCCTTATTCCAGAAAAAGTGTTGCATCAAATTTGTGTAGGTAGAGATCGGGACATTTCCTAACTTTTTCGCAGCAGCAAAAAGATTAAATGCCTCAGTCACTTCATTTCTTCTCAAATAAGCGCTTATAAGAATTCCATAAATATTTGGATTGAACTCATTTCTTCTCTTCATTATTTCAAGAATTTCCATGGCATCTGTAATTCTATCTTTGGTACAGAGCCCTTTCACCAATGTTTCAAAAATTCCGGCATCAAGTACTACATTCTTATTCTTCATATCCTGTATTAATTCTAAGGATTCTTTTATTCTCCCTGCAATGCAAAAACTCTGTAGCATCAAACCATAAATCTGAGGTTCAGGAATCTCAGAAAGTCTCACCATGTTTTCACCAACCAAATGAACACCAGCAGCAGCATTCCCAGACGCCACACACTTGAGCAACTGTTTATATAAGCCAGCATCTAATTTCACTTCCTTAAGTACCATATCCTTGTAGAATTCCAAGGCTAGGTCGGGTTTTCGAGCATTACAAAGTGCACGCAGCATTGTTCTGTAGGCAGTCGAATCAGGTTCAACACCAGCTCTCTTCATTTCCTCAAACACCAACAAGGCTTTCCCGATGTGATTTGCTTTCCCATAATGAGATAAAAGAATAGTCCATGTCTTAGCATCTCTCTCACACGACGATTTCTTCATTTCCTCAGCCAAATTCTCTACCAAACTGATATCTTTCTCTTCCCCAGCTATACTTATCATCACATTAAAGGTGTTGGTTGTGTGATTAAATCCTTTACTGTGTTTCACCCAATTGAAAAACTTTAAAGCCAAATGAGGAACTTTGAAACACCTCTTCAGCACCTTCTCGACTACCTCCTCATTGCAGTTGAAATCACAAGTGGCAAACCTGTCCTCCATTGAAACGACGGCGTTTTCACTCCTAACAATCTCAGTCACCTTATGAACTACTGGGCTAACATCTTCCACTTCAATCTCATCCAAAATCCCTTCCCCCGGTGCACCTCCCATCTTTATATCGTCTGTTTTCTCCTCGGCATTTCTACAAACACTTTGCCCCTGGAACGACGATGACTCCCCGCGCCCCGCATCTCTTCTCAACTGCCTTTCTTTGAACTCCGACAACCGATCCGAAGCATTTGTATCAACCTCAATCGCATCAGTGCCCAATATACCAAGGATTTCATCCAAGAGAGGGCCAAAGCCTTTTGATTCTCTGGAGTTAGTCAAGTCAGAATTTTCATCAGCTCTTCTGGAAGTTTGAACTGATCTTGACGACACAACTGAAGACCCAACTAATTGAAATTTTCCAGGCGAGAAACTACGCCAATTTGGTATATCATTGCAAGGATTTGATTTCAAAAATCCACCTTTGAACAGGTGCTTCATGGAGGTCTGACGTGAAAATCATTCTAAAGTTCTTCACACTAGAAATAATATAAATATAGTGGGCTTAATTAAAATATTTGATAAAGAGTGGGTAAATATGATAATAATTTAAAGTATAAGCCCTTGTGGTGAAACTATAAAATCACGAGAAAAATCTCAAATTCCCTTCTCAGTTTTCCATACGTCATTCCCGATTTGCTTCTTCCGAGATCACTGCCGCTCGGAGAATTCGGAAGCGACTTCGAAGGAATAACGCTATTCGGAGGTGTAATGGTATGTTCTCGAAACGTGTTTTTGATTTGAAGTTTACTTCTTTTTTTTTTTTTCTTTTTTTTTTTTTCTGTGCACCGTTTGGTTTTGATTTTATGGTTATGTTAAAGTAGGAGTATGTTTAAAGCGTTGTGGATTAATTTGATGTTTCTCAAGTCAGTTGGTTGAGAAAAGATGGAATCAATAGTGAACAAGTATCGGCAGAAATTCAGGAGAGTGAAGGGGGAGATGTGCCGATGGGAAGAGCTTCAATCGAGGCTGATATCCCAATTTGGTAACGCCTCTTCTATCATCCAGAGGTTGCAGGTTTTTCTGAATCATATCGCTTCCTCTGTACGTATGTTTTCGATTTTCCTTTTTCCTGAAATTTTTTCTGTCAATTTGATGTTTAGATTATTCAAGATGGAAAGAATTATGGGGCTTTAAAGTGCGTTGAAGGAATAGAAGATGCGGTGCTGGCAAGGCAAATGGAGTCTCTGCAGCATATCTTGATCTCCATGGGGCAGACTATGTAGTATCTTTTTTCCCTTTCGTTGCCTTTACATTTTATCTTGTGTTGTACTGTTCTTGTTTTTCTTGCTCAGAAATTGATTACTTTTAAATCATTGATGAAGCTTTGTGTTACTTTTAACAGGATATTGACAATTAACTTCGATTTTGTAAAATAATAGATTACATATTGTTTCCCGTCTCCTTCGTAAATATCAGTTCTGTAAAGCATGCTTCTTTCAGTGCTTTTATGGTGCCATTACTGTCTCCTGATGTTCAATTGTAACTCAATTTTGTTTCTGCTAATTGAAAGTATCCGAGTCTTGCGAATTTTGTGAAACAGTAAATTAGGCTGGCTCTTTTTTTTTTTTTTTAATGACTTCTTCTGTCTATGTTGCTGCCTGTAATCCCTAGCCAAGTTTAAACACATTTTGAGAAAAAATGGAAGGAATAATTAATAAATATTTATCATTTTAAACAATAAATTAGGCTGGCTCTTTGACTTATGGAATGTTGTCGGTGGTGAAAGTGTAGTGGAAAGTGATCTGTTTTCTTTTCTTTTGTATCAATCATTCTGCCCAGGGAAGAATTTCGTTTGGTTGTCTCATCCCTTCAGAAGATAGTTCGTGACAGCAGGCAGCTTGTGGGAGCTTCATCTTCCAAATCAAATTCAAAACAACTGAAGCAGCGGGTTGGTGTAAAACCAACACTCTCAGAATGTTTAGACGGACTTAGGCTCCTCGAAGAAATGCATCAAGCAGAGTAATGTCTGAAAATCAGTAAAATGCCTTTTTCTTTCACATATGCCATGTTGGGTTGGGTGGCCAAAATGAAAAGAGTGGTGTACTAGTTGTTTATCCTTTACTTTATGAAGCAAGTTTTTATGTTTTTTGTCCTACGAGAAATTTGCATGACTAGATATAATCATATAAAACTACAGTCGAAGTTATTGTTTCTACTTTGATTAATAAAAAATCACATGCTTTAGTTCGTTTGATCAGCTCTTTTAGTTTCTCTAAGCTATTTTTGTTATTATTCCTAGTTTGATATCAAACAATCATGTTTGTTTAGGATGTGTTTAGTTGGTTTTTTTTTTTTTTTTGAATAGTGATTTGAATACAATGATTTGTGAGAAAAAATTATTTAATTTTATAGGGAACCGTAAGGGTTGAATAGTAAAAAAGGTGAAAATAATTACCAAGTAAACAAGTCTTAGTTTGTATGTGTTTGGTGACTCTCCAATTTTAACTTTTTAAGGCACTTGGCTTACACTATGTTTCTATCTTCTTTAAATTAGATTATAGTTACCGAATAATGAGTATGATGGTAACTTTATCTCTACCTTCTTTAAATTAGATTATACTCTTATTCATATACACATATATATATATATACACATTAAAAACAATAATAAACATATTATATTTATTGTTGTTCTTGTTTATTTCTTCTTTCCATCAGAAAATCCTTAGACCAAGTGATGCATGAGATTTTGCCTTTCTTTTTCCCTAAAGTGTTACTTTCGTCGCTAATGGGAAATGGCTTTCAAATTCCTAGAACCAACATATTGTTAATGCTTAACTGCAGGTATCATCTTAAATTATCCGTGATCTCAGCACTTCCTGATCTTGCATTGAAACCGAGGTACGCAAGGCTTTTCTTAGCACCATCTTCCATAACTAACACCAGTTGTTCAAACTTCTATTGAAAATTCATCATTTGCATTTCATTATATATGAATACGTCATGAATAGCAAGTTATTCAAGTGGTTTTAGTTAACACATGATTATTTATTCATATCCTCTTTAAATGGCTTTACTTTGTTCCAGTGCAACGGGCGATTTAGGTGCACTTCAGCAACTCTTGATTGATCAACCTAATATTCCCCAAGAGGAAGGTAAATTCAATTTTTATTCAAACAGAAAACTCATATCGTGGTTTTGTATGTAGTAACAATAATTACCAAAACAGATATTCAATATAAACACACAATCCAGTTAAGAAATGCCAATTTTCAAAATGCCTCATCGCTAAGAAGCATGCTCGGGTTTTTAGGTTTCTTCAAAGCTTTTCCATGACAATTCTCTAAATGGTAGCTGTCAAAAGCTTTAGCTAGAATGACCATGTCAAAAAAAAATGCTTGCCATTTTAATACTCTCTCGCACACATGTATCTTGTGCAGTGCAATTTGTGTACGGCATTATATTTGCTGAAGAGATCTCGTGAGATGCTGCTCTAGACTATCCATCCATTCCTCATCAAGACGGGTGTGCGGTCATTGCAGAAGCCCGACACTGATGCTTAAAGATCTCCCTTCTGTCCGTCGTCGTCGGAGCAAATTCGGGTGTGGTTTTAGTTTGCTTTGGGTTTTGAACTGTGAAAGGGATCTCTCCTCTCCTGTTTTTCTTGACAGGTCGGTAAGTAAATTTACTAACTTTTGCATCAGAATGCGACTCTTAAGATGAAATGATGGATGCATTAATTTGATAGTATGATGATTCAATTTTAGACATCTTGAATGATATTTTAATGCATGAGAAAGTTTCAAAGTTTTGCCCTTTGGGTCAGTCTTTTTTTCTTTTTTTTTTTTTTCTTCTTAATTTTTATTTCCAAGTATTTGATGCGTTGGTGTGAAAACAAAATAATAAGATTATTATATATGTTCAATGAAAACTTATTTTGTGTAGAGACAAGTAAATGATTAACATCCAGTAAGGTTAATTTTGATATTGTGTATTTATTGAAAAATGGGTACTTGGGTTTGTTTGGTTGTCGACTTTTATTTTATTAATTTATATTTTTGTGCATGGGTAAACTGTTTTTTTAGTCCCCGTAATTGGATCCCTTATCATTTTAGTTAGTCTTGTAAGTGGAGGTTGTCGCAAACTAGTCCCGTAAGTGAAAAATATTCGTTGTTTCAATCCTCCGGCGCCGGAGATGCCCGCGTGGCTCGCCAACGTGTCCGTCAGGTGTCCTGCCAGGTCAGCGACACCTGGAGGATACGTAGATTTTTTTTTTTTTCATTTTTTTTCAATTGGCCTCCGGCGAGCCACGCGGATATCTCCGACGTCGGAGGACTAAAAAAGCAAAAAAATTTCACTGACTAATTTGCGATATGCTGCTCCACTCAGAGGATTAAAATGATAAGGGAGTTTAGTTACCGGAATAAAAAAACAGTTTACCTTTTTGTGTATTGAAGTTTAGTAGTTTTGAAATAAAATGATTTTTTAGTTTTGAAATAAAATAATTTTTACATATAATTTTTTGTAGGAAAATAAATAGTGAATATATAATGAATTGGAGAATATATACTGTTTCGTTTTTATGATTAGTTAATCAACTTAGATACTAAATACTCCTCCGCCCCAAAAGATTTGTTTTGTTTTTCAATTTTCGGTTTCAAAATAATTGTCTTGTTTCCTTATCTTATTTAGTAGTCATAGTCTCCATTTTATAACAAAATTATTCTTACTTTTTCATACTACATTTAATTATTACTCTAATATATTTTTTAAAATTCTTTAAAAAGTAAAGGCATTTTAGTTATTTACATTCTATTTTATATCCATTTTCAATTAAATATTATTATTCATTAATTTCTATGTCAATTTTTAATATGACACTGGAGGGAGGGAGTATATAATGAATGTAGCATTTACAAGTGGCAAGAAGCTACCTCGACTGGGGTGGTCAGGATTAATGTAATTACGGGCAGCGACCATGATATTGATATTGATATTGATATTGATACCACCAACTTGCACAAATGCTTCATGTTCTTCACAATAAACAAATTTTGGTCATGGTATTTTATATGTTTTGTCGTTCATAATATTTTATATAAAATATATGTATTGACTATTGAATATCATAATTCTAGATAAAAATTAAAAATTCCAATTAAACAAATATATCCAGTGAACAATATTACTTAGATTTTAGTTGGAAGTTGGGTATGTTATTTGATTGTAAATTAAATTATGATATAATATACTATCTCCGTTACATTAATTATTATATCAAAATAAAAGAACAAATTAAAAAAATTACAAAAATACTTTAATTAGTGTTTTATAACATAAAGTAAATGTTCAGACGGACGGAGATAGTATTTAACTGAAATTAAATTTAATATATGTTTTATATATTTTAAAACTACATTTTAATAAAAATATATTTAAAATGAAGATTATTGTGTAAAATAATTTGTTATATAATACAAATAAATTGTTGAATGAATAGTAAAATTTTGGTAAAATATTTCAGAAAAAATATACTTGATAATATTTTTTATATTGAAAGAAAAATTAATACATTTTAATTATATTAAGTAGTATTAAACATGACCATGTGACAACATAGTCATGTATAATTGTACATGTTCATGTGACGATATGATCATGTTGTTTTTAGATCATCTGCCACGTCACATGTTACGGCCACCTCAGCAATTTTTGTTAGTGTTTTAACAACAAAACTAAAATATTGTTTATAATAGGATTAAAAAAAATTGATAAATTTTTTATATTTGAATCAAATTGATTCTCTTATTTTTTATAAAATATTTAAAAATCATTAAAATTAAAAATAAATGATTTCTAATCTTATTATAAATTACATTAATCAATTTTTGTTATACTTAAAAAAATTTTGATCAATTTTGATCTTATTCAAATTAAAATTAATCAATTTTCATGTAATTATATTTGTCGATTGAACATGATCGTATTAGCTTGAATGCTTTGTTTTAAATGATTCAGAAAATTAACTAGCTCTGTGTTTCTTTATCCTAAACCATCCAATTTTTTATTGTTGGGATGGAAATGAGTACAACTCCAATAAATCCTCGTACACAAATCCAAATGGGCCAACCTCCCGAAGCGTAGTTATATCACAGTTATGACACCCACTTGTCGATGAAGTAAATGAAAGTATTTCAAAGCAATAAATGAGATGCTATTTGTTTACCCGGTTCGGATATAAACCATCCTACATCCGGGGGATACCAATCCAGGAGGTGTTCATTAATCAGTGCTGATTAATAACAAAACACTCAAACCTCCACCAACCCACGCTACAAATTAATTACCCTTCAAGGTTTCAGTTGTTACAAACTCGTACTAACAACCGTCATAGCTGGGCTGCACAGAGTTCGAATGCTCCCCTGATCAGAACTCCAGTCTTCCTTTGATCTCCAAGCTTCTCCAACAGAAATACAATGTAAATCACTTACTTAATGCATGGAGGTGGAAGGGAAGTTGTTGAGAGGATAAACACAATAATTATCTTACTACCCAATCTCCCTCTCTCTCTAAGATCACTCTCTCTACTTCCCAAAACTCTAATACTATGAAACATACAACCACAGCAGCCATGAAATGACATGCATTAAATTCCCTTTGTTCTAACCAAGGAATGATGTTGTATCAAATCAGTTCTGATCACAAGAAGACAAATTCGAAATGTCCAATTTGTCTTTGAGCAGCCACCAACGAGAGGGGACACAAGGGCTGCATGATTGGACTTAACCAGCAAGTCCAGAGTTGCTGTTTTTGAATGCCAACGACCACAGAAGCAAAAAGTGTTTTTGTCACTATGCCAAAAATAGATGTAGAGGAATTGAGATTATCTTAACAATCTCCCCCTTTTTGGCATATGTGACCACACACACAATGCAGGAGATAATCACCCACACATGTAGATTAACCCAAATTAAGAGTAAGTTAAGGTTAGGTTTACATGCCATCAATCCAAAGAAGGCTACATGCAGCCTTTACAGAAATTAAAGTCCAAGAACAGCAAAACAAGAGTCTAAAACAGCAACAGGCAGTGAAGAAGTCATGACACAGTGATGCTACAAACACAGTTCAAACAGAGGTCCCCCTTTCTTGATGATCCGATGATCCCATTCCTTCCAGTAATGCAGCAGCAATCCCCCCTCTCTCCTGCATCTCTCCCCCGTGCGTGGACAGATGCCAAAAAAGGCTGGGATGCTTATAGGAAGTCAGGGATTTCCTCCTCCTCATCCGGACCGGAGGCAAACCGAGGATGAAGATGCAGAGCACGAATGATTTTCTTCCTATGTTCAGCTAAGGTGGAGTGAATAGAAGCTTGTTCCTGCAAAACTTCAAGAAGTATCCTTCGGGCTTCCAAGAGCTGACCGGACGGATCGGCTGGGAGAGGTTCCTTAAAGTCGTTGAACAGCTTGTGCAAGTTCGACCTAGGCTTGAAAAATGTTGTTTGAATGGAATCTTCAGTGGGATCAGGAAGGATCCCATTCTGCTGCAGTAACAGTGTAATGAGGGCCGGATATGGGAGGTTTGTTTTGTCAAATGACTTGCCGCGGGCATACTTCATCATTCTGGAGATGACAACAAAGCCGAAATTGATGTCAGCACAAAGTTTGTCAATGCAGAGAAGTAACTTACCCATCTCATATCCAATGTTAGTCCCATTACTGGTGGGAAAAACATTCATTGCACAGAATCGAAACAGACACTGATATTTCATAGTCAGTTCAGTTGCACCCAGGCCAGCTCGTCCAAAGTCATCTGATTTCCATGCAGATAGTCGAAGTGCCACTTCTCTTCTGGATTCTTTGATCAAGGCAGACGGATACACTTCAGGATTATCAGACGGAAGATGTAGTAACTTGTTGATTACTTGAGGACTGAGTTCAATCATCTTTCCCCGTACATAAGCCCTGTGGAACCAAGGACTTTCCTCTTCCAGTACGTCTCGTGTGAGATTGGCATAGAACTCCCGGACAAGCTTCGGGCAATAGGATTTGAGACAAACTGCCCAACGTCGCAATCCTTTCATCCTCAAGAAAGCGAGGAAGCCAACATCTTTGTGTAGGGGATCGGTAAACCGAGCCTCAGGAACAAATTTCCGATTGGCTAAGATATCGTATTCGAACAGAGTTTCATCTTCATTCATCTTTAGTGCTTCAAACAGAGTTTCAACATGATCCAGCTTTGATTCTCGAACCTGCACAGACCCTTCAAATGCATTTTCAAGAATATCCCATGCTTCCTTCGCAACTTTGCAGTTTGATATCAGCTTCGCTTGAGTTTCATCAACAACATTGAAGATCGAAAATAAGGCTTTCGAGTTGGCGATTGCAGCAGCCTTTTCATTGAGAGTCCATTCTCTTTTTGGTTTCTTCACAAGAGTGACAGTATTATCTTCATTTTGAATGGTCTTCATGGGATGAGACCATGCAGACTCGACAGCTTCAGAAACATCTTCACCTTGTAACATCAGAAATGCTTCCATTTTGTTCTTCCAACTTCGATAACTTGTTCCATCAAACAGTGGAGGTCTCGATGTAGATCTACCTTCTTTACTCATCTTTGCAAACTGTGAGAGAATCTACTCAGCAACTTAGAGAACACTGCTCTGATACCAAATGTTGGGATGGAAATGAGTACAACTCCAATAAATCCTCGTACACAAATCCAAATGGGCCAACCTCCCGAAGCGTAGTTATATCACAGTTATGACACCCACTTGTCGATGAAGTAAATGAAAGTATTTCAAAGCAATAAATGAGATGCTATTTGTTTACCCGGTTCGGATATAAACCATCCTACATCCGGGGGATACCAATCCAGGAGGTGTTCATTAATCAGTGCTGATTAATAACAAAACACTCAAACCTCCACCAACCCACGCTACAAATTAATTACCCTTCAAGGTTTCAGTTGTTACAAACTCGTACTAACAACCGTCATAGCTGGGCTGCACAGAGTTCGAATGCTCCCCTGATCAGAACTCCAGTCTTCCTTTGATCTCCAAGCTTCTCCAACAGAAATACAATGTAAATCACTTACTTAATGCATGGAGGTGGAAGGGAAGTTGTTGAGAGGATAAACATAATAATTATCTTACTACCCAATCTCCCTCTCTCTCTAAGATCACTCTCTCTACTTCCCAAAACTCTAATACTATGAAACATACAACCACAGCAGCCATGAAATGACATGCATTAAATTCCCTTTGTTCTAACCAAGGAATGATGTTGTATCAAATCAATTCTGATCACAAGAAGACAAATTCGAAATGTCCAATTTGTCTTTGAGCAGCCACCAACGAGAGGGGACACAAGGGCTGCATGATTGGACTTAACCAGCAAGTCCAGAGTTGCTGTTTTTGAATGCCAACGACCACAGAAGCAAAAAGTGTTTTTGTCACTATGCCAAAAATAGATGTAGAGGAATTGAGATTATCTTAACATTTATTATTTGATTTATGGGTTCCCGGCAAAAAATATATATATTTTTTTTCACAATGATTTCATCAAATATTATTTTAATATCAAAACTCAAACCAAATTTCTTCCCAAACTAATGAAAAAACCGTGTTGGATTGAGTACAACCATATTCACTTAATCTGACAAAAAAAATAATTTTTTCTCTTAAAAATTACTCCATACTCAAAAGCAACATTATAGGTTCTCAATACATTTTTATAAATAGTCCCGTAAGAGATGGTTTAGGGCTTAAACGCTGATGCTTCCATATCTACTTGCTATACATGGTTCGTTTGGTGTGACTTGTCTTTTTGAATTTAATTTGCAGTATTAGATTCAGCTGAAGTTTATCCAGTGCGTACTTTCGACTCCGAATTTTCGTGTCATTTAAAAAAAAATAAAAATATTTATAAGTAACTGGGTAAACCCTTGCCTGCCGAACATAAATTATTCTCGTAAAATATTAGAATTACACAACCTGAAATGGTAAGGTTTTGGCGGTTTGTTTAATAACATTCAACTAAACCAACTTAACTAATGCCTTCTTGTTTTATAAGTTTTCAACTGCCTGCCCTGCCTCCCATTTTGTTCCTTTTTTTCAATTGGTGAAGAACAACAACAGCGACAAGAAGAAATTTGGTTTGATTTTCAGTGTTTTGTGTATCGTGTTGTGCAAGCTTTCGATTCCACTTCCGCGCTCGGATGTTTCCAGGTTTTTCAACTGATCTCAACTATGTACTCATTCTAGACTTTGCTTTTATGGTCAATTCTGTGTCCGCTTGATCGATTCATGCGCTTTCTCTTTCAATTCCGTGATATTTTGATTGTGATTAATGGAATTTTGGTTGCTTGGTGGACGGAATTCGAAGTATTCCCCTTCGCTCTCCAATTCAACAACCTTCCCTCTGCAATTTCTAGATTAACACCGCTGCATATATCGTCGGTTTGAGATCGCCGGTCACGGTTTGGGCGAAATCAGAAGCTCCGACAAGTCTTCTCCGCGTATGATTCTGCGTTTGCTAGGTCTGAATTTGATGGCTCGATTATTTAATTTGGGGATTTTGGAAGATTCCTTCTACTCGCCTGGGGATTCCCAACAGCTCTGACATTCCTAGTTGGTTGTGGATTTCTCTCCAACCGTACGATTTTTTGCTGGTAACTGCCGCCATGGCCGGATATTCCGACGGCGGTCAGTCCGACGAGAACAGCCACCACATCGAGAGGCTGCGGATAGAACCTATCTACGATTCCTTCATATGTCCTCTAACAAAACAAGTGATGCGAGATCCGGTGACTTTGGAGAACGGACAGACATTTGAGAGAGAAGCAATTCAAAAATGGTTTAAGGAGTGCAGAGAATCTGGAAGGAAGCTTGTCTGCCCATCCACCCTGCGTGAATTGAGGACTACAGAGCTCAACCCTAGCATTGCTCTTCGTAACACAATCGAGGAATGGAATGCCAGAAATGAGGCTGCACAGCTCGACATGGCTCGTCGATCCTTATCCCTAACGAGTCCAGAGAACGACGCCGTCCAGGCATTGAAGTTCATCCAGCACCTCTGCCTGAAAACGCCACCAAACAAGCATGTCGTCCGTAACGCCGAGCTGATTCCGATGATTGTTGATGTGCTCAAGAGCAGTAGCCGTCGCGTTCGGTGTATGGCTCTGGAAACTCTCCGGATCGTTGCAGAGGACGACAATGATAATAAGGTTGTTCCAGGCTGAAGGTTGCCGATGATGATGATGTACCACTACAAGCTTTACTTTTATGTCGCGGTTTAAGCTCAAAATCGTTTCGTGTTGCAGGAAATAATGGCAGAAGGGGACACGATGCGCACGGTGGTCAAGTTCTTATCCCACGAGCAATCCCAAGAGCGAGAAGAGGCGGTTTCATTGCTTTACGAACTCTCCAAATCGGAAAGGCTTCACGAAAAGATCGGTTTGGTCAACGGAGCCATTCTTCTGTTGGTAGGCATGGCTAGCAGCAACTCTGAGAATGTGTCGACTGTTGAAAAGGCTGAAATGACTCTTCAAAATCTCGCACAGTGCGAAAACAATGTTCGACAAATGGCCGAATGTGGCAGATTACAGCCATTGTTGACGCTACTCCTTGAAGGTATACGATGTTTTTGTGTGTGTGTATATATATATGCGTTTAATTCTTTGAACTTGCTGAATCGACGATCGGTTTACTCTGTTTTTACATAACATATATATTGCAGGATCGTCGGAAACTAAATTGTCGATGGCGACAATTCTAGGCGAGCAGACTCTGAACAACGACGTGAAAGTATTCGTCGCCAGAACAGCTGGTTTCTCGCTGATCAATCTAATGAAAAGCAATGATAGTCAGTCGAGGGAGGCGGCTCTCAAAGCGCTGAATCAAATATCATCCGACGATGCAAGCGCCAACGTCTTGATAGCGGCAGGAATCCTTCCCCCGCTCGTCAAGGATCTCTTCTCTGTCGGCAACAAACAGCTCGCCACGAGGTTGAAAGAAGTCTCCGCGACGATCCTCGCCAACATCGTGAATTCAGGCCACGACTTCGATTCCATTCCAGTCGGCCCCAATCACCAAACGCTCGTCTCCGAAGAAATTATTCACAACCTTCTGTATCTGATCAGCAACACCGGGCCTGCGATCGAGGGCAAGCTTCTCCAAGTGCTCGTCGGGCTCACGAGCTCTTCTTCCACAGCATCCACCGTCGCATCCGCCATCAAAAGCTCCGGCGCCACCATCAGTTTGGTTCAGTTCACGGAGGCTCCGCAGAGAGACCTGCGGATTGCGTCGATAAAACTCCTCCAGAACATCGCTCCGCAAATGGGTCAGGAAATAGCGAGCTGTCTCCGCAGCTCGCCCGGTCAGCTTGCAACGCTGATTAAAGTCGTCGCGGAAAACGTCGGTATATCGGAGGAGCAGGCAGCGACGGTCGGGCTACTCGCCGAACTCCCTGAACGAGACGTCGGCCTCACACGGCAGATGCTCGACGAGGGGGCGTTCCAGCTTTTCGTTTCTCGGGTGATCAGAATCCGGCAAGGCGAGATGCGAGGCACCCGGTTCATGACTCCGTATTTAGAAGGTCTCGTGAGGGTTCTCGCGAGAATCACGTTCGCCTTATCCGAGTCGTCGGGCGCCGTTCGCGCGTTCTCCACCCGCCACAACATCGCTTCGCTTTTCATCGACCTGCTGCAAGCGAATGGGCTCGACAACGTGCAGATGGTATCGGCGACGGCCTTGGAGAACTTGTCGCAAGAATCGAAGAACCTTACGAAGCTGCCGGAGTTTCCTCCCCCAGGATTCTGCGCATCGGTGTTCCCCTGTCTGAGCAAGCCCCCGATCATAACAGGACTGTGTAAAGTTCACCGCGGGACGTGCTCGTTGCAAGAAACGTTCTGTCTCTTGGAAGGTCGGGCCGTGGACAAGCTGGTGGCGCTTTTGGACCACACGAACGACGCAGTCGTGGAGTCAGCGTTGGCTGCTCTGTCAACGGTGTTAGAGGACGGAGTCGATGTGGAGGAGGGGGTTCAGGTGCTGCTCGATGCGGAAGGGGTCAAGCCGATACTCGACGTGCTGATGGAGAAACGGACGGAGACTCTGAGGAGGCGTGCCGTGTGGGCTGTGGAGCGACTGCTGAGATCGGAGGACATTGCGTATGAAGTGTCGGGGAATCCTAACGTTAGCACGGCGCTTGTCGACGCTTTCCAACACGGCGACTACCGGACGCGGCAGATTGCGGAGCGCGCCTTGAAGCATGTTGATAGAATCCCCAACTTCTCTAGCATCTACACCAATACTTGATGATTCGTCGGAGCCGCCGCCGGAGACGGTATGGAATTTGTCTGTGTTTTTTTTGTATGTGATGAAGTATTGGCGGGTGGAGATGACACTCTGAATTTCAGCATTTCATCTAACCTACTTAACGGCTTATGTCATGAGTGAGTTTTTTTTTGCGTTGGGAGTACGAAGATTTTGTTTGAATTTTTTATTTATATAATATTTGATGTAATTGTTGTATAATAAAAGTAAATAAAATTTAATATAATAAATTTGTTTAATTACAATTTAAAAATTTATAATTTTAAAAAAATTAAAATGATTATGTATAACTTTTTTTGTTAAAAAAAATAACATAAGATAGGCAGGGCTGAAAAGATCCATTCATAAAAAACGAGAGCAAATGAGAGAGGGGCAGTAATGGTGGTTGGGTGCTGTTGCTCATCCAGCTTTTCCTGTTTCTGCGGCAAAGCACAGCACGATTAAAATGCCCTGCCCTTAGGAGCAACAAAAACATCACATCACTTTCACCATTCGTCCAATTACAACTGGAATTGAAGATGAAGAAGATTCGATCATGACTCATGAATGAATGGCGAATGAATCAACGAGGACTCAGACTGAGGTGTAAATGTAATCACAGATCTGTTTTCAAATAAACGAGGAAATTTATTAATTCTTACGTTATCTGCCTCCGTGACTGTGGTTCGACTCCATAGATGTTCTCTTTCTCAGCTCAGCTCAGCTGATCCATCCATGGCGCTGCTGCTGGTTTCACAAGTAAGTCTCTCTCACACGTGATTGAGCCATCGGCATTCATATTTATGTTCCAAACAAAGCTGCAATGTTGTATGGGAGCTTCAGGATACCTTCTCCTCTCTCTCACCGCACCTAGAAGAAGAAGAAGAATCTGATTCTCCCTCTCTCTCACAATCTTTCTCCCCTTTTCTCTGTCTAAAGCCGCGGTGTAGTACAGTGCAGTGTGTCCTTTTACTGTAAAAAGGGAAATCGAATGGTTGCTTTGGCATCGTGGAATTTGATTTTGTTCATGTCCTCCTCGCTAGGCTAGGGCTTTTAACTATTTGATTATGAGCATTTGAATTAATTGAGCTAGGAAACAAACAATTTTGTGGAACTTGATGCTGTTGCCTATTTCTGTTTGCAGATTTAGTTCTACAAACAATCAAGGATGAGGTTTTTTGGGATCCTTATTGTATCCTGTTCATTGCTCTATTCTGGAAGATTGAATGCAAAGTCTTCTGCAAGACCAGCTGTAGTGAATGTTGGAGCTATTTTTTCTCTCGATTCCACCATTGGAAGAGTGGCCAAGCTCGCCATTGATGAGGCTATTAAAGATATCAACTCCAACTCGACTATCCTCAGAGGAACCAGACTCGATGTTCATTTCGAAAACACAAATTGCAGCGGATTTCTAGGCTTGGCTGAAGGTAAATCAATCAGTTTACACTTTACACAGCTTCTGTTCTTAATGAGTCTTTCCATGGACCTAAAATGGCGATGGCGGTATCAAGAGTCATTTCATATACATATGCGAACAACATGATTGATGCTATGTTTCTTTTCTGAAAATTGAGAAGTTGTAGATTGACTGATGCTGGTTGTTTGTAGCATTGAAGTTTATGGAGACTGATGCAGTTGCAGTGATCGGGCCACAGTCTTCTGTCGTTGCGCATACGATTCTGCACGTGGCGAACGAGCTACAAACTCCATTTCTATCGTTTGCAGCGACAGATCCTACGCTCTCGTCGCTCCAGTTTCCATATTTCATCAGGACAACACAGAGTGATCTGTACCAGATGGCTGCAGTGGCTGATATTATTGTCCATTACGGCTGGAAGGAAGTAATCGTGATTTTCCTCGATGACGACTACGGAAGGAATGGACTGTCTGCATTAGACGATGCGCTCGCAGCTGAGAATTGTCGGATTTCTTACAAAGCAGGGATTCCTCCCGGCAACGTCAATCAGAGCAGGATAATGGATATTCTCGTCAAGGTTGCGTTGATGGAGTCTCGTGTCGTCATTCTGCATACATATCCGGGACACGGATTCGCAGTCCTTTCCGTTGCAAACTATCTTGGAATGATGGGCGACGGTTATGTGTGGATCGCAACCGATTGGCTCTCCTCTGCCTTAGACTCGGCTCCTTTTCATCGCTCCAAGACCATGACGGATACAATGCAAGGAGTTCTTGTTCTGCGCCAACACACGCCCGATTCGCAACAAAAAAGAGAGTTTACGTCGCGATGGAATGACCTTACCGGCGGTTCGATAGGACTAAGCACCTATGGTCTATACGCTTACGACACTGTCTGGCTGCTCGCTCAAGCCATTGATACATTTCTAAACGACGGTCATTCGATTTCATTTTCCAACGATACCCGGCTGCAGCATTCCTTAAAAGGGGGTAGTATTAACATCGAATCTATATCGATCTTTGATGGCGGTCGCTTGCTCCTGGATAATATCCTGCAGAGTGATTTTGTCGGCCTTACTGGTCGAATCAAGTATGGTCCGGATAAATCTCTCGTCTTTCCGGCTTATGAGATCATAAATGTGATCGGGACAAGTCTCCACCGGGTTGGTTACTGGTCGAACTATTCAGGTCTGTCGCCGGTAGCTCCTGAGATGTTGTATTCGAAACCACCTAACCGAGAGAGCGAAACACAGCAGCTAAACAGTGTTATATGGCCCGGGGAATCGGCACAAACGCCTCGTGGATGGGTTTTCCCGACCAACGGGAAGCTACTAAAGATTGCTGTTCCTCGGAGGGTTGGTTACAAGGAATTCGTTTCGCAAGTGCCGGGTACCAACCTCTCGAAAGGATTCTGCATAGACGTGTTCACGGCCGCTGTCAATCTGTTGCCGTACGCCGTTCCCTATCAGTTCATTCCATTCGGGAACGGCCTGGAGAATCCAAACTACGACGAACTCGTGAGCTTGATACATACGGGAGTGAGTGTGAATGAATCGATAATATTGGATACTTCTTGTCACAGTATCATCACATTTCATCCAACAACACTCATGTTGATTCTTACAGTTCTTCGATGGCGCGGTTGGCGACATTGCAATCGTGACAAACAGGACGAAGCTCGTCGACTTCACTCAGCCGTTCGTAGCATCCGGGCTTGTGGTCGTGGCTCCCGTTCAAAAATTGAACTCGGGCGCTTGGGCTTTTCTGAGGCCGTTTTCTCGACAAATGTGGGGCGTCACCGCTGCATTCTTTGTGTTCGTCGGGATTGTAGTCTGGATTCTGGAGCACCGGATAAACGATGAGTTCCGTGGACCACCGAAGCAGCAGTTGATAACACTTTTATGGTAAGCTTCTAAACATTCGAAAATCTCCATTTCTTCTGCAGAAAACTAATACAGCTCAAGTGGTTACCTTGATGGATCTTCAGGTTCAGTCTCTCGACGCTATTTTTCGCGCACAGTAAGTGAAGAACATCTATAATTATCCTAATTACTCGATAATGAGCTTGTTCGGATAGGCAGATTTGATACCTGGCTCGTCGTTTGCAAATGCAGGGGAGAATACTGTGAGTACACTGGGAAGGCTGGTGCTGCTCCTATGGCTGTTTGTGGTTCTGATAATCAACTCGAGTTACACGGCGAGCTTGACCTCGATTCTCACCGTGCAACAGCTTTATTCTCCGATCAAAGGAATCAATTCCCTGAAAGATGGCGACGATCCCATTGGCTACCAAGTGGGCTCTTACGCCGAACATTATCTGACTGAGGGAATCGGCATACAGAAGTCAAGGCTCAAACCTCTCGGATCACCCGAAGAATACGCCACAGCGCTGCAACAGGGTGCGGAGAATGGAGGTGTGGCTGCAATAGTCGACGAGCTACCGTATATCGAGCTTTTCTTGGCAAGCCAATGCAAATACCGAATCATCGGCCAAGAGTTCACCCGGAGCGGCTGGGGATTTGTGAGTGAAACATTTCCTCTGTTTTTTCCATCACTTGGGTCGAATAACTTTGCGATCCGTTCTTGCATATTTTTGCAGGCGTTTCCACGTGATTCTCCTCTGGCCACGGATTTGTCCACGGCAATTCTAACGCTGTCTGAGAACGGCGACCTGCAGAGGATCACAGACAAATGGCTAACAACAAGCGCCTGCAGTTCAGACAATACCGAGCTTGAGTCGGACCGCCTTCACCTCAAGAGCTTCACAGGCCTTTATCTTCTCTGCGGTATAGCTTGCTTCATTGCTATACTAATCCATTTCTTGCAGATTTTCCGCAAGTACCGGCAAGGTGCAGCCTCAGACGAACACGACCAGCCAGGCAGCTCGCACGCCAAACGCCTCCACGCGCTGTTGTCCTTGATCGACCGAAAGGAGCCACAGAGCAAACGTAGGCGTACAGACAACCCTTCCGGCGAAATCGTCGAATCCAAAAGGGATTCCACGGTTAGTAATTCTCAACCTGGTTGTTACCATAGCTGCAATACAAGAACTTGACTTGAAACCCTAGTCGGATGTTAAATGCATTAGTGATTTTCAATATGAGAATTGTAGATGACAAGAACAAATTTAGCAGACAGATTAGTGTACTTACAAGTTGTAGGGATGAAGAACTTGCAGAATATCCACCATTAGTCGATCCATGAATATGATAGAATTTCTGTAGACATTATCTAAGAACTTGGTTTATATAGTTAGTAGTATCAATAAATATTTATGTCACAGGCCTGGAAATGTACATTAATCTACAAATAGTTTACACACACATGAATTTAAAGAGTCTAAAGTCTGGTGTTCTTGAAGTACTTGAGGAATGTTTCTTCCTCTGCACAAAATATAGAAATTATGCGGTATACTTCGATAAGAAGCTTAGGGAATCGAGTCGAGAAGTACTCATCGAATCCTTCGGGAACTGATCCTAATATTGCTTGGATTTCTTTCGGAAGTTCCCTATAGTGATTCATCTTGTTCCGTATGACACGTAACAAGTCTCGCACGCTGTTGAATTTGTAGCGCCTGTAGCGACCTATGTCGTTGATGAAGGCAGTGTCGAGGTTCTCGTCCCATTTGCCGTTAAAAGCAGTTTTTCCTATGCTTTCTAAAGCTTCTAGCAATTCGGATTTACTTTCTCTGTCCTCCAGCTCGACTCTGTCGCTAACGTCACGTAGGAAAGACAATCTCAACTCGGAATTCCAGAACAACGGATGATGAGTTACTTCTATAGCCGTTGGCCTGGAGAGAATCGAACCAATGGATCGATGAATAATAAGATGGTAAAACATTTTTTTTCTTTAACTTAGAGCTTGTTAAGAAATTACCTCTCGTTTGGATTAGAATCCAAAAGTCGAGAAATGAGATTTGTAGCTTCCGGGATTCCATCTATCAAGAACAGATCTTTCCGATCATTGACTATGTTAATGTCACGTTCCAAATTTTCCCCAAAAGGGTGTTTGCCACCCGTCATGCAAAAAAACAATATGCAGCCTAAACTGAATAAATCTACAGCACGAGATTGGCGTTCGTTTCGTAATTGTTCTGGGGCCTGCCATCCCGAACTACCAATGCCTGCGTAATAAAACTTAAATATCATCGAGGGGAGGGAACTTACGCAAAATAATGAAAACGATGGATAGGACTCACCTGTAGTATTTTTCGTTAAAGACGACATTTCCCCTTCTAAATGTTTGCTGATACCCATATCGGAAATTTTGGCGGATATTGATCTATCTTTAATAACAAGAACGTTTTGAGGCTTCAAGTCTCGATGTATGATTCCCAATTCGTGCAAATGAGCAAGTCCGCATACGGTGTCCCTATAATTGATGAATAATATAACATCATCACTATAAGTTGAGTATATTATCAACTGTCTTAAAAGAAAAATAATAGAGCAAGAATGCATTCTAGAATCCATAGATCACTTCTTTCAATCCCAAGCCTCAATCGATTAGCATAATCTTTGGCTATTATTTTACTCAATTAACATGTATAGCAATTAGTAAGTTAAGAGATTTTGATATTATGTGTATACTTAGATAAGAATGCACGATATAGATAGAAGAAAAATAGCTTAAGTAGAAAACATTTGGGTGTGTTCTTTTTTGCAAAAATAGTCCACGTTTCCCCAAAAAAAATTTAATATATTACGTACATTCATTATTTTTATATTACCTACACAATTCCCTATACCTCAGGTAACAAAATATTTCACAAAACAAACACGCAACAATTCATATAAGAGTGCAATATTTTAATTGATCATACCTCATCAACTTTAACAACCACGCCGACGGATAGCCATTAGATTTCCACAACTCGAGCTTTTTTCTACTTTCGAAAATCCGAAGCAATTGGGTATTAGAACCAACGAGACCAAGAGATTCATGATCCCGACTCAAGCTTGCGACTTGATCATGAGAAGTACAAGCTAAGATCAGCTCGTGCAAGTTGCACGTGCATCGCTCCAAACAAATATAGACAAAATCTTGATCATATTCTACTCCATACCATCTCACAATATTTGTATGTTGATCGGATGCAATAAGATTTTGGATCTCTTTCACGGCTACACTATGATGTGACCTGACAAGACGTTTAACAGCAACTGAACGACCATCATACTTTCCTTCGAGCACAATAGTTCCATTACTACCCTTTGCTATTTCTTTATTCGTGACGATCAATTTGCCAATCTTTCGTCCGTCAACATAACTATTGCTATTATCAAAAGGGCTCAGCAAAGATAATCCATCTGCTATGCTATTTTGAGAGCTATTATTAACAACCGATTTCCTCGCTTTCCTCTTTTTCGGAATCATATTCTGCGACTTAATATCTTCTTCCAAAGGCTTTTGTACCTTAGCCTTAGCCCGACTATGAACAGTAGCAGCTATACGAAACAAAACATAAACCATGGCTATAGGCACAAAGGCATAAGTAATCAACGGAAGCCAAAAATTGGTTCGAACTGGACTATCAATGTGCATATCACGATTGTCAGGAAGGCTCCCAATTATGTAATTATCCCGATCAGCCGCAGGAAGTGCAAGAATTTCATTCTTGCTTAAATGAGGGCCTAAAAAGTCGTCCAAGGGAACTATACCATGTTGGTCGTGATAGGACAAAGGCGAACTCGAATCAGTAACATATTGATCAAGAGCCGGTAAAGAAAGAACTTCACTACCTGGCAGAGCATCTTTCATCTTATTCGCTAGAAAAAGAGGCTCCAGAGAGCTACGGTCACGAATGCGATAAACCACAGGCCTTGTCTTACAATTTAATGGCAAATTTGTATCAAACCCTTCCCCTGGTCTGAACTTGTTACTCTGCTTGTATCCACCTAAAAAATTCTCAATTCCTTGACACTCATAAGAAGCTTCGATATCTGCAAACATGAGATACCATAGAACTTCTCCTGTTTTCATAGAAGTATACTTTAAAGCATAGTCAGTTCTCGTAACATAGAGTGGCTCCTCAATAGCCACTGAATTCATCGTACTCGTTGGTAGCCATTCCTCAATGTCATTCCTCGTTAGACTAGAAGTTTCATCAGAATCATGCTTTTCGATTGACTCGGGATTATCAGATCTAAAAGTCTGCACAACCTTTCCAGTTTTAGCATCAAGAAGATATACCGCGGTTTTCTTTGAACCTAACATAACACCACCACCCGCTGATACAAATGGGGTCTGCTTCACCATGTCGTCAGCACTAAGTGGGAGCTTCTGCAAGAACAATACACTTCATGAAGAACAACTACAAAGAATCATAGGGGTTGTCTCATTGTTTCAAGATAATGTGTCTATAGGTACACGACGTAAGTTTCCTATTAGTAAACGCACCACTTTACTGAAGCCATTCGAATGCAAATAGAGCTCCCAATCTTCTCCACAATCTATATAAAAGCTATCACCATCAGCCGAGGCATTGAGCTTTTCGCCATCACGATTCGGCATTTTTTGGAATGAAGAATAAATTGATTGGCCAGATGAGAATGACCAGAGGATTTTTCCTGAACTGCTCTCCACGTAATACACTGTGCCATCTGGGGAAACAGCTATGATAGCGTCGTGTTTTCTGATTTAAGCCATAGAAACCGGACAGGATATCAAGAAACAATATTTGATGAATGTTCAGTAAATTCCACAACACAGAACAACTACATTTACAATTGATCAACCTATGTGAGATAAAAAAAAATGTGTTCTAAAAGCACTTCTTGTTTCCATATGCAAATAGAAAACAGACTCAAAAAATTCAGCCATTCTCACACTGCAATCTGTTTGTTCACTTACACAAAACAACAATCGTCGTCCACAATAAAAATACATTGTTTCATTTCCAAAAAATATTTTAAAAATATAACAAAATTAAATATTTTCGTACCACTTTCACAATCAACAATAGGTCTAACAACAAAAACTCTAAAAAATTTCTACTTCTCAGTCTGGGTTAGACTTTTTATTTAAATCATGTTTGATATGATAATTGGGTAAACAAGAACACATGTCTTTTTTTTTTTCTCCACGGCATTCCACAGCATCAACAAAAACATAATACCATTTCAAACCAGCAGGGCTGAAGAATGATTCTCTTATAACACAAAAACCAAAATTAACAATCTTAGCAAAGGTTATTCACAGATGTGTTCTCTACTACAATCAAAGACTCAATCATTCATAAAAGCTACTGAATAAGAGCAGCAAATCAGATTCGCAGATCAATACAAATTTCTCAAAAACAAAACAGCACATATATATATATATAAACCCTAATTATTTCATAGACAAGAGCTTTCGCACACATACGGAGTCAGTAGTGGAGCAGGCGGATGCGGATCTTGGGAGCCTAAAGCAGGGTCGGAACTTGGCGAACTTCCAAACACCACCACAACTAAAATCAAGACGATAATCAGAAGGAAGAGAGGGATAAATAAGGATGATGCCCTCATGATTTTGGGGGAAATGGAAATGAAGCAAATTTTAGAATAGTCTAACAATGAATTATCATTGGCTTAATCTCTGCGAAAAGGTTTTCCGAGTCGAGCTGAGGATGAGTAAGAGAACAAGCAGAGATTTTCTTTATTTCTTTCGGTAAAATTGAGGAAGATGCTATGGTGGTAGGGTAGGGTGGTAGGAGACGGAGAATTGCGCTTCCCCAAAACCAGAGGGGCCTTTCGATTGATTTCAATTGACTAGAACGACGACTAAATTTATTTATTTATATTTATTATTTATTCATTTATTATCCGCGTGAAATCATTTTTAGGGTGTGTTTGTGTGAGAGTTTAGATTTTGCGTTCGGGATTTAAACAGTAAAAATTTTGAATTTGAATAGTTGTATGATATGATATAAATAAGAATAAATGTGATGTTTTGGATGTAAAATTGATTTTTAGTATAATATAAAAAATAAAAAATAAATATTTAATTTAATATTTTCGAAGAAGAAATTTTGTGAAAACAGTAGAAATCCCATAAAATTCCTCAAACAAACACACCCTTAGTATACTATGAGTCTAAGAATGTATGATAGAATTTATTATATTGAGTTGTAATAGAAAAGATAAAAATATTTTTATTAGTATCTTAAATTGAAGAGGTAATTATTAGGTTAAATAGGTAATCCTAATAACGTTGTTGGACAAAAATCAAAAATACTAACCGTTTATTGTGAAGGAGACTTTTTTTAATTTATCATATTAAATATATTTGATAAATATACATTACCTTAATTAAAATTTTAATATTTTATAAATAAAATTCACTTAAATTATTGTTATTTCTATCTTTTCTTAGTTAATTTAATTAAATTTTTAACAAGATTATTCAAAATTTCTTTAATTTTTATTTCTTCAATAATTAAATATTTTTATAAAATAGTAGTATAAAATTTCTTATTTTTTATAAAATTAATTTATATTAATAATAAATAAATATAAATTTGATCCTCAATTATATACTTTTCAACTGCATAATTTCAAACCTACAACTGATATCTTCCCTCTTCTTATCATTTCACTTAGCTCTCATTTTTCAATGACCCGTGCCTACATATACATCCTGATTTTTTATTTTTTAATGTAAAAAATTATAAAAAAATTTATCCGTTGATTTATACTTTTAGTCTTTAAATTTTATTTTTTATAATAAAAAAATATTAAATTTTATGTAATTTTATTAAAAAAATTTCTAAAATATTTAAATTTTCTAATTTTTTTTATTTTTTGTCAGATGTTCTATGAATATAAAAATATATATATTGAATAGATAAAAATTAAAAAAAAAATAAAAAATCAATTTTATCTTCCGAAATTTTACTGCCGGTTCCGTCACTGCTAGAGATTAATTGTAAAAAGCTTGTCCGTAGTCCACCTCCTATCGAAGCGGCCAATCGCAGTTTGATTGATTGGGGATGAAGATTATATCCAATAGAGGTTTTTACTTTATCTGTTGCTGCTATTGTATGTATGTGTTCGATCTTAGTCTGGTGATTATTTTTAATTTTTATTATATAATTTGTATTGTTTTTGTATAAATTATATTGGTTGTTTTTATTTTTGTCTTTTTTTCCTATATGCATTTTTCATGTTAAGTATAAAAAATAAATTTTTAATATAAAAAAAATATTTGTGAGTATATAATGTGTATATATATATATATATATATATAGATGAGTGTGTTTGTTTGAGGTTTAGATTTTAAATTTGGATTAAATAATAAAATTTTGAATTTGAGATATTATTAATGCAATATTAAAAATGTAGAAATAAATTTCAATATAAAAAATAATTATTTTATTTGATATTTTTTAAAAAATAAAATTTATAGAAGTAACGGTTGACTATATGTCATCAAGTTTATTTTTGCAATTTTATGATCGAGTTTGGCTCATAGATCATTTGTTGTAATTCAGTAAAAAATCATATAGTCTTATTGTTTCTTACTCCGGTGAAAGTCCTATTATTTTTTACTACGTTGAGAGTCTCGTTGTTTCAGACTCTAATTTAGTTGAAAACACGGCTTCTACTCTGAAACAGTGAACAATGTGGCTACATATCTTCGACCTCTCTTTGCAAACTCAAATTATTTCTACATCACCACTTGAGTTTGAGGGGATATAAATATATTTTGTTAATTTAGTTTATAGTTTATTTATATTGTTATTATTTAGATTATTTCGTTATTATATGGTATTATTATTTGAATCTATCGAGTGAAATAAGATATTTATAAGCTTTTATTTTTGTTATGAACACAATGCAATTTTTTTTTCACCGTCTACAAAATTTCTTCTCACTCATGCTTGATTTGTTATAGAGGCCATCGAAATTGATCCATCAAGTAGTTGTTGAATAAAGATAAGTATTTTTGCATGATGCTTCTTGTTTATGAAACACATTTCAACCATATCCAACAAATCTTGTGATCTTGGGTAATTAATGAAACAAAAATATTTAAATTATTTTTTTTAAAACTAAAATATTTTATTTTATTTTATTATGACGTGGGAATCTGATGCCGCTACCCGAAAGTGTGCACTGAGTAAACCCTCGACTAAACCTAATACACTGCAAACTAGGCCCGACGGGATTAAACTAAAATATTTTTGATCTAACAATCAATGACATATGATTGTATAGATGAAGAAAACCAAGAAAATATGCATTTCTATTCTATATAATAGACATTAAAAAAAAAAAAACATAAAATAATTACTTCCTACATGAACTATAAACTGATAATTAAACTAAAATAAGAAATAATTTGAAAAAAAAAATAAAAAATTGTTCACACCTCATTGAATTGTTTGAGACTTAACTTTAATATCTGATGATATATAATTAAAAATATTCTAAATTATTTGCTACCTCCCTAAAAATATATTTTACATGTTGATAAATAAAAATGTATTTTTGTCATAAAATAATTTAATTTAAGTGTTTTAAAGTATATATGTATTTAGGAGAAGGCAAAAATAAAGGGCTTGTTTGTTGTTTTGGTTTTTGTTGAATATGGATTGATCTTAAATTTAAATTTCAGATTTTCCTTAATAATTGACTTTTTGAGAAGGTGCATATTATTTATGTTATGTTGATACATATATAAATTATATTTTTTATTAATATATATCAAAAATCATATAAAAAATTTGTTAGAAACAAATATTGTAATATAAAAAGTAAATGTGTGTACATAGTGTGGAATTGACCTCGAAGTCAAACAATGATAGTAAGTAAAGTGTTTTATTTTTTTAGTAAATCACATGTTAGATATAACATTTTTGTAAAAAATAAAAATAAAATTCAAACATAAAATATTTTGATAAATTTATAGCTGAGACGGAGTTACATACGGTAGCTGACCTCAGTCCCTAAAATATAAAAAAAAATTAACAGTAAGAAATAATAAAATTATGTATTTTTTTTATTGTTTTACTCCCTTTATTTTTCAAATTTTTTTTTGTTTTATAGTGTAAAAAATAATAATTTTTTTTTTTTTGTAGTTTTGTTGATTTATGTTTTTAGTTATTAATTTTTTTAATAGAAATTATTGAATTTTATTAAATTTTTTAAAATATTTCTCTAAAAATTTAATTTTTAGCTATTTTTTCTCTTTTTAGTTTATCCAGTTGTATTAGAAGAAATAAAAAATGACAATATTAAATAAAAATAAATAAATAAATTGACATTTTGCTTATCCTTAATTTTAAGGCTGATTCCGCAGTTGATTATAGCCATTACAAAAGTACACTTTATATATATATGAATTATAAATAAAGCTTAACTATAAGAGCATACATACAGGCTACAGCAGCGGCGTATGTAACTAACTAATTGAAAACCAGAAAAGGGGGAAGAAATGCAATGAGCATTAGATCCAGTAGGGGAAGAATTTACCCTCGCTCTCGTGATTGTGCTCGTCGAATTCGAACGAAGATGCGCGCGCGCAACCATATGCGCACGCTCGTCGGCACTCGCCGGCGTAGAACAGCCTTATCTGAATGCACTCTTCATAGCACTCCCTCAGGCACTCCGTAGCCTGGACGCCGCCGCCGGAAGCTTTCTCCACACTCTCTACCCCAACCAACACCGTTGCCATCGTCAGAAGAAACGCCGCCGCAATCGCCTGGTAATTTGCAGCCATTTTTCTTAATTGACTTCAAATTATTTCTCCGACTGACCGATTAGAACTTAGAAGATGTGCAACTGCTTGCGTGTATTTCGATATCACTTCCGATCGAGTTCGATCCATGCGTCTGTACATATGTATACATAAAAAGAGAGAGACGGAGAGAATCGGAAAGTGGCGAATGGATTGCAGAATTGTTGCGTCGTTTGGGAAGAGGTTTGCCATTAACTTATTCATTTTTTCTAATGGTGCGACTGTTTTTGTGAACTGTTGTGTGTGTTTTTATTTTATTTTTTACATTTTGCATTGTTGGTTCCAAATATTTATACCGTAATTAATTAGGCTTTATGTATTCTTTCATATTTGGGGTTATATAGTATAGAATTTTGGATTTCTTTTTCTTTTAAAATGTGTGACGCGTAGAAAATTAGTGTGTTCCGTACATGCATGTTACATATCAATTGAATTTTTTTTTTGTCCATTTTTTTTATTTTCATTAGTCCACCTTATTTTGTCACTAAAAAATTATATACTTTAATTTTATTTTGAAAATTTTAATTTCTAATTTTTTTATTTTTAATTATAATATAAAATAATTATTTTTACTAATATATTTTTAATTATTTATTAATTATATTCCTTTTAAATTTTCGTGACCGATGGATGAAGTACTATTTTTGTCTCATATTTATATTATCCTTTTTAGTATGTACTATATATCTTATTTCCTTTTTTAAAAAACAAAAATAATTTTTTAATTTATATTTTGAAAATTTTGATTAAACTGAGTAATTATTTTAATTTTAATTTATAATTAATTTATTATATTATAATTATTTATTAATTATACGGTATTTTTTAAAAATTTATATTTTCAATAAACTATAATATTATCTTAAAAATTAATTTTATATTTAAAATATCATATTATACAATTATTCTAAATCAAAATTTTTACTATTCAAATTTCAAATACAAATACAAAATGCAAACCCCAGACAAAACACACCCCAAATATATAATTTCATTTCATGTCGCAACAAAATCCTAGAATTACAACCCTCATCTAACTCATAATTAGCAACACCTTACCTTGAATTGTCACGTTGTTCATCAACTAAGCTTCATAAACTTTGCACTCCTTGTCCGCAGGGCTGGTCTGGCAATACTCCTCCAAGGCGTCTCCGGTCCCCTTCCCCGGCGCCGCCCCCGGCCACTGCTCGGCCACCAGATGCGCCAAGTCGACCACCCGCTGGCTGTATCCCCACTCGTTGTCGTACCACGCCACCACCTTCACCATGTCGTCGCCCATCACCATCGTCAGCGATGAATCGATGGTCGACGACACGTCGCTGCACCGGAAGTCTACCGAAACCAGGGGGACATCGCACACTGCCAGTATCCCCGCCAGCGGACCGTTGGCTGCCGCCCTGAAGGCTTCGTTCACGTCCTCTGCGCTGATTCCTTTCTTCTCCACGTTCACAACCAGGTCGACGACCGACACATTCGGCGTAGGCACACGTAGCGCGATGCCGTTCAGCTTCCCCTTCAGCTGAGGCAGCACCAGAGACACCGCCTTGGCTGCGCCTGTGCTCGTCGGCACAATGTTCAGCGCCGCGGCTCTCGCTCTCCTCAGGTCCCGGTGCGACGCATCAAGAAGCCTCTACAGAAAAAATTACAGCTAATAGAGTTGTAAGTGAATCAAATAACTTTGTTCTGATTCGAAAATTTGACATTTCTATTCAAAACTTTATAGTTTGAATTTGAATAAAAATATTCAATTCGAGTACAAATCAAATACAAATATGAAATTTTAATATTCAATTCAATATTCATTTGTAAATATTCAATTCGATGATAAAATAATATATAAATAGTACATATAGTATTATATGTATTTCCAATAAAAATAAATTAAACTAAATTTATTAATAATAATACTTTTAAATTTTATATAAATAAATATAATATAATCAAAACTACAATATTTTTATTTATGTTAGATCAAGAAGTCTTTCTTTTTTGTTAATGTGAAAAAACAATAAATAATAGATATTTAATTTTTTTTATCAAGTTTTTTAATAATTATTATTAAAATTTTAATTTATAGAAGTTCTAATCTAATAGCTGGAATCTGATAAAATAAAATGAATCACATTTTGAATCAAATATTTGTATAATATTGGAATTGAATCAAATATTCGAATCAAATCGAATAATTTGAAAACTATTTCATATTCAAAACGAATCAAATAGTCATTTTTTTCAAACCAAATTGAGTACTGCAATTTTCAATTTGATTCAATTCGTTTACAACCCTACTCGCCAATTCACAACAAAAATTTACATAATAGTCTTTTAGAACTTTTGACGTTATTTATCTACCAGTAACCTTTTTACCATTCTCAAAATTCTTCAAAACTTCTATCAAAACGAAGCTGTATGTTACCTGATCGCCGGTGTAGGAATGAGTTGTTGTCATTGTGCCCTTCACAATCCCTTCACATTACGAGCAAAACCTTATTTAGCTCCTTCATTCGCTACACAATCAATTCTCCAAAAAAACACAAGAATCTTACCGAATTCTTCGTCCATGATTTTAACAAAGGGAGCCAAGCAGTTGGTGGTGCAAGAAGCGTTGCTGCATGTGTCGATTTCAAACTGTTATGTTCATCATTCTCGTATTCTATACAACGACATTGTGCAAATATTCGATGCATGGAAGTAGAAAATAGAAGAATTTGGTTTGATTTAATTTAATTTGCTTGCCTTATGATGTTAGCAACCTCGTGAGAGTAGTCCTGCTCGTTTACGCCGACAACATAGGTAGGAATGTCAGCGCCTTTTGCTGGAGCTGTGATGATGACCTTTTTGGCTCCAGCTTGGATGTGCTTACCCGCTCCGGGGCCATCGACAAAAACACCCGTCCCCTGCAGTCACACAATTTAAAAAAGATTTGCTCTTTCTGATTATGAACTGCTTGGTTATTAATGAGGGCGGAATATATATATTATATACCTCAATAACAATGTCGACCCCAAGTTCAGCCCATGGAAGTTTGAGAGGGTCACGGTTGGAGACAACCTTAACGGGCTTCCCATCTACGCTGATGGTCTCGTTGTCGACTACCTTAACATCTGCCTTGAAGGTGCCGAGCATCGAATCATACTTGAGTAAGTGAGAAGCCTACAATTCAATAGGTGTGAACAATATTAGCGGCCAAGATAAACTATTATAATATGAATCGGTTCTCGGAACTTCTTACATTTTTTACACCACCACTGTCATTGACCACGATAACCTCCAAAGGTGAATCTTTACGGCCATGCCAGCAGCGGAGGAAGTTCCTACCGATGCGCCCAAATCCATTTATAGCGACCTTCAACTTGGCGACGGTCTGTCCCTTAACAGGTGCTGATCCTGCAATCTGATCTTAGTGCACAGGAAGCTTGCATCACTCCCACACTCAAAAAGCCAATATAAAATGCAGATTTCTGGTTTGTCAAAAAATGCTTCTGCCCTTTTCTGGTTTTTAAGACAAGAATTCTGACTACGGTTCTAGCACTTCTAGCATACATATCATGCATATTCCTTGAAATTAAGTTCGGACCGAAGTGCATGTTTTGATTTACTGTTAAATTTGTTAAAAGTGATTAGATATCCGGTGACATTTTCATCCATTAGCAGTTGACACTACCGAACTATTACAAAAGATTAAACAAAGAAACATACGTTTGATGTGAGCTGGGCAGCCACCAAATCAAAGAAAGAGGCCTCCTTGGCGCTCTTGGCATATGTCACACATCCATTTGACCTAAGCCCCGAAAATTCTGCTACCTCGAGCTTCTGAACAGCATAGCGACAAAAATAAGTCAGCCAAGCCCATAAGATCACTATTTAAGGAATGAACAGATCAGGAAACAGTAAACTACATCTTACGGCCACGACATAATTAGATACTCTGATCCTAGCAATTCATGTGTCCTATACAAGATGCATTTGAAGAAAGCAAAAGAAACTGACCTTAGAGAAGCACTGAGCAGGAAATGAATGGGATGCCTTGGAATGAAATCTGGTTGTTGTCGGGATTCTGGAGGAAGCCAAAGCTGCATGGGATGCTGCCATGGCTGCCACTGAAGAAACCTGCATATAACTTCAAGAACTACATTTGATATGTATAATGTTTTATACTCTTCTTCTCAGTACCTTTTTTCCTGGCTAGAGTAGTAACAAGTTATGGTTGGAAATGAGTTGAAGCAGTGAGTGGTGAAGATGATGTGTTAAGATGGATATCAGATAAGATCATCCCCTGTTTCTGTGCCATTCAAAATATGAGCCACAGGATCATATCACCCATCATTGTTCTTCATTTGTTCCCATTCCCTGCAAGTCCTTTTTCGCCCACATTTGAGCATCATTCTGGCTATATTATATACCACAATTGTCAAAGAACAGCCTAAGCCATTCCATTCAAATTTAGCAGTCACCCGAGCATCATTCGCGGAATAATATCTTCCTCAATCCTCACCTAAATGACATCACCGCTGAAAACAGTATGAAATCTCACATTATAGAGAAAGGTATTTAGTAGAAATCCACAGGCAGGAGGTCTTTTGGATTATAGAGCATATTTCTGCCACCGGGCACCAGGAAGTACTTGTAATCAAAACATTGAAATCGACATGGGAAGCTGCTGAACTAATAATACCCAACAACAATACGATATATCCTAAAACAAAATAACAGCATCCCGGACAATTTGTCATTGGAATCAAACAATGAGATTGGATAAGATATCCAAATGCAGTAACAGTTTAGACAGCAGCTTCAAAGTCGTCAGCACTGACTGCTACTTCGTTTGCAGATTCTTCTGGTCGCAACTGACTTGACACATTATCTATGGCGGAGTTGAGTTGTTCGATCTTATCAGCCAGCTTCTTCCGCTGTCTCTGCAAATAGGAGTATACAATATATGATGTGACATGAAATAGACAAGCCTCGGTTCAATTGACCAGGGTTATGTAACATGAAAGGAATCTTGCAAAAATTACAGAGTTCCATGAAATTGTTTTTGTGCTAGTTTTGAAACTTTATGGCATTGTTCATTTACAGAGTCTGTGGAAAATACCAGTAAAAATCATCTAAGTCGATCATTTTAGGAAAACCATTTTCATGTCCTCACAAAGTTACCAACTATGAAGATGTTTGTAACAAATTTGACTTCCTCGATAAGAAATTTGCAAACACAAATTCATTGAAAACGGGCATTCAATTGTCATCTGTAGGCATAAGAGATAAGGATATACAATCAAACTAACCTCGAGGGCTTTTTCCTCATCATAGATAAACTTCGGCAGCTTTTTCATCAAATCTTTTTTGTCTGTATCGGTTAAAGCCTTTCTAATCTGTGAGACAGAACAAACCAAACCTTATCTTACAAACAATACCAACTAAATCTGCAATACCACAAAATATCAAAACATAGTCTTGAATGAGCAAGTGCCGCATAAGATAAAAAAAAAAAAAAAAAAATGCAGTCAGAACCTCATACAAAATAACTCATACATTGATTATGGGTTAATCATACTACCTGAGGTGCATATACACAGCCTAAAGTGCCTACAATTAATCCCCCTAGAACAAAGCCACCAACGAAAAGGCTTGCATTGCTTTGCCTTCCACCATCACTGCATCAAATATAATACTATGAGATGTCTTCAGGAATAATATGTGAGGGGAAAAACAAGATATACATGTTCTTTCTTCATATATTATGTTTTCAACTTCCTGTCCAAATATGACATTTTTACATTCATCAATTTTGAATGCATCCTTCTTTTCATAAAGAAAGTGATGAACAAATCTCCACATAGAGACTCATAGGAAGGGATCGAATGTGAGGCAAAAACCTATAGCTTGCTTGGACAACAAGTCCCCTTCTCTGGGTGGATGCTTTCTTTGTGCCCTTGACACTCAGGTTGCAGAGCTGTAAGAATTTATCTTCTGATTTTACAGAAGAACCTGATGCAAACAAGGTTTGCCATTCTCGTGAATATAAATTCATATATGAAAAATTGCTGCAGGTAAATTCTACATCAAAAGTAGTTAAACAATAAAATCACCTTGGTAGGTCTTTGAGTAAAATATAAGCTACCAACATAGAACAAATATTTAGTTCCTTCTCAAACATACTTGACAAAGAATGAGAAAGCTAAAAGAAATCATTAACTGCAAGTTAAGGATATTACCACACCAAGATTATAAACCTCCAGATATATTTCATGAGTTTTGACCAATGTATTAGTTTACTCTAGAAGCACTAGGAGAGTGATGAAACTTGACTTATAGAATGTCCTTTACATCAATTTACCATATCATAAGGTTCTATCGATAAGCAATATTTAGACAATGCACAACAGAATCATTCTCCTAGTATTCCTTTACATGACCATTAAACAAGAAAGACGTAAGGAATGCAATCCTGACGTAAGATGCAGCAAGGACCAATTTGTGTCAGATTTAAGAAATCATAAGGTCGCTTAAAGAACATGTTATGTAGCAAAAGAGTTCACCACAAGAGGAATATGCCAAACTAGTAAAACCTCACTCTAAACTGCATCTTCATGGGCATCATCTAGGATCATCTCAGAATTTCACAATACAATAACATGGTTTCGTTTCTCATGTTCAACCTCGTTCCTACTTATCTCAACATTCCTACTCGTGTTTTCAACGAAATACAGCATTTCTAGGAACATTACCTTTCTCATCCACCCCTATCACATCATTTGACAAACTGTATCCTGCTAAGTAAGGCCTAGAGATAGTTCTTGAAATTCAAGATAAAAGCAGGTATATCCACAACCACTGCATCAGTTCTAAATAAATCAAAAAACAAACACCGTGAAAAAAGATTCGTCGCCCACTACTGAACAGAACAAATATGTTCGTGAACCGTTCATTGGATTCCCAGATCGCGAGAAATACTTGAAATAATTCCAATTAAATAAGCCATTATAGATAGAGCAGAGAGAATCGAACACTTATACAGGAACGATAGATTAGCAGGTGCAAAACGTTAGCTCGGCGCATCCAACAACACATGTATATTCAAAGTGTGGAGAAAACAAGGAGCATTACCAGGTGCAAAATGGAGAGAGGGGCTGGAGAGAGCAGCGAGCGTCATGGTGTATTGAATTGAATTGAACTGAACAGCGTAGGATTGAATCGATGGCAAATAGCAGTTGTGGCGATGGAGAAAGAAAGAAAGCAAAAAATCAAGAAATGGCTGGCCGAAGCCCGGCCCAATAGAGTAGCGCTACAGCAACGTCCCTTGCATCGCTCTCTGTGTATGTCATATTAGAAAGGTTTTTTTAAAAAAAAATAAAAATTTAAGGTATGTTTCTTTAGGGGAGTTTGGGGAAAGTTAGAGTTTGAATTTGATTTTTATTTGAATTTTGGGATAGTTTGGATTTTGTTGTTTGTTTTGTATTTGAGTTTGGTTGGAATTTGGGGAGTTTGGATGTGTATTGATTTGATGGATAATGAATAAAATAATATAAATATATATTAAATTTAATTGATAAAATTTATATTGTATGATTTAATTATGAATTTATATTATACTCAATATATATATTTAAAGTTTTATTTACTTGTATTATAAATAATTTTATTTTTACAAAATAACATATATATTGTATATATATTTTTTCATTTAATTATAATAAATATTTCATTGTGCACAGTGAAATGGGGCTAAACCCCCTTCACATTCACAGTGAAATGGGGTCAAAATCAAATCTTGAATTGAAATAGTGGTATATAATATAAATATATACTGATATAATATTTTTAATGTAAAATTTAATGTTAGTAAAATATAATAAATAAAAAATAAATATTTAATTTAATATTTTTGAAAAAAAATTAAATAAAATAGTAAAATCGAAAATCAAATATTGCAATATTTGACCTTCAAAGAATGTCTACCCTTGCGGGTGTTCCGTTCTTATAACAACTTGATCCCCAAGATACCCCAGTCTTTAAAGCCGTCCATAAGGCTCAACCCTCAATAAATCCCGGCCCTCATGGAAGTTCGTCCTCGACACCACAAAGAACTCTACTTCTAAAGATGGTCAATGACAATTAATTGACACCGGATTAAACAAAAAGCATGACAATGACAAGGAATGAACTTAGCCACAAATGAAATAATAGGAAAGTTGTAGTAAATAAATCCCTATAATTTAGGAAGTGGTAAAGTATGGAGTTAGATTCTTAGTTTTTTAACATTATAAATAAGCATTACGAAACATTTTTGTACACACGCCTCGTTACACAAAACATCTTATCCTTGTCCCACAAGGAATGATGCGGTGGTGTGAAAAATGAAATTTTGATCGTAAGGTCATGAGTTGTGACTTGCATTAGATTTGACTAAAAATTTACTCGTATGCACTTTCATATAGCTAGTGGCTGCGGATTCCTGCATTATAAAAAAAGATTTTATCCTTTTTTTTATGTATTTTTAATATTCTAGTCATTTACATTTATATTATTCTAGCCCTTTTACATTAATTTTAGTTTATTTTCATTCGATTCATTATATTCAGCCGTCAAAACCTTGATTTTATGAGAATCTCTCGATTTTTCCGCTGGCCTCGTGATTCCTGATTGCTTTTTCAGCAATCCGAAACCTTCTGAGGCTAAGGACCATATGCATTTATTGGCCTTACGGCTTAGAGCCGATCCTTGGAAATTCGAAGCTACTCGTGGCTAAAGACTCGAATATCAACCATCGAAAAGACAGCCTTTTGCTTAAATCCGTTAGTCTGAAGTCTACCTTCAACTTGCTGGTTTTATTGTTAATGGCCGTGCACACACCACACACGATAGTCTAAAGCCTTTTCAAGGCTAAGAACTACTAGGCTCGACCGTTGATAAGACTTTTTGGAGTAATTTTCGAAACTCTAAGCCGATTTCCATAATTTTATCGGCAACAATAGCTTTGATCTTATGACACATAAAAGACTCGAAGCCTTTCATGGTATATAATATTTGAAAATGCTCCAAGTCTCGTGAAAGATTTGGAAACTAAAAAAATTTAATTTCAACAATAGCACGCTAGTAAAACCAACTGACCAATGTCAAATTTTATGAGTCTGATGTTGAGACCAAGATAATAGTTGTCGGTTCTCCATCAGCAGGTACTACGAGGACAACCACTGATCTCCATCATTAAGCCAATAGGCCATCTCCTGTGGAGGTTTTGGCTGCCTGAGGGGCAACGGGGAAGAATAAAATATTATTATTTTTGCATTTGCAAGATAAAAATATAAAAATTATCTTACATATTTTCATTAATTAATAAATTATTTTTATTTTACATTTATTATAAATATATATGTATATATTGAATTGAAACAAAAAAAAAAAAAATATTAAAAAATAATATTTTATAATAAAAATCAAATATAAATATTTGGATGGTTATGGTGCAGACACTTTAATATACAAACAACACATAATATTATTACATACAACATATGCTATATATAATAAAAGTATATACCTGTGTGAGATAATGTGCTCTTAGTTCATGAGTTATATCTTTATTACATTAACGTGTATATATTTATATGATGTATTTGTATTATATTAATTTATATCGTGCTTGAATTTAAAATTCAGCAATGTAGCCGCTGCTATAAATATTAAATCATATTAATAAAAAATAATTTAAATGAACACACCCTGAATATTTAGGGTGCATTTATATGGTAAAAATTTAGAAATTTTAATTTAGATATGATATTAAAATATCAGTTGATAAAATATTTTATTTAAAAAAAAACATACTTTCTATCCATATAATTATTACAAATTTATCAATTACTATTATTTTTACATACGAATAAAAATTTACATTACTTTTAATTATTCCTCCATAAAAATAAATATATATTTTTAAATAAAAGGAATGAATATATATTTTTTAAAAAGTTCAGAGCAAAAAAAATTCTTTAAAAATTTTTATAAAAAACACACCCTTATTTTTTTTAAAAAAAAGCCGATAAACTTCCACAGGAAGCAGCCGCGAAGAATGAAAGGGACAAGTTAAAAAATTTCCCGCCCAAAAGCTCGTCTCCTCTCCTCTCGTGTTCACTCTCCGGTCTCCACCGCCAAATCCCATACCGGAGAGCAGCCGCGGCGTGCTGTTCCCGTCGTCCTATTCGCTGCAACTATTTCTGCTCACAAATGGATGACCAGGACTTTCCTCCACAAACCAATCCTAACCCTACCCCCAAGCGGACCAACACCATCCACATTGGTGGCGTTCCCGTCGAGTTCCCTTACCAGCCCTACGGGACCCAGCTCGCTTTCATGAATCGGGTCATCTCCACCCTCGACCGTGCCCAGAGGGAAACCCGCTGCCACGCGCTGCTCGAGTCTCCCACTGGCACCGGCAAGTCACTCTCGCTCCTCTGCTCCACCCTCGCCTGGCAGCAGAATCACAAGGCCAAGAACATCCGTAACAATTTCACGCATTCCAGCTCGAGGCCTAACCCGGAAGCTGTTACGGATCCGATTAATCATGGAGGTGGTTTCATCCCGGAGACGCAGCCGTCAGGTATAATGAATTTTCTGTCAAGAATCCGTTTTTTGCTTCCATCCTATTATTTGGAAACGGTGGAGTAGTCTTGTTGTTATCATAATTTTCTGTTAACAATGTTCAGCACGAACCTGCTGGGAGTAATTTTCCTTACTTAATTGGTTCGTCGAGTCGTTTAATTCTACAATAAACTGGACGTTGTACAACTCTGAGGCATTGTTAGTTGGATGAATAGATGTTATCCTTAGAAGAATCTGTTATTTATGAAGATCTTTTTTCCTCACTTTTCTGGGTAACCATCGTAATATACTGCTAAAATTTATCAATTCTTTTTTTGGTATAATTTTCCTGCTTTAGGGAACCCAGATGTACCTCAGTCTGCTGCAAAAAATGCAAAAAAGGAGAAGCAAAGATTGGCTCCCATCATCTTTTATTCATCGTAAGCTACATTACAGTTGCACATTTGCACAATATTTGTATGGCAGAATTTTAAGAACTCTCATTGTTCTCACTATCCTGTTAATCTCTCTCACCAATATTTCATCTCTTGGTGATCTGCTCAAGTGTCACTTAAAGAGCTTGTTGATTTAGAAAAACTGTATTAATACTCTTAGGTTCACTTAACCAGGAGAACTCATTCCCAAATCAGTCAAGTAATTCGAGAGTACAAGAAGACATCCTATCGAGTTCCCATGGCAGTTTTGGTAGGTGTGCTACAAAATTCGTTCCTAATTCATGCACAGTTCTGTAATGTTAGGGTGTGTTTGTTTGGGGGTTTGGATTTTGAGTTGGGATTTGAATAGTAAAAATTTTGAATTTGAATAGTTGTATGATGTGATATAAATAGCCGTCGATGTGATATTTTGAATGTAAAATTGATTTTTAGTATAATATAAAAAATAAAAAATAGGTGTTTGATTTGATGTTTTTGGAGGGAAAAAATTGGATGAATAGTGTAAATCCAATCCAATCCCCCCAAACAAACACACCCTTAGTGTGAATTTTCTATCATGATTTTAGGATAAATTGCCGGCCTTGCTTCTTTGATTTTTTACTCTTATAGCATGATATTTCTAAAACCTTATGTTGTATTATACCTTGATGCTTGCTATCTAGCCACATTTAACATAAAAAGAACCTGCTACTCATATTGATACCCAGGAATATTCGGGTTTTACAATCCTAGTGTTTCTTAACAATGGTTATAAGTTGTCGGGATACTCTATAATGTTGATATGTATCATCCTTGAATGTTTCTCCTTCCACTTGAGTCGAGTCAATATTCATTCCAGGTTTTCCTGCATTATAACTAAGCCTTTACTTTGTTGAATTATAATACCAAAAAGTTTTAAATTATGAACATCAGATAGGCACCACTTGGGTAGCCACTTATGGCTTATGATGTTGGTTAGAACTTAAGAATTTCGAATGGTTATGATAAGTACAAGTCATGCATAGGACTGAAATATTGCCTTGGACAGTTAAGTGGGAACTGAACATTTTGAGATCCCCACTTTCCCAGGCTCTCATCTGTTGCCGGGCCTTCTGTTTGAGTTGTAAACATTGTTCTCATTTCCGTTCTACTTGTTTCAAATGCTCTTTCTGTTGCTTAATTATTGTTTTTATTTCAGGGATCAAGGAAGCATTATTGCACAAATCCATATTTACGTGGTCAAGATAAAGTTGATGAACAATGGTTACTTATATTCCCTGAGAGTTAATAGTTCTTTTAAAGTGTCTCCCTTTTTTAACAGTTGTTTTAATTTTCAGTAAGTTGCTACTGAAGAACAAAGAAGATACTTGCCCAGAATTCAAGTACAGTTTGATTTTTTATTTAAAGATTATACTGTGGATTGCTTGCGCATTTGATTTCTGTGTCCTCACTCAACTTCTTTCTTTTCAGAAATGTCCACAAAGTCAAAAGTCATCCCTCTCTGCAGAAAGGAGGGTGTCATGAGGTCCATGATATTGAAGACCTAGTCAAAATTGGGCAAGTTGTCAAAGGTTCTGTATTTATTCTACCCACATTAGTGTCTGTTTCTGTGAATTAATCTAATCATATATGGCGGTGCTTTTTTATTTTCAGGCTGTTCATACTTTGCAGCTCGGTCCATGGCAGAAGATGCTGAATTAGTCTTTTGCCCATATAACTACATTATAAATCCAGTCATCCGGAATGCTATGGAAGTTGATATAAGTGGGAGCATTATTATTTTTGATGAAGCTCAGTACGTTGAACTTATATTTATGTTTCTCAACTATGTTTCCTAAGAAAGGCATCAACTTCTTTCTTTTTTGTGTTTCTTTTGAAGTACCCTGTAACAGATTGAGATTGTTAACTGTATTCTCTTGACCTGCTAAACTATACATAACTCAGGGGCAAATGTTGATCTCAGAATGATCTTGTGTTTTGTTTGCACTTTTTCCTGTTTCAACAAAGCTAAACTCATATGGAATGTTTCAAACCCAAACCACATCCCATGACTCTTTTTAGTGACTGTTAATTATTTGGTCTGTTTGGTAGTGGATCCAACCACATGCAATTTTCTTTGTGTTATCAGCCCTAACTTTCTTACCTGTTTTACTTTAATATTCCAGTAATATAGAAGATATAACACGCAATGCTGGCAGTGTTGATCTTGATGAAGAAGTTTTGCTTCGTACGTGCCAGCCTGCAAATATATTATAATTCATTTTCAGATTTGTAATCTCATATTGCTTTATTTTTTCAAAGATCTGCAGACAGAGCTTGGGCAGCTCAGCCTCAACGATGGCATGACTTACCAACCTTTGTTTGAAATGATACAGGTGCAGATCTTATTTTGCAAGCAATCCATTTCCTGTCATCCTTGTTTGTTAATTGTCTAGTATATTTCATAACAATGCAGGATATCTTAAGTTGGATTGACCGGAGAAAAAATACCTTACAGAAGCGTGAATTTCAGCGTTATTTTTATTGGTTAGTAAATTACAGACTTACAGTTATATTTATTTTCATTTTGTTATGGCTACCCCTTCCTTAAAGTGATGTCAAATCAATGGAGCACATATTGGTAATACAACGCAATTCTTGCATTCTTTTTATTTAATTTATCCTCAATCTTTAGTTCTACATTCAAGTTGATACAGCAGTAAAAAAGATATCAGTTGACAACCTTAATCTTTGTGTCATCTATTTTGCATTCTCCTTGTTGGGCTACATAATGTGGGAAAGAACTGGTGGAACTTAAACAATGACAGTGTTTATTGCAGTCTCCTCCTGTCCTCTTGTCTTAAATGTTCACACTTGTTAGAACTTAAACCAAGAAAAGGTTTTTAGTTTTTCCTACGCTAGTAAGAGTATCTGGGATTTTTTGAAGAGAAGGCAGTTTCATGTTAACTTGTTAAGTCCACATATCGGGCTTGGAATTGGATTTTGTTCATGGAAGTATAATTAGATTAAGTTTGAACCAGTTCTTCAAATTGCTAAATGATTCAAGGAACCGTTGATGATTTCCTTGAAATTGATTGCATACCAGATCTGCTTCTCATTAAAGTTCTCTCTAAAGCTCCCGATATATGATGATCTTTGGGAAAATGCATTTCATCAATAGAAATGTTATAGCCAACCTTTTCCATCCAAATTTGCTTTTTTATTTATCAGTTGGTTACCACTTAAATAATTACAACTCCTAGCTACTTCTCTAAACATGAGGTTAAAGGATATACAATACAAATTTCATTGTTTTAATTTTCAGATATTATTTGGTTGGGTCTAAAGCAGTGTTCATGCATTTTCATTATTCTGCTTTTGTATTTTTTTTTTTACATATTAGTTGGTCTGGAGATAAGGCTTCAAAGGAGCTGCAGGAGGCTAATATATCACTGCAAAGCTTTCCAATCCTCCAAGAGTGTGCCAAAAAGGTAACTGATTAAAACCTTAGAATATTCAATAAATTTCTTTCCTTGTGGCTGCCTGCCCCTTTATAATGGTTTATATTTCCATGAAGGCAATTAAAGCTGCTTCAGAAGCGGAGTCTGAGATTCCCCATCTAAGTGGAATGGCATCAACTACATTGGAAGGTAATTGCATCTTATACTTGCACTTGTTTACTACTGTGAAATTTCAATGTTTTAACTTTAAAGTATGATGTCATACAGGATTGTTTAGTTCACTTAATTACTTCTTCTCTGGGAATGGTGCTCATGCCTGTGATTATGAACTATCGCTTCAAAAGTTTTTCAAGAAAGATGAAGGTATATTGCTATATAATTTCATTCATAAATTTTCAAATGTTTTATGAACTTTGTTTTCCATTAGGTTATTGAAAGTAGGATATTATAGTTTTGTGGTCTTTGATCTTAGAGATCTAGGTATTATATATATGCATGTTTGAATGGACCCATATAAGTGATGTTAGGTCAGCTTCTATTTTCAGTCTATGCTGTAGGCATTTTAAGATTTGAAGTTAATTTGTATGCTCATTTAATTTGGTGAGGTTTTTTTGGTAGAACTCAGAAAATCACAGATATGTATAAAGAGTTGGAAGTATCCATTAAGAAAAAAAGAAAAAGAAAAAGAAACTAATTGCAAACTTGAATGTAAGCAGAGTGAATGTGCAAAATGAGCATGTGCAAGGGAAGCTAGTGTAAGCGATCCCAGAAAGAAATATCCATGCAAATTTAGTGGATTAGCCTAGCTTTAACTTTGTGGTAATATGGTTCAATAATTAAGTGAATTTAATTTGGATTTATATGTATATACATATACCTTTTTTTCATATGGAATTTGGTAATCTACAATGATCTAGCCTAAGAATGTGCTGCACCGACTATCGAGTCAACTATGGAATTGAAAATATTGCTTTTATTATCCTACCGCTTAGACTATTTGGATACCATGTTGATACTGGAATCTGGATTAAGCTCTTGCTTATATCATATTCAGTAGTCATGATAACAATGATCACTTTTCACATGAGTAATTGTCATCAGCATATCCTTGTCGGTTATGTATAGGTTTGGTTCATAATTGATCTAGTCACTTGAATCTAAATCTGAAACCACATCTGAAATTGGAATTAAACGGACCAGTGAAATGAAAATAGAATTTCATGTAACTATAGAAAGGAGTAACATAAAATAGAGTTTCAGATACATATTCACCTTTGTCAAAGTGAATTGTGAAGCCTAATTATGAAAACAAAACTATTGTATTTCAATTTGTGGGAAAACAAAATAACTCTAAATGTAAGGCTGGTCTATGGAATTAGTCTGTTATTTTGACAGTGCTTGACAATTAGAAATCCATGCTTTCGTGATACATCTGTTCAACAGGTAAACATAACTTAGACCCAACTGGACCAATTTAATTATTTGCCACGTGTCTATTCTTCATTTCATGGCAGTGGAATAATAAGACATAGGGTTCTAACAATATTTCTGACACTTTGCTTAGTTTGACAACTTAAGGTCCAAAATGGTAGCAGTGGAAACTTGGGAACTTGCTAAGTAATCAGCTCTTGTAGCCTCGTCATGTAACTCTGGCCAACTTTATTGACTGCCTTTGAGTTGGCTTATTTTTCCACACCTTACTTGATTATCGCGTAAAACCACATATAGTTATTTCGATAAAAATGTTGGTTCGAAACTTCACTAGTATAAACAACTTAACTATGTCTATTGCCAATATTCTAATCATGTACGTCACATAAAAAATAGATAAGCTAATTTTAGAGTTATTAGTTTTCATTCTTGCATAACTAAATCCAAGTCTTAACAAACACAAAACTCTTTATACGCTATTATATTAGTCTTCTGTTTCTATCCAGGGTTACAGAAACCAATCTAGTTCTATTATTATACCATGGTCACATGGTGCTCCTAGCTTCGCCGTGAGTCTTTATAGTTTATACCATGATCACATATCCTTGATCCTATTGACAGCTTATGTTAATATTACTAATCAACGCAAGGCAGTAAAGTCTCATAAATAGAAAATATAATATCTTGTAATTATGGCTTTTCCAAAATTTGACAAAAAGATTGCATTGTTTACAGCTTTAATAGGAAAGCATTGGAGTTCCTAGAGACCACTGATATGCGTTTGAATGGTAGTTGCCATTTATATAATTCTCCTTCCGAACATAAGCTGCCATTCAGTTGATCAAATCACAACTTTATGAGTGTTAACATAATGCATCTACATTAGTCTCTTAAAGACACTTATCTGAAACTATCGCTTCAAATATGAAAGCACTTCAAAAAATGATTTTGTTTCCAGAAGACTAGTCTTGATGACTGGTAAAAGGCACTTGGGTAGTCTGGAAATCACTACTTACAGTTTTATGGTTCTGATATGATGCTTAATCATTTTTAAGTTTTTGGCCTTTGCACTATAAATACTAAATCTACGAGCAGTGTGGCTTTTCAGTTCCCTTTTGTGCTTGAACTCTTATTATTGAAGAAATGCTTGTTGTGACTATTGCATGGAAAATTATCAGGTGGTTGGAAAACTACATTCAGCCTATGGTTATTGAATCCAGCTGTTGTTTTCAAAGACATTGCTGATTCTTCTAAATCAGTCATCTTGACATCAGGGTAAACACAATTGAATTGACGCCCTTCATACCTTAGTTTGTAAGAGTGTATGTCCTGTTTAATATTTTTGCAAAAGCTTTTCCATGAATGTGGTTGTGTTTGTTTGGAGATAATTGACATTTTCTACTTTTCATTTAAATTTTTTCCTAAAAAAAAATCAAATCAAACACTATTTTTTCATTTTTTTTATTATACTAAAAATCAATTTTACATTCAAAATATCACATCAATAGTTATTTATATCACATCACACATCTATTTCAATTCATATTTTTCCTATTCAAAACCCAAAACCCCAGACAAACATGCTTCTCCCAAAAGGCTATATAGCTGATTGAGGTTCAACAAATGGATCCTAAATGATAACCTCTGAAAATTCTGTTGTCTGCATTGTATCGTAGTACTGCTCCTCGGCCCTCTGAGATTGTATCATGTTACACTCTACAAACTTTATGACAACATTCCTGTCATTTGTGTCTTCCCTGCATCTTTTCTTGATACACTTATAGGTAATCAATATGAGCATATGCATGATGGTATTGCTTGTGCAAAGCAGTCACGGGTGTATAATTACACATATCTTCTTATCCTTAAAGGACTTTATCACCAATGACCACCTTCTCATCTGAACTTGGCATTCAATTTGGAACTTGTCTGGAAGCTCCACATGTCATAGATGTCGAGTCACAGGTAGAATATCTTTGGCAGTGTTTTGGCAATGCGACATACATTAGACCTGTTCCTTCATCCTGAAGCTTGTTCTCCTTTCATAGGTATGGGCGGCTGCAATTGCCAATGGTCCTGGCAACTATCCTCTGAATGCAAGTTACAAGACTGCAGATGACTATGCTTTCCAGGTATTATATACCTTCTAAATATTATTCTAGTCAGAAGTTCTCTTTTGCTAGATGTAGCTTGATCACTTGATGTTGGTGCATTCTTATAAAGGATGCAGTAGGTATATCATTGGAGGAAATTTGCAAGATTGTTCCTGGTGGGTGCCTGGTGTTTTTTCCTAGCTACAAACTTTTGGATAAAGTAAGCATTCGGTGGCAAGAGACTGGTCAATGGTCTCGATTAAATGCTCAGAAATCCATTTTTGCTGGTAAGATTTGATAATTTTATGGATCAGAGGCTGAATCTCTGGATTTTCTTACACTATTATTACATGGGTATATATAGACATTCAAAAGGGAGAAATGGATAGACAAATTTAATGTTTAGCACTAATTCACACGAATAATATCTAATACTAATATACAACTATAATTTCAGCCATTATCTTTGTACTTGTGATAGAATAAATCCCATAACTTGGTGCTCTTTATTATTGCCCTCTATTGTAGCAATTAGTAGACTGTAATTATTGCTCCACAATTTCTGCTGTTGATGATATTATCTGACTTGCTGTTATGAAATGAGTGAGTTGTGAAACTGGGTTATCTCAAGCAAAATTATTAATTTGCAGAATCTATGTTATACAGGCTTTTACTTTCTATGCACTTTGATGCATTTATATTTATCTATTTACCTTTTGTTTTAGAACCAAGAGGAAGCAGCCAGGATTATTTTGAGCATTATTTGAAAGGTTATTATAATACAATTCGTCACGGCACAAGACCACGTGGAAAGAAGATGGGAGGCAAAAGGTTAGGTCTTAAAACTGGAAATTTGGTAGAATCTACCAAAGGAAAAAAGAAAGAAGGTGCTGCTTTTTTGGCTGTTTGTCGAGGCAAGGTAATGCAATTCATGACCCCTTTTTGCATTGGAGAATATCACTTCCTCTGAATTAAGCTTTGAATTTCCATTTCTGGAAGACGGATTTTCTGTAGCAGTTAAAGTGATTATGTCATGGAACTTGCTTTTGCTTACTACTTTTGAAGAAAATAATGTATACAAGTTAAGCTTTCACTTCTTCTATTCACTACTAGTTTGAGAGCATAATGGAGTATAGATGACAGAAACTGCAGGCTGCTTTCTACTTTTCTAAAATCTGCTTTAGAAGTATTGCTCTGACACTGAGTTGTGAACAATTTTGACAATTGACATAAAAAGTTGATGCTCACATTTAAGTATTATTTTGCAGGTCTCCGAAGGAATAGATTTTTCTGATGACAATGCCCGAGTTGTTGTATCCTTTTACAGTATGTGTGAGCTTGGTCATTTTGATCATATTTTGTAACATGGCACATCAAAAGGTCTATGGAAGCATGCCATAAATTACATAAATATATATAATAGTTATGTTGATTATTATTCCCATTGACTATTAACACTACATGTCAGAAGCAATTTAACCATAATTACAAAATAAATTTGACTCAAGTAATACTTAAAACACTATTTAGTCATAGAGAGAGACTATATTTCCAGTGTTCACATAATTCCATAAAATTGTATGTGTCATCTATAGCATTAGGTTATTGCCTCAAGAAGGAAGGAAATGCATTCTGATAGTGAAACACAAGGCATTTACAATTATGATAGAGAAAGAAAAATGAAAGACACATGGAAAACAAAAGAAAAAACATAGGAGTAAAAAAAAACGAGAAATAATATTCAAAAAGCTATAGGATAATGACTTTGTGAGAGGTGGATTGATCACATTGAGCAGAAGAAATGAACTTCACAGATTGGCCTTTTCTTTTAGTTCCCTTTTTAAGTATAAAATAAGATGTTGTCTTTATAAGGTCCTTTAATGTGGCATCAAGTTGGTGCCTTACTGCCTACACCATAGCAATTATGTTGCTATCAAACATTAAGATGACCCCATAATTTTTTGAAACTTAGAGTGTGTTTGTTTGGGGGATTGGATTGGATTTACACTATTCATCCAATTTTTTCCCCCAAAAAATATCAAATCAAACACCTATTTTTCATTTTTTATATTATATTAAAAATCAATTTTACATTCAAAATATCACATTAACACCTATTTATATCACGTCATACAACTATTCAAATTCAAAATTTTTACTATTCAAATCACAACTCAAAATCCAAACTCCCAAACAAACACACCCTTAATAGCTGTAATATGAGTCCTTATGTTGTACTATTCTCCTTGCATTAAACTGCATGATATATAAATTAATGGTGCCATAAGAAATGTTATACCTTAATTACTTCAGGTGGTCGTTGGGATTCCATTTCCAAACATGTAATAATCTTCTTCCCCACTTCTATTGTTTGTTGATTATATATGAGTTACAATACATTGGTGATTTTTTTGTCAGTTATGATACTAAAGTTGCCCAAAAGAAGAAGTTCAACGATACCTATGAGTTGTCAAAAAGCCTTTTAAGTGGGAATGAGTGGTACTGTCAACAGGCATTCAGGGCTCTAAATCAAGCTACAGGTAGTGTTGATGACGTGCAAATGTTCAATGCTTGTCCTGAAATGTTAAAAGTTTATACATTTCTGTTTTGTCTTTTACCCTCTCGTAGTTGATCATGCAATTGTTCGTATTGGTTCCTGCTGTTTTATGGAATATCGTGAACTCCCTGGTATTAAGTGTTCATACTGTTTAAATTGGTCCTTTGCCTTGTACTTGCATTGATAGTGATTCTAAAGTTGCCCTTAGCTGGATTCTTGGAGCAGCACTCCCTTGGAAGTTGAATTCAGAGATAAATAAACTTTGCCATATTATTTCTAATAGCCCATCCATCTCCCTTAAGCACATCCTTCACTGTGCTAATAGATTGACATTTTCTTTGCGAAGGGCAGATCACAAGTTCTATATGTCTGTCTCCATGTTTTCCCCTGTACCTCTTATTTTCTACACTCTTTTATCCTTATTTACAAAATAATTTTCTTTTCTGAAAAAAAAAAAAAAGAAGAACTTCTCTCACAGCTCTGTGTTCATTGATATATTTATTTTAGGTCTTCTATGCTAATTAGTGTAACAAATATGTAAGGCTTACCTTAATCACTTAATGAAGTATTTTGATGGAGCTACGCCTGAATGACTATACATAGCTGTAAATTAATGAGTAGTATGGATCTTGAAGGTTATTTTTGAACCTCTTTTCTAAATCATGGGAATCTATCCCTAGAATGCCACACATTAGTGTTCCCTTAAAACCAAACTTTTCAAGAAAGTTAAAATAGATTAACTCTAACAGTTGTGTGCAAGATTCCACCAACCCATACATTTTCAATATTATGTTTGGTTTGGCCTTTTATTTGTACTTTGACTTTAGTGTATGTTGTCAATATTCTCCTCCCATATCAAGCCATTTCTGTATGATATTTGCCTAAACCCGATGCCATCAGCAGGTGCATGTTGATTTATTTTAGGTAATCATAAGATAACAAATTGTCAATTTATTACCTAAAGTATTGAATATAGTGCTTCAAAACTAGTCTTATGGTGAAACTAAAGGGTTGGAAGTGCCATGTTAGTTGACATAGTATTTGAAGCATTTGCAAACTATTTATATTTGACAAATAAATAGTTTAGAATCTTCCTGCTTTTACTTGGTTGCTTGTATCTCTTTCCATTTCATTATATTTCTAGCTAATTGTGATATGTATTTCATTAATTTTGTAGGTCGATGTATTCGCCACAAATTTGATTATGGTGCTATCATTTTCTTAGGTACTCGATCACCCTCTTCGACTAGGTTTTGTTTACTTGTACATTTTGTTAATTGCTCCTTATCTTCTTTGAAGTAATCTTATAGCCATCTTTATAGAAAATTCGCTGTGTAGATTTATCTTGTTTTAATTTCTTTGAAACATCTTGTTAATGAGGGGTGTTGGCGGTTAAATTTTCTGCATTTTTGTCCATTTCGTAATATGAATGATACAACCAATAGAAAAGGGAATAAATTGATCAGCTTTTATTAGTTACTTAGATCAGATCTTGTGAAGCAATATCAATTTTCTAGTTAATTCTGATCAAATTATTCAAGCTTAACATTCTTTTGCCCCTCCACCTTGTTTCTCCCTGATAAAGAATATTGATGTAAGAAAAAAATTGCTAATGCTAACTATATAATAGTAATTCATTGAAATTTTGGTGGTTTTGTTTCAGCAAGTATATGCTGATCCCAAATCATATTCTGTACAATCTTCAGTGGTAATAAGTTCATTTTATATATATATTGTTAACAGATGAGCGGTTTCACAAAGATAGAAATAGAGCATACATATCAAAGTGGCTGCGGAATTCCATTAAGCTGTACAACTGTTTTGATGAAGCACTAGATGGGTTACAATCATTTTTTACAGATGTCAAGGTACATGAAGAGAAACATGATTTATAATGTGATTGATGTTGCAGATGTACTGTACTGTCCTGACATTTCTCAGTGTAGGCTGGAATTGGCGTGGCAGCAAACTCGTCACAAGCTCGGGATGTGAACTGTGAAATAATCAATTCTGAAGATAAAAAGGGGTCAAGAAGGATCAACGATAAAGTTGTGAAATCTCAACCTTACAAGCGAAATATGGTATCAAATTATTTTGTTGGTGAAGCTGCCAGACCAACCAATTCTTCAGTTCCTTCTACAATCTTTGATTCACCATCAACTCAAACAAAATCTGAAGTGCTAACCAATGATGGGGATGCTAATGTTCGTGGAAAATATATTGACCTGGACAGCGATCCTGAGAATGAGTTAAGGTAATTGTTTGAATGATTTTACAATGCAACTCTCCTGTGAATTCCTTTTTCTAGTGAACAATCTACCTTAATGTTTGCATTTCAACATTAATATCCATTTTTGTTATCAGTGCATAATTTAATTTGTTAGCCTTTAGACAAGCTGGTCTGCCACTTCTTGAGTCTTATCTTCCGTGTTCTCATGATTTCTTGGGCAAGTTGATTTTTAGTTGCTTATTTTTCACACAATTAGTTTCAATGAATGTTCTCTATGTGCAGGTGTCATGACACACCTTTGGTGGCATTGCCCTCGGATGATCTTGAACTCACTATAGTTCAAGAAACACCTGGTATTGGTTTTAGGAGTCCTGAATCAAATTCTAAATTTGTCCCCAAGGATGATCACTCAACACCACAAACGAAGAAATCATTCAATGTGTTTCATGAACAATCTTCATTACAGTCTAGCTCCATTTCAAATAAACAAGCTAGTCCTGCTCATGTTATGCTTTCACCTGTTGCAACTCTCGATAAAGAGAGTGCATCTAATGCAAACATCATAGAACCTGCTGGAGCATCTCCAGGGAGTGTCAGTTCTGATGTTGGGAAAAGAAGAAAAGTCTCTAGTCTGCCGTCAGTTGGTCGACTCCATGAGTTTAGTACGCTTGCTCAAGTTCCTGACATTGTTAGCTCTTTCAGACATTCATTTACATCTCCTGCCTCAACAGCCCACAGTCCTAAGGAGAGGAATCATTCAGAAAGTGGATGTTGCAAAGATAAATCCTTTTGGTCACATGGACCAAGTAATTCTGATAGATTGTGTGTATCTTCTGGTACGAGTATGGATAACAGACAACAAATTTTCTGCTTGGGCTGCAAAAATCCAATGGGTCTTTTTGAAAACGATTTCACTGTTCCTTGCTCAATCATTTCAACATCAAAGAATCATTTACTATCACTGCAGAACAAGGCTCTGGGAATTGTATATTCAAGCACACCAAGCGTGGATGTTCTGGTGGCTGATACATCATCAATTGATCCCCGTGTGTGTGAAGGTTCATCTGGGCAGGGTATTTGGTGCAAAGAAGATGGCTGTGTTTTCAATTCAATATTTTGCCCCTTCTGTCACAAGGTTCTTGGCGTTCAGGTTGCGGCTACGGATGCATTAAATATTCAGTTCCAAAACAAGGTTAGAAACCTTGTGTTGTTGAAGTTGAAGCAGCAGTTGATTTCTTTTTTTAGATAGCACAAGCTTCCTATCACCCTCACATTTATATTGTTCGATGTGCAGATGTTATTGTACGTTGATTGCTTGGAGATTAAGAGTTTCAAAGTACAGATAAAGGGAGGAAAAGACGAGGTACTGATTAAGTTATGCTTGCAACACCATATTTTTTCGGTAATTCTTAGATGTTAAAAAGGTTTTAGATCAATGTGCTGATTTGATTAGTTTATTGTTTTAGATTAATTTTAGTCCGGCTGAATTTGAATTTAAAATAGGCTAGCTATCTATAAATAGCAAATTTTCAGTGCAACCTGATAATAAACTAAACACATTGTGGGCATTACTGAATAATTCCTTAGGATATTTATAGAATAGCAAACATTAGTAAACTCAACCCTAAAAGTTCCTATAATTACATCTATCTATATACACTGCTATATATACCTAGTTGAGACTGATGATTCAGCTTGCCATATGCATCGTAAACAGAACAACGCATTTTTGTATTTATTTGGTTTGATTCTACCTGTGATTGCTATCGTGCATGCAGGTTTTAACTTCACATGAAGACCGTGGCGCAAGCACAGAAAAACATCTGCCAGTCAGTGACATCGAGAAGTTTGCATACAAGTCACCAGTCCAAGATTCCGGAGGTTGGAGGAGAACAAAATCACGGGTAAGTCCCTGTAATGCTACTTCTTCTGTTGCATTGTTGCATTGTTGCATCATCAACAAGTTTAGTTTTTCATTGAATTCGATGTTTGTTGTTCTTGCAATGCAGATGAGGCTTCCTAGGAAGTAATTAGATAATAGGTTTTTTGGCTGTCCATATATATATATGGGACAAGTAAAATGTAAATCTAAGATCCATCCAGCCAAGCTAAGGTAAGGTAAGAGCACACACAAAAATCACATTTCCCAAATTAATTTTGCTACATTGCAACTAGTTTGCAATTGTATCATCAATAATATTCTTACTATTCATTTCATTAGAAGATATCTAATTTCTTGTTCATGTTAGCTAGATGTATGTAATTCATAGATGGTGCAGGAGTAATAATCCATGAAGTGGCGGAGTTAGGGTTGTTCCGTCGATGGGGTTGAAGGAGTTTTGTTGAGGTAAAGAAAAGTAGATATTTTTTGTTTTAAATAGAATTGACGGTTACAGTATGAAAACTATTGAGATGATAAGAATATATCTAATTGGATCGTACAGAAATAGTTTATATGATTAACAAAGCAATTGACATAATAAGAGCAAATACGGCCTAAAAAAGCTTCTATATCTTATTTGTTCAAGCTCGGGCAAAATTTTATCCTAAAAAATTTCAATTTATTCTCAATGGTTTAAAAATCAAATTGAAAAAATAAATTTGTTTCTAACAGCAGACCATCATCAAAATTTTTAATTCATTATTAATGGTTAAAAAGTAAAATTAAACAATAAATTTGTTTTTGGCAAAATATATTAAAAAAAATTAGGGGTAGAAGAAGAAAGTAGCTTGGGAAAGGTTTTTTTTTCAACAAGCTTGTTTCTCATATGTCTGTTTTTCAATATAGAAAATAATTATTGTATCATTTTTTTAGTCTTGTCAAAAAAAAAAAAACCTCTCGTTGATTCCACGGGTATAAGGGTTGATTTAGATAGAAGTTCTAATAATTTTATAGTTTTGAAAATTTTTTAAAATAGTGATAAATTGGATATATACCATAATGTTTTGGTTAAACAAAAGATACTATTAAATGAAATTGAGAGTAAAAATATGTATTGTTGATTTATACAATTAATATAAAAAATATTGTTTTGATAAGAATTTATATAATTCAATCGGATATAAATAATTATGTAATTAACAATGCAATTGACATATAAGAGCAAATACAATGGTTAAGTCATAAAAAAACTTCTATATCTTATTTGTCCAAGCTCGGGTAAAATTTTATCCTCGAAATCTTCAATTCATTTTGAATAGTTAAAAAAATCAAATTAAAAAACCAAATATGTTTCTAACACAACAAACCATTTTCAAAATCTTCAATTCATTCTCACTAGTTAAAAAATCAAACATGTTTTTGACACAATAGACTAAATAATAGAGGATAGAAGAACAAAGCATCCTGTGAAATACTTTCTGTCCAATAAGCTTGTTATTCAGATGTCAGACGTCTGTTTTTCAACCTGAAAAATAATTATTGTATCATTTTTTAGACATGTAAAAAAAAAGCTTTTGTTGATTACGCGGGTATAAGGGTTGGTTTAAATCGAAGTTTTAAAAATTTTTTATTTTTTAATATTTTTTAAAATAATAATAAATTGGATATATACCATGATGTTTTGGTAAAACAAAATATATTATTAAATATTGTTAAAAGATCAAAATATATCTATGCAAATAAAATCTTAATAAAAACCAACAAGAAATTGTTTACACTCATACATAGTTTATTCGGATGTGTTCTTTTATCAATGTTTTTTGAAATTTTTATTTTTCATTAATTTTTTTTCTTTTAAAAATATCAAATCAAACATCTATTTTTTATGATTTTTATTATACTAAAAATTAATTTTATACTCTCTCTATCTCGGATAAATTGTCCACGTTAACACGAGAATTTAGATAAAGTATAATTAGTAAGTAATTAAGAAGTAAATTTAAAAATAATTATGATATAATAAAATAATTGTAGATTAAGATTAAATAACTAAATAATATAATTAAGATTAAAAAAATTATAATGTATAAAAATTAAAATATATAATTTTATTTGAAAAAAAAATGACAAATTACGTTGCAGCGGACGAAAATGGAAAATGTGGACAATTTATGAGGGACATGTGGAGTATTTAAAATACTATCACAAAATACTTATTTATGTTATATTATACAATTATTTTAATTTAAAACCCTTACTATTAAAAGTCCCAAAAAAAAATTTAAATCTCATACAACACAGATTCAAGTGTGATGGGAAGTATTGGAAGATATCGAATTTCTTGTGCATGCTAGCTAGATGTATGTAACCCATGGATGGCGCAGTAATATTTCATGAAGTGGTGGGGTTAGGGTTGTTCTATCGAGGAGTTTTAATGGGCAATCGTATAAGAGAAAATACAATAGTTAAGTCTTAAAAAAAACTTCTATATCTTATTTGTCCAAGTTCAGGTAAAATTTTTATCCTCAAAATTTTCAATTTATTCTCAATGGTTAAAAAAATCAAATTAAAAAAAAACAAACTTGTTTCTAACAGCAGACAATCATCAAGATCTTCAATTCATTCTCAATGGTTACAAAAATCAAATTTAAAAAAACAAATCTCTGTTTCTAACACAACAGATTAAAAAATAGGGACAGAAGAAGACAGCAGCTTGGGAAGACTTTTCTTCAACAAGCTTGTTCCTCAGACGTCAGACTTCTTTTTTTTAATTTTAGAAAATAATTACTGTATCATTTTTTTTAGACATGTAAAAAAAAAAAAAAAACTTTTGTTGATTCCCCGGGTACAAGGGTTGGTTTAGATGGAAGTTATAATAATTTTATAGTCTTGAAAATTTTAAAAATAGTAATAAATTGGATATATACCATGGTGTTTTGATTAAACAAAAGATATTAAATTAAATATTATTAAAAGTTTTAAAAATATCTAAGCAAATAAAATCTTATTAGAAACAAACAAGAAATTGTTTACAATCTGATGCATAGTTTATTTGGATGTGTTCTTTTATCAATATTTTTTGAAATTTTTATTCTTCATTAATTTTTTTTCTTTAAAAATATCAAAATCAAACACATCTATTTTTTATAATTTGTATTATCTTAAAAATTAATTTTATATTCAAAATACTATCAGATAAATACTTATTTATATTATATTATATAATTATTTAAATTCAAAATTTTTACTATTAAAATCCCAACAAAAAATTTAAATAACAAACAACACATATTAAATTGTGATGGGAAGTGTTGAAGATATCAAGTTTCTTGTGCATTCTAGCTGGATGTACTTAATCCATGGATGACGCAACAATATTCCATAAAGCGGGGGAGCTAGGATTGTTCGTCCAGAAATTTTGAAGGGGTTTTTGTTAAGGTTTATTATAAACGAAATTGACAGAACAAACCATCCTCAAAATCTTCAATTCATTCTCAATTGTTAAAAAAATTAAATTAAAAAAAAAACATGTTTCCAAAAACTAAAAAATAAGGGCAGAAGAAGAAAGCAGCCTGGGGAAGGCTTTTTCTGCAACAAGCTTGTTCCCCAAACGGTCACGTCTGTTTTTCAATTTAGAAAATAATTATTGTATCATTTTTATTAGATATGTGAAAAAAAAAACTTCAGTTTATTCCACAGAGTTGGTTTAGATAGAAATTATAATAATTTTATAGTTTTAATTTTTTTAAAAAATAATAATAAATTGGATATATACCATGATGTTTTGGTTAAACAAAATACATTATTAAAAATATTGTTAAAAGTTCAAAAAATATCTATGCAAATAAAATCTTATTAGAAACAAATAAGAAATTGTTTACACTCTAATTATGCATAGTTTATTTGGATGTGTTCTTTTATTAATATTTTTTGAAATTTTTATTATTCATTAATTTTTTTTAAAAAAATATTAAATTAAATATTTATTTTTAAAAAAATTTATATTATACTAAAAAATTAATTTTATATTTAAAATATCATATAAATACTTATATTATACAATTATTTTAATTCAGAACTCTTATTATTAAAGTTCCAACAAAAAAATTTAAATCCCAAACAACGCACATTAAAGTGTGATGGAAAGTATTGGAAGATAGCGAATTTCTTGTGCATGCTAGCTAAATGTATGTAATCCATGGATGGCGCAGTAATATTCCATGAAGTGGCGGGGTTACGGTTGCTCCGTCGAGGAGGTTGAAGGGGTTTTGTTGAAGTTAAACAAAAAAAAAATCAAGTATTTTTATCATTTTAAATAGAATTGAGAGTAAAAATATGTATTTTGACTTATACAATTGATATAAAAACTATTGACTTTATAAAAATTTATATAATTAACAATGCAATCTTATATAAAAGGGCAAATACAATGGTTAAGTCCTAAAAGAACTTCTATATCTTATTTGTTCAAATTCAAAGTAAAATTTTATCTTCAAAATCTTCAATTCATTTTCAATAGGTAAATTAATCAAACCAAAAAATAAAATTGTTTCTGACACATCAGACTAAAATATAAGGAGGAAGAAGAAAACAGCCTGGGGAAGGCTTCTTCTGCAACAAGTTTGTGTTCCCAGACGTCAGATGTCTGCTTTTCAACCTGAAAAATAGTATTATATCATTTTTTTTTAGACATGTCAAAAAAAGTTTATGTTGATTCCATAGGTAGAAGGTTCGTTTAGAGACAAAAATTCTAATAATTTTATAATTTTTTAAAAATAATAATAAATTGGATATATATACTGTAATGTATTGGTTAAACAAAAGATATTATGAAATCTTGTTAAAAGTTCAAAAAATATGTATGCAAATAAAATCTTATTAGAAACAAACAAGAAATATTACACTCTAATGATGCACGGATTTATATGGATGTGTTTTGTTATCAGTTTATTTTTGAAATTTTTATTATTCATTAATTTTTTTCTTTTAAAATATCAAATTAAACATATATTTCCTATAATTTATAATATATTAAAAATTAATTTAAATTTAAAATATCACATAAATACTTAAATATATCATATTATATAATTATTTTAATTCAAAAATCTTACTATTAACGTCTCAACAAAAAATTTAAATCCCAAGGAACATACATTAAAGTGTGATGGAAAGTACGAGAAGATATCAAATTTCTTGTGCATGCTAATTAGATGTATGTAATCCATGGATGGTGCATTAATATTTCATGAGGTGTGGCAGGGTTAGCGTTGTTCTATCGATGGGGGTTAAAAGCAGTTCTGTTGAGGTGAAAAAATTTAGATATTTTTATCATTTTTAAATAGAATTGACGGTAAAAATATGTATGTTGACTTATACAATTAATATGAAGATTATTGACTTGATAAGAATTTATATAATTCGATCGGATATAAATAGTTTATGTAATCAACAATGCAATCGACGCATAAGAGCAAATACAATGGTTAAGTCTTAAAAAAGCTTCTATATCTTATTTGTCCAAGTTTGGGTAAAATTTTATCTTCAAAATTTTCTATTCATTTTCAATGGTTAAAAAAATCAAATTAAAAAACAAACCTATTTCTGACACAAAAAACCATCCTCAAAATTTTTAATTCATTCCCAATGGTTAAAATAATCAAACTAAAAAAACAAGTATGTTTCTGACACAACAGACTAAAAAATAGGGGCAGAAGAAGAAGAAAGCAGTGTGACTAAGGCTTTTTTTGCAGCAAGTTTGTTCCCTGACATCAGACGTTTGTTTTTCAACCTGAAAAATAGTATTATTGTATCATTTTTTTTAGAGATGTAAAAAAACTTATGTTGATTCCACGGGTTGGTTTAAATAGAAGTTCTAATAATTTTATAGTTTTAAAATTTTTTAAAAATAGTAATAAATTGGATATATACCATGATGTTTTGATTAAATAAAAGATATTATTAAAAGTTAAATAAATATCTATGCAAAAAAGCTTATTAGAAACACACAAGGAATTGTTTACACTCTAACGATGCATTTGGATGTGTTCTTTTATCAATTTTTTTTTAAAAAAATTATTATTATTATTTTTTTAATATCAAATTAAATATCTATTTTTTATAATTTATTTATATTTAAAATATCACATAAATACTTATTTATATCATATATGATATAATCATTTTAATTCAAAATCTTGCTATTAAAGTCCCAACAAAAAATTTAAATCCCAAACAAACACATGTTAAAGTGTGATGGGAAATATGAGAAGCAATAAATCAAATTTCTTGTGCATGCTAACTAGATGTATGTAATCCATGGATGGCGCAGTAATATTCCATGAAGTGGCGGGGTTAGCGTTGTTCCGCCGAGGGAGTTGAAGGGGTTTTGTTGAGGTAAAAAAATAGATATTTTTATCATTTTAAATGGAATTGACAGTAAAAATATGTATGCTTGACTTATACAATTAATATGAAAACTATTGACTTGATAAGAATTTATATAATTCATCGGACATAAATAGTTATATAATCAACAATGCAATCGACGTATACGAGCAAATACAATGGTTAAGTCTTAAAAAAGCTTTTATATCTTATTTGTCCAAGTTTGAGTAAAATTTTATCCTAAAAATCTTCAATTCATTTCCAATGCTTCAAATAATCAAACTAAAAAAACAAAATTGTTTCTGACACAACAGACTAAAAAATAGGGGCAGAAGAAAAAAGCGGCATGGGGAATACTTTTTTATGCAACAAGCTTGTTCCCCCGATGTCAGACGTCTGTTTTTCATACTGGAAAATAGTATTAATGTATCATTTTTTTAGACAGATAAAAAAAGCTTCTGTTGATTCCACGGGTATAAGGGTTGGTTTAGATAGAAGTTCTAATAATTTTATAGTTTTGAAAATTTTAAAAATAGTAATAAATTGGAAATATACTTTTGGTTAAATAAAAGATATTATTAAATATTGTTAAAAGTTAAAAAAATATCTATGCAAAAAAAAAATCTTATTAGAAACAAAAAGAAATTGTTTACACTCTAACGATGCATAGTTTATTTGGATGTGTTCTTTTATCAATTTTTTTTCTGAAATTTTTATTATTCATTAACGTTTTTTTTTTTAAAAATATCAAATTAAATATCTATTTTTTATAATTTATATTATATTAAAAATTAATTTTATATTTAAAATATCAAAAAAATACTTATTTATATTATATTATACAATTATTATAATTCAAAATTCGTTCCAACAAAAACTTTAAATCCCAAACAGGACACATTAAAGTGTGATGGAAAGTATAGGAAAATATCGAATTTCTTGTGCATGCTAGCTAGATGTATGTAGTCCATGGATGACGCAATAAAATTCCATGAAGTAGCGGTGTTAGTATTGTTCCGTCGAGGGGATTGAAGGGATTTTGTTGAGGTAAAATAAATACATATTTTTATAATTTTCAATAGAATTGACAGTCAAAATATGTATGCTTGACTTATACAATTAATATAAAAACTATTGACTTGATAAGAATTTATATAATTCGATCGGACATAAATAGTTTATATAATCAACAATGCAATCGACATATAAGAGCAAATACAATGGTTAAGTCTTACAAAAATTTCTATATCTTATTTGTCCAAGCTCTTTTAAATTACATCCTCGAACTCTTCAATTCATTTTCAATAGTTTAAAACATCAAACTAAATAAAAATAAACATGTTTATCACACAACAGATTATCTTCAAAATCTTCAATTCATTCTCAATGGTTAAAAAAAATCAAATTGAAAAAAAAAATTGTTTGTAACACAATAGACCAACCTAAAAAATCTTCAATTCATTCTCAATGGTTAAAAAAATCAAACTAATAAACAAATTTGTATATGACACAACAGACTATCCTAAAAAATTTCAATTCATTCTCAATGGTAAAAAGATCAAACTAAAAAAATAAATTTGTTTCTGACACAACATGCCAAAAAATTATGAAAAGAAGAAAAAAACAGCCTAGGGAATGTCTCTTCTACAATATGCTTGTTCCCCAGATGATCAGACGCCTGTTTTTTCAATTTGAAAATAGTACTCTAGTATTGTATTATTTTTTTTGACATGTCAAAAAAAAAAAGCTTCTGTTGATAGATAGAAGTTCTAACAATTTTATATTTTCGAAAAATTTTAAAAATAGTATTAAATTTGATATATAATGTGATGTTTTGGTTAAACAAGTGATATTATTAAATATTATTAAAAATTCAAAAAAATATCCATACAAATAAAATTTTAATATGGAAATGACAAAAATAAATACGTCATGTAATGTTAAGTAAATAGTACAATTATTTAAAAAAAAAAGAATAATTTGTTATGTAGGGACCAAAATAAAAAAATTGTATAGTTTGTTGTGAATGGTGGGAGGGAGGGAGTAATATATATATCTAAAAGAAAAATCAATTATAATTAATTAATTAAATTACTATTAAAATACTAATAAAATACAGTCGGGCTAATAATACAAAGTAGAGTTATTGGGCCCGTTTGAATCCAATTCTTTATTTAGGCCCAAATAATGCGATCCCCAATTTACAAGCACAAATTTCAAAATTTCGACTCCATTCGTCGTCGACCAACGCCTATTCGATTCTCTTAACGCTCGTAGCCGAAAGAGAGGAGAAGCAAAGGAAGAACAACAAGGAACGTTCAGAGTAGCGTTTGCTTTAATTCCAATCCACCTTTCGCGTTTGAGGTTGGTTTCGCCGGATTCCTTTTTTTTTTCAATCGTTTATTTGTTTATTTTCGCAATTAGGTTTGTATATTTACCCTGAGATTATTTGCCTTATATTGTTTCAGATGAAAGGAGGAAAGTCGAAAACTGATTCGAGGAAAGCCGATAGCAGGTCTCAGATGTTTTTCTTCTTATTGCGTCTGTTAACCGATTGTGTTTGTTTTCGACTTTTGGAAGTTAATCCGAGGGCATAATTTGTCTGGCAAGCTTAAGATTTTCAAACGGTGTTGATCCATTATTGTGTAGATATATATATAATTTTTTGGAGTGATTGCTATGAATTTCAATCGATTTAGTGTTTGAATCACTTGAACGACTCAGGGCAAGATCTGTTTGCATTATTTTTCTACTCTCTTTGCGTTCAACTTCACATGTTCGTGAAAGTTATTTTTTGGTAATTACCCGTTTGTCATTGCTTACTTTTTGATACTGTTTTAATGTGACTTTTATTTTCCTCTAGAGTTTGACACACAGCTTTTACTGACTTATTTATGGAGTTAGGCATCAATCCTATTTTTATTTAGCTTACCCTTACTGGAGAATTTAACTTTTAGATAATAGTTGGTTTAGGATCTCTTTTTGCCTGCCTGCCTGCCTTCCTTCTTATTCTTTTCATATCTATCTTGTATGTTTTTCATTAGAGGAACAAAATAGAATCAATTGTTTTAGTTTTGTTAGGCTGTTTTGCATTTTATACTTCTATGCCTATTATTGGCCTTAATGTATGAACTTTGAACAAAGCATGTGGTGAATATTCTAGGCTTGCTGTGAAGAAGCAGACAAAGAAGGAGAAAAAAGCCGCAAAGGACCCGAACAAGCCAAAGAGGCCACCAAGTGCTTTCTTTGTTTTCATGTATGCTGACGTTGGCGTTGTTTGTCATCTATTCGTCTTCTTGTTTATTTGTAACGATTCATCAATTTGATTTTGTGGGTTCTAAGCGTTTGATGTTTGCAGGGAGGGGTTCAGGAAGCAATTCAAGGAAAAGCACCCCAGCAACAAATCTGTTGCTGCTGTGAGTAGCCTTCATTTTTATTTGATTTTTCTCTTGAACTAGGTTTAAGATATTGGACATGCTTGTTGGGGTTAATGCAGGTTGGCAAAGCTGGTGGTGAGGAGTGGAAGTCAATGACCGAGGAGGTAAATTTTGTATTATTATATTCTAGAAACCGTGGGAACGTGTTTGGATGTGGCGATGGGAATAGTAAAAATTTGAATGAAATATGTGCTTGATGTGATATAGATAGAATATTTTTTAATGAAAAATAAATTTTTGATGTAAAATAGAAAATGAAAAATAGATGTTTGCTGTAATGTTTTTCCGAGGGAAGAAAGGAAAATTGGAGCCAACCCTCCATTCATAGATACCTTAAGCTTCTGGGTTAGGAAATCTATTCCACTTTATATATATATATATTAAAGTCATCTAATGAAATGAGTTTTGTGGTAAATAGGACAAAGCTCCCTTTGTGGAAACGGCAGAGAAGCGCAAGGCAGAGTATGAACGCAAGATGGAGGCATACAACAGAAAATTGGTAATAATCGACAGCTCCTATTTTTACAGAATAAGTGAATTTTCATAGTCATCTTATCTTTCAATTGCCGGATTCTGATAGGCTGGAGACGATGGTGATGAGGAGTCTGACAAGTCGAAATCAGAGGTTAATGATGAGGACGATGATGGAAGCAGTGGGGTGAGTTGATTTACGCCCCCACTTAATTCTATACCTTGTAGTAATGCTTGTGATCGATCATCTTTGTGACAACTCTTCTTTCCCATTTCGATGCAGGAGGAAGACGATGATTAGACACACCACCCTGCACCTGGAGATGGTTATCTGCTGCAATACTTGATGACATTATATTTTATAGCTTTTCTCGAGTTTGACATTGTATATCGTATCCTATGCTTTATTTACCTGGGAACTTATTTTGTAATATGGGATTTAGCTTTTATACCTCTTGTCAAAACTATGAATAACTTCTGATGCATCAAGATTTAGCTTTTTCTGATATACAATAGCTCGACCCGAGCGTTGAACTCCTTTAGTACCGTTGCTTTTTATTCGATGTCCTGCCGAAAGTTTCCGTCCGGAGGGGGGATTGCATTGCTTGAAGGTATATATATATATATATATATATGTGTGTATGTGTACATATGTATGTATTGTGTGGTAAGCTTTATGATCTCACAATGTGCATTACTTGGTATCTGAAATTTCATTGACTGGGTGACAATTAGGTAAGAATTCAAACAAGTCGTTTCTAAATGCTGAAAATGAGTGGTGTTATCATCTTCTTCATAATCATCATTTTCTTGCTTTACTTTAGTTACTTGTAATCTTCTTTTCTTCCATTGGTCAATAACTTGATTCATTTTTGCATTCATCACATGAAAATTGAGGGTGGGAGGTTCCCTTTATCCTCCCCCCCCCCCTGTTTTTGTTTTTTCTTTTCTTTTTTCCATTTTAATTTAATTGAATGAATCACGTAACATTTTCAGAAAGGCCCTCTCTCTCTCTCTCTCTCTCTCTCTCTCTCTCTCTCTCTCTCTCTCTCTCTCTCTCTATGTTGGACCAATGCTTTAGCACCAAAAGTAGGTATGTGTATTCTATTGGGCCCATATTTGCCACATTGGATAGTGGGCCTTCTAATTATTCTGTGTACGGCCCAATACACCAATAACTATAACATATAGTATATGTATCTGTAACAGCGTAGATATTTTTAAATTTCAGAAACGTGTTCAATAAATTCAATTTTTAAAAACAATCCATCTCTACCGTACACGTGTCGCCTGACGCAAACCAGCCCTTGATTTTGTCTTATTTATTACCGAAGCTGTTATCGGTTGTACTTGTATCCCTCCTGCAGTAAAGAAAAAAAAAGAAAAACCAATAAAAAGTAAATAAACCAAAAGAATAAATAAATAAATAAAGGGGCCAATTTATAATTTAAAGAAAAAGAACAAAGGGTCCTTTTCCTTTCTTCTCCTCCTCCTTCATCTTCCTTGTTGTCGCTGTTCTTCTTCCCCTTCTTCCCTTTGCCTCCAATCCAATCCAACCCTGCGAGACGTAATCGAGCAGAGTGCAGTTGAGTTCTGCAACAACAGGAAGGAGCAATTGCGGCGGGGACCATGAAGCCTAAGAAGAGGAAGGGTCGTCCCCCCAAAAGCCCAATCCCCAACCCTAATTATTCCGACAACGACGACGACGACCGCAAGGAGAAGAAGCTCAAATTGGTCGTCCGCCTCCCTCAAGTCGATCACAGTAGCAGGCCTTCCGCCTCCCCTTCCGACTCGGAGGATAACCAGATAAATGCGAAGAAGCGCAAGATCAATGCCGTTGATGCCGGATCTGACGACTCTGCTTCCCCTCAGGTCTCCTCTTTCGCTATCCCCCGCCTAATTTTGCATCGATTCTCATAAATCCTACTCGACTTTTTCCTTCTCTTTTCATTTCAAATGGAATTCAACCGAATCGAAACTTCGCTGTCCGTTACCCAATTTTTGGCAATTTTCCCCCCTTTTGTGTGAAAGTTTGGAAACTCTTTATGGTGATGTGATTTGAAGAGCTTCTGGGTTTTCGCGCGGAAAAAGAAATTTATTTACTTTTCGTGTTTGGGGGTAAATCCTCGGACTTGTGAAGGATCTGGATTGGATAGGAGCGGTGGTGTGACTTGACTCAGTCAACTCCATATCTATATGATGATTATGTTCAAGCAATAAAATAGGACTATTTCTTTCTTAACATTCTTGGCCCGTAATAGATCTTCTTCGGTTTTGCATCATCATAAATTAGTTTACGCCTCTCCAGTCTTTACATTCTTTGGTTGTACTTGTTTCTTCCTATGGATCTGTGTTTCTATCATTTCTGGTGGAGCCACATATAGTTTTTTAATTATTTGGAAAGTGTTGCTGCTTGCCTTGAGAAAGCCTCAGATTTGTCCTTTATGCGAGTCGATAAATTATTCTTGCTGCAGTAGCAGTTGTTGATTTTGTTCATTAACTCCTGCTGTTTAACTGGGGCCTGTCTTCATTCTTTGATGTGTTTATATATTTTTATGCAGTTTTTGAGTGAACAGTTTTTATTTGGTGTTATTATTAGTAATGGTTATTGATGTATTGCAGGAGAAAATTGCTTCGAAAGCGACGGGTACACCTCTTCTACATGGTTCAACATCACACCCCTTAACTGAAGAAGACTTGTACTCTTTGATGGGGTTATATCCAGTTTGATCTGATTTTGGGTGTTTTTCAATTAATTTTTGTGTTGGCAGGGGAGACTGGTCCCACAACACCTTTGCCAGACAAAAAGTTGCTGGTCTTCATTCTTGACAGGCTTCAAAAGTATGTGTTTTCTTGTCCACCTCTTCCGGCTTAATTTTATTTTAAATTATATATATAATTTATAGAAATGATTCCTTGTTGGACTGTTGTTCTATTTTTGGGTGTTGTGGAGTTTGATTGTTGTTGTGTATTTGGTTTTTGTATGTATGTTGGTGCAGGAAGGACACTCATGGAGTATTTTCTCAGCCTGTGGATCTCAATGAGGTGATCCCATAATCCTTGTTTGGTGATGATGATGATGGAATATTTCTTTTTATTATCGACAGTGGTTGTACGGCTGATTTGCTTTCAGCTCCCTGATTATTTAGATTATGTGGAGAAACCTATGGATTTTGGGACTATAAGGAAGAATATTGATGGCAGAGCTTATAAATGCTTGGAAGAATTGGAGGTTGGTTTATTTGTTTCTGTCTCTCGTTCGATTCTGGTTGAATGATTGAAAATGACTTATGGAACCTCAGGCGTGTGTATGTGTGTCGGAAATTCTGTTCTCTTCATCGTGTGTATATATATTTATTGCTGATGACTTGAAGGGATGGTGTAATATGGATTAGGTTTTAATCATTTGAAATTATGACACGACCATGGCGGTAACTCATTAACTGTGATAAACATCCGGTCGAATCAGTCTTTATAGTGTTTTACGTATTGTTGAGTTTGAAGTTTTTCGTGTGGATTCTTACATTTTTCTTCCCTATCTGTCCAGGCTGATGTGGATTTACTTTGTTCGAATGCCATGACATACAATGCTGCAAACACCGTCTTCTATAGGCAGGTCTGCGCGCAGAATAGTCATCCCTGCTCTCTTTCCTTGTTTTTGTCTTCTCTTTGTAACACCAGCTTCCATTAGGCACGATCCATTCAAGAACTTGCAAAGAAAGATTTCGAAAATCTGAAGAATGAAGGCAAAAATGGCGAACCACAGCTCAAAGTTGTCCGGAGAGGCAGACCCCCGAGCAACAAAAACTCAAAGAAACCAGAAAGCTCCCCAGCAAACAGTATTCGCCCTGAGCTTTCATCGGATGTAACTCCTCCCGTTGGAGAAGACAAAGCCACTGGTTCTGGTTCGAACACTTATAACCTAAGAAAAGCACCGGCAGTAAATAGGTTTCGATCAGGCGATCATTACTTCTTCCCTTATCAGTCAAGAAATGGCGAGAACAACTCTCAAAACTCAGGTGGCTGGAACGACGAATTTCCAGGTGGGATTTGTAAAATCCTCACTGATCTCGTTAACCTTACAGATTCTTTTCACTGATGCTTTGTTCATAACTTGCAGCTTCCATTTTAAGGGCTGATATGAAATACGGTAAAAAACAGTTCACGGTGGATGAAACTAAGCGTGATACGTACACGCCTGTACACACCACACCTGCCATTAATTCATCCATTCTTGCTATCTCTTCCGGAGATGCGCCTAGATTAGTGCCCGTAAGTATCCTAAGAAACTACAATATTAAGTTGCATTTTAACTTCATTACACTCTACCCTTTCAAACTTACAGGTCGGTCTTCAAGATCCCCTTTCTTACGCAAGAAGCCTGGCTAGATATGGAGCGGGACTTGGACCCGTAGCTTGGAAAATTGTATCGAAGAAACTAGAGCAAATCTTACCTCCTGGCGTACAATTCGGTCCTGGATGGGTGGGCGACGATCCAGCACCTTCGCAGCCATTTTCATTTTCGTCAAACAGCTCTGCTGGCGATGGCAATGGTAATCAAAACAAGCCTGTGACGCCCTCGACTTCTGATTTAAGCTCAGCTGTTGTTGCACATGGTCTCGCCATGGAAGGAATGACAGAAGCTGCAGGGAAACTCAAAAGCCAGCATGATCCAAGTTCTTCGTGGAGAACCACGGCTCCATTCTCGATTCAGCAGAAACCTGCAGTGCCTCAGCGAAACGGTTTCACATCTACTTCTGCCATGGCAACAGCTCAAGATTCCGAACCACTCCTCATATCAAGAAAGGATCAGCACAACCCTTGTTCGTCTTCGAGCCAGAGCCATCATCAATATCATTCGAACCCTCAGCGCCACGAGCAGAATTATTCTTGCGAGTTTGGAAATTCGAAAGAAAGAGTAGTCGGTGGATATAACAACAACAACGATGACGACAACGACGATGACGGAATGATTCGAATGCAAGAAAGAGGAAAATCAGCAGCAGAATGCAATGGTGAAGATTATTCAGCAGGAGCTATAGGAGGCTTACATTGGAATCTACTATTGCTGCAACAGCAACAACAACAACAGCAGCAATGGGGCGGCGGCAATGGCAGTGGCAGTAGCGCCGGCGGCGGCGCTAACATTTCTTCTTTGCCGGAGAACATGAATATTATCGGAATTCCGGTTGCAGCAGGCGGCGGCGGCGGCGGAGGAGCGTCGCCATCATCTCACCAGCCAGATTTAGCATTGCAGCTCTAGAAAAATATGGAAATTAAGGTCAGAAAGATACACTTACTTACTGACTACATACTGCATTATAGCATGATTATTATTAATAGTAGCAGTAAATCATTTTTAAAAAAATAATCTTTTTGTAACCCAAAAATTTGTAGCATCATCCACAGGAATGAGGTTATTGTTTTAACTCTCTAGGATTTATTAAAAAAGAAAAAAAAGGCATTCTTGATTGGGGTATTTATGTATGAATGTTATTTAGGTTGGGAAATTATCTCTTTCTAATTGAAATTATATCACATTGAACTATGAGTCTGGTCAGTTAGGTGATTTTATTTCATTTTTTTGGTTTTAATTTTTGAAAAATTAGTAAGTTGAATCTTATGTTTTTTTGCTTTTGGCTTATGGTAATTTAACAATTAGTATATTATAGTATAAAATATTATTGCTTTAGGTTTGTTTCTTTTTCACTCCAAACTCTAAATTTTTATTATTTGAATTTTCTTTGTTTTTTCACAAAATATTTCATCAATCATTATTTTAACATCAAATGAAAACGGTAGCTCAACCTAAATCATTCTAGATTGCTTTCTTCTTGGTTCTATATATACGTGTATATATATATATATATTCCTTATTGGGGGCTAATATTTTTATAAAATGAAGCAAGTACTTTAGATTAATTTGGAAATAGCAAATCGAATATTAAAATTTCTATTTGTATTTGATTCATATTTAAATCAAATTAAATATTTTTATTCGAATTATAAAGAATACGAATGTAAAAATTTCGAAGCAAATAGTGAATCGAACAAAATTATTCGATTAATTTACAACCTTATTTAGAATATATTGGTAAAATTCAAATTAATAGGAGTATTTGTATCGGTCGCCTCTTACTCCGCTATATTTTCACCGCCTCTATTCAGGCTATTATTTATGGCTATTTTTGTTTGTTCTTCTATTATATATATATATATATATATTTTATAATGTTGCTTCAAGATGAATAAAAAATAATAGTATCATCTTGAAAGAAATAAATTGGTATTTTATGCCGTCTCCACCACTGTCATTTGAGTTTATTGAGTTTGTTTTGTATTGCAATATTTTATTTTGATGATTAATAAGACAATTCCTAAGGCCGCCGCCACCCTCATCGTCTCCTCCTCCTTTTGCTACACTATCTCGCCCAACTTCACCAGAAGCTCATCATCATCTTAATCTTGAAAAATCATTTTTTAGCACTAGATTCGTCACGATTTGTATCATTTGAAAAAAATAGTAGTGTAAAGACCTCTATGGCATTGACTATTAGTGTAGATTGGATTTGGAATTGATAATACTATTAAATTTAAATTATTTGATATGATATAAATAAATAGATATTCTCTTCGTCTCACTTCAAAATACTATTTTTATCATTTTCGTTTGTCTCATCTCGAAGTATTAATTTTTTTATTTTAAATTAAATAATTATACACGATTTAAATTAATTACAAACATATCATTACACATATAATTATTTTATATATAAAGTCAAAGGCAAAAAAGTAAATTATTTTTACATATTTTCACTAACTAATATAAAATACTATTATTTTTTGATTTATTACAAAACTCCAAAACAACCATTTGATTTGATTTTTTTTTTCAAAAAATACTTCTTTCATCCACCAAAATTATATTATTATTATTATTCTTTTTTTTTTTCACCGAATTTGTGCACAATAAACAACTTTATTCATCTATGATTTTATTATTCTTACTTAAACAAATAATAATCAATTTGTCACTATTTTCCTATCAATTATTTAATACTTTTTTATTTTTTATTTTTTTATAATAGTCTGTTTTATTATTTACCTACTCAATTTTAATATTTAAAAGTATTATTTCTTAATTATGTGTCAAATCAAAACTACATAATTTTACAAGAGGGAGTAATAAATAACATAAACCAAAATCTAACAAACAAACACATAATATAGGGTATGTTTGTTAGTTTATTTTTTTAAAAAATAAAAATATTATGAATTATCCCGGAGTTTTCAATAAAATACTATTATTTCTATTATATAACTTCATCTCAAAATATTAATTAAATTAAAACTCAAATCACCTTCACAATTTGTTAAAACCAAACAAATTATTGTATGCTTAGCTTTTGAATATTTCTTAAAGTTTGATTTTATTATTTTGTTTGTTTGAAAAATAATTTTAAGGTAACAATAATAGTTTAGTTGTACAATAAAAAGAAATAAAAATTGAAAACATGCTAATTTGTAATATAATACTGTGATTTTATTTTATTTTTTCTAAAACATTAGTCAAACAAAGAATGTTCTTATTTTCGATTTTTAAAATATATTTTTTATGTTAAATATAAAATATCGTACAAATAAAAAAATAATATTTTGCATTAAATTTTTAATTTTTTATATGAATAAAATATCTATTATATATATTAGGTTAATATATATATATTGCTTTTTTTTTTTTAATACTATTCAAAAATAGATTGGATACATTTTTGTTTTATTTATTTAATAATTATTATTACCAAACTTCAAACTTCCATTCAAACAAATCCTCCAATTCTTATTTAAAATTTCAAATATGAAATTTGTCTGACAATTTTTTATTTTTTATTTTTAAAAAGTTTGCATAGTCAAATAAAATAATGAGAGTTGTTTCTTTTTAGTTTTTTGTAATAAAATATCAAAATAATTTTCCAAACATTATATGGTTTAAATAAACAAACAAACCTGTTTAGAAAGAGAAGAACTAAAAGAGTTGTTTGTTTGTGTTTTTGTTACCATTTTCGATTCAAATCAATAATATTCACCGTATCTTTAAAAAATATAATATTTTTATTTATACAAAATATTATATCAAAATATTATTTAAACAAAAATTTTAATTAATATTTTATTTCAAATTAATTTCAAATAACAACAAAAACAAACCCATTGATTTGAATTTAAAATTTTGCTTAAAATAATATTTTAATATATAGTTTACCATAAAAATTACTCGTACAATATTCATATTCTACCATATTTATAAATTAAAAAATAATTTATTATAATTTTTTCTGTATCAAAAACCAAACCAAACATTGCACATTATGAATAGAGAAAGTATATTTTTATTAAAAATAACAAAAATTAAATAATATTGATTTGTATATAAAATTAACACACAAAAATAAAATCTTTAAATAAGTGAACAGTGGAATAAAATTCCTTTACTAAATAAACTCACTTCCCTTATAAAATAAGAGCCGAATAAAATTCTTGGATTCCCCAATTAAAGCCGAGCCCCGCAGAAATAAAAAAGTTATAAAGTGACCCCAAAATCTAATTCAGAAAATAATAGATTGACCCACAAATAAAATAATCCCTCACACAAATCCCCATGTGGAAGCAAGCAAGTGTTTAGTGTGAACGCCACCTTTTCCAAATCCAGTCCGCCATTAATAAGACGATTGTTTTTCAAGAAAAATTAACCAAAAATGGAGCATCATTACCGATAATCGATTTTCTTGATATCATCACCATTAGTGTTTATCACTTACTTACCTACCTACTTACCCCAAAACCACGAAGGAAGGCGAATGGATTGCGAATGAATGAGTCAGTGAGTAATCAATCGATTGATTATTAGCCGAATCCAAATCCAAGAGTGAGTGAGTGAAATGCGGTTGAAGATGCTACTAGCTATTGCTAGCTGTGAATGAGAGCGACGCGCAAATGCTTTTAATTGCTCTGCTTTCCCCTCCCGAGGCCCACAGATTACACGCACTCAACAGCTCATGAGAAGGAAAAAGATTTCAAATTCGCGACCAGCAACGGAGAACAACCAGGTACCAATTACCGTTACGTTGCCGTGGATTCACCAAATAAAAACAAAAATCGGTGATGTTCTTGTGAGTTGAGGATTTCTCAATGTTTTAGGGTTTGGGGATTTTTTGTATAATTTTTTCTCGTTCTTAGAATGACGCGCTTTTTTTTTCAGCATTTGTACACTGCACAGAGTTAAGAGTTATTTGTGTGTATGTACATATATATATATACACATTGCTTTTACGTTTTTGTGATTGTATTGATTTTTTGAATTCAGATCTGTGGGTGGAGTTGCGTGTTGGATTGACTGTTGGATTGTTGGTTTAACAAGGAATTGTTTCATTGCTGTCTGGAGTGAGGGAGAAGGAATGCTTAACTGTTGGCTCGTTTAGCAGTTGAATCTCTGTTTTGTTGTTGTTGTATTTATCGTGATCGATTCTTTGTTCTTGTAATTTGTAAAGTATGTGTTGGATTTGGGATTGTTGAGTTGAATTTGGTAGGGGTTTGATTTGGAGATCAAAGTTTTTGGGGTTGAAATAAATTCTTTGAAGAGGAAGGTAAGGGTTAAGACATGGCTTGCTGTTTTCGATTGCGGAGGAAGGATGTTCGGGATTGCGACGAAGATATTGATCCAAGATCCAGTCATGTTTCAGGTCCCTTTTCGATTTTACCTATGTTTGATGGCTCCTATCGATGATATTTGTGTTTTTATTTGATTTTTTGATCGAATGTGTCAGACGGTAGGAAGCCAAAGTCGAATGCAAATAAGAAATCGAATGCAAGTAAGAGAGGTAAGTGATGAGTAAGGAAAATATTCAATCCTTTTGATCTCCGGCGACGTGTTTAATCTCTGTTTTTCATTTTACTTCATTTTTGGTTATGTAGCAAAGCTGAGGAAGGGAGGGTCGGAGAGGGCGGAAAGAAATTCGCCGAAGGGGAAGATTGCGCAAAGCTTCACATTCAAGGAACTTGCGACGGTAACGCAGAATTTCAAGGAGGCTAATCTCATCGGCGAAGGTGGTTTTGGTAGCGTTTACAGAGGTCGACTCGGATCCGGATTGGTGAACACTACATTTCATCAAAAAAATCAGAGATTATATATATATATATATCTGCCCTTTAAATTTGATTTATGATGTAGATTATCGATTGCCTTTCCGATCAGGTTGTTGCGGTGAAACAGCTGAATCTCGAGGGACATCAAGGGCATCAAGAATTCATAATGGAGGTTCTTATGCTGAGTTTGCTGCACCATCCTAACCTTGTCCCGTTCGTTGGTTATTGCGCCGAGGGAGATCAGAGGCTCCTCGTTTACGAGTATATGCCGATGGGCAGCTTGGAGAATCATCTATTCGGTAATCTCTCGTCAAATTTGTTGAACCTAACTACTACGATGTTCATATTTTCTCTTTGATTACTCTATTTAAGCAAATATCATTAGAAATTAAACGGCGACATCTTTGTAGAAGGGATTGAAAAATCAATCCGAGCAATTTTTCTTTTTCCTTTCAGATTTGGGGTCGAACAAGAAGGCATTGAGTTGGAGCACGCGGCTGAAGATTGCTGCCGGCGCTGCCCGAGGCCTCGAACATCTTCACTGCAAAGCAAATCCCCCGGTCATTTACCGCGATCTCAAGTCTTCGAACATTTTGCTAGACAACGACTTCAATGTGAAGCTGTCTGATTTCGGGCTCGCCAAGTTAGGACCTGTTGGGGACAACACTCATGTCTCGACCCGAGTGATGGGAACTTACGGATACTGCGCTCCCGAATACGCCATGAGCGGCAAACTGACCCTCAAGTCCGACATCTACAGCTTTGGCGTGGTTCTGTTGGAGCTGATCACCGGACGCCAAGCCATTGACACCAGTAAGGCACCGGGAGAGCAGAATCTCGTCGCATGGGTACGTTCTATGTGAATCCAAAATTAAAATGACATTTTTAGAAAATGGGGTCGAATCTTTTGCTTCTTCTTGGGTAGTTATATTTTGAAATTGAAATTTGGAATCAAAATGACATTTCTAGAAAATGGGGTCAAATCTTGAGCTTCTTTCTCGCGTAGTTATATTTTGAAATTGAAATTTGGAATCAAAATGACATTTCTAGAAAATGGGTTCGAATCTTGAGCTTCTTCTAGAAAATGTGGTTGAATCTTGAGCTTCTTCTCGCTTAGTTATGTTTCGAAATTGAAATTTGGAATCAAAATGACATTGCTAGAAAATGGGGTCTAATCTTGAGCTTCTTCCCGCGTAGTTATATTTCAAAATTGAAATTTGGAATCAAAATGACATTGCTAGAAAATGTGGTCGAATCTTGAGCTTCTTCTAGAAAATGTGGTTGAATCTTGAGCTTCTTTATGTTTCGAAATTGAAATTTGGAATCAAAATGGCATTGCTAGAAAATGGGGTCTAATCTTGAGCTTCTCCCCGCATAGTTATATTTCGAAATTGAAATTTGGAATCAAAATGACATTTCTAGAAAATGTGGTCGAATCTTGAGCTTCTTCTTGCGTGGTTATATTTCAAAATTGAAATTTGGAATCAAAATGACAGTTCTAGAAAATGTGGTCGAATCTCGAGCTTCTTTCTCGCGTTCTAATGTTTCGAAATTGAAATTTTGGTTGCAGTCGCGTCCTTTTCTGAAGGACCGTAGGAAGTTTGTCCAGATGTTGGATCCTCGGCTGGAAGGACACTACTCGGTGCGGAGTCTGCACCACGCGATTGCGATAGCGGCGATGTGTCTTCAGGAACAGGCGAGCTTCCGTCCCATGATCAGCGACGTCGTCATGGCGCTTGAATACTTGGCTTCACAGGCGGAGGAGTCTCAGGACCACCACAGGAGAAGATCTCACTCGCGGACGTCGTCGTCACAGACCCATCTCGACGTCGAAATCGACGGTAATTGAAGCTTGCAAATTGATTACTCATGGAGCTGTCGATCAGATGCTGCTGCTGATACTTCTATTTTGTACAAAGGAGAGATTTCCATATACATTTCAAGAATCGGGTAAGGTAAGCCTTTGAAAGTTTTTACTGTCGAACAAATTTTCTTGGGTCCTTTGAAATTGCACACTTTTTTTTTTTTTTTTGGTTTTTGAAGATATACATAACATAGGTAATCTTTTTTTTTTTTTTTTTTATTATTATTATTATTATTATTATTATTTTTTAAGCACATTCGTTTCTTCGATTGTTTTTTGGCGACGTTAAATATTCTGGCTTTTCTTTTATTGAGTACATGCATCGCATTATTATTATTTAAATCTTATATATATTTATTTTATTCCCATACCTCTATTTCTAATACGGTTACTTTTTTGTCATGTAAGTGATTTTTTTTCTTTTTTTTTTTTCTTTTCTTTTTTTCTTTTAGTCCTAAGGCACCAAAGATGTCATCAAAGTGATTTGCTGGAGAATACGTGTTCGCCAGGTTAGTTAGTGATACTTGGCGAACATATCGATTTTAATTTTAATTTTTTTTATTTTTTTGAAAAAGAAAATAAATAAATTTTCTATTTTTTTTTAAATTTATGTGTCGGCCAGATGTCGGTTTCTCTGGCGCTGGAGAACTAAAATGTAAAATTTTTTTAGAAACTAATTTACGATAAATTACAATTACTTGACTAAAATTGATAAATAGGCTAATTAGAAGACTAAAAAAATAATTTACCTTCTCTATTACTCAATCACAGACACGAGTTTTCTTTTATTGTTGGTCTTACCTCATTCACATATGAGTTATTATTCTTTTTCATCACTTGTACTCAAATTATACACAGTTATACATATTCTGCATCATCAAAACTTATATTCATTTTTGGGTTCCCACATCATTAAAAAAAAAAAAAAAAATTTATATCAATTTGATTGAGTATATATTTTGATAAAAATTAGTAAAAAGAAAAAAAATAGAATAGAAAAGTACAAAAAATAGCATATTTACTTAACAAAAAATAAAAATAAATATTTTTATGACAACTAAAAAAATAATAAGTATAAATTTGAATGTTAAAAAAGTATATAAGATATTTACATGTAAAACATATTATATGTTATAATAATATCTATGCTATTTATCTATTGCATGCGCTACATTTAATTAGAATACCAACTTTAGGCTTAAAATAGAATTCAAATTATGCATGCATAAGAAGAAAATAGTACTCTCTCATTCCTGACCCAATTTTATTTTTGGTACGTCCCACAAAAGATGACAATTTTCATTTTTGGTAAGTTTATCAATCTTAATAAGATTCACTCAAAATTCTTTTATTTCTATCTCTCTCTTCAATTAACCAATATTTTTATCTACCTTTAAAACTCCTCATTTTTTATAAAACTAATTTATGATAATGATATATATAAATAAATATTTTATTTATTTATTTATATAAAATTTTATTGTCTTGCAAAATGATATCCATATTGCATATATTTTATCGAGATATAATTCTAAAAATATTTAAAATACCAATAGTATTACACATATAAAAAATAATAAAATATTATCTTAACTTATTATTAATAACTTAATAACATATCTTATTACAAACATAATAACCGTCTACTTTATACAAGTATTTTTATATAAGTGGGCACTATTCAAAAGCAACATATATAGCTTATGCAAATATTTTGTATGACTAAGAAATAATTAAGAAATACTTATAGATCACCGAAAAATAAGATAATATCTTATCAAAACAAATCATAGACTATATATTTATTTATGACATTTACAATATTTATTCTTCATATGTGTAATATTTATATATAATACGTAACCACTTTCGGTAACGAAAAGCTTGTCCAACATCGAATTTCCTTGAATACAACTCTGACGGCCTCCAGTTCCACCTCCACCGGGATCGAAACTCCAATATATTTTGACATCATTAATATGATCATTCATGTCTTATTCTCACCACCGCCTCAATCCCTGCCTATCCAGGTATATCCTTTACAGAACCATTCACATTGATTTTTTACCAACTCTGTGGCAGAGGCATCCACCGTATAGATACACTTCTAGTCACTCTCTTTTCCTTTTCAACGAAAATGGAGGTAGTCCATGTTCCCATTGAATAAAATTGTCGAACTATCTACTCCAGGATTGTATGTATCAAATTATTTTCGTGCCACCCAATTAACCCTCTATACTATATCCGATTCCGAAGGTGACTTGTCTTTATTTCTTGATCTCCAAATACACCAAAAACTCGCGAAGCAAAGAATGTCCAAAATCAATTCATAGGAAGCCTTCCTTTGGAGCCCCTTTCAACCCCAAACCTGTACATTATTTGGATGCGCCAAGATAGTCCAAACCAACTTGACACCTCCCGCCCACACGGAAGGATGCAAATTCTCAAAGCTCAAAAATATGATAAGACTCCTCATTTTCAAGCCAACACACAACATACTCAACTCCTTCTATCAACATTGTATATTTTCTAATTAATTCTATCTGAACCAGAATTCCTCCATTAAAATTTTTTCATATCAAGACTCTCCCTTTAAGAGGAGCTCTGCTCTTCTAAATAAAAATCTTCTGTCTTTTGGTGCTCAAACCTTTTTTCTTTTGAATTTTTTCATTTAGTATTTATAGATAATTTTTAATTTTAATTTTTATTTAAAATACGAAAAATTAAATTAGTAATATAAAAAATAGTATGCAATGTCGAATTGTTGATTTTTTTTAGTGCATAAAGTTATATAGAGTAATATAATATATATATATATTGTATTACTGTGTATATAAATTTTGTATTTTTTTATAATATTTTTGAAAAGTTGTATCATTTAAAAACACACCCATGAGAACCAAATACATTATACAATTACTTTTCCATATTATAATGTATATGCTATTACTCATTATCAAATTAAAAATATTTTTTTTAATTATTTATATAATTAAAATAAATAAATATTATTTGGTAAGCTATGAGGAACTAATTACCAAAAAAAAAATCTTGTATAAATATTGATGCATATAAGCATAATGTACATTTTTTTTTTACTAATTATCGATAAAAAAAAACAAAATATTACTTTCAATTATCATTTAAATATAAATACTAAATCAAGTTCACTCTAAAATGTTAAAAATTTAAAAATTATAATATTTTAAAAAAAAAGAAATTAATAAAATATTTTAAAATTATTACTCCCTTTGTCCCATATACTGTGTCTGCGTGTCTGCTGTATTGTAGACACAGTATTTTAGGAGGGATGTAATTAGTAGATAATTAAGAATGTATTAGTGAAAATAATTATCCTATAATATAAATAATTATAAATTAAGATTAAGATTACTAATTAGTTTAATTAAAATTAAAAAAAAATTAAAATTTAAAATGTGATTAAAAATGTGTAATATTTTTTTAAGAAAAAAGAAAGTAACATGGTAGGTGGAATTGACAGAAACTGATGGACATGGTATTGGAACGGAGGGAGTAGTATTAATGAATAATATCAATCTTTATGTATAAAAAGACCTCAATATTTTAATAAGGATATTATTATTCGGAAACTATAAAAGCCATTGTTAAATGGTGATTTGAAAACCCACGGACTTCGATTTCCCTCTCACAGTCTCACTCGAACTTCCCATTTCCCAATCCTCCATAGTCAAGACGTTTCTCCACGGTCAGTTTCCTGCGATCGCGCCTCCTATTCTCCATTTTCAGAATCGAAACATTGATCTACAGTTTCAAATTTGTGTGTCTTCAAGGTGCTTGCCTTTGTAGTTAGTATTTGTGGTGTTTCCGATTGAATCTTGAACAAGTAAGCATGGTGTTGTGGAACTTAAGTTATCAGATAGATTTACTTTCGTGTTTTATAAATTCCAAGAAATCAATGAATGGCAGTAAAGATTGCGAGAACTCGTTGTCTTTCTTTATATGGAGGTTTAGATCTCTGACGTGATTAGGATTGAATTTCGAAACAGACTCTATAATGTTATTCGATTGCGTTTATATCTCTTATGCATAGAATCTCCCAAAATGATTGGGTAATGCGAACGAACAGTTAGGGAGGTCGATCGATCGAAGCGTAGATGATGAAGGATTTAGGAAACTTACATATATATATTTTGTGAAATGCAAGTTATGAACTCAATTTCTGATTTTACGATGTTCAGTTCGTATGGTGAATTCATTGAAGAATTTCTTCATTGTATTGTTCGCCCTACACAACTTTTGAAACCAAACAAAAACAAAATCGTTTTTGATTTACGCAAGAGATTGGGATTGAGATAACATATCTTGTGTTCGATGACTCATTTTTTTGTGTGATTTAAGAACGAGGAACAGATAATGGAGAACACAGAACCTTCAAGCATAGATCCGAACTTATACGCACTATACAGCTCTGCAAGGAAGCCTCGGATTCTCTTAGCTGCAAGTGGTAGTGTATCTGCCACCGAATTTTCGACGCTCTGCCATTGTTTCTTCGAATGGGCAGAAGTGAAAGCAGTAGTCACCAAGGATGCCCTCAAGTTCATAGATATATTGTCGCTGCCGAGGGGCGTAACAGTTTACACAGACGAGCACGAATGGGCCTGCTGGCAACGGATAGGCGACAGCGTGCTGCACGTCGAGCTGCAGAGATGGGCTGATATGATGGTCATTGCACCATTGTCAGCCAACACACTTGGAAAGGTACAAAAACGCATTTCACTTTGCTGGATCATGGTTGATCATACGTATAACAGTTAATTATTCGTCTTCTTTAACCTTTTAGGTGAGATGATTATTTAACTTACATCATCATAACCCCTGTTGTTGGATTCTAGTCGTAATTCTAACGCTTGTCTTGTATTTGTTTGTTTTAGTTTGTTTTGTTATTTTTATTTTTTTTTACTATAATGTAGATTGCTGGTGGATTGTGCGACAATCTGCTGACGTGCATAGTCCGGGCATGGGACTACGGAAAGAAGCAAGTGTTCATGGCTCCATCGATGACCGCCTCAATGTGGAAGAACATAGTCACCGAGCGCCATGCGATGTTGGTGGATGAGCTCGGGGTGGCCCTAATCCCGCCTGTGCTGAAAAGAGATCCTTCGACCGGGGAACACGTGGAAAGCTCCGGCTCAATGGCTGACAATTCTCACATAAGTGCCACGGTAAGGCTTTTCTTTGAGAATGAAAAACAACGATTTTTTCAGAAGCTTAGGCACAATCTGGTTTCCAGAGCTCACTGATTTGATGATTGATATATGAATATGATCGATCCCTCTGTTGCATCATTTGGTTAGATACATATATAGATACAGAGTTTCTCGTATTGTTTGTGAATCGAATAGTAGTTAGTTTAGTACTATATGTTTTTGCATACACAATTTACTCAACACCTATTTTGTTTATGGCTTTTCCCATCTCCCTCTCTCTCTCTCTCTCTTATTTTATTTTATTTTATTATTATTGATTTAGAAATATAATATTTTGATATACTTTTATGTAATGTATATATAGTATTATCACATTTTTTCAATTATTATCTTATATTTGTATTATATTAATATATACTTTGTTAAATTGTATTTTATGGCATGTAATAATATTTTGTGTCTACCATACTCATTTTTTCACTTAGTTTGTGGAATATAGTCAAAACTATTATTTTCTCCGGCATTGGAATATATATATATATATAATTTTTTATGAAAAATACAAAAACAAATATTTGTTGATGACAAAAATAATATTTCTTCTGTCCCATAATTTTTTTAAAGTATAATTAATAAGTGTATTAGTAAAAATAATTATAAATTAAAATTAAGATAACTAAATAATTTAATTAAAATATAAAAAATTCTAAAATTTAAAACTTTAAATGCCATTAAAATGAATGTCAGGACAAAGAGACACATTATGTAGGATGGAGGGAGTATTATTTTAGTAATTTTTTTCCAATCTTGATCCTATTGTGACTTTAAATGATAAACAAATTGACTAAGTCCTTTGCAAAACTGAAGAGTCGGAGTTTTCATTGATTTTTCTATTTTGTATTATTTTGTATTTAAAATATTAGGTTGAATTTATTTTATTTCAAAAAAGAAAACACGAAAAATATGCATATTAGTAATTTCTTGAACGAGAATAATTTCAAATAGAAAACGTTTAACTCCACTCCCGATTTTGTCCAGCGTGAGTAGAGGTTGTTTCTGGGACCAAAACGGACAGCCACGTGTTATCATATTAGTGGGTCCTTTCCCACACGTTAAATCTGAAGCGCACAATTCAAAGAGGCGCTTGCCACGTGGCAAGATCTTAACGGTGAAGCTCGTTGCCGCCACACAGAAGTACCGCCAAATACTTGGATAACGGCCGGAAATTGGCATTTTTAAATTTCTTTCATGTTTTCGTATTTATATGTAAATTAATTAAGTAAATAATTTTTCAATCTTTCTGTCGATAAAAGGGCAGATATTTGTACGTCACAAAAAATTAAAAAAGAAATACTAATATAGTGTAACACTTACCAATTAATAAATTAAAATTACGTCGTCGTGTGTATTGTATTGCCATAAATTTGTAACGTCAACAAATTTATACCACACATAATACGATAATGTAGTTTCCAATTTTACGCCACAGAAATCACTTAAAAATATATATATAAAGATTATAATATATATGATGATAAAGTGTAGCGGATATAGAAGTGTCAGCCAAATAAAATACAGACCCTACGAAAATTTAATTAAATAATCAATAAAATAAATAAATAAAATATATATATATATATATATATGCATGTATACATTCATAAAACTCAACCGCCACATAGCTTTTTGCACACTGCTTCCATTGCGTGCGTGGTTTAGTCTCGCAGAATTCTCTCCATGGATCCATACAAGGTGAGTTTTTGGTTTTGGTTTGGAATGGATATTGCTGTAGTAATTATGTGATAGATAGTACGCAGGGTATCGAAATTTGTTGTTTAATGTTCTGGTAATGTTGATTTTTCGTTGATGTTTGATATGGTGGTGCAGTGCCGTCCTTCGAGCGCTTTCAATTCGCCTTTTATGACCACAAACTCCGGAGCTCCGGTTTGGAACAATGACAACTCGTTGACGGTTGGAACCAGAGGTTTTGGTTTAAATTTTTGGAGGAATTCGTGTTTGTTAGTTGTTGTCTTTCGCGTTTTCGATTATCCTTTTTGTGATAGATAGTGAAGCATAACTCGTGTTTCCTTGTTCAATTAGTGATTCGGCGTTTCCAGGTCTATGTTGTTAGCTAGTAATGGAGCTAGTTTTTTGCTCCATGGAGATAATTAACATTTTATAGCTATGAGAATATGTTTTGGGGATTCCATAAGAATTAGGTGCTCTGCGTTCATCTTTGAATTGCTTCTAAATCCGTCTATTTTTTATTGCTTTACAAATTCCGATAAACTGCTGAAATAGGTGAATAATAGGTCCATTTTTGCTTGTCATTTCATGTTTCTGAATCGCAAAATTGTGTTTAGAACATTATACAGACGATTAAACTGAGTTGCCCTAGGAAACATAATTTGAAGCGCAGAAAAAAATAGTAGTAATAATAATACAGCTATTAGCTCTAATGCTTCCTCAATATTTGACGTTCCAAACTAAGAAAATATTTAAGGAATCTGTTAGCATTTCCTGTACAACAGAGAACACCTCAACGAGGATTATGGATGGATAATCTTAATTGTTGGACATGGATATAGCTTCAAATTTTACTGCAAAATTTCCTTTCCTGTCATGCTCATGCTGATTTAATTTCCCCTCTTTGAACAGGTCCAATTCTACTGGAAGACTACCATTTGGTGGAGAAACTCGCGAATTTCGACCGCGAGAGGATCCCAGAACGTGTTGTACATGCCCGAGGTGCGAGTGCCAAAGGCTTTTTTGAGGTCACACATGATATATCCAACCTCACCTGTGCTGATTTCCTCCGAGCTCCAGGAGTCCAGACTCCTGTAATCGTTCGATTCTCTACTGTCATCCATGAGCGCGGCAGCCCTGAAACTCTCAGGGACCCCAGAGGATTTGCAGTCAAATTCTACACAAGAGAGGTGAATAGAATACATAAAACTTTTAAAATTGATCTCTGCTGAATTCAATTATCTAACCATCCCTGTGCAATCAATTTTGGTTCAGGGAAACTTCGATTTGGTTGGAAACAACTTCCCTGTCTTCTTCATCCGAGATGGAATAAAATTCCCCGACATGGTTCATTCCTTGAAGCCGAATCCCAAGTCCCACATCCAGGAGAACTGGAGAATCCTGGATTTCTTTTCCCACCATCCCGAAAGCCTACACATGTTCACCTTCCTCTTCGACGACATCGGCATCCCGCAAGATTACCGCCACATGGATGGCTCCGGCGTCAACACCTACACTCTAATCAACACTGCTGGAAAAGTCCACTACGTTAAGTTCCATTGGAGGCCTACCTGCGGAGTGAAGTCTCTGTTGGAGGAAGAAGCAATTCGAGTTGGGGGAGCCAATCACAGCCATGCCACTCAAGATCTGTACGATTCAATTGCAGCAGGAAACTATCCAGAATGGAAGCTGTTCATCCAGACTATAGATCCTGTCCATGAGGACAGGTTCGACTTCGATCCGCTGGATGTAACCAAGACTTGGCCTGAGGATATATTGCCCCTGCAGCCGGTGGGGAGAATGGTGTTGAACAAGAACATCGACAACTTTTTTGCAGAGAATGAGCAGCTTGCATTCTGCCCTGGTATTATTGTTCCGGGGATTTACTATTCGGATGATAAGCTGCTCCAAACTCGGGTGTTTTCGTACTCTGATACTCAAAGACATCGTCTGGGGCCTAACTACCTCCTGCTTCCGGCTAATGCCCCCAAATGTGCCCATCACAACAATCACCATGAAGGGTTCATGAACTTTATGCACAGGGATGAAGAGGTATATATATATATATATATATATATATTTGTATATGCATTATTCAATTAATGTTCGATTCCATTATATATATATATATATTGCAGGTAAACTATTTCCCATCGAGATATGACCCTACCCGTCATGCTGAGAGGTACCCTATTCCAACTGTCGTATTGACAGGGAAGCGCGACAAGGTATATAGATATAATATATATTTATTTCATTTATGGCCATTTCATTCATTTTTTATGCGATTTAGATTGATATATATATATATATATATATGTGTGTGCGGGTGTATGTATGCAGGTGTCCATTGAGAAAGAGAACAACTTCAAGCAACCTGGAGAGAGATACCGTTCTTGGGCGCCAGACAGGTACACGCATCTTATAAGAAATTACTGGGGTGTGTTTGTCCGTCACAAAATCTACTAATTCAAATTTTTTCTCTTAAAAATATCAAAATCAAATATTTATTTTTTATTTTTTATATTATATCAAAGTTTTTTTATATTACTATCATACAATTATTTCAATTCAAAATTTTTGCTATTCAAATCTTAATTTAAAAAAATTAATGTATTATGCGATGTTTCGTGAGAATTTTTTTTTTTAAAAAAAACCTATATAATTCAAATAGTAAAAAACGATAATTTTGGGATAAAAGAAACAGATATCTTTGCAGAAACCATAAAATTAGCGTAAGGTATGAAATGTTCTATAATTTGTACTTGTATTGTATAGGCAAGAAAGGTTCATTCGGCGATGGGTAGAAGCTCTGTCGGATGGACGGCTGACACACGAAATCCGAAGCATATGGATTTCATACTGGTCTCAGGCTGACAAGTCTCTGGGGCAGAAGCTCGCATCCCGACTTAATGTGAGGCCAACAATGTGATTGTGATCATGGAATAGAGGTACGGATACCTACCTCTCTCACATCATACAAAAAAATAATAATAATAATAATAATAAAATAAAATAAAATAAGCATTTGCAATGCAGGCAGGGCAGGGACAGCAGCTATTGTTTGTTGGAATCTATCTCTTTCTCTCTCTTTTTCTCTCTCACTTATTTATGGTTCGCCTAGCGTGTTTTTTTCGTCGGGTCTGATTTATAGGGTATTGAATTCGGTCAAAAATTTACCCAATGTGTATTTTCGGATAGCGACTGCGAATTCTCAAGTTATAAATAATAATAATAATAATAATAATAAGAAATGTACTAGTAGTGATGGTGAGAAGTGGTGTCTTTCAGTGTCACTAAAAACAACCATCTCATATATCATATACCTAATTATCGTTATGCAATGGTTATTATTATTATTATTATTATTTATTTTATTTTTTTTATAATATGAAAATTTGTAGCCGCTACACATTGAGTGCGCATTGGATAAATTCTCGATTGGATTTAATAACTTACAAATTAAATTCGATAAAATAAGTCATACTAGACGAATTATACGTAAGCATGTGGACTTACCCATACTCTCAAAGTCAAAGTAAAAATGTCTTCGTAAATGTAGACAAAAGAATTTTAAAAAAATATCATTCTTAAATAATTAAAGAATATATTAATATTGTATAATAAAAATAATTAAAAAATTTAAAATATTTAATTATTTACCAGAAAAATCAAATTCTGGAAAAAATAAAAAATGGACACTTTATTAATAGAGAAAGTATACATATAGTGCTATAATATATGGTGTAGTGTTGAGTGGTGGGATAAGTGAGCAGGAATGGGATGCATGAACGAAGGGGGTTTAGGTGTAGAAGCTAGGAATACTTAATACAAGATGATATGATATTATATTTTTATTTTGTTATATATTTCCTCCATCCGTAAAAATTAAAACAATTGGGTTCCGCCTGACATTAAAAAAAATATATTTTATTGAAAATAAAATAATAAAAGCAGTCACATTTAAGTATGGATAATAGTTAAATGTTGATTTTGTCAAAATTAGTAATGAAGTAAATTTAACAGATAGAATAAAAAAGAAAAGTGAGAGTAAATTTAATGGACGTGAGAGTATATATATATGGATAAAAATATTTGTTTATCAAAAAGAGAGATAAAAATAAAATAATTTTGAGAAAATTAATTAAATTAATTTATATTTATTAAATATATTTGAATTTAGATAAACTTTAAAAAAATAGAAACATATCAACATTGTGATAACAAAATACTTACAACATAAAAAAATAAATAAATAAAATAAAGACAAATGGAATGGGATGATGGAAATATTAATAAATGTAAATTTATATTCCTTTTTTTTTTGTGATAAGAATATCCTCAACATTGTTTATTTTTAGTAATTAAAAATCATAATAACAAAGTTTTAATAAATATATTATCTACTTAACATTACAAATATCCTTATAATTTATAATATTACACAAATGTCATTACCTTTGTATCATATAATACTAATAAGGCTATTTTAATTCTTTATACTATATTCCTATTATATATCAATATAATACTAATATACCTTAAACTTTGTGTGAAAAACAAACAAATATATACTTATGGGACGGAATGAGTATTATTTTTGTATTTATTTATATAAAGAACAAAAAGTAATAAAAAATATATGCTCATATTAAAATTTGTATCCAAATATTTGATCTCGCACAGATTAATATGTAATTGTGGAGTTAGGTTTCTCGTTAGATGATCCAAATTATGATTTTATTGTATTTTCTCAAATTAAAATCTAGAAATGAGGAGAATGGCATGTAAAATTCCAATTCTTGAGTTGGATAATGTAGCAATAATTATTTTTCATATCTCAATATCTACAATACCAAAAAAAGGCATTAATATATGGTGCAAACATTATTCTTTTTTAACAACTAGAGAATTGAAATAAGAAAATTATTAATTCAATAAGACTTTGAAAAGGAGCATTGGATCCCAAAATTCAATCAAACCCCCTCAAATAATAATAATAATAATAAAATAATAATAATAGTCCCGTGAGGTAAGTCCAACCCCGACGTCTCAGGTCACCTGCCACATATGATTCACTTAGTGTGACTTTGGTTTGATCTAAGGTATAGTTATAACAAATTACTACATGGAATAGTTATTCTATTTACCTATAAATATGTGAAGTGTTAGTGTTTGAGACATGTCCCTTCCGAAATGGTTAGATCACCTCGTAGGAAATGAACGGATGATGATAGTGTGTTAGCAAATAATATATGTATAATTGTGAGGCGACTGTGAGAAATAAATATAATCACATTTTTGTTCGTTTAAACACGACTTTTGACTCGATTTGTATTTGATATTATGGGAGTTCTAATGAGGCTCCAACAATACTTAACTAAAAATTTCATTTAATAAAAAACCGTTGTTATCGGATCTTTCTGTGACCCGCTAGGCAAACATTTATGTCTGATTAATTGTTTTTGCACTGTTTTGCTATCAAATTTTAGTGTTGTTGACCGATAATAAGTCTAGTGTCTTTGTTTTAATTGCAAATATTGAAATTAAAGCCAATTTATTTTAGTTAGTTTTAAATTCTGAGTTCTTGTTTTAATTTTTTACTTTAAATATCTAAATTATCGGCGGTATACTTCGCAGATTTTAAAAGTGTACTATCCTCCAATATGAACCAAACTTCCGTCATACTATAAAAACATCGAATCATTAAGAAGAAATTCTTAGATATCAAATCTTCCGATCACCCGTAGTGTAATTTTTTTTTCATTTTACAATATGATGAATTAATTTCGTATTTATTATCTACGTTTAAATAAAAGTTCGTAGATATCCTACTGTCCGTAATGACTACTTAAAACCAATACATAGATATGACTATTTTCAGCCAAACAACAAGTGGATTGCTCATGCAACCAATCAACATCATTATTCGTGTGACAATTCAATGATAAAGATCAATTTCTGGCTATTTATGGCCAAATTTTCGTGAATTCAATTGGACCGACTATGACAATGATAATTATAGCTATTCACGATCACATTATTATAATTCGATTGCCCATGCAACTTAATGGCTCCTAGGATCCAAAAATCACGATTCGGCCATTCAGACCAATCATTATTATGAACGAAAAAAAAAAGTAGCGACATCATGTTACGAACGAAATCATTATTCTAAAGTTGAGCTCCCGCCATTTGCCAAATAAAATAGACTAATCATTATTACGATTGATATATTTGTGATTATAATAATTAAAAATATATATTGAATTATTATTATTATTATTATTATTATTATTATTTGCAACCATTTTTTTTTAAATAATACAATTTGATAATTATTTTATATATATTTTAAATAATTTTGAAAAATATTTTAATTAAATTATAAATACATATTAAACAATTTGAAAAAGAACAATGAACATGAGTTAGTATATGAAAGTGAACATGACTTATAACAAGACTCTCACATATGAATATGACCGTGATGATTGTATGTAAAATTTACCTATTTTTTAGCTATTTTACACGGCCTTATAAACTAAAATTAATTAATTTTTATTTGAATAAGATCAAAATTAATCAAAAGACCAAAATATGTCTTGTTTCAAAGTATCATTTTGAATTTTTATAGTAAATTAAAAAATAATAGTTGAGGTATGCAAATTGATTTTGATATTTTTATTCATATTACTTATACGTATAAAAATATAATTGTACTTTATAATATTTTATTTTGATATTAACTTGTGATTAATTTTCCTAATATATACTTTTGAATAATACATACTAGTAAAAAAAAAAATTAATAAATTACGAACAAGATCAAAATTATTTATTCCATTGGAAATTTGGAAAGACAACTAAAGAGAGAGGCAAGGAAGGAAGGAGCACGACCATTCCATCCAACGGCTACCATTCATCCAATCACTCACTAGCCGTTAATTTCAAAATATATTGAAGAAACAAGAAGCAACGTTCAAATCCAAACCCACAGACAGACAATACATACATATCCGCTGTGTGTTTACATTATCTCCTCCAATCCCTTTCTCCCATACAATAAATGCTCTTCGTCTTCTTCTCCTCTGAATCATCATCATAAGCTTAATCCCATTGATTCAACCATTGATTGAGAGGAGAAAGAAAGAAAGAAAGCGATAGCCAAGGAGAAGGGGAAAGGAAAAGGAAACATCAGTGGGTTTTCTTTTTGGTGTCTCCCAAGATTCATTCATTCATTCATTCATCCATCGATCCATTTTTGGAGGAGATTTCTTCGTCTCATTTAGTGTTTTTTTTTTTTTTTTTTTGAAACAATAATAATAATAATAATAATAATAATAATCTTCGATCGAAGAGGAGGTTTTGTCGATTACACACACTCATATTTCTTTCTGCACCAGGTATTTTATTTCATTTTATTTTATTTTGTTCTTGATTTGGTGGTGGATTGGAGACTGATTCGATTCAATTGTTCATTTGCTGATCCATTCGTATCTTCTTATCTTGATTGTTGTTGACTCTCTATTTTGCCACTGATTTTTTGCGTTCAGTAACAACAATACTGATTTGGGGAAGATTCGAATCAAGATAGATATTATGGAATCCATGGATGAGAATTTTCCAGGTCTCATTAGGCCTCCTTCTTCAAACAATCAAGGTATTGTTATTATTATTATTATTATTCCAAAACATACACACACACAACTTCTTGAATTTAACCTACAAAATCATCAAAATGATATATATATATATACATACATAACCAGGGGGATTGAGGGGTGAAGGAGGAGTAGTTAAATGTAATGGTAATGGCAATGGTGGAGGCAGTAAGAGAAGAGCATTAAGTACCATAGACATGAACATCCTAGGAGCCCACCCACCCTACCACTCTAATAAACGAGGGTACTCACCAATCTTTAATTCTCTCTAATAATAATAATAACAATATATATATATATATATTTTTGATCGAAAATAATAATAACAATATTGATCAGGCATCACAATACTGCTGCTGCTGCTGCCTGTAATAACAAGCCTCCTGTTGCTGTTCCGCCGCGCCGCCCCATAACCAGGTTCGAATGTTCTCGGGGTTATCGATAATCTTCACCAAAAAGAAAAAAAAGAAAGAGGTCACATTCTTGTAGATACTTTAAAAGAAGATTATGGATTGTTTGTTTATGCATTCAGGAAGTTTGCTGCACAATTGGCTGAAGAGAAGGATAAGAAGCCATCAATTCAGGTCTGTACAATGTTTTTTGTCCTGATACAAATTATTGATTTGATCTCAGATATTGTTACTAATCTTAATGTTTTTGAGATTATTGAATTATTACAGGAGGAAGATAACATCAGGTCAATTGCTCATCTGGTTTCGACTTCTAGTCGACAATCCGAGGATTGCATTATCATCGATGCAACAGATGATGACCACTCAAAAACAGAACAAAAAATTGTAATAACTTCATTGCTGTGTCCGAATCTGTGTTTTGAGGTTGTGTGAATCTGATGATCATACCTACCTTACAGGAAGAAGTTGAAATGGAGGACATCATCAACGAGGAGGACGACGAGCCGGTAATAGACATCGACGCCGGATGTAAGAACAATCCTCTCGCCGTCACAGAGTACATCGATGACTTGTACTCTTTTTACAAGAAAACAGAGGTTATACATATATATATATGTATCTGTATATATACATCACCTGTTTCGATCATTGTTGTTGCATCATTCCTAATCAAACCTTTTTTTTGTCGGAAATTCTTACTTGCATGTTTGCAGGGCCTAAGCTGTGTGTCGCCGAGCTATATGATGTCTCGACAATTCGACATTAATGAAAGAATGCGAGCGATCCTTGTCGATTGGCTAATTGAGGTTCATTACAAATTTGAACTGGCGGAGGAGACACTATATCTAACGGTCAATTTGATCGACCGGTTTCTATCAGTTCAATCAGTTGTAAGAAAAAAGCTTCAGCTTGTTGGAGTGACGGCGATGCTCCTCGCCTGCAAGTACGAAGAAGTTTCGGTCCCTGTTGTCGAGGACTTCATACTCATAACCGACAAGGCCTACACCCGAAAAGAAGTTCTTGAAATGGTAAAACTTGGAAATATCTATCAAAAGAAATCCCTATTTTTGCACTGACCTCTTCCAACGGGTTCTTTTTACGACAGGAGAAGCTGATGATCAATACATTACAGTTCAATCTATCGTTGCCAACGTCGTATGTGTTCATGACGCGGTACCTCAGGGCAGCACAGGCGGACAGAAGGGTTGGTTTGCTACGCCTTCGCTACTTATTAGCAGCGATTGATGTTGTTGTTCTCGATGATGATTGATTATTACGTTGATGATGACAGATGGAGGTTTTATCGTTCTATGTAATGGAGCTGTGCCTGGTCGAGTATGAGATGTTACGGTTCGCGCCGTCTATGCTGGCGGCAGGCGCAGTGTTTACAGCGCAATGCACGTTGAGCGGACATCGCCAGTGGAGCAAGACGTGCGAGAGATATACGGGATATACTCAAGATGATCTGTTGTATGTAGTCCTAAACCCTAAACCCGGAACATTTTTCGTCTGTTTCTCGTCGTTTGAATGGTGTTGTGTTGTTGCAGGGAGTGTGCAAAGATGATGGTGAGACTCCATGAAAAGGCAGCAAGTGGGAAGGGAAATCTATCTGCTGTGTACAAGAAATACTCTACTGCAAAATATGGCTATGCAGCTAGGTTTGTTCAGCCTGCTCTGTTTCTCATTCAAGAAGAAGAAGATGAAAGATCAGATATGACTAGTCTGAGATAGATATATATGATGATAGATATATATATATATATAGAGAGAGAGAGAGAGAAAGAGGGCTTTCTCTAACACTACTAAACTGGGTTGTAAAACAACACAACTTTTGTCCCAATGATCTGATCAGATATATATATATATATATCATACTGTGTGTGTACTGTTAAGCCTGTAATTGAACTTCAAGCCTCCTTTTTATTAACAAAGGAAAGGTTTGTTTTTACCATCTCATTGATTCTTCGCTTTGCTGTCGTCGCCATCTTCGTCTTCTGTGATAATGTCTGTCCGAATAATGACTTCGTCATCTTCTGATTCTCCCGAATAATAAGGATCTTCATGGGAACTCTCGTCGTCTTCATATGCATTTGCCAATTCTGCTGGCTCATCATTTTTCCCTTCTTCTTCTACGACCTCTTCGACTCTATAATACACCTATAAATTGGACAATATATTCTGATAGCATGAAAATGATCCCTTTTTGTTATATATGGAGGTTCAAGGTAAAAGAATATTATACCACACATGTTCGAGGAGGCGAAAGCACTTTGAAGGAGTTGGGACGGTTATTAAAGTTTGTCTCCGGAACACCAGGTATTCCTTCAGGGGAGGTGAAATGATCCACATCATGGCCCACCTGCCACGAAACAGTCGAGAGATATGACAATACAAGATAGAGGTAAGTAAGTGTATAAAGTACATATATGAAATGAATTTCTCTAATAGTTGAAAAAATGGATTTCACCGAGCAATAGCTAATGATGAAATGTCGTCTTGTTTTTTGCAGTTTAGAGTACATGAATCACTTACTCTTCCTGGTCCACCAAATTCCCAAGCATCACTGTCCAAAGCAACTCTGTATTTTCCTGGTAAGTCGCAACCAACTTTGTAGCTGTATGCAAAAGGATGAATTAGACTACGAGCTATAATCCATAAATTATGCAAAAAATATCAGTTGCTTTGTAAGAAGTCGATACCCTTACCCTTCATATGTGTTCTCTGGATGGAAGTTAAATACAAATACTAAATCTCCACGTTCAAAAACAATGACCTGCCAAAGAAATAATAATAGTAGTCATAACCAAGACAAGAACGGGATAAAGAAATATCTGTTGATGCATGGATTCATTAACTACGGAAATTACTTGGAGTTGGAGCTCCATTCAACAACACATTCCTATGGTGAATTAATTACCATAAGAGAAGCTGCATTTCCGGAAAGAAAGCAGTATTCTTTGCACCATAAAGAAGCTTGGGCTATGCATGTAATGCAAAATATATATACATATATATACATCAAAAATAATTTTGTTTTCTCTCTCACATGCATAGATTATAGAGGGAGAAGGGAAATTAGTAAAGAACTTAAGAAAGCAGTAAAAAATCGCAATTAAATTGCTGAATTAATGGATGTGATCATAAACAACTCAAAGTTCAGCCTTGTTACATTCAAAATATTACCTACATTATATATATATATATGATGCACGTTCAAATTTATATACAAATCATCACCTTAACAGTAGATCATTACCGATATATTCCACCTCTTTCTTATTAAAATATTATACCATGAACATGAATACAATCCAGTCAAAACAAATATATATACATTTATGTAACTTAAACTTATTTATAACTTTTTTCCTTCACAAAAATAAAATAAAATAAAAGAAATAACTGTTACCCAACAGCAGGGTAACTATCTAGAAATACACATACCATATATATATATATATATTACCTTGTCATCTTCATCTGTACAGCTCACAAAAAGTTTTGACGAAGCAAGGAAGTTAAATTTTTCATCAAGCAAATTCATGGCTCTGTCAAACTCATTCAGAAACTGCAAATACAATGATAAAAGAGAAAATAAAGGGTTCATATACACTTGAAGAACGAAAAAAGTTATATTAGAGAAATTCATGCTCCAAGACAGAATATAGACATTTTTCCTCTATAAGTCATTTATATGATTGAAGCAATTAATCAAAATAACAGATAGAAACGGAAAGAAAGGGCTCCATCTCAGAGGTAAAGTGCAGCAGATCAGCTATAATAGGAATCAAGGGATGATGCAATATATAGAAATGTCGAATAAGATTAAGAACTGAAAAAGTAATAGAGAGGCATACTGCTGCAAATGGGCATGTTTTCAAAAATTAAAAAGAGAACAATGAAAAAATCAAAATAGTATATTATTCATATTTTGACTTGTGCTTCATGATAGAGGGTGGCAGCTATATCAAGGCAGCAAACTTCCCAAACCCAACTCATAGGGAAGTAACAACATGATAGTTTCAATTTATCTGAATATAAAAGAAAAAAGAATAGATCATGAAGATATGGAGAGCGGAAATTTTTACAGTAATGCATTTGATAGGAAGGATTAAGTCAAAAAATTTGCTAGATAACAAACTATGAAAAGAATATTAACAAAACCCATTTGACACATTGATAATGCACCTTGAATCTTAGATGATCAGTATCCACAAGATCCCACTGGCGTCTGCACTTATTATAACTCCAGTCATTTCCTTCTCTTGGGAAATCTATCCATTCTGGATGGCCAAACTATTAAAGTAATCAGGTCTGTTAGAAGAATGAACAATGGCAACCATAAATTGCCAAATCATTTAAAGTAAATGATAATCTTTTTTCACTCCATGAAGTTCTTGGAAAATATTGAACACAGCTGCATTAACTACATTTTATAAAGGAAACCACAACCTTTTTCAATATTTTATGAATATTTAAACATTCTTTCATGCGAAAAAAAAAAGGAAGTAAGAAATCAAAGAAGTTGCATTAACCTATACCTTTATAGCAAACAATACTGAAAAATTTTGCTTCCGGTTAACATGCATTATCTAATTGAAATTCAACTGTACAGTCTATTTACCTCGTTTCCCATGAAATTAAGGTAACCCTCTCCCCCCGAGGACATTGTTAGGAAGTGAATCATCTGCAAAAAAGGTATAACAACCTTATAGCATCTATAAGGGCATGAGCGCATAACACAATCACTAATATGCAATGAATGCAAAAGGGTTGAAAATACCTTGTGAAGTGCAATTCCCCTATCAATTACTGGAGAAGCCTCAGTCAAACATGACATACCAGTATACATTTCTTTATCCATCAGGAGAAAAGCAATAGCCTTGTCACCAACAATAGACTAAACAAGGCAAGACAAAACACATTATAAATGGAATATAAAATTTCATTCAAATAGTTACTAGATCTGTTAAACATGAAAATAGCTAAGTTATCTGCTTTGTCATGGTTTTAGAGTGCAAATTAGTAAAGGTGACCTCAAAAGAAGCTTTGAACATATCTTGCATGGCCAATAAATGCAATGGAAGAGGTAGATCAATGTAACTAGGTACCTAACAAGCAATGGACAAAACATACATTCAAGGTCAGCTGGACAAACCTGATCATGACTCTCCGCATATGCTACACATTTTTCCGTATATCTCCTATTCGTCAAAGTCCCCATTATTTCGTGCATTGACCATTCTTCATCCTTCTTATTCTTCAGGTAGTCAATCCACTTGTCAGGAATTCCCATAGCTAATCGATAGTCGAAACCAACTCCACCCTCAGAGACTGGCCGACCAAGTCCAGGCATGCCAGAAACATCTTCAGCAATCACAGTTGCCTCAGGCAAGATACTATGTATTAGATCATTGGCCAACATTAAATAAATCACAGCATCGACATCTGTTGCCTCACTAAAGTACTCATTATAGTCCCCAGTGAATGACATGTTTATCCCATGATGATGATACAGCATTGAGGTTATCCCATCAAATCGAAATCCATCAAACATGAACTCATCCAGCCACCACCTCAGATTGGATAGAAGAAATCGAAGAACTTCCCAATTTGCATAGTTGAATAGTCTGCTGTCCCACAATTTATGGTAGCCACGATCTCCAGTGTGAAAGTACGAATCTTGAGAACTTTGTCCAACATCAAAACCATTGAGGCCATCAGTAATATTATTGCTTGCATGGCTGTGAATGACATCCATCAACACTTCAAGACCTAGGCTATGTGCCTTATCAATCAAATACTTTAGGTCTTCTGGAGTCCCAGATCGACTGCTCACTGCAAAAAAGTTTGTAACATGATATCCAAATGATGCATAATAAGAATGCTCCATCACGGCCATCAGCTGGACCGTATTATAGTTGTTTGCTGAAATGCGAGGCAACACATCATCAGCAAACTCCCTATATGAGTTCACCCGAGGTTCAGAACTACTCATTCCAACATGTGCTTCATATATTCTCGGTGCCACAGGTTTAGGTGGACGAGGGTGTTTGAATTGGTACCTGCAAGGCTAATGAAATGTTTACAGAAATGAAATGGTCTGTATAGGACAGGATGGCCTGCTACCATTCTTTCTAACTAAAGATTTCAACCAAAACAAAAGTTTCTTCGTGTTTGGTGATAAATACACATTCATATTGATGAAATATTTGTAGATCATTAAGCTATAGCTTAATAAGCATTAATTTAGAACTATGTTAGTTTCAAATCTTTATAACTTTATTTGCTATGGATATACCTTTCTGTTGGAGGTGGATCCCAGAACACACCATCATAAGGTGCAGCAAATCTTGTAGGGTCCTGAGTTGCATACTTAATCCAAGCAGGAATCCGGTCGACCCAAACACCATTTCCATGCTTAAATCTGAACTTGACCCTTGAATTGTGCGGAATAGCTGGACTCCCATCAAGATCGGGAATTTTAATACTCCAAACACCAAATTGATTTTTCTCCATCTTGTGTCCGGAACCATTCCACCCATTGAAATCACCAATAAGTTCTGCCTCCCTGTGTTAATTACAACTTATATGTGATGCAAACACATGGTAGCTGTCAGAAAAAATCATATATCTATGAATACAGACTCACTGTGCTGCTGGGGCCCATTCCCGGTACACTATGCACCCTTCTTTACGGTTAAATCCAAATTTCATATAACCTGAATATCATGTGAAATCTTGATTTTAAAAAAATCTGAAAAAACATAGACTTTTGTAAGAAATTCTTTGAAATGAACAATAATAATAAAATGCAAATTTTGCAGATGCATGCGTTTCCCAATGTACAGAGGGGATGACTATCGAAGAATATGAATTTATGTTACACTTAAAACATTACAAACATAAGATACAAGTACACCACTTTGATCACATCATTACCTTGAGCAAATTCCTCTAGGCCTCCCTCATACTTCTCTATGAGGTTCTTCTGATCAGAATATCTCTTTATTCTGTATCCAAAGTGACCTTTGTAAGACTTTAAACCTGGATCTAAGCTAAAGAGGCCAATATTTTCAGTGCCTTCGTCCACATTTGCCACTGTAGGTTCATCATCCGTCAGAACTGCTGTGACAGATGTACTGTGCACCTTGTGGTATGGTGCCAAAAAAAGCTACTTTAATATCAATCTATAGGGATATTGAAATTTTCAAAGAAAATATTGAGGAGCTAAGATTGATGATTAAAAGAAGCTTATTGTTATGTAAATATTATTCCAACAGTACAAGACGTTTTATAAACATATCATCTCTATTATATATGCATAATGAATCAATGAAGGACTTAATGATTCTGATTTTTAATTGGTACATACAGAATATTTAATAAATTCAAGACCTAAGGAACATCACAAGCCCATGTAATATTTCAAAAAAGTCCCAAATTTATACAGTTCTCCTATATATAAGCTACTCTCAGTTTTACCCTAGAAAATTCAAAACATAGATAGAATACCTTTCTGTTTGCCATAACACTTAAAACGGGATTAGCAATGCTACATCCCAGTAGATAAGGGGAACTCAAGACAAGTCCAGGTTGTTTCTTGATGCATCTTCCACTAACTGGGCCCTGTTCAATGAGAGATATAATTGAATCTAATTTCATTGATCATCATTAGCCAACTAATTAGATGGATATATAAAGGTGTACAACAGAGATACAAACACAAAGAAGAACTAAATCAATATCCAAGAAATTGTTCATAAGTCCTTTTTTGCTCCTGGAAGTTGTCTAGGAATTTCCAATTTTTTGTATTATCGACATTTTCCACATTATAGATGGACTAGACATTCCTTGGATCCTTTCAACAAGTGATCAGAAACACCCAAACACACTCCCCATATCGCCATTGATACTGCTCTCCAGGAGTTTCAGTCATTAAAGAAAATCCCAAACTCAAGGATCAACATGTAATACGATGCGCTTGATTCTGCTAACATACAAACATATCCAAATACTAACTTGACATATTTAGAAACACAAATCGCCTGGAAAAATTCAATTGCACAAAACCATAAAACAAAACATGAATCAACATCCCGTAATCGAAGGACTATACAGAAAAATACCGCCGCGGAGTTTTTCCATGAGGTAGTAGATGAAAACCAAAGCACCGGCGAGGAGAGAAGCGTGCTCGAACTGTACATTTCTTCAGTAGCATCAATCTCATTAGCAGCTTTAATGGGGGAAGTGGTTGCAGCAGAATTCTCTCGACATGATAACCAAACTAGAAACCAATGCGAATGTACATATTTACCCCTGCACATCTTCGATTTTAAATCTCTTGTCGAAGGGCTTAGATGTAATATCCACAAGATATCCCAAACTAGAAGCGCACTTGACGTACTAGCGCTTTGTTTGCTTCATGATGTGATTGATTGCGAAAGGAGGCAAAGTATATCTTATATAATAAATCTTGACCGTTGAACTTTTCATATGCATTCTGAGCCGTTGGTTGAGTTTTCAGTTCAATTATTTATATGGGTTCGGTTTAGACCAAATAGGAGTCCAAATGGATTATCCGATTTTCGGGTCCGATCCGTTCCTTCAAAGTCTTCACCATCCTAAACCTCGATTAGGGTGCATTTCTAGAGTTTCAATTGGCGTTTGATCTGCAGTTCCATGGCAGGAAAAGAGGAAAGTAAGTATAGCATAATTGTTCCTACCTACAACGAACGCCTCAACATTGCTCTCATAGTTTACCTAATCTTCAAGCATCTCGAGTGAGTTCCCATGTCTATGTGCTTGTTCTTTGTTGGTATTGATTTCCGACGTTTTTGAATCGAAACGTGTTTGTAATTTTCTCGTATTTAGGCAGCCTGGTGATGTGATTGATGAGATTTTATTCTTTTGTTAATTAATACGTCAGCTTCTGTTGTTTGATCACGGTGTTGATGGATAGGTTTCCATGATTTTTTGTTCCGGAAATTAGAGCCGGGGAGCTGAGAATTTGTGAAATTGATGTTTGATGTTTGGCTCTGTTGCTGAGCTAATTCATGATTTAGAGAATGCATATGTTTGGAGAGTATCACTATAACCGTTTTCAACATGAAACCTTGGAGTCTAGGTTATTCATTTTCGTTCGAATTAACACATGGTTAAGTATTTAGTAAGTATTTTATTGTGCATACTAGTCCAGCTGAAACGCTCTTCTGGCTCGTCCATCAAGCTCACATGGAAATGGATTACATGAACCTGAAACACTAGGTGTAACCGTTTAACTCGAGGTCATCCATCACACAGTGCATGTATATCGGCTCTAAGAAATTCAGCACTGGAATGTTGTGAAGAGAAATTTAATTAAGGAACCAAGCACTAGATAGTTGTATTGATTTCAGAACTTATAATTGGGCATGGCATGAAAGAGCTTATGTTTTTGCAACAATGATTTAGATATTGAAATAATTGTTTTGCATCTGCTCTTTGCCTGCTTGGACCCAATGATTAGTGTAATGATCTATTACATTGTACTAGGAACATAAATTTTGAAATTATTGTGGTGGATGATGGGAGTCCAGATGGAACTCAGGAGATTGTCAAACAACTGCAGCAAGTATATGGAGAAGATCGAATAGTGAGTTTTCAAAACATAATTATAACGTGGCAACAGCATATGATTTTGCACAATTCATAGCCTTCATTACTGATAGGCTCACGATGCTCTTGTAATGCAGTTACTGAGACCCAGACCTAGAAAGCTCGGTTTGGGTATGTTTTCTCTGTGTCCCATAGTTTGAAAGATGGCGAGGAAGTATCTTAGATGATTTTCATTTCAGGGACTGCATATATACATGGTTTAAAGCATGCAACTGGAAATTATGTTGTGATAATGGATGCTGATTTATCTCATCATGTAAGTTTGTGCATCCAATGTACTGTCACCAAAAATAACTAAATAAATAAAAGAGAAAAAGAAATAGGAATTCTCGACATTATGTTATGAAACCCAATATTTGTTATTTAGTTGGAGTTCAATAACACTATAATTGGAAATTGATGCTCACTTTTATACTGAGAGTTGAGATTGATGCTTGCAAAAACTTGTACTCTAGAACGTGCCATGTTCTACATTGTCACTCCATTATTATGAATTACATGTTTTCTTTATCTCTATTGAACTCATTTTTCTTTTTCACTCTCTGGCAGCCAAAATATTTACCAAGCTTTATTAAGTAAGTATTCTTTAAATTGAGTGATATATCATGCAAATTCATATATTAGGGCGTCATACTAGCTGAGAATTGTTTATCTACAGGAAACAGAAGGAGACAGGTGCAAACATAGTTACTGGAACTCGATATGTTAAAGGTGGTGGGGTGCATGGCTGGACATTGATGCGTAAATTGACAAGCAGGGGAGCCAATGTCCTCGCACAAACATTTCTCTGGCCAGGTGTATCAGATTTAACTGGATCATTCCGGTAGGTGGACTTTCCGCAACCTTTTTTTTTTTGTCTTCAAGTTTTGCTATCTAACATACCCCATTAAATTTTATGCTGCCCTTTTGAAGGCTTTACCAGAAATCTGTACTTGAAGATGTCATAAGCTCGTGTGTGAGTAAAGGATATGTTTTTCAGATGGAGATGATAGTCAGAGCATCAAGAAAGGGTTACCACATAGAAGAGGTAATTACAATTTACATTATAATCTAGGAAAAAATCTGGCTGAAATTGATTTGTAGTAAGCACCAAATTTAGCCAATAATAAGCAGAGAATAAAGACTGATACACACTTTTAAGAATTATGGTGCTTTATCAAGGTTTGAGACTAGCAGTGTCACGAAACACTGGTGTAGTCACTCATGAACTTATCTCAGTCAGATAATAAAAATCTGAACTACCGAGAATTTTTAATTAGTCATTATGGCTCAAAAATCACAAGTACATCAAATCGGAATATATCAAAAATACTTATTGAGGTTGAAACCCACTCAAAACGGGGATACCGACAAAATTTTGTGATGAACTACTTTAAGCTACATAGGACGTGTATACAGTTCCTCGTTTGATCCTGTATACTGTGAGAATAATATTTAGCTTCAATTATTGTTTTTCTGTCAAATCTCTCGAAACATTTACTGAGCTTCCTCATACATAGGATATTAAGAAAAGTTTGTACATCTCTGACGTGATCTTCCCTTTTCTAATAGGTGCCAATCACTTTCGTTGATAGAGTTTATGGAAGTTCAAAGCTGGGAGGATCAGAAATAGTAGAATATCTTAAGGGGCTTTTATACCTCCTGGTAACAACTTGAAATGAAGGTAATGAGGCTGATCCTGATTACATTGTTCGATTTTGCAGATTGTTATATTGACTACAGTTGGCGTTTATATGAGTAGCTAACCGTATTTCATCTGATCATAAATCTAAACAGTGTCGGCTTCTCCAAATTCTGTTTTTTTCCCACATTTTTAATGCCGTAATGGTAAAGATTTTTTTGTAGTTGTCCAGAATTACTCAAATGTTTGCAACTGCAACCTGAAATGTAATGAGGTTTTTTAATTGCTTCAAGACATATATAGTCAGCTTAAATATAGGTGATTTCCTGGCGGCATTCAATATAGAAACACTTAATGTTAGGTTATGTATAGAAAAGGTTTGGATTTGAATATACGATGGTAATGTAGAAGTAGAGAAAACTTAAAATCCTTACAATTGGTGCAATGAAATATTCGAAATTATTGCTAGATCACCTAACTAGCCTAGAGAATTAGTGACAAGGTCCTAGTGTAATTTCTAAATTTATCTATCATAGACTTGTGCAATTTTAATAATAAGATATCTACTTAGTCAGGATAAGAGTGTATATTTTTAGGATACTATCAAGAATGTTCATAGGTTGGCCGATCAACATAATTCTTTCTTGTTTTCATTTCGACTTTCAAATGTTGGTAATGGTTTGTTCAAATCATAATCTGTGGATTATTTTACTTACATTTAGGATTAACTTTCATTACTAACAATCGTATTTGAAAGAAAATTACACCCTCTAGCGTAGAAAATGTAGTTCGAGACTTCACAAAACACACTTTCAATGATAGGAGAAAAATATATGAGAGTAGGACATTAGAATAGCTTCGTCCCCACGAAATAAGTGCACACAACTAGTAAGCCTTCCGAGCCCTTCTTCTAACACTAACCTTTGCATCCTCGACATCAACGGCGACTGCTGCAGACAAGGAAAGGGGAGGTTTCTTGTTTTCCTTACTAGTAACCCTCCTCAGCGAATACCTGCTCGAATCCTCCGCTGCTCCCGTTGTGTCTCTTTTTGTAGAGGCGTCGATCCTCACACCATCATCAATGCCACCATTCTCGTCATCGGACTTATCCATATTTACTTCACTCTTCTTTCTCTTCAGCCTCTCGTTTCTTTTGGCTGAATACTCGTTGTAAAACCTGCCCCGCTCGAATACCACCGTGCTTCTTCCACCACCGGAAACTGTATCTTCGGGTTTCACCCCGAGCTCTTGGTGCACCATTTTAGCCAAAGCTGTGATTTGACAGGACATGGTTTGGTACGTGGGAAGAACCTCGGCCGATCTCCGAACCTCCCGTGTGTGGTTTGGCTTCGCTGTTTGGCCTGTTTTTGGATTTTGATTCCAAACAACATTTCAAAAACTATGTGAACAATTACAGGATCGTAGAAACCTAAAATGACAGACGGTTCTGAGAATCATATTTTTGGTGTTTCGAATCAGATTCAACCGAAGTTAGTGTAATCGAGATGAAACACTCAATGGATGATAGATAGAGAAATTCAAATTAGAACTTCCGCTGAAACCCCAACGATTGGCGAAGGAAATCATAAACAGTTTACCAAAATTAGATTCTCGAAAATGCCTCAGCCCTAGCGAGTTTCGTTTCGTTCAACAAAACTCGATTGGCCAAGGAAAATGAAAAACAGTTAACCAAAATTAGATTCTCCAAAATACCTCAGCCCTAGCGAGTTTCGTTCAACAAAACTCGATTGGCGAAGGAAAATCAAAAACAGATCACCAAAATTAGATTCTCGAAAATACCTGGCGGCGATTGAGTGGCGACGCTACTGGCAATTGGCTCGAGGCTTCTGCGGCGGGACCGGAGCTGAATCGGCGATCGTGCCAAAGGCAAAGGCGGTTTGTTCTTCGATCTCAGCACCATTTTCGACAAAATGATCTCAATCAAGTCGAACGAGGAACAATAAAAAAATCCTTGCGAAGAAGACAATGGTGAAGACGAGAGAGGAGAGAGCGGAGCGCCCTGATATAGACTTCTCTACGTATCATTGCAGTAAGTCAATTTATTGTGTTTTCAAATTTGGAGGAGGAGCGTCAACGGTCGTATTCATCATCCAACGGCTCAGGTTTAATCTTGATTTAACAATCAACGTTATAATAAAATAAAAACAAATCTATACCATTCATTAATTTCCTACCATATGTAATAATGCTGTTTATTAAGATATTTATGTATATCTTTTTGAATTATGGGATTATTTATTACTATAATTTTTTGAAAAAGATGTATCGCATTGAGTATTTTTTTTTTCATTTAAATAATTATAATAAAATTTTTTAAAATTCAAAATATTTTATTAAATATCTATTCTAATTTAATTCAAGATATAACCATAAAGGCCACTAATAGCAATACCAATAGTTGGTTTTTAGATGCTTCCTATAGTCCTATGTTAGAGAAAGCACAGTGCGCCCTGCCTCCAATCACAGCGTCTATCCAATGTTTTCCTTTTCTGCTTGCATATACGAACCCCGTCTGCACATGAGACTAAAAATTAATACACAATGACTCACTATTCAAAGTACTCTCCAAACACAATTTCCTATTTCTCTAAGTTATTTATTAGATATTTTTACACCAATCCTTCCCGGAGAAGCCCTAGCAACGCGGCGTCGTCGGTTGTGACACCCCTGAAAGCAATGTTAAGCTGAGTGTGTCGGGATTGTAGATTGATCTCACAAGTTAATATGAGTTTTTTTCGCGCGTTTCTGTTCTTACTTACGTGCATTTTGGAGCCTTTCCGGGGGTTATTACTCTAAAGTAAGCACATGGATTCATTTAGTAGGGTTTTCGAAAAAAAAAATATACACATTGCTGACATAAGTAGTCTATTCAATCTATTTAATTACTATTCTATCTCGAATGGCCGGATACCGGCTCATGCACGGGAATTGGCCTAATACTGGCCCAACTCCGGAGTATTATACCCTCCCTTACTTAAGAATGCAATGTCCACGTTGCATCCCAAGGATCGGCTACGGCTAGGCCTCTCAATAGTCTGGTTAACGGGTGCAAGCTGTCGCAGGTCGGTCAGATACCAATTGTGACACTCCGGCTTGCAAGCAACGCTAAGCCAAGAGTATCGGGATTGTAGACTTACCCCACAGGTCAATATGAGTCATTTATGCGCGCTTCTGTATTTACTCACGCGAATCCTGGGAGACTTACTAGAGGTCCTTCATCTTCAAATTATTTAAGAATAAGCATGCTAAACTTTAGAGTTCTTTCAGTTAGGTTTCCGAAAAAGAATGTGCACATTGTTGACATGAGTAGATTCTCCAATCCATTTAACCTCTAATCAACTTCGGATAACCTAATACCAACTCATTTTCACACACGAAAGTTGGTCATACAACAGCCCAACTCCGGGGGTATCACATCGATTCTCTTCCCAAGGAGCCCTACCACCGCATCAGATAATGCCGCCGCCGGCCACGCCAACCCCAAATCAATAATGCAAACCAATAAATCACATATACGAAATCGTCTCTACTTATACTTCAACGAGATAGTAATTTCTCTATATTTCCTTACATGAGTTTAGCCATGTTCAACGCAATTCAGTCTGTCATGCCGGGCTTTGAAATACAAGGGCATCCACGTCAGTGGACTTTCTCCTCTGCAACAATTTCCACGACAACAACTACTTCACTATTTGTCTATTAAAAAAAATAAAAATTATTTCTGGATTACTTTGTACAACAATCCAGTGAAACTCCTTTTTGTTTTTAAATATCATCTATTTAATTATTTGTTTTCATTTTTTTTTTATATTTTTTTATTATATACAATTTTATTCTCTACGAAATATATATTGATATAGTTTTATTTAAATTTAATAATATTATTAATTATTTACAATAAATTTTAAAATATATATTTTTTGTAGTAGGGTGGAAGATACATATTGTAAAAAAAAAAAAAAAAAAAAAAAAGGGTATAAGGTGAAAATTAAAGCTTTATTTCATTTTAATTAGATACTCAACGCCAATATGCAAATTGTCTATTCATTCCTTGCACTCTCATTATTTTTATTATTTTTTTGTGTTATTTTGAAATTATTATTGTGTTTTTTTAAGTAGTTTTTGATTTTTTTTTAAATATTATTATTGTGTTTTGTCATAATTTATATTGTACTTTATGTTATAATCATGGTGCTTTTGTGATATATTCTAGTAATATAATAATTGTATTTTTTAAATTTTACTATATATATATTTTTTTATTGTAATCTCATATTAGAAAACAATCCGTTTTAAAATTTCATTAACACACACGCACCCAACAGAGAAGTCATGAAAAATAATTCTGTATACATGAATAAAGTTCTGAAAACCATCTAGTGTTTGATAAATTTGCAATATAGCAGGAGTAGTGTTGGAGGGACACTCTCATTGTTGGAGGGACACTCTCATTGTTATTATTTCTTTTCCGTCCGAAAAGTATAGTCTTGTTGTATTGAATACAGAATTTAAGAAATATTCTTGATAGTTGGTAAAAAAAAGAATAAATTACTTTTTTACCTTTGTGAATATATTAGTGTAAAAAGTAATGGCAATTGTGTAATAATAATGAAAAAATAGGGATAGTTTTATGGTGATATGATTATTTATGAAAATAAGATTACTATTTTGGGACGGACAAAAATGATAAACAAGACTATTGTATTGGGACGGAAGGAGTATTATTTTATTGTGTTATTTCAAAATTAATATTCTATTTATTTAAATCAATTTTGTATTTTTTAAAATATTATTGTTGTATTTTTTCATAATTAATATTGTATTCTTGTTATAAATGTGATTTAACTAATGATTATAAATCTTAAATCCATTTTTTTTTTTTTAATGTGATTTTAAAAGGCAAAATTAATCTTTTGATTTATGGTAAGAAGCTAAATATAATTTAATTAAATGCACTGCTATTAAATAACGAGAGCATAGAACATAGTATCAGAAAGTATTACAATGTTTGTATTTATAGGTTGATGTTGAGTTATTTTATAGCAGCATCTCGCTATCTCAAATACAAATTAATTAATCATTCAAAAGTTTATAGCAAAATTATAAATTAATTTTATTTTTTATTGGCCCCCCGGATATATTTAAATTATATAGATCTAATGATGTATGTTTAATCACTACCATGTTCATGCTTTAATATTAACACTGTAATCAAAAAGTCTTTTGATTTAGTAAATTTTATTCAAAATAAAAAAAATAAGACAAAATTATGGGACGAACGGAATATAATATTGGGGAATTTTCTTCCAATTTTATTATTCATTCGATTTTTTTCCCCCAAAAATATAAAATTAAATATTTATTTTTTATATTATATAAAAAACATCAACGTTATATTACATCATATAACCATTAAGTTCAAAATATTCTCTAAAAAATGAAGGGAAAGAGACACGTAATCATAATAAAATAAGATTGCAATAATTAATGAAAGATGAAAAGAGTATGGATTGAATGTGGGAATAAGTTTAATTAATTAACTAAAAGTATGATTAATTAATAATCAATAATAATAATAATAAAAATAGCCAAATCGGTGTAAGCAGAAATTGAATGAGCAGACAGCAGCAGCAGATGTCATGAGATGACGAAGAACACAAGCAGCTTCCTTCTTTAACTGCAATTTCCCATTCCCATTCCATTTTCGTTTTCCCTTTTCCATCTCATCTGCATCTCTGGTCAACCGTCGAGCCTTTCAAGCCCTAAAGCGGCGCAGATCTCATTTCCAATTTCTTGAAATTCACCATTTCTACGCTTCCCCGCATTCTGATTCGGGTGAAATGCGCGTGTGTAGGTATCACGGCATGCAGGCGAGTTGAGCCCATTTATTCAGTTATCAGGATTTGGGGAGATTTCGAATTCATGCCCATGCCCTATTTCGTCCCTTCGCAAGCGTCGAAAAAGCGGTGCGTGATCTTTAATTTATTTAATTTCACGCAAGTGTGTTAATAGAATCAATTCGGAGTCGAATTCTATCGGTTCTGTGTGGTTCGATCTGTAATTGGCGAGTGATCGATGAGGAATTGGGGGATCGTATGCGATCTGGGGAAACTGCAGGCGTTTGTGGCTTTAGATCTGATAAAAAAGATAAGAAATTAGGGTTTCATGGAGTTCGAACGAATTGTGCCTTGAATATGGGAACATTTTGTGATCTGTGTTTATTACTGTTATTTTATTCGTGCTGTCAATTTGGAAAGTTGAGTTCTAAAAACAGTTCTATAAATCATAAGTGTTGAATCCTCTTGAAGATTACATTGTGTTCATTGATTTTGAAATTTGTGTATAAATTGATGTAATCTAGTTCTTTGTGATGTTACTCTCAATTCTAACCAATTTTAAAAAATGGATGCTTTTAATCCGAATGTCGATTCAAGGTTAGCTGTTTTTCTGCCTCGAAAAGCTTCTGCTTTAATGAGCCAACTTCGATTAAAAAACTTTCTGATTGCTTGCAGGAAGAATTAGAAGTGGATGCTTATGGTGAATGTGCCTTTTTGATTGTGTCTATTTGGGAAGTCGTTTGCTCATAGAATCGTTATAGCAAGAAAATCCGAAGAAGGAAAAATGCCGCCAGCGAGCAAAGCTGATCGGAAAGCTGCTGTGGATGCAGCTGCGTGGTTGTTCAATGTAGTCACTTCGGTTGGGATCATTATTGTCAACAAAGCATTAATGGCTACTTACGGCTTCAGCTTTGGTAAGTCTGATTTCCTTTTACGAACATAACTTATATTTGTTTATCAATTTGGCATGATATTGGTGTTGAAGTATTTTCTGGTTTAGTTTGAATTATTGCATACTTCAAGTTTGTTTCATATAAGTTGTTTTCATTTGTCAAAAAGCTTAAAGCGATTTCCGTTTACATAGAGGTTTTTGGAGTTTTAGCATTTTAGAAAATTTTGGAATTGTAATAAATTTAGTATTTGCTGTGATGTTTTGTGAAATGAAATAGATATTTGATGGGATGTTTTGAAAAAGTTAATGTAAGAATAGTGTAAGCACTTTCAAAGGTGTGTTTGTAAACTGAGCTGAAGGGTGCGTTTGTTTGGGGGTTTGGATTTTGAGTTAGGATTTGAATAGTAAAAATTTTGAATTGTAATAGTTGTATGATGTGATATAAATAGGGCTTGATGTAATGTTTTAAATATAAAATTATAGTATAATATAAAAAATAAAAAATAGAATATTTGATTTGATAATTTTTGGGGGAAAAAATCAAAATTTTGATGAATAGTAAAATTTTGGGAAAATTCAATAAACAAACACACCCTAGTGTGTTCTTTTGTGGATTTCTATCCCGAATTTTACTATTCACCAATTTTTATAGCTAAAACTATCAAATCAAATACCTGTCTTTTATTTTTTATATTATGCTAAAAATTAAATTTTCATTCAAAACATCATATCAACACCTATTTATATCACTATCATATAACTATTCCAATTTAAAATTTTTACTAATCAAATCCTAAACACAAAATCCAAACTCTCAAAAGAACACACCCAAAGTGTTGTATGAGACACTGATTATCCTTTGTTATTAATGGCGGGCGAAATGCTTTACTTATTATACTTTTTGTGCCTAAGTTTGTACTTGCCATACGTCGAGGGTTGTTTTAAGTTTTATAATAATTACTATATGTGCAGCCACAACATTGACTGGGTTACATTTTGCTACGACGACCTTGATGACGGGCGTTCTAAGGTGGTTGGGTTACATCCAAGCTTCTCATCTACCTCTGCCGGAGCTTTTAAAGTTTGTCTTATTTGCAAACTTCTCGATTGTTGGGATGAATGTCAGCTTAATGTGGAATTCAGTCGGTTTCTACCAGGTCAAGTAACATATTCTCATTCTAAACTTTGAAATGAGAAACAGGGCATTGCTAAAAATGTGATCTTATGTCCTGTTTGCTAACACAGATCGCAAAATTGACTATGATTCCCGTATCCTGCTTATTGGAAGTTGTGTTCGACAATATCCGCTATTCAAGAGACACTAAGCTCAGCATCTTAGTTGTTCTCCTTGGTGTTGCAGTCTGCACAGTTTCTGATGTGAGTGTTAATTTCAAGGGCTTCGTTGCGGCATTTATCGCTGTCTGGAGTACGTCTCTGCAACAGTATGTAAGTTCTTATCGTATATCTCCAATCTCCATTTTTATCAAGTTTTGTGCCTTTTGTCGATGATTTTTATGGAAATGCTGCAATAAATGATTGTGATGTTGTATGCGCAGTATGTTCATTTTCTTCAAAGGAAATATTCCCTTACTTCCTTCAATTTATTGGGGCACACTGCACCGACCCAAGCTGTTACGCTGCTGTTGATAGGCCCGTTTCTGGATTATTGGCTGACTGAAAAGAGAATCGATGGCTATCAGTTTCATTTGCCGTCAGTGGTAAGTGCTTCTACAAGTTCTCATTTCTGTATTGTTGTTCCTGATTCTGATTGATTGTGTGCTATTTACGTTTGGATATTATTTTTCTTTATTCGAAGATAGAAAAGAGGTTGAGTCATAATGATTATTCGATTCTTATATGAGTTTCTTTGGCAACTTCACTGTTGAATTTCCTCTGCATAAAAACAGAAGTGCAGTTAGTGAATATTTTTAAAATTTGATTATTTCCTGTGTTAGTCGATGTGGCGTGATAAATAAATTCGTAGCTTGTGTTCCAAATCATACGTTCTAGTTAATTATCAGAGCTTGCTTCCCACGGTTTGGTTTTTACAGAAAATTTCGACTGCTTAACTTGATTGTACTATTGGGTATTGACCTTTTGTCATTTTCAAAACTATTAAATTCCATCGAGCATTTTTATCAATGTATATAATTACTGACCTGACCTTGTTTCATCCTTCTGATTCTCTTCTTCGATTAGATTTGAGTTAAGGAAATGAGTGAGAATCTGTACTGTTATGAAGTCGAATTTGGACAAATTCTAGTTGGGCTCGGAAAGAGTGAAAGAATATATCAAGAATGTAGATTAAATTGCTGAAAATATGTTATGAAACAAATAGATTGTGCTGTCTTTGGTTACCTAAATAGCTAAATTTTCGCGCACCAAGTATGCCATTTACTTAGCTGCATGAACATACCTTTTCCCTTTTTAAAAATTGAACTGTCGACTTGCGCCCTTAAATTCCTATTTCCGTGGATGTGCAGGTGTTCATTATCCTCTCGTGCACGATTGCCGTGGGAACAAATCTGAGTCAGTTCATCTGTATAGGCAGATTCACTGCAGTTTCATTCCAAGTCCTCGGCCACATGAAGACGATCCTCGTCCTCATCCTTGGATTCCTATTTTTCGGAAAAGAGGGTCTTAATTTACAAGTAGTTCTCGGCATGATCGTGGCAGTAGTAGGAATGATCTGGTACGGCAATGCCTCGTCGAAACCCGGTGGGAAAGAGCGGCGCAGCCACTCGCTCCCCAGAAACAATCAACAAAGGCACGGAGGATCTTCGGAATCTTCCGACGCCGACGAAAAGGTGTAAGAGTAAGATTAGAATACTACAATGAAACGGGACCGGACTGAACAGAACGGAACGATAGGAGATACTGATAAGGTGATTCTTTACTGATCAAAGATGAACTTCTTTCTTCCATACCAGATTGATTATTCATAGAGGAGCTTGGAAATTTTGTAATTTTTATATATTCTTGTGTTTTCTTCTTCCTCTCTTTTTTATTTTTATTTTATTTTTTTCGAAATTGTGTTGGTTATGAAGGATTTGTAGTTGGTAAAGGAGTTGAGAACTTGCCCTGGTGGTGATGATGGTGACTAGATTTTGGGCGTTATATATATATATATATATATAAGTTATTGTTGATGGATTAAATTTTTTGTATGGAAAGGGGACTTTGTTTTTATACTTTGGATTTTATCTAGGTGATTGTTTGTAAATTTGTAATTTTACAACGGCTTTGGGCCATTTTTTTTTTAAATTTTATAAGTATTAGATATAATCAGTCTGTTCACTAATTTAGATAAATTGATTTATGTTGTGGTATGTAATATAAAAAAAATAAGTAATATTTTGTGTGGAATAGTTGATATTTTATGAATGAATAATGTATATATAACTAATATTTTGTGTTGAATAATTGATATTTTTCAGTGGATTATATATATATTATAGTGATGTGTGTATATTTATATTTTCTTAATAATTTTTATACGGACAAATTAAATATTTTTATACAAAATAAATGCATTATAAGAACTGTCTACACTTGGAGGGTGTTTGGGAACAGTTTTTTTGAAGAATTGAACAACTTTTAGCTTAAGTGTTTGGTAAATTAATTTTTTAAAAGAGTTCAAAAAGCTAATTTCTTTCAAATTTAATTATTTATTTTATACATATAAATATATTTTTATAGTAGTATTTATTAATTATTTTTAATATATTTAATTTATTAAAGTATATTTTTATTTTTGTAAATTTAAAATAATAATTATTATTAATTATTACATATAAATTATTTTATTTGCAAAATACTATATATAAATTTTTAAAACTAAATCAAATTAAAAAAATAAAGGTTATTAATTTATTTATATATTAAAACAATAATTAACATAATAAAAATAAAAATATTATAATATTTTTATAATTTTCAATAATTAATAACAAAAATTCTCATAAATTTCAAATAAAATGAACAAAATTAAATATTTTAAAAAATAACTCCTTAGTAGTCGTTTTATATATAAACAGTCAAACAATTGTTTTAAACATTTTAATACAAACAGCTAATTGAATCAGTTAGTCAAATCAATTAATTGAATTAACCAATTAATTAAATCAACTAACAACTTATTGAATTAACTAACAGCTAGCGGTTAATTGTCAAATCTACATGGTTGATGGCGGATGACAATGGTATTTTTACAATAATTAGTATTTAAAAGATAAATTTCAAAAATAAAAATAAAAAGAAATATGTGGCTTAGAACTTGACTGGAGGTAGTATTACTTTTATGGAAAATAACTAATTATTATATAATAAATAAATTAAAATTAAATTTTAAATGAACAAGAAGAATTTGAGGTTATATTTAAAATTCTAAAAAATTCTCTGCCTATAAACAGACCCTGAGCATTTGACAACCAATGTCGGGTAATTAAAGGTGCGTTTGTACGAAGGATTTGGGAGAATTTTACTATTCATTCAAATTTTTTATACGATGTGATTTCAGCAATAGACAGTGCAAAAGAAAGAAATAATAATAAAAATAAATTTTAATATTATTAATTTTTTATTCTTATTTTATTTTAGCATAATAAACAACACACCCAAAACAATCACACCGACCAAAAGGTTTCGGACTGCACAGTCCACACCCAACACAGTGAGAAATCACACCCAACCAATTCTCCCATTCTGCCATCGTCACTGAGCTTCGTCGCCGTTCACGCCATCGAGATCCAATGTAAGTTCGTAAGCATTCTATTTTTTTCTGAGACTGCTTTTTGGTGCTTTCATTATCCAATCACCTTCCTGATTGAGCCTGTGTTTTACGCTAATGCTTTCGTTTTCTCGATTTTGAATGCAGCCAAATAAAAAATGTCGGGGAATACGAAGAGCCAGCCTCATGGTAAAAATGCTCGCTTTCAATCATGTGTCTTGTGATTTATATATTACTATTATAATTTAATTGGAAGGCTATGATAAAACGCACGAATAAGGCCTCTTTGAGTTTAAATGAGGAGAATATTCATATAGTAAACTGTAAACCCGATGGTAAAGGAGGATTGATTGCATTTTGTTTTTTCTTAATAGACTGCGACTTGGATTTCATTTTTAATGGCGGATTAATCCTTCTTCATATTTCTGTCATTCATCTTGATCTTCTCATGTACTGTTCTCTCTCTCTCTTGTGAAAATGGTTTTTGAACATTTAGCTTTGATGCTGCTTGATAAGGATGTTTATATTGTGGGAGAAAGTAGTTAAGCCCTTTAATGATAGGATAATGGTCACTTATGGTTTGAGTGGTTGGACTTGATAGATTCTATTATCTAGCTAATCATACTATTATTTAATAGATAAAAATTGGATCAAATAATTTAGTCTTACTCTTGGGATTATTTTAATAGAATAGATGTTTCATTCCATTATATATCATCGGCAGTCTCATAATGTTGTTCCTTAAGAATGAAATTAATCATGGGCTACTATCCTTCAATATGAAAGTGGATAAAATACAATCTTTTATACCAAAGACAAAAAGACCCATTATTTAAACATGGTTTAAGTCCCTAACAGATTATATGTTGCTCCAATAATGCTATTTCTTCTTATTGTTGTTATTGTGGTTATTTTTGGTTCATTATAAGGGAAATCTTTTTCTATAAGGAGTTAATCGATCCTACAAAAAAGTTTCATCCGTTTTGTGTTAGATTATGTATTTGCATGCTGCAAGAGAATATTCGGTTTTGCTTGATGCTGATATTTTTAATGGAATCTAACTTTGTATGTATGGAGCCTTGCAGAGAGCAAGATGAATTTGGTCACGTTCAGGTCTCAGGACAAGGAATGTGCAAATTTAGCAGCTTGTAGCACACAGAACAAGCAATTTGATTTTCTAGGCCTGTTATTTGGTAATTCAACTTCAGAAAATGATTGTGTTCATGCCTAGATGATTGCATGCAAAGTGTGAAAATGTTTTATTATGCTGTGATGAATCGTGTGCTAATTTTTTGCTCTGTCAGTCTCATTTCATAATTATTGATGTGTGCAAAATGGAATATTGAATGAGAGAGAATGTGAAACATCTAACTGTGAGGCAAATAAATTTGCTTCTTGTCTTTGCATGGTTTAGAGTTTTGCTTTCATTTGTGCAGAGGGTGCTGTGGCAGGAGCTACTGCTGGTGCGGTGGTGGAGACTATTCTATATCCAATTGATACTATAAAAACTCGATTGCAAGCAGGTTATTTCGTTAGTGTAATATGTATAAATCTCCGTGGAATATACAGAATGAGATTTCATTTTGTAATCCTAGGTTGTTACGATACCATAATTTCTTCAGAATTAGTTTTGCTACTGGTATTGGGAAAAAAAAGTTGGATTTATTATCTTTTAAGTTGCAATTTATTATAAAAAAAGCAACTTTTGTTTGTTTTATCATCCTAATAAAGAAACACTGTATTTTCTTATTAGATTTATAAAAAGAGCTCAATTAGCAGCATGTGTAAACCCTGATTGTGTTGTTTTGCTTCTACATTGGTAATTCTTAACTGAAATTTCTTATTGGAACCCTTTTTTATGGTTTCTTTGTAGGCAGTTCGTGGTGGGGGTGAAATAATATTTAAAGGACTATACTCTGGATTAACTGCAAACCTTGCTGGTGTTATACCGTATGTTGGGAATACACAACTTACTATGTTTTATTTTCTTCTTCATTCTACCATAATGTCTCATATTTAGTCACTGTTTAGCTATATCTAAGCTTGTTGGGAAGTTTGCATATTATTATCATAATAATGTCACCATTAATATGAAATTGGAGGAGATAAAAATATAGAAATTATATAGATAGTATCCTAAGAAAATCCAAAACAGTATAATCACTTTGATAGTCCACTTATATCTTCCATACCGACTTTGCCACATATCAAGACTAGTCCATTTGTAAACACATTTGCCACTCACTTTAAATAGTAATGAATTGTGTAGCACTCAAACAACTCGTTACGTTATACCTTTGTGATTAATTCACAGATGGCAATGATATATTTATTTCTCAGACAAAATAATGATTATATGATTGATTGTCAAATGTAGAGGGTGACTTTAATTTGAGTGAGTTCTTCTCGCACAATTTCCGGCCATATTTGTAACTTTGTTAATTATGTGTGTCATGGCTTTGTACACTGTCTCCAACTGGATTTTGCATATCTGGTTTTCACTTCTATGCTAGTTCATAAGGTTTCCTTAATCATAGTAAGGCCGCAATATAGATTCATGTTTTCCTATAATTTGCTGTGAATGAAACATAATTAATTTTTATTTTCAATCAACACTTCTTCATTACACCTTTATGTGAGTCTGTAGTGATGTGCGGAACTTATTATTGTTCATGACCTTAATTGTCCACAGGGCATCAGCTCTATTCATTGGAGTGTATGAACCTACAAAGCAGAAATTGCTAAACATTTTTCCTGAAAACTTCTCCGCCGTTGCACACCTGGTAACAATAGCTAATGACAATCTCACTGCCAAAGAATATTATTGTGTTTGGCATGCAATTGCTTTCTTTTTCATTTGAGCAGAAGATGAAAAGCATGCCCTAAGTGTTGGAATTTTGTATGTGTATCATGTTGATTGTCCTAAAATGATCATCTATTTTCAGCAGCTAATTTTTCTCCTGAAACAATCTCAAAACCTTATTTTCGATGTATGTATAGTTTGTAACCCATGGGTTAGCTGAATTTTGACTTTCTCATGGCTTTTCTCTGAGAAAAGTCATTATTTTTCACAAGGGACTCAGAAGAAGGTTGTGAAGCTTTTGAATTGTATAGATTTTCTTTCACGATTGTATTGAATATGTTATACTTCATACAGGTTGCAGGTGCTGTTGGAGGTGCTGCTTCTTCTATTGTTCGAGTTCCTACTGAGGCAAGTGTATACTTGTATCTATATAGCATTCCGTACTGTATATGTGCTAATCTATACTATGATTATATACTACAATGCATGCATAATGTTAGTACCGCTCAGAAAGCACCCTTTTCAATCTCTGGCAGGTTATAAAGCAAAGGATTCAGACTGGACAATTTGTTTCAGCACCTGATGCTGTTCGCCTTATAGTTGCTAAGGAGGGTTTTAAAGGCCTTTTCGCGGTATATGGTGCAATTTTTTCTTATGAAATTATTAAAATGTTGCTTTCTTTAAATGTATTCGTATGTACTGCTTGGAGTCCTGAAATCCTGGTGTTCATTCTAAGTATATATATTATATATATATATATATCTTACAGTTATTGTATGAAAAAGAGTTAAAAAATAAATGTCTACTTAATTTTTTATGTTCTTTAAAATCTTAAGGTTGTATCAGATTTGAGCAGGTGCTCTTCATGTTTCTGACATTGCAGGGATATGGCTCATTTTTATTGCGAGACTTGCCTTTTGATGCCGTTCAATTTTGCATTTATGAGCAATTACGAATTGGATACAAGTTGGCAGTAAGTTGACCAAGTTTTATCTGAAAATTGTGTGTTTTGTTTCCATACCAAGTATGTATAACCTTACCAAAGATAACTTAAGTTTCATTAATATATTCAGTGCATGAATTTTGTTTAAACTACAATTTGATCTCTGAAGGGGCAAAATACTTAGAAAGGGAAGAGGGAAAAAGAAGAAAGCTAGAAAGCATGAATGAGTTTAATTTCTTCCTTGGATTGATTGATGTCCTTCCTAAAGATTGATAATTTCTGTTTTTGATTTACTTCAGTATCTTCATAACAAGTTGCTGTTGTAAAAGTAAACCGGATGTTTCTAATTACATTAAACTTTACAGCATCCCAATAAATACCATTATTGAAAGTTTTATTCGTTAACTGATGTGTGTATTGAGGTTGTATACAAATTTATAAGTGCTTAGTTCTATATAAATTTTGTAACAGTAATACCTGATTGAAGTTCTTGTGTATGCAACTTCATGTAATGATTCTTAGATTCAAATTGTTTATACTCAAAACTAGAAATTTCCACATTACAAAACATCTGCCAATACTAAACTGATGTAAGGTTCAAATTTAAGGATTTATAACAATACTCTGTTTCTTATATGCTTGTGTCCAAAAACTTATGTGATTTTGTACACTGCAGGCAAAAAGGAACCTAAACGATCCTGAGAATGCAATCATCGGTGCGTTTGCAGGTGAATGACTGCTTGATGACATTGATATGCATGCTACCCCATAATGTTGCAGCTATTACTAGGGATTAGTCATTAAAAAGCAAACAGTTGATTAGTTCTCTTCATTTAACTCTTTGATCAGTTTGGCCCAACATTTTTCTAAAAGTTTAATTTATTTATTTTTTTTTTTTTTTGTTTTTTTTTTATCTCCGAATGATTTTCCTCTGTGAAATATTCAATTAACAGGTGCAATCACCGGTGCCTTGACAAATCCTCTGGATTTGATTAAAACCAGATTAATGGTGCAGGTATGGTTTTGATGCTGTTTATGCCTGTTTTTTGCATGCACATATAAAGTTTCGATATCCCTTTCTTTAATCCTAACTTGCAGGGGTCTGCAAAGCAGTACAAAGGTATATTTCATTGTGTTAATACAATTCTTCGAGAAGAAGGCAGCTCTGCATTCTTCATGGTATGGCTTTATATTCTGTATCAAGCTATGTTAATTATGAATAAGGTCTAAACTCTAAAGAGTTTTGAGGCAAATCATTAATGATTTGTTCGATTAGGGAATGGGGCCAAGAGTACTGTGGATAGGCATCGGCGGCTGTATATTTTCTGGAGTTCTTGAGAAGACGAAGCATGGGCTCGCCCATAGGCAGCCTCTTGAAGAGAGTTAAGGTTAGTTAAACTTATCTAAATGTCAAGTTACATCAATAGTTTTTAAGATCAACTCCAAGATTGATTGGAAATGAGTCATGATGGTTCTTAGCAAATTGGATCTTGATAGTTTGCTAGTGAATTAGGATTTATAAATTATTTTATCGATCGTAATTATATATTTACATTTATGATTCAAAGCATTGGTTATAGTTAGATCTTGTGAAGAATTCTAATGTAGGATAACAGTCCATTGCAAATAATTAGTCACATCTAATTTCACATCTAATCCTTAATTGGTTATATGTGCAACTCTTTTTATAGTTTGAGCACGTATTATGCATACAAATCGATAAAACTCCATTAGAAGATTTGAGCTATTGAAAATTCTCTGAAGTTGTGATAAACCAGGCATGTTGGCTTAAAATCAATCATAGATCTTCGATGTTTGCAAAGAACATAGGCAATGAGGAAATGTAGAATCTATAGTTGCATAGGTGGGCACATCAATTAGCAATTTTCATTTATGTCAATGTCGCGCTATTTAACCACATTACTTAGATTCTATTGTTGAAGTGTTCGAAGATACTTGGCCAATATTTATAGAGATGATTCTCATATGTCGTATACTTTCTCTCTTGTTACTCTGAACCCACATTAAGCTTTATGATATGAGATATGCCACACATGTTTTTTGTCGATTTTATTTTGGATCGCAATGCAATTAAATTTTACCCAATAGAGCATATGCATTTTAGAATTTGTGTCCATCAGTGTTCCTTCATCAGTATCGGAATTTTCTACAATTGAAAGCAAGTGTGTCGATGTTGTCTAGTGTTTTTTTCATAATGCATAGGTGAGAAGAATGGAATCCTAATAGATACACATGAGCTACATGCAAGAATTGAAATTTGTATAGAAGGTATTAGTTCATTTTGCCCACCAAATACATCTATCGTCGTAGAAATACTCACAACATTATCCTTTTTCTTTCGGTCATCCATGCCATCTTCGTCGTTCTTTAGGACTTTCATTTCCTCGTCATCATTAGAGTTAATTACACCAGATTTTATGAGTCTGAATTAGTCTATGGCTGAATTGAAAGGAGCAAATCTCCATTTAGATAGAAGTTTCGAAAATTTTGGAATTTTTTAAAGAGTAAGAAAAAGAATATGTAATGTAATACTACCTCTGGCCGGTCTCATTACTTTATGTGCGCGTTGATATTTGAATATTAATTATTATATCAAAACGTAGTATAAATTAAAAAAAAAAATTGCAAAAATACTTCAATTTATAAGAAAATTTATACAAAAAATTATGCAATTTAATGTTAAGGAACAAGTTAGCCAGAAAAATCCCAAATTTCCAAACCACGAGAAAGAAGCAAGGGTGGTAGGGTGACTTGTGATGGGAAAGTCACAGGTTCGAAAATTAATATTAGTATTGTGTAATATAAAAATAATAATATTTATATAATACTGATCCGTTCGGCTCTAGGGGTCTTGTTTACTTTTTATGTTTATTTTTAAATATTAATTATTATATCAAAATGTAATACAAATTAAGAAAAAATCGCAAAAATACTAATAGAATGACAGTTGTACATATAAGAATATTTTTAATGTTAAAGTACGAAAAGTAAATGTAACATTAGAGGCGGAGGGTATACGGTAAGTAATAAGAATATTTATAATATTATATATATATTACAATTACCAAATAAAAAAATAATAATTTTATTTTTGGGAGGAAAAAAAATAAATAAATCATTTTTTTTATGGGATGAAGGGAGGGAGTATTTTATTTTCAGATCAAGTGCCGAATTTTTAAGAAGCTTAGAATATTAATGATGTAATTATATTATTTACTAAAATTTAGGACATGATCTGCTCTGTTTTAACTTTGGATAGAATTAAAATTATTACTGCTTCCGTACTGAAAGATGCTCTTATTCTTATTCTTATTCATTTTATATTTTATAAAAGAGAATGGAAACGAAGGACACTGATAATATTATTATATAGGAAACTCATAAAAAAAAAAAAATAAGTAAAAAATTATAAAACTATTTCAATACAATGTATCTATCCTCGTCTCGTATGAAAGCATCCCTCTTGCTGTTTAATTATATATATATATATATATATATATAGAGTTGTATATAATAAAATAAAAATTTCTGAATAAATATGATTAAATTTATTAGCCATCTAACTTGGGTCTTCGTCTTCTTAAGTCTTAACCGAGTTGCTTGTCAATTTCCTTTAGTTAAATAAAATAAAATTGTAACAATAATTAAATAATAAAGAAACTTGTAACAACCCATGTAAATAATAAACAAACATCAATTTGGACAATAACCTCGTTCTATGAGACCAACTCAAATACATAAATAATTCGAATGCTTCGGGTTTGTTTGGTTTGAGTTTATGTAATGGTTTGATCAAGTTTGTATAATAGTTGCTTAATGAAATATTCAATAATAGTTGTTTAACCGTGATATTATATGAGATATATTAGTATATTTTTTTAATTAAAAGTTATGTGTAAAAATACTGTTATTAAGAGTTGTTGGTCCCAAAAATAAACAGCTGCAACCACGAACAATAAATAATCGCACACAGACAGAACAATTGTTAACCTAGTTCGATCATCAATGACCTACATTTGGGGGTTCTAACCTAGGCTCATCTCAACTATCAAAGAACTGGTTCGTGGTTACAGTCATGCTTTCTACAATGTTTAGCTCACAGAAATTTCAAAAATCTCAATTCTCATATTTCGTGATTACCGTCACATCGCACACATTGTCTCACTCACTAAGCCCTCATTTCTTCCATTTTCATCACACTATACTACATTCAACCAACCCACCTACATGTCATTCACGATCAGTTGTATATCACATTTTTGTTTGTTGCAACAAAATCGCGAATCTATCACAGTTTTTCACGTTTCTTTCTAGTAGCATCAATTAGATATTTCATATTGGGCCATATTTGAGTCAACAGGCCCAGGTTTAATTGGGCTTCAATACTGGATTTCGTTGGTTGATTGACCCTCTGCAGACAACCACAAACCAAAAACAAAAATCATAACTCTTTAACAAAAATTATGAAAACTCATAGCAAACACAACCTTTAGGTTTGTTTATTTGTATTTCATTTTTTATTTTTATAATAGTGTGTAAGTGAAACTTCCAATGAACCTTTTTTTGGGATAAAAAATGTATTTAAATTTTATTGTCAATCTAAAATATTGAATATACTATCAACTTATTATCTTTTATGTTTTAGAAATTAGATATATATTTTTTAAACCATAAGATTGTATAATAATTTTTATTTAAAAAAAAAAAAACAGAACAAATCATCATCTACCATTAATTTTTTATATTATTCTCTATATCACTTTTCCATTTTTTTTTAAAAAAAATATGAGATTCGGGCAAAAGTATAATTAATAAATAATTAATTGGTATTAATTAAAATAATTATTATATATAATATAAATAATTATATATTAAAATTATAATAATTAATTAATTTAATTTAAATTAATAAAATTATAAAATTTATAATGCGATTAAACTTATAATTATATCAAACAAATAAAAATAAAAAAAGTATAAACAAATTATACGAGAATGATGAAGTAATAAATAACCCGAGGAACTAGCTGATGGAGGATATTATTATAATTAAATTCCAGTGGAACCCCAAGCTTTTAACATATTTAAATACTCCATCTGTCTCATATATTTTGGGCATATTCCCGTAGATATATGAATTTAAGTAAAATATAATTAGTAGGTAATTAAAAAGTGTATTAGAAAAAGATAAATTATATGGGACGGACAAAAATATAAAATATGAATAAATTATGTGGGACGGGTAGTAATAACCTAAATCAATATCTCTCGGAAGCCTCACAGAAATCACCATTTACACAATAAATTCCAACTAATTTCCTCACGTGGTAATTAAAAAAATTGTTTAAACACTAATTATCAAATTCTAACTAAATTCCTCACGTGTTAATTGAAAAAAAAAATGTTAAAACCCTGATTATTAGAAATGCTATTAATCCATCTTATTTGACCTTGCAAACTACTTCGCAGGTTGACTTTATACACTATAAATAGCTACCTAGGACTACTCGACCTATTTATCAGAGCCTCAAATCCACATATTCATGGCTGTGCCTCAGAGTCATTACAACATTGTTGCCATTTGCCTTTCCATCTCTCTCAATGTATATTTCATATTGACTTTCTGCTTTAGTCAGCGGCTCCTCAGCTGGAGCCGAGCCGCAGCCGCCGAAGCCGAGGCTGTGGCTGCCGTTTCTTGCTCCGGACACGGCCGGGTTTTTATCGATGGATTGCTTGAAAACATAATGCCGATTTGCGAATGCAACACGTGCTACGGCGGCCGCGACTGTTCTCGATTTTTGTCGAACTGCACTGTCGATGCCGACAGGTTTTTAGCTCTCACATTTTTATATTATACTACTTCCGTTCGGCTCTAAGAGTCCTATTTATTTTTTACGTGTTGATTTTTTATATTAATTATTATATCAAAACATAATATAAATTAAGAAAAAATTACAAAAATACTCTCATTAGTATCTTATAATACTAATAGAATGATATTTGTACAAAAGAAATATATACAAATATAACAATATTTTTAATACTACCTCCGTCCCATACCAAAGTATCAATTTTTCCATTTTAGTCTGTTCATAACAAAGTATCAATTTCCTTTTTTTTTTATGTAACTGTACTATCTACCTAACATTACAAATATTCTTACAACTTACAATATATTACACAAATATTATTACCTTTATATCACACATATGGTTATTTTAGTCATTTCTACTTTATTCATACTATATTTCAATATAATACTAATATTTCTAAAACTACGTGCAAAAAATAAATGGATACTTCTTTATACGACGGAGAGAGTATTAAATATGATGCAAAAAATAAATATAAACCTTAGAGGTACACGAGGGAATATAATTTCATTGAATATAATTATATAAACATATTTACTGTTTGTTCGCTACTTAAATGACAATATGTATCGTTCATAAAAATAAATACAGTATTTGATTTGATATTGAGAAAAAGGAGACGAGGGAATTCGGTGAATAATAAAAATTTGACAAAATCTTTTAAATACTATACATATTGCATTGTTTCAAATACTTACAGAATAAATTATAAAATATTTTAAAAACAAAGTAATTCAATTCATTTTAAATTTCTTTAAAAATCCTTTTTTTTTTTAATTTTATATAAAATAATATAATATTTTCTCTGACTAAATCATCGCTGCTTAAATTCAAACACAAAGCCAAAATAAACAAAATCTATATATATCTTAAATATTACATTTAAAAGCTATTTTTTTATAAATTTTTAAAAAAATTCAAAATACATTCGACTTATTCTTTTTTATTTTTCAATTTATAAAGCGGGGATCCGATGTTCTTGGAGCCATTTTGGATGGAGAATTCGGGTAAAAGCGCGGTGGTGATTCCCGGGTGGCACCGAATGAGCTACGACTACGTGAATAATTTGTACATTTCGGCTGAATTAGAGACGCACATTCGTATGTTGCACGATGTTGCTAGAAATGCCGTCACGGAGGGAAGATATATTGTCTTTGGTGCAGGCTCGACTCAGCTACTCAACGCTGCCGTCTATGCACTCTCTATGAACATGTCGTCTCCTGCAAAGGTCGTCGCGGAATCACCATTTTATCCGGTGGGTTAGACTACTTCTGTTAATAATAATAATGATTTAATAATAATAATAATAATGTAAAATATTCTCGTTTTCTTTTTAAATAAAAAATTATTATATTTTTGTACTTTTTTTACTATAAAGGAAAAATTAATCATTATTATTTATTTTTATTAAAACTCGTACCCGGTCAAATGAGTACACATTTGCATGACGGAGGGAGTATTAAGTTTCATATAAAACATTACTTTTTACCTAAAATATTTAAACTAAACAAATAAATTGACCCTTGTAGGTTTACAAAGAACAAACAGAGTTCTTCAACTCCAAGCAATTCGAATTTGTAGATCATTCCTCCTTATTGAAGAAAAATGGAGTGAATGTCATTGAAGATACAATCGAATTTGTAACATCGCCGAATAATCCAGACGGTGTATTGAAAAAATCTACCTTGTTTGGCCCTCGAGTTAAAACTATACACGATTACGCCTATTTTTGGCCTCATTACACGCCAATTTCATCGCCGGCTGATGAAGACTTAATGATCTTCACAATGTCGAAGCTCACCGGTCATGCGGGGAGTAGATTCGGGTAATGTATTTTAATCTTTTTCGGCATTTTATTTTATTTATTCTAAACATAAGGTTATGCTTACACATATTTGGAAGTCTTGATATTATTTATTAATATTTTTTAAAAAAAAGATTATACAAATACTTATTAGTATCAAAAAATATTATAATATCAAATAATTAGGGTATGTTTCTTTTGATGTAGTTTGGAAATTTTTTTGTTAGAGTTTGGTATTAAAATAGCGTATGATGTGATATTTTGTGAAAGAAAAAAAATATATTTTTTTCAAAAAATACAGAGTTCAAATATAAAAATTTGAGTTTAGGGTTAAAGGAGCGAACCCTTGAATTTTTACTATGATAAAATAATAATAATAATAATAATAATAATAATAATAATAAAACCTCACAATTTAGAGTGAGGTTTTTTAAGTTCCGAAAAAAATTTAAATAATAAAGTTATAGTATTAGATTTGATGTTTTGGCACTATTCATCAATGTTAATTTAATATTTTTAAAAAAAAATATCATGTTAAATACTTATTACTTTTAGAAAATATCTCATAAAATACCTAATTTTTATTATTGTAAAATAATTTTAAAACTTTAAATTTAATCAAAACTTTTTATGTTTTGGAAAAAATTGAGAATAGTAAAAGATTAAAGTATTTGATACGAGGTATTGTAAGATAAAGTATTTGATGCAATATTTTCTCGAATATTAATATTGACGAATAATATCAAAAAAATTTATAGAAAACTTTCAAAGATTTTTATCTAAACAAAGACGATAGTGATTTTTACTTTGTTTTTTATTTTTCAAACACAGGTGGGCTATAGTGAAAGACAAACAAGTGTATGAAAACATGCTATTATATAAGTCGCTTGCGGATTCCGGGACATCCAAAGACACGCAACTTCGGGCGTTAAAGTTGATCAAAGTTGTTCTCGACGATGACAAGGGGCAAGGAATGTTTAACTTCGGTTACAAGGCAATGAAACGAAGATGGGAAAAGATAAACAATATCTTTTCACAATCTAAGAATTTTCGACTCCAAAAAATTCCTCGGGCCTTTTGTAATTACTCTCGAATAGTCAGAGATGCATCGCCAGGTGACACATTTCATTAATGTTGAATTATTACCCCTATTTATATTTATATTTTTAGAAGTTTAACGGTTTATCAATGGTAAATTTTTTAAAATATATCATATCGAATACTCCCCTTGTCTCGGTCAAGATGATCCATTTAGTTAAAGACATGATATTTTAGATAGTGTAGATTAGTATATTATTAATAATAAGTTATTATATTATTTTATTATTTTTTATATGAGTACCATTGTTAATATTTTAAATATTTTAGTATTATATCTTAATAAAATATATTCAAGATGAATATTTTATATAATAAAAAAAAAACTTTATTTATTTCTTTCTAACTAATTTAAAAGTGATTGTATAAAAAATAAGAAGTTTTAAATATAGATAAAAATATTTATTTATTGAGAAGAGATATACAAACAATCTGGTTTCGAATGGGTCCTACGTATAAAAAGTTAAAAATTTAATTAAATTGATTTATATTTATTAAATATGCTTTAAATGAATAAATTTACTAAAAATAAAAATAAACTATCTTTAATGAGACGGGCAAAAAAGAAAAAATGGACCACGTATTGCGGGGCGGATGGAATATATTTTTTCTTTCATGAAATATCACATCAAATATTCGACTTTTTACTAATTTTAAAATTTTCAAAACTAAAAAATTAAAAAATAAAAATATCTTACCCATTGATTATGTTTTATCTTCAGCTTTTGCGTGGTTGAAATGCGAGCGGGAAGAAGATTCAAATTGCCACCAAATACTACGTCAAAAAGCAAAAATAATTGGGCGAAAAGGCAGCTCGTTCAATGCAGAGGATCGTTATGTTCGACTCAGTCTTGTAAAGAGTGACGACGACTTCAACTTGCTTTTGGATCATTTGAAAGAGTTGATATCCGATGAAGATCGAAGATAAATACAAAGAATTAATTTAGAATTATTGATTTAGTGCTAAAATAGTATCGAATTAATTTATCTAATTTCTTATTACCTTCACAAAATATTACTTTGAATTTATGGAAACTTATACACTAGCTCGATCAACAACATTGAAATTACTAACAAAATAGAGAATAAATTTTTTTTATTGGGTTTGACACAAACTTATGTATATCTAAGTACAATGATAAGGGTATTTAACACAAAATGTTGGTATCAATTTAAATATTTTTTTGAGAGTTTTCTAAAATTTATTTTTGGAATTTTAGATTCTTGTGTAGTTTTTATCAAATTTCTACTATTCACAAAAGAATTTCTCCCGCAAAATCAAATTAAATATCTATTTTTATTTTCTGTATTATACTTAAAACAAATATTCCATTCAAAACACCAGGTGATTACTTATTTATATTTTTATATCGTATCTTACAACTATTTTAATTCAAAATTTTTGTATTCAAATTCCAACCAAAAATTCAAACTCCAATTAAACACAATATATTTTTATTATATCATAACATTATTATTATTACTATTTTTATTCAAATAACCTTATTTAATATTAATCTAAGTATAATTTTTATTTTATACTGTGCACTCGTGTTAAATATAGTTCTTTTGTATATTTAATATATAGTATTCTATATTATTATAGTTTAAGTCCATGCGGCAAAATACACGTAACTAAATTATATCATATCATATCATATACTTATATATATATATATATATATATTAGAATAATGTAGATTCACGTCTCAATTCCAAGCTTCTTAATTTTTGAGATTTTTTAAATAAAAAAAAAATGAAAAAAAAAATTTGATAAGTTATAGTTTTTATAGAAAATCACATTAATTTAGGATTTTTAGGTTTTAAAATTTTATAATTTATGAAAACTTATATTAATTTGAGATTTTAGATTTAAAAAAATAATAGCAACAATTTTTATGGTAAATTGCGTGATTTACGATTTTATTTTTGAAAAAATTTAACAATATTTTTATGGAAAAATCTTATCATATATATATATATATTATGTATATTTAACTTACCATATATCATTATATATATTTTTATATTGAGAAAAATGTGGCTTTCATTCTATAATATATATATATATCAATAGATATCAAGTTATTATTATTATTTTTATCTTCGGTTATTTTTTAAAAAATTTCTTTACATCTATATATTTTATTTATTAAATTTAAATGTATTATTTATACACACCTGTGCATAGCACGGATTTATTCGCTAGTATATGTATTATATATATATATATATAACAAGCAATAATAAGATATTATAATTAAGTAACAACATTTCCAATATATGGCAATAAAAAAATCAGCAAAATAAATGAAAAGACATGAAACATATATACATAACAAGCAATAGCATGCTAATATAAGTAAAAAATTTATTTCCTTTCTCTAATCAATAATATGGTATTATAATAATAATCATTTCCTTAATCTAATCAAAGCACAAGCCTATATAATACACACACACATGCATGTGTATTCATAATTCTAAATTAAAATAATTAAATTAATTCAAATAATTTTCAAGATGGGGAAATTCTTGACAGTGTCTCTCCTTTTGGCTTCGATATTCTTCTTCCAAATTTCAGGTATTCTATTTGTAATGAAATAGAAATTTATACTGTTTTTTATCGTGTTCAAAATGACGCGGAGTTTGCTTTATACAGTGAAACTGATATTTTTGTTGGTGATTTTCGAATCTTATCTATTGCCGGCCAGCCTGTCGTGAGTAAAATAGAAAATATAGTTTTTGAAATTAAAAATAATGTTAGAATTGTTTCAAATAATAGTAATGAAATTGAAAATCATCTAGCGGTTATAAATGATATTAGGAATAATTCTAAAGTGTTCTCTATGTTTGGTAATTTAATTGGGCAACAGAATATATATATATATATATCTCTGTTTATGTATGGATCCAATGGTCCAAGAAAATTAAAATTTTATAACAGTGTTGATTCTACAATTTTGATTTTGATTATTTTATTTTATTTTATTTGAATTGAAATTAAGTATTAATTAATTAAAATGGATTTGTGTTGTGTAACGTTGTAGTTGAAAGCAAGACATGTTTGTTGAAGTTGAAGACAGAGATCTGCGAGCAGCAATCGGACCCATTCTTCTGTCTGAATATTTGCAAAACAAAGATCAAAGAACGGGTTATTACAGGAACTTGTATTGTCGAGAGTGGGGCCTCCACTTGCATATGTGAATATGACTGTTCTGCCCCCTATTGATTATTATTATTATTATTATTATTATTATTAAATTTGTAATAATAATAATAGTATTTATGATTACGAGAATAATAAATGAGGAGGCAATATCATATTTTGAATTTGTTCATTCAGTGTTTTGTTTTCTTTTTATTTTCTATAAATATTATTAAAAAAATATAATATATATATATTAATATAACATATTTGAGCAAACTATTGTTTTTAATTTTGTATAGAATGCCTTTATCATTTTAGAATATTAAGGGGATCATTTTTTAAAATAATCTCGTAAGTAAATTTTTTTTTGTTGAAATGGTCCGCCATGCTGGTTTGATGTTGCTGACGTAGCGCTGACGCGGTTGACATGTAATCGCTCTGTAAATGCCACGTCGGAGACCATTTTAACGAAATTTTTTACGAATTATTCTTAGTAATAGTCCGTTTAAAGTCCTAAAAATGATGAAGGGGGTCATATATGGGAATAAAAAAATAACTTATAAAGACGTTTTGTAAAATAAAAAATAAAAAAATTCTACGTGTCGTTGGCGTGGCGATGACATGTCAGCCGCGTCAGCGCCACATCAACAACAGCAGGCCAGCATGGTGAGTCCGGCACAGTATCGGAGGACCATTTTAGCAAAAAATTTGTACTTATGAGACTATTTTCAAACATGATCCACTTAAAATACTAAAATGATAAAAGAGGTTAAATACAAAAAAAAAAAAAAATAGTTTACACTATTTTATTTACTCCGCCCTAAATGAAGGGTGTCTTTTGTGATTCTGCAGTAGATTTAAAAAATAATATTTTATTGGTAATAGAAGTGTGCAAGGGGTTTTGATATTTTTTTTAAATTAATTTTTATGTATAAAATAATTGCATGTGTAATAGTACGAGTATGTTTCTTTTGATGAGTTTGAAAAAATTTTGGTTTGAATTTTGTCTTAAAATAATATATAATGTGATATTTTGTGAGAGAAAAAATGTATAGTTTTTTTTTAGAAATGCAGAGTCAAAATAGAAGAGACCTGATTTTTTTTAGTAAAAGAAACAAACCTTTGTAATTTAGGTCAAAATTAAATGATATTTTAGTATTAGTGTATTATTACTTTTTCTAAAATAAAAAATGAATACTTTTAAGTTAAACGAACGAAAATGGTAAAAAAAATATTTTAAATTAAGACGGACAAATACAATTTTTTATATCTAATATAAAAAAATATAAAGGGATTTTGTAGTATATTAAAAAATAATAATATTTTATTTGTTAGTTGAAATACGTAGAAGATTTTGATATTTTTGTTCTTTTAACTTTATGTAAAAAGTAAATCCATGCGTAATTGTATATTTATAATTTAAAAAAAAAATTAAAAATATTTTGGTATTAAAAATGGTAAAAAGGTTTTTTTTTATGAAGTGGGAACACAAGGCAAGTTACATTAGGTGCAGGTGACACGAGAGTTGTGGGTTTGAACCTATGACTTCACAGGTGAGTCCAACCACCAAACCATTCTTTACGGGACAAAAAATAAAAATAAAAATAAAAATAAAAAATTCTTAATCATATTTTAGTATGATTCGTTTGAACCATGTTTTGGATGGATGGAGGATTAAGAGAACACAGTAAAAAATTCTTTTCAATTTTGGATTCCTTTCATTTTTTTAATTATATTTTAAAATTCAAATTTTATAATTTTTAAAATTTTAATTAAATTATTTAATTATTTTAATTTATAATTATTTTTATTAATATATTTTTTAATTACGTAATAATTATATTTTATTTAAATTCTTGTATATATACTGACTTGAACAATTTACATGGGACAGAGAGAGTGTATCATAATCAACTTACAATAATTACTTAATAACAAAACCAAATATCTAAGGCCATGGATTATATGCTAAAATAAAAATTCAGCATAGCTTTTGATTGCATTAGAAAAATTTTATATTAATTTATACTTTCTTTGTCTAGTATACGATGATTTATTTGGTTATATTTAAAATAATATAATATAATAAATTAATAATAGTAGTATGATATTAATTTTTATATAAGTGTATTGTTAGTATTTTTAAATAAAAATTAAGATATATGGTTATAAGAAATTCAAATAGGTGTTTAAATATTTTAAACACTATATCTCAATAAAAATATGTATAATATTGATATAATTTTATAAAGAATAAAATTTTGTATAATAAAAAATAGATTTATCTATCTATAATCAACGTAAGCTAAAGGAATTTTAAATATACATAAAAATATTTTTTATCGAAGAAATATAGTTTTAAAAAAATTTTGAATGAGTCAATGTGTAAAAGAATTGAAATTTAATTTAATTAATTTATATTTATTAAATATATTAAAAAAAACGTCATCTTTTTATGAGACAAAAAAAATAAATCATGTGTTGGAATTGATGAAGTATAATTTAATTGTATTATTAATATAATTAAAATAATTAAGGTGTGTTTGTTTTGTATTTTGGTTTGAAATAGTATTTTTTATGTGAAGTACATAAAATTGTGTAAATAATAGTATTAAAATAATAAATTTATGGAGTATATTAATTTTTTTTTGGAAGAAATGTGTTAAAAAATTTTGAGTAAAAATAACAAATCTTTGATTTTTTTTTACTATTCTGCACATCACCTGATCTCAATCGAATTTTTAAATACAATCCTAATTTGCAACCAAACACAATTAAATAAAAAAATGTGTGTATAGTAAGAAATAAATATAATAATATAATTAATCAGTATTTTCCATATTATATAGTAATAATTAATAACCATTTCTTAAATATGGCAAGTAGAATCAGAAAATTAAACAAAATATACATATATATAGCAAGCAATAATGATAATGTAATTAAATAATTATTTCATTTCTCTAAATATGGTATTATGGTAAATAATACTCCCTCCGTCCCACGTACTGTGCCTGCTACACTGTAAACAAGGTATTTTAGGAGGAGTGTAATTAGTAGATAATTAAGAATGTATTAGTGAAAATAATTATCCGATAATATAAATAATTATAAATTAAGATTAAGATAACTAATTAGTTTAATTAAAATTTAAAAAAAATAAAATTAAAAAGTTTAAAATGAGATTAAAATGTGTAATCATTTTTCAAAAAAAGAAAGTGACATGGTACGTGGAACGGACAGAAACGGCAACGTGGACATGGTATGTGAGATGGAGGAAATAATAGTTTCCTTTATCTAATCAAATGTAAGCCTATAATTATCATATATATATATATATATATATGCCCACATGTAGGTATTCATCTAAATTAAATTAAGTTAAATTAATTATTTGAATATTTTTCAAGATGGGAAAATTCTTGGTGGTGTCTCTACTTTTGGCTTCAATATTCTTCTTCCAAATTTCAGGTATTATTCACTCTACAATTTTGATTTCTCATTATTATTATTATTATTATTATTATTGTTCGAGTTGAAATTATTTTATTTTTATATATTTATGTGACGGTGTAGTCGAAAGCAAGATATGCTCGTTGAAGTTGGCGACAGAGAATTGCGATAAAAAATCAGACCCACGCTACTGTTTGGGTATCTGCATAGTAAAGACCGATCGTCGGATTACTAGAGGAACTTGCGTCGTCGATGAAGGAGTCACATATTGCATCTGCGATTACGTTTGTCGCCGGCTTGATTGATTTTAATTAATTATTTGTAATAATAATATGGGAATAACAATCATCAAGTATGGGAGGAATGTGACATCTTGTATGATCTTTCAAAATTAAATTAATAATAAGAATAATAATCTTCATTAATACCATAATTTCCATTTTTTTTTTTTTTTTTTTGCAATGTTGGATTTGAATTTTATTTAATGCCAGAAACAGAGAAAATTCATAAAATTAGTTTGAGTTTTATTAAATATAAAATTGTGAATGAAAATTGATATTATGTATAATATGTTTATATTTAAAAAAAAAAAGATGATTAACAAGTCGGAAAAAAAAAAAAAAAGTTCAAAAGCACGTTGGATGAATTTTTCGTGCTAACTTTTTAAAATCAGCACATATAAAATATATAGATAAATGTATTTATTTTATACAATACATATTTAGTAAAATAGAAATAAGTTCTATTTGTTCATATTTAAACATATGTTATATAAAAATATATCATTGAAATCAATTATTGTATTATTGATGCAATTTTTCAACAATAAAAAGTAAAATTCGAAAATAGAAAATTATCTTCGAATTTGATATAATTAGTGTCTGAGATTAGAAATCTCTAAACACCGTAGGATACATAAATAAAATAGGAAAATAAAACTACAGACTGAAAAATAAAGTGGTGATCCCATTCTTTTGAATTTGATGTCGATTAAAGATGATTTTTCAGAACATACCCGAATCCTTAAATATTTCCTAAGGAAACGTTATGAACCGTCGCCTGGTCGGTTACAACAACCACTATCACTAGCCCATCAATTTATCCTCCATTGACACGTGTCTTTAACCGTCTCGCCAACAACATAACCCAACCGACCAATCCAGAGACTAACTAATCGCTAGACCAAACGACTCCTTGGCCGCCCCACCAAGCGGCCACCATCTGGTCTCTTGTCCGACCTCGTATCGTCCGTCTTATTCTTCTTCGCCCGACCTCACTTGGTCCGACCTCCGTATCAGCCGACCCTACTTAGTCCGAACTCCATATCAGCCGACCGGATTAACCGACCGTCCGACCTCATTTGGTCCGACCACGGGCCAACCGACCTCGGACCAACCGACGGCGAACCAACCGAACGCGGACCAACAGACCGGCTCTATTTGCCTTATCTCCTTAGATGAACGGCTGGCCCAACCGACTTTCTTTTGACCCTACTATTATCATTATTATTATTTATTATTATTATTTTTTGTGCGTAACATGTATGTATTATATAAAATTAAATCATATGTTGTTAATTAATGTACTGTATCATATTAATATAAATTATATATTGACAGTAATAATATTGTATATCATATTTTTATTGAAAATCATAGTATTGTTTAGTAAAATAATAATAAATCATATAATAAAATAAAATTTCTTTTTATAACTTTTTTTAATGACGTGGAACTTGTGTGGCTATAGTTCGCCGTCTCGGCCAAATCCAATCCGACATGGCAAGTCGGAACCGGAATGACGTGGACCGTTTCAATCCCGTTAACGAAAAATGGATATTTAGGTATATACTTGCTTTTTAGAAAAATAGAAGAAGAAAAAAATTAAGTGGATTGAGGAAGAAAAAAAAAGATGTACAAGGGTTTTGTGCGTCGTGAAGGAAAAAGAAGGGCTTTTGTTTTAAAATTTATGAATAATTATAAATTTATTTATATAAAATAAAATTTAAATAACTTTAAAATCAATTATTATTTGAATTATATTATCTCCATCTCACTTAATTTATCTATTCTTTTTATTCATGTCTCTTCCATATAATTTATCTGTCATTTTTTTATTTGAAAACATTTTAAATATTATAATTTATAAATTTTTTATTTTAATTAAACTATTTAGTCATCTTAATTTATAATTATTTTTATTAAATTATAATTATTTTCACTAATAGATCTCTTATTTACTTACTAATTACGCAATACAATAAGCAAAACTTTGTGCCTAAACTAAATAAGACAAATTAGCTGGGAAAGAGGGAGCAGTATATTTTATAGAATTATTGTTTAAAATTATTTATTTATTATTTATATAAATTTTATATTCTCTTCGTCTAGCTACAAAGTATACACATTTCTATTTTGGGACGTCCAAAACCAAAAATTTCATTAAATATCTCACTTTTTCCACAAATACCTTTATTTTACATCACATCATTATTTTTATACTATTTTTAACTATCCACTATAATTAAAATAGTACTCCCCCCGTCCCACATAATTTATCTCTATTTTCTATTTTCGTACGTCACACATAATTTGTCATTTCCTTTATTTGGAAAATTAATTATACACTTTAATGATATTTTAAAATTTAAAATTTAATTTTTTTTAATCTTAATTAAACTATTTAGTTATATCTATAATTATTTTTACTAAATAATAATTATTTTTACTAATAAATTTCTTAATTACTTACTAATTATACTTTACATAAATTTCTGTGTCTACATAATACACTCATATTACATGGGACGAAAGAAGTATTATTTATTAAATACCGTGCCAAAAATAAATGTTTACTTTGTCCGTGACGAACTAAGTACTAATTATAAACTTATTAATATACTCCCTCCTAACCATTAATGCACTGTTTATCTAAACTCATTAAACCAAATTTGAGTCATTAATTGTCACTTAATTATTAAGTAATCCAATATAAGCTACACAATAATCTGACGGCTGGGATCCTCCACGTTCATATATCCGACGGACCACCATTCGCCGTGACGAAGAAAGCGTTCTGTACAGTGGTCCACGCGCTACGCCAGTGTTAACGTCCAGAATGCCACGTGTCAAATTATCATTTGTCTGTATTGTTGAATTGCGCGTTTTGTAAGGGGGAGTTAGTGTTGCCCCTCCAGAATTACAACTTGCTTTTAGACTCTAGATACGCTGACCAGACCAGCGACCATTTTATTTTTTATGAGAATTATTTTATTTCACTTAAAAATAAAAAATAAATAGAATATGTCATAATTCGTTGGCAGAGCAAAAGCAGATTCGTTGGGTTCATTTCCTTTTCTATTTATATATACGTAGTGAGTTGTTCTTCTCGGTAACCGCTCCATTGAAGCGCCTCTGCTCGAAATTCTACAGTTGTTTAAAAGCTCCGCGATTCTTTCTGTTGTTCGTTGCTGTTTTCTGTAGGTAAGTTCGTTTTTGTTTTCGCGTTTTGTTGGAATTAGTCATGGTTTCAGTTATCGCGTTTGTATATGTGAGTTGTTGTTTTCTCCGAAGGATTTGGATTGGTGAGATATTCGAGCTTCTTGTTGGTTGTTTGTTTGGATTTCTCTGACTGGTGTATGTTGTTTGTTTGGATTTGAAGAAACGCTTTGTGGTTTTTCGATGGCGGTGAAGACCGGTGGATTTGCTGGAAATGCTTTTCCCGAGGAATTGCAGCAATTGTTGTTGTCGCTTGCCTCGAATTGGGGAGATGTGATTGATTTAAGCGCTCTGGATGTTGATCATCTGAGCGGTGCTATGACGAATGAAGTGTATAGGATTAGTTGGTCTAAAGAGGCCGAAAATGATCAACGGATTGTTTTGGTTCGTATGTATGGCGATGGTGTGGACTTGTTTTTCAACAGAGATGAGGAGATTCGGACTTTCGATTGTCTATCGGAGCTCGGTTATGGTCCCAAGCTCCTCGGGCAGTTCCCTCAGGGAAGAGTCGAGGAGTTTATACATGCTAGGGTAAGAAAATTCATACATAGTTTTTAGTTTCTCGCAATTCTGCTTTTCAATCAGATTCGTCTACAGTCGAGATGAACTTGAACTGCGGCTAAAAGGTCAAGTACGAACTATTTTAAGTTACTTGATTTCACCTTTTTTTTACCTTGCAGACTCTATCAGCTGGTGATCTTCGTAATCCCGAAATATCAGCGCTCATAGCAGCAAAAATGAGGGAATTTCACAATCTCAATGTGGATAGCTCGAAGAATGTTGTATTGTGGAACAGATTGAGGTCATTTATCTGTTGTTTGCTGCAATGTGCGCAACAGTTTGAATTTGATTCTGATTATTTTTATATTTACTTTTCTCTGTATGCCTTTCAGAAATTGGCTTGGGGTGGCTAAAAGGCTGTGTTCTTCAGATGAAGCTAAGGAATATAAGCTGGAAAGCTTAGAAAACGAAATCAGCTTGTTGGAGAATACGGTATCAGGGAATCACCAAGAGATAGGCTTCTGCCACAACGATCTGCAATATGGTAACATAATGATCGATGACAAGAATTCATCCATCACTATAATAGTATGTTAGAGATTTCTACCTTTGCAAGAGCTTCCATAAACGAATATTTTCAATACATTACAAAAGGCACCGAATCCTCGTGGTATTTGCTTAAATTAATTGCTGCTTTGCCTTTTCGTCTAATATAGGATTATGAATACTCAAGTTACAACCCTGTTGTTTACGATATTGCAAATCATTTTTGTGAGATGGCTGCAAATTATCACACGGATACTCCCCACGTCTTGGATTACTCTAACTATCCCGGTTAGTAATGCCTTTTTTTGTCTCAATATATAACGTTTTCGTCTATAGCATAAATAATAAAATGAAGTCTCATATCATTTCTGTTTCGATTTCGCAACAGGTGAAGAGGAGCGCCACAGGTTTATACGGCACTACCTTAACTCTGCAGGTTAGTCTTTTTACAAATAAAATGCTTGAATTCAACTTATAACCTTCATTGTTGCACATTAGAATTAGCTTCCATGAAGGGTTTTTTTTTTTTGTCTTGCTTGTGTAAACATATAGCTGCAGTATTATATCAACATCAATAATATATGTCATACAGTGACATATATGTATATTTATATATCTAGAGAGAGGGAGAGTATTGAATAGAAGACAAATTCAAACTTTATAACATCAGCTTGTTCTTCTATCCACCATTTGATATACTTCTCCTTCCCTTGTGACAAGCAATGCTATCCCTTAGGTCAAACCTGTGACTTCATATAACACCAAACTTCCACACAACTGAAAGTCTTTTTGGACTTTTTCAATACGACTTTTTCAGTTGCTCCAAGTTTTTGGTGTGTAGGGACAACACTTAAGCTTATCCTATCTTTGACTTCTTGCCTCTTTTCCACAGTACAAAATAGTCATGGATACGCTTCTTTGTCATAAAACAAAATTAGCAAAGAAATCATACTTTCTCCGGCACTAACAGTCACATTTATCTTTTACGTTATTGTACTTAATATTAAAAATATTCTTATATTTGTAAAAAAAATTTGTACAAATGTCATTTTATGAGTATTATAAGATACTAACTGAAATATTTTTATTTTTTTTATATATAATAATTAATTTTAAACAAAAAGTAAATGGAAACTTTAGAGTGGGAAAGAGGTAGTATTATTTTCTTAATATTTTTTCTATATTTTTTTTGTACCAAAAGACAAAAAGTACATATGACATTAAAATTCGGTGTCGAAAGCAAATTAAATGAGCCTAACTTTTTTTTAGGACCGATGGAACATTGGCCTAATAATCTTCTTTTCCTTTGTGTGGACATTAGCAGGTGAGGAACCGAGTGATGCCGCAGTTGAGAAGCTAGCAGAAGATGTCGAAAAGTATACTCTGGCAAACCACATTTTCTGGGGACTATGGGGGATAATCTCGGTAGCCTACGCAAATTCGATTTCCTAATTCACAAGCATGGCATTTGTTTTCATTCATGCATCACGATCCCCTTATACATATATGCCGTAACTGTCAGGCACACGTGAACCACATTGACTTTGATTACAAGTCGTACGCTCGTCAGAGGTTGGAGCAATACTGGTTGAGAAAGTCGGAATTGTTGCCGTTGTCGAACAGCAAACTAAAGAGCGTGTCCTAAGCCATTTGTGGCAAAACAATATACACATTATAAGAGGTACGGTTGCTACAAACTCATTACACTCTCAAATGCATGCATTTCAGTAGTTGAGTATGCATTTGGTATGTGTGATGATACTCTGCATACATACTCTTGATATGTATGTATGCATAAGATGTCTCCAATTGAATAAAATACTTTACTATTATAAATATATATATATATTTATATATAGTGAGATTCGTTCCGTCATAATTTAGATTTTGATGTGGGAAAAAGTAGTGGTTGAAATTCAAAGAATTGATTATAAGAAGGATGGATTTGTGCTTTCCGGATATTTTGACTAATGATATGCATAATAAATAATACTAAAGTGGTTTTTAACTTTTTATTTTATCAAAATTTAAACAGGATTTGTCGCTATCCGGGTTTTGGCCCTCGGTTGGCCTTGTTCTATTCTCTCTCCCTCTCCCTCTCCCTCTCTATGTATGTAAAAATGTATAAATATAATCTCGTAAGGGATGGTTGGTGTGAAAAGTGAACTTGTGATCGTGAGGTCATGGGGTTTAAATGCTAAACCCCAACCCCAACGCCTTCAGGTTTACCTGCCACACGTGGTTCGCCTAGTGTGACTTTTCTTGTCGGACCTACTTTACAAGGTATTAGATTCGGCCGGAAGTTTACCTAGTGAATATTTTTTTATAGCAATTACGGATTCCCACGTCTTAGAGATGTGTGTGTAATTGTTTATAAGAAAACTGTGTACTATACATATTTTGTTGCATCTTTTATCAAGAGAGGACTGGCCTGCATAATAATATTGTTTCCAATAAAATTAGAAATGATTGTAATGTTACTATAGGGATAGTAAATAGCAATATTAATCACTGTTTTATATTTATGTATTAATGTAATACTATTATATATAAGTGTATGCATGAATTTGAGTACCGTGTGGGGTGTATGTAATCATTGTGCTAGTATGTATTGTATGATATGAAAGTGTGCTATGGATCTGTTGTTTTAGATTACTTTTCTCAAATTTTTTATTATTTCAGCTCAGCCAATAAAATATTTCTCACAAAATATTCCATCAAATATTATTTTAATATCAAATTCAAACTAAACTTTTTCAATTTCACAAAATATCTCATCAAATATAATTTTAATTTTAAAAAATATTAATATATTACACATTTTTATATTCTTTATCCAATTTTATATACTTTACATAAAAAAAATATATATATATTTCTTCAAATTATTTTCACAAAACAAACACACCATTTTGTATTTGAACAACAAAAAAAATTACAAAATATATACCATAAAGGAAGTATATCTTTTGTAATATTAATTGGGAAATATCTAAAAATATAGTCGAGGAACGCACCCATTATATCTGTGTATATATATATATATATGTATACACACGACGGGGAGATGAATTGCTAAAGTCGGGATAATAAAGCACGAAGGTTGGCTGCAATGGAATGGATATACGATGCATGAGATCCATTCGTACCTGCCAACGCCAAATGCTTAGGCGCCTCCGCTCGATCAAAATAAAACCCGCCGGAGATGAGCTTCTCCTTCGGCTGCAAAGCCAGCCATATCACTGTATCGGCTCCTTCCTCCTTCGACCGGAGCTTTCCTTCCAACCTGTGCCACCAATCCATGTACTTTCAACATTAATTTCTTGGACATTATATTGGCAATTCGATTTCATGTATGGATCGATCCGCAATGGCATTTGCCTTTCTGTAATCGAATTTGGTTTCGACAGAATTCTTACGATTTTGAAAAACCGGGCAAACTCTTGGCCACTCCCGGCGTCTCCGCCCAGCCAGGGTGCATTGAGTAGAACCCGACGCCTTTATCCTTGTACATCTCCGCCCATTTTTCCGTCAACGCCACCTGTCACAAATGTTCTATTTACATAGGCACTATGGAGTTTTTATCACTATCATATGTCTATTTTTTTTGCATGTGACTGGATTAAGGTTAATGATCGAATAAAAAATACAAAACGTAAAGAAAACACAAATTTAAATGGATGACAATATTTGGGCTACGTCCACGGGCACACAGAAACGAAGAGCAAATTTTTTTTAAGACGGCTATATTACCGATTACAGATTTCATATCTCTAAGTCTACTCAAATAAACTAAGAGAATACATCGGACGGACTTAACCCAATACCAACTCCAAAGCCTAATACTGCATACCGTCGGGTTTAGGGTCTATAATCCGTGAAAACTCAGCAAGTGGCAAATTAGATTAAGGTATATCAACAACGCAAATACTCAATTTTTTTATTATTTCCAAATTTTTTCAAAATTATAAATTTTTGAAACTTCAATCTACACGGAGCCAAAGTTTCAGCTTATAAACACATTGTGGAGCAATCGATGTCATATCTTTTCCATACAAAGCTTCCTATGAAAGCACAAAAACGGATGACCAAATTGATGTACAAACCCGTAGCATGCTAACATCATCATACATATACCAACCTATCGAAAGGAAAAAGGCTACCCACAGGTTGCAAAGGAATCGGCATTCTGGTGACACAATGAGGTTCATTCATTCATTCGCTCAGAAAGGCCAAATTTGCCGGATCGATCACAATAGTTCAGTCAAGTTTATTATATATAAGATAATTTGGTAGAAAAGTTTATCGCTTGCATAGCTAGTCTCATCCATCCATCTATATTCGAGCTGAATAAAACTGAGGTTCAAGTATTTGTACAATAAGCGATGTGCATACCTGTACCCTTTTGTTCCTGGCGTACTGCTCTACTCCATTGAATTTGTTGCCACTGAACTGCAAAGATATTAACGCCATAAACAAGACATGACGAGACGAGGCGAGGCGAGGAAAATAAAATTCAACAAATGTGTGTACCTCAAGATCTTCCGTCAAAGGAGCTGTATACATTCCACCGGATGAAACTGTAATGACACGAGCATCGGGCGCTGCCTTCTCCAGCAATGGCAACATGAGCTCTGTCATGGCGTACGTTCCCAGCACATTTACAGCAAAATTCATCTCATATCTGGCGTGCAAGACAGATATAAAACTCTGATACTTCGAACCATTTTTAAAACCAAAAATGGAAGATTATTGTGCAAAACAAATGATCCATACCCTTCCGAGGTAGTCTGTCGATCGTTTTCGAGTAAACCAGCATTGTTTACCTAAATGCACCGCACCGTGGTTGGATTAAGGATTACGACATTATGTACAGACATCCAAACTACTATCTTTTTCTTTTTTATTTTAACATCATACTGTAAATCTAAAAAGGAAAAGAAAAATGTATGTAAACACAAAAATGAACTTACAAGGATGTGAACAGGCAAACCCTTCGAAGAAAATCGAGAAGCAAAAGACTTGACATCACTTGTCAAAGAGATATCGCATATCTGCCAGCAGTATTCAAATACAAAATCATTGAATCGAAATCATGCATTATGTGAAGTAATTGATGCATTCTTAAGAGAGCGAAGAACCGAGCCATTGAACCTCTAAGTGAACATTTTCGTTTCCTGTAGCTGCCCGAATCTGCGAAAGGGCTGTTTCGCCCTTCTCCTTATTCCGACACACCATAAATACCGTAGCGCCACTGAAAAAGATTCAGATCAGTACATTACGATCCTTAACATGAGCTCATCAATGAAATGAATGAAAAAAGAAATGCACACACACCGGGATGCAAGTCCCTCGGCTGTCGCAAAACCTATGCCGGAGTTTGCCCCAGTGACAATGCAATTCTTCCCTTCAATCTGCGCCTGCATATCTTCTGCCTTGAAATTTTTTGAATGCTCCCTAACATTGAAAAGTAAAATCCAAACAAAATAACCGACCACAGCGACGAATCAATTCTAAATCTCTCTCAAAACTTATACTCCCTCACGGGAAGGGTTACAGTCCGGGCTGATTTTTCAAAATAGCACATGTCTATATTACTCACGGCTTCATAATTACAGCGTATAAAGTATAAAAGTATGTCATGCGCTAATATGTTTTGTCTGAGTTTATATTCTTAGTTCATGTGTTGTATTTGTATTATATTAATATAAATGTCGTGTGCTTTTTGTGAGTCTATTGGGCGTTGTTCAACACAGTGTTGTAAATAGTCGTGCAACTATAAAACTACTAACATCTTTCATTGGGTGTGTTTACTTATGAGGTTTTAGTTTTGAGTTTCGATTTTGAATAGTAAAATTTTGAATTGAAATAGTTATTTGATGTGATATAAATATGTGTTGATGTGATGTTTTGAATGTAAAATTAAATTTTAGTGTAATAAAATAAATAAAAATTGAGTGTTTAATTTGATGTTTTCGGAGGAAAAAAAAATTGAAATAGTAAAATCAAGTGTAAAACTTGACAAATAAACGCACCCATTATTATTACACAAATGACACTATTTTTATAACTAAATTGAAACACACATTTACAGCTACAAAAAGAACATTTAACTATTATTTTGTTTACACTATCAATAAAATATCAATATTCTTAAAAGTATGTATCAATTGATATGGACAGGGTAGTATTAGATTGTTGGAAACATTTTGAGAATGCGATCTAGATCGAAATCCACTAATATTCTACCACTGCTGTAGTTCAGTTTATGGATTAAAATCAACTACAATACAAAATTTAATAGAGTCCCATACAAACATGTAAGTCTAGATCTCATGTGAATTTAAGAAATTACTTTGCAAAATTCATCATATCCTAACACATATTCAACCAACAAATTCTTCCGCACCAGAATGATGATCTTAATTCACCACATATGGTGCACAAACACAAACACACATACTAAACGCATTTATGTTGATAAAAATCAAGTATCAAAAAGCAGCTATTCGAAACTCAACCAAAGAAAAACGCAGCAAAAACAACGATAAAAAAACAACAAATAGTTGACAGTTTTAGTAAAAGGCAACAAACGATTAATGAAAGGCAACAAACGATTAATGAATGGAAAGACTTACAGAAAACCAGACTTGGTGAAATTTTTGAAGCCATATATCCCGAATGCAACCGATCTCCATGTCTGCAAGCAAACCACAGTAGAGCAGAAGCAGATTAAACAAAAGCCGCTTAAAACAAAAATAGAATACCGAAAATTAAACGAATCCAATTCAGTGCCTTGAGAATAAACATGGCGTTTCGAATTCGAGCGAGGGGATCGCTTTTTTCCTTATTCGAAATCTAGTTGGAAGAGGGAATGTGAAGTTCATTTTAGTATCCGAATCGGCAAACAAATGCCGGCTTTGGTAGCATCGCGTCCGCTCGTCGGACCTATAAAAATTAACGGCCCTAATGCAGCCACGTGGCAATATCCATCCCAAGCACTGCAGTTGTTTCCATTAGGGTGTCTTTCTTGAGAATTAAATTTTGAGCGGTCATTTGAATAGTAGAATATTTTAATTTAAATAATTGTAAGATGCGATATAAATAGATGATGATCTGATATTTTGAATGTAAAATTAATTTTTAGTATAATATAAAAAATAAAAAATAAATGTTTGATTTAATATTCTTTTATGAAATGAACAGTGTATTTAAAACTCAATCTTCAAACATGTGTATAAAGTAAAAATAAAGGTAAAAAGACTAAATTAACCATTGTATAATACAAAGATAATGACATTTGTGTAATATATTGTAAATTGGAAGGGTATTTATAATGTTAGGTAGACAGTAAAAACGGAAATGAATATTTTGCTATGACACACACCAAAATGTAAAAATAGATATAATTGTGTTAGATTTTATGACTTTGGGATACGCAACCGCTTTTGAAAGTAAACATAGGTAAAAATCTGATCGAATTTAATATCCTGCAAAATAGGTCCGACAGATAAATCACACTAAACTGAGAGATGACCTGAAATGTCACGAGAATCCATGACTTCTCGCCCGCAATTCCAACCTTCCTATATTAATTTTTTTGTGTTATTTTTAGTGTGTAGAAATTTGAGTTTTTGTTGATATGATTATATTATTTTAATATTTAAAAATTTTAGATTTTACTTTTATTGAATTTGTATTTGTTGAGCATAATCCATCGTTGAAAGCTAACACAACTAATAGCATTTCTTAGATATTGTGAATTTATTACTTATTTACAGAAGTTTAGCTAAATATAATTATTAAATAATTAAAAAATATATTAGTAAAAATAATTATAATAAAAAAAATACAATTAAAATTAAAAATAATTAAAAAATGCAATTAAAAGTTTAAAATTATAAATTATAAAATTTAAAATATGATTAAAATATATAATTATATTTTTTAAAAAATAAATAAATTATGTAAAACTGAAAAAAAATAAAAAAATAAATAAAAGAGAAATTATGCAAGACGAAAAAATAAAATTAAAATAATACATTAATTTAATTGATCACAAATGAAAATTAGCACTTGAATATCAAAATTAGTTTGGTAATGTTTGTTCGGGTGTAGGGTTGGCTTTCCAATTTCTAATTTTTTTAAAAGAAAAGGAAAAGAAAATTAAAATTTTGAATTAAATATTTATTTTTATATTATATTCAAAATTAATGTTTAATTTAATATTATATTAAATACTCCATCCGTCCCATCTAATTTGTCTTTAATTTCTATTTTTTTCTGTCCATATAATTTGTCTTTTTTTTCTGAAAAATAATTATACATTTTAATTATATTTTAAATTTTATAAATTTTTAAATTTAAGCTATTTAATTATTTTAATCTTAATTTATTATTGATTTAACTAAATAATAATTATTTTTAGTAATACACTTTTTAATTACTTACTAATTATATTTTATCTAAAATCTTGTATCTACGTTAATAGGCCCAAAATATGTGGGAAGGAGGGAGTATTTATTTAAATTTGAGACTTTTTTGGTAATGTGAAATATTTTAGACTAAACTTTTCCAAAATAAATATAAATTTAAATTTAAAATTTTTTTAAAGTAAAAATATTTAATATGAAAATAAGATTAAAAATAAAAATATTTTTTTCACTTAATTTGTCCATTCTTTTTATTTTCATGTGTCAACATAATTTGTCATTTCTTTTTTTAAAATATAATTATACATTTTAATCACATTTTAAAATTCATAATTTATATATATATTTTATTTTAAATAAACTATTCCATTATCTTAATCTTAATTAATAATTATTTTTATTAAATGATAATTATTTTTACTAATATATTTTTCAATTACTTATTAATTATTTAATATCTGAAGCTCAGCTTTTACCTTAGTGACAATTTAAGTGAGATGGAGTGAAAAAATTTTAAACTACATTGTTGAAAAATGAAAAGGATACATATTTTGTTGAGTCAATTAAATATATTTGTTTAATTATATCTAAGTTTGAATGATTAATTTGTTTTCTTATTTTAAATAAATAAAATACTCAATTTGTGTCATCTACCATATTCACATTGTCGTTTTTATCAGTCTTACTTACTTTTCTTTTTTTTTAAATAATTATACACTTTAATCTCATTTTAAATTTTTAAATTTTAATTAAACTAATTAATTATCTTAATTTTATCTATTAATTATATTTATTTTAAACTTTTGTATCTAGATACCTACAAGGGACTATATTATTAGCCTATAAAGTATTTTTTATTATAAAATATTAAATTCAAATTTTAATAAATACACTTTAAATTCAAACTAAAACTAAATATACTATTAGCTATCCAATAATAGAAAAAAATTGAAATTGAACCACGATCTAATACCAGGTAAAAAATAAAAGGCTTTGCCGTTAGATTATAATATTTTTTACATAAATTTATTTATTAATATATTTAAAAAATTTTACTCTCTGTTCCATGTCTATTTATTCCTTTATTTTTTGCACGAGTTTTGCAAATATTATTTTGGAATGAAATAGAAATAAAAAAAAAACTAAACTATTATCTATAGTGTTGTAAACTACGAAGGTATTTATAGTGATAGTTTAGTACAGTTATTAAAAAAGAAATTGATATTTTTTATAAAACGAGCTGAAATGAACAGAGTGTCGAGAGAAAAATAGAGTATTTAATTTAAAATTTGGGTCGAAATTGGCACCGTTCGATTAATTTTTAAACCTGTTCTTTTTAAATCCAAATACAACTTTTTCGTAAAATTTGAACTAACCAGATTTTTCTTTCATAATATACACAAGAACCAAATTCGTAAACATTCTAATCACAAGATACAAATAATCACAATAGAAGAGACACAACACACATATATATATATATAGTTCCTCTGAAGGTGAGCACGAACACGAACAAAACACATAAATATACACACGCCATATATACCACCATTGACAATAGCTAGCAGACAATGCAAAGAATAAAAAGAAAGAATGCGTAACAACTTACATCAATGTTCATCCACGCATAGTAATAGTCATAGATCTTCATTCTCCTAAGCTAATGTCCCTCACCCCCTAATATGTCGAATCCTGCGAAAATCGTCCGCAGACCTTAATGGCAAAATATCGAACAACCATATCGCCTAAACAGCTAATACCAAACATATGATGAATGTTTACCTTATAATATCTTACCGAAAGTTTAAACTACCTTACAAATGTGTGATCTTAATATATGTACTGCTAATGAACTCGCTGCTCACCTGATCGGGAGGTCTAAACCGGCTGCCTGTTCGAATTTCAGAGATGATGTCCTGTTCGTCGATCTCTGCATCAGTGAATGTGAGAGCTCGCTGCAGCTTTCGAGGTGAAAATACTTCGACTTCCACTGTGTAAGAGGCTGTCACAGGGCGATGGTCGGATAGTTTGAGTTCGGATCTCCTGTAGCTCAGAAGCTTCATTCCTGCTCCGAATGAAAGTACACGATCGCACCTGGACACAATAATGCAAAGATGTTAACATACACAGATGATCACACACACACATCTGAAAATTCAACAAATAAATGCTTCTACATTATGAAATGATAGGATCATAGAGATAATAGCTTAAATACAGTCAAGTGCATATGAATCAGGTAAGTTGGAAAAAAAATTAAAACTCAATTAAATAAAAGTATTCGGACAAACAAAACACAAACCATGCAGGGGTTCGCCTCCCGGCCTTGGGATCCTTTCCATAGTAAGATTCAGAGTTGAGTTCATATTTGTAAGTCGGGGCAAAGCTCAAAGTGCCTTCAGACCATCCATCAAATGCGCGGCCTTTTCTTAGCTCCTTTACCAGCTGCAATACATTACAATGGCAGTAAGTTTCATATTTAAATTCTCACTATTTGTATCAGTCGAATACATTTAGTTAAAATAAGTTAGAAAAATTGCAGAGCATGCAGAGGACAGGCTGGCAACAAATAGAATTAAACAATAGGACTTGTATTTGCGGCTTTCGATCACATCAAGAAAAAGATTACGACTATACTGAGAATTCAGAATCACCTGATCCCACTCGGATAGCATGGACCAGTTCTTTTTGGATATCAGTTCTCGGGTTCGATCATACGATAAATTGATTCGATAATTTAGGTCTCCCAGCCAAATTATTCTCCTGTGCCACGACATAATACATACTTGTTATGATATTTACCAAGTTCACATGAATATGACTTGGCTGAACAAATAACTAGGACGAATATAACATAGTCAAAGATCATCGAAACTCATGAAGAGTACCACAAACTTATGAACAACTACTTTAAATCTAGTTTTGAAGCAAAATAGCATATATTTAGTTACACAAGAAAGTATTAGAACGCATGAACTTTGGTCGCATTATTTAAGAAATTTCAAGATGAAACCAAATTTTGACAGATTTAGTCTATAATATGCTTATGTGGCTAAAATTGTCATAATGTAACTTCAAATAGAAATTTTCATTAGAGATGCAATCAAAATTAATGTATTCTAATCGAACTATAGTTGAAATGGGCCTTTCTTGTGAGGCATCATGCTATTTTTACCAGGTTTAGGACATGGAACGACACTTATGTTTAAACTACAGATACAATTTATGCTCGCAAAAGAGAGACACCACTGTGATTATAATGTAAATGATAGCATAAGTAGATAAATGGATGTGCCTAAAACATGCATCGATTTTCCTAAAGTTAGCACTGCCTGTCCATGAACATGATATTTGAGTCTATAGGAAGAGTTGAAGATCAGATAAATATATGCATACTCATGGTCGTAGATTCTTTTGGGAAGCCCAATACTGGCAAATGAGTTGAACTGTGTGCGCCGATGTATTTCTTGCACATCTGCATTTCTTTTGATTGCATCTATCTCTTTCTCGCCCGACGTCAGATGGGTGCAAACAAAGCAGAAGAGCGTCTGATGTATAGACATGCTGACCGAAATAGACCCCTGAAAGAGAGTTAACATTCTTACATAACAAAAACTAAATGTTTATACATAAGTAAAACTTAGTCAAAATCAAATGGAATATATTTCAGGCTTTGGTTAGCTTAGAACACCAGTGCTGACAATAGTGAATAAATCTAGAGCAAACTAAGAGGTGTTTGAAAGTGTTTATAAGCTCTGTAAAATGTATAATGTAACTAACCAGAGTCATAACATCATTGAAAGATCTCGGTTGAACGACAATATTATCCATCATATTTTTTTATAAATAAAAAACTGGTCAATAAGCATGTAATTAAACTGAAAGAAGTTCTATTATTTATGAGATTATTTTGGAAGAATTTCTCAAATGTTCGTCAAGAATGGCTATCCATACCTTTGTAATTGCAGTAGTGTCATGTATGTTTTTATCCATTTAACAACAACAAAAGTATTTATGTTAATCAAATACCCTATCGCCTAAAATATACATTATAAGCACCTTATTTATTTGATGGAACACTCAAATAGCTTCCTATAAAAATGCTACAGCACATCTAATAAGTAAATACAATTTACAGTATCGTAACTCATAAGGCATATTAAGTGATGAGACGTTTCAAAAAAGCTCTCTAAAATAGACCCTTTTAATCTACTAAGAGAATATGATAGGTTAGCCATTGTATTATTTTCATATGAAAAACTATCACAAAGATATGTAGATGGATTATCAAAATGCAAGAAGAACAGAACAAACCTTGTTGCCAATGTAGCCCAAGACACCGACACCAACTGTAGATACACTTAAGTTTTGTATGTGCCTTCTCAAGTTCCTACGAACCCATATAGTAAGAAAGATTCCCACCATTTGTTTGCTAACAATTCGAAGATATGGTGGCCTTCTCTTTCGGTTGATCAAGGATTCAAGATCAAGCTTAGAAAGTGAAGCTAAGTCCAACTGTATCCTCCTATCAGGAACCATATTCGAATTAAAAGAATTGTATGTACCAAAAGATTTAGAAGATTTGAAAGATTTAGGTCTCTCAAAGACATGTGGTGCTAAGAGATGAAGAGGTCGCTCCGGCCAACTTAATCCAATCCTCTCCGTCCCACTAAGTGCTCTGGTAAATTTTTTTAAGTATTGTGCATCCGGAACTTCTTCATTTTCTTCAGGACTCTCTGTCCTTAGGCAATTCAATCTGTCAAGCTTTTTGGGAGATGAAAATTGCCGTTCTAACTCTTGATCACCTGAGTTTCTTAAGTCGATTATCCCATCCTTGATTTCCTCCAACTCTTCATTCAGTGGGTAAATTTCCTCCTCGACATCGCTGTCTGATTCAAGCACAATTTCATCTTCTATGCTTGGAGCATCTTCAGATGCCTTAAACTTTGACGGAGAAGGAGGATCAGTAAAGCTTTTAAAATTCATTTTTGGCGGGATTTGGTTTAGTGCTTCTCGTATTATATTTTCCCACTTAATAATCGGGCGGCTGTCTTCAGCTCCAAATATATTACCAGCATTCAGGGGAATGATTTCCTGGAGGCTGCAGAGTTACAACATACAGGGCAAAAATCTTGGTCTACAACACTGAGATGACATGAACACAAACATACTAACTATCCAAACAAGAGTAGTTTTAGAGCTATACTACATATATAAAATATGTAGATTAATGTAAAAAAACCAACTGACTGGAAAACATAATAAACTAACCCGATCACATAAACATCTGCAGGATCCTCAATATCTAACCAACCATCAAGATCTAGCTCATCCGGAGGAACTCTTCCCCCGACATTCCACGTTGCAGCACATATTCTATCAAAATCAAAGGTAGGCTTGAATATTATGAACAAGGTTGTTTATATTATGAACACGCAAGGAAGACAGGCAGCATACTTGATTTCCTTAGCATGTATGTACTGAGCTCTAAAAGTCTCAGATTTTCGTCTCCTTAACTTGGGAAGTCCATCTGAAGCTGAAAACCGAACAGATTCAAATTCTACTTAATAACTATTCCCAGCAATTAAAATTTGTGTGAATTACTTTATCTAATTTGTGTGTATATTTTAGAATATAAATTAAAACACATATCTAAAATGCTCTGCCTAGAAAAATATTTAGGTGCATATATTACATGAAAAATGAGAAAATTAATTACAAACATACATTATCAACAATTATAAAGCATATTATTATATTATCCGTACAAAGTAAAGAAGTTAACTAATAATGACTATATATATGTATTCTACATATTTGATGACTGAGGTACTCATATATGACACCAAATTTTTATATATTGAACGAGTATAATAACCAATATGAGATTAAAAAAAAAGTAAAAAATAAAAACTGTATAACGACAAATATATTTAATGTTGTATATCATATTTATTTTAACTATACTTAGCTGGTCACACATCCAACTCCGCAACACTAGGCCATCCCTTATGGACAAATTAGTTTAGTTATGTTCAAATGCTAATTAATATTTGATGTCTGCTGAATTTTGAACAAATTATTTGTAATCAGAATTAGTCATATTTAGAAAGTTTTATTGGAATGAAACTTTAAAACTTAAAAGGATAGGAGCCATAAAGATGAAAAAAAATTAATAAAAAATTAAAATAAAATAAGATGAGACATTTCATGAATTCTGGAAATTAGAATGCTTATAAACAATCAGCACGTTACCATTACTATTAGCATCAACCTGAACTGCATCCTGCTTCTCATGCTTGAACCGCGATTCTCTGCCCGTGGTATAATCACAACCTTCTGCAAAAACCAAACAAACATCGATAACAATATATTAGTAAAGCGGTAAACCGAAACGACGTCGCATGGAAGGTTAATTAGGTGCGAACTGCGAAGCCGAACCTGTACCTGTGTCGCCATCCGAATCCGAATCGGACTCCGTATCGGCGGAATAATCGGAGTTGTTGGTGGAGATGTTGAGCCACTTCCGCACCACCACGCGTCTCCACGACAGCTGCACGCGCATCCGAAACAACAACAACATCTCACCCCCAAATTCTCAAAGCGCAAACAACCAACAAATTAATAAACAAATAATCCGATAAATTCCCTACATTTCCGACGACATTACCTCGGCTTGCTGGCGGTGGCCTCCGCCGGAGCTCTGCTTCCTCATTTTGGAGTAGAATTAAAATGGAAAGCAATTCCAAAAGAGCAGCGAGAAAAAACACAAATGCGATAAAAAAAAACTGCAAATGCAGAGTCGTAGTCGTTGTGGTACATGAATGTGATGGATATATGACGACACGCACATTGCATTGACCTGTGCACCAATCAGCTGCTCTCTATTAAATCTAGAATAAATAAATTAAATATTTTAAAAATAATTAATTAATTTAAACGGCACATGAATGGCTGCTGACTAAGCTATCTTAACTACGGAAAAATATTTGTATTTTCTGTCGTAATCCAAAATTGCCGACAACGAATCATTTGACTAATAATTTTATAGACGGCGGGTCCGGAATTGTGTTTGTGTACACAGCCATATGCTGCTACTTCCATAGCATTATGTCACCTGTTATGTTATATATGGTTCACATCTATTTTGCAGTAATTGTAAATTTTTAAATTATAAAATAATAATAACTTTATACAAATAAAAATAATAATAATAATAATAATAATAAAATACTATGCTGATAAGTGTATTTATACTATGTTGTTACGATATAAGATTTAGCACTTTTGAATTTACTGATTTTTTAAATTAACATGCGTAAAATAAAAAAAATAACATATATTTTTTATTACATGTTATTTGTAATAACTATGGCATATGTTGTACGAGACTATGTTATGTATTAAAATTATTGTTGTATATATTGCGTGAAAATAATGTGTTGTATTTGTATTATATTAAAACATGTTTTGTATTGTCTGTAATTTATACAGTATGTTATCTATTAACACACAGTGTACTGATCAGCACAATATTAAATATAAAATTCAGCACTACAGCCGCTGTCATTTTTAAAATATTTTTGAATTTTGATTTATTAGACTTTTTTGTATGATTTTCTTTTAAAAATATTACTATTAATATACAAACTTCAGCTCCTAAAGGGAACAAATTGTTAGTTGACTAATGCATATGAAATTCCCTCGCGTGCAAAGACATACGTCATCAACAAAACTTATACAACTGTAGCACTCAAATACAAGATTCATTTGACCATTTTTTAATGTTATATTTGATATTTACATGTATTTTTAGATAATTAAAATTTTTATTATAAAATAATAAATTTGTCATCAATTTTGTGTATAGAAAAAAAAGAATAAATAAAGATAAAAGAATAAATTTTATGTATAAAAATAGAAAAAGTACAATAATTATTGGATATTTCAAATAGGAAAATATGATGTTAGTTTGTGGACGGAGAAAGTATTAAATTTAAAAGTAAAAAATAAAAAAATAGAACGTTAGTTTGTTGACGGAAGAAGTATTAAATTTTAAAGTGAAAAGATATTTAACATTATCTAATATAAAAATAAAACCTAGTACCCTACAAAGTAGATCCGATGGACAGGGATGAAACTAGACTAAAGCTTGGGGGCAATTGACCCAAGTCCAATTTTTTATGATTTTTTTTAGTATCAAGAGGGGCAATTGACCCCAAATCCAATTTTTTATGATTTTTATGTATTTATATACAATTTGTCCATCCAAGATTATCTAAATTCATATATAATAAAATTATTATTTTTTATTTAAATTTATTAGTTAAATATTAAATAAATTATAACATATGTGGGCAAGTCACACTAAACTAACCATGTGTGATCGAAGTTTGAACCTATGACTTCACGATCACCATTTCACTCCCCATGCCATCAAGCCATCCATTACGAGACTTATCTAATACTCTCTCCTTCCCAGAACTATAGTCTGAGTTGTGTTTGACACGAGATTTAAGGAATATTGATATTATATTGGTAGTGGATAAAAAGTACGGGTAAATTTTTTTTGTCTTTGTGAGTATATTAGTGTAAAAAGTAGTGATAATTGTGTAATAATAATGAAAAAGTAAAGCTAGTTTTATAGTGATATGATTATTTATGAAAATGAAACTATTGTTTTAAAACGGACAAAGATAATAAATAAGACTATTATATTGGAACGAATGGAGTATAGTTAACCTTCTATTGAGTCATATACTTCTATTTTTTATTATTATTTTTTTGATCGGAGATGTACTTCCATATTTGGCCGCACACGGTGTGCTGCCATTTTCAGTACACACAAAACGGTTCAATGGAAGTGTCACATTGTTGTCTTTAAGAACATGATCACTAAGAGCATCTCCAATCATGCTCTATATCTGGCGTTCTAATACCATTTTTGCCGCCGAGCTGCTCCAATCCAGCACCATTCCTAGCACCAAATTTAGAGTTTGCTACAGTGCAACACCAAATTTTTTTTAAAAAAAAATTATAAATTTAATTTTTATTTTTAAAATTTTAAAATTTTATTTTAAATTATAAAAATAAAAAGTTGTTTAAAATAATAGGAAAAATTGAATATTTGAAGAATAATAGTAAAAAATGGAGTTATGGTTGGAATAACGGTAGCAACTGCATATTTGGAGTTAAAACTGAATAAATGGAGATGATGGATTGGAGATGGCCTAAACAAGCAATCACATCTTCAAAGAGTATTGTGCTATTTTGACTGAATCAATATATGTTAGAATTATTATAATGTATATTATATTATAAATATATTAAGATATGTATAAATATATGTTAATTATCAGTATTGCATGTACTTATTACCTCGATAACATATCAAGGTAACGTCATACTGATTTTACCGGATTAGCTGCTGATCTATGCTAATATGTATATGTATTACTATTATTATTTTGTATTTACTTTCACAATTTAAAAATAAAAAATAAAAATTCTAGCCTTTCGGTTATAAAATATCAAATTTGAGTTTCGATACAAATTTTGTTTTTCTTAATATTAAGTTTTTTGGTTTGTTCTTTATATTAATTTTTTTAGCAATTTTTTCAAATAAATCAATACACTGCATGCATTCATTATCTTTATATTATTTACACAATTTTCTATATTTTAAATAAAAAAAAATTATTTCCAACCATCTTACAAACCAAACACACCCTTTTATGTTTAACGAGTATATTAAATATTTATTTTTTAAAAAATATATTATATCAATATTAATATTTTTATTATTCTTAGTTCTTTCAAAATTAATTTATATATATATATATAAACCGAACCTTAATTTAAAATATTAACCTTATTTTTAACCTTATTTGTTTGGGGGTTTGAATTTTGAGTTAGGATTTGAATAGTAAAAATTTTGAATTTAAATAGTTGTATGATGTGATATAAATAGGTGTTGATTTGATGTTTTGAATGTAAAATTAATTTTTTAGTATGATATAAAAAATAAAAAATAGGTGTTTAATTTGATATTTTAGAAAAAAAAAAAAAAATAGAACGAATAGTAAAAATTAAATCTAATCTCCCCAAACAAACACACCTTAAATAAATGCAAGTATTATCACGGTCAATTTTAAACAGAACACACGGGCCCCAATATAATAGCCTACGTTTCAGGCAAACAGGTCCCTTGTTCAGTCTTTGTTGGTATATATATATATATATATATATATTTTTTTTTTTTTTTCTTTCCCAATTCAATTATATGTTAATAAAAGATATGTTTGATTATGATTTTAAATTAAAATTAAAATTATTAATTCTAGATAATTTTTAATAAAAATATATTATATTTTTTATAAATATTATATTAAAATATTATTTAAATAAAAATTTAATTAATATTTTAGTTTGAATTAACTTCAAAACCCACCAAATTAAACAGTCGGATGTAGTATATGATTAAAGACCACCGGCTCGAAAAAGATATCCTTTCTCAGTTATTCAAATATTCTTATTTTTTTTTGTTTGATTGTCATTTAACTTTATTATCGTTTCACTTTTTAATAAAAAATACTATTTTCTTCGTCCCGCAAGAAGAGCAATATTAATATTATATTAATTTGTAGTAAAAAAGACGAAAATACTTCTATTAGTATGGTGTGTTATAAAAATGATCACATTTGTATAATATATTGTAAGTTGTAAAAATATTTATTATATTAGACAGATAATACAGTTACTAAATTAAAAAATAATACTGAAACAGACAAAGATATAAAATAGTATCTTTTTATTACACGGAGGGGATATAAAAAGTTGTCCCTATGTGTCCCACAACTATATTGCTTAATACATAAATAATGGATTTGCTATTTTAAAATTTTATTTTATTTTTTGTTTGAATATAATATCTTAAAAATATATATATATTTTTATTTTTAAAAAGGAAGCAATAATTCCTTTATTATAATTCACACTTTATAAATAATATTGTATTATATATTTATTTATCTTCAAAACATTATATTAAGTTAAATATTATTCATAACATTTTAATTCGTTTATTTTTAGAAAACAATATTTTTTGTTGTGATTAAAATTATTTATATTTAATTTTTTTAATAAAATATATGTTTAGATTTTATTTTTTATTATAAATAAATAGTAGTATTAATATACTCTAAAATATATACTCAAAAATAATTTATTTATTTATTTTTTTATCACAGTATCGAAATACATCCACAAAAAAGGAACACTTTTTTCTTTTTTCTTTTTTCTTTTTTTAAGTCACGCTTTAGTTTTCACTTTCCACTTACATGTCACGTGCATCATGTATCTTTGCTTCGGGTTTTTTTTTTTTTTTCCTTAGATTTAGATACAGTTTTATGCTTGGATTCTTCTATATAGAATTTGTATTATTTTATAAAATATCATAATTCATAATTAAAAGTATTTAATAATAATAATATATATGTATATATAAAATATTGTAACTAATATATATATTTTTTTTGAAAATAATATAAAATAAATAGTATTGATTTTAATTTAAAATTATAAAACAACAATAATAAAAAATACAATAAACACATGTATCAATCCTGCCATAGGCTCATCGAAAGCCCAACACTATTTTAATACATTATGGGTGTCTTTGTTGGAAGGAATTTAAAAGAATTTTATTATTTATAAAAAGAATAATTTTTTCAAAAAATTAAATCAAACATTTTTTTTTTCTATATAATATTAAAAATTAATTTTATATTCAAAATATCATATAACACCTATTTATATCGCACCATATTTGTTCAAATTCAATTTTTTTTATTATTCAAATATCAAACTCAAAATTAAAACCTTCAAACAAGCACACCTTATAAGTATGGCATGAACGTCGTGCTGTTCTGGTTACATTAACATGGTTCTAATTTGACAATATCAACATATATTATAATCTTTCTTTTTTAATTCAAAATATCATTTTTATCATTTTTGGCTGTCTTACTCCAAAGTATCTTTTTCTTATTTTAATAAAAGTAATCATACATTAATATCAAAATATTCTTAATTTTTACATAAATTACAAATATACAATTATTATATACATAAATTAAAAGGGCAAAAATGTTAAAACCTCTTAGACACTTACACTAACCGATAAAATACTATTATTTTTAATCTACTACAAAACTCAAAAGAGTCCATTTGGAATTGAACAGAGGGAGTGTATGTTATGTTATAATACAATATATAATCTTTTCACACAACATATATAGTACTATGCAGAAATATATGTTTATTTGTACGATACTCTCTCCGTCCTAATACAATAGTCTTGTTTACTATTTTTGTCTGTTTCAAAATAATAGTCTAATTTCCATAAATAACTATATCACCATAAATTTACCTCTACTTTTTCATTTTTATTACACAATTGCCACTGCTTTTTACACTAATACATTCATAAAGCCAAAAAAGTCTTTTATCCATATTTTTTACCCACTACCCATATAATATCAATATTCCTTAAATCTCACGCCCAACTCCATTAAGACTAATATTTATGGGACAGAAAGAGTATATATTAATCCGGTTAAATAAAAAAATATACTGATTTGACCGAATCCGCACTCGTATGAATATAGTGTATAATTGATGTTCATTTAATCGGATTAAGAATATGCACCCAATGGGTATGATTTGTACTTGTACGTGAATGAAATTATGACAACAACACATTCTCAATATATTGTCCATTTCAATATTTCAACGAGACTTTGTTTATTTGTAAAATTTTATGTTTGATTTTACTATTTTAATTTTATTTTTTTTTAAAAAAAAAACACATCAAATCAAGCCTTCAATTTTTATGTATTTTATTACACTAAAATCTAATTTTACATTCAAAATATCACATCAACGCATATTTATATCACATAAAAAAACTATTTCAATTCAAAATTTTAAACAACGCAATAAACACACCCCAAGTTGTGATTGAAGTATTATGATTTTTGGGTGTGTTTAAGAGATTTTATTTTATTTTTAAATTTTATTATTTCAATTTAATTTAAATATAAATATTTTCACAAAATATCATATTAAGTACTATTATTTAAATGAAATTTTTTTCATTCAAACCTAAAAAAACACACCGGCATGCACATGAATACCAATGCATGCGAACTAATAGTATATTGCATAATTTCATCCAACATAATTTCATTGAATCCATATTTTTATTGATTTTAATACAAAAAATATATTAACACAATATATTTATTTGACAACATATGTTTTTTATTTAACACAATGTTGTGTTAAATAAAATGTTATAACAATATGTTCATTTTACAAATTTAATTTGTCTATAAATCACCCTTTCATGTTTTATACATTAATCTATTTTAATTCAAAAATAACATTAATATCCCTTTAAAATTTCAATTATAACCTTACAAATATTATATAAATAATATTAAAATATTATAATAATTATTATTTTTTGTAAAATTTGTGCCAAAAAATTTTAAAGGGTGAAAATATATTTTTTTAGGTTTTGATTGTTTAGTGTTTTGAGTTTAATTTTTTTTTTAATGTAAAATATAAGAAAAATAATGAAAAAATAATATTTGATATTGAATATTTATTTTTATGAGAAGATAAAATATATTTTTTTTGTCAGCTAAATTTATTTCATTATTAATTTTAACAAAAATTAACAAATTAATATTTAATTATTAATTTCTATTTAATACTTATTTACAATAAATATCACAAATTTTATTACACTATCTCTTTATATACTTTAATTTGTAATTACATTCAAATATATTTTTAACTAATTTTATTTTTTCAATAAAATATTTAATTTTTGTTTTAATTTCTACGCTAATTTTAACTAAGGAATGAAGTATATATTAACAATAGTGTATAAAATATTGGCAGTCAAATATATTTTTCAAAAAAATTATGCCAAATATATTTTTCATATGTTCATAAAAAAATTAAACATACTTTAAAATAAATATATTTATTTTCTTTCCTTGCTTCTTCTTCTTCTTATTAACTTTTTAATAATAATATTTTTTTTTGTCTATTTATCTTGTCTATTTTTTTATTTTCAAATTTTTAATTCAAAAATTTTAATTATAATGAATTATTTTAATTTTAATTTTTAAAATTGGTTAATGCATAAACAAGAGAAAGGGAAGGTGAAGTATCTTTTGCAGTCGACGGAAACTCGGAACAGATAAAAACGAAGCAGAGCATCAGAGGCTAAAGCAGAAATGTCAATCCTTATCCATGCTTCCTACTGCAAGACTACCAATCCCTTCTTCCACCCATTCATCTCAATCTCCCCACCTTCTAAAACCCCCAATCTCCCCACCTACAAATCCCTGCGCTTCTCCTTCCGATTGCCGAAATTCAGACCAGTCCATGTTCGATTCTGTGCAGAAAATGGAGTACCCCGAACCACCGAGCCCGAATTGCTCGACAAGCCTTCTCCAAAGCAATTGGAGAACGAGCCCGAGCCCGCCGACGAAGCCGAAGTGAAAGAAATCGATAAAGAAGAAGTACTGGATTCCTTCTACAGGTTTTTCAAGCCCTCGGGAGAAGAAAACAATGCTTCGGAAACTGAGGCTGAGAGTTCAATTAAGGAGGAGGAGAGAGAAGAAATCAGTGTGGAGTATTACGAGCCTCAGGCGGGTGATTTTGTGGTGGGCGTGGTGGTTTCGGGAAACGAGAATAAGCTGGATGTGAATGTGGGGGCGGATATGTTGGGGACGATGCTGACTAAGGATGTGCTGCCATTGTACGAGAGGGAGATGGAGTATTTGCTGTGTGATTTGGAGAAGGATGCGGAGGAGTTTTTGGCGCCGGGGAAGGTGGGGATTGTGAGGTACGAGGAGGCGGTGGGCGGCAGGGCTTTGCCGGGAAGGCCTGTTGTGGAGGTGGGGACGGTGGTGTTTGCGGAGGTGCTTGGGAGAACGCTCGGCGGCCGCCCATTGCTGTCGGCTAGACGGTTCTTCCGGCGGATTGCTTGGCACAGAGTGAGGCAGGTTTTTGCTCTTTCTTTCTTTCTTTCTCTTCTGTGGTGATTTCATTTGAATTGAATTGAATTATGGTGTTTTGGCTTGCTTGATAGTTAGTTTTTGAGGTTGATGTAGTGCTGATGGAGATTTGTTTGATTTTGGTTTGGAATTGATTCAAATTGGGACATTGAATTCGAAGTTTTGTTTAAATATTATTTGGGGTGTGTTTGTTTGCGGGTTTGGATTTGAATAGTAAAATATGTGAATCTTAACAGTTGTATGATGTGAAATAAATAGTTGTATAATGTGATATAAATAGTCGTTAGATGTGATATAAATAGTTAGTTTTTGAGGTTGATGTAGTGCTGATGGAGATTTGTTTGATTTTGGTTTGGAATTGATTCAAATTGGGACATTGAATTCGAAGTTTTGTTTAAATAGTATTTGGGGTGTGTTTGTTTGCGGGTTTGGATTTGAATAGTAAAATATGTGAATCTTAACAGTTGTATGATGTGAAATAAATAGTTGTATGATGTGAAATAAATAGTTGTATGATGTGATATAAATAGTCGTTAGATGTGATGTTTTGGACTTAAAAATTGATTTTAAGTATAATATAAAAATAAAGAATAGGCGTTAGATTTGATATCTTTAGTGGGAAACTTTTGATGAATAATGGAAGTCGGGGAAAATCTCCTATACAAACAAGTGCACACTTGTGTATTTTTATTGGAAACCATTGTTGATTTTGGTTTGAAATCACAGACAAACACACCCGAGTCTTGGAAAATCTTGGAAATTGTTAAGAGCTACGTATTTTGATGTGATATTTTGTCAGAAGAAGACAATATTTGATGTTGTGATTTCTGAAAGTTAGATGTTTTGAAAGTTTGGAGTTTCGGAAATAGTTAGAAGTTGCGGATTTGAGGTGATATTTTGTAAGAGGAGGAAAGTATTTGATGTCCTGATTTTTTTTTTATTGTTATTGATGAATAGTGCCAAAAAAGTTATAGCAGTGTGTATAAACGTGTTTTTAGGATGTTTTGTTGTAGATACAATGGCTCGAGAGTGATGTTTTGAATTAAAAATAGACGAAACCTTTGTTTGGTGTTATGTTTTGAATGAAAGATAGCCGTTGGAAAATATTTGTTTTAAATTATAGGTGGGTGTTGTATGTATGCATTGAATTGAATTGAATTGAAAATGATGGATGAATATGATGATTTGAATAAAAAAAATAAATGTTGAATGTAATATATTATGCTTTTTAGGTGAAAAACATATGTTATGGTAGATTGTCCTGTGCGAAAACAAGTTTGACAAGAGTTACGGAATGGTCCATTATTATTGTCTATTGATAAAATTTCGAACATAGTTAGTTCATCTATAATCAATACATTTACATTTGACGAGCACTGATTTTTGCCTACATGTACTCGAATGTCGGTTTCAGTAATTTTAGTCTCATAATTAGCATCTATAAGAACTTAGACTATTCTTCCTTCTCGATGTTATGTCGTCTTTTACTATTCTTGGCGAGCATCATTTTCTTATGAAGGGCAATGTTTTGAAATATTCTCGTGGTTCATGTCATGTCAGATTCAGCAACTCAATGAGCCGATTGAGGTTAGAATAACAGAATGGAATACAGGAGGTCTTCTTACAAGAATAGAGGTGAACATTCATTCTCTTTGTTTTAGTTGATACATACTGAGTGACGAAAGTCATCTAAGATCACTTTTTTTTTTGGATTTGAATTGTAGGGGCTGAGGGGGTTCATACCTAAAGCTGAATTGATGAATCGCGTTAACAATTTCACAGAATTGAAAGAGAATGTAAGGCTAATTCTCATTCGTATTTTCTCTTACATACTTTCTTACTCTTTTCTTGCTTTGGAATAATTTTGTTCGGCACACTTTTAATATTTGGCTTGGAATGCCCAAATGAGTTCCTCGATTTCTTGTTTAAGTTTTTAGGAGCTGGTTGTTTACGATTTTCTTTTGCTTTGGCTCACTTGTTAATGAAGCACATATATATATGTGTGTGTGTTTGTATATATATAATATATGTATTTCCTTTCGGTTAGCATTTAAGTTCATAAAGGATTGACTTCTTAAGTTCACATCTATTGGGTCATCACGATTTTGCCGCCACTCATAACTCAAATCTTGATATTGCAGGTGGGTCGTAGGATACACGTGCTAATTACTAGAATAAATGAAGATACAAACGACTTAATTCTCAGCGAAAAAGAAGCTTGGGTTCGTCTTCTTGGCTTCTTGTTTCCTTTTGTGTCGTTTCTTGGTTCTTAAAAGTACGTCTCGTCTCAATCTAACAAATGAAATAGGAAAAGGTGCATCTTCAAGAGGGAACACTTCTTGTCGGGACAGTTAAGAAAATCTTTCAGTATGGTGCACAGATAAGGATTGGTGATACTAACCGAAGGTGAATCCAATCCTATGCTAGTGAATTATAATTTCTCGAATTTAGTTTTGATAAATTTCTCAATAAATCTTAGCCTTTTTTGATACCTTTGTAGTGGATTGCTGCATATTTCAAACATAAGTCGAGAGCGAATTACATCTGTTGATGATGTATTGGCAGTTGATGAAGAGGTCAAAGTTTTGGTCGTGAAGTCGATGCTTCCCGGGAAGATTTCCCTTAGGTATGCTGGCTAATGATTTTTTTCTCAATTATCGAACTGGGATTATTAGTTTTACTTTCTTCTTGTTGAATGAAAAGCTTGACGGCTCTGGAGTAAAATTACGACATATGGTTTCTAAATAATTGACAATTTTACATGATGATTTTTTCAAACCGTTTACGTTTTGTGTCATTGGGCTTGGGATCTCACTTGAGATACAATAGTGAATATATATATATACTAGTTATGAACACGTAGATGAATTCATCGTTGAGTTGATTTACGAATTTCCAAAATCGTAGGACATTGGGTTGCCCGGCAAAGATCATTCGATATTTGTAACGATCTTCATGTTGAGAAGTTCTTAAATATGTCGATATTCTTGCCATTTGCTTTCTAGTTTTGCACGCTTGAATGATGTGTCATTCTCGATTGAATTCGTGCTTAAAATAATTGAATTGTCGTGCGGTTTACATATTCAATTACTTCAATATAATTTGTAAATCCATTTTAAACGACATGTAACTATTTTGTTGGTCGATTAATGTTTCTGTGATCAAATGGCATAATTTCTTCCTAGTTATTGATAGTATATAGTTGTTTCTGATTCTTGTTGTTGATTCTTGTTGCACAGCATTGCTGAACTTGAAAGCGAACCCGGCCTGTTTTTATCGGACAAGAAGGCGAGCAATAATACAATCGTGAATTCCATTTTTTGTTTAGTCTTAGTAAGAACTTTACTTTCCTGGACATAAAATTGTTGAGTCGAACATTGTCATGGTTCTTGTGCAGAGAGTATATTCAGAAGCTGAAGAGATGGCAAAATTATATAGGAAGAAGATTTCACCGGTTTCGAAAGTAGAAAGCAGCAATGCCCTTCCGATGGACGGATTGCCTTTCGGAGATGAAGAACGACTATATTCCAACTGGAAATGGTTCAGATTTGAGAAGGACGACGATATATAATGTTCGAAAAGCTCGGGCTTGATGATAGACTAGAGCATGCTAGTAAAGAGAAAGCTTGACATAAAATGATGATAGATAGCAGAAGGAAAAAAAAAGCTACTAAATTAACATATTGATGCATAAGGTTTTAAATTTTTTTTTTTTTTAGCAAAAATTGAAATATATATATCAATGCAATTTTGATATTAAATTTGAATTTGAATGATTTATTCTGATGTGGGCAAAAGTTATTTCGATCATTTTAGTTATTGTTGTTATTTTCAGTATTTTTTTTTTTATATCGATCGTTTTGGTTCTTGATATGCTTGTTTGTTTTAAATTCGAGTTATTTGTCAATTCTATTATGCTGCAATTGAAATGTATCCGTAAATAAACAAAAGGATCTAAATAAAATATTCCCAAAAACATGACTCTAGGTTCGTTTAGGTTCATTTCAAAAATTGAATTCAGTGACTTGAGCTACATATATTCCTATTGTTTAGGGTTTCATAAAAAAAAAAAAAATAAAATGCATTCTTGTTTTTTTGAGTAAAAGATCATATAGCTTTTTGTATTATTTATTTTCTTAAGTTATAAAAAAACAAAATATAACCCAAAAAAATAATAATAAAAAAACATACCCTCATACTAAATAGTATGCCAAAAAATAATATGAACACAATTGAATGACCGATTAAGTATTTTCAGATCTTAATGCAGTTGAGGTGTTGAATTTTAAAATTCGGTCACATTGTGCCCTAAGAGATACAGGTACAGGTAACACAACATGTATATTAATATAATATAAATACAATACATAAACTAATAATATATCATCTCACGCCCACATGCAACAATTAATTTTGACATATAATATAATTCGTATACAATACACATTGTAATTATAAACATACAACATATGTATTTATTATATACATCATGTACTACGTGTAATACAAACGTTTTGTATATCTTATGCCATTCCCATTTCACATATATATACCAGTATTTGAAATATATACTTGCCAACAAAAACATGTAAGAAAACATTATACAAAATCACATACATATTTGCCAACAAGCCCCCTTCACAAAATAATTTCAATAATAACATGTAATAATATATATATATATATATATTGAGAGAGAGAGAGAGCGATCAAGAATTAGACACCTACGAGTAGCGACTGCGGATTCACTTATTCAAAAAAAAAAAAAAAATTAAAAAATTAAGAACTAGTTACCTACAAATCCACTATCATCTGGTTGATTAATATCTATTTTCTTATATGCTGTCAAGGATGTAAAACTTTAGGCCCTACCAAGATATCTTCACAATGCCATCAATATGCATCTAAAATCCATCACACTTAATACATTATATGATGTTTTTCATTAGCTAGTTGAAAGTAAAGTTGGATGGAATTTCAGAACAAGTGTATCATGTCGAATTCATCCCAAACGGCTACAGAGCAAGAAGAAGATTCGGAAAAAGAAGTTTATCCACAGAAAAGGATCTACAACAAGATCTTGACTAAATCCCCTACTTATTAAAGAACAAGTACCAGAAGCTTCAAATCGTCTACCATGCCTTCGTAGAACAAACCCGAGACCTGCGGAAAGTGGACCAATCTGTAAAATACAAAAGTTGAATTGAAACTATAATTAGTCTGCTAAGTGGATTTTTTTTTTTTTTTCTTTTTACCTATACAACATTGAGAGATGCATTCCATATAAATTTGTTGAAAAGCTTCACACCAACTTTCATGACACATTTTTGCAATGTAACAAAAATAAAGACTTTAAAAATGATTATGAAGCCAACCATCTTTTTAACATAGAATATGGAATGTATTAAATTGGAGAAAATTGCAAAAAAATATCCCATGTATCAATTATCATTTATGTCATTTATTTGTTTCGCCGTCAAAATATATATTTCATGTTTACAAAAGTTGTTATTTTTGTCATGCAAGGACAAATGACATAAATGGCTATTGTTGCAAACGGATATGATATATTTTGCCAGCTAGATAAATAACGACAAAAGTGATAATTGAGTATATATGAAACATATTTTTTTGCTAACTTTTTTCTATTAAAATGGGTAGATCAGCTGTCCATTCTAATGGAAATACATTGATTATCATATTCCCACAGCCATAAATTTACATCTAAGGGTCTTCTGCTAGACAACCTCTGTGATCATGAAACTTGATAATACGATAAACCTAATCATAGATCCTTAAATATTAACAATACCAATCAAGAATGGCAAACTGTTGAAATGATCATAACAGGGCTATTTACATACCTCGATTGCACGGCACAGCAGGCGAGATTCAGAAAACCCTAATCATCCTCAACCTTTATTGGCATAATTTGGCGCAATGAAACCCTAATTTATGAAACTCATTCGATTTTGTTACTCCATCCGCCATCTTCGAATCCTTCATCGGCAGATTGTTTCCCCTTCTTACCGTGCATTTTACGAGGTTTCTGCTCCGGCATTTGATCCACCAACTCTTTGAGAGTTTCGACGAGCTCACTCAATTCGCGCTTAGTTTTCTCATCGGGCTCCGGAGGAGGCTGTCTGTCGATGAAAGGATCCTCAAAGATCTTTATCTCTTGCTCGAAATCTTCGAACCGAATCTCCTTTTCTTCCCCATCGAAAGCAGCATCGACCTGTGCTTCAAGCTTCTCAATCTCCTCCTCGCTCATTCCCGCGTATTTGTTAAGGTATTCCCCGAGCTTCAGCTTGAACTTTTCCTTATCACTCAGATCCATATTGTCGATTTCTTCATCAATTTTCCTGTGATCCTCCGCGCTTATTTCCTCATTCTCCTTCTCAAGTTCATTGTCGGCTTCGGCGCTGTATTTTCTAGCATTCGGCGTAATCCTGAACTGAATCGGTAGAATCGCAGGTGCTGGACTGCAAAAAGGATGGAGCTTTGTGGAGCTGCATTGCGCGAGGGGTTTGGCATTCAGAGATCTTCCATGAGCGTAGGTGGAGAGGAGGCTGCGAAGACCAAGATAGGAACGGCGGAGCATTTGGCTCATCGCGGCGTGAAGTGCACCAGGGTTTCGATTTGTTGCTGAAGACTACTTTAATGGATCTAAAATTTTGAAATTGGGCCTGTCCAGGCCCAATATAAACTACCAAATTAGGTTTGATTATGATAATTACGCTCTGTCCCAATTTCGTTTCTTCGCGCGCCAAAGTTAATCCTCAGAAGCTCTCAGAAATCAACCATGCCGGACTTCATCGCTCTTCAGTGCTTCATGTGCTCCACTATGCAGGCAATACTCTCTCTCTCTCTCTCTCTCTCTCTCTCTCTCTCTCTATATATATATATATATATGAATATGCGTTTTGCGGTGTGGCTGCGTCTGTGCGGAAGAAATGTAACTGTAGAGTTGTACGGTCTGCACGAACATCAGGTGAAGCAGCAGAAGAAGAGCAGCAACAAGTGGAGCTGCGTGGTGTGCAACGAGAAGCAATCGGTTCGCAAGGTATTTGCCAAGAGTACCGCAGCTAAGGATATCCGATTGTTCGTCCAGAATTTCAACATGTCTCGTCACTTATCAGACCAGAAGCAGCAATTCGCCTTTGAGGAGGAACTCCACGCCTCCAATTCTCCACGCAACGAACCAGAAGCAACAAAGAAGAAAAGAACTGATTGGACAGAGTACATTGACGATGGCAATGAAGAACTCAGCGGAAAAAATCTCCGAGATGAAAACCTCACACAAGGTGTTCGATGAAATTCGTCTAAGGCCAATTAGTTCGTTTTTCTTCATCATTTTTAGCCAATTTTTTTATATTGATTTTGGATGAATTTTCTCTTCAGGGGACGAATTCGATCCTAAGATTGTGCTGGAGATGCCCAAGTCTCTGTTCAAAAAGCCAAAAGTGAAAAACTATACATCCAACAAACAAGGAAGCACTGAGAAGCTTTTGAAGCCATTGTTTCCAAGTAGAAGAAGTAATCTCAACCAGAGGCACACAAAGGATCATGATAAAGGTAAATACACTGAAGTTTGCACATAGTAAACTATGAGATTGATATTGCAATACATAGATTCATAGCATATTGTGTATAATATAGGACCAAAATTGAAAATCGCAGTATAATAAAACTACGATGTGATCAATGGTTGTTATGAACTAATCCTGCTGTGATGCCCGTCAAATGCAGCTATTTCACAGTCGATGAATGAATTCAAGCAAACTACCAATTCTGTGCAACAGACGACAAAGGAAACTGATAAAGCAGTTCATATTGCAGAAGAGGAAAAGAGTTATGCTTCAAGATTGGCTAAGGGGCAAGTTTCTAAATGGAGTAGCTTTATAGAAGAAGAAGAAGAGGAAGACAATAGCTACTACAACTTGCAAAGAGGCAACTCGTCGGATCATGGAGATCAGGATAAAGACAATGTGGTCGTATCACTAATCAACGATCAAAGAGTCGAGGATGATATTCACCCCGACTTTCTATGATCATCAGTACCAGTTTCTTGTGAGTTCTTTCAGTAGTTTAGATAATAACCATGTGTGAGTTGCAAAGTTATAGTTAGCATTATTCCAATAAAAAGACTTTGATGGTATTTGATGCAATATTTTTTTCGAAAATTATTGGCAATGAATAATACCAAATCTTTCAAAGAATGTTTGTAAACATAGAGCCGTACTGTCATGTCTAATTTATTGCATAATTTAGTTTAAATTCTAAGTAAGTATCTTTAACACGAAAACCTGTTTACAGCAAAGACTGATTCCCCGTGTTTGGTACTGTTGCTGCCAATCGAAGCACTTCCATAGCATCCGCAACTTTCTTCTTCAAAGCATCAGGAGATTCAATGAGGTGAAGCACTTCAGTTTGGTCCATCTCCAACAACATGCCAGTTACTTTCCTCGCATGATTGGGCTTGAGGCGTTCGACGAGCGGGTAGAGGTGTTCGCCGAGCATCTGCAGATAATATGCAATGTCTTTAGCCAAGTAGTCGAGCAATAATTGATGCTAACTTAACAGTGGAACTAACCATGCACTGGTTCTCAGGAGAAGCCGAGGCCAAAGCCGAAGCAAGTGTAGATCTCGATATAGGCACCGGGATCGGAATTTCCATGGCAGCCGATGCATTGAGACGCATAGGCACGACTGATCCCATTAGAGTCTGGGCAGGTAATGAATGATTAACTCCATTGCATTGATTTGTTGTATGTCGATTGGAACCTTGATTCGAGTTGTGCTGTATCACACAATTTAGAAAGTACGTAGATTTTTTAAGTTTTGGATTTGAATAAATTGAAGAAACCATTTAGGCAAAGAGAGACCAGATGTTGCTGTTGTTGAGAATTGCCGCATCTTCTTGGGCCGGAGCGTTGTTGTCCTACGGGTTGATTTTGTCGTTGAAGATGGAATGGTACAAAATTTGACGACATAGTAGGCGGCAATCCGGCTAATAGTTGCTGTTGATGGAATCCAAATGCAGGATTAACCTGTCCTATGTAAAGTGGTTGATGTCTAAACTGAAGCGAACCCGTTTGGTGCGCAGGAATTCCCGGCAATGGTGATATTGTCCCGGAGGTTCGCAATCGAGCAAAATGTGCCTGAAACAAAAAAATTATTGATACAAAGCGCAGAGACCTAATGTAATAGTTGGCCACGATGTCTAAACTTCTTTTAGTAAATATTTCTAGACGTTCGAAGATTTTTATATAAAAATCCAACAAACATCATGCATCATTAGGGGTGGAAATAGGCCAGGCGGCCTGTCAGGGGCCTATGACCTGGCCTACATCAAGCCTGGCCTGGCCTGTTCTATTTATTAGAAAGGCCAGGTTCAGATTTTTGTTAAAGCCTGTTTATATATACAGAATAGGCTTAGGCTTATGAAAAAGCCTATTTACTAAACAGGCCGGCCTGTTTAATAATAATATTATTATTATATAAAATTATTTTTTATTATTATAAAATAAGAATAGTTTTATATATAATAATAGTTTTTTTTTAATGTCATTATGCAGTAATTTCTATCAGCTTTTGTCTGGAGTTTGCAAGACTTATTCCCAATAATTATATATATATTTGAATGAATTGTAATATACGTTTTTTTGCAAATTATTAGTATAATATATTGTATTTTTATATGGCAATAAAAATGATTATTTTTGTCATTAAAAAACAGAATTTTTTATTTTTTTATATATAATATAAATAATTGTATCTATTTTATTTTTTATTTATAGTACGAAATTTATAAAAAAAAAATAATAATAATAATAATAATAATAAATTATTATGTAGCCTTTTAAACAGGCTCGTAGGCCAGGCCAGGCTTTTAAAAAGGCCAGGCTCAGGCTTTAAAAATATTTTTTTTCAGGCTGGTAGACCAGGCTCAGGCCATATCTTTTTAAGACAGGCCAAGCCTATTTAACCAAAGCCTGGCCTGGCCTGGCCTATTTCATCATCCTTTTTAAAAAACTAATATTATGAACTAAATCCATCTATAATATTTGTAGCCATTTTCAATATCAACTCAAATACAAAATTATAGTCAACAAAAATAAATCGAATACTCACTAAAACAGACTGAAAATTAAGACAAAGGCTAAAACATAAACTCTAATTAATAAACCAAAACAACAATTGTGACACAAACAACTCCTTGTTCGACTGCGTTTCAGACAGACAGACGTAGTCCCAATTACAGTAAATTATTGTGACATTTAACAACTATTTTCTTTTTAAGAGTTTCAAATTGCAAAATAAAACAAAACACAAAAATCACAAATAGATGTCTATAGTATCAATTTGATTGATATACAAGAAAATAAACTCAAACCACATGTTAGAATAAAAGGAATCTTCACTAGCTATTTTTTTCATATCTTATTTGTTCTCAAAATAATGAATGATTGTTTTTTAATATCGAAAGAAAAATTCAATACATCACCTGAAGCCAAGCCTTTCTTTCTTCTTTGCGCTGAGCTACAGCTACGTATAAAGGTTTTCCTGCTATCATCCTCCCATTCATTAAATTCAGCTGTGATGCAAACAATTATAATCATATTCAAGATTAATTCAATCAACACAAAGACATAATTAACCAAATTTATTTACGGCTTTTGTAGCTTCTTCGGAATTAGAGAATGCCACAAAACCAGCACCTTTGCTTACTCCATTAGCATCACACATAATCTGTAAAACAAATCAAAGTAAGTTTGATTAGCAACACATGAATATATATATATATATAATGTAAAATCAAACATCTTTCACAAATACCTTGCATGATGTAATGGTTCCAAACTCTGAAAAAAGCACCTTCAACTTTTCGTCGGTTACACTCTCATCAAGATTTTTTAAATACAAATTTGCACCTTTCAATTTCTCAAATCTACTAATCCTCTCCTGTTCGAATTTAGCTTTCAACTTTGCTCTCCTCTCAGCTTTTTTCTCGGCCCTTCCAACATATAATGTCTTGTCGTCTAAGGAAGTCCCATTGAAGTACTCAACTGCAGCTGCTGCATCGTTATTGTTTTCATAATTCACAAATCCGAACGATCTGGATTTTCCATTGGCATCTTTCATAACAATTGCACTAGTGATTGGGCCAAACCTCTCAAACATTTTCTTAAGTTCCTCATCAGTTGTCTTTTCAGAAAAATTCTTTACATAAACATTAGTAAATTTGGGTAATCCTTTCTCCTTATTCCTTTCCTGGCGACGAATAAACTTTCCAACATACACTTGCTTATCATTTATCAGCATGCCATTCAATCTTTTAATTGCATTTTCTGCAGATTCCTCTTTATCAAATTGAACAAATCCATATCCTTTGGATCTTCCATCGGAGTCAAGTTCTACTTTGCAAGAAAGTATATTTCCAAATGTAGAGAAAGTTTCATGAAGTGCCTTAGTATCTATCGACGAATCCAAGTTTTTGATATACAAATTTGCAAATCCATTTTTTCTTAGAGTAGGATCTCTTTGAGAAAACATGATTCTAATAGGCTTTCCATTCACAACCTTGAAATTTAAAGCGTCTCTCGCAAGACTTGCTGCAGCAGATGAATGCAGAAAATTATGAATGTCTCCTTAATCAAACTTTTAAATTAAACAAAGAGAGATGGAAGTGACTTTTTAATCGGACAACTAAATTATAATTTAATGAAAGTGACTTTTTAATCGGACAACTAAATTATAATATTTTCATATAAAATGGTAATTAATCAATCCCCATTAAAGGAAGAAAATCTATCCATCTCGAAAACAACTCATGAGTATAAATTCTAATGATAACAATATCGATTTAAATAAATAGAAATACAAATTTAACAAAAACTTGCATGCAATCACATAGAAGGCAGATCCAAAAATTAAACATGATTAATCGAAAATGGCAAAACATAATAATAATAATAATAACCGAAATTGGGTCGAAGAAATTAAAATTACCATCTATTTGAGTGTTAAAGTTAACATAACCATAGCCAAGCGAGGAGTTGTCAATTTGATCTCTACAAACCCTAATCGACACCACAGGAGCCACTCGATTAAACAGATCATACAATTTTCTCTCGTCTATTGATGCCTCTAAATCACCGACGTAAAGAGACGAGTTCGGAAAAGCTCCTCCTCCTATCAATGGCGGCGCCAAAACCGGAACGGCCGCCACCGGCACCAAATTGGTCTCGGACACCATAGCCGTCTGAGAAACTGCCATTGTTGCCGTTCCAACTCTCAGGAAATCGGATTTGAATCTGTGCGTAATTTTCAGAAGAGAAATGAAAGAAGAATGAATGAGAAAGAATGAATTATGGAATATATCGTAGAGAATTATGTATCCGCTTCTAAAGTGAAAATACAGTTTTTATTTTTATTTTTTATATATATAATATTTATTTTTTATTAAAATAATATTTTATTAAAAAATAAAATAAAAAAATAAATATAGTATTTATTTTTCAGAAACTGCCATTGCTGCCATCCCAATTCTTAGGAAAACTGTGGAGCAACAATCAACCCCGAAATCGTAGAAAAGAACAAAATGCAGATTTGAATCTGTCTTCATTTTCAGAAGCGAAAGAAATAATGAATTATGGAATATATAGTAGAAAATTATGTGAGAATTATATGTCCGCTTCTAAAGTAAAAATACAGTTTTTTTACATATATAATATTTATTTGTTTTTAAAATAATATTTTATTAAAAAATAAAATAAATAAATATAGTATTTTATTCTCATATAGTTTTAAAATTATTATTAAGAGAATATAATATTTAATATAATTAATAATAATAATAATAATAATAATAAAATAAATAAATACAAATCAACGAAAAGGTGTGTTTATTTTGTATTTATAGATAAACATGGTTTTTTTTTTTATATTAAGTAAAAAAAAGAAAAAAAAAAAAAGTGAAGGAAAGCTAGGATGTTTAATAGTGAGATGTTGGTTTTGATCTTATTATTTTAATTTTTTTATCTATTAAAATATTAAAAAATTAAAAAAACTAAATTATATACTACATGTTTATTTATCGGTTGGCTTATTTTTCAATTGAAATTAAATTATATATAGAATGAAAGCCAAAGTTAATGTAGATTTTATAACTCAAATTTTTGAATGAGAAGATTTTGGATATAAGTTTAATTAATAAATTTTAATTCCATATATAATGATGAAATTTTCTAAACGTAACTACCTTCTGTCATTTTTAGAAAGTTACTACTATTTTTTACCATATATATATATATATATATATACAGGGAGTTTGTTCTTTTTAAATATCAAATTTAAATTAATATTATTTTTGTATATATATAAAAAAATGTATTTCAAATAAATTTCGGTAACCAAACAAACATTATTGTTTTTATTATTTTGATTATTCAATATATTAATTAATTCATTTTTACTATATTTATTTATTTATTTTAAATTAGACATATTTAGAAAACATTAAAGAAATTATACAAAATATATTACTCCCTTCGTCCCTTGTAACTTGGGTGTATTACTGTAGATACTAAAATTTAAATTTAAGTATAATTAGTAAGTAATTAAGAAATGTATTAATAAAAATAATCCGTAAAAATAATTATAAATTAAGATTAATATAATTAAATATTTTAATTAAAATAAAAAAAAATTATACTAAAATTTTATATTTAAAATGCTATTAAAATATATAATTATATGGAAAAGACAAAAATAGGGACACAGGGACGGAGGGAGTATAATTTTTCTACATTTGGGGTTTTAGATTTTTTTGTTAGGATTTAAATAGTAAAAAAATGAATTGAAATAGCAGAATGTGATATAAATAAATATTGATTTGATATTTTGAATATAAATTTAATTTTTAATGTAATATAAAAATAAAAAAATAAGTGTTTAATTTAATATTTTTGAAAAAATTTCTTTTTATAAATAGTAAAAATCCTAACAAATCATTAGAGAAACATTATTATTATTATTTTTACTATATTTGAATTGCTTGAGAACATATAATATATGATGCTTCGGATTATATATATATATAGATACTCCCTCTGTTCACTGCCTATCTATTCGTTTACTTTTTGCACGTTTGATATGTGGTACAATTAATATACATAGAGACTATTATACCCCTTAACATTTATGGTATTAAGTGGTGTTGTTTCATGGCATTTGTGTAATATTATATAAAGGGTGGGGTAATTTTATATTTTAGTGGAAGGTACATTTATTTTAAAAAAAAAATAGATATATTTGCAATGAACAGACTAAAATGACAAAACTAGATGCCGGTGGACGGAGGGAGCATTATTTTACGTCAATTTTAAATAAAAGTATAAAGTTCAAAATTAGATTTATGTTTTCCCACCACATATTGAAATTACTTTAATTTTGATATTAATCGATTTAAATGCAATTGAAGTAAGTGATAGAAAAGTAATTGTTTCAATACATTGGCTGTAAATAATACTCTTTCCACCCATCAATTCAATTTATTTATTTATATATATATATATATATATTTTGTGTGTCCATTAAAAATATACGTTTTCTATTTATAACAAATTTGTACTTTTTAATATTATACTTATTTATAAAAATATCGTAATTATCAATAACTCTCAACTTTTACTAAATTATTCATATACTTCATATGTCCCATGAAATATGAGACTATTACTGTAAATACGAGAATTTAGATAAAGTATAATTAATAAGTAATAAAAAAATATATTAGTAAAAATAATTATAGATTAAGATTAAGATAAATAAATAATTTAATTAAAATTTAAAAAATTTAGAATGCTATTAAAATGCATAATTATATTTCAAAAAATAGAAAGGACAAATTATGTAGGATAAAGGGAGTATAAATATTTTTGCACTTCTGTGTTTCCTTGTATGATTGCCACCAATAGTTATATATGCACATTTTCATTGTATATACTCCGTTCGTCCCATAAGTAAATATCTATTTATTTTTTACATGTAATTTTAGAAATATTAATATTTAATTTATAAAAATTAATTAGTTGTGAGTTAGGTTTTGAATATTTAATTTATAAAATTTTGAATTATAATATTTATATGATATGTTATAACTATATATTAATATGATATTTTAAAATATAAGTTTAATTTTTTATGTTATATAAAAAAATAAAATTTCGATTTGATGCATTCAATTTTATTTTTTTAATAATTAATAAAAATTAAATTCAAAACGTACAAAAAGAAAACACAATGAAAGGCTGCAACTATCAGCACTTCATTGTTTGTGTTGTGTCATTTTTATTTATATTTTGTACTATGTATATGACTTTTTAAATTAAAACTCAATTATATTGTGCACTATGTATGACTTTTAAAATTAAAAGTTTCTTTTTCTTTTTTAAGTATCAAACTAAATATTTATTTCTTTTATTTTTTTCTATTATATTAAAAATCAATTTTATATTTTAAAAATTACATTAATATTTATTTAATCAACGTGAATACAACTATATGTTTTTTTGTATATATGAATGTATTTTTATTTACAAAGTTAATAAATTTGGGTGTGTTATTCCACTATTTTTTTTTTCCGACACAACTCCGAATATATATTCAAACCAAAAGACTAAATAAACAAACCCATAATTTCGATAATTCATCGATCCTAACAGTTCACAATTAATCCATACTTAACAGACAAATTAATTCCACCATTCATAACAAGAAATTAATAATTTGATCCATTTCAAAAATTAAACAAATCCAATAATTTAACCAATCTACAATATATATCCAAAAATTGAGGCAAATAAAAAATTAATTTCACGCGTTCGTTATCAAAAAAAATAATTAAAATAATAATAATAATAATAATAATTCCAAGTTGATTTGATAGAAAATCCCTCAAATAATAATATCCATTGGCTCGTCATATCTCGATCGGAGTCTTGATAGGATTGAGTTGTTTTGCTTCTGAAGATGATATGCCTGGAGCCAAGCCTTCCTTTCTTCTTTGCGCTGAGCCACGGCGACGTATAAAAGTTTTCCCGCTATTATCGTCGCATGCATTGAATTCCGCTGCAAAGCAAACAATTATAATCATCCTCTAGATTTTGTTCATAGAAAAAAAGAAATAATTAGTCAAATCTATCTTACAGCATTTATAGCTTCTTCGGAATTAGAGAAGGCCACAAAACCAAAACGTTTGCTTACTCCATTAGAGTCGCACATAATCTGTAGAAAATAAAATTAAATTTGAGTGGCAACACATGAAAATATATACGTATATATAATATAAATTCAAACATCTTTTACAAATACCTTGTACGATGTAATGGTTCCGAATCTTGAGAAAAGCATCTTCAAATCATCACTAGTTATGCGCTCACTAATGTTTTTGAAGTACAAATTTGCACCTTTCATCTCCTCAAATCTAATATTCCTTTCATGCTCGAATTTAGCCTTCAACTTTGCTATCCTTTTTGCCTTCTTCTCAGCTCTTCCAACGTATAAAACCTTGTCATCTAAAGAGGTCCCATTTAAATTCTCCACTGCAGCAACTGCGTCGCTACTGTTTTCATAATTGACAAAGCCAAACAATCTGGAATTTCCATTGGCGTCTTTCATAACAACTGCACTAGTGATTGGACCAAACCTCCCAAATATTTTCTTAAGATCCTCGTCTGTTACCCTTTTAGAAAAATTCTTTACATAAACATTAGTAAATTTGGGTAATCCTTTCCTCCTAATCCTCTCTTGACGAGGAATAAACTTCGCAACATACATTTTCTTATCATTTATAATTAGACCATTCAATCTTTTAATTGCATTCTCGGCAGATTCCTCTTTATCAAACTGAACAAACCCAAATCCTTTGGATCTTCCATTGGCGTCAAGTTCTACCTTGCAAGAAAGTATTCTTCCAAATATAGAGAAAGTTTCGTGAAGTTCCTTAGCGTCTATCGACAAAGCCAAATTTTTGATATACAGATTAGCAAATCCACTTTTTCTCATAGTAGGATCTCTTTGAGAAAACATGATTCTGATAGGCCTTCCATTGACAATAGTGAAATTCAAAGTATCTTTCGCACGATAAGCTGTAGCAAATTAATACAAAAAATTATAAACATCCTAGTAATCGAAATTTTCAAATAAAACAAAGAGAGATGAAGTAAATTACTAACCAAGACTGATAAATAAGAAAATTTAATTAGTCCCCATCAAAATAAATACTAATGATAAAAGCATTGATTTAACCAAATTTAACATAATAATATTAAATTCCAATAAAATTTTTCTCTAAAATCAAAATTTATTGAAAAAAAAAATCACATTATTTCACTTGCATGAAACCAGAAAAGAAAAACATAACAATAATAACTGAAATTAAGTTTGAAGAAATTAAAATTACCGTCTGATAGACTGAGAAAGTTAACGTAACCATAGCCAAGCGAAAAGCCATAAATTCGATCTCTACAAACCCTAATAGACGCAACAGGAACCACTCGATTAAATAGATCAAATAATTTCTTCTCGTTTATGGATGCCTCCAAATCACCAACGTAAAGAGATTTCGAAAACCGCTCAAATACAGGAACCACCGCCGGCGCCGGCGCCGGATTCGTCGTCTCCGACAACACCGCCGCCTGAGGAACTTCCATCGCTGCTATTGCAATTAATTAATTTGTAGGTAAACAGCAAACAACGAAGAAAATCGACAAAAGCAAGAACGCAGATGTTAAAATTTCTCGAAGTCGTCGGAAGCAGAAAGAAAGAGGGATAGAAGACGAACCGATTTAGCGGTATAAATAGGGCAGGGAGAAATTTAGGCGGGATACGATTTTCAAGTATCTGCTTTTCTAAGTGTTGTACCTTGTGCTCCACAGTTGATACTTTAGATCTAATCTAATGTATCTAATATAATATAATATCTAATCTAATTTAATAATCTAATAATATCTGAGGACGGATAATCTAAGCTAATTTAGTAATCCAATAATATATATATATATATATTTTAAAACTGTTTGAGGACGGATAATGTGTAATTTTCTTTAGTATTATTATTATTTTTTAAATAATTTTTTGTGGGCTCCACTATTTTATTATTATTATTATTATTATTATTATTATCTAATATATTTATATTATATTGATAATATTTGTTTTATTATATTTTTGGATATGTTTGTATTTATTTTAAATTTGTTAAAATTAATAATAAGATAAATTTAATGAACAAGTTTTACTACGGAGTATATATTTATCAAAATATATTATATAAAATAAAAAAGAAAATACATTCAACAACCTGGGAAGGCATAGTTTTGTCTGGTAATTGTGTTTGGTTGGTTTTTCCATATGGACTTTGGCACTGTGTTTTCATTTTTTTTAGAAAAAAAATATTATATGACTCATTTAAAATTCATCAATTTTTCTTTTATTTCTATTTCAATCATAAATAAACAAATATATTTATAAACGTTCAAAATTCTAAATTTATTTATAAATTAATTTATGTTAATCATAAATATATATTTATATATTTTTATTAATTCATTTTATATAAAATTTTATTTCTACAAAATATTATATATTTTTTATTAAAATAATTAAACACATATTTTAAAATTTTTAACTCTTATATATATTAAATTATAAATAAAATATTAATTAACAAATTATTTCCAATTCAAATTCTAACTCAATAATCCGATTACTAAACAAACGTTACGATATTTGGGTTGTAGAATTTTGTGTCGCAGAGGATCATTTTATACACTTTACGTTTTTATTTATTTTTAAATTTAAATTTTAAAATTCTTCACTAAAATAATTTGATATAAAATATAAAATTCAAGTTAGAATTAATGTGTTATCTTATAACACGAATCTCATAGTGATTTTTGATATGATTCCAATAAGTTTAATTAATGTAGTAAGTTTAATTAATGTAGTAAATTTAAGGGTAAATTATATAAAATTATAAAATAAAGGATTAATAAACTATTTATTTATTTTATTCAAAATAATTATTTAAGATATTTTATTTCTTTTATTTTTATAAAATTTGAATAATTTTGGTCTTTTTTTAGAATCATCCGCTTTTGGATAAGGATGATATTTCGTGCAAACTTTATATTAACACAAGGAGTTTCACGCAATAAATATAACATATGATGTTTTATGCATTTTTACAAAAATAAAAGAGAGTATTATATAATTTACCCTAAATTTAAGCATACAATTATATAAAGAAAATATTTAATTCCATATATAATAATGATCAACTTTCTAATCACACTACCATTTATCATTTTTGGAAAGTAAAAATAAATATTTGTTGAAAGTAATTGTTTCTTACTATATATATATAAATATAATTATTTGGCAATAATAATACTAATAGTGATATTTTTGTTTGTGATTTTGGTTATTCTGTCATATGATTTAATTTATTATTATATATATAAATGTTTATTTAGTACTTTATTCTTATGTGATTCTTAAAAATATTAAAACTAGAAAATATAATATATAGACATGATAGAATGAATTTGTTCATTCAATATATTTTTAGGTTTCTATAAATATTACAAAAATATAATATATATACATATATCATATTAATTTATAAAAGTCAATAATTCAATATATAATACTTCCTCCGTCTAATACTAAATTTCTCATTTACTTTTTTCATGTTGATTTTTGAATGTTAATTATTATATTAAAATGTTGTACAACAAAAGGAAAAACAAAAAAAAAAAAAACTTATATTAGTGTCTTATAATACTAAATATAATGATATTTGTAAAAAAAAAAATTACACAGATATAAGAATATTTTTAATATTAAAAAAAATATAGTCAAATATAAATGAGAAGTTTAGTTTTTGACGGATACGACTTTCTAAATTTGACATTAAAAAAATATATAAATTAACCGACTCAAAAGAAAACAAGCAAACAAAAAACATGAAGTACTTTAACTGTCATCTATCTTATAATAAAAATATCTAAAATCTTAATTAATAAACAAAAATATTCTAAATTTGAAATAATTTTAATTATATCAATAATATATATATATATGCATAGAAGTTTCGTACAATAAAATTAATTTAGTTTAATTATATAAATAAAAAATATTATATAAACTAATTTTATTTAGTAATTTCATGTACATATAAAAGTAAAGCAAAATGTTCTAGAATAATAATTTTTTAATTTGTTTGATTCTAGAGAAAATAAAGAATGGAGAAGTAAGTGACATATTGGTTTTACTTTTAAATATATATATATATATATATTTTCTGCATGCTGAAATTGCTAATTTGGCATTGTTGGAATTTTTATTGTGTTACTTCTATAATTCTTCAAAAAAATATATTTTTTCTAAAAGAAATACTCCCTTTGTCCCATGTAATATGAGTGTATTACTGTATACACGAGAATTTAAGTAAAGTATAATTAGTAAGTAATTAAAAAATATATTAGTAAAAATAATTATTATTTAGTAAAAATAATTATAGATTAAGATTAAGATAAGTAAATAGTTTAATTAAAATTAAAAAAATTATAAAATTTAAAATTTAAAATACGATTAAAGTGCATAATTATATTTCCAAAAATAGAAAGGACAAGTTATGTGGGACGGACGAAAATAGAAAATAGGGACAAATTATATGGGACGGAGGGAGTAATATATTACATACGCTTATTATTTTAATAATATTTTTATTAAGAAAAATATATTTTGATTTAAAATGATATAAAAAACAACTCATAATTTAAACTAAAAGTTAAATTCAAATTCAAATTTCAAAATAAATCTAAACAAATATTTAAACAACTCAAATAATATACTAACTGTATTTGAGAACTAAATTTTATATGTTGCTCGTATTAATTATTATATCAAAATGTAGTACAAATTAAGAAAAAATGTAAAAATACTTTAATTAGTATTTTTTAATATTAATAGAAGAATATTTGTAAAAAAAAATAATATACAAATATAAAGATATTTTTAATGCTAAGTACAATGACGTAAAACGTAAATATGACCGGACGGAAGAAGTATAAATATGTACTCATATTTTAACACAATATATATTATATACTTTGACTAGTCCTAATAAATCAACTTTTCAAAAAAAAATATTATTTTTTTTTATATTATCGACATAAATTTTCAAACGTAATATAAAAAAATAAATTCATTAAAAAAAATACAAAATGAACTAGTTTTATTTATGTTTATTTAGCAGTTGCCAATTTTTAATTGAAATTTAAATTATATATAGAATTAAAGCGGAATCAATTTTTATAAATCCGATCTCAAAGTGAGTAGATATTTGATGTGATTCTAATAAGTTTATTTAATATATACTAAATTTAATTATATAATTAAATAAGGAATATATTTAATTCCATATATAATGATCAAACTTTCTAACCTAACTACCCCAATTATTTTTGGAAAATATTTTGTATATATATATATATATATTAGTCCCGTAACTGGATCCTCTTATCATTTTAGTCATGTAAGTGGAGTTTGTCGCAAACTAGTCCCATAAGTGAAAATTTTTCGCTGATTTAGTCCTCCGGCGCCGGAGACGCCCGCGTGGCTCGCCGGAGGTGACGTGTCCGCCAGGTCAGCGACACCTGGCGGACACGTGGATTTTTTAATTTAATTTTTTATTTTTTAAATTTTTTTTAAAACTTATTTTTCATTTATTTTTAATTTTATTTGTATTTTTTATTTGGTTCAATTAAAAAAATTAAAAATAAATGAAAAATAAAGAAATAAATCCACGTGTCCGCCAAGTGTCACTGACCTGGCGGGACACTTGGCGGACACGTCACCTCCGGCGAGCCACGCGGGCGTCTCCGGCGCCGGAGGACTAAAGCAGCGAAAATTTTTCACTTATAGAATTAATTTGCGACAGGCTCCATTTACGGGACTAAAATGATAAAGGGGTCCAGTTACGAGACTAAAAAAACAATTTACCCATATATATATATATAATTTAGCAATAATAATAGTAATAACCACATTTTTGTCATTTTGGTTACTCTTTTGTGTATTAAATTTATATTTAATATGTTTATTTCTTTCCAATTAGAGTATATCTTATAAAACATGAAAGAAAATATACAAAGCATATAGTATATGTATTTTTTAACATTTAGGGTGCCATAAAATTAGGTTTTTATTTTAAATATAAAAAATACATTTTATAGAATTAAAATTTTACATTTACAATGGATTCACAAATTTATTTAATTATTTTTATTAATATATATTGTCTGTATATATATATATTATTTTGGTGGCTGTAACTATATAAAATTCAATACATTATTGATAGTACATCACGTACTAATATATAACATAAAATATTATTACATGTAATATTATTACAGTTGATTTCTACATATAATATATATTTATGTATAAAACACTTTCCCGTATAAATAATGATTTTTTTGACACTATAATCATTCCCTATTATTTTACATAAAGTTAAATTTATGTTTGCCCACATTGAAATTACTTTTAATACTAACCAAATTTAAATGTTATTGAAATAAGTGTTATCAAAGAGGCAGATGTTATCAGTGATTTTATTCTATTATTTTTTAATTATTTAATAATTATGCTACCACTGAAAAATTACTAATATTATTCAAAACCTTTAGGTGAGCTATTTAAAATTGAAAAGATAATCAATACCCTTATAATTAAAATTCAATCCAATTAAATAAATAATTTATATTTTAAAATTATAAATATACAAAAATAATATTACATTATTATTTTTTTTAATAAATCAAGTTTTTTAATTTATTTAATTTTTCACATAATTCTTTTATAATCATTATTCTATTATTTTTTTTTTAATTTATATTTTTAAAAAATACTAATTATTTTGTAAAATTGTGTTCTTCTTCATGAGTAACTCCAATATGTAGTAATATATTTATATTTTTATTGTATTTGTAATATAAGATTTAAATCAAAGTGTTTATACTATCTACTCATACTATTAAAAATTATGTTTTAAAAAGTAATATTACCCCAATATATAGCATGTCACAAAAATGAAATCTTTATTTAGTAAATATATAAAAATTATTCTTGAAAATTTAAAGATACATTAATATATTATAGATAAATATATATATATATATATAAATCATTAATGGAATTGTAATTAAGAAGAAGGAAAAAATAAAAATTCATCCATCTTAAGTTTGAAGAGCCAAAAAATAATATTTTAAGAATATTTGAATGCATTTATCAAACATATTTCCTAATTTAAATATGTCATCAAATAAATTTATAATCTTCAACATATACCAAATATTTAAAAATAATTAATGGGAAAATTATGCTAATTTACTCAAGCAATATATCTTCATACAATATATCTTCATATTAAAATTTGTGTTAATTTTTTATTTTTTTATGATTAATTATATATATTAAATATTAACCGAAAACTTTTAAGGCTTTGTTTAGACAGGGGGTTTTTGGAGGTTTTTTAAAATTTAAAAATTTAGAAAAAATAAATAATTAGTATTTAATTTGATATTTTGAAAAAAAAAAAAAAAAAAAAAAAAAAAAAAAAAAAAAAAAACATTTGACTATGCATATTAATCACCAAATTCATGGATTATCGATCAAATTAGACTAGAAGTAGAACTAGACGATGAACTCAATTCCATATATATATATATATATATATGAAATTATCCTTTCCAAAATTACACGAAATTGTGTAAACAATCTACAGGCAGCTAAGAATTTACAGGAAAATGATAACGAATCAATTCGAGGTGGATTTTTTGTTGATAGCAACCTCCCAATAATGCAAAGCCCCATGGTCAGCAAAGAATTTACAGGCAGCAAAATCACTACTGCAATGAAGAACAGAGAACTTACCAAATTTCGCCTGATTGATTCTCCCCTCCCAAATTACCTCTACCGAATCCACCTTCTGCATAAATTTAAACAAGTTTCTGATACAATTAATTCCGCCTTCAACCACCAAAATCCCCTTCGAAACCACAGCGCAACCACTCACCTTCCCTTTCGCGTACTGCAGCATATCGCAATACCGTTGACAGCACAGATCCGAAACCCTATAAACACCGCTAATTGCCACCACGCCGCCGCCGCACGACCGCCGCACCGAAATATCGAAATTCTGAATCGATTCAGCGCGATTTGACCGTTTTCTGAAGCAATTATATAGCGTCGGCGCGGCGAGGGCGATAACAATCTGCTGCCGTGGAATTTGCTCTTTCCGGAGGATGATTGGTGGAACTACAGGTTGAGTTGAACTTATGGCTACCGCACTATCTTCAATGGTCGATTCGTCGGACGATAAACTGCGGCGGAGGAGGCGGCGCTTGCACGGCGGAGATAACTGCGCGTCGTCGTCGTCGTCCTCCATGGAAGAGTGAGTATGAAAAACACGTGACTGACTGTGAGAGAAGAAGTATAAATGACTTGAGAAACAATTATTGTATTATATTTATATCGAGGGATTTATGGGAAAACTTTGTCCCCAAGTATTAAAATTGAAACCCTAGCCTAGTTTTTACACTAATTACAAATAAGGACTCTTTTTGAAAATAAGGAAATTTCTTTTGTGCCCCTCGACTTTGCCCCAAGCATTAAATTAAACCCTAAGGTTCTCGGTAATTAATGCACATTATGTTATATACTTTCCTTGTATACAAATAAAATTTTATTTGATAAAGACGGAATTAAATTGACATAAATTAACAAAATGAAAAAAAACTTGAAATTTCATTGAAAATTTTCTATTTCAAAAAAAAAAAAAGAAAAAAAAAAGTCAATCTATATTTTTTATTTTTATTTTTTGTCACGTTGGAACTTATTGTCGTGTCTTCTAGATAAATCTCTGGTCGAACATTATAATAGTATGTAAACTAAATGAATAAGACAAGTTACACTAGACAAAACCATATGCGGTAAACAATACCAAGTGACATAAAAGAAATTTAAACTATGACCTCGTTGTCACAGATTCATTCCTAAAAAATATAGACAGTATGCGAACCATGTATGACCCACAATATTTGAAAGTATTGTGAGTTTGAATTCATAATCTCACGGTCAGTAATTTACTCTCACACGACCAAAATGTTGTATATGTTGTCTTTGAAATAAATACTAAAAAAGCATGTAGGACCAATCAATGTATAATTTATATCAACTGAAAATTTTTTGTTTTTTAATTACACGCTAATACCAAAATATTATTAATTTTTATATAAATTATAAATATACATAAATAAAAAATCATAAAATTATCAAAATTATCTTACGGATTTTCACTAATCACTCAAATATTATTATTTTTTAATTTATTATAAAAATTTAAATGGATACTTTCGTCCGAAACGGTGATTGTATTTGATAGTGATTTATTATTTTAGATGAACTCACTCCTACCATACCTTACTTTGTGTTTTTATTTGATACTTTCATCCTACTTATTTTAGTTTCTATAGTATTTTTTATCCTTATTTCTATTGGTACTTATTACAAAAAATTAGATAAAAGTATTATGATTAGAATATAAATTTATCAAAACTTAGTTTGCTTGTTTAAAGATAGTTTTTGAAATTTCATACTCCCTCAATCCCATAATAAAATATCTATTTTTTCATTTTAGTCTATCCCATAACAATAACAAAGTATCTATTTTCTTTTTTAAGTAACTGCACTGTCTACCTAACATTACAAATACCCTTACAACTTACAATATATTACACAAATGTAAAAAAATTTATATCACACAATACTAATAAGGTTATTTTAGTCATTTCTACTTTATTGTTACTACATTATAATATAATACTAATATTTCTAAAACTCCGTGCAAAAAACAAACAAATACATAGTTTTATGAGACGGAGGGAGTACTATATATATAATCCTTAAAAAATATTGATCAAAACACCTATTTTTATATTATATTATTAAAATTAAGTATATATATATATATATTCATTTTTAAAGATATATTTAGAAAATATATTTTATATTTATCATAATTGTCTTATTTAAAGATTTGTAAGATTTTTATTTTATTTAGATAATTTGTATATCACATTTATATTCTTGTTACTAATTTAGCCAATGTATTTATCATGGGAATGTTTCATTAATATATAAGTAGTTATTAATTTATTATTAAGATTTTATTCTTCCTCCAGTTCAGGACTCCACCACTCGTCGTATTTGGTTTAATTGTATTTTAAAACTTATATTAGTGTAATGTTTCAATAAAATATAATAATCAAACACCATACAATTTCATTCAATACTTCAAAGAAAAATTGGAAATCCCAAAACAAAACAAAACTAAATTACAAATAAACACATGATGATTATGCATCTTAAAAAATAATTAGGTACATATTATAAATGATACCCCTTCACCTAAAAATACATGTCCAATATTAAGTATAAATTTTAATACAAGTATGTTCTGTTTTGTTATTATTTATTTATTTTTTATAGTAAAAAGAAAAACTAAAACTAAAACTAAATAAATAAATAAAAAATATGAATATTTTAAAGGTGTTTGGCAAAGAAATTTTTTAAGAATTTTCATTTTATTAAATATTTTTCTAGCTGTTTGACCAATAAAAAAAAGTCAATTTAAGTGTTTTGGTAAATCAGTTATTTCAAATAGCTTATGGAATAAAAATAATAACAATAATAATTTTTGAAAAACTATATAAGTAATATTTTAATTGTATGAGTAGTTAAAAGTAGTGTAAATATAATCTTGTCTTGTTTTTTCGGTATAAAAATAATGATGTGACGGTAATACTAATAAGAGTATTTCTTATATTTTATACTACAAACTAATATTAAAAAATCTGTAAATAATATCCGTTATAAGTGACTCCTTCCCAATATATATAATATATATTTTTTTATCATTTTATATAAAATTAATAGTCAATATAAAATATACCACATTATGTATCTCCATGATCGCCACTATCTATGTATCTATATTAATTATCATCACACAATCAAAAAACATCTCAAACCAAAATACGGAATAAACAAACTCATATTGAACAAAACCTCATATTGTCCCATAAGAGATAGACTTAACGGAATGAATGAATTTGTGGCCGTAAAGTCATGAGTTCAAACATATATTTAAAAGGATGTGATTCTATTTCATTAAAAAAAGTAATAATAAAATAAAATAAAATTGAAAGGTACAAACCGTACTATGTATCTCCATTAGTTACCATTATCTATTATTGAATGAAAAATAGATTTAGTAGGATATAAATGTATCAGCACAACATTCCTTTTCATTTATATTATATACAAAGATTACATATTCATATCAAAATTTGAAAATATTTAACTATAAAGACAAAATTTAGTAGAAAAAATAAGCCAAATCTTTTTTTCTAACAAAGCATACTTAAATTTAAGATATTAACTTTTATAGTTATAATTTATTCTTAGAAAAAGTAGAAAAAATTGCACAATCCCAAAAGAAACTAAGCCAAAAGTTCTTGAATCCAACTCTTGATCATATTGCATGTCGAGCTCAAGTTCAAGATCAAGATCAAGATCAGCTCAAACAACTCTGTCAAGATAAGCCATTAAAAAGCTTTTAAAAAGACACAAAAATTAGATTCTTGCCTAACAAGAACTTGTAAACATACAAAGTTTGCAAGAAAAACTCAATTCGCAATTACAGATGAAAAAACATATGTAAGCTCAATAGTTAACTTTTCCTGTGCAATTTAAAGGGAAAAAAAAGAATTAAAGTAAAAAACAAGTCAGCATCGAGCAAATGGTCCCAAGATGAAAGATCGAATGAAGTATAGCATGCTCATACCGTAATCAAGAGCCAAGATTTTGAATAGTTCTATGCATTTCTATCGTCAATGAAAGAGGTGACATTTTACATACGCTCACATAAGAACAACATCGACGCAAGAGTTCCGGAAGAAGTATAATAATGGTTTGTAATACCCTAAAATTCAACAGCCAATGCCACGCCGCCCCAACTACACACAACAGAGGAAGTAAAATAAGTAATGATGAGAGGAAGGATTACACACCCAATCCAGAGTTTCAAGAATGCCATATATTCAGATGTCGGGAAGTCTCATTTCTATGATTTCAGAAGGCGGTCGTAAGGTACAGACCATTTCCTTTGTCTTCCCAAAGTAGACCTGGAAATAAAAAATAATAATAATAATAATAATTGGTTCATCTTTGATACTGAAACGAGATAAATGCATGAAATTGTATTTGGCACGCTGGAGAATGCAAATTCCAAACAATTATCGATATACTATCAAATTCGAAGCAATATTTGAAAATTTGAGATTCACAACTCAAATCAAGGTTCCCAGTTCGAATTTGTTGAACTTGAAATTAGAGCAGATTCAATTCTAGCATTTTTAATATAATTCACACTCCCAAGGTTAATTGCACACCTGATCCAATGAGTTTCGAAGCTTGCTCTCCATTTCTTCTATCATTTTTCCCATATTACATAAATGGCCATCGGAAACTGAGAGATCCATACTCATCTATGCAGACAAAAGTAAAAGAAGTAAGTGATGAGGTGATGGAAAAAAATGTAGTTGAGGAAAAATGAATTGCAGTTTATTGTGTGGTACAATTGCAAATCCATGGAAGAACCGAAGAACCAAATACCTGTCTTCTGATTGAACCAGACAAATTGAAGGTGCCGGAGGACTCATCATTTGTAGTTAATGAAAGCATCACAGAACTTGTCAGGCAGTAATGAGCAGTTTCTTCCTCCTCCGGTCCCACCTAGATATACATAAACAGTCAAGAATAATCAAGGCAGTAAGATGAGCAATCATGTTTCTCAATTCCTACTAGTTCCTTCTTCAGTCTAGTGATCTGTAAAATGCACCTCGATAACATGTATTGCATCCCATGATCCTTCTTGCAGGCATCCTCTTTTACCATCAGCAGTCCTCGATCCATCTTCATTGCAAACAATTGAGTATGAGAGAGAGAGAGAGAGAGCTAAACACCAATTTTTAGATTTTGATCATTGTTATTTTTTTGGTGAAATAGTAGTCGGATGTGATGTTTTGTATGGAAAATGGATATGTTGACAAAAAAGCATAGTGGAAAAAACTGGAAAAAAAAATGCAAAAAATTAGAGCAATTACATAATATGCATATATTATATTAGCTGCTACTACACTTCAGTTTAAAGTTTTTTAATAGGTATGCTATAGTTTAGATCTTTTGGGAATAAAAATAGAAATAAATCTAAATTTAATATCTTACAGTTTAATTACTTTTTTTTTTTTTTTTCCTTTTTACATTTTAAAATTTGTTAAGAAATTTAAAATAATTATCACATTAAATTATATAATAGGTTGTGATAATATAGAATCAAATTTACAAATAATTCATAAAAATAGGACTGCAATAAATAGCACAATAATTGAAACAGGAACCAAAGCTGATGATTTTGGAATGGGAAACTATGGTGTCAGAACCATAGTCAGGTCTACCCTAAACCATAAACTATGAAGCAATTTTCCAGAAACAAGTAACCATTACCTTTTTTAATCAAGAAGCAAGCCACGAAACCTTCATTTTCGTCCTCCCACATGTACACTGACGAAATGCCACCTTCATAATACCTGCCCACGTGATTGGCTCTTAGAGAAACAAGAAATATATAGGAAATAAAGAATTCTATAACATAAGAGACCACTGCACTAAATGTCATGTTGCTATGAAGATAGGGTGCAAAAACACCAAGGCATTGTTATTTAAAAGCTTGTGCAAATTGCGACAGAAAAGTTGCATCTGCATGAGGATTGCCTATAAAAACAGAAAGTAAGAGCTAAGTAAAGGACCTCACTGGTCACGATAGATAGCAAAGATGTCGTTTGCCTCAATCTCAAGTTTCCTCAACTCTGGAGATGGATAAGGCCCGTCGTCTATTGAGGGATAATATTTATTCGACCAGGGAGATCTTGCCAAACAGGGGATGAAAACGAAAAATATATTTTCAGTAAAAAAAATCAAGGAAAAACATATCCAATATATATCGTTAAAGCTAAATAGTTGAATTGAACAAAATGCCTCAAGATTAGACAGCTTACCTATATGAGTCTGCATCTCTGTTATACTCACACAAAATGAACTCCTTTGCGCTTTCTGGATCGCATAAAACCTGAAAATTGATTCATGTTTAGACGAACAATATAGACAGAAATATATTTTGCATGTCACACGACTAAAGATCACCTAGAAAATTCAGCGATTAAATACCCTACGTTTCAAATGGAAAGTACTATAGATTGAAAATGGATCGATAAATCTGGACAAAAATGGCTCCTCAAAGGGTAATTTAGGACGTGGAAGAAATCGAGACTGGATTGTGTCGCCTAGTTAATAGTCAAACTAAAATATGCAACACCTTTGTCGTACATGTACAAACAAAACAACAGACTTTAAACCACTAATAAACGTGTGCAAGCTTGGTACTTATTGATTCAGAAACCAAATTAGAATTCAACTCAGTGATTCAAGGTCAGTTTAACACTACATTAATTTGAAATTTTGAATTCAGAGAGAAATTGATTTTGAGAACATATGAATTGCGAATACTGATTTCAAATTTAAAATGACAATCTGTTTAAGTTTACTGACTTCATTTTGGTACAGGATTAGGTAATTTGCTTCGGTACAAATTTCAAATTCACAATAAGAAAACAGAGAAAAATAAAAAATTGAAAAGTTTTAGTTCAATACAAGTATTGATATCGGTTCAAATTTGACTTCGACACGTATATATTTATATTTGGATGTAATCCTTTTTTTTTATTAGGCCAGATAATCAAATTCATATGACTTTACATATAGAACAGATCTATGAATCTCAACATTCAACATCTTCTTGACAAAACATTTATCATTCAGTTAGCTTCAAATGGTTATGAGCATCTACATCAGATAATGATATGAGAAACTCGTTTGTGCCATTGAAGGTAGATTACAGCGATTTTTAAAAGACATTCTCCAATCCGAATTCATGAGCAATAGCAAAAACCAACAGTATATGAAAATCATTAGCTAGAATAAGGACACGAAGAAATCTAAGAAAAGTTTACTGATCAATAATTCAATAACTAAATCGATTATTTTGCAAGAACAGCAAAAGAAACATTCACCCTCATTTCGAATTTTATTTTCTAAAATCCTTATTGTGTGCCAATCCATTTGCATTTCAAACTTCATTTTCTTGCATTTGTCAGAACAAATAGCAGAAATCATTTTTGCGAGTTGTTAAAACCATTATAGCAGCATCCTAGAAAAGAGAACAGCTTCCACAAACCCTAAATCCCCAAAATAACCGCATTTGCAGAATCCGAATCCAATTCCATTTCCATTTCCTTCAAAACCAAAAATCCGATCGACAGAGATTCCAAACACGCTAGGCAATAATAAAGCCAATATCACCAATAAAAAAGCCCCAAATTTCTTACCTGCAGAGGCTGGTCAACTTGAGAGAGAAGATCCGAGGAGTGGTGCGGCAAAAGGCTTAACAGTGCTGATAGAGCGGCCTCCGAATGCTTGGGTGGAATCCTCCGCATCAATCCCATTGCCGCATCCATTTTCGTCGAATCTTGAAAATCCAAAAAATTGCAGTAACTTGTGAATGAGCGGGTTCCAAGTTTAGGGACGAACTGACAGTTTCATTTACTCATTTCTAATTACAAATAATTAAAAAAAATAATAAAACAATAAAATACTAATTAGTTTAAAATTAAACTTGCATTTTTCTAGTGTTTCGTATTTTGAAGGATTTTTTTTTTTTTTAATTATTAAGAATGTGTTGGGAAAAAATAAATTAAAATTACTATAATTTTACACTTCCATCAAAATATTCAATATAAAAAAACATCAAAATATCAAAATTTCATATTGACAGATACAATGGTAGATCAATTTATAAATATAATATCGACGGTAAATCTCAATATAAAATACTCTCTCCATCCCATCTACCTTCTCCATATTATTTCACATTTTATGTCACTTTTATTTTATAAAAATATTTACGCACTTTAATCTCATTTTAAACTTTTTAATTTTAATTAAACTAATTAGTTATCTTAATCTTAATTTATAATTATTTATATTATAGGATAATTATTTTCACTAACACATTTTTAATTATCTACTTGTTGAAACGTGACTTAGATTTAGCGGTCTACCCGACTCGAAACCAAATCGTAAGGGCTGTTTCAATTGGCAGGGTTCCTTTTGGGCTTATCCTAATTAATAACAAATTAGGGCTTAGGGTTTAGGGTGTTTTGGGGTGATTATAAATAGATAACTATGGTTCTTAGTCGGATGACATATTGTAAATCTCTGAATCAGTATAATAAAATCTCTCCGGTTCCTGTCCGTGGACGTAGGTTGACACATCATCACCGAACCACGTAAAACATCTGTGTTCTTTATTTGTTTTCTTTCTCGTTTTCTCATAACAAGTGGTATCAGAGCCATATCTCATTGATTGAAGATGTCCTCGTATAAGTTTGATCTGGAGAAGTTTAATGGGTCGAATGACTTCACGCTCTGGAAGGTCAAGATGAGGGCACTTTTGATTCAACAAGGATGTGCGGCTGCGTTGGAGGGAGAAGACAAGTTTCCTAAAGACACGAAGGAGGAGGTAAATAAGGAGATTTTGGCAAGGGCTCATTCCGCGATCTTGCTGTCAGTTACTGATGAGGTGTTACGAGATGTTGTAGATCAGACAACGGATTTTGGGTTATGGAATAAACTGTGTGAGAAGTACCAAAACAACTCTCTCACGAACAGGCTATATCAGAAGCAACGTCTTTACACCACCCGGATGTCCGAAAGTACTCAGGTAAAGGATCATCTTGATACCTTTAATCGTATCATTCTTGATCTTCAATGAGTTGAGGTTAAAGTAGATGATGAAGATCAAGCCCTAATTTTATTGTGTTAACTACCTGATTCACATGAGAATTTTGTAGATACTATGCTATATGGTAGAACTACAATTTCTGTTAATGATGTGAAAGATGCTCTTATGTCCAAAGAATTGAAAAGAAAAGTTTCTCTGGAAGAGGGTTCTGGTTCAGGTCTGTTTGCAGGTAGGGGAAGAACACAGGAGAGGGGTAACGGGAATGGGAGGTCGCGTTCAAAATCAAAATCCTCTAGCAAAGTTAAGTGTTATCTTTGCAAGGAGAAATGACACGTTAAAAGGGATTGTCCACAGAAGAAGGAAAATACAAAAGTTAATTCTAGTAACAGTGGCAGCAGCGCTGCTGTGGTACAAGACAGTTATGATGATGGGGACTTTGGTGAAGTTCTGACAGCGTGTAGTGCTAGTACTACTGATTCCTGGATTATGGATACCGGTGCTTCTCACCATATGACGTTCTTTCGTGATCTACTCACTTCTTTTAAGGAGTGGAATGGAAATGTGAAGTTAGGTGATGATGGGGTTCTAGCCATAAAAGAGAGCGGGGTAGTGCAGATAAAATTGCATGACGGTACTGTCAGGAAATTTGACTGTTGGTATGTTCCTGAACTCAGAAAGAATTTGATTTCTCTTGGCACCTTAGCCAAGAATGATTTAAAATATCATGGTAAAGATGAGTGGGTGAAAGTCCTGAAAGGTGCTCTGGTAATGATGGGAAAACTGCAGCATGTAATTTATTTTCTACATGGCAGTTTAGTGATGGGAACAGCGGCGGTATCCCAGTCCTTGGATAAACATGATGACAGGACAAATTTTTGGCACCGTCGATTAGGTCACATGAGTGAGCTAGGGTTGTCTGTGTTGAGCAAGCAGGGTTTATTTGGTGGGGATGTGATAGGTAAAATTCAATTCTGTGAGGCTTGTGTAAAAGGGAAGCAATGCAGGGTAAGGTTTAGTACTGGTCATCACACTTCAAAAGAAATTCTGGAGTATGTTCATTCAGATCTATGGGGTCCCTCTCCGGTGAAATCGCAGGGCGGGTGTTCTTACTTTGTCACTTTCATAGATGATTATTTGAGAAAAGTCTGGTTGTACTTTCTGAAAACTAAAGATGAGGTGTTTGGGAAGTTCAAGGAGTGGAAGACCATGGTTGAAAAACGGACGGGTGAACAGGTCAAGACTCTAAGAACTGATAATGGGTTGGAGTTCTGCAACGCTCCATTTGATGATTTCTGCAAGAAAGAAGATATAGTGAGGCACCGCACTGTACGACACACACCACAACAAAATGGAGTTGCAGAGCGAATGAATCAAACCCTCATGGCGCGTGCTAGGTGTATGCGCATATTTGCTGGCTTATCTAAGCAATTATGGGCTGAAGCAGTTAACACTGCTAGTTATCTGGTTAATAGATCTCCATCAACTGCAATTGACTTAAAGACTCCTCAAGAGGTATGGTCCGGTAAACCCTCTGATTACTCTAATCTAAGAATATTTGGATGTCCTGCATACGCTCATGTGAATGATGGTAAGCTGGAGCCGAGGGCGGTAAAATGCATATTTCTAGGGTATGCAACATGAGTAAAAGGTTATCGATTGTGGTGTACAGAAGGTAAAAATCCTGGTAAATTTCTTATTAGCAGAGATGTAACCTTTGATGAATCTGCTATGCTTGATCAGAGTAGAGGTTGTGAAAGTATTGCAGGTACAAAAGATTATGGTGCACCAGATGGTGGAGTTTGAGACTCTTGACAGAGTTGTGTTAGAGGAAGAGCAGCAGGATAATACTATTGATCAATCAGATCAACCAGATCAGTCAAAACCTCAAGGGAAACCGGTTGAGGGGGAAGCTGATGACGTTGGTACTGGGGTTGAAGATTCCATAGAAGCAAGAAAGTGAAAGAAAAATATTCAGAAACCAGCTAGGTTTGCAGGATGTGTCAATACATGTGACATGAATTCTGTGGCTTATGCACTAGCGGTTGGTGATGATCTTGGCTCTGATGAGCCAAAGACATATAAAGAAGTTGTGGCGAGTAAAGATGCAGAAACCTGGATTATGGCAATGAATGAAGAGATGCAGTCTCTTGAAAAGAACAAGACTTGGGATCTTGTTGCACTACTAAAAGAGGTGAAGCCAGTGGGATGCAAGTGGGTCTTTAAAAGAAATGAGGGAATTCCTAGTGTTGAACCTGCTAGGTTAAAGGCGAGACTGGTGGCAAAAGGGTTTTCACAGAAGGAAGGAATCGATTACCATGAAGTCTTTTCTCCTGTGGTGAAACACAAAACCATTCGGGTTCTTTTGGCAATGGTGGGTGCTTTTGATCTGGAGCTGGAGCAGCTTGATGTAAAAACAACATTCCTTCATGGTAATCTAGAAGAACAGATTTACATGTCTCAACCGGAGGGGTTCTACAGTTCTAAAGGGGACCAGGTATGCTTGTTAAAGAAATCTTTGTATGGCTTGAAGCAGTCTCCGAGGCAATGGTACAAGAGATTTGACTCATTCATGGTGTCTAATGGTTATACTCGTAATCAGTTTGATAACTGTGTTTACTCGAAGAAAGTTTCTACTGATTCCTTTGTGTATCTGCTGTTGTACGTGGATGATATGTTAATTGCAGCTAAGAACATGGCTGTAATTAATGACTTGAAGGCTCTACTAAAAGGTGAGTTTGAGATGAAGGATTTGGGTGCGGCAAAGAAAATACTTGGTATGGAGATCTGGCGTGATAGAGAAGCAAGACGGTTATGGGTTTCTCAAGAAAAGTATATTGAGAAAGTTTTGCAGGCATTCTCTGTTGATTAGTCCAAACCAGTAAGTACTCCTTTGGCGGCACACTTTAAACTTGATCGAAGCACTATACCGGGTACAGATGAAGAGGTTAGCTACATGAAGACGGTTCCATATTCAAGTGCAGTTGGAAGTCTTATGTATGCGATAGTATATACGAGACCGGATCTCGCTTATGCGGTTAGTGTGGTGAGCAGGTTTATGGCTAATCCGGGTAAAGCTCACTGGGGAGTTGTAAAGTGGATCTTGCGATATTTGAAAGGAGCATCTGATATTTGTCTGGTTTATGATGATAAAGGCCATGGTGATGGTCTTGTTGGCTATGCAGAATCTGATTACGGGGGTGACTTGGTGAAACGAAGATCACTGACTTGTTTTATCTTTACTCTGTTTGGATGTGCAGTCAGTTGGAAGTCTACTTTACAACCTATGGTTGCACTGTCGACGACTGAGGCGGAATACATGTCAATGACTGAAGGTATTAAGGAGGGTATCTGGTTACATGGTCTGATGCAGAGTTTGGGTCTAAAGGTGGAGAAACCGGTGTTATTCTGTGATAGTCAAAGCGCTTTGAGTTTAGCTAAAAATCCAGTGTATCATGATAGAACCAAACATATTGATGTAAGGTTGAATATTATCCGTGATGTTCTGGAGGAAGACAAGTTTTCTATTTAGAAAATAGCTACAGAACACAATCCAGCTGATATGTTGACAAAGGCGCTACCGACGGAGAAGTTTGAGCACTGGTTGAACTTGGTGAATATTTGTAGGAGGTAAAGCCCTCTTGGGGCATCTGGCAGGAATGAGACGACTGAGAGATACTGACGAACCTTTGGCGGTTGGAGAAACTCCAAGTCAAGGTGGAGATTGTTGAAACGTGACTTGGATTTAGCGGTCTACCCGACTCGAAACCAAAGCGAAATGGCTGTTTTA